GATCCCAACGTCGAGCTCATGCCCAAGGCCGGCCTCGTCCCGGCCTTTGACATTAAAGAGCGGTCTATGCCGTCTAAATGGAGGCGTCAGCCTGTGCCTTAATGTACTTTCTCTCTACTAGAGGTGCCACACTCATCCATCCCGCGTTCGTATCGCATCTGTGTAGCGCGATAACACAGCAATCCAGCGCGGCCTCTCACGCCCCGCTCTCTCTCCAACAAGCGTTGTTTTTATGATGCTACCTAGGTGAGAGGAAACATTCACCGCATCTCCCGATATCGCCTTTCGGTCTTTTCGCCGATTCGGGATCTTGGCCGTATGCACCTGGCTATAAATTCAACTCTCAAACTTTACGAGATCAATATGTCTACTTTACTTGATACACCTTACATTTTGTCCGACTTTCAAAAGCAAAAATTTGCACACGATGGGTATTTGCTTATAAATGACCTCTTAGACAGCGATACAACCCAGAGTATTCGTCTTTGGTCCCAGACTGTACACGACTGGCCTCCTTCGCCTGGCAAGTGGATGCACTACGAGGAGCTGTGTAAAGACGGGTCCCGTGTTCTTTGTCGCACTGAGAATTTTTCTGATTACCATTCTGGCTTCGACCGCTTGTTTAGAGGATCGCGCTTGACAGGTGTATTGGAACAGCTCAGTAACGAGCCAATGATTTTATTTAAAGAAAAAATCAATTATAAGCATCCGGGTGCTGGCGGATTTGATGCCCACATCGACGCACCAGCTTATCAACACGCTGGTGCATTAAAGCACTTGACTATCAACATGGCCATCAACGCTGCAAATCTTGAGAATGGGTGTTTGGAGGTTGTCCCAGGGAGTCACTTAATGACTATCCCAATTAGTGACGACAATTGTATCGAGCCGAGCTGGGAAGCACAGCAAACATGGGTGCCAGTGCCTCTTCAGCCCGGTGATACCTTAATTTTTGGATCGTTCCTAGCGCACCGCAGTGGTCCAAACTGCTCATTAAATCGCCGATATGCTCTTTACGCCACTTTCAATCCGGTGTCCGACGGAGGAGATCTCCACAGAGCTTACTACGAAAAGCGACGAAGAGAGTGGCCTCCCACGGCTGAGCGAATTGCCGGCCACGACTATTCCTCAGGCGCGAAGCAGTACGGGTTTGGTTCTCCAATGTGGGGAGCCACATCGATGAGCCGTATGCAGACGGAGCGTCTTAGGAATATGCAGACAAAGAGAGTGTCGTAGTTATGTTGTTAGTGGCTCAGTATACAGGAATGTGAGTTCATTCAAGTCCGCGTTCAAATTTAATGATTCAGTATGAGCATTCTCTTCACTCCATAAAGGAACATCACCTGAGAGTAGATCAAAGCTCTTCAGAACATCCATCCCAGCTCTCCATTCCTCGTCCTCGGTGTGCTGGGTAGCCAATGTAGCCAGCCTATCTTGATCGATAAGAGAGACATGAGATGGCGCTTTTGGTACCGTGGATTCTGTGCTTAATCGATGAGCTCCATAAGTAGAAGGTATGATGCAAGGAATGCTAGTATTTTGCTGAGGCAGAGAAGGCTCCAAAGAGAATTCGGCTCGGAGCTGGTCGATGATTTGCTTGACCTCGGCCGTTATAGTGCTAAGCATGTTTTCTTTGGCAACGCTTTGTGCCACGTGCGTCATAGCTTCCAGCACAGGATGAACGGTTTGAAGTATGGTAGGCAGATTGATTCCTCGTAATATCCTGCCATAATTGTTGTGGCCAAACTGCTTCAAGGCTCTTACTAGGAGAACAATGGCAAACGCAGTCATCGTGTGACAGTACGATGCTTGCCCAACAAGCGGGTCTCTAGGAGATGGATTGTTCCGCAATTGGTTGAGTATATCATAAGCGGAATCCACAGCCTTCTCGGCAATAATACGCCTTTGATCTGCCAAGAAACAGCAGTGCTCAACTACTGAGCTGGTCTCTCCCTTCATTTCCTGCTCAACCTGGAAAGTGAAAAAAGTAGGAACCGTGTCTTTCACAGTCCGGAACGCCATCGAGTGCAAGAACAGCTCCGCGTAAAGGCGCTGCCGATGCAGGTCGGTACGCTCGAAGACCTGTTCGCTAGAGAACTCGTGCACCCACGTCTGAAACCACGTTTCAATGTGGTGATGGAAACGAGCATGGAACGCTAGACCCAGCTCATCCAGTGGCGCATGCAAATCCGACCCAATCTCATCAATGGAGTCGTGGAGAATTTCCCACATTTTGACGAGAGCTACTAGTCGCGTGTCACTTCGATTCGTAGCCCACGGACAATTACTGAGCCACTCAACCGCACGTCGAATGACTTCGTGTTGTCGGGTCATAGGTGGTCGACGATAAGGTATAGAGCCCTGATGGTCGGCAATGTAGATTAGGTAGTACAATCGCGCTTCTTCGTACGCCATTTTCATCTGCACATTATCTCTCTCTGTACAGCGAGGTGAGCAACTCGCTCCTGAGGCTTTGTGATTCGAGCGATGCGTCATAGATTGTCGCTTTCGTCGCAGCAAAGGGGCGCTAGGTACCCAACGTGCGTAGCTCTCGTGCATATGCCTCTCGGTCACAATACGCACAGCTGTTCCTACTAGTGTCCAGCTCACTTCGTTGAACCAAAACGAACCGATCACCAAAGCACGGATGTCATCAAGCTTTTGGTGTCGACTAAATGGTTGGATAGCAGCTAGTCGGATATACTCTCGATACAGTTCTGGGTATTGTGTGTCATCTTCTGAAGATTGACGAGTATGCAGCGCAGCAGCGCATAATATCGCAACAAAGAGCAAATGAGACGAGCTTCGTACACTCTCGATCACTGGGAGTATTTTATGCTGAGAAGCACTGTCCAACGAGCCCCATGAGATCGCCGTCTCGTTGTGCATGTCCAGAAAGCCATGGACAGAGGCCACCAAGTCGCAAATATAGGGGTCGAGAACTTGGAAATAAAAGCAGAACAGCTCCACGGTTTGCCTGAGAGTGATTATGCCTCTCTGCAGGATATCAGGCCGCGTCACCGAGGACCCTCGATCTGGAGCCGTACTAGCCTGAGATAAATCCTCCAGAGACTCATATGATGTTGCATTGCTGCCTCTTGAATTCGTCTTGGGCTCTGCCATAGTGCAGCGTGTCGGCGCTCTGTCCGGTGTACAGTCTTGATTAGTTGGCGCTATTTGCCCTGCCAGGTCGAGGAGTCCCTCGGCCACAGACTGTGAATCATCATTGGAAAAGGAAGCATGCGATGCTTCACGCTGGACAGTGACACGTTTCCACGACGGTGTCTCAGACTCGGGCTGATGCGAGGCTATGCGGGACATGGTCGTGCTTATCTGGTGCAAATACGATCGCAACGAGGCCATCTCCTGCTCCATATCCTCACGCCAGATTTGCTGTTCCTCCAGCTGCGATAGCCAGTCTCGCTTGCGTCGCACACACGGTATGCCTTTTTTTGCACACCGTTGACATGGCTGAGCCTTATCTCGTCCGTCACATCGAAGCTGTGTGAGACTGTGCAATATCGTACTTTTTGTTTACGACAAGCATCGCACGCTATAATCCTCTTGCCTGCCATCACAGACTGGGTCGGCGTGATAGCTGCACCCATCGTGGAAACGTCGGCGACATACCGAGGGACTTGGCTGTTCTCTCCGGGCTTGAAAAACGTGGGCAAATCTCGCCAACCACTGACAAGAGAGTGTCGCCGATTATTTCGGCCAAGTCGCCGAGACTTGTGCACGTTCTCCACATTCTCATAATAGCTCAGAGATGTCACGAAAGACAGTCCATTGTTACATACTTAAAGAGTACTAAATATACGCTATGCCGAGCTAACTAATGTACTCCCGCAAGACGAGAGACGATGTCGGAATTGAGTCGGCCGTACCGCAAAAGGCCAAACTTGATTCTGGCTCAGTACTCATGGTAATATGGTCGGGCATAGCACTAGCCTCGGATGGATACAATTCCCAGGCCTTGGGCTCTGCCAATGCCATGTTTAAAAAACTATATGGGAGAGAATATACAGCCGAAATGCAAGGACGCGTCTCAAGTGCGTACTATGTAGGTCTTTGCTTAGGCTCTCTAGCCTTCGGCATGATGATTGACCATGTCTCACGCAAGGCAGGCGTGGTCCTTGCTACCTGCATTCTGATTGTGGGTGTTGCACTCTGTACAGGCTCATACTCAACGACACCGCATATGATGTTCTGTATGCTTGTTGTATCGCGTGGTATTCTTGGATTCGGTGCTGGTGGGGAGTACCCGGTATGCAGTACTGGTTCCACGGAGGCAGGCGATGAAACTCAAGCAGTGCGTAGGCATCGTGGTCTTATCGTGGGACTCGTCGGATGCACTTCCATTGATTTGGGTATCGTTTTTGGAGGGATTCTTCCTCTATGTGTTTTAGCCGGATTCGGATACACCAATGCAACGCCGCCAGATGAAACAATGCATCTGAGCGCATCTTGGCGCACCACGCTTGGCCTCGGGTGTATTATTCCAGCAACTGTCTTCATCTTCCGGTATCGTATGGCGAGCAGTACAGCATTTAAAAACCACTCCATGACTAGGAGCATAAATTTATCAGTGTACCTTTTGGCCCTAAAGCGGTACTGGCGTCGCCTCCTTGGCACCTGCCTGACCTGGTTTCTTTATGACTTCGTTGCCTATCCTTTTGGTTTGTTTTCGCCCAGCATTGTTGATGGTCTCCCTGGAAACAGCAACAACATCATTCTCTCGATCGGGTACAGCTCTGTAATCAACGCTTTTTTGATTCCTGGCTGCATCTTGGGCTCGCTCGCGTTGGACAAACTAGGGCGTCGCAATACCATGATGGCAGGATTCATCTCCCAAAGCATCGTTGCTTTTGTATTGGCAGGGGCTTTGAATCCTATTCAATCAGTTTTCCCTCTGTTTATCGTATTGTATGGGATCATGCTGAGTTGTGGTGAATTTGGTCCAGGCGTGACGACTCTCCTCGTGAGCTCAGAGTGTTTCCCTACACCTCTTCGTGGCCATTTCGTTGGTATATCTGCAGCTTTTGCCAAAGCTGGAGCAGCCATCGGTACAGTCGTATTTAATAGGATCATGTCAAGCTACGACAGTGAGAATTCAGGTTTGCGGGTGGCTGTATTTGTAGGTGCTGGGCTCTCTCTACTGGGTGCCTTCATCACAATTCTGTGCATTCCCAGCGACCATATTAGAAATCTACAACTGGAGGACCTACATTTCCGCCAATTCCTAAAGGATCATGGTATTACAGATGACGCATTTGATAAGACCATTGAATTTGATACAAATTCTATGAACTCCGATCTGAAGATATGAAAAGAGAAAATCATGCTTAAATCTTCTACAAAGAGTATATGGACTGCTCAAGAGAATTTTTATTTTATTTTTTGCACAACTGGGACTAAGTCTGTGAGCGTGGGAGAGAGAACCAAGTGATGTAGTAATCGAGCAAATGTAGACATGAATGAAATGCTAAATAAAAGGTGAACTGTGGAGTCTCCACGTACGCATGAACGTTACCGAACAAATATTGGGACAATTTCGGCGACTCTGCCGAACCAGAAGTGAGATAAATCAGAAAACTTACGCTCTCTCATAGCATGATATCTGCTTTACATTTGGTATAAATGGCTGAGGGAAACACATCTGCAGAGAAAAGCATTATTGAAAATGCTAAAACTCATGTGAGCTACATTTTCAAACTCTTGAAGGACCAAGGTCAAGGCGATTATTTGGGCGAAGCCATTTCACAGCTGGAACACTGTTTGCAAGCCGCATACCTTGCAGAACAGGAGGTGGACGATGATGAAATCATCATCGCTACGTTGCTCCACGATATTGGGCAATTTCTTCCTTTGAATGAGCTGGGTACGTCTGCAGAACGGATGTTCGATAGTGACTTGGGTGCCAATGTTGGTCGTGGCGGTCACGATACTCTTGGCAAAGACTGGCTGTTGGCTCATAATTGGCCTCAAAGGGTTGCTGATCTCGTTGGCGCCCATGTTATTGCCAAGCGGTAAGTCAAGCCTATTCTCACTTGCAGTTACCTCACTGCAACTCGACCGGAGTACTTTGAATCCTTGTCAGATGCTTCGAAAGCATCACTTCGGCTGCAAGGTGGCCCTTTTCTACCAGATCAACTGCAAGATTTCGAGCGAAACCCTGCCTACAGAGAAATGATTATGCTCCGACTATGGGATGATCAGGCCAAAGTAGTGGGGCTGGAAACTCCTCCCTTAGAGTACTACCAACAAATCGCAGAAAGAGTGCTCCTCCGATCCTGGGGCATCAATAATACTACTTCAAAATAGAACATGGCCTATGTCGATAGTCAGAAACCGAAGCAATACAGCTTTAGACTTTACGTGTCATACATGTAATCGACGGGCTACGGAATACAAGAAAAGCGCCAGTTCATTCCAGTGCGTGCTAGACAGTGTGTAAAGGTATGATTCTCTTTTTAAGAATCATTCCCTTACACACTTTGGCCATCCTATAGAAAAGGAAATCTGTGGGAATGAAAGAGAGATATCCACAACGCCGTGTCGCGGGTTTCATTTTGTGTGGACCCTGGCATGCTCCTGTTCATTGATCCCTGCGGCCACGTAAGCGTTACTCTTTCCAACCTCGAGACAGGCCACGAAAGTGAAATACACAAAGCCAGGACTGATGCATGCAAGCAGCTGCGACTGCCAGGCCTCTGTCTTCTGGAAGAATGTTCTTGGGAAGAGTTTTTTTTTTTTTAAAAAAAAAAACGTCTCATGTGCGAAAAAGAGTGGAACAAGCCTCTCATTCAAGGGAGGCTATCTGACCTCGTGAACCACTGCGATCCTATTTGTGACTGCTGGGTCTCCTTTCAAGTGTACATCGCTCTACACCACAGCGGCAGCTATATCAAACCCGGTATGCGTGTACCTGTATCTGATGAAGACTGGCGCTTTTTGTATCGGAATGTGACACTAATCTCACCCCAATGCGGAAGGAGAGAGATCCTCCACGGTGACGAGAAAGGAGCTTAAATTCATGCAAAAAGATTGTCCCTGAAAGAGAAAACGCGCTTTTGAAAGACATGCGAATGTTTATGCCACTGTGGTGGAGGAGAGCTGCACGTCTGTAGAGTTTTTTTCCCCTTGCTCGCTAAATCTCACACCGCCTTGATTGACAGAGGGTAAAGTGAGAGATCACAACAACGAATCGCTGGGTGCTGGTATGAAAGGGTCCAAATTCACTCACGCATAGACACTACCTTGTTGCGAAGAACGTCTCGCTATAGACGTTACCAAAGACCATGTATAAATGAGACCTTTTTTACCTGTTCATCTTTGTGTTCCAGTGGGGTGACCACGTGGGAACTCTTCTTAAGTGGATCTTACCCGTCATGGCCTTATCGCTCCATTGCCTTCGCTCACCATCATTCCATCATCTGGCATGTCACAGTCGGAGAAAGAAGGTCGGCCATATGGCCTAGTGCGCCGATTCTTCTTTGTCAATATAGTGGCTCTGCAATTTGGTATTGACAGCACACTATGGCTACCTACCGTGTACTCGTACGTTGCATCCCTCCATGATACCCGAGTATCGTACTATGTTAGTATGGCACAATTTCTCTCGGCTGCAGTGCAGTTTGTTACTTCCATGCTGATTGGTCCCATTGTCGCGTACTTCGGTGCTAGCATCAAATGGGGCATCGTCGTCCTGGTATTTTGCTCAGCCGTGGGAAACTTTATCTACTCGTGCGCTGGCCGACATGCCATCAGCTCTGTATGGGCCATTGTTGGTGGTCGTCTCATATGTGGTATAGCCAGTGGATCCACAGCATTGGCTATGGCCTATATCGTGAGCTCGTCGACGTTAGACGAGCGCCTCCCTGCCCTTTCATTGTATCGTACCTTTGGTGGTATTGCCTTCGTAATCGGACCCCTACTTAGTGTGGTCCTTACCCTGTTCACATTTCATATCGGTCTTTTTGCTGTAAGCCCTAATAATGCATCCACCTTCGTTGCCTCCGGCATCTTCCTCTGCTTGTCCATCGTTACAGCGCTGGGCTTGGCAGATAAAAAGGCAACACAGCTCAATTTTGTGACTTATCTCACGAAGCACTCTGAAGAGCTCTTTCAAAATGGCACGGAAGTATGGCTCATGCCGTTTTACATGCTTTTCTTTCTCTTTATCTCGGCCTTCCTTATGGCAGGAGTACAGTTTATCATGTCTGATTTACTGCGCTCCCCCGACCATTGGGGTTTAAACCTTACACTTATTTCGGGCTTGCAAGCCATTGTATTCTTTTTCGCATTATTTGGGAGTCTCTTCGCTGAATCTTTTCGAAAATTCATTGCACAAGTTCTAGGCAATGTGTCAAAGGCGTATGCTGATCTTATTTCTTCGCCGTTGACAGACAAATCAGCTGCTCATGAAAAAATCGTCGCATCTGTACTGCCAGAGATTGTATTATCATCGATATCATTCGCTGGATCCATAATAGGCGCCATCTTGGTAATTGTAAGCCTGTCTATTTACCAAGCAGGGGACCACGACAAGGCAGGGTCGGTGGTGTGTTTCTTGCTCGGTTGCATATTATCGATGCTCGCCTACAACGTCCAGGCCGCATCGCTACCGTCACTGTACTCTAAAAGTATACCTCCCAAGCTCCGTGTTATTATGACCCCGTGGTACGGCGCTACAGTGGCGTTAGGCAAACTTGCTGCGCCGCCCATCATCGAAGCAATTGGATCTTCTCGCACGTCCAACAGCGGCTGGATCGGGTCGCAAGCCCTTTGCATCGGTGTGGCCATAGTGGGAGCTGCTTTACTGTACTTGTCTCGACGCACCCTACTAAGAACAACTCTCCTTCATAATGCATAGAGCTCTCTCTAATTCAGCGTACGCATACATAAAATGCGTCTCTTCTCGCTTGTAGTACGCATACCTCCACATCATCGTCGCTATGAAACCGCGCATCCTCGTAGTGAACCCCAACGCGACAGAGGTATGTGTCGGGTCGAGACTGACTTTCTCCAGAGCTTTACCGATGGTATACGCGAATGTCTTCCTCAGCATCCCGATATTGACTATGACTTTTACACTGCTCCCTTGGCCACAGCGCCTCTATCCATTGAAGGTGTCTATGACAGCATTGTAACCGCCAATGCGTGTTTGCAAGATCTGAAAGAAAGGCTTCACCAATGGGACGGGGTACGTTCACTAACACTCACATTAGTTCGTCGTTGCTTGCTTCTCTGCACACCCCCTAGCGCATGCCCTGCGTGAACTTACCAGCGCTCCGGTCGTGTCGATTCTAGCAGCGCCGATATTGATAGCCTCTACCTTGGGCGGCAATCCTGCTATTATCACTACATCACCACGATGGGTCCCGCTCCTTACGCACGATATCCATACACTGGGCCTCAGTGCTTTGTGCAAGCATGTCGTTTCGTCTGGTATGGCGGTCCTCGACTTAGAGCGGTTGCCTCGTGAAAAGGTCATTCAGACGCTCAGCACAATTGTACGTGATGAACTCGTTGGTTGCCGCGAAGCCGACGTCATCATTCTCGGATGCGCAGGCATGGCAGGTCTCGAGGAGGCTATTCAGCAAGACTGTGGCGATGGCATTGTCGTGCTAGACCCTGTTCGCTGCGCGGTCGAGATGTGTGCTATGGCGCTACGTATGGGCACTAGCACAGCAAAGCGGGGATTGTACGCTTCTGCTATGGCGCCGGCGTCCTCTGCTTGAGTCATTAAAATAATGGTCTGAGACCTTATCTTCTCCACACTCAGCTCCCTCGTTCTCTCAAAAATAAATCTCTCTCTAAAATCGACTAGCGAATCAGACGCCGTATTCTACGATGCGCATATCCTTATCTCCTCTCTTTGCCGCCCACCCAAGGCTTGGTGCACCCACTGCCTCTTCCGATAGTGTAAGATTCTGCGTCTCTTTACCATCTTTCTTCCAGGATGCAGCTCAGAACACTTGTAAAACGACTCGAAACCGAACATCCAGAGGGGATGACTCGTGGCGAGCTCTTTCTTGCCAATGAAGACCTCTTGCCCGTCGAAGAGAAGAAAAAGACTTGGACGCATTTGAGTTTCGTAGCGTTCTGGATTGCGGACTGTTTCAACTTGAACACCTTTACCATTGCTGGCTCTATGATCATGTCTGGCCTAACATGGTGGCAGGCGTTTATCTGCGTGATTATCGGCTACACTCTGGTGGGCCCACTTGTCGTGCTCAATGCGCGGCCTGGTGCTGTGCATGGCCTAACATTCCCGGCAGTGAATCGTACGACCTTTGGTATCTTTGGCTCATTATGGCCTGTCATCAACCGCGCCGGTATGGCTTGCATCTGGTGGGGTGTCCAGGCATGGTTGGGTGGAGAGTGCGTGTATATCGTGCTTCGCGCCATTTGGCCATCGACCATCAACATTCCCAACATCATGTCGCCCGCCTCAGAGACGACGTCTGCATACATTCTGAGCTTTTGCATATACTGGATCCTCTCGCTTCCCACCATCTGGGTCCCGATCCACAGACTCAAGTGGCTTTTCTACGCCAAAGCCATCGTGGGCCCCGCGGTAGGCTTCGCCCTCTTCGGCTGGACCATTCGTCGTGCCGGTGCCAGCAACGTGTTTAGCAATCGCGCCGATCAGATCCCCATCTCAGATTCTGGCAAAGTGCCTCAAGTGCTCTCGGGCTCAGCTCTAGGTTGGGCGATGCTGCGGGCCATTTCGTCGACGTTCAACAACATGTTCACACTGATCGTCAATTCGCCTGACTTTGCGTCGCGCTCCAAGACACCTGGCGCAGCTGTATGGCCCCAGCTGATTGCGTTGCCTGTTGGCTTTACGATCACATCGTTCATCGGCATCGGTATTTGCCGCGCTTCAGGCTTCATCCTGGGCGAGCAATACTGGGACGTTTTAAAAATCATGGACAATCTGCTCGTGCACGACGGCACAGCAAGCCATACCACCCGTGCGGGCGTCGCTATCATTGGCTTGGGCTTTGTGTACGTCCAGTTGCTCATGAACGTAGCGGCCAACTCCATCTCGGCAGGCTGCGACCTCACAGCCCTTTTCCCTCGCTTCATCAATATCCGCCGTGGCGGTTATGTGGCTGCCATCATCGGCATATGTATGAACCCATGGACGCTCTTTACCTCCTCCAGTACATTTACAACGTATCTTGGCGCATACGGTGTCCTGCTCTCGTGCATTGCTGGGCCCATGATCGCCGATTACTGGCTGGTCCGTCGTGGTCACTATCGCATCGCTGACTTGTACACATTGCGAAGGGACGGGTGGTATTGGTATACCTTTGGCGTAAATTGGCGTGCGTACGCTGCGTACCTTGCCGGCTTCGCCATCAATGCGCCAGGGTTCATCCACACAGTCAATGAAAAGATCCAGGTCTCTGTCGGCATGCAGCGCGTGTATTACTTGTCGTGGATTACTGGCACTGGCGTGTCTGCCCTCATATACGTCCTGTGCTGCTTTATCGCGCCTCCAGCAGGTATGAACCGCTACTTTATGGACGTCGACGAGTCAGAGTACTTCACTGAGTATGTTGGCGAAGAATCACTTCATCAGACCGACTCCTGCGAGTACATCGATGACAAGCCTACGACAGACATGATGGCCTTTTAAAAATGTATGTATTCTAATTCATAAATCCCAAGTCTCGTTTCTCGCTAAACAGCCCCTTTGACCCCTTCGGACGCTGCCAAGTTGCACTGGCGGAAAATTCGTACTTCTTTGTCAGAAAATGCGCCGACGACAGTGTGTAGGACACCTCGGTTATGGAAGAGGACCAAGTCGCCTTCCTCCCAGTCGTGGGGGTAGACGTACGATGGGCTAATGGCAGGACGTTGAAGATTGTATACAATCTCCCGCACTTCACGAAGATCGTCGATGACACTTCCATCTTTCCGATGAATTTTGCGCATAGCGGAAGGATGGATTTGTACAGCCAGCTTGCCTGTGAGGGGGTTCTTCCATACCATCGGCAGAATCTGGATTTTGTCCGCCTCAATCGGCGGTAGCTCCTCCTTTTTCAACTCCAACCCTTCACTGTGAAGACCTAATCCCGTGGAGAGCGAGCGGCACTTGCCCATCCATACATAGGGATGCGGTGCATATTCGACCTTGCTCTCGCGCACAAACGCCTTCTCATCCTCACTGAGCCTTTCGTACATCGTCTCTCCACTCACAAAAGCAGTGGTCCCTAGTGGCACGTCCAGCGTCTCCCCTGTGCCATCATCATACAACAGCGTCTGCCGACGGCCTGCAGGTACTGACACAGCTAGGAGCGTGGTTACTTTGGGTGGGTGTCGGCCGTACAAGGCAGCATCAATGTGCCACCGATAAAAGCGCGTATAATCTAGATCTTTATCTTCGGGAATCCGGTCTTTATGAAACGTACGGTGGTGCGGATGCCTAAGTGTGATATCCTTTAGCCCCTCAAACTCTTTCACAAAGCCATGGCCAATCACCTGCACTTGGGGCTGGTGGGGGATGGTTTTCAAGTCCGGATGCAAAATACTCTTCGCCGTGCTTGATACATCCGTTCCGTGGCCGTAGGTGTCGGATGCGGGGTCAAATCGCTTCGTTAGCTCGTACTGCGTCTTGGGCGTGACGTGGCCCTGGTTCTTGAATACAAGCACTTGGTGCTTGTACAGTCCATCGTGAATCACCTCAAACTGCTCGTCCGTCAAGGTCTCTAGATCCACATTTTCGACCAAGGCGCCAAAGTTGATGTGGCTTCCGTCAGGCTGTGAGAGTGGCACAATGCGTACATTCGATGCCATGGTACAACGGGGAACAGGGTAGGCGCACTAACTTTAATATACTCCACAGTGGAGATAAGACGTATGAGTCTTATCTGACGCTGACACTTATCGTTCCCTCAAACGCATGGCTATCTGCCAAGATGTGGCAGGAGCTAGATAAAGGCATTCAGCACTTTATGGCTTTCTTCTCATCTCTCCTGAAGCCTTGGTCGCCATGAAGACGACATGGCTCAAAAAGTTAGAGACGCGGCATCCTGAGGGCATGTCAAATGCCGAGCTGCAAATCGCCAATGAAGATCTCTTGCCGATGGCCCCGGAGAAGCGGACATGGACACATCTTAGCTTTGTCAACTTCTGGATCTCAGAAGGGTTCAACCTGAATACGTTTACAATGTCATCTACGCTTGTGGTGAATGGCCTGACATGGTGGCAGGCCTTTATCTGTGTCATTGTTGGTTATGCGCTCGTCGGGCCCTACTTGGTCCTGAATGCACGGCCCGGTGCTGTCTTTAATATCAAGTTTCCCACTGTGTGTCGAACCACCTTTGGCATGTTTGGATGCTATTGGCCCATCATCAACCGTGCTGGCATGGCCTGTATTTGGTCAGGCGTCCAAGCATGGCTCGGTGGCGAGTGTGTTCATGTCTTTCTACGTTGCATTTGGCCCTCTATCGACTCCCTTCCAAATATCATGTCGCCTACCTCCCAGACTACCTCCGCCTATATCTTGTGCTATGTGATCTATTGGATTTTAATGCTCCCCACGATCTGGGTGCCACTGCATCAGCTTCGCCACCTTTTCACGGCGAAAGCCATTGTCGGCCCAATTGTTGGCTTTGCATTGTTTGGATGGTCCATTCACCGTGGGTTTAAGAGCGATGGCGTGGCTAGCAACTTTTTCCATCGGCCCTCGGATCTCGCTGGCTCGGCTCTTGGCTGGCAGATGACGCGTGGCATTGCCCTGGCCTTCAATAACCTCTTTCCCCTGATTATCAATGCGCCAGACTTTGCCTCGCCTGCGAAAAGGCCTAGCGCCGCTGTATGGCCGCAGCTGATTACACTACCACTGGTATTTGCTGTCACCTCGCTGATCGGAATTGTGATTGCCGCGTCTGCGCAGGCGCAATTTGGGGAAAAACTCTGGGATGTCGTCAAGATCATGGATCGTATGCTCGACTTTGATCAAAGTAGCTCCACACGCGCCGGCCTGGCCTTCATCTCTCTCGGGTTGGTGTACGTCCAGCTCCTGACGAACGTCGCAGCCAACTCGGTGTCGGCCAGGTGCGATCTCTCTGCCTTGTGCCCACGCTTCATCAATATTCGTCGTGGCGGTTACTTTTCTACCCTAATCGCGATTGTTATGAACCCATGGCTTCTCTACACATCCTCGTCGCAGTTCACTTCCTACTTGGGTGCCTTCAGTGTTCTGCTTTCCTGCATTGCTGGCCCTATGATTGCAGACTACTGGCTGATCCGACGTGGTCATATGAATGTAGCGCATCTGTATTCCCTCGACAAGCATGGCTGGTATTGGTACACCTTCGGTATCAACTGGCGAGCCTATGCAGGATACTTTGTGGGCTTTGCCATGAATGCGCCCGGGTTCATCAATACGGTCAACCCCAAAATCAGTGTGCCTGTGGGTCTTTTGCACGTATTTGACCTCGCATGGTTTACAGGCACAGGGGCCTCAGCGTTGGTGTATGTGGTCTGCTGTTATCTGTTCCCTCCACCTGGCATGACATCTCATTTCAAGGAAGTGGATGTCTCCGACTTTGGCTACGAATTTCAGGGAGCCTACAACTACGGCACGCAAGGCGAGGCCTTCGAATCCATGCTTGAGCCGCTGCCGGACCATGCCAAGACCGAGTCACCGGCCGAAGAAAAACCGGCTATCAGCGTGGAAGACTTTCTTCGCGATAAGGAGGTGTGAATGTACATAGGGATGGGAGTTATGCAATTATTTCAAGATCATCGAGGGGCGCGATAAGCTGTAGTCCCTGATAAGGCACCAAGGCCACCCCATGCGGGTCTCTTCTACGCCTTTGACAGCATGGTGGTGACCCAGTTACCATGGGAGGATCTTTCCAAGATGGATCAGATGCCTATGCCGAAAAACAAGGCGTTGCTTCCTGATGCAAAGGAACGTCTGTCGCAATTGGCGGAGCGAATTCATGAGGATATTCGCACTACGAGCCATCACGCGGATTGGATTCCTCGCTTTTCAAATGGTCCTGTCCTTGATGTGCTTATCATTGGAGCTGGACAGGCTGGTTTAGGCGTGGCGTTTGCCTTGCAGAGAGAGCGAATTGATCAGGTCCTGGTCGTCGATCAGGGCGACGATCCCTACCGAGTAGGCCCATGGAAACGGTATGCTCGAATGCACACCCTGCGCAGTCCCAAACGCATGAAAGGGATTGAGATCGATGTGCCCAGTCTGCATATCCAGCGGTGGTTTGAGGCGTGCTATGGTAAAGATGCTTGGCTTCATACAGATCTGGTGCCACGCATGGACTGGAACGATTACTTGGTGTTCTATCGATGGGTCACAAACATCGATGTACGTTTCCGCACACGCGTCATAGCCGTACATCGTCCTATCGACGCGGAAGGCCCTTTCGAAGTCGACATGTGTGAATCGGGGAACGAACACCATCAGCACAAACTCTATGCCCGTCGTATTGTGTTTGCCCTTGGCCTCATTGGCGGCGGCGGGTCGTACGTGCCACCGATGATCGCTTCGCTACCCAAAGAAAAGTGGTTCCACTCGGAGGAAGAGCTGGACATGGCCTCGCTACAGCACAAACGCATTGCTGTGCTTGGCGGCGGCGCGTCAGGCTTTGATAATGCCGGCTCAGCGTTGGAGGCAGGCGCCAAAGACTGTGTCGTATTCATGCGTCGTAGTGAAGTGCCTAACAGCAACCCACTGCGCCGGATGGAATTTCCTGGCATGCAAGAACATTACTACGATCTAGATGACGCATCCAAGCTCGAGTTTACTCTATTCAACGGCGGCTTGCCTCAGCCACCGACGCAGCATACTATCTGGCGCTGCTTTGAACACTCCAATTTCCAGTTGCGCATGGCGGAATCTTGGGAGAAGATCGAAGAGCAGGACCACGGCCTTGTTATCCACACACGTACGCAGGCTGGCGACTCGTTGCAGTACAATGTGGACGTGATCGTGGCGGCAACGGGGTACACGGTCAACCTCTCTCTCCGCCCCGAGTTGAAAGAGTTCCTAGACGACATCCAGCTGTGGTCCGAGGCGTATCCGCCCTCGGCCACGACGCCCGCGAAGGATAATCCCTACTTGGGCTCTGGATTTGAGTTTACGCCTCGTGACGCTTCAAAAGCCCCATGGATTGCTCGGCTCCACCACTTTTCTACCGGCGCACGTACGTCCATGGGTGTAACTGGCAATCAGCTCTCTGGGATTTACGGTGGTCTGAAGCGTATGGCTTGGTCCATCGCAACGTCGATCACCAAAGAAAACTGGCCCATTCTTATGACAGAGTTCCGTGCTTTCCAGCACATTGAGGTCACCAATGTCGGCCCTCATGGTGAACATGATCGACCGTATGCCAGTCAGCCACAATACTGTGGTGAATGTACCATTCTTTCCAACTAGATAGTTTGCCTTACGAGCCTCGGTAGGTACTATATCCAAACGGCGACAAAATGAGGGGGACATGGTAGTGAGATGAGGGATTTGCCACGTAAAATGCCACATCCACTCGTGGGTAAAAGAACTCTGACACATGCTGGCTCTCAAAGTAGGCAGCTGTATCAAAGATCATATGGTACACGCCCTGTGTGAGGTGGACATCTGCAAGGGAAATTGTACGTCCATCTTCGTTAGTGACACCTTCCGCCACTTTTTCTTGTTTCGCATCCGTAAGAACAAACGGGACACCCACAGCAGGGCGTCCTTGCTTGGTGTCCAGTACGTGGGTCGAAATGGTCATACGAAAGGAACCTGGCGTGTGGAGCATCATTGCTTATCTATCAGCGCACGTGGAGTGATAAACCTTGCTGGAAACTGCGTCGGCGTACCTACGCCTGCTCTTCCATCATGCCCTTCATCCCGATCGCGGATGTCAAGGCGGAAGCGCTCAAGTCGCGCACTGCAGAACTCTCGTGTGCATCACTGGGAGGTCACGTCCTTTCATTTTCCGACGAATGGTTCGCCGAAGCGACCAATCTCATTAAACCTGGTCCTGCTGAGTCCTTGGAGGGCCAGTTTGGTCCGAACGGCGCCTTGTATGATGGCTGGGAAACACGACGTCATAACCCTACGTACGATTGGGTCATATTGCGGTTGGGGCCCAACGGCGGCAGCTACATTGCCGGCTTCGATGTGGATACAAGCACATTCAATGGCAACGAAGCGCCGACCGTTGAGATTTACGGCGCTAACACGGAGGATGCTTCCCTGGCGTCGGATGATCAACGTGTACGTTCATGCAAACTAATCCAAAGTGGGAGCTACTTCTTCCCCAAACCCCTTGCGGACCTGCTGCCCATCATTGGTTTGAGCAGGACGACGGCCAAGTCACATCGAAGAGCTACACTCACATCAAGCTGCATATGATCCCTGATGGTGGTATCTCACGGTTCCGTGTGTTTGGCACTGTGAACACGCCATCGGTGGGGCATGCAGTGAGTGAGGTGACTGCGGATGACAAACCGGAACTCAACACACTCGATTTAGCCCATGTCCTTAACGGCGGCCGTGTTGTTTTGTACGTACTCTCACCCTAACCTTAGCACCAATGACCAGCACTTTGGCGTGGGATCGAACCTTATTCTCCCAGGCCGAGGAAAGGATATGGGTGATGGATGGGAGACCAAGCGATCGCGTGTGCCCAACCACCGCGATTGGGTCGTGATTGAATTGTATGTATAGGACGCGCTCACTGGCCAGGGCTGAACCAGGTGTTTTGGACCGCATCGAAGTGGATACACTGCACTTCCTAGGCAATTTCCCGGAGAGTTTCCAGCTTTGTGGCTGCGATTATAGTGGCAAGGACCTGGTCCCCCCTGCGCACGACGAGCTAGAGTCCAAGCAATGGCATCCAATTGTGAGTCGCAGCAAGCTGGGACCGGGCCGTATTCATGCTTTTGACGTGCTGGATGATGCCAAGAAGCGTGTCACTACGCATGTCCGTCTCACGATTTTCCCTGATGGAGGTATCAAGCGTCTCCGTGTCATAGGCCGCCGTGTGCGTGCCTTGCAAAAGGCAGGTATTGACATTTCGTCCGCTTCAGCGTTGGCCGCCCTCCCTGCCTGCGCGTTGCCTTCGACTACCAGCACACAGCCTGTCATTCGTGAAGCTGATGAACTCTCGCCACAGTCCTTTGCAGCGTATGGCCAAGTACTCTTTGTCCCGGATGCCGAGACCATTCCCCCTGGTGGCGTGAAAACAGTGAATCAAGGCACTGCGAAAAAGTACTGCGAGCTTGCGCATGTAGTCAATGCGTATCCGTCCAGTGAGAACATCAACACGAACATTCATGTGTATGTGAGCACTCCACGGGCGCCTCGTACGTCGCTTCTGCCTTTCCCTGTGAGTGTGCTGGAGCGACACCAGTACACTACGCAGTTGTTCTTCCCGATTTCGAGTCCGAATGGCGCTCGTGCATCGGGTCAAGAGGGCTACCTTGTCATTGTAGCATTGCCAGGCAACGATGGACAGCCTGACCTCCAGACACTCAAGGCGTTCTGGACCGAGTCTGATCAGGGCATTTCGTACCATCCAGGTGTATGGCACCATCCTTTGGTCGCTACAGGCACTACTCCTACATCATTCGTGTGCGTTGTAAATGAATGTGCATCACAGCCCAAGTTGGACTTGGACGAAGTATTTTATCACTGAGTAGGCGGGTGTGTCTTGCGCCAGTGCTCAGCGATCTGCTGTCGCGTAGCAACCCAGACGCCACTGCCTTCTGCCTCCAGCTCGGCCTGGCGGCGTTTGACATAGCCCAAAAAGCGGCGCAGTGCCATCGCACGCGCCGGACGCCCGACAATACGGCAATGGAGACCAATGGACATCATCCGTGGCGACGTAGCTCCTTCAATGACTAGGGTCTCAAATGCGTCGACCATGTACTGGTAGAATGACTCACTGTTAAAGAACCCTGGCGTATTGCAGAACTTCATGTCATTCACATCCAGTGTATACGGAATGACCAGCATATGCTCACCCATGGTGCCATCTGGCGCAGGCACATAGTAAGGCAGGTCCTCATCATAGGCATCAGACTCATACAGCTCTTTGTGTAGACCCCGTTTCTTGTACTCTTCGTACACAATTCGGCGTGTCTGAAGTGATTGACGACCCGTGTACCAGCCGATCGGTGGCTGGTGCGTAGGACTCGCTTTTTGAATAGCATCAATTGCCTTGTTAACATGCTCACGCTCCTCTTCTTCTGGCATTTTGGAGTGGTCAATCCATCGGTAGGCATGGCTAGCGACCTCGCAGCCTGCTTCCTGCATCGCGCCCACCACCTGCGGGTTGTGTTCTACAGCGCGACCCACCGACCAGGACGTAAACACAAAATTGTGCTCGCGGAAAAGGTCAAGCACACGCCAGAAACCACGATGTGAGCCATATTCATAACAGGACTCAATGGAGAGGTTCCGAAGTCCCTCCGGCGGTGGGCCACTAGGCGGCCCAAACTCTGTCAGATACGCTTCGGCACGGGCATCGCCTTCCAACGGCGAGTTCTCACCGCCTTCCTCGTAGTTGAGCACAAACGAGATGCACACTCGTGCATTGTTGGGCCACTGTGCGTGTGGAAGCGTGCGGCCGTAGCCGACGAGATCACGCGTTTCGTGAGGAGAGTATGGCATAAGGTAAAACCCTGCTGCGCCAAGACCAACTCTTATCTTTGAGGCTTATCTAATTAAGAGGGGGGACATCTTCTACATTGCAAAACAGTGATTTAATGCGCAAGCGGAGGTGGAACAGACAGGGAGCCAAAGGCAATGGTCGAGTTGGGAATACCACCAGCGTTGCCGGAAATAGGGAAACCTTGCATCTTGCACTGATCTTTTAGGACCTTGGGCACATGCAGGGATGAAGCTTGATCAGGAGCCTGGATCATGAGCATCGCCATACCAGCTGACAGGTGCCAGTCCATATGACAGTGCATAATCCATGCGCCAGGGTTGTCGGCACGGAAACGGATCGTGACACTGCCACCGCTGGGCACAGCTACAGTATCACGTCGCACAGGGTTCTTCTGGTTCTCACGCAGTGGTGGATTCTTCTTTCGGTCCATGGTCCGAAGATCGCTTACCTTATTTACCACTTGGAACTTGGTACCGTGCAGATGGAATGGATGCTTGTCCTTGGAGAAGTTAAGAATAACCATTTCGACCATCTGCATATGCGATGCCACAACTGCATTGGAGTAGGGGCCATACGACGCAGCGTTTGTAGCATACGACGGAGGAAGTGTGGTCATACTCAAAATGGAAGGTGTCAAAGGCGGTACAAAGGTTTTGTTGTTGAACGTGCCACGAACAATGCCATCCTCGTACATGGGCATTCCTGCAATCATATTGACAGACATATCAGCCTCAACCATCGGAACCACGTCGACGGGCTTCAACCGAGTCTCATCAAAGAGCAGCTCGTATGAATCCACTGTAGGCCTGTCAGATCCCATCTTGGCTGTTCGATTTCCATACGAAATAGTGCTAGTCAGATTTAATGACAGCGACGATCGTGGCGGGAACATCGATGGGTCCATATTCGCATGCATCTTCCAGTTGTGCGACGTTTCATTCCGAGCTTCCACTAGGATGGAATACCGTTGACCAATGGTGATCTGGAGTGTATCGATAGGATAGGGTTCTACATCCACACCATCCACTTCAATAATGCTCATTTTATGGCCTTCCAGCCATACATTAAACATGGACGCAGCAGACATGTTGATGACTCGCAAACGATACTTCTTGCCAGGTTCGAATGGCAGTGTGGCATTCTCGTTGAATCCGTCCAGATACTTGGCCTCCTTTCCAGCTTTGGTATGCGCAAAGTACATCAATCCAGATGATGGGGTAGGATAGGTACCATTTGGCTTTAAGTACACATGCTTCACGAGATAATGGTGTTCGTGACGATACCAGTCTGCCAGAATAACTGTATAGTCGTCATCGTATTGGTGTGGTTCTCCTTCACTGTTGTGGATAATAAAAGGAAAACGAAGACCATCCACGTACTGGCCCTTGTAATGCCCATGCATCCAGTACGTGCCAGTCTCTTTCTTTGTGGCAGTCGAACCATGTGGCGAATTCAAGATCTCGTACGGGTACATTTGCCCATCCGGTACAGGGCATTGAGCAACGCCAGCTGCACCGTCAAAATAATTGGTACCGTTGTAAAGCAAGCCATGCGCATGCAGCGTAGAGACAGTACCATCCCCGAATGTGTTCCTGTAATTGACTTTCAAAATGTCGTTGGACATCACAGAGACGGGCGCAGGCGGCCATTGTCCATTAATTCCAATAGCCCGGCGCGAAAACTGGCCATCCAAATTCACACCATCAATCCAACTCACATTGAAATCCAGCGTAATATCTTTTCCCTGCACCTGCAGCACAAGAAATGCAACTAGGATCAGCACGACCCACATCGGTACTACTTAGAAAGGGGGGGAGATCAAGGATGATCCTTGCATGTGTGCTTTGACACCGTCAGGCTCAAGGCATGCTCTCACAATTTCTATATATTCCGTGTTTCATTGGTTAATGTCATTTCTTACACGGCCTCTCATGCAGGTACCATATTCCCGTTGGGCTTTTTAGACCGTATAAGAGGGCTTTTTTACCGCACGCACACTGCATATAATGGAGGAACGTGACAAGAATTTCTTCTATTTGAATTACGCTGCAACGCGTTGCGAGAGAAAATCTTTCTGAATGGACAGTGAAAGAGAGCAAATGCGTCCTAGTAATAAATTACACGGATGTCCGTCGACCAGTTTAGCCAATAAAATTTTGTTTATTTGGTATAATCTCTCTCTTTTTCGCTTAGAAGGCTACGACTGTGTCAACGCTTAGTCAATGCACCCGTGCCGGAGTCTATTTCCATAAAGGCGAATGATTCCCCGGACGTGCCTGTTTTCTAAAGTTGGTTGGCTTCGTTAAAAATAGACTCTGTCCTCCGTTCAATAAAATACTGTCACTATGCGCATGTGAACCAGGGTTTTTTTTTCACCGAGTTGATTGACGTCTCTCCGAGTAGTAACGCAAGCACCATCTTATGGCATCATCACTGTCTTCGACTAGACCATGTCCTAAAGCGGATTCATGGCGCTTTAAGGATCCCGCAGAGCTGGACTGGATTCAACGTCTCCTAGCTAAGCGTGTATCCTTTCTACCACGCGAGTCTGAGTATACTATCCCTAAGCGAACAGGCAAAGTTCCCGTGGTATCGCTATGGAAAGAGTTTAAAGATCTTGGTCCCTATATTATTGTGCCATCACTTGCCCGCTTACTATATATGAAGTGGACAGGTAATACAGTGCATCCAGTCCTTTGGTATATGATGCTTGTCGTACACACTAATTATTTCTTCCGCTATATGCAGAAACGAAACAGATCCAAAATCCTCAAATACGGTTACCTGGACGCTAATGTGCCGCGCGATACAGTGCCAGAAAGTATGACAACCAAATTCTTTTACGAGATTTTAGCTGGTGTTCTGGTCAGACCTCTCTTTTTCTTTTTACTTGCCTACGACCGTGCCTCTGTCCCGCAAATCACAGTTTGGCTTCCTGTACAGCTTTTCTTCTTCACTTTAATTATGGATTTCATCTATTACTGGGTCCATCGCGCCACGCATGAAGTGGAATGGCTTTGGAAGTTCCACCAAAAGCATCACACGACGAAACATCCATGCCCGTTTTTGCTGGCATATGCGGACGAAATACAGGAAGTCTTCGATCTCATTGGAACCCCTTCTCTGACCTATGCGCTATATCCCGTACCTTTCGATGTTTTGTACATCTGGTCGCTTTTCCTTGTTGCTATTGAGGCCATGGGCCATTCAGGCGTGCGGTTGTATTTCCCCGGCCTGCTCACTTTTGGCATCTTGCGTCCCGTTGAATGTGATATTACTGTGGAAGACCATGATTTGCACCATCGATATGGCTGGAAGCAGAGCTATAACTACGGCAAACAAACTATGCTGTGGGATCAGCTCTTTGGAACAAAGGCGGAAAGGCTGGAGACGTCGTATGACAATGTGGATTGGAACAATGTTTGTGATGTATAATGTCTTTTGCTAAAAGGCCTTGTTGTATGGATAAAATTTCTCTGTGGACCGTGGACACATGCATTTTACTCGATTCTGATTGAAACATAAATATGAATATGTATGTCTAGCCAAATTATTTGATAGAATGAGAGTTCCCTCAACTCTCAACCCTATCACAAAAATTGCTAATTTTTGCTTAGTGGGCGGCTGTAACATTGACCACGTGTGAATTCTCTTTGGTGCTTAAACCTTATAGAATGAGGACAGGCACGCCAAGGATTGGCATCCTTATTCCACGTTCCTTGTCTCCACATTCTTCCTGGGGCACGTTCAGATTTTGCCCTACATGGTTCAGTGCATGAGTTGTATAAGTAATCAGTGTAGGATGCGCCCGCTATGACCTTCGCAGCGATGCGTTTCTTTATTGTTGGTATCATTGCAAGCATTCTCGGTGCCACAACGGCTCAGAGGATCTTCGGGACACCTACTCCCAAGGTGGAAAATGCACTCACCGAGCGTCTCTTCCCTGAGCTTATTCAATTCTGGAAAGCATCAAACTTCACTTGGCCTAAGGAAGCTCTTTCTTCTATGCAGCAGTTAGCTGCAGACAGGAAGAACCGTATCCAGCAGAATGCACGCTGCGACCCTCTTCCTCTATGCATAGTTCAAGCTTTGAACATGGCCTCTGAGGATGAAGCGAAAATTACTGAGGCTTTTCATGTTGCTCACGCACCGCAGTCACTACTGGATATCTGGCCACGCTATGTGGAATCCATTCGTTACATGTTCGCTGTCTATGGAAATGGAACAGCTTCTCGTTCTGAGGAAGATTCAATGCTGTACAACCCCAAGAAAGCGGACTGGGAATACTACATTACGGGATATGCAGACTATCTCGGCTCCAAGTACTCGGGATTCGTCCTTCCACCTTTCGACTACATCCAGACGGCCATGACACTACTTGATGTGAACGACCGTACCAATGCTGTCTGGTTCAAAGATCTTTGGCAACAACAGAATGCAGGTGCACTGGCCCTGTCCCATCACATTCAATGGGACAACTACAAGTACTCCGCTATTCTTGTGCCTGGTATGGGTCCTGAGCTTACAGATGAGCCCCTCTCTCCCCAGAGCAAGATGCGCCTAAATATTGCCGTTCAGCTATTCTATGAAGGCCAAGCACCCTACATTGTCGTGTCCGGTGGAGCAGTCCACCCGGCTCACACGCCATACACAGAAGCATACAACCTGCGTCAATGGCTCGTTGAAGAACTTGGCTTCCCATCCGAACGCGTTGTAATGGAACCACACTCTCGTCACACTACGACAAACTATCGCAACACAGCGCGGGAACTGGACGTTCTCGGTGCACCGCATGAAAAGCCAATTTTGACTGTCACCAACTCGGATCAATTTGACTACATCCTCAAATTAAATAAGCACCGAAAGCCCAAGGACGGTGTGGTCTATGCTGGTCAAAGGGATCTTGGGTATACCATTGGCAAGGTAGGCCCATCTCACGGCAAATTCCTGATCGAATTCCGCCCCAACTGGGACAAGATCTTTACGATTGACCCTATGGACCCTCTTGATCCCTGATTTTTTTGGTATTGCATTTGTACTAAATTTAAACATTCTTTTTGACATGCACAGCCTCCTCCACGCGTTATGGACCACGCTTTGAGTACGAAAAATTTATGGCGTACGAGCTTGTAGACGGACCAATCAATGACAGAGTAAAATGCAGGGGACGTTCTTAACGGGATAATTTTCGACTATTGCCCTGATCGCTAGGAATACAACCAGTCGTTTCTTACTCATAAATTCTTCCCTGAACGGCACAAAGTACACGAAATCCGATTCAAAAGTTGCTGTACACACCACACCTCAATAACCTCTTCTTATGTATATAAAGGGCGCTCTACTAGCCGTTGTAGCTACGGCTGCTGCTGTGTCAGCTCACAATGCACACCTATTTGAAAGGGGTACGCATAATGAGGTCACGCTTCGATACCTTCGTCGCGCAAACGTAATGTCTGCGGCCGACTTAGCTAAGGTTCAAGACCCCAATCAGCAATGCTCTTACAACCTGAATGCTGCTAACATGCCGGAGCTCAAGCAAGGCCAGCCCTTCCCTCAATCGTGGAAGATTGCATCTATTCAAGACAACGACCAACAAGCCAAGAAGGTCTGGCAGGATATTCAGAGCTCGGGGATTATCCCAGGTGACGTGCAAGTCAAGTCTGATGGAGGACAACATAACGCTGTTTCCCAGAATGGCTATAATAGCCATCAGGATCCTGACTGCTGGTGGACGGCTAGTGGCTGTGTAACTCCCAAGCACCAGAATATCCCCTCGGACTTGGCGTCTTGCCCGGAGCCCAACACATGGGGCTTAACTTTTGATGATGGCCCTAACTGCTCCCACAATGCCTTTTATGACTTTCTTTCTCAGAACAAACTCAAGGCTACCATGTTCTTTATCGGTTCGAATGCCAAGGATTGGCCATTGCAGACTCAGCGAGCTATTGTGGATGGTCACGACCTTTGCGTTCATACATGGTCTCACCACTACATGACTACTCTTTCAAACGACCAGGCCTTTGCTGAGCTGTATTACACTGCCGTGGCTATCAAGGCGATCACGGGTGTGACCCCAACTTGCTGGCGTCCGCCATTTGGTGACGTGGATGACCGTATTCGTGCCATCGCTGCAGGGTTGGGTTTGCGTACAATCCTTTGGGAGGCCGATACAGATGATTGGAATATTTCTGTTGAGGGTAAAGATAAAATTGATCAGAACTACCAGAAGATCTTCAGTGAAGCTGGCCAAAAGAACCCTATCGTCCTCACCCATGAAATTGATAATTCAACGATGAGTGAATTCATGGGTCAATACAACAATATCAAGAACGCCTACAAGAACGTTGTGCCTGTATCTGCATGCCAGAACGTGACAAATCCCTACCCTGAGGATATTACCTACCCTACGTTCAACCAGTTTTTGAATGGCCAAACCGCTCAAGGCCTGCCAGATGGTAACACCATCAAGGTGGATCCTCAATTCAAGTACAATGTGGTAGCTCTTGCTGACCAGAAGGCAGGTTTTGCCAATCCCAAGAACGCTGAAGAGGCTGCCAAGGTGGAGCAGAAACAGTCTGGCAACAGCTCCAATGCAAGCCAAGGTTCCATTTCTGACAACTCTAACAAGAACTCCAAGTCCAGCGCTGGAACAACGTTGGGCAGTTCATCTGCTACCTTCTCTGCTCTGCTCGCCGTGTTTATGATTTTCATGCTTTCCATGTGATTAAAGTACCTTTCCACTCTTTTCACTTGTAGCTACCGTCCCTTTTGTTTTCCTAGTTCGCTTAAATATTGACCTTTCCCTCGATCACTGCTGCACACCGTCCTTGGAGCCAAATATCTTGGTTCTCATCCGTGCTGAGTCCAACATTTCCTTGACGGCGGACCATGGTTCCTTGGCGTACCGAGTACGTAGGTGGTGCCATCTTCGCACATATCAGCCATGTCGCGACAGCGGCATTCAGACTGCCACACACAGGGTCCTCAAAGTTTTCGGCAAAGGCACGCACCTCAAAGTCCGCAGGATTTCCATTCTTATGAGGCCCAATAATACCCAAGAACAAATCGTACTTGCTTAGCAGTGACATGTTGGGCTGCACATTCAAGACAGCGTTAGCATCGTGAAGGACTAAGCCGATCCAAGGAGGGCCGTTTTCGATCCAGTTCGAGGCGACTATGTCCTCAGGTGCGAGCCCCAAGATCTCTAGAGCGTGTTGGAATGTCTCCTCCTCCAGAGGCCCGGAACGCTTGAGCGCAGGTGCCTTCACTTGGAACGAGTCGTTCTCATACTGGATGGGCAAAAGGCCAATAGCGCATTCCTGCACGAGGAAATTCGCCTTTTTGGGCACACCACCATTTTTCACCCACGCAAAGGCACTACCCAGCGTAGGATGTCCTGCAAAGGGAAGCTCACGGAAAGGCGTGAAGATGCGAAGTTTGTAGTCTGCCTCTGGACTGGAAGGCGTCAACAAGAACGTGGTCTCGGACAGATTCGTCCAGTTCGCAAAGCTTTGCATCTCATCATCAGTCATGCCATCTGCATTATGTACGACAGCTACGGGGTTTCCCGACAGACCTTAGGAAACAAAAACGTCGACTTGGGTAAATGCGTGTGGCATCAGGAGGCACAACGTACGAAAACGAACCAGTCATACAGTCAAATTTTCCACTATAATTAGATCGAGTTTCAGTTAGGCTTTCAAGCTGGCCAATGAAGTTTTTTTTCAGTTCCGTGGCCTTACCCTGTGTATCCTACCTTAACATAGTTTGGCAGGCACGGGACCTGTTTTTTGTTCTTATATGTGGGGCCACCCACAGCTCTATCGTGCTGCAATGCCTAGTACGATCCCTGACGTGCCTGGGACGTTGGTTACGGATGAAATTCAACTTGGTTTCCTCCGGGACCATGTACGCGACCTTTGCCAAATTTCTTCTGTCCGGTATGTCAACACGTGTCTTACCCCGCTCAGATTCCCTGGCTCACAGCCCATCTCTTTCAATAAAAAGTCTGTTTCCTACCTGCTGAAAGAAGAGTATGTGTTCTACGACTTACATTTAGTTACTGGGTATGTGAGAAATCCGATGGGCAACGGGTCCTAGTCTTGATAGTCGTGCCTCCTATGACAGGACAGCAAGAGGTATATCTGATTGACCGCAAGAACATGTATTACCGCATCCACAACATTGTATTTCCACACTACGCACCAGAGACTTTGCAAGCAAAAATATCGAACAACCTTCTTACCGATACGCTGCTCGACGGCGAACTAGTCATCGACCATGTCGGTCCTGATCAGACCAAGCTGCGATTGTTATTGTTCGACTGCATCATCTGTGACGGTGAGAATATTACGCGACGTGACTTGGGGCGAAGATATGCTCGACTGCGGTCCCAGATCTATCCGTCATATAAAAACTATCTTAAAGAACATCCTGATAATGCGATGATGGCGCCCTTTGAAGTCCTCGTCAAACCCATGGATCTCGCCTATGGCATTGAAGCCGTGCTCAAGAAGATGGAATATTTGCAGCATGGCAATGATGGGCTGATTTTCACGAGTTTTCATGCGCCCTATGTGTACGGCACAAATAATGCTATTCTGAAGTGGAAACCGCCCCACGAAAATACCATCGACTTTAAGATCGAGCTTCGCTTCCCACCTGATCTGGACGCCGATTCCTCGGGAGAGACGCCGGATTATACCGCCAAGCCCATGTTCCAGCTGTTCCAGCATGTGAATGGAATGGAGCATGAACCATTCGACTGGCTCAACATGTCCGACGAGGAATGGGAGCGGTGGAAAGAATCTGGCGAACAACTGGACGATCGCATTGTCGAATGTGCTTGGCATGCGCCTTCGCCTGCCGGTGACGATATCCCGACCTGGCATATCAAGCGTATTCGCGACGATAAGACGACAGGCAATCACAAGAGCACTGTTTCACGCATTCTACAAAGCATGAAGGATGGCGTTGTAGTGGATGAACTGTTGGCGCAAGCGCCGGCGATCCGCACTGCATGGAAGAGCAAGGAGCGGGAGAACCGGCGTGCCCACCCGCAACGCTTCCAGCGCCCACCACTACCTTTCAAGGCCAAGGGCCTGGGTCCTCCCAAACCGCCTGTGGCGCGCGGTGGTCCTCCCTTTGTCAAGCGCCGCTAGTGTATTGATAGTCCTATTTGTAGTCGCATAGTTCACTTTCCTTTTTCAAGCTTTCATACGCGCAGGTACCCAACGACGAATCGTGACTTCTCGCACTTGGAATGCGCCATTTCGCAATTGTGCCACCAGGCCTTCTGGCGTCGCCAGCGCCTGGGCTGGCAGCGATAAAAGAGAGGGAATAGATACGTGCGCCAGCACAAGTGTCTGAGGAGTGAGTCGAATCGGTTCGTACCTTTTGCACTTGGGTATTCACACGGTTCATCATGCTAAACCATACCCAGCTTTTTTCGCCCTGGTTGTAATGTGGCGGGAAAGGTGACGTTGCCAAGTCCTGCTCGTCGTCATATTCGGGCACCACAATCACTGAAAACTCAGCATGGCTAAATACAGGACCGCGTTTGTACAGCAAGAAATCCACACAGAATTTTGTGCCACTCTTGACGACCCAGCCCAGACTCCGGAAGTGGTGGTATACAATATATGAGAGCAGGAATGGATTGTCTGGGCGTGCCAGCTTTGGCATATCCAGCGGTCTCTGCTGGAGTCGACACGTAGACGCCAAGCACAGTTGGTATAACGTCTGCAAGGACAAGGGCTGGTCATTTGCATCGTACACGTCGAGGCATCCAAGCATGCCTGCTAAAAAGAATGCCTCAATCATGGTGAGCTGGAAATGCTCAATGAGATCCCAGTTCGTGATATCAATATCGTCTTCGTCGTTCTCGTCGACATCTGTGACCTTTTTCTGAATCTCGTCGGAAAAGTATTTGAGGCCTTTGATTCGTGATACGCCCGCTTCCATCGCCGGCATATCCTCATCACCTCGCCACAATCCCCCTGCTGTAGATTCCAATGCCTTGTCTTCGTCTTTCAGCTCGCCGCCCAGCGCTGTAATGCCATCTGGCAACTGAATTCCTGCACGAACAGCCGCCCGCGCTCGCTCAATTTTCAGCAGCTTGCGCTCTTCACGACGTCGCTGCGTCATCTGCTCAGCGGTCAGCTCACCACGTTCACGCGCTGCCACTTCAGCCTGTTTTCGTGCTGCCCACGTCGGCTCACTACGACTAAGACTGCCTTTGCCGAAGAAGCCATGTGTCCAGAGACGCATCGCCTCGCCCTTATCGTACATCCACACAGAGTTGGTCACAGGGTCGTACCAAGCCTTGCATACAGGAGTGGCATTTATTCCTTGGGAAACCCATCGCGTGATGTCGTTCCAGCGATCCCACCATGTTCGTGGCACAGAAGGCGGCACGGCGCCCCGCCGAGGCGCCGTGCCGACAGGCAGGGGACTCGCATACAGTTGGCGCTTGGCCAACGTAGCCTTTTTCCCAGCACCGCGAATGTGCTGCGTGCTGGGCGTGGCTGGTGAATTGGAGGCCGTCGCCATCGTAGTGCAAGAGAGAACCGGCCATGTGTTTGGCCAAAAAAAATCTATCGAGTTGTAACACACTCCACACAAAAGTAGGAAAAAGCACATCCAAAGTTAACGAGTATAGGAGAACAGGGAGGGAAGAGGGGGCTAAGGAAATTACATCATGCATTGAGAAGGGGAAGCGGGGGAAAGACAAGGGGAGGGAAGGAGGGGGGCAAAGACCAGATCATGGTTAGTACAACAGGCTCATTTGAAACGTCCAGCGTCGAGACAACCACCACACCATGCTGGGATAGCCAGCCACTTAGTTGTCATCACAGTCCTCGTCCGCATCGGCGCTTGCAGTCGGCTTCGAGGAAGCATGAGTGCTTGTGCGCGACGTGGTCTTGGAAGCCGACGACGAAGAGGAGCTGGGGTGGTGCGTTGACGAGGATGACGAGGACGACGATTCAGGACCTGAGCTGGATTCATTAAGACTAGCATTACGACCACCAGATGAAGACGACGACGAAGCAGACGACGAAGCAGAAGAAGAAGATGCGGTGTTAGAAGGAGTCGGAATGCATTGCTTATCAAGAGCGGTACCCACCTGGCTGGCGCTGGGGAACGACTGAAGGAGAGGTGGCAGGAGACTGTCCTCATTTTCATCACAGAGCTCCAAATCACCTCCGTCGCCCGAGCTAGAGTTGGCATCCGAGCTGGAGCTCGAGTTCGCACTCGAGCCTGCACTCGAGCCAGAGCCAGAGCCAGAGTTCGAGTTCGAGCTTGAGTCAGCACTTGAGTTGGAATCCGAGTTGGAGTTCGACTTCGAGCCCGAGCTGGAGTTCGAGTTCGAGTTCGAGCTAGAGCCCGAGCCCGACTTGGAGCCCGAGTCAGAGCTGGAGTTGGAGTTCGAGTCCGAGTTCGACTTGGAGCCCGAGCTGGAGCTAGGTTCCGACTTTGAGCTGGAGTTCGACTTGGAGCCCGAGCTAGAGCTAGGGTCCGACTTTGAGCTGGAGTTCGACTTGGAGCCCGAGCTGGAGCTAGGTTCCGACTTTGAGCTGGAGTTCGACTTGGAGCCCGAGCTGGAGCTAGGGTCCGACTTGGAGCTGGAGTTCGAGCCCGAGTTCGAGTTCGAGTTCGACTTAGAGCCAGAGTCCGAGTTCGACTTAGAGCCCGAGCCCGACTTGGAGCCCGAGTTCGAGTTCGAGTTCGAGTTCGAGTTCGAGTCCGAGTCCGAGTTCGAGTTCGAGTTCGAGTTCGAGTGCGAGCTAGAGCTAGAGCCCGAGCCCGACTTGGAGCCCGAGTCCGAGTTCGACTTAGAGCCCGAGTCAGAGCTGGAGTCCGAGCTCGAGTTCGACTTGGAGCCCGAGTCAGAGCTGGAGTTCGAGTCCGAGTTCGACTTAGAGCCAGAGTCCGACTTAGAGCCAGAGCCCGACTTAGAGCCCGAGTCAGAGCTGGAGTTCGAGTCCGAGTTCGAGTCCGAGCTCGAGTTCGACTTAGAGCCAGAGTCCGACTTGGAGCCCGAGTCAGAGCTGGAGTTCGAGTTTGAGTTCGAGTTCGAGTGCGAGCTAGAGCCCGAGCCCGACTTGGAGCCCGAGTTCGAGTGCGAGCTAGAGCCCGAGTCCGAGTCCGAGTTCGACTTAGAGCCAGAGCCGGAGCTGGAGTCCGAGTCCGAGTCCGAGTTCGACTTGGAACCTGAGTTCGAGCTGGAGTTCGAGTCCGAATCCGAGTTCGAGTGCGAGCCTGAACCAGACTCGGCGCCCGAGTCAGCACTCGAGTTAGCGTTCGAGTTGGAGTTGGAGCTCGAGTTGGCGTTCGAGCTGGCACCCGCATCCGCATCCGCACCAGCGTTGGCGTTGGCGTTGGCGTTGGCGTTGGCATTCGAGTTCGAGCCTGGCAGGGTGGTAGTCACGACCACCGGCGTGCCATTGCCTGCCACCGCAGGCGTGGCCACTGCCGTGTTGTCAGGGTCGCCCTCACCCTCCAGAGTCACAGTAGCTGCCAAGGTAGCTGTCGAGGTCCAGTGCGTGGGTGTGGCCGAGACTGTCTCTGTCACATGCGTCGTGCTGGTCTTGTACTGCGTCACAGTGGACTTCTTGCCCTTCTTCGTTTTTGTCGTAGTGACCGTGTCCGTCGACACAGGGATATCCGACTCAGGTACAAGGATTGTACCCGTGAACGGCGCCCAGGTTGGCTCACGGCGGTGCATTTTGCGCATACCCTGGTGGTGGTGCATCATGGCACCACGACGGTCATGCGCCATGGCATGCGCATCCGCCGCACCGGCGTCCAGCGCACGGTGGGCAAGAGGCGCAGCCACACCCGCATCCTGCATAGCAACAGGCGCAGCAGCCACGTTGGTCACCTGGCCGGCCATCAGTAGCGCGACACAGACCAGGCTCAGCAGGCTTGGCATCGAAAACGACGAACGCTTCTCAGAAGGCATGATTATAATAAGTAGGGAATCAAAAGCAAAAACAAAGGGGTAGTAGGTAAAAAGGTAAAGGAAGAAACCAGTTCTCCGATATGTATTGGATGTGCAGGGGAATAAACGAAGCAATTCACCAGGAACGCTTAGAAGAGAGGACCACAAAAGGCTACCAGAGCCGAAGAGAAGAAGACAGGGGAATGGGTGGGGGTAGCACCTTTCCTTTTCCTGGATCTTATAAGTCTTCTTCCACAGCACCGCTTGGACCTGACATCCAACTTCCACCGCACATGCCTAGAACTCAGACCAAGGACATGTCGGCATCGTGCTTGTTGAGTGACATCTACCGTGCAGCGCGGCCAGCGAAACCAACCTCCACACGAACTCATCCGAGCCAACCCTGTCGTAACCTGCTCACGTGCAGTTACCGTTATGAGCGATCCTGAATTGGAGGCCATTCGACGCGCCCGCCTCGCGGAGCTGCGGGGTAATGCCCCTGGCGGGATGAATGGTACGTCGAGGGAGAGCGTATTTACACTACAGGTGGCCCTGCTATGCCGACATCGCTGCCGAGCGGAATGAACGCATCGTCGCTCACCGGCGGTGACGCGGAGAAGGATGAAAAACGCGCACAGCAAGAGGAGATGAAGCGACAACTTCTCACACAAATACTCGATACGGAAGCGCGTGAACGATGTATGTACAGTTTGACTGACTTCCTGTACAGTGTCGCGGATTGCTCTTGTGAAGCCACAAAAGGCCGGCGCCATCTCCGATATCCTCGTGCAGATGGCACGTACAGGCCAAGTTCGTCAGCGCGTGACAGAAGACCAACTTATCTCTCTGCTAGATCAAGTGGACCAGGCGAACACACAGGAGTCTACAGGCAAGATCACGGTACGTGCATCGACACACTTACCTTGCAGGTGACAAGGAAGAAGACCTTCGATGATAGTGACGATGACTGGGACTTGTAGGTGCCATTGCAAACATAGTTGAATGCCTATAGCGTTCTTTTCTCTTTGTGACACACCTTCCCTCTCGTCACTTCCAGTGCCCGATCGAGCGTGCCTGCTTTTTTTTTTCGTAGGCGTTGTTGCATGTGGAGCACGTGGTTTTGTCATTCTGCGTAGTCGTTCGTCTGTCGCGTCTACGCCTCTCTTCGCACAAGCGTGCTGTGACGCCCTATTAGCATGCCACAACCTCACCTTCGGTTGCCCAAGTCCTCGTGGACGAGGTATGTGACTTCGTTTGCAGGGTTTATGGACATCAAAGTAGGCAGCCAAATTGTGTCCCTCTTTTCGTTGTTCAACAAAATTGCTGGTGTATATGGTATTATTGCCGTCTTCCAAGGCGGCACGCTCTCACAGCTTTCGCTTTATATGTACTCCATTGCAACAATTCCCATCTATATTTGGGGTCTTAAAGCTATTAGTGATGAACGCCACAAACGTGCATTGCGCTATGCTCACTTCTACCTACTTGACCACTTTCTTTCTACGGCATGGACCATCATGTTTTCCGTATGGTGGTACCATTATGCTACTCATGACGGCCGACCCGTCACAAATTCCGACCACCAGGCTGGATTGATGGCGCTCATCGAATCACTCGAAGCGCAATACCGCACACCAGAGGAAATGGCCACGTTACGGCACAAAGACATTGATATAAATACACCGGAAGGCCTCGCTGAATCTGCATCACGGACACAGCAAGCGCACGAGACGTGGGAATCGGAGCGTGGCTTTGCTGCAGGCGTGCTCGTGGCCGGCTGGCTGATCAAAGTATGTGGCTTATTTCGTGCACTAACATTCAGATCTACTTTGCACTGGTCCTGTATGCGTATTCGTTGCATTTGCGACATGGCACGTACTGGATGTTGCCCCTGTCCAAGTCACGTCGTGCCAATGCGGTGCATGCATCGCACTATCATATGGTGCCCCATGAAACAGACGAAGTAGCACTCCCTGACGAGCCTCATGAGACAGGCAAGTCGATGCCGTCTTCTGTATAGATGTAGTAGTACGTTGCTTGATTCCATGTACCCTCTATCTAGTCACGCGAGGCCCCTATCCTTGCGGGGTAGGCGTTTGGCTCTGTAAGGGCGTAGCATGTTCTCGGACGGAACCTTCGCGAGGGGCACAAACCTTCTATGCCGCTCGTCTAGACTTCGGTCCTGACTGACGGGACACACATCTCTTGATGAGTGAATTGTATTGCCATCGTACAGCGCTATGCATACAAATGTAGGAGGCGTTTCAATGGATGTCGCTGGTCGGTATCACAGCCACACCTAAATCCATAGCACTCCGCTGCGTTGCTCTTGCCGCTAGCTTCAATCACCATGCCACTCGTACAGGCATGGCAATCAAATAGTAGGGCGTCGTCTCTCTCATCTGACCATGTAAATACACACACACACACACATTCACAACAAAACCTGTGTTAGTCTGCATTAGCATGCGCTACGAGAGCGTCACGGAGGTTTTCAGCCGCCTCGTTGGTTTTGACTTTGCAACGCAAGTTGCAAGGCTTGGCATCCATGAAGCCTAGGAAGGTGAGCACATTTTTGTCAAGTGTCACTTTCATGCCCTCATACAAGGCAAAGTTGAGCACCACATTGCCATTCACCGCATTGCGCGCCAGCACACGGCACTTGCCTGTTGACTTGGCACGCTTGATACGGAAAATACTCACCCCCATATCTTGCCATTGACCGCTGTCCAAGCGCCAGATCTTGGCCCGAGCTTCATGCTCAGTGTCTTCATCTTCCTCACCTTCGCCACAGCTCGTCAATGCGTTGGTATCGGACGAGGCCGTAGCATCCGCTGATGATGCAGCATCGGTGGCTGGCGATGTCGTCTCCTCCGCCACCGGTTCGGTCTTGCTAGGCGCTGCGAACGCAAAGCCGGGCTTCTTGCCCACGGCACCAAAGGAAAACCCTGTCGAGGTCTTATCACCGGTCGACCCAAAGGAAAAGCCACTGCTTGGCTTCTCATTGGATGACGAGCTGCCGCTGCCAAAAGGCAAGGAGGATGAGGACGTGGCACCGAACGAAAAGGTGGGTGCAGGCTTGGCTGCCGGTACTGACGCCGAGCCAAACGAGAAGCCTGGCTTGGATGTCTCGGTAGTAGACTTGGCCGACGTGGTCCCGAACGAAAACGCAGGTTTCGGGGCGTCTGTAGTCGACTTGGCCGTATCGAAAGAAAAGCTGGGCTTCGATGTGTCCGCCGGCTTAGCCGATTCAAAAGAGAAACTGGATTTCGGCGCTTCCACTGGCGTGGTCGAACCAAATGAAAAACTGGGCTTCGTTGCGTCCGCTGGCTTGGCAGTCCCCAGCGACATGGAGGGGGTGGATGTACTGCTCTCATTCGTCTTGGCTGACACAGAGGCCGCAGGCGTTGTTGATCCGACAAAAGCAGGCTTGGCTGTGTTCACCGAGGTCGACAGCGTCGGTACTGGGGGCGTAGCTTCCGTCGAAACCGAGGAAGGTGGCTCTGCTATGGCCTGCGGTGCCGATATATCAAAGGCATAGGTGGGCAGGTCGTTGTATGATACACTTAGTGCTTCTTTTTGTTCCTTGGTCGCTGTCGATGGCGCCGTACGTTCCTCCGGTGGCCGAAGGATGCACCAGGCCGGCGTTGTTGGCGCTGCTGGCGCTGCTGGCGTAGTCACAGTGGGGGCGTCAGCCTCTGCTTTCGATACCGATGGTGCAAGGGCCGGCGCCGGCGCTGTAGAGAGTGCTGGCACCGTCACAGGCGACGAACTAGTCAGCGACGACGTAGAGACAGATGTAGCCAAGGGCGAAGAGACTGCTGGCTTGGTCCGTGGCACAGTAAGGAACGAAGCGACCGACGAAGATGAGGATATGGCTGGCTTCTCATTCAATGGGGTCGCCGACGGAATGTCTGATTCGTGCTCGTCGCTGTCCGCCGCCGTCGTGCCCATCGACAGGGGCGACGGCCGCTTGGGCTTGTTCGCAAGAGGACGAACGCCTGGCCTATCAGGCGAGAGACTCGTCAAATCCGTGGTGCTTAAACGTTGAGAACGGCGTGGTGAGCGATGGACGGGCTCAGTTCGTTCGACCACGTCCAACAGAGAAGTTGTCGATGTATCCGCCGTCGACGCAGGCGTCACAGACGATGCACGCTGCCGTGCTGCTTCCAGGGCCTTGGCACGTGTGGATGGCGCGCTCGGCGTCGATGGCCGTGCTGACTTCGACCGCGTTTGGTACGGATTCACCACCTCAGGCACAGCTGGCTTGGGTGGCGCAACCGGCTGCATCGAGTCGAGCACCTGGCGCATGGTCGATGCAGCGCGTGTGGGCCGTGTCGAGCGACGGACTGGTACTTCTGGTTCTTCCGCCACTTCCGGCACACGATCGACCGCCGCCGTGGTGCTTGCCGTGGGTGTCTCGTGCTCATCCTCTGCAGCACGTTTTCGTGGCGATGACACGGATGCGGAGCGAGTCAGGGACGAGGGCGAGGCGAATGTAACGTGACTCGGTGTGGTGTCATCGTGCAATTTACGGCGCTTTTCCGGGGTCGTAAGCTCCATATCCCTAGCCAGAATCGGCGTGCGTGTACTGGGAATCGCACTCATAGAGTGGCTAGAGGATAGAGACGTTCGCAACGGCGAGTATGTCTTGCGCGACGTCGTGCCAGGCCCAAAGTAGATCGGCGCGTGTTTCCGGCCAGGCGAGGGCGAAAGCCCGGTGCTCGAGCGTGTCATGGGCGACGTGGCATAGGAAGTAGGACGCTTAGTCGGCGTCTCAAACGATCCTGGATGGAATGGCGTAGAGGTGGAAGCCCCGAGCGAAGAGCGCGGTGCGTGTGTACGCCGCGCGTACGGGGACGGCTGCGATGGCAGCGACGTATCATCTAGCGCGGGTGGCGCAGCCTCGGGCAATACTGGGAGGACAGGCATCGTAGTAGAGGCCGGTAATGTAGTCTCATTTGGCGTGGGGACCGCTACAGTGTGTGGTTCTTCGTCTTGGTCCATGGCTGTCGCAGGCGTGGAAGGCGCCGCCTGAGACCGATGGAAAGGCGACATCCACCCAAACAGCCCTGATATAAGCGACTGCGAGCGGCGCATGCCGCCCGCGTCGGAGTCTGTGTGTATATTGGCGCGGTGCATCGCGGCCAGGCCACCAACTCCCACTAGAAAGTGTCGTGAACCCAACCACGGGTGGACGGTCAGTCAGCACAGCAACGAAGCGCCGCACCGCGGCCACAATATTGTCACGTGATCCGATCGTGGAGGCGTCGACGACTCGCCCACGCGAACGTCGTCCGGCAGGGCCGCCGCCGTTCAGCGAGTGCACTCTCACGAACTCCTCCGCAATGGTGCAAGAAGATATGGCGCAGGACGATCCGCTGCAGGCGGTGGTCCTTTGCGATGTGTTCAACCAGCGGTTCTCTCCCTTCACACTTGACCGCCCACGATGCCTGATGCCCGTGTGCAATGTGCCGCTGATCGAGTGGACGCTGGAAGCCCTCGCTACGGCCGGGGTGCATGAAGTCTTTTTCCTCGCGACCTGGCACATCCCGCAGATCCGCGCGTACCTCGAAGCGCACCATCCTATGCTCTTCCGCCCCACCAGCAGCAAAAATACACCGAGCAATACCACGTCGTTGACGCGCATTACGTTGATACCTGTCCCAGAAGCACGCTCGGTGGGTGATACAATGCGTGAGCTGGACGCACACCAGGTGATCAAGTCGGACTTTGTTTTGATGCATGGTGACTCCGTCGGCAACCTGGACATTGCCTCCGTTGTACAAGCACACAAGGAGCGTCGTCGTGCTGATCGCAATGCCATTATGACCATTTGCACAATGTCAGCGCCACAGACCAGTCGGGCCCGCCGCCTGGGCGACTTGTCTGTGTTTTCACTCGAGCCCAAAACATCACAACTCCTGCACTATGCCGCGGTACCGGCTGTTCCTCGCGTGCCGCTACTGAAGCTGCCGCTGGAGCTATTTGAGCAGTCCCATACGGAAGTCGATGTACGCAATGATTTGGTGGATTGTGGTGTGGACATTTGTGCCATCGATGTGCCGCCGCTCTTTACGGAAAACTTCGACTACCAATCACTGCGCCGTGAGTTTGTGCAGGGTATCCTTACCTCTGACCTGCTCGAAGCCAAGATCTTTGTGCATATTGCGCCGCCAGCCAACCCTACGTCCATTGCTTCTGGCGAACCTTTTTCTGCCGTATCGGGAGGCTTGCTAGGTGTGCCTACCTACGGTGCCGGGTATATGCTACGTGTCTCGGACCCAGCACGGTATGATGCTGTCTCGCGCGATATCATGTGTGGCTGGACGTTTCCGTACGCACCGCGTTTCGGAATGCCCAACGGCGATACGTACACGTCGTCTCCGGGCATGCGCTTTGTCGGCGAAGGTGCAGTGATCGATAATGGTGCACACCTTGGCCGTCGAACGTTGCTGGGCGCCCACTCTCAATTGGCCGATTGCGCGAACGTGCACGAGTCGGTGCTCGGTGCGCGCGTTCATATAGGAACTCATTCTACGGTGCATCACTCGCATCTATGGGATGATGTGACGGTGGGACATGGATGTACGATCAACGGGTGCATCTTGGGACAGGGTGTGCAAATCCTCGACCATGTCCACTTGGCTCATGGCACGGTGGTGGGCGATGGCTGTGTGATTGGGCCCAACGTCCGTCTGCCGGCCTTCTCGCGTGTATCAATGCATGCATACCGCGGTGCGGAAGACGACTCCGACGAGGAGGATGAAGCGGAGGATGCAGATACCGCCCTGGGCACGGCGTCTCGTGGCTGTCTCTGGGCATCGATGGCGGGTCTGCGTGCCTCGTCAGACGACGACGATTCAGACGACGATATGGACGCCTTGGAACGGCCATGCAATGCCAAGCTCTTTGCCATCGGTGCAGATACCAGTGTCGTGGAATTGGACGACGCAGAGTCGGATCTGTCGTCGATCGATGCGGACTCCGAGCCCGATATGATGGGCAGCGAGTTTGGCGACTCTGATGTGGACTCGGACGACGACTCGCCCCTGTCGACAACCTATGGCAGCTTGTCTCTTACGTTGCCCGCTGGCGTAGAGTCACAGACGTACAGCGAGCGCATGGAATCTGAAGAGCGATTGCGCGAGTTCCGTGCCGAGGCACAGGCATCACTAGAGCGTGCGTTTGAAGAGTACCATGCCCCAGAAAATGCAGCGATTGAGTTGAAGACCTTGCGTATGGCCAGCAATGTGCCTAATGGCGAAGTACGGAAAATCGTCGTCGAGTTCGTCCTGGGTCGATGCTCGGTGGATCATGCCAAAGATACGTCGGACCTCCTTGACCATTGGGGCCCTCTCATGCGTGAAGTGGCTCACGACGATGAGGTGGAGGCACTTGCGGCGATGCAGACGTATTGTGCGCTGCATGTGTCGCATACGCGTCTGTTCCTCCCACTGCTGAAGAAGGTGTACAATGATGAAATCGTGAGTGATGAAGCGATTCTCGCGTGGTGGAAGCACCCGTCCAGTCGGCGCCTCTTGTACGGCGAGGACAACAAGCAGGCATTGTCAATTGTGATGGAGCTGCGGAAACGTGCTGAGCCTGTCGTTCGTCATATTCTGGAAGACAGCGATGAGGAGGACGAGTCCGATGAAGAGGATGAGTAGTACGTAGTCTATAGTTGCAAGCCGAAATGGTCGACCACCATTGCCACAATGTCCTTCCACTCGCACATTGCGCCTGTTCCTACTAGTGTCAGACTCTTATCTACGACGTACCAAGATCGCCACAGGCTAAGCGTTTGCTGATGGGGCCATACACTTGGTACCCCAGCTGTGTTTGCACTTGCTCTAGCTGCGGTGCAGTGAATGGATGCAAGTACATGAGGGTATTCATCGCAGGAAAAAGCCATGTCGGCGTACTCGGCGAGAGAGCACGCAAAAACGATGTCTTGTGTCAGTGATTGTGAACGTACCAGCACATTGTCGCACAAACCATGGCAGATCTTAGCAAGAGTATCGGCACTGCATGGTGCAATAAGCACAAGATCAGCCCATCGTCGTAGCTGGTGTGAGTGCAAATGTACGTACCTCAATATGCAAGACAGGATCTCCCACTTGGGTCCATGAGGACCATTCCTCCTCGTCAGTCCATACGCACACGCGAGGCACCTGTGCATGCAACGCCGCTTCCTCGGGCGTACCAGCCGCCCGATTGAGTGCTGCTAAGTCAGAGGTCGTATAGGGTGCAGGTGACAGCGAGTCCTTATCGAAGAAATGGAGTGAAGCCTTGGTCGCGACGACATGGACGTGCACATGAGCGTACTGAGTAAGCAGGTGCAAAACGTACTTTCAACAAGGCTTGCACCATTAGTGGCACTTTGATACTCGCTACACTTCCTGTGCACGCCAGCAGCACATGGGCAGGGCGCGCTGCACTGGGAGGCCGTGCGAGCGGCGTGTACTGCGACTGCAGCGACGCGGGGATCATCCGTGCGAGTGGAGGGAGGCAAAAAAAAGAACGAGTGGATCGACTAGTCGGCATCTACAGGAGGGGATCGCCAAGTTTGATCTTGGGCGCCAGCTTGTGCAATATGCGTACGAATACGTGCTCCGTACGATTGGAGCTGCTTGTATGTCGGAGACGAGGTATCGCCATGCAAGATGCGGTACGTCTCAATGGCCGCATGAACCTCGTCGACGTTGCTCATACCTAGCAAGGTACGCAAACGAGGGATAGGTTGGGTATCCTGAACGTCGCTCCCATGCATCCCGGCAAACAGAGCTGTACGAGCCAGCACCTGTGCCGCATCGATGTGTGGGTTGGCTGTGTTCGTAGCAGCTTCATACACGTCGCGATGGGCCGCGCGCGTCGCTTGAAGCAGCGCCTCAGATGCTGGGTGCCAAGCAGGGGGACCACGGTCGGAAAACAGGCCCATGGAGAAAGGCGATGCATTTAGTAGCATCGGTGGCGTCCATTGGGCCTCGTGAGGTTTCTCGTTGTCCGTCCATGGTGAGGCTTCGAACAGCGGTTGCCATGCCGGCAACAAATCTGCATGCATCGTATGGCAGCTGTAACTTAGCACAACATCGACGCAGCGATACGGCGGGTGCGATGCAATAAGACGCGAAAGACGAAGAAGCTCGCCCAGTGGGTAGCCACTCATGCCTACATGCCGAATCACGCCTTCGTCTTGCAGAGCAAAAAGAGCGCGTGCTGCTGCCAAAACTCGCTCGTCTCCCGCCCCGCGAACCTGGGCGGCTTGTCCTGGCGCAATGCCTAGTGTCTGTCGTGCATCATCCTGCGGGATCGTGGGATGTCGGCCCACCGCGGCTGCCGCGAGCCATCCATCGTCTGTGAGCGCCGCGTCTGGTTGGGCGCTTACAAACTCCACATCGTGAAGCAACGCCACGTCGAGGTACGTCGTGCCCAAACGGTGGAGGCTCTGACGAATCGACGTAGTAATCCGCTCCGGCGTGTAGTCAAAGTGAGCCCGTGTCGGGCCGTACCTACCGCACTTGGTCATGAGGAAGTACGAATCGCGTGGGTACGACGGTGCCAAGATGCGCAGCGCTCGACCCAAGACAAATTCGGAGGGAAAATAGTACGGCGACGAATCGAGAGCATTGATGCCATAGTCGAAAGCCAAACGCAGGGCCCGCACAGCTGCATCGCTATGGAGGACGCTGTCGGCGTTGTACATACCCTGCCCAAATACACCGCCACCGAACCACAGAGGCGACGACTGCGTTCGCATATCATGCAATGGCTTGGAAGGTCGGGGCCAGGGAGCCGGCCCTTCATGCAGCGGCTCTGCCGGCAGCGAAGAGAGCGGCACAATCGGCCCAAACGACTCGAGGGGCGGGTCCTCCGCTGGATGAATGGGCATCGGTTTGCCTCGCCACGACAGCGGTAAATGAGACAGAAGACGCACGTCGACATGGCCTGTACGCTGACGTCAGCGTTGCGCGCACGAACCACCGGGTCGGCCCGGCGCCGAGCGGCCGGGCGTGCGAGGCCGCTATAGCGGAGAGGGTGGTCCGTCCGTCGTCTTCTCATCTTACCATCATGTCTCTTTCTACCAAGCTGGCAATTTCGGATGTCGATCTGACCGACAAGCGCGTGCTTATGCGCGTGGACTTCAACGTGCCGCTGGATGGTGACAAGATCACCAACAACCAGCGTATTGTGGCGGCGCTGCCGACCATCAAATACGCGCTGGAGCACAAGGCCAAGGCTGTGGTGCTCATGTCGCACCTCGGTCGTCCGGACGGCCAGAAGCAGGACAAGTTCTCGCTGAAGCCGGTGGCGACGGAGCTCGGCAAGCTGCTGAACAAGGACGTGCAGTTCCTTCCCGACTGCGTCGGTCCCGAGGTCGAGAAGGCCGTGAATGCGGCGTCGAATGGCGCTGTGGTCCTCCTGGAGAATGTGCGTTTCCACATTGAGGAAGAGGGCAAGGGTAAGGATGCCAACGGCGAGAAGATCAAGGCGGACAAGGACGCTGTGGCCAAGTTCCGTGCGGAGCTGACCAAGCTCGGTGACGTGTACGTGAACGATGCCTTCGGTACGGCGCACCGTGCGCACTCGTCGGTGGTGGGCATTGACCTGCCGCAGCGTGCGTCTGGTTTCCTGATGAAGAAGGAGCTTGACTTCTTCTCGAAGGCCCTCGAGTCGCCGGAGCGTCCGTTCTTGGCGATTCTCGGTGGTGCAAAGATCTCGGACAAGATTCAGCTCATCGAGAACATGCTCGACAAGGTGAACATGCTCATTGTCGGTGGTGGTATGGCCTTCACCTTCAAGAAGGAGCTGAACAACATGAGCATCGGCAACTCGCTGTACGATGAGGAGGGCGCGAAGAAGGTGCACGACCTCATGGAGAAGGCGAAGAAGAACAACGTCGAGGTGTTCTTCCCTGTGGACTATGTCACTGGTGACAAGTTCGGCAAGGATGCGCAGGTTGGCCACGCTGACGACGAGAACGGCATCCCGGACGGCTGGATGGGTCTGGATGTGGGCGAGAAGAGCGCGAAGATCTTCAAGGAGGCCATCCTCAAGGCCAAGACCATTCTGTGGAACGGTCCGCCGGGTGTGTTTGAATTCGACAACTTCGCAGCTGGCTCCAAGGCTGTGCTTGACGCGTGCGTGCAGGCCGACAAGAACGGCAGCACGGTGATCGTCGGTGGTGGTGACACGGCGACTGTCGTGGCCAAGTACCACGAGGAGTCGAACATCTCCCACGTGTCGACCGGTGGTGGTGCCTCGCTGGAGCTGCTCGAGGGCAAGGAGCTGCCGGGTGTCGTGGGTCTGAGCAACAAGTAGATGAGATAGTGTCCTATGTATTCATGTCTGCTACAATTCGGTCGCGGGACGCTGCCATACAAACGACAGCTCCTGCTTGAGTGTATCGTTGCGGTACTGCAAACGCAGATCGGGCACATTGGTCTTGGTCACGTCGTTTCCACCGGGGCCAGGCACGAAGAAGCGGCGGCCCAGCCAGTGCCGCTTGATTTCCATCTCCCAGCCGGACTGCAGCACACTGTTCCGCGCCAATTCGCACATATCCGTAGACGAGAGCTTGTAGATCTGTGTCGCGATACTGTACTCTTCAAGCAGCGGCTCTTTTGACAGGTGGAATTGCAGCGGATCGTCCGTCGACAAGGTCACGAGGAGACCCTTGCGGAAGTACTCTGGGAACGGATTCCGCTCGTACGCCAAGAACAGCGCATTGTTGCTGAGAGGCGACATGGCCAGCGGGATCTGTTTCAGGTAGTACAAGTACTGCAAGACCGGCACTTTGCGCAAGAGAATGCCGTGCGAAATGGATTGGGAAGAGAGGTACGTCGAGGCCAAGTGCTCAGGATCGCCCGCCTCGCCTGCGTGGGGCCGCAGAACCAGCGTATTAAAGCTACGCGCTCGGCGCCACTGATTGAGCGTCGTCATGTTGGCATACATGTAGTAGATCCAGTATGAATACGGCGGGCTCTGTGTATAGTTCCACTGCCGTGGAGGAGGGAACTGCCGCAAGAAGCGGCGCTCCGGCTTGCTTTCGTCGTCGACCAGATCGAACCCAATCACACGTTGCAGCATAATGTGCAACTTCGGATGCGACGAAGGGTCGTGTGTCACCTCAAACAACGGGCGGAACACATTGTTGAGCAGGTCTTCAAAGTTGTCAATGTTGCCGTTCGCTTTGTACACCTCGTACAGCCGCGGGACTTGAATCAGCCAACGCACATTCGGGCTGAACAGATGATGATCCACGACCCAGCTCGCGAGCTTGTCCCATTCATCGAGACTGCGGCCATAGATCGAGATACGGTACTCGCACATCTGGTACTTGCTCTGCTCGAGATCCGACGTGACCTCCCTGGTAATCTCGGCCAAGTAGCGCCCACCGATATAGTTGTTCGTCTTGAGGAAAATGTCGCGCAGCTTTGAATCGCCAATCGGATTGTACTTCAAATTGAACCGATCGAAGCGGTGGAACGAGTCATGATGTGCATGCATATCCAGGGTATCAATGCTCAGATCGTACGCTGTCAAGCCCAGCGACTGGAACACTTCGTGAAGTGTCATCGGCTGGCCGTCCTGCAGCAGTACGACATCATCGGAATGACGCTTGATCTTGGCCTTGATAAAGCGCAGCAAGTGCTTTTGGTTCATACTCGCACTGTGATGCACGTGGGTATCGACTTTACGTACATTGTAAAAGTCACGGTGCGATACCTTCTTCAGCATATCCGACTCGCGGTACTCGTTCAGCAGCTTGTACAGGTTCCACTTGCCTTCCAGCAGCTTGAGACGACGCCACGCAAACGTCTTCGTTGGCCCATCGACTGTGATGCTATGCAGCAGATCCAAGTCATGGTACCAATCCTGGCTGGATGTGACGTGCGTTAGGTACTGCCGGGACGAAGCGTCGTCTTCTGTCGTCTCGTTCTCCCCATTCTCGGTCCAGACTTGGAAGACGCCATCCACGGTGCCATAATGCACCTCGTGCCCCCGCACAACATGCCGCGGCGGCATAGACAAGTCGCTCATCCGGAAAATCCCGGGCTTCCCACCGCAGCTTTCCAGCAGCTGCTGAGCCGCGATCACATTCGCCACGGACGCAGGCGAAATGGGATCGCCCGAGCTCGGTCGAGCCACAAACGACGAGGCTGGCGCCGGCGTAAACTGCTCCCAATGCGGACGTGGCGGCGGCGGATAAATGCGCCATGGTTTCGGCTGCTGCCGCTCCTCGTCGTACGCACAGCCATCAATCCGCACGGACCCAGGCTCGCTGCACATGGGCGGCGTAGGCAGCTCGACATTGTGCTCCTGCGCCCACTCCGTACAGTACTCTGCGTCCCAGTTCTTGGGGTTGGCAAACAAATCGCCTTGCAAGCTTTCGCTCATGTACTTGTCACGCATACGCAGACACTTTTGCAAGCTCTCAAAGAGCGGTGCTGACTCGGCCGGCATAGGCGGCGTGATGTTGATGAACGCCACCGCCTTGTCGTCCTGCCCCAAGTTGACAAGGTCGACACCGGTGGATAGACAGCCCGCTTCCGCGGCCAGCGCTGTCGACGCGGCGAGCTGCTGCGCCGAGGTAGCCGAGGTCACCCCTTCCGCTAGCACATCCAACTCACTCGACGCGCCATCCCATCCTTCACGAGTATCACCCGGATCAATAAACATGGGATTCATAGGCCGCTCAAGCGACGTCTCGCGCGAATGCGACGTCGAGGGACCGCGAGCATGGGCTCCCATCGTCACGACCAAACGACAACCAGTCGATCGCACGCACCCGTTTCATAGATGTGGAGGGGCCCAAATCCAGCAGCGCGGCACGTGCCTCGACGCGTGAGGAGAGTGGGGGCCTGTGTCGCACTCTCGTTCTCTCCTCAGCGGGGTCGCGGCCAACATGGACGCGCAGCTGGACGCTCTGCATACCTCCGTTGCGCAGTTGCGTGCGCAGAATCGACGCGCAGCTACACAGGCAAGCAAGCCGGCCTATTTTACCAATGCTGTGCTCAACCCTACCAAGATGGACATCTTGGACTTGATTCGCGATGCGGATGCATTTGAGGCCTCGTTGTTTGTCGCGACACGTTCGCGCTTTGGCGAGCATAGTGCGAGCACGTCCACAGCTGCACCAGAGCCGCCCAAGCCGGCGATGCGTACCGTGCCGATGCCGACGCCCTTGAAGCAGCCACAGCGCGAGGATAGCGATGCCCGTACGTACCTCCTCGCCGCGGAAAAACTCTTGCACAACTAGTACGTATCCACGCTGCTTACCCATAGCCATACGGCCCCTAGAGCACGGAAGCACATTCGCATGCTGCTTAAGCGCGACGGCGAATTGCAGCGTCATACGGCACGCTACCAGGCGACAATTGAGCAGGCCGAACGTGCACAGCAGCAGCAGCAGCAGAGTACGCCACGGACGCCGCAACGTGGGGCTACTACACCACGCCCACCCTCGAATGCGGCACAAACGGAGCTGGAGCGTGTGAAGGCCGAGATCCAGCGAGAAAAGATGGAAATCGTCGCATTGGAATCCATGCTGGCAGATCTCTCGAACGCTGCCCAGCCGATTGGCCCGTCACAAACCAGTCTTCGTCGCGCTAGTCCTGCACGTACGACACCACAGAAACAAACGCCACGTCGTGATGGCCCTGCTTCTCTTCGTCAAAGCACAGTCCAGACGCCGTACACGTCCTCCCTGCGGCAGAGCTTGGCTCGTCGACAGGCCGCGACGCCTCGAACGCCAGGTAGGCCCTCTCCTGCACCTGCACCTGCGCCTAGATCTGCATCAACGTTGGCCGCCTCTACTAGTGCGTCGCCCGCAGCGCGACGGACCCTGCGTCAAAGCACAGCGACCTCCACGCCCACGCGCACGACGCCTCATCGTCGCGAGCCGGCATTGGGACGCAGCGTCGTGGGCACACCTACAAGTGCAGCCTCGCCACGTCGCACACCTACACGTGCACTGGCGCAGACCGTCAGCGGTCCTCCTACACCAGCATCCACGGCTTCGACGACGCAGCGATCCCCTGTACGCCGCCCTACGACGCCGTCCAAGGGGGCTAAAACGGCGAACCCGTCATTGGTCCCGCACGGTGTCATGCCGCCCGTTAGCGACGAATTGGAACGCATTACGGCTATGCTATGGCGTGGATTTGGCGAGTCGATGCGGTACGCAGCGCCTGGCTGTGCGTCGGCATCGTACGCAGCGACGTTTGGTGTGCTTCGTGCTTTGGAGCAATGTGCGCCACAACAAGACGATATGCCGTCGGGCGACGCGCCGAATCCTACCTCGCCTCTCCCTGTGATGGTGGTCATGATGGCACATGTTCTTCTCTTGCTGATGCGATCTCCAGCGCCTCATACCCTTTCTCTCCCGGCGATCAAGACCTTCAGTGAGAAGTGGTGGAAACAGCAAGGGCAGCCCGATCTACAGGCCGCCCAGGCACAGCCGGCGACACGCAATACCCTGGTACAACACGTGGGCTTGGATGCGACAGAAGGTGAGCAGACGGGCGAGGCGTTAGCAACACGCGCCGTGTACGGCCTCGTGGCCAAGAAGCTCTTACGTATTCAACGTGCTGGCGGCGCTGCGAATGTGCGATTCGCGTAGCACATCGATGCGACGAGGTCGTTGGTTCACAGGCCATGCCATGGACGATAGCATGTGATTCGCATGCGCCACTTGCTCCGTACGTTGATACGCCGCCACATCCTCCGTCAATGTGGTGCGCGCGGCCTCTATGGCCGAGGCTAAGGTGGCCGCGTCTGTCGCACCGCCGGGCTGCGTACTACAAGCATAGTACTCGAGCTTTTTCAGTGCGTTATGTAGACGTCGTGATGACGGCGCTTGGGTCGATAAGTAGGTATGCAGATCAGCACACGCCCAGACCACAGGCATGTGAGCATGCGTGGGCGTCGACATGGTCTCTTGGACACGATGCGGTGCGAACAGCGGTACAAGATCGTCCCATAAACTAAGCAGCAACGGCGAGGTATAGTACGTCGTGGCGTCGACTCGCTGCACTAGCTGCGCAAAGTACAGGCCTGCCTCCTCGGCGGAGGCCAAGCATAGTCGACGCTCTTTCTCTGTCGCTGGAAACAAGCAGGGCGCTAACGACTCGAAAAGGGAGACCACTGTAGCCACCTCTGGGCCCTCTGTCGATGTAGGGGCCATGGGAAGAAGCCGATGGACGTCTGGCGTGTCTTCTTCCAACGGCGGTGGGCCTTCGTCATCGTGCCAGGTCGTGACGCCATCCCTTGGCAAGCATTCGGCCAGGCTGGAAATGTGCAAGTGCCGAAGAATATAGGTATACGCCAAGAGCAAGAGAGCCATGTTGAAGCGCAAATCCAGCTTGGTAGCGTAGGTGCGAGACATGTGCTGAAGGCAGGTCGTGTACATCGACGCCTGCGAAGGCAGCCATGGCGTATGCATAGTAGGCCGTTGCCACCAAAGCTGCGAAGGCTGCTCTCCTTCGGTGAAGTACATGGCAGCTGCTTTGGTCGGTTCACGTAGGAGCGAAGTGAACTGCTCACGCTCACGCAACGTAAGCAGGCCAAGGAGTTGCTCAGGGGTATAGTCGTCCAATGTAGCTTCGCGCGGAGGCTGGGCATCCAAATCCGATATGTCCTCGGTATCGGAGACATCGTCGTCGACACCTTCTCCTGTCTGCAGACGCCACAAGATGTCGAGTGCCTTTTGGCGCTCCGCCTCATCGACAGACGCATCCTCTTTGCTCACATTCTCCCGAGCGGATCGCACCGAAAATTCAGGCGAACAAGCATGCGAAGTCGCTCGGAAACAAGCCAGAGAACAGTAGGGCGCATTGCATGTAGGGCAGGTATACGCGGCCTTGTTCGTCAAGCAACTGGGAGGTAAGTCGACCGTGTGACGTACATCGCACAAAGACGTGTAGGGCCTTGCTCAGACAGTTCGGTAGGCTGGTACCCAATACTCGCATCGCGACGAATTGCGCGCTTTATATGGTACAGATCCGACAGCGACATAGGCCGCCTCGTTGTATGGTAGGTGCGCCGACGCTGTAAATCGTAGTCGTAGTCGTATCAAGTGGAGGAACATACATCGTACTGCTATTTTTACCTTACTCTACAAAGGCCCTGTCCAGCGAGGGCGGTGCAAAATACTCGGCGCGAGAATCTCCTGCGCACTTTGAACGATGCGCAACTCACGAAGCCGCATGATTTTCACACGCTCATCCACTTCGGCCAGGTGCGCTGGCTGAAACGGGTCGATGCCTTGCCGCTGGCCCTCGGCAATCATCGTTTCTCGTGTACGTTGAAGCACATGCTGGAGCGAAGCGACCGCGTACATCACAGCTCGGGCCACTGGCAACGTACACTCGTCCCCTGCGGCAGGCTCACGAGGTGCGGCAGCTACTTCGTCCGAAGTACGGGCCGGTCCAGGCACATCGGTGCCACGGCACGAGAAACGCGAGAGGACCAGCGAGGCAAACAAGTCACCTACACCCGAGAAGTACTCGCCCAGTGTCGGGAATTGAAGTAGCCATGATGCGTCGCTTCCATCTTCCTGAACACTGGAACCAACCAGCAGCATGGCCGGCTGGCCATCCGCCATGGTCGGCGTAGCGCCGATTTTCTTCATCTCGGATTCTGGAAGCTCCAGAGAGGTAATAACCACATTGGGCACCTTGTATTTGTAATGCAGTACATGCAGCGCATGCTGCAAGGACGAAAGCGTCGTAATCTCGTGGCCGACCAAGACCTGTGCCTCAAATTGGTTGGGGCAGATGATAGTAGAGAGCGACAGCATGCGGCGGTAGATCGGGAGCACATCAGGGTTGACATACATGCCGCGGTCCATGTCACCCATGACGGGATCCAAGAGGTAAATCACGTCAGGGTTCTGCTTCCGCAACGAAATAATGAACGCTTCGACGACAGCCAACGCTTCGGGAGATGGCGTATACCCCGTGAGGAGGCGATCGTGACGCACAAGGCCGTTCTGATCCATCCCTGTAAGAATGTCATTCAGCTGCTGTGCATCAAAACGATGGCCACCCCATCGGCCATAGCCAGTGTGATTGGAAAACTGCACGGTATTCAGAGCGTCAACATCCCAGCCTAGCAGCTGAGCAGGAAAGGTAGCAGATCGATTGCCTGCCTTATAAGAAACATGCATACATACCGACATAGCCCGTCACGACATGGCTTTGGATTGCCAGCAAACGATAGGCCGGGGGGGCAGACATGGGGAAGGGATGAACCGTCGTGCCTGGGACGCTCCGCACTGATTTGCGAGAACGAGCTGACTAACCCCGGAAAATGGGCATTAAGCTGCTCTCGTTGTCCCTCCACCACCTAAATTAGTCGGCGTGGCTTGGCATACGATTCCATCGCGCACGGCCATGTCGAATTTGGACCGCGACACGGCGCCAGGCCGAGGCACGGCTTGGGGCGTTCCATCAGCTCGTGATGTGCTTCACATGCAGCCACGTCACGTAACTACCGACCGTTCTGCGAATCCAGACCAACGGCAGCCGAGTCGAACGGCCGAGCATGCACAGGTATGTTGCAAGATGCTAACGGTAGTCGCTTGGGTTTCGAGAGGAAGCGATGGCCGCTGGCCAAAAGAAGGGTCTTGATTTAGATTTACTGGCGAAGGAAAAAGCACGGATCGCTGCGGCAGCCCAAGTCCCATCGCCTGCGGACGAAGAGACGGGCGATGAGGAATTGGAGGCGGCTTGGGCTGATGGGCAGCAGAAAGCCCCTACGGCTCCATCCAAGTTTCGCAGTGTAACAGAGGCGCCTGAGATCATATATGTGAATGGGAAGCGCATGCGGAAGAAGAAGAAGAAGACGGCGGCGACGATAGCCCCCGCATCGCATGGGAATGTGACGGATAAGACGACCAACATCGTACGCGTCCCTCCTCCTGCCCTACCTGAAGGCTGCGCAGATCCAACATTTGAGAAACAGGCCACGCATGCTCCGTCGTTTGCAGTGCAAGTCGATGACAACGACGACGATGCCGATATCTTTGGCGAGGCAGGTGTATGGGACGGCTTGTCTGACGACGAAAACGAGAAAGTATCTACAGAACAAGCTCCTACGACATCTTCTGAATCGACGCAGCGCAACTGGTTTGCGACGGAGACGACCCCTTCTCCCCCACCTACGAAAGCTGTCGCAGCCGAGGTTCAGGCGGAGGCTGAGACCGACGAGAGCGAGAGCCCACCTGCACGGCTCGAAGGACTAAGTTCTTCTGCCCTTCCCTCTGACTGGAGTCGGTGGCTTCTCGAACGGGAAGAAGCACGGGACGCACGGCGTGCTCACAGCGAAAGCGGACCGGTGCCACGCAAGCGCAAGCGAAGCAAGAAAGGACGCGGCGATGTGGAGAGTCCGTAGCGTTAAGTATGTATGTAGATTATTGGCCTAGCGCCTGGCATGAACGCAATAAATCCTATACACGCGCGACGCGTGCGTACATGGCGCGCGCGTGCCGCGCGCGTTCGGCCACGTCGCGCCCTCGTTTGTTCTCTCTCCGCTACAGCCACCGCATCCACCGCGTGACGACGATCGACAGGCATGGCGTCGCGGGCAAAGAGGCTCGAAGCGTTGGCCGCGCTACGAGCGTCGCGTAATGGTGGACCTCGTGTTCACCCCAAGACGGAGGACGACGACGTGTCGATTTACGACGAAGTGTCGGAAGAGACGTACCAGTCCATTGTGCGTGGCCGCATGATGGAAGATGACTTTATCGAGGACGACGATGGCAGCGGGTACGTGGACCATGGTCAAGATGAATGGGAGCATGGCGATGCTAGTGCGTCCGAGTCTGAGACGGAGCAAGAGTACTTTGAGCGGACAGGCCGCCGCAAGCCTAAGAAAGGCAGTAAACGGGCGCGTGCGCAGCGAAGTGCCCAGAACGACTATTTGGGCCAGACGCATCGTACACGTCCTACGCCTGCTCAGCTACAGGCGCGTCGCGAGGCGGTTGTGCCGCCCCGGTCGAAAGAGACGGAAGAGGCGTTCATGTCGCAGCTGTTCGGTGGGTTGGCGCCGATGAGCACACCGGCCAGGCCGATGGCGACGCTGGCCCTGGACGAACATATGGACTCGCCGTCGTTGGCGATGGCTCGCAAGCGGAAACAGGCCGCGGTCGCGACATCTATCGCCCCCACCTCGCTCCCGGCCTTGGTCCCCGACAATGGCTCGTCGACAGAGCCCAGCAGTGATACGCCAGAGATGGCTTGGAGCCATCACGAGGATACACCTACGTCGAAGCGTCTGCGAAGTGATGAGGCGCCTATGGACGAGGAAGACGAAGAGGAGGAAGACTTCCAGCAGGTCGCCGTTCAAGGGAAGCGAGAGGCTCAGGTGGTAAGTGCATCCACAGCCCCGGTGCCGTCCACATCGACGCCGGTGCGTGCCCCGCAGGTAGCGCCAGAGACGCCGGCGCCTCACTTGCAGTCGTGGCGTAGCGTACACACTAGCTTGGCCGAAGCGTCGCCCGTCGAAACGCCGACGCCCAGTGTACGTACATCGCATGCGACGGCGTCCTCTACTGCGTCGAGCATTCAGTGCTTCGAGGCCGATCGTACCGTGCCGTTTTTCTGGCTAGACTACTTTGATATGCACGGGAAGATCTTCCTCTTCGGCAAAGTGCTGGACAAGGCGACGCAGCGCTATGTCAGTGCAAGCGTTGCGATTGATGGTATGGAACGCTGTGTGTTCTTGCAGCCTCGCGCGCGCACGCTGGAGCATGGCCACGAGACGGATCGTGTGCCAAGTGAAGACGATGTTTTTGAGGAATTTGAGTCGATGCGCTCGCAATTTGGGATCAAGTCGTGGCTTGGAAAATGGGTCACGCGGAAGTACGCGTTTGAGCTGCCGGACGTGCCAGCGGAAGGCGCGTACTTGAAAGTCAAGTACGGCTTTGACGAGCCGCCGCTGCCAGCGGACATCCAAGGCGCGACGTTCTGCCGCGCGTTTGGTACCCATACCTCGGCCTTTGAGCTGTTTGTCGTGAAGCGGCGCATTATGGGCCCATGTTGGCTGCGGCTGGACGAGGCGAGTGTGGTGCAAGGCGCGCCGCAGACATGGTGCAAGCTCGAGCTGAGTGTCGACGATCCGAAGAACGTGACGCCGTACTTGGATAGCGATGCCTCTGCGCCGAAAGAGCCGCCGCCACTGACGATTATGAGTGTGGCCTTGCGTTCTGTGGTCAACTTTAAGGAGAACAAGCGCGAGGTTGTCGCAGTGAGTACGCGTGTATGGCGGGATATGTCGATCGAGAACGCGACGCCGCCAGAGCAAGTGCCGTCCAGTTCGTTTACGGCGGTGCGGTCGCTAGGCCCGTCGTTCCCACCGCGCTTTGAGGCGGAGGCGGCGCAAAGCAAGACCAAGGTGAAGGCGTTCAAGTTTGAGCGTATGGTGCTCAACAGTTTCCTGGGCCAGCTGCAGCTGCACGATGCCGATGTGGTTCTCAGTCACGACCTGGTCGGCTCGACGCTGGACATCTTGCTGCATCGCATGCGCGACTTGAAATGCGAGCAATGGACGCGGCTGGGCCGTATGCGGCAGGATGTATCGCGCCTTGCGAAGCAGCACATGCACACACGCATGCTGGTCGGCCGTCTCGTGGCGGACTTGTCGAGCGACACAGCGAAGGGCATGATTGCCTCGACGACATGGTCACTGAGTGAAATGTGCCGCACGCATTTGAATGCGCAGCGAGAAGATATCGATCCGGACGATGTCGCGTCGTACTTTGACTGCACGGCGCCGACGCCGGAGCGGCTATGGACGTTTGTGCGCCACTGTGAAGTGGACACGTTCTTCCAGATGGCCCTGGCGTGCAAGGTGCAGCTGCTCGCCCTCACGAAGCAGCTGACCAACCTGGCGGGCAATGCGTGGTCGCGCACGCTGAACGGTGGCCGTGCAGAGCGCAACGAGTACATTTTGCTGCACGAGTTCCACAAGAAGAAGTACATTTGCCCGGACAAGCAATCGGCGTGGGACAAGAAGGCGGCCAAGAAGGACGAGCAGGCGAAGAAGGAAAAGTTCAAAGGTGGTCTCGTCTTTGAGCCGAAGCGTGGGCTCTGGGATCGGTACATTCTCGTGATGGACTTCAACTCGCTGTACCCCAGCATCATCCAGGAATTCAACATTGACTTTACGACGGTCGAGCGCCATGCGAATCAGGAGGACGTGCCGGATCTGCCGTCGTCGGACACCATGCAAGGTGTGCTGCCGCACCTGATTTCGACGCTCGTCTCGCGCCGCCGGCAAGTCAAGGCGCTGATGAAGGACAAGCATGCGCCGCCGCTGAAGCGCTTGCAGTGGAACATCAAGCAGCAGGCGCTCAAGCTCACGGCGAACAGTATGTACGGCTGCCTGGGCTACGAAAACTCGCGGTTCTACGCACGTCCCCTAGCGGCGCTGACGACCTTCAAGGGCCGTGAGATTCTCTCCACGACACGCGAGCTCGCTGAGAGTATGGCGCTCGATGTGATTTACGGTGATACCGATAGTGTGATGATCAACACACGCTGCATCGACTATGCGTCGGCGATGAAGATCGGGCATGAGTTCAAGAAGGCCGTCAACGAACGCTACCGTCTCTTGGAAATTGATATTGATGGCGTGTTCCAGCGCATGCTCTTGCTCCAGAAGAAGAAGTACGCGGCGCTTCTGGTCAACGAGCAGGGCGAGACCAGCACGGAGATCAAGGGTCTGGACATGAAGCGCCGCGAGTACTGTGCACTCTCGAAGAAGGCCTCTGCGTACGTCCTGGATCAAATTCTCTCCGGCGAGGCAACCGATACCGTCGTGGAAAAGATCCACGAGTACCTCCAGCAACTCGCCGACGATGTGCGGCAGGGCCGCATCCCGCTGGACGAGTACGTGATTTACAAGCGTCTCGGGAAGCGGCCCCAAGACTACCCAGACGCCCAGACGCAGCCGCACGTCCAAGTCGCGCTGCGTATGCTCGCAAAGAACGAAAGCGCACGAAGCGGCGATGTGATTCCGTACGTGTTCTGTGTCGGTCCTACGACGGCCCATACCAGCAAGGCTACGCAGGCCGAGCGTGCGTTCCACCCCGACGACGTACGTCGGCACCATGACGACCCAGCGTACGCCATCGACTACAAACACTACTTGTCATTGCAAATCTTGCCGCCCATCGAGCGCTTGGCAGAGAACATTGAAGGCACGGATCGGGCGCGCTTGGCCGAGTGCCTCGGCTTGGACGCACATGCGTACGCTGTGCACACCAGCGTCGACAGCACGCGCGAGTTTGCGACGCTCGAGAGCCAGGTGCCGACTACAGTGCGCTTTGCGCACTGCGACGCCTGGTCCGTCACCTGCCCTACGTGCCACCACTCGACCGCCATCCCGCCACTGCGTACGGCGGTCCGCGCCTCCACGCCATGGCTCGCCTGCGCGCAGTGCCACGCGTCGTTCTCACGCGCGTCGTTGGTCGTCCAGCTGGAGCTGGCGATCCGACGGCACATTGCGACGTACTATGAGGGCAAGATGACATGCACAGAATCGTCGTGCCGCGCCACGACGAACATGACAGGCGTGTACACAGGCCGGTGCGTCGCGACCAACTGCCGCGGCAAAGTACAGGCCGTGTACTCAGACAAAGCGTTGTACACGCAGCTGTGCTACTATGCCTACTTGTTCGACGGCGCCCAAGCTCTCGCAGAGAGCGGCGAGACGGATTTGCATACGCGTGTGCAGGACGCGATCGAGGCGCACCACGCGACGCTGGCGCTGCTGCATGCGACTGTGCAGCAGTACCTCTCCCGCAACGGCCGTCGCTACGTCGGCCTGGGAAAGCTGTTTGCCTTTATGCGTGTACGCACATAAGGCTGTTGTATAGACTACATAGAGGGACGGGCCGTCAGCACGGCATCCAGACCGGGTATCTCGTAGGGCAGCGTCGCGCGGCCCAGGGTATCGCTTTGCAAGAGGGACTCGATCGCATCGCGTTTGACGGCGCGGTAAATGTCCAGCTCCATCGCAATGTCCACGTCGTTGTCGTCCGTCGTAGGCATGGTGGTGGTGGCACGCCGTGGGCGGACGTACGGGGACGCTACGTCGTCCTCGTCGTCTTCGTCGTCCTCGTCGTCCTCGTCGCCGTCGTCGCCGTCGTCCCACGTTTCGTTCATCGAGAGCGATTTCCGCTCCTGCTCGCTCATAAACGAGCCGAACTTGAGCTGCTTGCGGAGCGATCGCAGGGAGCCGCAATCTTTGATGACGCGCATCTTGTCGTTCGCATCCCCGGCGCGGCCCAAGTAAATCTCGTCTTGGTCTTCTAAATGGGCATCGCGGAATCGGTCATATATGCTCTCCCACTTCTGGCGAAGCCGTTGCGCGGATTGGTACCGCTGCCATTCCAAACTCTCTGTCCCATCGTCATTGAATTGCGCCGGCGGCGGGGGCGCACGAAAGACCAACGGCTGGCCACTGCCAAATACAGGCTTGGCCGTGGACACGTCGCGCGGCGAGGCACGTCGCTCCAGCCCTAGCGATTGCTGGAGGAAGGCATTGTCGTACGTCTGCGACATGGCAAGACGTACGGTCGTGCACCCGAAGATGTGTCGCAATCACGTCGCGTCACAGTAGGTACGGCTCGCGCAAGGCGGACACGGAGCGCGTAGCCGAGCAGAAGGCGCCCTGGCCTCCCTCCACGCGCAGACGTCGGCCGATGAACGCGCGGCTGCGTACACGCCGTAACGGAGGCGGCCGCGCCGGGGTCGCAGCGGTCAGGTCCGTGCTCCAAGACAGCATGCGCAAGGAACGCCGCGAGGCGTTGGGGCACGTACGTACCATACCGCTCACCACAGTTACAACGTGTGACCGTAATTCTGTGTATCTATGCTTACTTTCTCGATGGGATCCTGCTGCTCCTTCTCGCCCGCTTGGTGGTGTTTTATGTACGTAGCGCCATGGTCTCACCCACAGCAATATTGTACGTGCAAGAGCCTACTTACGCAGTTCGCCCGCACCTCATCGGGTCACATCGTAGCGTTGCCGGCTACGCACGCGCCAATACTGTGTTTCAGTGTGCTTGCGTGACACTGCAGCTCTTGCATGATCGCACACCCACACGCAAACGATTCTTGCTGGACTTTGTGGGGCAAGGTACGTACAGGCCATCTACGAACGAACACACAGACTATGTCGCCTCCCCATTCCTCCTGGTCTTTGTCGACGTCCTCATCTGGTTCTTTCACATGATCGTGATTGCCATGACGGTCGAGGAGGTGCATTGCCGCCGGCATCCAAGTCGTCTCAATCGGTTGGACGTCACCGAGGCGGATCGATACCCACTCACATCCATGCCTGCAGACGCAACACACCACGATACGGATCGCGAGCCTCTACTAGACGAGCAAGAAAGTAACGACGCAGCTGGGAAGCCCACCACCTCGACATCCGAGTCGTTTGTACCATCCACCGAGGAGCCCATTGCCTTCATTCGGTGGTCCATGCTGTGGCGGACAGGCGCAGCACCTCATACTGGCATCACAGCTCATACACCACCTGCTTCTGCACCGTCATAGATACCCACATATTGCCTCTATACAGTATTGCACATGTAGGGCTGCTTCAAAACGGACAAGCCACAAGATCAAGCCAGGCCGATCTGCACAACTCTCTATCGCTCTCCCCTGCTAGTTTAAGTGCACTGCTCATGAACAAGAGCAGCGACTAGATAATGAACAGGGTTCCTGACAACGAACAGCACTCATCTTCACACACAAGAATGGGTCATATTTTGGTTTTCAAACAGGCGTGCATTTCTACACACCATCCCATGTCGACCTAGGCATACTAGAACAACATGAGACTCATATTTTCAGCGTACGCTGGAGGCATATGACAGTCAAGATCCTAGATAGGCATGATGTACATGCGAGTCATGCCAGTCATAACCCGCAAGAGGCAGCAGGTCTTTTAGACTGTAATGTTAGTCAAAAATGGCAATACATACTGTTGCTCGGGTAGAGCATCACACGGACCGGGGCACCAAAGGCCTCCGGAGGGATGTTGCTGCGGAACTTGCTGCGCACAACACCATTGCCACCGTGTGTCCGGGTGACACGGCCCCAGATCACGCGGTACTTGCTGCCACGGACCGAGGTCGGAGCCTTGTAGATGTAGGCAATGCGCTACAATGTTAGTCTTGCCCCGGACCACAGGCCCTTGCGGCCTGCTATGGTACATACCTTGCCAAGGTAGAACTGAGCGTCCTTCGAGCTCTCAACACCCTCGATCTTAATGAGCGAAACGTTCGGGTGCGAGTTGCGCTTACCGCGCCGGTGACCCAGGATCCTGCCCTTGCTGTAGAGACGAGTCTGTATAGTGTAAGTATACGTTCCATCATGCACCGCAGAGCGTAACGACACTCTGCCGGTCAAACATACCATCTTTCTGTTCCCCGAGGAAATGGTGAGGTACGACGAGACGACCACTGTCCACGTCCTTTCGCTCCTTGCTTCGTTTCATCACGTGATAATATCGTAAAACTATAGCACCGGTAATCACGTGTGCCCGTCACATGTGGAGGTGCCAAAAATTTGGGTACGCCGTCGCCATGGTGCGGCACGACACGCGCTGACCACATGGGCCGTATCCAGCGAAAGAAGCGCAATCACCACGCCCGGCGAGGTAGGTACATTGTATACATGCAGCTCATTCTACGCAGATATTTCAAGGGCGGCTCGCACACGCGCCCGCAAGCTGGATTACGACCAGCGTCATGAAAATGCCCTGGACGCGTCCAAGCGTGCGAATCTGGAAGCGCCTACCGAGCTGGATCCCGACAAGGCGGGTCTCGGTATGTTCTATTGTGTCGAGTGCGATCGTCACTTCCCGAACTCGAACGATCGCAATGCACACCTAGCCAGCAAACTTCACAAACGCATTGCCAAGAAAGTGCTCACAGAAAAACCGTACACCCACGAAGAGGCTTTGCGCGGCGCAGGCATCGGCGTTGACAATAAGCAGCGCAACTCGGACCGCATTGAGGCAGAGCAAGAATGATCAGTTCGTCTCACGATACCCTGCACAAAAAATTGTCAGGCGCTGTACGTGCTACTAGAAGTATTCCTGTACTACATAGAATGTAACATAGATCATGGCTTGTTTATTCTTTCATGAACAATGAGACCTGTGTCGTGGGACACCATGCCCGGCGTCGACCAAGGGTGCCAAGACTAGGCACGCCAAGCCACGTGGCCAAATGAAGCCTTGATTTCGTGGGGGGAAGGTGCACGGATATTATCGCTTTATCTCGGGATATCATGACGAAGCACGTCGTTGTTGTAGGTGCTGGTGGTATGTGACTCGATGAGGCGTAACATGGCAGTGCTGGGCATTACAAGTGCGCTGGAACTTCGCAGGAAGGGATATAAGGTAACCGTGTTAGCACGTGAAATCCCATGGGACGTCACATCGCAATCGTTTGCGTCGCCGTGGGCGGGAGCTAACTGGTGCTCGTTTGCGAACACCAAGGAGGCGGAACGACGACGTGATGCTATCACGTACAAGCGTTTCAAGGAGCTCGAGAAAGAACTGCCGCCACATGTGTTGGTATCAATGCCATTCACTTGTTATGATGTACTGAAAGACGACTGGGATCAGTATTGGTTTGGCGACGTGTGTGGTGGTGTAGGTATTGGATCCCGGCTGACAGACAGGTTGAGCAAGTGGAAAATCACGGTAACAAGGTAGCCACGGAGGCGCCCTATGCGTACAAGTTCACTTCCTTCACGCTTGATGCGCCGACCTATCTGCAATGGCTTGCTGGGCGTTTATTGGGCAAGGACGAGCCAGGTCCACCAGCAAAGCTGGTGCGTGTATCTACCCTCACGTCACTACGCCAAGCCGCTTTGCTGGTCCCTGACACAGACTTGATCATCAACGCTACGGGCCTAGGAAGTCAGGATGTGGCAGAGTCGGCGGACAAGGATATGTACCCCATTCGTGGCCAAACAGTGCTGGTGTGGGCCCCACGAATCCAGAACAAGGAGGAAGCGCATTGCGTTAGCATGATCGGAAAGAATGGCGCTTCGTATGTCATTCCGCGTGCGCGTAGCGGCCGAGTCATTTTGGGAGGCACGTTCCATGCGCGTCAGTCCAATCCGCTGACGCCGGACCCGGCGGTGACGGAGCGCATTTTGAAGGACGCCGTGCAACTGGCGCCAGAGTTGCTGCCAAAAGACGTGGATCCTTCTTCTCCAGATGCGTGGAAGCATATTGAGGTGATTCGTGTGAACATTGGCGTGCGCCCTGCACGGGAAGGCGGCGCGCGTGTCGCGCTTGATTCCACGCCGATGAAAGTGCATGGCAAACGTGTGGGCATTATCCATACCTATGGCATTGGTACGTATGGTAACAAGTCTCCTAACTATCTAGGCCCTGCAGGCTACCAAGCGAGCTATGGCATCGCAGCCGAAGTGTGCGAGCTGGCAGAGCTATGGGAGAACGGCCATGGGAGCCGCGCCGCCCGTTTGTAGGCTTGCAAAGCCGTAGGCGTCCAAGGCATAATCACGTGATAGGTGGCCAGGCCCAGGAAAAAAAAGATAAAAAGGCCGCAAGCGCCGTCGAGCGTCGCTCTTCTACCGCTCCGGTATGTTGTGGGACCCTCTGGGACCCTGGCATACGTACCACGGAAGGGATGCGCCAGCTTTAAGGCAACCATGAGCCTTCACGGGCGAGTGGTCGTGTGTGTAGACCGGTTGGCGGAGGCGGAGAACAACTTGCCCATGTGGCCCTCGTATGTTTCGTGCTGTCTGTCTGCCTACGACGAGCGTCAAATTGGCGTTTGCAGGACAAAACCTGGGTATTGATCGCCCTGTATTGGCGCAGGTCTACCTGGTTGAGTCTGAGCGATTTGAAAGCGACCGTAGTAACGGGGCAGTGCCAGTACGATGTGGTGCATGGTGCGAAGACCACCCTAATTTCATGGCCTAGAGGAGAGCTGCTATGCGGCCATGTCCTGATGGGTCACAACCTAGGGTTGGTACATCTATGTATCGCTTGTCAGATGTAGGTAGACAAAAAAAATCGTTTCACACTATGGTGCGGGAGAAGGCGCATGAGCTAGCTGTACAATGGTTGGCAAGGATATATTAGATGCCTTAAGCTGCCAGACGCTCGGCGGTTGCATCGCGCTTGGCCTGGAGAACCGCCAATTTTTCTTCTTTGGAAGCATTGAACGACACATGCACCTGGTTGAACGGATTTTCCTTCGACTTTTGGAACTGCTTGTACAGCAAGTCGTTGTACTGTTGCAGACGCAGGCCGGGGTGGTCCTGCTTGAGAATCGGCAGTTCGCGCTCCTTGTACGCCTCGAAAGCCGCCTTGAAACGACGTTCAGGATGCTTCTCGATACTGCCGGCTGCTGCGCCACGGCCTGCCTTGTCGGTGCGTGCATTCACAAGCTCCATCGCATCCAGGGCATCGTCCAGACTAGTAGCATTGAGGGCCGCAATCTGCATATCGAGGTCATCTAGCTCGTGATGGTTCTTGGCGCCGCTGCCACCACCACCACCACTACTACTCTTACTCGTACTCTTGCCCTTGTTCTTCGCACTCTTGTCCGTGCCATTGGATCGCTTTCCAGGGGTGCTGGCCTCGTCCTCTTCGGCCAGACGCTGCAACTCGGCTTTCTTGCGGGCCTTTTCAGCCGCCTTCTCGTTACGCAGGTCCGCGGCCGACTTACCGCGAGCACCTTGCTCCCACTTCGCTGCCTCGGCCTCTTCCGCCTTCGCGGCAGCTTCGGCCGCCTTGCGTTCTGCCGCCTCGGCCTTACGAGCGCGGCCGGCGACAGCCTTTGGGTTCATTTTGGGTGCCATGATGATGACAAAACGTGGGGAACGTACAAGGAGGGACGACGCCACTTTGATCGATCGCCCGTGCGGGGCGCGTGACTTGGCACCCAAGCGCGTGGAGGTCAGGTGCGTCGGCGTAGGCCCTCCTCCTCGTTTCCGTGGCGTGTAAAGGCGGCGGCATGACACACACGGAGGCTGCGCAGGCGGCCCCGGACGATGCCATAGTACTAGCCCGCGCATGTTTAGAGCGCCTGCGTGCGCTACGTACCCTAAAGGCGACACCTGCGCCATGGGATACGACATCGTTGCATCCGGAAGATCGCGCGGCGCTTACGACATCGACATCGCATACCGAGGCTCTAGCGAAGGTGAACACGCAGATCCGGCAGTTGGAGCAGCGTATGGACGAACTAAAGCACGCGTTCAGCGCGCAAATGCGGCAGTCCTTTGAGTCATCCCTTCGTGGCGTGTTCCAGGGCGACGGCGCTGAGAACGGCACGGAACTCACGGATGAGAACCAAGTGCTGAACGAAGAAGGGTTGCCGTTCGTTGATCCGTTGGAAGCGTTGCCGGATTCACCGCCGCAAACCCCTGACCTAAGCGGGCATGGACTCCCGCGCCCGACAGGCAATGTCCTGGGCCGCACGCCAGGTCACGTCGAGCCCTTTGATCCGACCCTGCAAGGAGAAGAGCGACGTCAATGGATGTCGTCGGTGTTCGACGAGTTGGAGCAAGAAGAAGCAGCAGAGCGACAGGCAGAAGAGGCAGCGGCAGCCGAAGCACAGAAAGCCAAGTCACCTCTTACTCTTCGCCGTGGCTTCTTGCAGAACGCCGCTGCCACGCAGGCGCAAGATACGACGCAGCGCACCAAAAAGCATGTCCGCATCGTCGAGCCGTCCGAGGAAACTACTACGAACGTAGAAGCACCTGCGACCAAGCGCAAAGCTGTGCCGCTCGGTATGGACCCGGAAGATGCAGGTGTACAAGAAGAGGCGGCGCGCATTGTCGAGCTGCTAGGGCCTGAGGTGATTCGTGGGCATCCCAATGCCGAGCGAATCTTTGCTGATATGGAAGCGTCGCAGCCCCGCATCGTGCAGAAAGTCGTGCCTGACGACGAGGAGCATGCGACGCCCGCAGGACCCGCGGTCAAGGACACCATCGAGGAACGGTCGACCGCCGAGCCTACGACCATACGGACGCCCGGCAAGCGCAAAGCCAGTGCGTTTAAGCAGCGGCAAAGGGCCATGAAGGCCGAGGACGAGGCACGTCCCTCGGCGCCCAGCATTTCGCACGGCATTTCGGCGATCGAAAGGGCCGGACGGAAAGACGATGCCCAAGCGTCGCAGCTGCAGGGGGCCCGTATACCTCATGCACGACCGACCAAAGCGTATGCAGAGAAGCTGGCGCAGCGTGCGGCAGCGCGCGACGTGGACAACGACGAGGAGGAGGCGGCCCCTGCACGGCCACGTCGCGTGCGGTTTGGCGGCGATGAAGTGTTCCCCACCGACACGGAGACCGCGTACGAAGCAGAAGAGCGGATGGAAGAGGACGAAGATGCGCACGTCGTGCATCGCGATGAGGACGACGAGAACGAGGAGGCGGCCTGGGACGAGACGTACATGGCGATGGACGACGATGATGAGGGCGACGTCGATACGTGGCAAGACGACGACGACGCACTATGGGACAGCGACGACGACTATACGCCAACCGACGTGGAAGCCCTCAAACCAGCTATGCAAGGCCACCCGGACGACGCGTACTGGAACGACGACCTAGCGCGCGCGTATGCCGAGGCCAAGGCGCGGTTGGCATCCACGCCCTCGTCGGTAGCGGAGGATCCGCACGACGACAATGCGGAGACGTATGGCATTGCGCCGCTGTCGGCGTCGGTCGGCGACGATGGCCATCCCACGTCGCAGCCCCACGTATCGCGCTTCAAAGCCGCGCGCATGAAGGGCGAAGCGGTGCCCGATCCCAATGGCGACCTCGTCCCGGATCAACGCCGCGGACACGACACGGACGACGACGTGCAGCGAGGGCCGATCATGGTCCTCCCGTCCCTCGCGCCAGTGCGTTTTCCACGCCCCGTCGACGATAGCGAGGGTGGTGGTATCGATTTGGATGGCGAGAGCGATGAGGATGACGAGCGTCTGCATGCGCTGATGCGAGCGAGACTCTCTGTCGAGGAGTCGACAGCGCCGCCACCACCACCACGGACACAGAGGGCGCCTCCGACGGTGGGAGCGGCGTCCCGTAGCTAGCTATATACCCACGCACATCATACGAAACAAATATATCAGGCTACCGTCGCATCTATAGACGTGCAGCGGGGTATGGTCGTCAGATTAAGCGTCAGCGGTCAAGGATGGGTCCATCGCGAGGGGTTCCAGGCCACGTCGCAACAGATCCTTCTCACGCTCCAGCGCGTTCAGATCGACCTTATCAAACAGCCGCGAGCGTGGCGAGCCGGCCGGGCGTGGCAGTTGCTCGTCGCGATGCAGCACGACGCCGACATACCGACGCTCACGCTTGGCTGACGACGGGTGAGGCCGCACGGCTTCAGGCGCGTGCGCCTCAATGACTTTGCGCTGCGGCAGACGCAGAGGCAGGGTTCCCATCGGCGGGACAGGCGACTTGGCCGTCGTGTGCTTCTGAGGCTTGTAGAAACGCACAAAGCCTGGCACTGTCGCATAGAGCGTGTGGTCGCGGCCCATACGCACATGCTCGCCAGCATGCCAGGACGTGCCGCGCTGCCGCACGATAATGTTACCGGCATTGACAGTGGTGGAGCCGGGCTTCTTTACACCGAGACGACGACCTGCACTGTTGCGGTTGTTCTTCGTCGTACCACCACCGCGCTTCGCCGAGTTACGAGTTTGGATCGCACCACCAAACGTAAACGTGGGGAGCGCCGATGCTTGCCAGGCTGCAAGTGAAGGACGTGTGGTGTGTGGTGTAAGAAGAGCCGATGGCACTGGCGTCGCGATGCGCAACGACGCTGTGCGCATCGCGCGGAAACCCAACATCGACATGGTCCTGTGGAGCGACGGGGGCCGGCCGTCGTGGCTTCTTTCTTCGCTGGAGCACGTGACATTGCGTCGTCGTACGCTCCGCCGCGAGGTTCATGGCGGCTTCTTCTTCTTCGTGACGTCGCCGCCACTGACACGGAATGTGGCCGTTTAGCTCAAACAAGGAAAGCGCTACGCCGGTCGTCGCGCCTGCGCAGCCGGTGACGACGACAACGACGGAGCCACTTGATAACAACCCAACGGACTACTTGCGCTCACACGCGTTTGAAAAGCAGAGCGCGAGTGCCCCAGCCCCTGGCGCCGAAGAGGCACCGACAGCGGCTGCACTGCTGCGCCATACCGCACTCGACCCGGCGAAATTGCACCCTTTCGCGAATATCAAGGACGACTTGGAGTACCTGGACATTGAAGACGACAGGCCCAACTCGATCGAGGGCGCTCGGACAGCGCTGCCTTCGCGTGGCTGGAGCGATGACTTGTGTTACGGCACAGGTACCACGTACCTCGGTGGCCTCATGGTCGGTGGCCTCATGGGCCTGCGTGAGGGCATGACACGCCCCCTTGGCATTGAGTCGCCCACATTCCGTCTGCGCATGAACGCCGTGCTCAACCAGGTGAGCCGCCGCGGCACGTTTATCGGTAACAGCGCTGGCGTAATTGCGCTTACATACAACATCTTTGACGCAACGATCGACGCCGTTCGTGGCGTCCACGATATCTATGGCAGCCTGGCTTCAGGCGCACTCAGCGGCGCCTTGTTCCGCTGCACGTCCGGCCCACGGGCTATGATGGTCTCCAGCTCATTGATGATGGCATTCGCTGCGACATGGACGTTGGCGAAGCAGTCGTTGCTATAAGTAGGCTAGGCGGGAACGTAGACTTAATGAAGCGCGAGTGAGTACGCCTACCTGCGCGATGAGGTAGCGACGTCGCTGGGTGTGTGTCGCCTCCACATCATACGCCACCATCATGGTGGCTGGGTTTGCTCATGCACCGCTGACCAAAGGTACGTGCAGCGAGGCTGCTTAGACGGCAGCGACCATTGTGGTCATAGCACTAGCTTCGCTCACTGTATCTCTGCTCGACTTGAAAGTGTACATCCCCTTCCGTTTCGTGCCACATATGACAGTGTACCACCAATACTGGCAAGCCTGTGTGTATCATATCGTGAGCACCAACAGTGCCGAGATGTTCCTAATGCTCTTGCTCTTGCACTATGCAGGCCGCGATGTAGAGCGCGCTATGGGATCGAGAAAGTTTGCAGTACGTTCGCACATCCGCTGACGGTGCGCAGGTCTTCGGTCTGCTGATGATGTGCCTACACACCCTCTTGTCCCTGGCATGGGCCGCTTGCACGGTCTATGCGATACGCTACACGCCACCCTGGCTTGCCTGGATCAAAGAGGACGAGCGCCTGTCTATGGGCTACCTACCAGCCGGCCCTTTTGGCGTCGTGGCAGCGCTGGCCTTGCAGTACTACCGCCTCGTGCCCCCGCTATGGACAATCCGCGTGGGTGACATGGAAGTGACACACCGCGCATTGGTGGGCGCACCTATGGTAGCGGTACGTCGAGTGACAGGCCGAACTAACCACCAGCTGGCATTGGCGCAAGACTATGCGTCGTGTGTGTCTGTCCTTCTGGGTATGGCAGCTTCACGATGCTACAGTGCGTCATGGGGGCACCTAGGCTCGCTCTCCCGCCTCTCCTTCCCAGCATGCTGGGGAGCGTGGGCTCAGCGCTACCTAGCGCCGCTCGTCGGCTCGCGACCACTCCCGATGCGTGCGTCGCGCGCCCAATACTATCATCGAAGGCCGAGGTCCGAACCACCGGCGCCGCGTGCGGCATCACGTGCTACGTAGCGACGCAGGGGCCATCGTCCTGGTCGCTCCGCCCTTCCCTGCGTGCGCCATGCACGTCGCGGATGCGTTTCGGCAGCGTCTGCGGCAGGCGTGGGCGGAGCCCAGTGACCCCCCACCGGTATACAAGCCCGCACATGTACAGTATGTAATGATATTCTCGCCCCGCTGGACCGAGCACAAAGAGGCAGAGGACCCAGAGCGTTTGGTCGGGCAGCTGTTGATGTACACAAGCACGGAAGGCGCCGTCTCGCATGGGCAGATGACGCGACAGGTAGCGATGGCCAATGCCCTCATCGACTTTACTGCGTCGATGCACCAGCATATTCATACGCTCCCCACGACCAACTTGCGCTCGTTAGCCATTGCTTTAGCGACAAGGCGCATGTACCTGTTGGAAGTGCTGCCGGATCTGTGGATGTACACGGTATGTCTATGCCTACTAACCACAGAGCATTGCCCTCGCCCAGTGGATTGATCCGACCACAGCTACGACGGCCCATGCCCGCATTGTCGATACGTGGATGCTTCAGCAAATGCTTGATGCGTGGCAGGGATGGCGTGTATGTACGAGGTGACTGACCTCCCCAGCTAGAGTACGATACGCCTTATACGTTGCTGTGTACACAGGGGCGCGCTTCGTTGGAATCTGCTTTGGAACGCTACTTCTCTAAATGGGTATGGACGTGGGATGTCGAAGGGCAGTATGCGCCGACGCTGCATGCGTCGCCGCCCGCCACTACGCCCTCAGGCTTGGTCGTAGAGACGATGCCAGTCCTCGCATCGTACCCTGGCCTAACATACGATGATATAGCACAGTCTCTCGCATGGTTCATGCATGCGAGTCAGGCTATGGAGACGCCAGCGCCTTGGGATATGATGTTGCTCTACGATGATCAGCTGGTATGGCCTATGGCACACTCGCCTCACCAAGACGATGAAAAACTCTCCCCTCATGAACGACGTACCATCGCACGGTATATCCTGTCGCGTCTGCTGGGGCTCGATACAGCGCGAGCCAAGGCAGCTACAGCGTTTGCAAAAGCGCCGCCGACGCATCGAGACGAGAGGGGTAGGGACCCTGACATCTCGTCAGACATGGACGTATCCACGACCAGCATATGGCCGGAGCTACCATACATGGGCGACTGGCTCGGGCAATGGTCCTTGGACTCGTTGTGGCCCCGCACTACGTCGTCGTCATCGTCGTCATCGTCAGCCACGCCGTTGGAGCAGAGTACCAGTTCGCTCTCTCGTCCAGGTATGAGAGAGGCAAGAGCGCCTCGCTCTACCGATGTCCTAGCGGAAGAATCTAGGTCCCAGCAAAGAGACGAGGAGGGCAAGGAGGACGAGGAGGACGAGGACGTGTCGCCATCGCCTAGGTTGCCGACGACGCCGACACCCCAGGTACCTACACACACCTCGCCCTCAGCAGATCAGTCGCCTGCAGCCACCACGACCTTGCATGCATTCCATGCGCGATTGGAGGAAGCGCTAGGCGAGAGTGAGCCTGTCCCGACCGTACCTGCTACGGCGACCGTGACCACAACTGTCGCATCCAAAGACCCCACAGCGTCGACACGCAAAGAGGATGCAGCACAACAGTTGCAGGGCATATCGCAGGCGTACAAGGCCCTGTCAACGGGACGCAGATCAGCGCCGACGACGCCGCATCGGCTTGCAGCCTCTTCTTCCACGTCGACTAGTACGACAGCTGCGCCTGCTTGGTACACATCATGGCGCCCGAGTGCTGTGCCGCCGAGTACGTCGCATGACTATGCACTGGACGGATGGGGCCCAGAGACGCCGGCTCCATGGCATCGCATGACGTTGCATGTAGGGGGACAAGACGATGTGCCATTGACAGCGGCAACGCCGGCGGCTCTATCGACGTACCCTATCCAAGTGGCCTACATGACGCGACAGCTGCTTACGGCCGTGCTCGTATGGCGTACACCGATTACGGACGACGAACAGGATACATGGCGGGCACCGACATGGGAATGGATGCGTCGTGTACAACGCGTGCTCAACGACGTGCAGCGCAAAGCCCAGCACACAGAGGCGGCCCAAGCGGAGCGGCCGTACCTCCACGTGGATACCCCGACAGCCACAGCGCAAAATGCGCTTCGAAGTCCGGAGCCGCTCACAGCCAGCATGGAAGCGCAGCTGCTGCAGGCCCAGCACTGGATGCAGAAGCACCAAGTGACCAGCACGCTGGCCCGCGCAGAGCGACGACAGTTCTGGATTGCGTCACGAACGGCCGCGGATGCAGCGTCGCATACATTCCTCGTCCTACGTGGTGCTGCGCAACGTGACTATGGCATGGCAGAGTGTGATCAACACATGCGGCGACTGGCAGCGCAGCACACTGAGTTTGGTTTGTAAATTAGGTACGGTCTGCGACGTAGGCATGCAGTGCCTTGCGCCATGAGGCAGGCAGTTTCATAGGGCCTAGCGGCTTCACACAGAAACGGTACATGGCATTGGGCTCGTACGTCGACGGATCGAGACGACCCTGTGTGAAGGCGACCGATCCGAAAATGTCATCTGGCGACGCAACGCGCCCCGGCATGGCAACGTCGCGGGCATCGCACAAGTGCGCCCACCCGTCCTGCCGGACGTGCGCTTCGGTATCGAGCTGTTCGTCTTTGGGAATTTGTGCACGCAACACATCATGCAAGGCGGTCCAGAACGCAGCGTTCATACGCACATCGTCAGGGTGTGCACGCAAGAACGAGGCCGGGTCCTCATGCTCGGCACTCGTCTCGAGAGTGCCCACCACCGCCACATGGTGGGGCGACACAGGCGGCGTCGGCAGAAACGACACGGCCCATGTCCGTGGCGAGATCGCATGATAATACAGTCCTGTCTCAGAGTCTGGATCACGCTGCATGGTAGATAGGAGACGCGATGACATCATACGCAGGGGCTGCCATCGCACAGCGCGCACAGAGCGACTCGTGTAGGCCGCCAGCATCGTTGAGCGTAGTGGAGGTGTGAACGCCACAGGACCCACGGACTTTCAGCGTGGAGGCAGCAGCAGCGTCGGCGGCCCTCTCACTCCACACATACGCCATGGCGACCGACGAGGAGAAAGCGCACTTGCATATCGGCCTCATAGGCATGGGCGATATGGGTCGCCTGTACGCACGTCGCTTTATGGAGGCAGGGTGGAAACATGTGAATGTCTGCGACGTCCCGGAGAAGTATGAGGCGTTGCGCACAGAGCTTGCGCAGACGGGTCTCACAGTGATGAAAGATGGTCACCATGTAGCGCGTACCAGCGACTTTATCGTATACTCGGTCGAGGCAGGGAACATTCACCGCGTCGTGGCTGAGTATGGCCCATCGACCAAGGTCGGCGCCATCGTCGCTGGCCAGACAAGTGTCAAGGCGCCAGAAAAGGCGGCGTTCGAAGCGTACCTGCCTGACGACGTGTACATTGTATCATGCCACTCGCTGCATGGCCCGAACGTCGATACCAAAGACCAGCCACTCGTCCTGATCCAACACCGTGCGCCAGACGATAAGGTGCGCCTCGTCGAACGCATTCTGTCATGCCTCCAATCACGTTACGTCTACATGAGCTACGAAGAACACGATACTGTGACGGCCAATACCCAAGCTGTGACGCATGCCGCCTTCCTAACGATGGGCACGGCATGGAGTCAATCAAAAGACTACCCGTGGGAAACAGGACGGCACCCGGGCGGGGTGGAGACGGTCAAAATTTACTTGTGCCTGCGCATATACGGCGCCAAATGGCACGTATACGCTGGCCTGGCGCTCCTCAATCCCCAGGCAACAGTCCAAGTGACACAGTTTGCCACCAGTGCCTCGCTCCTGTTCAAGCTCATGCTGGCAGGTGATTATGATGCGCTGGTCCAGCGTGTCTTTGCCGCTCGACGTGGCGTGTTTGGCTGGCGCGACGACGAGTACGCGGAAGACGGTCCTGGAAAACGCCCCATGCTTATGAACGATGAACTGCTGCAGCAGTTTGCCGGCCTGGCGCAGCAGGCAAGTCATATATCGTCGCAGCATCATGGCGCAGACGCACTCACACCCCCACCCAACTCGCACTTGTCGCTCTTGGCCATTGTCGATTGCTGGCATGTGCTGGGCATCGATCCGTATCGCCACCTAGAGCTGGCAGCCACACCCGTCTTCCGTATGTGGATCGGCGTGACGCAGTACTTGTTTAGCTCGCCAGAACGTGTACTGGCAGCGTGCCGCGCTGCCGTGTACGATAGTAGTTTCCGGTCCGACGACTTGGAGTTTGTCGTGGCGAGCCGTGGGTGGTCCCAGGCTGTGCAGTTCGGCAACTTCGAACTGTACCGACGCCGCTTTGAGGCCACGCGCGCCTTTTTCGAGCCACGTCTTGCGGAAGCAAATCAAGTCGGGGCAGCGATGCTGAAATTGCTCTCGAAGTCCTCGTAGGCATCGTAGATTACCTCGCAAGAATCCAATCCTTATAGGCCTGTGTTTGCCCCCACCGTCGGTCCAGCAACGTTTGGGCGAGCCAGTGCTGTAGTGCCCGTCGACGCTCCTCGAGGAATGACGGATGGTACCTGTGCCACAGCCCCACATGCTGAGGCGGTAGCAGTGGTAAGTGTGCGGCGTAAGCTGGCGCTTCGCGACGGAGCTCGTCGGCCAATGTACAAAAGTCGCTGTATCGTTTGTGCACAGAAATAGTAGGGCCCTGTGATTTGTGAGTCATACAAAACGTACCGACGAAGTAGTAACTTGCAAGTCGTAGACAATCCATCCACGTGCAAGAGATCCGACACGGTGCCAGCCGTGAATGCGTACACTCGAGGCAAAGGTAGAGGGGGGCGCAGGAGGACGAGCAGGTAGCGCTGCAAGCTCACTCTCCGGTGAGAGGGATCGAAGCGATGACGTAGGTGAGGGCGGCGGTGGGACAGCGCTGGCCACAGGAAAAACTGACACAGTCGTTTCGTGGGCAGGCGTCGACGATGCGTGCGCTATGGCCTCAGGAGCGTCTTCGTGGGTAGTGTCATTGTGTTTGGGCGGCGTAGCAAAACAGGCCTGGAAAAACGCCGGTGGGCGGATGGAGATAGGTGGAGACGATGGCGGCGTAGGAAGCGGTAGTAAGGCCGTGCGGCTATTCGTTTGCTGCCGAGATCGATGCCAGTGTGAGCGTTGTTCGTACTCGCCTTGAAGCGAGGCGTGCAAAGCGTGGCTACGTGCGTGGAATGCGGAGGTTTCCGCGGTGGATGTTGGCAGGAGATCGTTCGGCGTAACAGCATGGGTGCCCCATTCCAACGTCTCGTCCGTCTGGGATGACGAGAGCCCGAGTGATTCATCCTTATGCACAGGCGCCGGCCGGGCCGAGGGCTCGCGTAAGACAATCAACCGCGAAGCGGTAGAAAACTGCGGATTCCGTTGGGGCCTTTGTCGTGGTGGCGGTGTCATAGCTGGCCGTATCGACGCGTCCGTAGGGCCACAATGGCGCCCCGCTTGCGCTCGTGCCATGGCCGTGCTACGTACGACACACGCGCGTGACGTGCCCCCTGTTGCTTCCCTCCACACAGATTGGGCCCTGACACATGCTGCGAGGGCTGCTGCTGGTGACCGGCCTTGTGGTGCTGCTCGTATGCGTCCGCCTCTTTATGGTGCGACGTAATGGATCACATCCACGGCCACAAGGTCAAATCAGTGTCGCGGCAATGTTGGGTTCAGGGGGACATACAATGGAAATGCTATCGCTTCTCCAAGCGCTACCGCGTAACGAGTATGGCCCCCTGGTCTGTATGGCGTCGTCGGGCGATAAAATGAGCCTAGAAAAGGCGAGTACGGTCCTTTCCGATGCTTTGGCATCGCAGCATCCGTGGCAAGGGATGGTTCTGCCGCGTGCGCGCAACGTCGGGCAGACGTGGACCTCCACGCCTTGGTCCGTCCTGCGTAGCATGGCGTATGCGGTATGGTACATAGGGTTTGCGCCCTACCTGCATGGCTATACAGATCGTGCCTGTGCAGATATCTTGCTGATGAATGGACCAGCTACCTGCGTGCCTTTGGTTGTGGCAGTATGGTGTGCAAGAGTAGGTATCACCACGCACTAACGACGAAGATATGTGGATGCCCAGCCCCACGTATGATCTATGTGGAATCCATCGCTCGCGTATCTACGCTCTCATTAACAGGTCGCCTCCTTCGGCATGTTGTGGATGTCTTTGTCGTCCAGTGGCCCACAGCGGATCCCACAGCTGTATGTCACGGTGTATTAGTATGAATGATAGGACAGTTTCCGTGGGGGGATATCGGAGTGTTGGTCAGTTGAGATACGTCCTGATTCGATAGGTCGTGTATTTTCAGACGCAGGCCTCGCATCATGTGATCGTCCTGGTATAAGACAAAGTCAATACATACGGGAGAAAAATGTCAGACAAGGGCATAGAAAATCCAGGCACGCCTCCATGGTGATAGTGGCAGGATGAAAAGGGCGCGGTGGAGTGGTCTCCACATTGGAGAGTACGACCATTTTGACTACATTCTCTACCTACAGGGTTCGTTGACTAGCAATGGTAGGAACGACTCTACATCGCGCGACGACGCTTGCGATCTCCGTCCAGGTACTATCTCCACGATGCAAATGGCGCGCTCGGTGTATATGTGCACCTCCACATATACACTGGCCGCGCTAAAATTAGCAACACAAACTATGTGCAGGGGATGAGATAGGCCACAGAGGAACGCAACTGGAACCCAAAAGAAGCACAGCACGTACTGTAGACGTAAACACGTGGAGATAGAGGCGTACGGTCCCGTTACTTGCATAGCAGCGCGAGCTGGTAGTGATGGTACAAGGGGCGATGGGTCTATATACAATATGTGAGAAGGCATACACCCGCACATATACACACTTCGTGTGATGCAAAAATGGGGTCCCTGTTCTCTTGTAACTGCAGAATGATAGTTGCCGGTGATGTAGCACATAGAAGTAAATTACATGGTGGCCGTGAATAGTTTATCAGGAGGTGCTGTGCCTGTTGGGACCGCCATGGTCTGGGCTGGTGGGTACGCCTGTCCTTGCTCTAGGTCGATTGATTTCTTGCGCATACCATCTTGCATGGCTCGCTCTTCGGCTTCCCGCTTGTAGTCATCTACAGGCAAGCCCACATCGCCTTTCCACGATTTATCGCAGCAGTGGCAAGCGTCAAAGCATGTACAGCAATCGCATGACCAGCGACCTGTGTGTGAGTACCGAAACACGTACATCCAAGTTGTTCCATCCAAGTAACGCAAACGGCCGAGCATGGATCCATGGTACAAGAAAGTTAACCTGCTCGGACACTGTTTTATGTGGAGAACCAAATTCGACCTATTTTCAGATTACAACAAATCACCGCTATAGGTGCGTACAATTAACGAAGCCCTATGGACTAGTTGTTGCCGGCCTTGCACACGCCGCTACCGCAAACAGCACCAACAACCACAACAATAATAATAATGATAAGAATGACCAGGAGCCAGAAGCAGATCCACCTGCGCTTCCGGCGGCGACGAGCGGCCACTACCGCCTTGTCGGTCTGCTGACGACCGGCCTGAATCTCCTGCTCGGTGTGGTAGGCATGGTCCTTAATCACGTTGAGCTGCTCATCCTGCTGCTCAACCAGGATTGACATCTCCTGGAACAACGCGGCCAGCTCTGTAATGGTGCGCTCAATGCGTTGAATGTCACTGTGACGCTCCTGCACTTCACGCAGCGCACCCTGAGCCTCGCCCTGACGATTGGAACTCATAAGCGCCTGCGCAAAGATCTGCTGACCGCCCTGCTCACCATCCAAAGCGCTCTGAATCTCCGCCTGAGTCGCATCGGGCTTGACAATGCGCAGCTGACGCTCCGTGCGCTGGCGGTACTTGGTACGGTAGGCCTTCTCGACCTCCTGGTACCGCAGAATCGTCTCCTTGAAACGGTTCTTCGCAGCGCCAATCTGTGTCAGACGCACATTGCGGTCAATACCCTCCGGCGGCGCAGTACCAGTCTTGATCGAGTTCGCCTCAACCTCCAGGGCCTTGATCGAGTTCTTCACCTGGTTGGTCATCGAACTCGTCTGCTGAGCTACACTGCTCAGCTCCTGTTCGGCTGCCATCTGCGCAGCTTCGCCCACATTGTTGAGCGAGCGCGAGTGCAGCTCCGAGATGCGGTTCACATTCAGGTCAATCTGACGAATGGTGTCCTGGATCACACTAATCTGGCCGAAGAACGTGTTGGCCGGCTTCACATCCGAGGGCATGTCAATAGCATAGCTGCCGTTGCCCATGCTGCCGCCAGCGACCGCGCCAGAGGCAGGCGCGTACGATTGCATTTCGTATGCATCCGCTGTGTGCGCCTCAGGCATCGCAGTCAGCGGCTGCGCAGACTGAGCCACTGGGGGGGCCACGCGTGTCTGGCTAGCCGTAGGCTCCGACTCCTGGACGTAGCCTGTCGAAGTGACCGCCGAGGTGGTCATGGGCGGCGCACCGGAGGGTGGCGCGTACGGCATACCAGTCGATTGCTGCGTCGGGTACAGATGGTCACCATAGCCATTGTTGCCGGCACCAACGTCGGGGCTCGTGTAGCCACCGGCCGTGGAAGCCTGCTGGGCCCTCATCGCTGCCAGTCTATCGCGCGCCATTCTGGTAGAGGATGAGGAGATGCAACGTAGAGCAGAAATCAGCTGAATGGGTCGATTCTCCGTGCCGCGGGTGCCAGTTGGGCCCCAAGGTCTCAATGCCTATTGGGACAGCCCGGCACGCATACCTCCCTATTTTAGTCAGCAAGCTACCAAACTAGCGCAGTCTCATACAGGCCAGCGTGGGGAACGAAGGATATTCATAACATCTACGGAAGGCCTAGTAGGCCAGTTTTACGACGACGACGACGAAGTCTCTGACGTCTCGGGCATCGATGCCGGCTCAGACGCTTGGCGGTCACGCAGCGCCAGGTAGCCACGGTTGTTCACCGACGAGTACCACAATAGGTCACGGTAGGATACAGGGTCAGCGAAATGCGGCAATGGCAAGTTCTTGGCGAGCCACTTGTGCGGCTTGACCAACGCACGCAGACTCGTAGCATTGTAGTAGCGACACACAATGGAGCCACCCGCCTTCTCCACGGCAGCAATAGCCGAACGAGAAGCACGAGAGACGACTATGTTGATAGGGGTACGCAGATGCTCCGCACCATCGCCCATCAACTTGACGCCATCGCGTACGTTATGAATGCATCGACTTTCGTACAATTCACGCGCTGTGATAGGTTGATTGGGGTCCAGACGGCCCTGATCGATCCAGAACTGTAGACGGTCCAGGTTCAGCGGCGCAAAGTGCTGCTTATGAGGGTTGGTAAAGCCTCGCTTGGGAATCAAGCGCACCAGCGGCGTCTGGCCACCTTCAAAGCCTGGTTTGGGCTTGCCGTTGCCGGCACGAGCCTTCTGACCCTTATGACCACGCGTAGACGTGCCACCACGGTCTGTACCGCTACCACGACCCAAACGCTTACTCTGTTTTCGTTAGCACTGTGGTTACATCTCCAACATACATTCTTCTTTGGCTGCGCCGGTGTCAAGTTGCCGATGCGCACGGCGGACGTAGCATAGGTAGCCGCCATGGAAGGGCGTGCATACCACGTATTTGGCAGAACAGGCTGCCACGCACGAGTCGCCAGGCGTACACGCGGCACGAGCGCTGCAACACCGAACATTTCGTGAGGTGGACGACGACGAGAAAGGTTCGAGCGACAGAACGCTGGTTTTGGTCCACGTGACGTTCGAAGGGCTGTTGTACTCCCTCACGCCGCCTCCTCGTTCCTCCACTTGGGCATAACGACGCTTTGGAGCATGCCTCCGCTGTCGGTGCAAGAGCTACTTGCACAGCGGGCCCAGCAGGGCCAAGGGGATGTGCGGCCTAAGTTTGTGAGCAAAAGAGAGCGAGAGGCACACAAGCAGGCGGAGCAGAAAGCGGAGAAGGAAAAAGAGGCAGCGTTACATGCTCGTTTGAAGCGAGCGCGTGTGGAGTGGGAATCGCAGGCGTCCACTGCGTCCACGTCGTCCTCGCCTGCGCATGAGAGTGAAGATGAACACAAAGAAGCACAATTGATCAAGCAGAGATACCTGGGAACGCGGCCTTCGTCCGTACCGCGACGACAGCGCCGCGCAGGCGACGCTCATGCCAAACGCTTCCAATTTGAATGGAGCGCAGAGGATGATACCAGTGACCCTACCTTGGCCACTCTACCTGAATCTTCGGCTGTTCTACGTGGACGTGCTGGCCTAGATGGCTCTGAGCGGAGCGAGAGTGGTCGAAGTCGGATGCGAGCTACGTTGGCGGAAAAGCCATGGTCCGAGAAGACGCTGGAGGAAATGCGTGCGCGCGACTGGCGCATCTTCCGTGAAGACTTCCAAATTCAAGTACGTGGTGGTGGCGATATTCCCTATCCGCTACGTTCATGGAAAGAATCAGCTATTCCCTCTGCCGTGTTGGAGGCGATTGACACGATGGGCTACCGGGAGCCGACGCCTATTCAGCGGCAGGCCATTCCCATTGGACTACTTCCTCGTGACCTGATCGGTATTGCAGAGACGGGTTCCGGTAAGACTGCCTCCTTTGTCGTGCCGATGCTAGCGCATTGCATGCGGCAGCCGCCTATGAACGACGATACGCGGCACATGGGCCCCCATGCCCTGATTCTTGCGCCTACACGTGAATTGGCGCAGCAAATTGAGGGCGAGACGCGCAAATTTGCCTCGCGACTGGGGTGCCAAGTTGTGTCCTTGGTCGGTGGGCGTGACTTGACGGAGCAGGCGTTCCATCTGAGTGAGGGCGCCGAGATTGTGATTGCGACGCCTGGTCGTTTGCAAGACTGCTTAGAGCGACATACCCTTGTGTTAAGTCAATGTCATTTCCTGGTCATGGACGAAGCAGATCGCATGGTTGACATGAACTACGAAGATGCCTTGCACTATATCCTGGCCTGCTTGCCATCGGCTGAGCATGGTCGTACGACGATGCTGTACTCGGCGACGATGCCGCCGACGGTGGAGCGAATTGCGCGCACCTATCTGCAAAACCCTGCCACTGTGGTCATCGGCCAAGCTGGTCAGGCTGTCGGGACCGTGGAGCAGCGTGTGGAGTTTGTGGATTCGGACGAGCAACGTACGAAGCGGCTCTTGCAAGTGCTCGACAGTGGCTTTGCCCCGCCTATGATTGTGTTTGTGAACCAAAAAGCGCATGTCGATGTAGTCAGCCGCGATTTGCGTCGTGCTGGCTGGCATGTAGCGATGCTCCATTCCGGTCTTTCGCAGCCGCAACGTGAAGCGTCCATTGAGTCGTTGCGGGATGGGCGGAACGAAGTATTGTGTTGCACAGATATCGGCGCGCGTGGTATTGATTTGCCGGATGTGTCGTTGGTCGTCAATGTGCATTTCCCGACGAATTTCCCATCGTACATCCATCGTATTGGTCGTACGGGCCGTGCTGGCAAGAAGGGTTGTGCCATGACGTTTATCGACGAGAACGATGCCGAGCACTTTTACGAGCTGCGGCAGGCGCTTTCCAAGTCGCCCCTTTCGCGTGTTCCTACCGAACTTGCCCAGCACCCTGCTGCGCTGCAGCGTCCTGCACGTGCTACGTCGGACGGGGCGAAATAACACCAGCCAGCCACTAGCGCTTGTGTATACATGTGTCACACCTTCATTCGTACGTGCTGATGGGGTGGTGACACTTGAATCAGACAGACATAGACTTCCAGCTTCTATAGGTCGTGTTGCTATGGTGATAAAGAAGCATGGAAGAGGGGGCATACAAGCATGGCACGTCGTGTCAAGGTCAGGCCGGCGCACATTTACTGCGACGAAAGACCGGCCAGCAGCTTCTTGCGCGTTTCGGCTGGCAGCGACGCGACCTGCGCCACCAGGTAATCAACACGGGCCTGCTCAATGGCTGCCCGCACGGCCGAGGCGTGCTCGCTCCATGCACGCACGACCTCTTCATCGGAGGCGGTGGGCGTGACACCTGCTGCCTCGCACAGACGCGTCTGGATGTCGTCGTGTGTCAAGCTCGGGTTGGCTTCGAGCATGCTACGCGCGTACTGCACATCGGCCAGACGGCGACGGCATCGCCAGTAGAAGTATCGGCGTGTACGGGCCCACGGCACAGCCTGACGCAGCACACCTGTCGCTAGCATACGACCAGCACGGTCGTGGGCATCCGCATACTCCACGGCCACGGCATGGTAGAACGGCGCGATCTGCTTTTCACGCTCGCGCAGCTTCGCTTGGGCCTCGGCCTTGGCCGCCGCCGTGGTGGCTTCCTTCGCCTCTTTGGCGAGGGCCTGGTACTTTGCATCCAAGCGCTCCATCGTCGCGCGCTGGCGGTCCGAGCGGTACTTGATCTCGACCAAGCCTGCCGCCTCGAGGACACCACCCCGCGCACTCTGGTCGTCGGCGGTCATCTCAATGAGGCCACGGGCGTTCACTTGCGAGTCGACGACGACCCACGAACCACCACGTAGCTCACCCGCCGGTGGGATATGCACAAAGATAGGGTGGCGGTACGACGAGAGACCATCGACAATCTTGCTGCCTTGCTTGAGAATCTCATCGTACATGTCCTGCTGACCACCGCTGAAGCCACGCCAGTTGGCCAGCATCATCAGTGGAAGACCTTCTTGGTCAAAGTCCATGATCGCCTGCGCCGTCTTGTACGCCGAGTTCGGGTACCACACCTGACCTGCCTCGAGGATGCGCTGCTCGTTCGAGTTCGGGTTCGCAGGGTCGGCCGGCACCACACGCTCCAACGTGCGTGTCTCCACGGCAATCACACCGAACGGAATACCGCCGAGACGCGCACGGCCCACGACCACCGACTTGGCCCAGCCAGCGAGCGTCTCCTGGAAACTGTCCTTGTCGAACAACCCAGGCACGAACGTGCCGTCCTCGAGCGTCGTACCCTCAATCATCGCACGTGGGTCGTACGGTGTCGCCGTCGGCACGAACGCCACATCACGGTCAATCGGGTCCGTGCTCGGGAGGCAGCGCAGAGGCGCATTGCTCTTTTCCGGCACAAAGGAGAGCCAGCGGAGGTACGAACGCATCGCCTCCAAGTCGTCGGTCACCTTGAGGTGCGACACACCGTTGGCATACATCACATTCGGACCACCCAGCTGCAGGTTCGAGGTGTACACTTCACGGCCCAGCAGCTTGTTTAGTGCCTGGTAGCCTGTCAAGATCATCGGCGAGGTCTCCACCTGGATGATACGGCCACTGAGACGCGCCAGGTACGCACCGATACCCACGCTGCGGCCCGTCACGATGGTCGTCGTGAACGTCGACGCACGGGCGCGGCTCATCTCACCAGCAATCAAACCACTGCACGACAAGCTTTCGACACCTAGACCGCCATGCGGCATGCCAATGATGTCGGTGAGCACATGGTGCGTCGAGCCGTCTGCCGCCATGCGGCGCTCCGTGCGCACCGAGCCCGCCGGCAGCGACGCCAGACCCGCGTCGTCAAGGTACAAGTACTCGAAGCCCTTCGTCGGGTCGTTGTCGACAAACTGCACCTGGAACACGTCAAACGGCTCCGCGGCGAGACCCAGGCGCGCACCACTGTTCGCCGAGACATAGAGCAACGGCACCTGCTCCTTGCGAGCCAGGCGGCACACCGCCGCAAAGAACTTGGACTCGCGCGGCCCAAACGAGCCAGCCTGCCATGTGACATCGTTGGCGAGGACCATGAGCGGGCGGCCCTCGGGGAACTCGGGCGTTTGGAGACGCATGCGCCATGCGACCATGCCGATGTTGTTCTGCGCAGGAGGACGCATGGTCTGGTCCACCATGTCGCTGCGGTCGTCCCGCGGGACCAACTCGAGCACCTGGAGCACAGGATCGCTGGGCGCCTCCAGATGGCGGTCCACGTACAGCGAGCGCATCGCCTGACGCAGCGCATCAGGCAAGTCGTACACGAACGTCGTGCCCAGTCGCTCGGCACGCACACGACGCGTCTGCAGCGGCTGGCGGTTCTGGTACGGACGGTGCGCACTCTTGCGGTGCAGCGGAAACGAGTGCGGCGCAGGTCCGATGCCCTTGAGCACCGCTGCGCCGTTCACGTCGATCACCTCATCGTACACGGCATGCGACACCGTGAACGAAGTCTCTGTCGTAATAAAGATACGCACGGGACGCGGCACGCCCTGGTTCTGCAGCACGAGACGGATCTCTGCATCGTCAATGCGCAGGCGGCGGAAGCGCGCGTCGTACAAGCGCTCGAAGCGCTGGCACGTCGCGAGCACATCGTCGAGCGAGATGTCCAGCGGGTAGAGCCACGACATGAAGATGTGCGAGCCATCCGCACTGGCAAACTCTGCACGGCCTTGCGCCACTTCCAGCGTGTTGAGGATGTCGTTGAGCACACGCTCGCTCTCGTTGAGCAGGTACAGCGCTATGTCCGCCGGCGGCTTCGCCGGGCGGACCAAGGCACGTACAAAGAAGCGCACATCCGCTCGGTTCTGCAAGCCACGCGCATGGTACAAGTGGATGGACGACGAGGACATCGGCAGCGGCGTCACCTCAAAGTTCGGCTCAATACGGTCAAGTTCCAGCTGGTACGACAGCGCCGGCTCGACGTTCCGGATGGCCCGCTGCTCGGTCCACGCACCCGAGTCGACACAGCGATACGTCACGAACAGCGGGTACTTGCCAGGGCGGCACAGCATCACCGAGACACGGCGCAGGCCGGCAGTGCACAGGTCCGCGCCTTGCGCCGAGACCATTTCGCCAATGCGCGCCGGCAGCGATGGGTCCTCCATGTCGGGCTGCGCGACAAGCGCAATGCTCAGCACATTCACCGGCTCCGACTGCTTCTCGCCAAAGTACTTGAGTGACTGTGCAAGGGTCTGCGGAAGCTCCTTGATGTCCGCGCACGACGTCATCGCGCCGATACGCAGCTTCGGGCGCGTGCGGCGGTTCATATGCTCTGCCAAGTCGGTCGTCGAGGCCTGGCGTTCCTTCTCCTTCGCACGGTTCGCCAGGACATCGGCAGACATTTGGAAGTGCCACGTAATGAGCGCACGCTCCACATCGTGCAGGCGTTCCGAGGCAAAGTTGATCGCGACAATGTCGTACGCGCGGTAGACACGCAGCATGTACGCGACCAAAGCAGCGTAGGCAATCGGCAGAGGGGTGTACGAGAAAAAGTACGGCAAGATATCCGAGACGTTGTGCTGCGAGTCGCTCAGCTCACGCAGCACCGAGATCGAGGGCGTTGTGAACTCCTCGTTCGAGCGCTTCGACTCCTTCGGTGCAATGCTGCGACGCAGCACCTCTTCCACCTGGCTCTGACGCTCCGCCAGCGACGGCATCTCGGCGCTGATCAGAATCTCACGCGCTTTCAGCGCGACAGTCGCCGTGTGCTGACCACGCAGCTGCGAAAGCTCACGCAGCGCCTTGACCATACGCTGCGCACGCTCGGCCTTGCTGGCCATTTCGCTGCTCTGGACATACCTAGTAAGCAGCGCAAGAAGCATACTGTTCTTGCGCTTGACGCCCTCATGCGACAGCTGCAGCTTGAGCACCTTCTCGAGATCGCCATCGGCCGCGGAACGCAGGTGCAGCAGCGCCTCCGGCCCGCTCTGGAACTGCGACTCAATCTCGGCGTAGCGCTCCAGCAGCGAGCAGAGCGTCGCCATTTCGTGGTACTGCAGGCCCAGCGCGTACGAGTCGAGCAGGATGTACAGCGGCGTCACAGCCGTCGAGAGCGCCAGGTGCGCTGCCGAGTCAGTGATGGACGCCAACGCGTGATCGAGCGTCGCACGCATCGTTACCGCTGGGAACGGCGCATCGGAGGCATGCGCATCGTCCATTGCCTTGCGCAGCGCCTCTTCCGTGTCGTCCGGCAGACGTCCTGCGAGACTCGAGAGCACCGACTGCGTCTCGGCATAGGGCAGCTCCGGCATGCGCAGGCACGTCATAAGGGCCTCCATCGCCTCGTCGAGATCCGGCGTCTGGTCGTACCCGTCCAGGACATTCTCAAGCACATGCAGCGCCGCAGCAAAGCGCTGGTGCGCCTTGTCGCCCAGAATATCCGGCGAGCCGTACTCCTTCAGTTGACCCGTGAACGGCGTAGCGCGCGTGATCTTGGAAGGGTCGTCGACGCTCAGGATACCCAGCAAGTCACCCGGGTTCAGCGAGACACCCGGCGACTTGACAAACGACACCACGCCGCTTTCCTGCGCCACAAGCGGCAGGTACATCTTCATGACCTCAATCTCGGCAATCGTCTGGCCAGCATGTACATGATCACCGCTCTCGACCAGCAGACGCACCAGCTTACCAGGCGACGGCGAGCAGATCTGCGTCGGGTCACGCTCTTCTTCCATCACACACGTCTGAGCATCAATCGTCAAGCGCGTCTGGCCCACTTCTTCCAGCCAGTACACTGCATGCGACTGTCCTGCCAGGCCGACCAACAAGCCACCGTCGCGCAGATCACGCAGAGAGACATGCGTACGCTGGCCGTTCAGTTCCAGGGCCCAGCTGGTCTCTGAGGTCTGCACCACAACAACATGGTACTTCATCTGCTCGTAGATGAACTCTACCGCGAACGACGTGCGAATCGTGCTGCGTGGCGGCACTTGGCCGCGATGCAGGATCCGCTTAAATTCTTCACGGCACTCCCGCGCCAGTACATGCGCCTTGACGGTCGCGCCGCAAATCACCGCAAGTTCCGTCGGTGGCTTACGGGCTGTGACACGGTGCTCGATCAAGCCATCGAGCCAGCCGGTAGTGATGTTGTTGCTCGAGAAGGCCTCCATCTCGAGTAGCATAATCAGGTACTCCACCGTCGTGCGGAACTCACTGCGGATCGAGAGCTCCTTGAGCGAGAAGACCATGTTTTTACGTGCCTCTTCGCGATTCTTGCCGTACGCAAACACGTGGCCAAATTGCGAGTCGGCATATTCGTGCAACGCACCACTGGTGCTCACACTAAAGTAGCCCCATGTCGAGGTCGAGGAGCGGAAGTTGAGCTCCGACAGCGAACCCACGCCCGGCTTGAAACCCGTGTCAGGGTTCTCGGCGGTAATACGGCACGCAATGACGTGGCCCTCCGGGTGTGGACGTTCGGAGAGCTGGCTATCAATGCGGTCAAAATCAATGGGCGTCGAGGTGTCGCGAGGCTCGCCGTAGAGGGCACGGATATCGCCAATGCGGTGCAGAGGCAGACCCATAGCAATCTGCAGCTGCACAGCAGGAATATTGACATTCGACACCATCTCCGTGGTCGGGTGCTCAACCTGCAAACGTGGGTTGAGCTCAAGGAACGCAAACTCGCCAGAATCAGGCGAGTAGAGCCACTCCACAGTACCTGCTGAGACGTAGCCAACGAGCTTGGCGAGGCGCACGGCCGCCTGCTCCATATGCATACGCGCCTCTGCTGAGGCGACAGAGACAGGCGCCTCTTCAATGATTTTCTGGTGCCGACGCTGCACCGAGCAGTCACGACCAAACACACTGATCGCCTGGCCATACTGGTCCGCCAGCAACTGCACCTCCAAATGGCGCGCTTGGCCAGCCAATTTCATGACAAAGATCGGCGAGCCGGGCACTTCACCGACAGCTGCATGGTACAGCTGCGAGAAGGTATCCGCCGACGTACACTTACGGATACCCTTACCACCACCGCCTTCTGACGCCTTGATCATCACAGGGAAGCCGATGCGAAGAGCCACTTGCAAGCCCTCTTCGGCGGTGTGCACACATGCACGCTGGTATACTTCATCGGACACAGTCAGGTAGCCTGCTTCACTGCGCGACGTCTCTGTAATGCCGGTACCAGACCACTGCATACACGGTACATCGGCGTGCTGCGCGACAATCGTAGAGGAGATTTTGTCACCCAGCGAGCGCATCGCGGAACCCGGAGGGCCGATGAACAAAATACGCGGCTCGAGCTGCGAGAGCATCTCAGGGAGGCGTGGGTTCTCCGATGCATGGCCCCAGCCAGCCCACACAGCGTGCACGCCGGCACGCTCAGCAATATCGACAATCAGCTCGACATTGGCGTAATTGTTAGCATTGGGGCCACCGGGCACTTCCACGTATTTGTCCGCCATGCGGATGTATTCAGCGTTCACACGCAAGTCTTCCGGCGTCGCCATTACGACAAACTGAATGGCACGCTCATTGCCAAACGTCTCGTAGGCCCATTTGCGCACGGAGCGAATCTCTTTCACAGCTGCAATACCATTGTTACAAATAAGCACCTTGGTAATTACACTGTGACCACCCGAGACCCGCACAAACTCTGTCACAGGCCCAGGGCTGGCCACAGCCAGGGACTGGCCGCCCAGGAAATGGGATTCCACCTTGGGTTGCGTCTCTGTCATCCAGGAAGCAAAAAAGTAGAAGAAAAGGCCACGTTAAGAATCCAGTGCTCCAGTGTCAGACTGTACAAGACACGGAACTGGGATCGTAGTGCGAAGCCACGAACGAAGCACCTAAGACACGGAACAAACAACGCCCTGCGCCCCAAACCTTGTTTTATAGAAAAACAGGGGAGGTGTTGTAAGATGCCTGGGATTATCGCGGCCGCCGTGTCGTACCCAAAACGCCCTCTGGGCGTGGCTTCCTGCTTGGCGTTCATTAGGTGAGCTTACGTGAAATTGCCGCGGACTTGAGGAAGACCCCCCCCATAATACGAGCCCACTAGGCCTGGCTAACATGTACGCGACAAGCTTGGTCATGCAATCATAAAGACCCCAGGCTTGGGCGCCCCGTCCACCGCGCCACGCCGCACTACGCCGTGGCCGGACTTCGCCGACCCAAAATAAAAAAAACACACAGATTCTATGGGAACGTAAGCCATCACATGCTCGTGCACTGTGCCATAGTGCGTGCGCCCATACGCCCACACAACTACACAGGCCTCGTGCACACATGTGGCCCCATGCTCTTGAAATAGGCGGCCAGATAGCTAAGTAGATCGTTTTCTAGGCTATATGGGTACCTTGATTTAGTGGTGGCCCTTCGGGGGGTCATACACAATCTTACGCGACATGATCGGGGCCCACTTGAAGCGCTTAGCCCAGATCGACAGGGCGAAGAGCGACGAAAGGAGGATCAGGGCCTTGAAACCAGCACGCTTCCGCTGGTCGTGCTCGGGCTCAGCAGCCCAGTGCCTGAGAGTTAGTCATAGCGTGATGATGATACATACAAGAAAGTGACCACATCCTTGGCCATCTGGCTGGTCGTCGCCGGGGTACCGTCCTCGTACTCCACGAGGCCGTCGAACAGCAGACGAGCCATAGCAATCTGCGTACCCGGGAAGAAGGGGTTGTAGTTCAGGCCCTCCTGCATCTGCACACCCGCAGGCGGGTCGCAGTAACCAGTGAGCAGCGAGAAGATGTAGTCGGCACCACCGTGACGAGCCTTCACAATGAGCGACAGATCCGGCGGGAGAGCACCAGCGTTACCGGCACGCGCAGCCTCCTCATTCGGGTAGGGCTTGGGGAGGTAGTCAGCAAGCTTACCGGGGCGCTGGAACATCTCACCGTCATCGTTCGGGCCATCCTCGTACTCAATGTCCTGCGCCATAGCCTTCGCCTCATCGACAGTGTGCGAGACACCGACCAGGTTACGCCAAGCAATGAGTTCCAACGAGTGGCAGGTGCTGCACACCTCCTGGTAAACCTGGAAACCACGGCGGATAGCGGCATGGTCAAACGTGTTGAACCAGCCGTTCTGGCGCCACGGGTACGCAGGAGGGTGCAGACCCTCGTCAGCCAAGCTGTTCGCGCTCAGCGAGTCCACAAACGGAAGCTCGCCGTACACCTGTTGGTACAGAACCACCGAGCCCACAGCCACGGCAGTAGCGGCAATCGCCGACGTACGCGACGTCAGCTTCGACTGAGAATGAGTAAAAGATGCCTTGGTACCTACCGGCGCCTGCGCCTTGGTCGAGGCGAAGCGAATCTGAGCCTGTTAGCAATCCATTCTTTCTTCCTAGTCTTCGGCGACCAGTCTATCGCCAACCATTATACGTACCGACTGCGACAGGCTCGAAGGAGCCACGGTGCGCGAGGCCACCGCCCTAGTGCACGAGGAGAATAGCTGCGCCATGTGTTCAATAGGAGATGGAATAGGCACTACTCCGCAGGAAAGTCACCTTCTCCTCAAGGGAATGGGATCAGTTAAAACACGGGCCTGCCACTTTTCGGCCCCTTGGGCTGCTGCACTCGCCTGCTTCGTCAGCGTACAAGCCAGTCGAGACCGTGTGGATTTCCACTCGGGCCGACGCCTGCGACCAATCGGCGTGCCCCCATTTCCAGTATCGCAGCGCACCGGAAGCACCCGGAATTCATCACGTGGAGTACACGTGCAGCTCCACCTCCACGATCTTCCTTACCATGACACCTGTCCCCACCGAAGCCATCACGAGTGCACGATGCTACGTGACGCCAGGATCAGCGCCACGTTCGCTTGCGGACCTGGTGCCGCAGAAAGTGAGTGATATGCTGAATAGAAGTACGTTGTCTGATTTATCAGACGATGCATCCCTTCAGTCCCTGCTGCAAGCACATCCACTCGCCCTGCATGTGCCCATGTGGTCAGCCCATATTCTGCGCCTCCGCGATGCTACAGCAGCATTGCACCGTACCTACCCAGAGACATGGACCAAATCCTGGAGTATAGAAGAAATTTTGGCGTCGCAGGCGGTGCAAGACCTGTCTCATGCTTTGCAAACCTCTGATACGCCGATGCTTCGTGCGAGTGTTCGCATTCATGCCACGGGTACATCGCGCACTATCATCGCACCAATGTCAATCCCACCCCCATCAAATCTTATCGTACGTCTTGATACTCAACCTGTGTGGCTTCGTGATGCAATGGTCCTGCATAAAACCGATGCTCGTGACCCCTACGACGCGGCCCGTGCACGTGTGCATGGGACCCTAAGTGCTCCTTCGGCGGACCCAAACGCCTGCTTCGATGTGTTGCTATGGCATACAGATGAGGCAGGTGTATCTTATATCACAGAATCCAGCATCGCCAATGTCATTGTTGAGCTTCCTGAGGAGACAGGCCCCATGTACTATACCCCTCCCTTTTCTGCGCTTTTGCCTGGGTTGCTGATTCAAGGTCTTGTTCATGAAGGTGTCGTACATATACAGCCCCTTCCAGTGGAAAAGCTACGTGTGAAGATGCAGCAGCCCGGAGCCCAACTATGGCTGTGCAATGCTGTGCGAGGCATGTTTGCCGTGTCCTTGGAAACGTCATAAACCGGCTTCTTCGTGCAGGGCGAACCAGATCCTACGACTCAACGCTGGGCCAATGCGACGACGTGGGATACAGACCTGTGGATCCAATGTCCGGCACAGCAGCGTCTGGGCATCCTCGTCGGAGGCACAAGCCTGATACGCCATATACAGCGCTTGCGGTGTAGACCATCGATGTACGATGATCTGTGCCTTCTCTGGCGACACACCCCGAATACACAACAGCATCCGCGTCCATAAATCCTGCAACGTGGACCCTATACTTCCTTTGCTGTGCAGTTGCTGGAACGTGTGAAACGATGTGTGGAATCGCGTAGCAGGGTGTTTCATACGCAGTGTCTGCTGCAGTTCGCTGTACTGTGTGCGATCCAACTGCTCTTCACGAAGGACGTGCAATGGACATGCCTACGGTTAGGTGATAGACTTGCCACGTACCTTGTACATACTTTCCACAGCATGATGCATCATGGCCAAAAAATCAGCTGTGGCTTGCCCGTTGGCTGTGCGGTGCACGTAGAAGCCGTCGATGATTTGTGTGCTGCTTAGAGCTGTCTGGATTTGTTGGCCGTATCGCTGCACCAGCTGAGCGACGTTGATATCCTCAATAAGGTATACGATATGGCCCATTCCCGATTGTCGTAGACGTAGTTTCTGATCGTGCCAACGCCCATCGAAGATACTCGAGGTGAGGTCGTCCAGCCGTTTTCGTTCAATCACTGCATCTAATACGACTTCGCCAATGCGCGACCATACCTGCGCTGTAGCAGGAGGCAGATCTGGTTTAGGCCGAGCTACCCATAGGATGTCACCCATTTCCAACGCACGCAGTTCACAAGGAATTCCACGTTGCTCCATGGCCTCTTCAAACGTAATCCGACGTGCGCTCGCATCATGGGAGGTCGTGGTAGAGCGCACACGCACTTCACGATGATCCAGAATCATGCAAATCTCGTACGATTCAGGAGGTAAAATGGTGCACAATGTCTCTGATTCCTCTTGAACGTACGGTGACGCAGGTGAACTCGATCGAACAATCAAGGGGGACGAGTCGAGCAATGAAATCTCGATCCGTTTAGGTTCCGTAAGTATTTGTTTCTCTGCAGGTATTGGTGTCGTAGTGATTTGGACATCGTCATCGTCATCAGACTGCATTACAACTTCGACGTACATTTCGTCGTCTTCTGAATCATCAAGGACAATCACATTCTCAGGGTCGCGATGCTCGTTAGGTTTTGTACGCGAAGGCAAATACAATTGAGGGGTATCCGGTTGGATGTATCTCGTACTCGTATTCTCTGGTACGGGGTCTTGCACGGCTAGCATAGACGGTCGTATCTCGAGCGACGATTCATAGGTACCTGGTAGCGGCGGCATAGCGATGTCACAGCTGAGCTCCCTAGCTTCCGTCCCTGATGCTCGTTGCACACACGTGCTACTTGCAGCAGCTATCCCTTCTGCGACGGCTAGCGCATGCGCTACAGGCAAACCCACATCGCTGAGGGAAAACCGTGCAGGGTTCCCTGATCGATACACATAACCTTTGTCGATCAGGGTCTTCATTCCCTGCCATGCTGTCATGTAGGACCGTCGAGAGGAGCCCATAGGTTGACTTGCTGCTGGCATGCCACGGCGTCGTAGTGAAGATGGGATGGATGTACTTGAGCCGCCACCGGGAACGAGGTAGTCGGTGTCACAAAACGGCTGCGCACGAGCAATGAGCTCTGTTTTCCCAAGGAACGCTTCCTCATCTTGCTCTTCCAGCACTTTGGCGTATAGACCCACTAAAATGCCATGCGCTCCTGAACGAGGCTCAGGAACATAGGTCTTGACGCGACGTGGACGACGCGTTGCCGTGCGTTCTTGGGACGTACGCGATGATGTTTCGCCCGACGATGCAGAGGCTGCGCTGGTCAGTGTATATTGCTACCTACGTCTCTGTGGCATAGGAACATTGTTCTCCGTACACCATGCCTCGTATTGTTTCTCAATTCGCTGGGCGATCGAGTCGCCAATGCCACGCAAACGCACTGTCTCGCATGGATGGACTAGCGGATCTTCACATGCCGACAACGATCGATGGGCTTTCAAGTAAGCGGCGGCGGACTTGGCACCACGCAAGCGAGCTTCCTCTGTCCATTCCTCTAAAAAGGAAAGCCACACAGCCACAGGGCGATGCGTCTCTGTCATCGTACGCCGCGACGTCGCTCCCTATGCATGTCGCACAGACATCCTCAAGTCGATGTGCGTCTTTCGTACACGCGTTCGCTCACGTGATGAGGGTCACCTCTTCTGCTCAGCGCCCTCCTACTTCTATAGAACGCACACAAATCCGTCTCGTCAAGCAGTGCTTTGTATTTTTGAGAACCATCCACGGACACGAGCGCATCCATACATGGGTGATCTATGCTACCAAGAGCGGACTTGTACGCTCAAATATGTGTGAACATGGATGGGGTCCTCCGTAGTAGCGATATACTTAGTACAGAGGGATGAAGCGGCTCCTGTTCTTGTTAGTGTATCCCAAAACAACTGTACGTACGCATCCTTGCCCAGGCTACCCTTACCGTGGCGGGTCGGGATGTAGCTGATGGCGAACTCGCCGAGGTAGTGACCAGTCATCTCTGGCTTGATCTCGACAGTGGTGAAGACCTGATAGTTGTTAGATATCGCGAAAATCCACGTACCTTGCCGTTGTAGATACCGATCACCGAGCCGATCATCTCCGGCACCACAATCATGTCACGCAAGTGCGTGCGGACCACAGCCGGCTTCTCGTTCGGCTGAGCCTCCTTCTTGGCCTTGCGCAGCTTCTTAATCAGAGCCATGGGCTTGCGCTTAAGACCACGCGAGAAGCGCCTGCGAGCGCGGGCGTGCACCAGCTTGACAAAGTCCTCGTTCGACATGTCAAGGAGGTCGTCGAGCTCCACACCGCGGTAGGAGAACTTGCGGAAGGTCCTCTTGCGCTTCAGCTCAGCGGCAGCGGCAGCGTCGTAGTCATCCCTAGTACATGTTAGTACCTATCCGCATCAGGTTATGTCGCACGCTCTTGACGTCGTGCCTGGGTATACATACATCTTCGACGAGCTTGTGTAGGTGAGAAGAGAGTCCAGGGGGGGGGCGCGGCCAGCAAAGACGTTGGTTGCCCTCACGTGCGCTACAGTTTTAAAATTTATCACGTGATCTAAATTAGCGCAGAGGCGATGTGGGCCTTGATGTGCGTGCAGCGCCGTAAGGCTTGATCCCTCACCCTCAAGTCTTCCACTTTTGGACCAAAGCTTCTACGCGGATTTGTGGTATTGAAAAATGAAGTACATCGCTGCTTACCTGCTGCTTTCGCTCGCCAAGGAGTCGGCCCCGACTGCTGACGACATCAAGAACCTCCTCAGCACCGTCGGTGTTGAGGTTGAGGGTGAGCGCCTCGACAAGCTCGTGGCTGAGCTCGACGGCAAGAACGTCGCTGACGTGATTGCTGAGGGTCAGGAGAAGCTCTCGTCGGTGCCATCGGGTGGTGCCGTGGCTGCTGCCCCGGCTGCTGGCGGTGCTGCCCCTGCTGGCGGTGACGCTCCGGCCGCTGAGGAGAAGAAGGAAGAAGAGAAGGAGGAGTCGGACGACGACATGGGCTTCGGTCTCTTCGACTAAGCGTATCGCTCTCTCTTCATGGCATGCCGTTTATGCGTATCTCGTGTGTGGATTTTGCCCAATTTCTTCCCCAAAAATTGCTGTAACATAGCATGTGTTTCTCTTGGTAGATGAAATTGATGTCTATGTTGGACGCATAGATTCTGTGTGCCAGTGTGCGTCTTTGCAACTATATTCCTCGTATCAGGGTCTACCTGGTCGTTACTCTTTATTCGTCGTCGTTCTCGACAAAGATGTCACGGTACTTGACCAAAATGGTCTCGATCGCCATGACTTGGAAACTCATTTCTTGTAGGTACACAGGACCAGCGCCGCCTTGACCAGCTCGAGCGACTTGGCCCTCATTAGGCGAACGTAGCAAGGTCGGTCCAAACACGATCGCCAGATTGTGCGCCGTCATTTGGTTGACTGATTCATGCGCCCGTACTCGGTCCAAATGTGCCATGAGGAAGCGCAGCGTAGCATAGTTGGCATCTGGAAGCTCGTTGACCTGTTCGTGTAACCGGACCTGCCGCAAGTACTCGTTCTCGATCTTGGCTGCTTCGATAAAGGCTGGGTATAAGCGATACGTTAGCAAGGGTTCAGGTAGCTCGCGGAACCATTGCTTTAAGCAGCCTGCGACGATATTGATATCCTGAATCGCTTCGTCACTCATGACATCCACCGTTGACCAATCTGAATCGAACTTCGCCTTGAGTTTTTGGACACGCGACGTGGTACCAGACAAACGATAGATGCCCATATTGTCAATACCCACACGCTCAATAGCATCTGTGCAAATTTCAAGGATCGGCGGAACTTCGACGCCATCGCGAGAGAGCTGTGTGTCCAAGTCGACGCCAAACACAGGCTTGTTCTTCTCTTCTATGCCGCTGGTCAGCGTCGATTGATACATTATATTGGCCAATGTCGTTTCATCGTAAGGGTTATGACGATGAGGTCCTTTGATGTCCTTGCCTTTCCGTGCCAGTTCATAGTTCTGCATAAAGTCTTTGAAATCGGCACCATTGTTGATGGCCGCTGCTGCCTCACGCAGGCCAGGCTGTGCCGACTTATCGCCTAGCGGGTTGATGGAGAGACCATCGCCCAACGCAATACTTTCGTTCAAGAACGCGTACCGCACCAGCTGGAACTGCAGGCCCGAGTCAAGTTCATCGATGGCCTCCTTAAAAGAACGCAAAACACCAGGCAGCTGCATGTGGAAGTATTCGTGTCGGATGCTCTGTGCATTGTGTGCCTCGCCTCGCAGCGATTCGTGTGCATTGGTCTTCTTCAAACGGAACTCGTCTTCATGCCGCAGAATCTGTTGCGGATTCTTGCTTTTAAACATGCTGCTCTTCGAGAACGGCATACCGAGGGTCCGCTTACCGGCTGCTACGCCGATACTCATATCGGCAGCGCGGGCGCTATCGCCTGTCTTCACTAAAAGGACACGCTCTAAATCTTCCGACGCTACGTCGAAGCGCGTGCGAGCCTTTTCCACATTGTTTTCCGCATCGAGGAGGTTCTTCTCGTATCGGAATCCCAAGTCACGGTGCTGACGTCGCGCATGCTCCGCATCACGGACCAGCAATGCAATGTCCTCACTCAGCGTCGTCAGCTTCGATGAGAAACGCAAATGGTTCTCTCCCACCGCATCCTGATTTTGGACCATGGCCTTCCAGCTCTTCCCGAACGATCCTGCACGTATATCTTGGCCTGAGTACTCGTTCATGGTGTTTCGAGCAAGCTTTTTTAGGTTCTGAGCATACTCTTCTTCATAGGCGGCTCGTTTCTTAAAGAACGCAGAAACACCGCGTGCCGACTCAATGCACTCTTTTAATCGCTCATCCATCAGCGGGAGACCAAACTGTCGTAAGCACATCAAGTACATACTTCCATCTGTGTCAAGGCACGCATCGTGGCATCGTCAACGGCAGCTGACTTGATGACCTCGGTAATTGGGCCCGACGACGGTGGTGGCGCTGACCGCCTATCTCCTGCAGTGCCTGACATGGTCTGTACAGACGTAGAAGGGCGCAACGAGCTTGTGTTGGCATCACCAGCTGCCTGCAGGGATGTAAGCACTCTTTCATGAGGGATGACATACCGACTGAAACATCGAATCACCCATATTTCCGCGCTACTTGTACGCTATACGGTCGTGAAAAGAGCGAACGTACTCCGTCGGGATATGGGCGTGTAAACAACTCCGCCGACAGTTGCAGGCGGCGTTGGTCTTTCCAGGAGGGCTGTCGTAACCGACACGCGCGCCTACTGGAGGGGAAGCAGTCGGTCCCCTCCACCACGTGGCAAGTCATGCCGATACGCGTGACACTCCCCAAGAATGAATGCAACTAGAATGAATGTATGTCTATGGATTCTGCCATGGGACCCATAAAGATTGAAGGAGGGTGGCGCATTCGTCGCGACGGTTCCCGAGATCAGCAAGCCAGCTAAATAGTCGTCGCTCCATCCATGTCTCCCAGAAAAATCGCCACGGCTGCGTCACGTACCAATGCATAATGTTACGATAGAGGTAGAAGCTGGGGTAATTGTATGCCACTGTCACTTGAGGGTTTACAAAGATGCGTGGTCGATGTGGAGAGGAAAGTCTGTGCATGTCTAGGCTGGTGAGCAACGCTTCCGAAACGTTGCAGCTGTTGCATGGTCGGAATCGCAAAGGCAACGTGGCAGATATATCCTTGCCATCGTCGGCTATGCTAGGTGAGGTAAGTGCGGCGACCGCGGGTGCCGTGGAGATATATGTAGTAGTTTGATGGGAGAAAGGGCTGAACCATCGGCCATCAAAAACAGTTATGCCATTCCAACATGAATTTACAGGGATCGGTTGTCCAGCGCTCACCGCATCGCGATCCGCCTTGGCCCTGAAATAGGGGAAAAGGGGGCGTACGGTCTTGCCCCACCGATCACGCATGACCCAAGTATCATAAAACCCAAGCCAGAAGTAATCTAAACCGCATGCCTGGTCATACATGCCATCGACTGTGTGAAGTAGTTTGTGGACCATGTCTAATGTCAGTGTGTTGCTAACGTACTTGTGTCAAATAAGATATCATTAATCCATAGCACCTTGGAGAATGGTCGACCATGTAGCCCTGATCGAACTTCATCATACATAGGCATCATGGCGGTATTGCGTAGATACGATAGTCGCTCGATTCGCTCCATCGCATGCACGGATTGGGGAAGAGACGTGCTTGTGATATTATGCCGGACACCACGCTCCGTCAAACTCTTCTCCAAGTCCATCAGAAGCATTTTGGTTTTGTCGCGTGAATCATTTTCGAGGATGGATATGAATACGTTCTCATGGCCAAGATCGTCGGTTAGTGCTAAGAGGGCTTTAGAGTAATGCGGCAATATTGTTTCGGAATTGTACAAAAGAGAGGCAATGTATACTGTTTCTTGTGAAGGCATTTTCCATGCAGCTGGAATGCTCCCACGATCAGGACTCCACCCCGCTACTATGCACAGGCCGACCATACCGGTCAGAAGACCGAGGCCTGTCTTTAACGTCTTGCGGTTCGCACGGGCGTTCTTCCGCAAGACCGTCACGACAAAGAGAGAGGGCACCGTGAAACATAGTGTTACCAGATAAATATACAGAGTTGAGGGGATAAAGAAATACCAGCTTAGGCACAAAAATAGCACAAATGAGCTAACCAGGACTTTGCCTTCGGCAGAAGCCCAGAGAGCGAGGGTAGTGTGCCGCAACGATGCGAAGGTGGCCCGCCACCACTTCGGCATGGGCATGCTTCTAAAATATTGTGTGTCCTGATCATTCAATGGTAATTCGTACACAGGCAAGGACTTCTTCGGCATTCTCAATGAACACACACCAACGACACATGAGACACCTGTCAACTTAAGGAGAAGGATGCTGTCAAACGGGTGGTGCACGTGGTAAAGGACGGCTATTTAGGGTGCAGCTGCACGTGAAGCATTTACATCTAACACGGTGGCTGTGGCTGACAGCGTTTGCAACGCATGCCAAACACCGATTGAGGGCATTTGCCAGCGCGCACGTACCCACACCCAAACTGTCAATAGAAGCAATAGGCCATGGCGGAGTACATGCAGATTGGTATGCCAATGCTCCCATATCCCATGCACAGGCATCTGACTTGCATAAAATATTACACCAGCTTCCAGCGTAAAGGCTGCGCATAGAATTGCCATGGCGGGAACACGCATATAAGCGCGCGTGCGCATGGGTATAAGCGCCCCTGTCGTACTAGTACCTCCGAGCTTGTTCATAAGGCGGGGCAGGGTATCATGAGGGGACATAGTGAGCAAGGCAAGTATGATGGCCTGAGCTAGGTATATACGAGCCACCGTGTATAGGGCAAAAAGCTGGTAGTCAAATTCGCGGGTGCAGAATCCACATGCTAGGAACGGCATCGCACCGAGAGTGAGGTATAGTTTCCGGCCTTCCACGTTGGAAAGACGCCAAAGTAAGTTCTCAATAGCTTCGTCGCCAAACGACTCGCGCCACTGATGTAGAATTGGCAGACGCCCCAGCTGACCGTTTGGTTCCATTGCTATACGTAATACTCGTGTAGGTACAATAGTCGATACGCCGAGCATCCGGAAAAGGTCAAGTGGTAAGCCCCAGGTGGTGAGAATGCCGCTAGGCAGCCACGCTTGCGGCACGAATTGCAGGATATGGTACAGGGCCAAAGCACCCGTCAGTGGTGCCATAAGCCACGTATCTACGGTGGTAGACTTCGTTGGTATCCGTGCATGCGGTGCACCAGGGAGAGGCGTGTCCTCCGTGCGCGTTTGGGGTGCGCTCGCGTGGGATGCCATGACGCTAGACGTGAAGGTTGTGGGGGCATATTTCCTATGTTTTATGCACAAGAAGTAAGATTTGCTATCAAAGTTGGTCTATGTGTCTGTGTCGGCTTGCCATCAAGGCGAAGCAGGCGATCGGTCGTGGAATTGCGTCATAGGGTATGCGGGTTCGACCGTGTCTGGCTCATCATCCTGGTCAAGAACAAACGGCTGTGACTCCCTTTCATAGTCAGATCGCGACGCGCGAAGCTCCAAGGGTCGAGGGACTCGGTCATAAGAACCACGCGTCGCATCATGGTGTGCGCTTGGTAGCTCCTCCTCATTCGTACTTCGGTTGATATTCAACAAGTAGACACCGATGAAAGTAACAAAGAAACCGCCAAGCAGAGACACAGCTTCGGCCCCACTTGTGTTGAAACCCTGGAAGAGAAGCACAGAGGCAAAGATGGTCGAAGTTGTGAATAGAACATAGTAGATGGGATTGACCACGTTGGTAGAGAACTGGTCCAAAGCACGGTTGAAATAATTCATCTGAATCATAATGCAAAAAACAACCATCAACCCAAATGCATAGGTAGACAGATGCGTGAGCTGGTTGTTACCGCTGAAGGTGAGACGCAAGGCCACTCCAAACGCTTTAACACTCATCACGGAGATGGAGCCTACAAGCGAGCAGATTGAGAGGTATACAATGGGGGTCTTGCGGCCATAGCGAGGTACCACGCGGACAATCATAAATACAGAGAAAATGGCGACAAAGGCACAGTACAGCAAGAACGGTGTTTGCATTGCATATGACAGGATCTCATCCACCGTTTGAATCTCCTTGTCTTCAGGCGCGTTCACAACAATGACCACTGTACCAATGAGGCAGAGCGCACAGCCAATAATGCCCAGCTGCCCAAGACGCTCATGGAGAATGAACGAGGCAAGGATCGCACTAAGGTAAGAATACGCGCGCGCATACATACCCCACCAACACACTAAGGGCGCCTAGCGGTGTGACCAGAATTGGTGGTGCGAACGTATATGCAATAAAGTTCGCCACTTCGCCCACGACCACTACCGGTCAGCTCCACACATACGTACTCGTAGCCATACCAGCCCACCAAATTGGGTTGCTCAGGTAGCTCAGTCGATCGGATGCAAGGCCATCACTATGTTCAGCAGCGCTCATAAGGCCCTGTCGTAAGCTGATCATGACGCAGGACAAACCTTTTTGGTAATAATGAAGCTCGTGCCAATTGCGGCACTGGAGCTCAACGCTAGCATCAATCCGATCCATTTGTCTTGACTGAGCGACGTCATGACCGTTCCGCGTGCAGTACGCAACGAAGATGCAAACAAGCAGCAACCAAGAACAACCAACGCCGCCGCGCGGGCGGGGGTCGAGTGTTGTGGAAGTACGCGCCGCCCACCTCCACACGCGATGTCGCCGCGTAGGTTTACCACGAGGTGCCATCGCTCAATCCGCATGAGCGAGATAAAAGAAGAAGCATCCTCTGCCCCTGACGGAGCAGACGAGATGCGAAATCCAGAGAACGTGGCCCAAGAATGGGCTGCAGGTCGTATATCTTCTTCCTCGTACGTACTCTACCACTACGCTGACTCATTTATAGCCTGGACCAATGGCCTTCGATTCGGACGTATTTGCAAGAAAAAATTAATCAAGTAGGTCCTGCTGCTACTGACACAGAATCTGGACGCCTTTGACGTACGAGCTAAGCCATCGTTACACACGGCCGCGCCCTTGGCGCCTATCCTGCGTGAGCAGGAAGAACACAGCTCATCCCAATCTGATTCGCCTCCACCGACGACAGCGGCGATTGAGCTGATAGCGTCTGAGCACGACATTGGCAAAGAGGATATGGAAGACTTCTACCCCGCGCGTGTTATGCCACCCTCCGAGACATGGCTTACATGGGACCAAGTCCTGGATGGCGATGACTTGCAAGCTGCGAAGGACCAACTTTTTTCCATGCTGAACGATTTTGACCAAGCTCCTCCCTTCACCATCCAACGCTTTTGCGAGTTGGTATGCACACCCACGAAGCACTATCATACGCGGTCCAAATACTTGCATGCACTTCAACGCATCTTATCGGTGACATCGACAGCAGTCCCCACGACGCCCAAGGAAGGGAGCACGGTCAATGGGACTATGTCGCCACTGCCTGCGGACGAGCCAGCGTCTACACCCTCGTTCCATATTCGCCCAAGTTCGGAAGTGACACCTATGTACTCACCGATCCCCTTCTTGGATACAAATGGGGGGGATGCCGTTACCGATGCGAACGGCACACCCACAGTCCCGGCAGGCCGGATCGACGAGCTGGACTCTTCTGCCGCTCATGGCGTGGTGACAGAGTCTGTACAGCCATTGAGCGCTACTACTACGGTAGAAGATTCACCTAAACGGTTGCGTGTAGACTAGTAGCATGTATGTAGTCTTTTCTATTCTAGGAAAGGTTGTTTGACTGCCAATTCTTGGGCGGCGGCATGGCAATGACGTCAGGTACATGCGTTGTACCTGTACCATTAGCAGACACAGGTGCTACTGTCGCCATCGGTGGTGGACCTGGTACAGCCTCCCGCAGCGTCTCAGGGGACGACGAATGCATGCGCTCGTTGGACGATGTAGAGTCGTGCTCCCAGCCGCCCATCTTTTCCTCGTCGTCCTGACGCGAACGGCCAGTAAGGCTTTCCATGTCCTCCTTCTCGGTTGCTTCAAACTTGTCGATATGGTCCTGGAACGGGAGTGACTTGTTCGAATGCAACTTGCGCTCGAGCCAGCTTTGTGGGCCAACATTCTCTTCATTCTTAGGATCCAAGCGGAAGCCGTCATCCTCATTGCGAATGCGGTGGAAGAAGGACACAGGTCGGTCTTCTTCCACAGCATAGTCGCGTGGGTTGAACACCCTCTTCCTAAGCATTGTAAACTCACGACCCGTGATGCGACAGAACACATAGCCAATCAAGATTCGTACACCACATGAGGCAAGCGCAAAGCAAATATCGGCAACGGGCGCGCACAAAAAGGCACCGATAATGCTGTAGTCGTCCGAAGTGGTGTACACACCATTGGGTAGACCAATCAGACTGCCACCTGCCTGAACGTCACCATGGTAGTAGATGGTACCGAAAACAAAGACAGTCAAGAAGCCACCGCACCCACCGACCACGACGTCTACAGCATTGTACACATCGAAGCCGGGGATAAGGCCGAGGAATACACCGGGAATAATGGCCAAGCCAGCCAAGTCTGCAATCAAGAACACACGAAGGATATCAATGTTGTACACGGCCAAAAAGACACAGGGCACGTTGATTAGCAGCAACAATACACGACAGGCCCAGATATTGAGCTTGCCAAGGAAGAAGTCGCTGTAGATTACACTGATTTGCGCAGACTGGAACGTGTCATACGCACTGCAAGATAACACGCCACTCAGGACAAGAATAATGCCGTGGACCCATCGTGGCATGTGGAGCATCGCGCGGAAGAGGGCCAAGGATCCGTCGTCATCATCATTGATGGGTTGTTGGACACCTGACCAAAGTGCCAAAGGCCCTGCCATGCCTACTAAAAAGCAAATGGCATAAAGCGGTAGGGTTGCCATAAGCACCGATGCCCAAAGGCCTTTGTTCGTCCTCGATGCAAACGCACGTTGCCAAAAGCCTTGATTGAACATTTGTGCAAACACAATCGAGATCGTTAGCACATACCACATTTCGCCACCTAGGACATTCGCCCCTAGGAGCTCGCTTTCGTGCATTAAATCCTTGTTGATATCCAAACGCGTGCCAAACATACAAGCTCCGATAATAATAAACACAATCACAATCACAGCGTTCACATTGTCGGTCCACAGTGACGTCTTGAAACCACCATAAGCAGTGTACAAAAATGTTGTGATCGCAACGATCAACGGAGGGATCCATTTCTGTCCTTCTAGCGATGGAACAATGGTCGATACGACAGCGCCATAGGTATTCAGCTCCACAATCATGAAACAAAACATAAACGCAATGAAGACCAATCCACTAAACACGCCCAGCATCCAGCCGTAACGACGGCGGATGTACTCTGATAGGGTGAATCCATCCGGGCACAGTTTGCGAATCAGCGGTCCAAAGAATGCAAACGCCCAGAGAGGCGCCACAGTGGCAAAGACGTAACCGCCCAAACCAAAGAGACCGATACCAGGCACAAGGGCCATTTGAGGGTATGCCTGAAGAAGAGACGACGACATATCTGTAGTGTTAGTACTGCTACTCACCATCAACACCGGTTGAACGGCAGCGACACAGCATTCCCTTCGCGAGCATGAACTCGTTCAGGTATAAAGCCAGGAGGCTTGAACGGTATAATCTCAGCCAACGCCCTTGAGCTCGACTTGCAACAATGTCAAGCTCACATAAGAAGCAAAGGCACCCGTATCTGCATCACTAAGCCGATCACGGAAGTGAAAGGTTAAGGGCCAGTCTAAAGGAGGCACACATACGCTTCTTCACCGCCGTCAGATCGACTTTGGACAACCGTGACAAGTGAAGAAACGTAGCAATACCATAATGTTGTGTCGTGCGTAATCCCAGGCGTCAATGAAGACACTAACTCGAAGCAATCCAATTCAATGCCAATAGAAACGCTACCAGCGTTAGCCGTTCCAGCTATCTATACATACCAGGCTGGGTGCGAACACCGCTCAGGAATTCACGCTTGTTGCGTGTGTAGTAGCCGGCCCATAGACCGATCAACATGAAGCCACACAGCGTCGAGTAAATCAGCGCATTGGCCTGAGAAGGGTCCAGGTAGCCATAAGGCGCTTCCGCGTCGGCCATCGTAGCAAAATTGATAACAGTCAAAGTTAAACGCGAGCCAAAAACGTCGCCATCCACTGACCGCGTTTGGAGTGCGCCATCACGTGCACCACGTGTGATATGCAGGGTGCGCCTGCACCATAGCCTCCGCCGCTCGACAGCCAGCCAACCGTCGCAGAGAGAGCGAAGCGGCGTCGTAGGCCCACCGCGTACGCAGATCATTACACGGGCGCAGCATGCCCGCGCCAGGAGTCCCAGCGACATTTCGTACGAGTGCCGTGCCCATGTATCGGCGGTATATGGGAACGGCCGGATCCAGTGCGACGTCTATACCCAGCGTCGATGAGCTGGCCGACTTGGTACGGCATTTGCAGGCGCTGCAGCAGGACGCGTTGACGCGTGCACAAACATTAGCCGACGAACGGCCTGGAAATAGTGGACGTGTTTCTGCACAAGGCGCCGGCACAAAATGGAAAGGCAAGGATACCAGGGTCAAAGAAGAAGACCTTGAGGCTGAGTCTTTGGAGCCCAATGCGGAGGGCGGCGAAAGCTCAGGTGACGAGTGGGAGCCGGAGGACAGTCGTCGTCGTGCAAACGTGAATCGGACCTATGGACGGCAGGGCGCGTGGAGAACGAAGGAGGGACCCACGAGCGATGCTGAGACAGAGGCCATAGACGAGGCACAGACGCCAGTTATGCCGCGCATGAAGATGCGTCGTGCGCCTCTGAGTGTAAAGTTACGATTGACACAGCCTGACGATGCAGCTCGCGTGCGTTCAGAGATGCGATCTACGCCCTTAACTGAGAACGACGATGTACCTGAGCAGATTGTGGACTTGCATGGCGAGTCATTTACGGATCCTACGACGTTTAGTTGGGAAGTACCGCATGAGCCGGAAGCGACCATCCTCCCGAAACGAGAGCCCCTGCGTCTGCCATGGCCGTACCCGACGCACCCGCTGGACGTGCACGAAGACTTTGCCGATCGAGATTGGCGTGAGCGTGAATCAATGTACACTGTGAGCGACACGACGGCCGGCCCGTCGGTGGTCCCTAAAGAGGCAGGCCGAGGCAGGCAGACGAAAGAGGCGTCCCAGGTTTCGATTACCACCTTTTACAATTACGTCGATACGTTCTTCAAGCCTGTGACAGAAGACGACTTGGCATGGCTCTCGAGCAAAGTCGATGACCCTTCGCCGTTCCAATTCCCAGAGCTTGGTACGCATTATCGACAGGTGTGGGACAAGGAGGACCGCGAGCTACAAGGTCTCCTTCAGTCGGGCGACGTCTCCCTATCGAGCAAGACGCGACCGTCCACCGTAGACGAAGACGAATTGCCGCTGGCCCAGACCATGCCGTCTCCCTTCAATGCAAGCTCCTTGTCGTTGCAAGACATGACCGCAGAACACATGTACAATCGCTTAGCGCATGGTGGCCCGTTGATTGAGCGGCTGATTGCCTCGCTCATTGTGCCGCCGCCCAGCGGTTCTCCCTCATCAAGTGCGGCGGCGCTGGAAGCTGCCACAGAGTCGGATCTTACGCCGCCGCCTGATATCCAAAAGCCTTTGTCGGACATGGAAGCACAGGCACGCCAGGCATGTGAAGCTATTGGGTTGATGGAGCCAGGCGCGCCGATCCCTTGGGACGATCAGGCGGATGGGCCTATTGGTTCGGCTTTGCGATTGGCCCAAGCGCGCCTACGACGTCAGATGAAGGCGAACGAGGAACGGAAAGCGCGTCTGTTCAAAGTGGCGCAAGATCGTATGGCGTTCCAGGACTACCAAGCTTGTTTACAAGCGGTAGATCGCGAGATTGAGTCGAGCTGGACGAAGCGAACGCGGCAAATTAAGGCGAGTGCCGGGAAGAAGCGGAAGGCAGAGGCAGAGGCAGGGCCTTCGCGACCGCAGCTGCCAGAGACGCTGCCTGAAGCCCTGCAACGCCGCAAGAAACTCAAGGCGGCTTTCGAGCCGTTGTTTGCCAAGATACCACATGCCTATGCCCCGCCTACTGAGTCTATATACCATGGCATTGAAAAGTAGTCTGCTTTCGCTAGCTGTCATTGTATTGCATCCAGGTAGCTGTAAAGAGGCTTTACGACACCATGCGTACCAACATGGTCTCGCCACCACAGACTACATTGTCCGCTGCGCCAGAGAGTGGCACCTTGGTAGGGGTATACACACGTCGATCCGCTCGTAGGCCCAGGCCCAGGCGGCCATGGAAGGAGTCGAGGCCCCAGACATACAACGAACCGTCATCCGTAATCGCTGCCGCATAACTTGTGGAGGCAGCAATGCGCTGGACGCGACGTTGGTTTGGCATTGGAAGAGGGTGCCATCCCTGGTACGGATGGCCTGTCGCGCCGTAGCCTGTCGTGTACAATGTGCCGCTTGCTGTTCGTTAGCTTGCTCCAATTTGCACGGCACCTGCTCAGCGAATAAGGGGGCGAAGCAGCAGGGCCTAGACGAGCTAAGCACTCCACTACGCCCAGCATGTGACCTGGTATCGTCGCTGGACAAGCTCCTCCGTTGGTCCCTACAATGGCATCCTTGCAGGCGCTGTATACGTACCATCCATAGCCAGCATAAAACTACCACCCACCTGGATTTCTTGAATGAAGGGCGGTACGTCAGCCTGCGTAGGACTCCGAAGCTGATCTGCCGACGATGACGCGACGCCCTGGCCGTACTCGTTATTGCCCCATACCCATACGCGGCCCATATCTGTCAAAATGGCCGAGGTATCACCACCCGCAGCCACTTGGACAATACGCTCCTGCGCAGGGATGTCTACCTCGACAGCACCTAGATGGTCCGCATACCGCATGTAGGCAGGGCGGCCCAATTGCCCATCGGTATTCAGACCACAAGACCATACCTGCTGCGTACCTGCAGCATGAGGTGCTTGATCCACATGCGCAAGAATTAACGTATGATCTAGCCCCGCGGCAATTCCCTCAATGCGACAGACAGGGGCCGGCAGCGGCACTTGCGTAAATATGCCCGCCTGCTGGACCTTAGCTCCCAAGCCTATCTGCCCACGTGTATTGGTACCGCAAGCGCTTAGGGCCTGTGGAGTTACGATCCACGTAAAACCCAAGCCGGCACCGGCTAATTGTACGTGGAGGTGTGCCAGCGTATGAGCCCAGAGCGTGTCGGTTGGACCCTCTGGTCGTCCCAATTGGCCATGGCCGTTTTGGCCCGAGAGGTGCATGGCCTCAGGTCCCTCCACAACAAGGGCATGCGACTGCGAGGCGACAGCCAAGCCCCCCGCCGTGATGGGGAGAGGACGTACGCGGCCCTGGGAGGCATGGGATCCCCATTGCCCAGCAAAGTGCCATACACCCGCCCGGCAGGCGGTAGTATGCACACCCCGTAGGCGTAAATGCATAGGGACAAAAAAGTGCCGATCCACAGCGCTGATTTATTTTTAAAAGAAAATTCAACAGATGAAGCTTGAATAAGATTTGCTTAGTTAAGCGCCAAGGCAGATGTGACCGAAAAGAAGGCTCATCGGCCATACAAGCCCCCTTCTCTTGCCTCTTATTCAATATGGCACTGTACGAGCTCCTGAAAGCGAACATGCCTGCCAGCATTGTCCAGTGGACGACGCCGATTCAGGCATGGGTTCCTGGTGTCACGCCGATGTCGACGCTTCCGTCGGTTTTCATCACATCGGCTGCCTACCTGGTTGTTGTGCTGGGTGGACAGGAGATTATGCGCTTTTTCCCTGCTGTGCCGGCCAAGTACGTCAAGATTCCGTTCTTCATCCACAACTTGTTGCTGTCTCTGGGTAGTCTGGTTCTTCTGTTGCTCTACCTGGAGCGCCAATTTTTGCTGATCCGCCAGTACGACCTGCATGACTCCATTTGCCGCGCCAATCTCTTTGAACAATCAGTAATGTTCCACATTATCAACTACTATTTCAAGTACTGGGAGTTTGTCGACACTTTCTTCCTTGTGATCAAGAAGAAGAACTTGATGTTCCTGCACGTGTACCACCACATGGCCACGGCGATGCTTTGTTACTCGCAAATTGTCAATCGCACAACGCTCTCGTGGGTGATCATCTGCCTGAACCTTGCTGTGCACGTCATTATGTACAGCTACTACGCGTTTGCCAGCATCGGTATTCGTTGCCCGTGGAAGAAGTGGATCACTACCGGCCAAATTCTCCAGTTTGTGATCGACGTGGCCGTGTGTGTTTATGGCAGTATGTATTTTGTGTATGTTTGTGCTAACCCACGCCAGTTTACCACCACTACGCCCCCCAGGCCAAGATCAACTTGCCTTACGTGCGCTACTGCCATGGCGAGCCTGCTGCAGCTTTCTCGGGTCTCGCGATCCTGGTCAGCTACCTGTTCCTCTTTATTTTGTGTACGTATGCCTTACCGACTAACCATGCAGTCTACAAGAAGACATACAAGAAGCCGGCCAAGGCCAGTGTTAGTGCCAAGAAGATGCAGTAATGACTTTGTGGTTACCATAGATAAATTATCGTCGGTTGCGACAATGTACATGTCCTTACCTCTCTAGCACGACCAATAGATCATGCGCCGTGGAGTTCACTTGCAGCAGCCAACGGGGTATTGGTTCACGAGGACTGCAGGTATTTGTGATGTTGGGCGTCAGGGAGGCGTAAATATTTCCAGTTTTCTTTTGAGTGGACACTCTGACGAACACCCAAACCTCCTGTCATAGGTCAGCCGCACATGGCCCCAACAGAACCTAGGATGTTGGCCTGTGTGACAGCGACGGATAAATAATACAGGCAAATGGTAGGAAGAAGTTCAGAACCTTCCTCATGCTCTTGTACGAAGCGATCCAGTCGGTGGTCCCCACCAGTGTGGTTCAATGGACGCAGCCTATCCATAACTGGGTGCCCGGCGTTACGCCGATGTCGACGCCCAAGGAGGTCTTTGTGGGCGCTGTGATGTACCTCGTTATCGTTCTCGGTGGCCAGCAGATCATGCGGATGTTCCCGGCCGTGCCTGCCAAGTACATCAAGCTCCCCTTTTTCCTTCATAACGTGTTCTTGACACTCGGCAGTCTGCTGTTGTTGCTGTGCTATCTGGAGCGTGCTGTGCCGTTCTGGAAGAGCCAGGGATTCCATGACGCTGTCTGCGACGGCAAAATCTACTATGAGCTCGAACTGCTGCACATTATCAACTACTATTTCAAGTACTGGGAGTTTGTTGACACGTTCTTCCTCGTGATCAAGAAGAAGAAGCTCATGTTCTTGCATGTGTACCACCACATGGCCACTGCCGTGCTCTGCTACACGCAGATTGTTGCGCAGACGCCTGTCGCTTGGTTCGTGATTTCAATCAACTTGGCTGTGCACGTCGTAATGTACGCTTACTACGGCCTCTCGAGCATTGGTATCAGCTGCCCATGGAAGAAGTGGATTACTACGGGTCAGATCACTCAGTTTGTCATTGACCTGTGCATCTGCAACTACACTCTGTACCATTACTTTGGCCTCAAGCTTCGTGGTGTTTTGCCTGGAGTGAAACCATGCTGGGGTCAGCCAATCGCGGCGCTGGGTGCTGTGATGGTCTTGCTTAGCTACCTTGTTCTTTTCATTCTCTTCTACCACGCCACATACAACGCAAAGCGTAAGGTTAAAAAGACTGCGTAATTGCATCTCAATATAGTGACTTCCCTCCTTTTATCATTTCATAGTGTACTCTGGTGGTGTAGATCTAAAAACAAATTCTTGGCCAGTCTATAGCGGTGCCTGAGAGCGAATTGCGTGGAGGTCGGTGACGCCCAGTTGTTACGACCACCACCGAAGAGGACAGCCGCGCAACACACGCTTCCCCATGGCAGTCAGGCACTATCACTACAAAGTCATGCTGGCATGTGCCTTGTCTTGGCAAGAAGAAAGCCATGGATCGGTGAAAATACGTACACAGCCTACCATCATAATTGCAGGCCATTACGGGCAAGAGTACAGCTACAGCACCGAGAGAAAGTACTTTTTTGCTATTCCAGCTAGTAGAATGGCATACGGTCGTAGGAGCATTACATAGCATACCTGTATAGTTAGATGTGCCTCCTCGTTCATACATACTTGCGAGTCCACTCACGAGCCGTGTTTTCGTACGCACCACGGTCTGTCTTGTACAGATGCGCGATATCTGGCACCAATGGGTCATCCGGGTTCGGGTCTGTCAGCATCGAGCAGATCGAGAGGAGCACCTTGGAGATCGTCAGAGCTGGACTCCACTGGTCCCTGAGGATATCAAGACAGATACTACCGTTGGCATTGATGTTCGGGTGGTAAATCTTGGTCTGGAAAGAGACCTTCGGCGGCTTGAAGGGATAGTCCGTGGGGAAGGTAATCGACAAGAAGAAGACGCCACCAGAGTAGGGCGAGTCGCTCTAAGCTGTGTTAGTACGTAGGTGGCTAAAGACACATACAGGACCCATGATGGTCGCCTGCCACTGCCAAAGTTAGCGCTACCTTTCATAAAATACGTACCTGGAACATGTTATCGCCAGTCGGGCCAGCGCTACACGACGACGGAGGGTCGCGACCGAGGTCAGCGAGCTCCTGCTACGAGTTAGTCATCCCTGTTCCCCATGCCAGATGTGGTAGTGTGCGACGTACCTTGCTAATACGTTTCATAGCCATGGTGGGAGTGGTATCTACAACAGTGACGTAAAACTATTAAGCTCAGGCCACGAATGCAATCGATACGGTCCTAAGGAAAGAGCTGACGACGATGGTCCGACTCGCCACACTGCCACTGCGGCGGGTGGTTGCCGGCCACCCTGTTTCGGCCGAGAAGTGATCGGGGGCAAAGTAGGCCGCTCAGGCGCGCTTTAGGCAGTGGGCCTTTTTCATCACGCGCCGCCGTTGTCATAGCGAACGTGTCGGGGTGTACTCATGTCACCTCCGCCCATAGGACATGGCAGCCAACCCGAGCACGGCCCGCCTGTCCCCTCTTTGAGTGCCTTGGATGGGGCACAGGGATCAGGCCCGCACTCAACGGCCGACAGTGCAAGCGTCGAGCCCACAGAACGTAGAGCAGGGCTAGGAGCGTCACGCGTCTCCGTGCCGCCATCTGACGACGTTATGCCGCCGTCCTTCTCACACCAACGGCCGTGGGGCCATGAGCGCGTACGATCACGGCCGCGTGAACGTGTGCGTGGTGAGGGCGAATGGCCTCGCCACAAACGGCATCGTTCTCATAGGGGCGGCCGTGCTGACCATGCATATTACGATTATGATCGAGCTGGACTTGATCGGATGCAACCGAAACGCTCGGACATGAATCTGGATACGCAACCCATGCCCGAAGAACTGTACGGCAAACCTGAATCAGCGTGGACCAAGTCGCCGTCGAAACAGGAAGGAACAGCCGAAGCTGATGAACGCGTATCGACGCGGCCACCACCGGTTCAGCACGAACAAGAGGGCGCTGCTGTGGCTTCTCCCCCATCTGTGCCTGCGACCGTGTTACCCTCTCTTCCTGTGAAAGCCGAGACGGCCGGTCCCGAGGATACGTCAGTCCACCAGGAGACCGTGAAACAAGATGTACTAGCCAATATCCCAGTCTTGCCGGCCCAGCCGGTGGTTGCCATGATAGAGCTTGATTCGATGACGTCGATGGAAGTGGAAGCAAAGTTGCCGACCAGCGATGGGCCTGTGACAGAGCATACTGAAGCAGCGCCTGAGCCGCGTTCGACTGCCAAAGCAGAAAGTGTACCCATCGCTGCGCCAGAAGACAGCGATGTGATAGACGCTTCGATGATGACAGATATGTCGATTGCAACAGCAGCCGAGTCGGAAGTTGACCCTGACATGACGGCAGAGGTCGACGTGGAGGCCGACGAAAAGCAGGCCGCGATCCAGTCGATGGCGACACAGCTGGTTGCTCGCTTTCCCCTCACGCCGATGGACATGCATACGCTTACGAGTGCCTCCCAGTGTGTTGCGGCGTCCGTGTCGACGCCCGTGTGCCTAACGACGACCAAGTCAAGAAGCGAGGACGATAAGGCGTCTGTTCCGTTGGACACGATGCAAGCCTACTTGCAGACCCGTCTGAAAGACGATGCCGACGCACGTGCAGCGAAGATGGCGGCGCTGCGAGACGAGTACCGCGAGAAGAACAGGGCATGGCTTAAGAACTGCGCCAAGCTGGACCGCATATATGAACGACGAGAACTCCAGCGACGTGCGTCACAGGGCCTTGGTGACGATACCTCGCCGATGACCAGCAGTGCTAGTGCGTTGTCCGTGACGCCTATGCCCACCTCGCGGAGTTTCCGCCGTGGTGGGTTCGGATCCAGTGGGTTCGGCGATGCTGTTCGTTCGGAAGCTGAGTTCCAGGAGATTCTAGCTTCCTTGGAGAATGCAGAGATGCAAGACCCTGCAGCACGCGCGGCCCGGACGGCTGCCGCTGTACCGGACATGGAGCTTCAAGGACGACCTGTCTACGACGATGATCAAGGGTACGTCGCAGACCCTGTCTCGTTTTACTTTACCGATTTTGACCCGGACGTGTGGAGTGAGGAAGAAAAGGCCATCTTTACGAAGCGCTACTTGCAGTACCCCAAACAGTTTGGCCGTATCGCTGAGAAGCTGCCGCACAAATCCGTGCAGCAATGCGTCGCGTTTTACTACCTACATAAGCACGAAGAAGGGTACAAGGCTATGCTCACAGCGCGTCATCGTGAGCGTCGGAAAAAGGGCGGGAAGACGCGCTCAAAGAAGGCACGTGGGAATGCCCTTATGGCCGACATCGAGGCGACGTCAACCACCGTCACGGCCAAGGCCACGAGTACGACCACGCCTCCTATACCCTCACCTCCTACGGCACCGCTCGATAGTGCTGCGATGACCGAGGAAGAAGAGAAGCCAACGACGCCCAACGCCCGACGGCCAAAGCCCGCAGCGAGCACGAAGCCACCACAAAGTAGTCAGGTCGCTACGCCTACTCCTACGGCTTTGCCTGAGTCGAAAACAGATAACATACTGTCCGCCTCCATCATGTCGACCGAAGCCTTGCGCACGATGGCGACCTCGGACCCAGCATTGGAGCGCGACTTGGCTGCGGCTGAGGCCCTAGAAGCGCTTGCGAGTTTGGCTATGCCGATGCGCACGGAAACGAAGAAACGTAAGCCCAAGGCGCGCGATGGCGAAGAGCCCAAGTCGCGATCTCGTGGACCGCATTGGTCAATGACGGAACGCGCTGATTTTTTGCGTCTGTTGGCTATCTATGGCAAGGACTGGCATGCTCTCTCGGCCTCGTTCCCGGCAAAGACCCCGGCACAGACGCGCAACTTCTTTGCGCGGCATGCCAGCGAAAATAGCCACTTTCAGGAAGCTGCAGCGCTGGCACAGGCCAACGCCAATCGTCCATGGGCCGACAAGGTTGAAGCGGCGCATGCGTTTGTGCGTGCGTGGTACGATACATTGCCGCCAGGTGCCAACAAGGACTCGATTACCAACTGGCCGTGCCCAGGTACGCAAACGCCGCCCCCTCCGCCGCCCAACCCTGTGCCGCCGACGCCGGCGGTACCGATACCGACGCCGATGCCAGCTACAGTGACGACGTCTGAGACGATCCGAAGGCCCACTGCGCCGCCACATGACGACGATGAAGAGACGGACGATGAGGAAAGGTCAACCGGCCCATCTCCGTCCGACTCGGCGCCATGGACAGCGACACGTCCATCGGCGTATCCACCGACGTACGTACCTCGCGCGCCGCCCCCGATGCCGATGTATTACCACCGCGATGCCCCCTCGCCGTACGCGCCAGCTGTGCCGCCTATGGGTATATACGGCTATGCCCTGCCGAAGTATGGCGCGCCTGCTTCTCGACCACCGCCGCCAGGGCCCATGCATGGCGCTTCGCCAGGCGGCCCTGGCGATGGACGGTACACGCCTGAAATGTACCGCACTTCCACGTCACCGATGCCACGAGCCCCGATACGTCCTACGCCGAACATGGGCTACTTTCCGCCTCGACCAGATCGATGGCATTGAACTGATAGATGATGCTAGAAACCTGCAGTAGATACCCAAGAAGAAACATACCAGGAGCTGCAGGTGATGACGCGTTTAGCGCATGGTTGATTTGCTGCCATCCATGCCGGAACCCAAAACGATAGGATAACCTAGTGTGGAGGTTGATCGTGACCGGACGTCCACGGGGCGCATACGTACGCGTTGGCCTGTTGCAAACTGATATAGGGACGACGCAACGCTGAGCCTGTGCGAGCCTTATAACCATGTCATCGACAGAGAAATTACAAGAGAAGCTTGTGCTTCCATGCGGCGCTGTTATGCCCAACCGGTTGGTCAAGGCGCCACTGGAAGAAATGCTTTCCACCCTAGGCGGCGGTAATCCTACCGAGGGCATCTTTTCGCTGTACCGCACATGGGCCGACGGTGGATGGGGTATGATCATCACAGGCAATGTCAGCGTAGACAGTCGGTACATCGGCTGCGGCTTTGATGTGGTGATCCCGACGCAGACCTCGACCAAGTGCCTTGATGCCTTCGCAAAGTATGCCCGTGCTACCAAGGGCTATGACATCGATGATATGCACTCGGATATGCAAGCTTCTGAAGGCTCACGGCCCTTGGCCGTAGTGCAGCTGGTACACTGTGGCCGTCAGTCCATGCGCGGATGTGGTCGTTTGCCGTGGCAGCCGGCTGTAGCACCCTCGGCAGTGCCTGTGCAACTCGGCTCGTCGCCATCGTGGATGGATTGGATTGCCTTCGGTACGCCGCGTGCGCTCTCGAAGGACGACGTGCACGATGTCATTGCGCGGTTCGTGCATGGCGCCGTGATGATGGAAGCTGTAGGTTTTGACGGCATTGAGCTGCATGCAGCGCATGGCTACCTACTCTCGTGCTTCCTGAATCCACGCACAAACCTGCGTACAGACGAGTACGGCGGTAGTCCGGAGAACCGCTTCCGCATTATCCGCGAGATCATTACGGAGATCCGCAAGCGTGTAAAGAAGACATTTATCGTGGGTATCAAGCTCAACTCGAGCGACTATATCCAGGGCGGGCAGACGGAAGACGACGCACTACAGAATGTCAAATGGCTGGCTGAAATGCGCATGGTCGACTTCGTCGAGGTCAGTGGCGGCAGTTACGAGGCGCCAGAAATGCTCAAGCCCGTATCGGAACGGACCAAGCGTCGTGAGGGTTTCTTTGCTGAGTTTGCGCGACGTGCGCATGAGAGTCTGTCGGCCGATTCAACGATGCGGATCATTGTTACGGGCGGTTTCCACTCCCGGCAAGGAATGCGTGGTGCCCTGGAGTCGGGTATTGCTGACGGTATTGGCCTCGGACGTCCAGCTTGCTTGGAGCCAGCACTGCCTCACAAACTTCTTGATCCCAAGGTGCCGGACGACGAGGCGCAGTCCGTGTCATGGCCGCCAGCGCCAGCGCCTAGCTTCATCCCGAAGACCAGTGTCGCAGGAATTGGCTGGGGCACATTCTGGCACTCGGCTCAGCTGCATCTCATCGCACGCAAGAAGCCGACGGATCCCAACCTATCGATGATCGAGTTTTTGCGGCATCTGCGTCTCTGGTAAATGCATAGGTTTCGTAGTCCCTCCACATTGCTTGTTACGTTCATAATGGCATTCGCGGCGGATGTCCCAGCGAGCGTCGCATGGGGCCAGCCTGCGCAGACATTCCTCAATATACTGGGGGAGGTATGTGCACAGATACATTAACATGCAGCCTACACAGCCAAGCCCACCATCGGTGCTATTGTATGCACCAACGAGCCCACGGTCCGCCTCGGCGTGGCTGCGCGAGACCCTGCAGCAGTACGTCGCCCAGCATGCGGAGGTAGGCATCGTTCATATCTCCCCGCTTTTACAATGCACACCAAGACTGCTGTATGCGCATGTCCTTCGCGAACTTCGTGACGATGGCGAGGCGTGCTCGGATGCTGGCACATTCGTACAGCGACTGAGTGTCTTGGCCTCCCGCCTGGCCAAGATGGTCCTCGTAGTCCATGAGGCAGAACGGACACGCGATTTATGGCCTGAGCATGTATGGGAAATGTGGCCTATCCTTGCAGAGATGACACGCCAGCCTGGGCAGGTCATGGTCGTGTACGTATCGTCGCTGCCATGGTCGTTCTACCGCAGTATATCGGGTCGCACGATCTCCGTGACGCCTCTCCTCCTCCCGTGGATGGGGCTCGGACGAAATGATATGCTGGAACTATTGGCATCTGATGCCTCCCTTGCACTACGTGATGCACCCGCTGACGTCAATATGACTCTGTACCAAAACGTATGTGGTGTCATGTATGATACTATGAAACAGGTCGTCAGCGACGAGTACGAAATGCGACTGCTCTGTGCAAGCGTATGGAAAGCACTCATGGCTATTGTACGAAAGGGCGCGAAGCCGGGATTGCATGATCTCATGCCGCATGTAAGTGAATGTTGCCGAGACGCGCTGGCGCGGATCGTCCCACGCACGGTCGGACCTTCGGCATGGGTCGAGCATCGTACGTCGCCAGCGTCGTTACCGTCGTCGCATACCCCTCCATTACCTCCACGCACAGGCTACGGAGCCACCCAAGCCTTCCTCCTGATTGCAGCTTATATTGCCTCGTACAATCCATCGAAAACCGATGCAAAACACTTTGTTCGTGAGTTGGGCGCGTCGCGGAAACGCCGACGAACCAAGGCGCAAAAAGCGGCAGATGCAGCCTTGCTGGAAACAGAAGGCAAGAAAGAAATGTGGGACCGGACCAAGTACTGGGGCCCCCACTCGTTTTCATTGGAGCGACTCCTTGCTATATACCAGGCCCTTCTCGTGGATTTCAAGCAGGACTTGAACGAAGATGGACTTCCCGCATCGATGGAACGCTCGGTACGGACTGCGCACAACAAGGCTGAGCAGCATTGGGAATACGTCGCAGGCGAGTTCTGGAGCCGCTCCTCAACGACATTGGCAGAGCTGAATGAGCTCGTCCGTCAGCAGCTCATTGTGCGTGTGTCACCGGCGAACAAACTCAGTGCGATGCAGTATCGTGTCAATGCTTCGTTTGAGTACGTACGGCAAGTCGCGCACACCGTTGGCTTTCCTCTCAATGTCTGGCTTTGGGATGCCTACATCTAGTCACGTAAAGGCACATGGCTCCATATGGTATAGGGGCCCTTCTGAGTAGATGGCTTATACATTACTTGCACTTGGTGGATGCGCACGCGCAGGCCGCCATCCTCGATACTACTTTCTTCCGGTGCTGTAGCGCCAAGCGTCTGGCGGGCTTCGTCGAACAGCGCACGCTGGTCATCACACGAGTAGGCTTGTCCAAGGCTTGCATGCGGTATGAACCTTTCTCTCTTACGCTTTGCACCTGTGGGAAGATGTAGTTGAGCGGCCCGTGCGAGATCTCGCTGGAGGGCAACGAGCGGCGTCCCAGAAGCTTGGTCAGGGCGTAGGTGGACATTGGAATAGCGGCGGAGCCGAAATGTGTTGATATCGGAGAGTGTAAGTGTATGTGAATGGTGCAGTGCACATGCAGCTTGGAGGTCCTGCGTCAGCGCATGTAACTTGGTTTGCAGCCAGGGCGGGGGGTCTGTGGACGACATGGGCTCAGTTGACGACCATCGAAAAGGGGGAATAAGCGTGATGTGTGGGAGCCATCGCGAATAGGCAGCATCATACATATGTCGAATACGCTGAAGAGCCGTGAATCTGCGCTCTGCTAGCGTCCCAGACGGCTCCAGAAGCACAGCAACCAGCGCTGTATAGGTGGCCATAGCGAGGAGGCAAGGTGTACCGCCCGATGTAGAGCCCGATCGTCGAGACGCCTTTTTTCGACGCCTCGCTTACGTCGTCACTCCACCATGGCCGAATCGCGCACGAGCGAGGCGAAGGCCGCGAGACCTGCACGCAAGCAAATCTCCTATACGGAGCTAGAGGAGATTCGTAATGCTGCAGAGAGACAAGTAGGTGAGGGCATGATCTACAATGTGTGGTACAATAAGATGTCGGGTGGTGATACGGGACATGGTTTTGACTCGAAGACCAAGTCAAAAACACGTTGTGATATCGCACGCGATTCAGGCTACACACGCGCCGACAAACGTATTCGAGCAAGCGCAGGGGGCGTCTCTGATACCACGTATGTATGCTTGTTCTTCGCGCGTGGATGCTGTCCTAAGGGGTACGTACCAACGTGATACTCATCCTGCAGCGAAGAATGCAACTATCTGCACAGGTTACCACGACCTTATGAGGTCTCTGATCAGGGTACAGACATATTTGGACGTAAAAAGCATGGTAGTTACCGTGATGATATGGGCGGTGTAGGCTCGATGCTGCGTGTGAACAAGACGCTCTATGTCGGTCGCATTAATGAAGAGACGTCCCTGAGTTTCCGCAAGGCAGCTGCCAATCCTAAAGAGAGCTACGATGACCGGGGCGAAACGCCCACGTCGAAAATTGTTCGTCGGCACTTTAGCGAGTGGGGCGAGATTGAACATGGTACGTGTGTGCTTGGCTGACCTGGTGAAAGTCCGCGTGATGATTGGTCGTGGTACCGCGTTTGTCACCTACCGCTATGAAGCGAATGCCCAATTTGCAAAGGAGGCTATGATGCACCAGTCACTCGACCACGAAGAAATCCTCAACGTGCGGTGGGCTACGGAGGATCCACGGGCCAATGGCTCAGAGAAAGACGACAAAGAGCGTCGGCAACTCGGCGAAAAGCGCATAGCTGATATGGAAAGCGAACGAAGAGCGCTCGAACAAGACTACGAAGAGTTGAAGAGTGACCCCAGCATTAACTGGGACGAGTACGTTCGTGCAAAGCGGCAACGGCTGGCCCTCTCCGAAGAGGAAGCCCGACGTCTCGACGAGGAAAACCAGCGTGGTTGGGAGGAATACTATGCGGCCCAGAAGGCTGCCACCAAAGCGAAGGAGGCGCCTCCCTCTGTACAAAAGACACTGCTAAGCGATGCCACGCTCAAATCGCTTCAAAATCTGTGCGCACCTTTAGCACCGGCCAAGGCATCCGCCGCGCCCAAACCACCCACAGCGCTGGGTAGCCTAGCTGCTTATGGTAGTGATAGTGAGGAAGATGACTAGATGTCTATGCAAATATCATGCCCGAGTCCTTTTGAGCCATGTAGACAGCCGGGATGGGATCATAGTCGTTTTGTCGGATGCACTTAGAACTTTAATTCGCTAGGCATTTCCTCAGGAGGACCATCATCACGTAGACCCAGAGCACCAAAGGCATTCTGAGCTGTCCATTTGGCCATGCCACGACGAGACTCAATAGTTGCGCTGGCAATGTGCGAGAGCAGCATCACTTTGTCTAGCATGTCAGGCGCCAAAAGGGGGTGACCCTTCGAAACAAATGGTTCGCCCTCGACAACGTCCAAACCGGCGCCAGCAATCCAATTTTCGCGCAGAGCTTCCACCAGAGCCTCTGTATCGATAATAGGACCACGCCCCACATTGATAAGGTAGGCCGATTTTCTGTGTCAGTAGACATATGGTACGTACTTCATCGTCTGAAGGAACGAGGTGTTGATCATGTGCTTGGTCGACGGGGTCAGGTTGGCAATGATGCTAAGAGGTGAGAGTGGCTCGTACGTACAAGATCACATCGCATTTCTGCGCTAGGGCCTGGAGATCCGGCTCATTGTCGACTGGGACAGGGAGACGTTGATGCTGTTGGTAGTAGCACTGAAGCAGATCGTCTTGCGCAAGGTGGCGGAAATACTTGTCGTGCCAGTCGAAGGGGCGAGAGCTTGATGTACGATACAGGATTTGTGCTGGACGGAAAGCCATTAGCTTTCGCACAAGAGCTTGGGCGATACTGCCAAACCCGATGAAGCCCACGACTTTGCCTTCCAGGGCAGGACCTGTATACGTCATTGGTGTCCAAGGCACATTGTGCCAGTTGCCTTGCTTCACAACAGTGTAGCTTTCCATAACATGGCGCATCACATTCAGGCACAGGACCAACGACAGGTCAGCCACAGCATTCGAGAGTACGTCAGGCGTGTACCCAATACGAATCCCACGCTTCTTCGCGGCATCCACATCGATGTGCTCGAATCCAACACTCATAGTCGAAATCACTTTTAGTGATGAGCCTGCAGCTTCCATAATGTCCTCGTCTACTTTGCACACAGGCGTGCACAGGAGAGCATGAGCACCACGAACATGCTCAAGCAGCCACTCTCGCGGCGCAGAGAGTGTGTGCTCCTTCTTATCTTCTTCGTCTGCCGACCAGCGCCGAAGCTCAATCGTTCCAGCATCGGCTAGCCTTTGAGTAATCTCCTCGGGCATCCAGCATATTTGCACAACAATGGGCTTCGACATGACGACAATCACGTACTGCAGATACGCACGGTGCAACTCTACATTGGCCGCCTGGCCCGCCCCCCAGATAACCACCGCTTATATAGATCGGCCGGCCACTCGCTATCACGCGATTACTAAGACACTAGTAGCGAGCGATGGTGCCACGCAGCGTCTCTATGGCAAGTCAACGGGCGTAGCATTGCTAGAGTTTCCCATCTATGAAAGAGCGAGCTTAGAAGAGCTCGTCCGCGTATGGCAGCGCCTTGACATCACCGAGAGCCACCGAAGTCGGCTTGCTCTTCAGGAGAGCCTGCGCAGCCGACGATACATCCGACGCCTTGACAGCGTCAAGGGCCGAGAGCACGCTCGAGACGTCGGTCGCCGAGCCGTTGAGGAGGCCAGAAGCCACAGTCTGGTGGCTCGAAGCACGGCTGCCCTCAAAGTCCGAGGCAGCCAGGAACTTGGCCTGGGCCACGGCACGAGCGACGTCCTCCGACGACACGCTGTTCGCCGCCTTGTCAAGGGCCTGAGCAGCAGCCTTCGCGGCGTCAGTCACCTTCGCAGTCGGGGCGCTAATGTAGATACCGAACAGACCAGTGTCCTGGAAAGATGAGTTGAAGGTGCGCACCGTCGCACCGCCAATCTGAGCCAGCGGAGCGAGACCAGTCGACCACTTGACCGAGTTCGAGCCACCAAGCAGAGTCTCAAGCACCTGCAGAGGAGCCGACTTGGCGAGAGCAGCACCCTCGAAGCCCAGGAACAGGTAGTCGTTGGGCAGAGCGTGGCCGTGAGAGTCAGTGATGGCAGCGCGGTAGTCACCACCAAAGTACTTCGACGGCTGAGCCTGGAGAGCCGAGCCAGCGGGCACATCAGTGAAGGTCTGCGACACGAGCGAGTCAAGGGCGCCAGCCGAGAGGCCCGAGCTGACCACAGCAATGTTTGCGCTGTTCAGAGCCCGCGGCGCAAACGCACGCACAGCCTCCACGGTCACCGGCGACGAGGGGTTGGCGAACAGCGAGCTACCGAGACCACGGTTGCGGAACGCCGTCGAGAACAGAGCGTCAATACCCGTCGCAAGAGGGTCCTGCGAAGCCTGCTCAAGGTCAGCGGCCAGCGAGGGGACCACCTCCTCGTTGAACTCGTGGCGGCAGTACTTGCCGTTGCCAACAACTTCGGCCAGGAGCTTAGCAAAGTGCTCCTCGTCACCCTTGAGGAACTCAGCAGTGAGAAGCAGGTGCTCACGAGTCATCGTGGCCGAGAGCACACCACCGTTCAGCTCAGCCTCACGCACAATGCGCAGAGCCGAGCGGTCCTTGGTCGAACGGAAAGCAAAGTTCTTCAGAGCGTGAGCCACACCGGCCTCCGACTCAAAACGGGGACCAGCACGAGCAGCCACCGTAATCGAGGCCACGGGCGCAGTCTCGTTCTTGACGAGGTTAGTTTTCACTGACCCAACATAGACACAAAATACGTACCAGAGCAGCCTTGGGGATCGACGAGGCGCTCGTCGAGAGCGAGCGCGAGCCAGCAAGAACCTGGGCGGGCACAGAGCGCAGCACGCTAGTCGAAGACCTAGACACGAACATGAGAATGGTAGGACTTCTGCACGCTACAAGGTGGGAGGTTGCGGTTTAGCCCGTGCCTCGCCTTACGAAGAAATGTGCCGCGCACACCACTATCGACCCACTAGGTCCCTACCGGTGAAATCCTGGCTTTCGTTGTCTACCTCCCGTGTTGTTCCGGGGTATATGTCACGTGACTATGTGGTCGGGAGGTATGGTCAAGAGCGATCCGAGCCGCTGCGGGGGAGGTAGTAGCCGTAGCTTAGAAGCGTGAACGCTTCACGCCTGGCTGCATCACAGGGCCAGATTGCGATTTTCGTGCCTTTTCTTCCATCATGATACGCTCCGCAGCGCCCATATGGGTAGGCGGTGGGCGCTTCTTTGGCGCAGAGGTAGGCTGATCACCTTTCAATGGGTTTGTCGTCTTCACAGACGCTTGAGAAGCCGCTTTTAGCGGATTCACACGCATAGAAAATACAGAAGAGGGAGCACCGCTTGTGCTTTGTAGAGACGCGGACGTCGTTGAAGAAGAAGTCGACGCGGTAGCAGCTGGCCGCTCAGTATCCGATGCGTTCGTCGTTGGTTTGGTCAGAGAGATAGAGAGCTTAACAGGTGCGTGCTCATTGAATCGTACAATGCCCTCGTCATGCCGCAGCGGCGTAGGAGCAGGTTCAGGTGCTGCATGGGCAGCTGTCTGTTCCTGCGCACGGCGAATCTGTTCATCAAGCTCTCGCCTGGCACGCTGCTCGTCGTCCATTTTGGCGCGATCTTGCTTCTTGATAGCATCCTGGCGTGCCCGAGCTGTTGCCGAGTTATCAATCCAAGAAATAAACCAGCCCATCTCACTGCCTTCAACTTTCACAATACCAGCCCGACCCAAAAACTTGACAAATTCTGAGAGAGAAACCCACCTTGTTGCATTCATATGAACATGGTGACGGTCTTGAATATATTCTTGGTACACCTGGTTTGCTAACACGCGCCTTGTACCAAATCTGAGACCAGTTAGTCATGTACGCCACACGCACCTTCGGCTTAGCAGAGCAATAAACTCACGCTGAAACTGCGAACTATAATCATGGACGACCTTGCCTGCACGCTGTCCACCTTCACCGGTGGCAGCGGCAAGTTGCCGCATATGTGACTCTGATTCAATGTGGCATTTGTACCCATTAGCATCACGGCATGCTTTCGAGCAAATCTGGCAGTACCATCGTAGCCTGGTCAGCCCGCGTGCCTTCATGGCATTGCTGAGGGCTTTTCTGTCAATGTTAGCATACGATAACTACCATAAGAGGTAATGATACGCACGGTGTTCCTGCTTCTGCACGCCCCATTATGTCGAATGAACAGGAGAACGCAGTTCACAAGTGGAGGCAGCAAGTTACCATAAGGGGTTACGAGGCACGTTTCACTCGGCCGAGGGTCCCAAGACACAACTACGCAGAAAGGTATATGAATCAGAGTTATCCCTTTCTCTCTACTGTATGTTGGCCCTTTCGCGTCCCCTCCGTGTTCAAGTACTAACTCGTTCTCTCCTTTCGCAGGCTACCCGCAGTTACCCCCTGAGTTCGAGAAGTTTCTCTGTTATCCCCCGCGCAATGAGCTCAGTTCCTGTTCCCAACGACTTTGTATGTTCACCAATTTGGGGGTGTGATTGCTAACCATGACAGAACAACATCCTGTACAAGCCCCTGGCCGAGGCTGACCCCGAGGTGCAGCAGATCATTGACAATGAAACCTACCGCCAGTTCACTGGTCTGGAGCTGATTGCCTCGGAGAACCTGACCTCGCTGGCTACCATGGAGGCCAACGGTTCGATTCTCACCAACAAGTACTCGGAGGGTCTCCCGGGTGCCCGTTACTACGGTGGTAATGAGTACATCGACCAGCTCGAGATTCTTTGCCAGAAGCGTGCTCTGGAGGCCTTCGACCTTGACCCGAAGATCTGGGGTGTGAACGTCCAGCCCTACTCGGGTTCGACGGCCAACTTTGCGGCCTTCACTGCGCTGATCCAGCCGCAGGATCGTGTCATGGGTCTGGGTCTCCCTGACGGTGGCCATCTTACTCACGGTTACTACACCGCCAAGAAGAAGATCACTGCCTCGTCGATCTACTTCCAGTCGTTCCCCTACCAGGTGGACCGGGAGACTGGCTACATTGACTACGAGCGCCTCCGTGTGAACGCCAACCTCTTCAAGCCGCGTCTTCTGGTGTGCGGTGGTTCGGCGTACCCGCGTGACTGGGAGTACGACACCATGGCCTCGATTGCCAAGGAGCAGGGTGCCTACCTGCTCTGCGACATGGCCCACATCTCGGGTCTCGTTGCCGGCAAGGAGCAGAAGAGTCCCTTCGACTACTGTGACATTGTTACGACCACTACTCACAAGACCCTCCGTGGCCCGCGTGCTGGTCTGATCTTCTTCCGCAAGGACCGTGAGGCTGACATTGAGGCTCGCGTCAACGCTGCTGTCTTCCCGGCCTGCCAGGGTGGTCCTCACAACAACACCATCGCTGGTATTGCTGTGGCTCTCAAGCAGGTTGCTGACCCGGCCTTCAAGGAGTACGCCAAGCAGGTCCGTGCGAACGCCAAGGCCATTGCCAGCAAGCTGGTCTCGTACGGCTACCGTCTCCAGACCGAGGGCACTGACAACCACCTGGTTCTCTGGGACCTCCGTCCGATCGGCCTCACTGGCTCGAAGATCGAGAAGCTTTGTGACCTTGTTCACATCACCCTCAACAAGAACGCCGTGGCTGGTGACACGTCGGCTGTTGTGCCGGGTGGTGTCCGCATCGGTGCCAACGCGCTTACTTCGCGTAGCATGACCGAGAAGGACATGGAGAAGATTGGTGAATTCTTGCACCGCACCGTCGAGATTGCTCAGGTCCTTCAGAAGGAGGCTGGCTCGAAACTGCTTAAGGACTTCATTGCCAAGGCCACGACTGGTGACGGTGAGGGCCGCAAGATGATCCTCCAGCTCGCTGATGACGTCAAGGCTTTCGCTACGCAGTTCCCGCTGCCCGGTGTTCCGGACACGAGCGTGATCAAGAAGCCCGCTGACGCTCACTAAATTCTTTATCTACAATAACCCCCTTTCCCTTGTCCGTATGTTCACTCAACCTGAATATAGATTTCCTTACGGTAGCGTTCAACCGTCTGTCACGTGCATCAAAAACTGGAGCGTCTCCTGAATTTCTTTAATTGCCGCGTCGCGCCTTGCATAAGATGATGCTGGCTCGAGCTGGGTATATCTTGAGCTCAATCCGTAGAACGAGAGGTCGATTCATTCATCTGAATGTGCCTGTGCAGAGAGAGAGTCATGATCCATGGAGACAGGGAGCACAGATACTGAGGCAAGCCGAAGATTCAGCCGCTTATGGTGACAAGAATTCATGTACCAAACCACCTAACCGACGCAGTCAAAAGCTGCCTCCATTGAACAAGCAAGTAAAACATAAAAATTCTGTCTCTAGAGACAATGAGATTGGCGCGGTGGATATGTCGTCAGTAAAATATGCATTCTCTGAAGAGATGATCCTGCATCAAACAGAGATCCTGCCTGGCGACTTCGTCGAAGCACGAAAATCCAATAAAACTTTCTTGGGTGTCATTCTTCCAATTCCTGAGGACAAGGAAATATCAGGTGCTGGCCAAGGATCGACATTGGTCATGGTGCTAGCCACTGGTGAGCTGGAACAGATTCGCACAACAGATATCATGTTGCACCTGCCTCAGTTTGTCGAGCTCAAGGAAGCCGAAAGGGCAGGTCCATTAAAATGGGACTACGTACTAGCGGCAGGGTCTCGAAACACGTCAACTTCATTCACTACAGACGATGAGTTGGTCGACGCTGAAGGGACCCTTGTTCATGAGGAAGAGCCGTTCGATCGTAACAGGTTTGTTACCCGGGCGAATATCTGTCGAAAAATTCGTGATATGCAGCGTGAGACTGATCGTGAAATAAGACGTTTATTCCCAGCATTCCGGAACGTGTTTCTTCAAGATGCAAACAAGTTCGAAGAAGAGCCCAATGTTGTGGCGGACAAGCATGTCCAAGAAGTACAAGCTAGAGCAGAAAAACTATTAAAGTCTGGTCTTGTCTCAACGTACAGTGTGGTTCAGATTCTGGAAATGTATCTATCTAAGAGCTTGAATCCTGTCAAAATCAATGCTTCTACCTTTTTTGCAGCTCACACTTTATTGATGGGCCATCCGTCAAAATTTTTGGCGGATAGTATCTCACATCGTAAAAGCCAGCTGTTCACCTATCGCTCTGAGGCAGAGCAGAAAGTTTTGGAAAATGTCACAAAATGGATTCAATTGCTGTCTTCAGAGAATTCGGACAAGAGTACCCGTGATGCGGCAGCTATAATTGATGGCTTTTGTGAAAGAGCACGACATATTCTGAAATGGGATGCCAAGCGGCAGGCCGTTGGTGAATTGCCCAAAAAAGACGACCCTGTCCTAAATCCTGATGGGAAGACGTTGTTTCAATGGACAGAGACTGACAGGGATATCATTGAGTTTTTGAAAATCAGTCTCGGCAACCGAAGAGAATTGCAGGATAATATCACTGGGAGCATTGCGATGTCTATTATCAAAAGAGTTGGCGTAAACGTATGCCTCTCTCCTATCTTGCATACTGATAGTCATGGCAAACTTCAAATCGACGACAATGAATCAAAGGATGGTATTGCTAAGCTTGAAACAACCGTCACAGAAGCAGGATTTGATTTGCAGCATGCACAAATGTTTAACTTTTTGATTCGTATTGGTGCGCTAACACCATGGGAGAACCCTAACGCATTGGATACGCAATTAAAGAATCTGCACAAGAATGATGAATATACGGAACAGGAATACTCCGAACTCAAAGAAGAGAAGGAGCCAAGAACTGACTTTGGACAGTTACCTGTATATGTGATTGATGCTGAATCGTCTTTTGAACTGGATGATGGTGTATCAATTGAAACCACTAGTGATCCAACGCATTGTTGGGTTCATGTCCATATTGCGGATCCAACGGCTTGGATTCCTCATGATCATGAGTTGGCTAAGTGGGCGGAACATAAATATACAAGCATCTACTTCCCTGAAGCTATGTGGCCAATGCTCCCACCAGAAATTACGAATAAGGGTATGAGCTTGACAAACAAATATGGTCAGCCCATGAACGTGATGACTTTTAGCGCTCTAGTGAACCGTGATTCAGGCAAAGTGAGAGACTACAAAGTCTGTCGAGGAAGGATTAGCAACATTCATGTGCTCAGCTATAAGTATGTGAACGGGATATATTCCGACAGGCAAGAGGAGAAAGTATCTCAAAAACACGCTGCAAATTTGATTTCCCTGGCGCAGATTGCATCTGTGTTGTTGAAACGCCGAGTGCAGGTGGGTGATGCATTAAATGCTATGGATGTTTCAAGTGAAGTTGAGGTCAAGCCTATCCCTTTGCCTTCGCTAGCATGCGCAATTCCTGAGTCACCCCAATTTTATTCAGGATCCCCAAAAGTGAATGTTGAGTTTGCGAATCCTGATGAGATTGAGCGAATTGGGACGTATGATGGTATTCCTGGAGGTATTTCGTCGGAAAGTATGGTTAGTGAATTGATGATTCTGGCAGGTCGAGTTGCCGCAGCCTTTGGGCTTGACCACGATATTCCTCTGCCGTACCGAGTTCAAACTAACCCTACTAAAACTGATATGGAGTATATCCAGAAGCAGAAGAATCCGGTAACAGGTATGATGGCGATGTCTAAACTTGCTACAAAAGATATATTTTTACCCGTTGGTACTTCTTCGACGGTACCTGACAATCACTTCGCTTTGGGTATTAAAAAAATGACAAAAGACAACCCTGAAAGTGATGTGTTTTACAGGGGAGGATATGTGAGGGTATCCAGTCCTCTAAGGCGTTACTCGGACCTACTCTGCCACTGGCAAATTAAAGCCAAACTTTCAAACAGAAAGTTGCCATATAATGCGCAAGAACTTTCAGGAATGGTTATACGTTTTAATCGTATGGATAATTGGTCGAAACAGCTTGAAAAGTCATCTAAGCGGTTTTGGATATGGACATTTATTGACCAGATACTGAAGAAGAATGGACAAAAATTCAACAGTACTGATGAAAGGAAAGCGCGCAATTTTAAAGACTCAATGGTACTTGGCGAACTCGAAGCCAGTCCTGGTATAATGAACGTCAGATTCAATGCTGATACGCTGGAGTCTAGGCTACGAGTTACACTCCTCCATCTGGGAATGCCAGCCGATTGCATCTGGCCAAATGGAAAACAACCTCCAAAAGCTGGCGAACTTAAAAAAGTTAAAATTTTAAAAACAATTGAAGCAGGAGCTAAACGCACAATCCTCTGCGAACCAATATAAATTTAATTATTTTTTAAAAAAATAATTAAATACAAAAAATAAAATCGAATAATTGCAAACATTATTATAAATGATTGATAGTATTATATCGAAATATATTATATGTACAATTGATGTTTCCAATAAATTAAATTATTTTATAAATAAACGAAAGGTTTTTGAAAAGTAATTTTACTTTTATATTTTTATTTAAAATTATGTGTTTCAAAAAATTGATTAATAGTAAAATATATTTATTTAAAAATAAAAACTTATTGCCATATTCACATCTCCATTCGCCAATTTTAATAATTCTTTTGCTTGATTATCAGGTATTCCCATGTTCGTTAGTTGATTTATTTTTTCTTGCATATTTTGATAATTGCCACGTGGCATTTTTAATTCATCATATGTGGAGGTTGATGTGCCCATGGACGCGTGGCTTTTGTTCAACCTGTTGTTATGGTTATCCCTTTCACCGGACGTTAATGGTAGTGTACTACTACTCTGTTGTTGCGGTTGGTCCCTCAACACTGTTGGATTGTGATCGGAAACTTTGTCGTTAAGTAGTAGCTCATGTTTTTTAGGGATTTCATGTTCGGGGAGAAAAGGTAGCAATTCATCGTGAATGACAAGCCCATTCTTTTTCAAGTCAATAGATGCTTGGTAGCGCTTTAGCATGTCGAGCCCGAAAAGCATATCCACATTACCCCCTTCGAGCACGGTGAACGAGCATGGGAGAAAAATGTTTGAACCAAGCTGGATTTGAGCGCTGTGAATACGTCCAAGGATTTTTGCAGTTCCAACGCCCATCGCAACACCTGAAAACCTGGTATCTAGAAGGCGCATGATTCCACACCTTTCGGCACATTCAGGACTGATGATTGTGGCTTGGGCACCACTATCAACAAATGCTTTCACCTCATGACCGTTGACTTTAAGGCTCACATAGAGCATGCTCACATTCCCGAAACTTTCGGGGCTATACTCCATTGCGTACTCTAAATTCTCAGCAATGCGCTCTTGTCTAATCATCTCCTCAATCTTCTTTTGCGTTTCAATGTCAAAGGGATCCATCTTATAAGTTTTTATTAGGCAGTAGTGATGTCAAATACGTGCTATACGTTACAATTCAAGAGACCACACGCGTTAATTACTCCCTCTATCACGTGCATATAGTTCGTTCTCTCTTCCAGCTTTAGCACCAACGTAGTGAAATTGATGCTGTAATAGGAAGGAATCGTCAGTTTAAGATTCAAGGTGGCTCGAGAGTCCCTTGCAACCATTGTAATACTTTGTGCTCCTCTGGTGAAACATCATAGACCACATAAATTGAGAACGATTCTTCTCTACGCAAGCAGACCGGCATTAATCTAAAACATGTACAAATGTTACTTACTACATACACTCTTTTGGCGCTATTAGACAGAATTTGGAAGATCCCTCTGTTCGCTCGTCAACAGTCATAATAAATATAAGAGACAACAGGCTTTCTGGGAAAGTGAGAGGAAGACTTAGAGGCCTGAGCACGAAATTATCAGTCGGTGGAGGTTGCCATTATTCCATCACCATTTCTCAATCGCGAGGGCACCACTCAATATGGCAACACCGTTCATTGGGTATGGTGATGAGACAGTAAGGCAAGCGCCAAGAAATGGTGAGGAGGAAGATGATTATGCCACTGTTTCGGATTTGAAATGGGAAGATGCTGATGACGACTTGGCTATTGAACGTGAGTGGTATCTTCAAGATGATGAGGGCGGTGTGGCTGGTGATGCCGATCACAATCCCTTTGCGCAATACGAAGATATGCATGGCCAAGTTTCAGGTGTATTGGCACAAAGACATAAGAGGCTCACAGCGAGGCAAGCACAATATAACGTTGATCTGGATGCTTGGGAGAACAGTCGACTTCACTCAGGTGGTGTCGGAGGACGGCAAGCTGTGAGGGATGACATTGATGAGCATGACGAGAACAGGATTCATCTCATGGTTCACAACCTTCGCCCTCCATTTTTGGATGGTAAAACTGTATACACCAAACAGATTGCACCTGTGAATCCTGTTCGGGACCCCACCTCTGATTTAGCAGTTTTTGCCATGAAAGGTAGCCGCCTTGTGAAAGAGCATCGTGAAAGAGCGGAACGAGCCAAGGCGGCAGGCCGAGTTGCTTCTCTCAAAGGGACGCAACTTGGTAATATTATGGGTGTAAAGGATGATGACGACGAAGAGGAGCAGAAGAAAAGTCAAATTGACCCGTCTAAAAATGACGGCAAAGGTGATTCCAAATTTGCCTCCCATATCAAAAAAGGGAAAGGTGCTACTAGTTTTAGCCAAAACAAGTCTATACGTGAGCAACGACAATACTTGCCTGCATTTGCATGTCGTGAAGAGCTCATGCGCGTAGTTCGAGAAAACCAAGTCGTGGTCGTCATTGGTGAAACTGGCAGTGGTAAAACAACCCAGTTGTGTCAGTTTTTGCATGAAGACGGATATACTGACTATGGCATTGTGGGCTGCACCCAACCTCGCCGTGTAGCTGCAATGAGCGTGGCTAAGCGAGTAAGTGAAGAAATGGGGTGTGACCTTGGAAGTACGGTGGGGTATTCAATTCGTTTTGAAGACTGTACATCGAAGGACACGAAGATCAAATACATGACGGATGGTGTAATGTTACGTGAATCACTTACGGAGCATGACCTAGACAGGTACTCTGCCATCATCTTAGATGAAGCCCATGAGCGTAGTCTCAGCACTGACGTGTTAATGGGGTTATTAAAGAAGGTGCTCACGCGACGACGCGACTTGAAGCTAATTGTCACATCGGCTACAATGAATGCGGAGGGCTTCTCTAAATTCTTTGGATTGGCGCCTATTTTTACAATTCCAGGTCGCACATTCCCGGTAGATGTACTGTTCAGCAAGTCTCCATGTGAAGATTACGTCGACAGTACGGTCAAGCAAATCCTTACAATTCACTTATCGCAAGGCAAGGGTGATATCCTGGCTTTTATGACAGGACAAGAAGATATTGAAGTGACATGTGAAGTGGCCGTGGAACGCCTGAAGCAACTTGAAGGTGCCGCACCTTTGTTGATGTTGCCCATCTACTCTCAGATGCCTGCAGATCTCCAGGCTCGCATTTTTGAACCATCTGAAAACGGAGAACGAAAGTGCGTTGTTGCGACGAACATCGCCGAAACATCTCTGACCGTGGACGGTATTATGTTTGTGGTCGATGCTGGCTACAGTAAGCTCAAACTGTATAATCCCAAAGTGGGTATGGACTCTCTCCAAATTACACCAATTAGCCAGGCCAATGCCATGCAGCGCTCTGGCCGTGCTGGCCGAACTGGTAGTGGTACAGCCTATCGACTGTATACGGAAGTGGCATTCCATAACGAGATGTTTCCCAGTACAATTCCCGAGATCCAGCGTACAAACTTGGCCAATACAGTGCTGTTGTTGAAATCGCTAGGTGTTAAGAATTTACTCGAGTTTGACTTTATGGACCCCCCGCCGCAAGATAATATCCTAAACAGCATGTACCAGCTCTGGGTACTTGGCGCATTGGATAATATGGGCAACTTAACATCGCTGGGTAAGAAAATGAGCGAATTCCCGATGGAGCCTAGCTTAGCGAAGGTTTTGATTATGAGTGTGGAATATGGCTGTTCTGAAGAAATGCTGACTATCGTCAGCATGCTCAGTGTCCCCACTGTGTTCTATCGACCAAAGGAACGTCAGGAAGAAAGTGATGCGGCACGTGAACGTTTCTACGTGGCAGAGAGCGATCACTTGACTTTATTGCATGTGTACTCACAATGGAAGAACAATGGCTTCAAAGACAGCTGGTGTAACAGGCACTTCTTGCACGCGAAACTGCTTCGCAAGGCTAGGGAGGTGCGTGCCCAGCTGGAGGATATTCTCAAGAGCCAGAAACTATCGCTGTCCAGCTGTGGTACAGATTGGGATGTCATACGGAAATGCATTACCTCGGGTTATTTCCACCAGGCAGCTCGCGTGAAAGGCATTGGTGAATATGTGAATTGCCGTACAGGTGTACCGATGCATTTGCATCCTACTAGTGCATTGTATGGCTTGGGCTATACACCTGACTTTGTTATATACCATGAGCTTACGCTAACCTCAAAAGAATATATGGGTACAGTAACAGCTGTGGATCCACATTGGCTTGCTGAACTAGGAAGGTATGTGAACATGACGACTAACAGGTAGTGTCTTCTATTCTATCCGTGAACAAGGTTCCCTAGCATCTGCAAGTCGACGAGGTCGTGACACACAGCTTAATCGTATGGTCGAAATGGAAGCTCAGTTTGAACGTGATCGAGAACGTGCTGCCCAAGAAGATGATACGGTGTGGAAACGACTCAAAAAGTCTGACGGTCGTGCAGCACGTGGGTCCACTAATCGTGATGGTATTGCCATGCCTGGCATAGGTCCTCCTCGCAAGGGTCGAAGAACGCCTTTCCGCTAATTTATTTATTTAGTTAAATAACAGCCCAATTTTCTCCACATCTGCATCCACGCAGTCTCCCTCCATGACCGTGCCACTGTTGACGCGCAGTGGGCCATGGCAGCCTGGTGTACAGGTATCAGAACCCATCCGCCTCGTACGATGCTGTACATCGCCACTAGCCAAGGGACTAGTGCTATTGGGTATGTTGCGATATGCTTAACACATAGCTACGGGTAAATCTGTGCACATTTACGATATGCAATGTAACAACGAAGAAGCAAGCTTGACCTTTGTGCCTGTCACTTCATTTTTTCTGGGGTGCGAAACCACCGCTGCTGCATGGAGCCCTGGTACCAGTTACATGGGCGGAATTAAATCGTCTAATGAAGATGAGAAGTCGTGGCGTCTTGATGTAGTTGTCGCAACAGAGACGAACGAACTTCGGCTCCTGCAAGCTTATGGCCCTGAGCTTGATACCTCGAATCGTCTACTGGGCGAAACGCATGGCGCTGTGACCGATGTTGCCTGGTGTCCTGCGTCTGGGTATGAGTCCTATGTGGCTACAGCGGGTGAGGACGGAGTAATTCAACTATGGAACTTGGAACCACAAGCGGAATCAGAGTTTCCCATGGAAGACGGTGCTGAGGACGCTGCGGCGGCCGCAGGACCGACATGCCGTGCGTTATACTTGGATTGTGCTGTACTAAGCCTGTCATTCCACCCTAAAGTGCCCAAGTTGCTTCTTGCTATCGAGAGCAGTGGTGTCGGCCATCTTATTGACTGGCTGGCTTCGCATGATGAGGTGCGCATAACCGCATCGTTCCATGACCCTGTGACATTAGGTATGTCAATGACACAGCGTATGGATATGCAGGGAGCTGGTGCATGGCAAATGCAAGATAGCGACATTGTCGGTGCACTCCTGGGTCCTCGTTGGGGCGTCTGGAATATAAGCAACGGGTCTAGTGCTCCTGTCGCGCAAGGGTCGCTCCGTGGCGTGGACGAGACGTGTCATGGTGGCTTCCGATTCTGTCCTACCAACTCCCGGCTCTTTGCTATCTATGTTTCGTCAGTTCCTGGTCATATTCTTGCGCAGAGTGGCTATACGACTGGCGCTGTGAGCAAAGGACAAACAGCCGCCACAGTCCAGGTGTTTGACTCGGCATTTCCTGCTACGCCACGGGCTTTGGATGTGTACAAACAAGCTCCTTTCCAGAGTCACAAAGTTTCGCTTGAGACAACAGGGCGTTCCAACACTACTACATTGCCGGCTGCCTATGGCGTGTCCAGTGTGGACTGGCTTCCACGGCGCGTTGGCTCGTACGATGTATTGCTAGTGGCCGTCGGCTGTCAACTCCTTCCAATCCCTGCAGCGTAGTAGAATAGAGCTAACATGGTAAACAATACGATATCTATGATAAATGGAAACTCGTTAGACCTTCATGCATGGCCGTCCAAAGCCGCTCTTTCATTTTCTCGCGGCTAGAGTAGCATGGGAGTTTGAGGTAATTCACACACGTCATAACACTGGGCAGGTAATCGTCCGGTTGAAGGGGCGCATCAGGCAAACGGCGTACAACGGTGAGTGGTGGCTGTAGTGCAGTAAATCCACCCACCGGGAGACGTGGTGAGCCTGTGAGCCATTGCAGGAATGTTCGGCGCTCCTCGAGGGAAAAGGAGGCAAGGATCGCAAGAAGATCTTTGAAGTGTGTACTGTCGCTTGTGAATCCATGATCAGGTACCACCGTACGCAGCAATGTGGCCTCATCCCAATCCTCTTGGCTTTGTCCAAAGAGCACAACGAGCTCCTTTGACTGGAACACATCTAGCGCCGACAATGGCAATACGTATGCAATACCATCGCGGAACGCGTCCAGTTGTTTTTCGATGCCACTCTGCAGAGCCATCGTTATCACAGCGTCCACATACGTTTTTATATTTGCCCCATCGATGGGCGTGTTTTGATCCCAGCCAGGCAGGACACAGTCCGTACCAGGGAAGCATGGCTCAAGACTCAGGGCAGCCACCTCATCTGTGGGCATACGCAGGAGAGAGCTGAGCGACGTTTCCAGCGCAGGATCAACGCTGCCCAACGTCGCCAGTGTGCAAGGGACACGACGGCCTAGAACAGCACGCCAAAACAGCGGGTGGAATGGCACGTCGATAATGCGCGCATCCACGAGAGATTTGGCTACCAGCTGCCCCAGTGTGCGGAACAAACGCACGACATCTTTATCCTCTGTGACCATGGGGAACAGGCCGTGTGGCGACGAGACGTACTCGCTCTCGGTGTGCGAATCGTGACGCCACATGCCTACCTCGACCCGCTGCAAGGCCTTCGAGACCAGTGCATAGAACTCAAGAGTGGGGCCCATACCCGAACCGACTTCGTCGAAGTACTCAATCTCTAGGATGGAGGATCCCCGACTGTAGAGGTCGAGTACCTTCACAGCGGAGGGCAGCAGGTTGTCACGCGCGATCCGGACCTTTTGACGTGGGACCTGCGCTAGCGCTTGCACAACCTCATCGGCACTGCTCTGCTTGAACTGGCTGAGCATACGTGCATACCCCAGGGACGTGCGGCGCAGGTACTGCAATCGTGTCTCAAACGCGAAGAGGAACGAGTGGGTATGTGGCAGCTCCTTCACCCACGCCGGCATTGCCTCGCTTGCGAGGATCAGCGGCTCTTGCAGCTGCTGATTGAGCTTGGCTGTAAGCCGTGTGTTCACAAGATCGTCATCACTCACTTGATCATCCCACAAGTCACGCAATGCACCTAGCAGCTGAAGCGTCCGCGCATACGGCGCCGACGTAGGCACGCTCGGGGGCAAAGCCACTTCGTAGCCAGGGCTGCGTGGCATACGTGGTGGAGATGGGACAGGGGGCACGGGGGGCGCCGCGCCTCGTACGAGCGTGTAGGTGATGGTAGGCATCGCCTCATCTGAGGTGGTCTGTGGGATGCAATGGTACACTGTCGCATTCAGAGGCATAGGGACATCGTTCACACGGAACGAAAGGTGCCATGCACTGCTTGGCGATTGCGCTGCCGCCGCATAGGATTTGGACGAGGACTCCTGGGTCGCCTCGTCCTCGTCCTCGTCATCGTTGGTATTGTCTTCACTCTCCGGCTGGGACGAGTTGGCGGGTGTGCCAGACGCCGCCGCCAGGGCCGCTAGCATGCCAGACAATCCTTCCTTGCCTTGCGACGAAAGGACCAGCTCCAGCTTTGGCTTGAGGAAGTCGTGCAAAGCCTGCGTCGTGACGATGGCATGGATCGAGACTGTGAACGACGAGAAGTGGCGAGGAAGGCGTCGGGCCGTAGCTTCGTCCGCCTCGAGACGCAGCCTCACTTGCTTCGTCAGCGATGCTACGCCGCCCGCCGATACGACCGGCATATCCGCTAGATGGTTCAAGTTTTCATGCAGCGTCGTCCACAGCGAGGCGCGGCACACAGACAGGACTGAGCGCATTTTCTCACGACGTGCTTCCAGCTCACAGGGATGGGCCGGGCTCGTCGCACATACGTACAAGGCCTCCATCATGCCAGCTCGCTGCAGCTCAAAGCTGGTGGTACGAGGAAGCATCGCTGCGACGTCATCCATCGCTGCCAGAGCGTCCGAGGACTTCAGTCGCTCTGCCAGGCGGGCCAGAGACGCCTGGATATGCTGTGCCTCTTTGAAAGCAGTGTCAGCTGGCCATACACGCCAGCGTTCATACACCAGCTTGGCGCGGTAGTGAGGCGGCTCGGCTTTCGCCAACTGCTCCACTTCCCACGCCGTACCTTCCCGCAATAGAGGCGCAGCGTACGGCAGACGAAGAAGAAGCAGTTCTACAGCTTGCAGCGCCGCTTCTGTGTAGCTTTCCTGCTCATGCGAGCCAAGAATGCTCGTGAGGAAACTGGCCAAGGGCAAAGGCTCCAGCACGGTGCCTAGCGTCGACACGTCGGCGTACCATAGCAGAGCCAGGACCACCTCCAGAATCTTGTGCCGTGCATCCTCGGCGCCTAGAGCCGTGTATACATCCAGAAACACAGGTAGCATTAGCGTCGCATAGTTTTCGAAAAAGTGCGGCCATGCACGCTGTGCATCCGCACGCGCTTCGGTGGCTCGCTGCTGCTTGAGGGCCGCAGCGCTGAGCCGACGTACAGGCGCCTCGTCCAACGATGCATCCAACTCGCCCATCTCACAGCCTTCACGCTCCGCGCGGCGTCGCTTTTGCTGGTACGCCTTCTCACTGTACGATCGCGCATCGAAAATGCCATCCACAGGCAGCTGGGGAAGCACATCACGGAGCAGTCGGAGCGCGGCCTCAATCTGCATAGGCGGGCGCTGCGCCAAGTTCTGCAGGAGCGCACGTTGCGGAACATGCATAGAGGTATCTGTTGCGCCTGTAAGCAGGATGTACAGCGTATCCAGCAAGCCATGCTCCCACATATCGTGCGCTAGCGCTGTGCTCATGGTCGCCGCCAGCGAGAGCGATCGCAGTAGATCTGCGTACAGTGGCGGAGAGAAGGTCGGCAGATGATTCGAGACAGCCCCTACACCGCGCGCTAAAAGTGCAAGGAGCGGCGCCAGAAGCGGCGTGAGCCACGCACTCAGCACCTTCTCGTCGGTGGCAAAACGTTCCGTCATCGCACACACGGCACGGCACGCCGACTCTACAAGGCGCGCATCCGCGTACCCCAGCACCTGCTGCAGGATCGGGACGATGGCCTGGGCATGCGAGGCCATACTGGGCGTGCTATGCGTCGCACACTGCGCGACAATCGACATGGCTGTGCGCTGGACGTACGCACTGAAAAAGTCGAGGTACTGCAGCGCGGCGAGCAAGCCACCCTCGCGAATGATCAGCGTGGCATGCGACGGCGCGAGTTTGTCCAGCGTTTGCAGGACCTGCTCCGCCAAATCAATGAACGTGATATCATGCAATTGGGCAATTAGCAGCGGGATCAGTCCCATTCGGACCATGATCTGCGACGATTCCGGGAGCGCCTCAATCATGTAGGCCAGGCATCGGCATGCATACATCTTGGCCTCCCCCTCGCTATCGTCGCCACCTCGACTGGCGGCCAACGCCGCGGCCAAGTCCTCATCGTCCAAATCCTCCATATGCACTGCATGGCCCTCTGGCTCCGGCCCACCTAATGTCCATAGAAGCTCACTGACCAATCCCTTCATCGGGAACGCGCCTAGGAATGCATCTTCGGTCGTGACACTCAGTCGCTCTGCTAGTTCCTGCAGATGCAACAGGCGCATCGATGGCTCATGGGCCGAGCGTTGCAGTGCTGTTAGCATATCGCGGAACGGCCGCGAGGTATTGCCACTCAGAAGGCTGCGAAGACTGCGCAGATCCAGCCCAATGCCACCGCCCAACATACCGGCCGGGAAATCGTCGTCGTCCTCGCCGTCTTCGCCATCGTGGTCCACATCGAGAGCAGCGAACGGCGGTCCCTCGTCGCCATCGTTTTCCTCTCCCTCGTCGTCTTCGTCTTCGTCATCCAGCGGCATCTCGACCACCTCGTCTTCATCGTACCAAGCATCGTCCATGTCCTGCTCGATCTCTAGCTCCGGCTGATCGAAGCTCGGACTGCGCGTATCACGGCTTCGCATGATGGGTACAGATTCACAGCGTCGCGTACGTTTCTGCGCAGCGTCGGGGTGTGTCGGTGTCGTTGAATGCGTACTTGCACTTCGTTTCTTGGTCGGTGTGGCTCGCGTAGACGTTTCACGGAAAGCGCGGTGGTCGTCGTCGTCGCTCGCCGTAGCTACTTCGTGGCGGGGGCGTGTGTGGACGTGTGGGCGTGATCGAGAAGTAGACCGTGCACACAAGCGTCTCTCCATTCGACGTGCTGTGCTAAGAGCCAGTATATCACGCACCACCAGCGCCACGAACGAAGAAAGGGACGCCGCCTGGGCCCCCACGCAGCCAGCCAGCCAGCGCCGCCGTCGCCGCCCCCTCGGCCTTTCAGGCCCTGTGGACCTCTGTCACGGCTGTGGAGGGCGATTACGCGTACACTGCATCAGCCTCCACATTACGAAGCGGGGCTACGTAGGCTACAAAGTCTTCGACCGTTCGATATAATGCTGGACGTGTGAGCCGTCACCGAGACCTACCTCTAACAGACGCGCTTCCTGCTCTGTCAGCGGCGCGTACAGGTGAACCCATGCATCGCGATCTTGCATACATACATAGGCCTGCACCATGGTACTGACGCAGGCCCGCCGCACGTTCGTCGCACTGTGCCGCAGCGCCTTGAAGGTCATAGGCACAGTGGGCGTGAGTGTCGTCACTAGCGCATCACGTGGTATGTGTGGGAGACTATGCTCCAGAGCAAACAACGTAAGCAGATAGCATGTAGGATGCTCGTAGCCTAGGGAAGCCTCGTCCAGCTTCGTATAGATTGTACATGCATCCGTATGCTTACACCATACGTCAAGCATGGCATACGCGCCGCCCTGCGTGAGCGTCCCTGGCTCGCTCGATGCACAGCCAGCTTGGTACACCAGTGAGAGCCATTGTGTCTCGTTGTCCTCTGTGGTTGTGGAGGCATCCGTGACGTAGCCTGCCAGGCGATACAGTACGCTGAGGATCCCAAGCGTGATAGGGGTCTGTGTTAGCAGTCCAGCGACACGTACATCAGAATGCAGATACGCTGCAAGACCAGGCAGCCATGCAGCCACATCCGTCGGTGGATCGGCAAGGTATGCGACGAGGCTTGACCAGTGGGCCTCCTCCATGGTGTGCGCCGCCAACGCCGCGAGGCATGCGTCCTTCTCCACAGTCGGTGGATTCGACGCACACTCCTCGAAGCGCGATAAGAACCACGCCGTGGACGTCGGTGGGAGGGATAAGCGTGCGTGTGTCCGTGTCGGCGACGAGATACGACGAGCTTTCGGCGTGTCGGTCGATGGACGAAGAGGGGGCAACGTCGTTGAGACCTCCTCAGAACTGGTGCCCATACTGGGCCGTGGAGGATGGGCATCGTGCCATGGACGGTCGGCTTCCATGAGATCTGTCGAAGCGTCCGGTCCATCGACTAGGCTAGGATGCCATACCGATTCGCGTGGCATACGCCGCCGCTCAGCCATTGGACTCTGTGCCATCGCAGCGCGTTTCGCCGCAAGCACTGCTCGAGAAGGGCCTGTACGTGACGGCGGACGTCGTGGCGCAGGGGAGGCGGACATCCCACGTATGCTCGTCGCCATCTGCTTGCGTGCCGTGGGCGGGAGCGATTGTACCAGAGCTTCGGCGTCGGATGGGTATAGCTCCGAGAGTGTATGGAACACGTCGCGGGCGGCCGTACGCACCTCGATGCTGGGATCACACAGTGCTTTGCTCATGCATGCGAGCAGCGTCGCAAGGCCATGATGCGACTCCAGCGATGCACGTTTGAGGCCATGCACTTGGAGAATCACGCCTAGGTGCTTGCATACATACACACGCGTCGCGACGCTCTTATCCTGCAGTGCCGCCTGCAGCTGCTGCCAGTACGACGCACGCATCGGAACACACGCAAGGATCGTCGATACACCTAGCTGACTGGCCTGGGCTACGAGTTTCTTCGTAACCCCAGCCATACGAAGCAGCGATGTGAAAAACGCGTCCATCGTATGTTCCAGCTGCGTGCCGTAGGCCAGCGCAAGCTGCCGCACAAGCGAGATCGCATGCATAGAGAGGGTCGTGCGTAGACTCGCGACCTGCTGTGAGTACAAAAGGGACGTACCGCTTTTAGAATGCCTTCTTGCCACGCACGGATCTGCGCGACAAAGCCCAAGGCAAACTCGTCCGGCACCGTAGCCAGCAGCATCCCACGCACACTGACGACGGCTTTTTCGCGAGCCTGCCAATTCGACTCTGTCTCGCGCCCCTCGAATGCCTTGGTAGCCGCTTGAAATACCAGATCAATATCGAAGCGTGAGTGGATATACACAGGCTTCACGTCGTCAGGTAGAGACGTAAGCTCCGCGGGCGGCGCACCAAAGAGCACACGCCCAATCTCCTCCGACACAGTATGGTGTACAGAAGCTTCAGCGAGGGCGGCCCGCATTTGCGTCTTGGCCTCCGCTGAGGCAGAGCCGTACATGGCTTCGATCGCTGTCTTGGCCGCGCGACGGACCGTCACGTCCGCCTGTTGCAGGCATTGGACGAGCACTGGGGTCAGTGTAGAAAGTGGCGGGGCAGCATCGTGCTCATGCAGCCATGGAAGAAGGTCCAGTGCCTTGCATTGGACGCTGGGCGACACGGCTTCCAGGCCGTGGTGGCGAACCATGCGGTCCCACATCACCGTGGGCGCGTCGTGCTCCTGCACGGTCGCACCGCGATGATGACGCACCACATGCACCATACCACGAAGCAGCGCCTCCGCTTCGGGCGTGTCGGCCATGCGCTCCCATGCTGGCGGCGCACAGAGCCGCACGAGTGTCAGCGCTTGGCGCAGCGACCATGGCTCGGCCACCTGCAGAAGAGTTTGAAGCGCACCATAAACTGCACGCGTAAGTCCAATATGCTGGTTCGTCATGTGTGTATGAAGCGAGAGAATCGCTACGTCGACATCATGGACCTACCGAATCAGCATGTATGACACGTACCTTGTGCACGTCGTTCCAATGCGCTACTAAGCGTTCGATCGCGTCGATACGAGCATTCGTGCCTGCGTAAGCATGTTGTCTACATACTCTCGGCTGTGTCCAAGGCATGGACCAACGCCAACTCCCCTTCGGCGAGGCGCTCGTCCATTCTTGTGGTGCACCACGACGACAGGCGAAGCGTGCGTGTTGGTACGCACGCCCTGCGTGTGGCTGCACGTGCAAATCGGGCCAGGGCCCGATGAACGCGTTTCGTCACGAACGTACGCACGCACGCACGCTCAACGGCCTCGTTCCTCTACGCCGGCTAGGATGGATGTCAAAGGCAAGGGCAAGGTGGCCGAGTCGGCCAAACCTGAGGACGATTTGCTTCCTTGGTACGTGAAGATACATTCACTAACGACAGGGTCGAGAAATACCGTCCCTCGTCCTTGGACGACATCATGTCACATCAGCACATTGTATCGACACGTACGTACCTTATACCTCACACGCAGTCGAAAAGTTTGTCGAGGCAGATCAGCTCCCACACCTCCTTTTCTATGGACCTCCCGGTACAGGTAAGACGTCGACGATCATGGCCCTGGCCGCTCGTCTCTACGGCAAGTCGTACAGGAACAATGTCCTCGAACTCAACGCCTCCGACGATCGCGGTATCGAGGTGGTGCGTGGCCAAATCAAGGCCTTTGCTAGTACACGCAACGTCTTCAGTACCAATCAGGATACATTCAAGCTGATTGTGCTGGACGAGGCAGATGCGATGACCCAAGCAGCTCAGGCGGCCTTGCGTCGCGTCATGGAGCAATACACACGCAACGTGCGTTTCTGCATCATTTGCAACTACGTGAACAAAATCATCCCTGCTATCCAAAGTAGGTGCACACGCTTCCGATTCTCTCCTCTTGAGTCGGCTCAAGTCGAGCGCCGCATCGATTCGGTGATTGCAGCTGAGCAGTACGTACATGGACCTTTTCTTACCACACAGCTGCCGCATCGAACCCGCCGCCAAAGAGGCCATCCTGCAGCTGTCCAAGGGCGATATGCGCCGTGCTCTCAATATCCTTCAAGCATGCCACGCAGCCAACGATCTCATCGACGAAGATAGCGTGTACAATTGCACAGGTCATCCACACCCACGCGACATTGAAATGGCCTTCCAAGCGATGATGCAACAAGAATTCACCACAGCTTACCAAAGTACGTACGTCCATCCACTCACATCTAGCTATTCAAATGCTCAAGACAGAAAAGGGTACAGCGCTTACCGATCTTCTTACCGGCATGCTGGACCTCGTCATGTCGCTAGAACTCTCCCCAGCGTCGCGCGCCTATCTCCTGGACCAAATGGCTCAGATCGAGTACCGACTCAGCACCAACGCCTCGGAACGCATTCAAGTCTCAGCGCTTTTGGGCTCTGTGAAAGCAGCCGTGGAAATCTCGCAGAAAAACTAGCCAACTATAGGCATGATGGTGTTGAAGCTAGCAAATGGGTCACAGTCTCATCGTCGCCATGCCAGTCGAAAGAGATCGAATGCCGGGGTACAGGACATGTCGCAGCGTCCTCGTACGCTTGCAGATCGCTACGGTACTGCTTTATGTGGTTTTCCTGTTGCGTGATGAGCCGACGAAGCTCGCGCAGCACAACGAACTGCTCGTGCAGGCCATCTTGGACCTGCATAAGCAGGCTCGCCAGCTCACCGTCGTCACGATCGTCTCTTTCCTCTTCCTCCTCGACGTGCTCCTCCCCCACTTTCATAGAATGTGAGTGCAAATCTTCGATATGTATCGCTATGTCCATGTCCGTGCCTATGAGTGCTTCACAGGCATCGTCCCATGCTTCCCACGCTGGATTGGGACAAGGGGATGACACACGTGATACCGTCTCGGTCTCAGGCGACTTGCCTACGACACAGGTACTACCTTGCCATTCTCCCTGTATAAACGCCAGCTCCTGCGCCAATGTATCAACATGGGGTACATCCCACGACCAATCCACATGGTTCTCCGTTAGGTGGTCCATGCCCTTCAGCGTAAATGAATGTGGAGGACGAGGCCTGGCTTGGACGTACTAGCCAGGCGACATAGTGGAGGTAAGGGCCGAGCGACGTCCCACCCCTCCTTTCCATTGCGTCATGGCAATGACAGATCCTTGGTCGGAGGCCGAGGCAGAGCCACTCAAAGCTACCCTATCCTTCGAACATAATGAGAGTGAACAGCATCGTCCTACATCTGGTTCAAGTATCGAACCAGTGTCTGCGCCAGACTACGAGGCCAGCGAGATTCGAGTATGTACATACCTGCCTGTGTTCTTATTAACGCAACAGATCGTCGATGCTGCTGTGGCTTCAGAACTGGCCAAGTCCGTCTATGTAATCTATGTTATTGTTTCACCGGTATGTACGCCATCCTACTCACACACCACAGGGCTTGGAAGCGAAGCGACGATACTCCGAATTTGAAGCGTTGCGCGATGCGCTGGTCCAACTGCATCCGACGCTCATTATCCCGCCGATTCCATCAAAGCACAGTCTATCCGACTACGCTATGAAACAAGGGCGTGCTAAAGTGGATCCGGCTATCATGACAAAGCGCACCCGCATGCTAGAACGATTCTTGCGTCGGATCGATACTCACCCTGTACTGCGCCATGATATTGTATTCCGTCGCTTCCTTGATTCTCGCTATACATGGCATGAAATCAAGAACACAGCACCTCTGACTATGCTACCGAAGAACAACCTCGCTGCGCCACCACAGCAGCCCGCCAACCCAGATGCACCTGGTTTCTACCTCGTTTTGCCCACGCCCTCAACGACAGCCAAGCTGCAAACGCCTCATACACGGTTTCAAGACTCGGAAGCCTTTACAAACCGGTTTGAATCGCATATGGCCCATTCCATGGAGCCTGTCAACCGCCGTCTAGTACGTCGTTGGCAGGATATTGGCCACGACTTTGCTGAGTTGGGTACCCTTCTGCATGCGCAAGCGCCATCGGAAGCTGAGGCGCTTGCGCCCCTGGTAGACAAGGTGGCGGAGGCTGCCGAGAAAACGAGCGAGTCCATTAATGAAATGACACAGGCATGGGAATCGCAGATCACTGAGCCATTAAATGAGTATACCCAGTATGGCACGATTCTGCAAAAGATCATCAAGTGGCGACATTTAAAGCAGCAACAGCTAGAAACCACACAGGATTCGCTCGAGCAGAAACGCCAGCAACTGAAAGCCATGGAGCGTGTCGAAGCAGAGGCAGCACGCTTGCAACAGGCTCTCGAGACAGGCGGTGCAAGTCTCATGGCTTCCCAGACAGAGGCCCAACAGCCTTCGCAGCGAGTGTCTGTATATGGACGCGCAGCTGAAATGGAGGAGGAGGACCCGTGGGCCACCCCCTCGACGAAGGCAAAGGACCGAATGCCGGAACCTGAGGTGGCCTCAGCGCCCTCTTCTACCATGCCTATCGAGGCAGCAACCCTCGCCTCGATCAAGCCTACATCCCGTGGAATTTTGGGCTCCCTGAGCGATACGCTAGCGAGTGTCATGGATCGCGATCCCGACCGGACACGCCAAGCGAACTTGGCTCGTCTTCGCGCAGAAGTTGTGTTGGTACGTTGCAAATCTACATACACGCTGACACGACAGTTACAGGACGGCCTAACGCAGTCTCTGAAGGACATGGAATACGTCAACTCATCAATCCAAGCATCGCTAGACCGTTTCCAGCGTCTCAAAGTGGCGGATTTCCGTAAATTGATGCTTGATATGGCCTATATGCAGCGCGAGCACTGTGCCAAAGTACGTCACTACTATATGACTTACGCTCCAGAGCCTAGAGGCTTGGCGCCAAGCACGCGATCAGGTGAAGCACATAGGGGCCGAGGCATGGGAGGGTATGCCGGATGCGCATTTGCCCTCCAAGGGCCGTGGCTCTACGATACGGCGCAGTGGCGACGCTTAAGCCGCAAGCAGCGTCCGATCACTCGCTTGCGTGGCCTTTGTCAAAAACCCCGCGCCACCTCCACATGAAGATCTGTATAAAGAGGCGATAAGACAGCATTGTATTGTTGCCACAACCTTTGCTACAGTCGCATAGACGTGTAGAACAACAACGACCTCTAGCCCTCCCTCCCTTCGTTGCTTCTTTCTTCATAACAATGCAAATATTTGTAAAGACACTCACTGGCAAGACGATTACCTTGGAGGTTGAGAGTAGTGATACAATTGATAATGGTGCGTGTGACGACAGCTCCGAGAGACAGATATGCTAACTTTTGTATAGTCAAAGCAAAGATTCAAGACAAGGAGGGAATTCCTCCGGATCAACAGCGTCTGATCTTTGCCGGAAAGCAGCTAGAGGACGGGCGTACACTCAGTGACTATAACATCCAAAAAGAAAGCACCCTGCACCTGGTACTGCGCCTTCGTGGTGGTGCCAAGAAGCGGTGCCAACATGGTCGCGGTACAGAAGAGCAATGCCGAGATGCGGCTGTGCAGATCGTAGGCCAGTGCCCCCACTGCAGCCTGAGCTTTTGCAGTAAGCATCGCCTGCCCGAGTCGCACGACTGTGCCAACCAGGAGCAGATGCGCAATGCAGCCTTCACAGCAAACAAGGAAAAGCTGGAGAATGAACGTCTCTCTGCCACACGAGGCCTTGTCCACTAAACACGAACAAGATCGTTACGCATGTATATACCTCGCGCTCTATGTAGTTACATGATGTATAAATACAAGGGACTTGAGAAAGTAGTGTAGCCTGATACGACATGCGCCCCAATGGCTTTGCAGCTGGACACGGCCTGTTTCTACATCGGACTTTACTGTCGTGCAGAGGCGAGTGTCATGTGGGGAGGAGGGGCCAGTGCCCTGAACCAGTGCACGTGATGCGCGAGTCACAGGCACTGTCACAAGGCCATCGGGAGGTCGGGGGCCCGCGTTCGCAAAATCGACGCAGCGAGAGCTTGACCGACAGAAGCTTCGATAACGCTTGCCATGACCAGTATTCCGTTTGTGACAGACCTCTGGAGTAAGGTGGAAGGTGCCCCTGAGGACGCGTACGTACTAAATACATAAAACTCACAATGCAGCATCTTGGCTCTCAGTGCCAACTATGCAAAGGACACAAACCCCAACAAAGCGAACCTTGGTGTGGGTGCCTACCGTGACGAGAACGGCAAGCCATGGATCCTTCCTGCTGTGCAGAAGGTATGTATCCGTACTATTGACATGTATAGGCCAAGGAACAGCTTGTGAAGGACCCGTCTGCGAACCATGAGTACCTGCCTATCCCAGGCTTCCAGCCGTTCCTGGATCTCTCGGCTCGCCTCATGTTTGGTGAGGACGCGAAGGTGATCAAGGAAGGTCGTCTCGTGACCAACCAAACGATCAGTGGCTCAGGTGCGAACCACGTCGGCGCGCGCTTCCTCGTGGAAAACTACCCCTTCCCAGCCGAGAAGTGCATTTACCTCTCTGACCCGACATGGCCGAACCACTATGCCATCCACGAAACGGCAGGCTTTAAGACCAAGACGTACCGCTACTACAACCCAGAGACACGCCAGTTGAACTTCGATGGTATGTACGAGGACCTGATGAACATGCCTGATGGCTCGGTGGTCCTCCTGCATGCTGTGGCGCACAACCCGACAGGTGTCGACCCCACGGAGGAGCAGTGGCGCAAGATTGCGGACGTGTTTGCGAAGAAGCGCTTGTTTGCATTCTTCGACTCGGCATACCAGGGCTTTGCCTCCGGTGAGCCGGCGCGCGATGCCTTCTCGGTGCGTCACTTTGAGGAGCGTGGCGATATCGCGATGCTTGTTGCGCAGAGCTTTGCGAAGAACGCCGGTCTGTACGGTGAGCGTATTGGTGCGCTGCATATTGTGACAGGCTCCAAGGAGCAGGCCGCGAATGTGCAGAGTCAGGTCAATGTCCTGCAGCGCAGCGAGAACAGCACGATGCCTGCCTACGGTGCTCGTATTGTGGCCAAGATTCTCGGTGAGCCAGACCTGCGTGCTGAATGGGACAGCAACATTAAGACGATGGCAGGTCGCATTATGGACATGCGTCAAGCGCTGTGTGACCTACTCACGAACGAGTTCAAGACGCCCGGTACGTGGAACCACATCGTCGACCAGATCGGCATGTTCTCGTACCTGGGTCTCGACAAGGAGCAGTGCCAGCGCCTCACCAAGGAGGGCCACATCTATCTCATGCTTACGGGCCGTGTGAGTATGGCCGGCTTCAACTCGAGCAACGTGAAGCACGTCGCTACTTGGATCGACAAGGTCGTGCGTGAGAAGGAAACGAAGGCGAAGGTCTAACCTGGCCCATGGGCAGAGATCCTGTAGTCATCCTAGTTTTACGTTACTCATTATGTCTACTATCGCCGAGCGGTAAAGGTGACCATACCTGGTGGCATTGTGGGCATGACGTATGCCGCGCACAAAAGGCATCGATGCACGAGGTATGCACTGCAGCCTGGCACTGTGGCGATGCACATCGCTCGCCGAGGGTGACCAAAGCATAGCATACCAGGCATTCGTACATGGCCCCTTCCCATTCCTGACGAAGGAACGCATCCAGTTCGCACAGCGCGCGTGTTGTAAGGGTATAGGCGCCTGTGCGACGGAGATAGGCAAACCAGCCACGTCGTTCCAAGTTCTGGAGAAGGTCCGACGCCGCTTGTTTCGTGAGAGGCGTAGGTTGCATGTGAGATGCCACAAGCAAGGCCTGTGTTGACGGAATAGCAAAGCGGGCATCCGGTGCATGGATCATATGACCGATCTTAAGTCAGTGTGGGTAAGTGGACGTACCAACGAGCGAATATAATGCAGTTCGCTGGGCGAGTATGGCGTAGCTAGCTCAGCGAGTGAGTCACCTTTTGCGTTGATCAGAGCTACGTAGGCCACAGCTGTGACTTGATCGTGGCACGTACGCACGTCTAGGCCAAGAGGGGACAATGACATTTGGATCGCGTCCAAGTCGGCCTCGAACGCCTCGGACACTACCGTGAGCAATGAACACTACCTACCTTGCAACGCGCTGCATAGATCACCATAGATGGCACGCAGATCATCCCGCGCGACAAATCGGCGCGCTAGGAGCCCTTGCACCAGCGCCTGCTGAATGGTCTCCCGCGCCATGGTGCCACGGTGCGCTCAACGTCGCGTCGTACCTCCACACGCGCGCGTATGTGTCGTGCTGGGCGGCCGCGATCTCGTCGATGGCGTGCGTCGGCCGAGCACATACGTCCACGTGCAGGCACAAGAAGGCCCCGGTCAAGCATGCACGGCACAACAGCCGCTGCGTCTCTCCCTTACGCTGCTCCTTCGCCAGCGCATCGTAACCATGTCTGGGGACGAGAGTTGCAAGAGTAAGTATGCATCCCCTTTCTCACACAATAGTCACGCACAAGATTGCTAAGGCCAAGAAAGAGGGCCGTGTATGGTGGAGCTTTGAGTACTTCCCCCCACGCACGCCGCAGGGCCTGACCAACCTGTACGACCGCATTGAGCGCATGGCACAGCTGGGCCCTGCCTTTGTGGACATTACATGGAACGCTGGTGGTCGTACGTCAGATCTCACGACGCAGCTCGTGAAGACCGTGCAGGCGTACTTTGGCTTGGAGACGTGCATGCACCTCACCTGCACCAACATGCCACGCAGCAAGATCGACGTCGCGCTGCGAGAGGCCAAGGCCTTTGGCTGCCGCAATATCCTCGCGCTGCGTGGCGATCCACCGGCGAGTGGCGGTGAATGGGAGGCGGATGCCGCAGGCTTCTCGCATTGCAGCGAACTCGTGCAGTACATCCGTGCGAACTATGGTGATTACTTTGCGATCGCCGTGGCTGGCTTCCCGGAAGGCCACCCCGAGGCTAAGGATGGTCCTGAGGCAGAAATGGAGCACTTCAAGGCCAAGATCGATGCTGGTGCTGACTTTATTTTTACGCAAATGTTCTACGATCTCGACGCGTTTGTGGACTGGTGCAAGCGCATTCGTGCAGCAGGCATTACGGTGCCGATCGTGCCAGGTGTGATGCCGATCCAGAATTACGGCGGTTTCACGCGCGCTGTGGCACGTTTCCGTGCCCATGTCCCGCAATATTTCCACGACGCGCTGGACCCTGTGAAGGACGACGACGAACAGGTGCGGTTGGTCGGCCAAAAGCTTGTGGGCGATATGTGCAAGAAGATCCTCGAGCATCCTGACTTGGATGTCAACGGTCTGCACATCTACACGATGAACTTGGAGCGTGGTAGTCGTATGCTGCTGGAGTACTTGGGCCTTACGCCAAGTGTGCAGCAGCTCAACCCGCTGCCATGGCGCCAGAGTCTGACGCCCAAGCGTCGTGACGAAAACATCCGTCCGATTTTCTGGGCGAACCGGACGAAGAGCTACGTCAACCGTACCGACGGTTGGGACGAGTTCCCGAATGGGCGTTGGGGTGACGCACGCTCGCCAGCATATGGCGATGTCGATGCGTATGGCACGCACCTGCGGTTTACCAAGGAGGAGGCACTGGAGTTGTGGGGCGAGCCGAACACGCTGGACGATCTCAAGGACCTCTTCGTGCGATTCTGTGCGGGCGATCTCAAGTCGCTGCCGTGGAGCGACACGCCCGTGGCCAAGGAGACCAAGGTCATTGACCAGCACTTGATCCAGCTGAACAAGCGCGGCTACCTTACTATCAACTCACAGCCGCCTGTTGATGGTGTGCCCAGCAGCGACCCTGTGCATGGCTGGGGTCCAAAGGACGGCTACGTGTACCAGAAAGCGTACTTGGAGTTCTTTGTAGCCCCGGAGCAGCTCGACGAGCTGCTGCAGCGCATTGAAGCGCACCCGCAAATCACGTACCATGCCGTGAATGCGCAGGGCGATATGCGTACCAATACGACCTCGGATGCGCCCAACGCCGTGACGTGGGGCTGCTTCCCACACTGCGAGATTCTGCAGCCGACGATCGTCGAGTCCATTTCGTTCCTTGCGTGGAAGGATGAGGCGTACGAAATCGGTCGTCGCTGGGCGCACCTGTACCCAGAGGGCTCAACAGCACGTACCATGCTAAGCAACGTCTTTGACACATGGTTCCTGGTGAACGTCGTGCACAACGACTTTAAGAAGGCCGAAGTCATTTTCGAGCCGTTCCTCGTGTAAGGACCGTGGCACCACGTGGGGCCCGTCGTCCACACCTCCACTATTTACCCTGTCGTTCTTTCTTGGATCGATCGCGATACCCTCAACGGATAGTCAGCTGGACTCTGCCTGTATAGTAGATTCAACTCCTGGCATGTAGCTACAAAAACAGCGACTTTTCTTTCAACGCACGGTAGCCCAGCGTATCCCAGTCAGCCGCTTGGACCCACAATTCCTGCATCGCGTCCAAATGCGCAAGCACGGCCAGGCCTTTCCACGCCAGCGAAGCCGGGTCCAAATTGCGAGGAGGGGGGATGACCACGGCTTGCGGTGCCGTAAACGAGGCGGGGACTTGCACCGCGGGTACACGCGCTGGGTCCGACGGTGTGTAGTGCTCAGCCAGTAGCATGGACACCCGCGCCTCGAGCGCCTCGGCAAGTCCTGAAATACGCGCAGCGCCGCCAATGCACACAATGTTGTTCGCCAAGCGGCGTAAACGCTCTTCAGCACCACTGTTCAGTGTACCATCAATTGAGCCTGTCGAGGCCAACAGACTCTGGAAGACAGCGCGATCCAACGGTGTCATTGCCGCCTCGCCTACGATATCGATATCGTGTGCTTGTGCCGCCTGCATCGCAGCCGCCTGGCATTTTGCCGCTTGCGAGGCCATCGCCGATGTTTGAGGCACAGACGAAGTAGTGCCCTTTGAGGACGCAGGGCCATTCTTCGCTGGTATGGCCGCGGTTTTCTCCGTAGCCTCCGTCGCTGAGGCCGTGGGTCCGTCCGTCGCACCTGGTGCGGGTGAGGACGTCGCGTTCATAGGCGTCGAAGCGCCGCCGCCACCGGGCGGGGCCGGTGACGAAGTGGCTGTGGTCGTGTCTACTGCAGGCAACACACGCGATGGGTCGACCAACGCCATGACAGGATCGGGGACTTTGGTCTGCACACAGCCAAACATGGCCAGCGTCGGCGTCAGGTCGTGCGTCGCCGACGCGGTGAGTTCACTCGCCTCATTCCCGCCAAGCGATGGATTGGTCATAGAGAGCGTATTTAAGAGCTCTGGTTCATCAACCATGCTCGTTTCCACAGACGCACTGGACCAGCGGCGGCGTGGGAAAGGAAGCGGTCGCGAAGACGCCATCGCGGCGACCAGTTCTGGATGGAAGAGCATAAGACCGGCCAGAATAGGCTCATCGTACAACCGCAGGGCGTACTTCTGCGAGACCACGCCAGGCCATCGCACAGTGAAATCGTACAAATTCAAACCGACTTGACTAGGCTGCAGCGTAACAAAACGCTCTTTCAACTCGTCCAGCAAGGCCATATCACATACACGACGCTGGAGATCGAGCTCCTTATACGGGAAACTGGAGCCACGCAGCACATCGCCAAAGAAGGCCGACATATCGCGCCCACCGTAGGACAGCGTAATACGTGTCTCAGGGAGAACCAGACCTTCTTCGACACAGGAAATGCCAATGCTGGTCGCCCCAATATCCACGACACACGCAGCACTTAAACCCGCGCCGAACGTCGCACAGAGCCCTTCTGTTTGGACATGCAGCGCAGCAAAGCCCATGTAGCGCAGTAAGACATGGCCCAACGCACGGATATCTCTGCGTGAAAACGAGTCAGGGACCAATAGCAGCACAGAGTAGTCACCATACTCGGCCTCAGGAATACCGAGGCCAGGCGAGGCAGAGGAGCCATCGGGCACCGAAGACGGCAACGAGAAGGCATGCCGCAAAATGTGTTGGACGTCGCCCAGCAACGCCTCAATACACGACGTACCGTACGACGTAGCATACGTTTCGACGTTGAGCATGCCACGCGCCCATGGCCGAAAGAGTGTCCACATCGATGGCTCCCCTGATGACAAGGACGACAGACGCAGCGCTTCTTGGCCGACCGCAATCGGCCCTGGTATCGAGGCTTCGTCGACGAATCCTACATGGTACACGTCATTGTGCTCCGCAATTTTTTCCGGCTGGACAGAGGCATTGTAGCTATTCGCCGACTGCCAGCCGTGCGTTACTGGCCGCAGCTTGTACTGCCGCATAATGGAGCGTAGTTCCGCACGAAGTGTCTCAAACGAGGCCTCGGAGGCCGGCATCGGCTCAGGCGAAGGCGGGAGTGGGTGGGGCTCAGCACCGCGGCGTGCTACCACATTGGGGACAAGCGTCGGGTAAAGGTCGTTGGATCGGCCTACACGCACAAAGTCGGAGCCCAGATGCACGACAAGGCGTTTCGCAGAGGCACTCGCGCTGTCACTCTCTTCTGTGGCGGCCGCGCTCTCCGCCGTCTCCTCTGCCTCGTCATTCTCTCCTGCGTCCGTCTCGGCGTCCCGCTTGGCTCGCTTCGTGGGCCGGCTTGCTCGTGAGGCCCATGTCTGCGCCTCACTCTTCAGGTAGGACGACGACACATCTGACATAAGTAAGGCACATTACATACTCTTGGCATTCACAAACGGAGGTGGATGAAAAGACGTATACGCCCAGGGCAGGGACCGCGTTTCATCAGCCGGGGCCGTAGGCGGTAGCTCCTGCTTTTTGGGTGGCATGCCACACGCGCACCAAGGGCCTGCAAAGAAAAAGGAAGAAAAGAGCGTCCAGCGATGCAACGAGAGAGCGCCGCGCAGCGCGGCGGGCCCCCGGCGGGTCTGGTCTTGCGTGTGGAGGTCTGGCGGTTTAGACCTAATGTTCGCCTCGCCGCTGGGCGGCGCTGGGCTTGCGGGCAGCGTGCACAGATAGTGCTGACTCAGCAAAAATCTACAGCCTGGGCTCTGCACCCGAAAACCGCAGCTGCCACCGAGAGTGACGATTTGCGTGTTTTGCCCAATACACACACCACACTATGCTCCGCCGTCTGAGTCAGTCGGGTGTGAAGCATGCGCTGTCCACGCCGAGCTTGCGTGCAGCAGCCGTGCAGACGCAGGCACGCACGTTCGTCTCGACCGTGCTGCTGACCAACGAAGGCTACGAAAAGAAGCAGGTAACAGAGCTACGCGCCATGCTGCGCCAGCGTGGCCTTACTACGACAGGCCGCAAGGCTGAGCTGATCCAGCGCTTGAAGCAGAACGATATGGCTCGCTCCGGCTCGTCCCTTGCTACAGCCGGCGTGGCCAAGCCCGCCACGCCGATCACGGCACCCCTTTCGCGCGCCAAGTCGACCAAGGCGCCCAGCAGCAGCCAGCGTGCCAAGAAGGGCAAGGATGCCGTGGCACATGCAGAGAAGACCATGCCGTCGGTATCCCTGGAAGCGGGCACCGTGATTAGCGCTACCGCTGACCATGAGGGCAATATCGGCAAGGCGTCGCCAAGCGAAGAGCACCACGAAGTCACCGGCACGCCGGGTCTCCCTGAGGTCAACGCGGAGGCGGTGGCCCAGGCGGAAGAGAACAAGAGCACTAACACGTTCAACATTGTCGTGCCATTCGAGGTGACACCGCCGCCAGAGCCACAGTACATCCCTACCATCCAGGCATTTGTGGACCCTACGCGTGACTTTTCCGACTCGTTCAAGCCAGAATGGCACATCCCGCATATGCCCAAGGTGCACACCGTGACAGGCGCTGATGTCTCCCACTTGCCGAGCTTGGGCGAAGCGCAAGGCAAGCCGGAGCCGTCGAAGAAGATGAAGGCCATGCTTGATATGGCAGGCGATATCGTGCCGGCACACTGGCACCGCCGCCTCTCACAGAATTTGACAGAGGCAGAGTCGTCCGCCAACGGCATCATCAGAGAGATCATCCAGGACACCATGCAGTCGATGCCGGTGGATCCGTCAGTGCAGCCATCCCACTCGCGTGCTCGTCCTTCGACTCGCCGCCCTCTCAACCATGGTGAGCGCCGGGGTCTGTGGGTGCTAGGTGGCATCGCCGCCTCTGGCTTTATGCTGGGCGGTCTGTTGAAGCCTAGCGAGACGGAGACCTCGTCCACGACCACCACATCGACAGCGCCGGTATACCAGCCACCGCACTATACGCATGGAGGCGGTGTAGTAGGCGCTGTGCAGCGTAAGGTCTAAGCTTGTTGGAGATGTAGACGGTCACTACGATGCTATAGTCGTTTCTGGCCGTAGGTAGACGAAAGGACTCGGTTTCATTTTCCTTACAACACGCCTAATGGGGTGGTCAGTGCACATCGCTGGGCACATACCTTTGGTGCTGGGCACATCGTTCGTGCCTGTGCGAGAGGTGGCCTCTTTCAATGCAAGAGCCGTAGCCTTGAAGGCAGACTCCGCCTTGTGGTGGTCATTGCTGCCGTGCAGCACGTCGACATGCAATGTAATGCCAGCTTCTGTCGCAAAGCTGTGGAAGACATGCGGGATCATCTCGCAGCTCAGATCGCCGATCTTTTCGCGGCGCAGCTGCAGATCCGTGTGGCAGTATGGCCGCGACGACAAGTCCACCACCGCCCGCGAGAGCGACTCATCCAGCGGCGCAAAGCCCGTACCAAACCGCTTCACACCACGAATCGGGCCCAGTGCTTTCTTGAACGCCGCACCAAGAGCAATCGCACAGTCTTCAGCGGTATGGTGGTCATCAATCCACAAGTCACCCTCACACTGCAGTTGGAGCGACATGCCACCATGCTTCGCAAGGGCATGCAACATCTGCGCTTGTGTGAGTAGGCATGCACAAGGAGGCTAGTACGTACATGATCCAGGAAGCCGACGCCCGTCTTGATCTCAATGGTCTGCGGCGCCGTCGCTGGATCCACATCCAGCGCGATATCAATGTGGATCTTGGTCTCGTTCGTCACACGGTCCACACTAGCACGTCGAACGTCCGCCATGGTAATGCACGAGTCGCTGATCGGCGTAGAAGGGCCTGGCCGTCGTGGCCCTCCATCACGTGCACATCAACGCACACGCGCGTGCGCATCGCGTTGTCGTAGCGGCGGACAGAGCGTGCGCTTCGTACGTCCCTAGGCCCCTTGTCATGTCAGCGCGCCGCGCCGAGATTGAGGCGAAGCGTGCCAAGCTCGCAGAGCTTCGGCGGGCTCGTGAAGAGCGGGCTCGCCGGATGCAGGCAAGCCGGGACGAGAGTGCCACGTCAACGGGCCCAGAGGCAACCGCGCCGTCGGTCGATGAGTTGGTAGCCACGCTGCTCCGGCCTACGTCGTCCATGACCGTATCAGATACATCCGAGGTAGCAGCGCCAGAAAAGAAGGAGACACAGACCGAGCCGGGGCCCAGCGGCTCTTCACCACCGCCGCCCTCGATGGACCAACACCACCACGTCGTGGAGGCCCCTCCGGCGCCGCAGCCCGACAAAATCATGTACACCAAGGAAGTACAAACCGATCCACTGGATGAGCCTGCGTCTGTGCCACCAAATGCCGTGCCCTCAGAGCCGCTGCCATCGCAAGACGACATGGATCATGCGCCCTTGTCCGCCCCCCCCGAAGACACAGTGGAGCCCACACCTGTCCCTGTCACATCCGACTTCACCGACTTTGTGCATACCAAGGCCATGGTCATGGAACGTATGCTGGACGAACAGTACGATGTACTCACAGACTATACCCACATTCCTACGGAGGCCGATGAGGCGGAGGCAGCCGCTGCAGCGTCGCTCCGGCATGTACATACCTTTATGGACGAAAGCCTGTTCGATACACGTGCTGTGACGGACATCGACTGGTCCGCGAAGCACCCTGAGCTGGTAGCTGTCGCGTACAATCGAAAACGCGTATTGGCGCACGATGACGATCATCAGGGGCTGGTCGCCGTGTGGAATCTGCATGTGCGCGAACGCCCTGAATTTGTTTTTACGGCCCCGACAGATGTCGTAAGTGTCCTGGCCTCGCCGTACCATCCCAACCTGTTTATTGGTGGTACCTACAGCGGGCAGGTCCTGCTGTGGGATACGAGGCATCGTGGTCTGCCTGTCCAGCGCACACCCCTTGCATTTCGCAGTGGCGAACCATTGGCGCACAGTGCGCCTGTGTACAGTCTGCGTATGACCGGGCATGCACAAGCGCCGCAGCTCGTAAGTGCATCAACAGATGGCGTCGTGTGTACGTGGTCGCTGGACATGCTGGCGCGACCTCAGGAGACACTCCTCCTCTCTAATCCATGGCATCCACGCAGTGCAGAAGTGGGCATTACGTGTCTAGACACGGCCCCCAACGATGCCTCACGATTCCTGGTAGGCACAGAAGAAGGCAACATTGTAGCAGCCCAGCGCTACGACCGTGCAGGAGTCGCGGCCGGTTTGGACTTGTCGCGTATCTACGTCGGACACTCTGCACCGGTTACACGGCTGGAATGCCATCCCTTGCCAGCAGCCACAGAGCCTGTGCCAGCCTCCATGACGGATTTGTTCTTGACGACAAGTATGGATTGGACAACCGCGTTATGGCGCGCCACACCACCCCTACCACGGCCTACCGCCAGCACGCCGTCGACGTACACATACCCCCATGCGAATCCACGCATCGCGAGTCAACGCGCGCCGACACGAACCAGTGCGGGGACCACCACTCCCATGCCGACATGGACGCCCATTGCACCCTTGCTTCGCTTTGAAAATCAGCACGATTATGTTATGGATGCACGCTGGCATCCACAGCATCCAGCTGTGTTTGCGCAGGTCGATGCCGGTGGGCATGTCGACGTATACCATCTCACACAAAACATGGAACGCCCGATCCTCAGTGCCGTCACGCCTGGCCAACGTGGCCTCAATCGTGTGGCTTGGGAAAAGCGAGGTGACGGGGCGGAGCCTGGCTCTCATGTAGCCACGCGATTGGCTGTGGGAGGCGTGGACGCGCGTGTCCACATCTACGAAGTCGCGGATGCGATCGTGACATCACGTGGGGACGTAGAGTGGATTGAGATGGAACAGGCGCTTACGGCGGCGGCAACGTCGGCCGCGGCGGGGATGCCCGCATCAGGGGCCGCGTAGTCGGAGGAGTGCGGCGCCAGGACGATGCCGATGCGCCGCGTGGACGCATCGCACGGCCTCGGCCCCGCGGCCCACGGCCTTGGCCAGGGCGCTGACGTGGCTCAGCCGCATACAGCACTTCGCCAGCCCGTGGCAGACGAGGCGCCTGCTCAAGTCGGTGCCAAACATCCAGTAGGTATGCAGGCAATAGCGTAGCGGGTATGTCGAATAAGACCAGCATTCGATCAAAGCCTTCGGGGACCGTAGGCGTAGGTCGAACGATGCTACGCTCGAACATAGCCAACACACTGGGGTGAGAGATGACCAACGTACCGCAAGGCATCCTCTGTAGTTTTCAACGTCGGGTGGTCCGTACGTAAACGTAGACGCTCTCGACACACAGACACTGGTACGTCGAGAAAGAGAAGCGACGTGACAATGCGGCGGCCAGTCGAACGTCGCACCTCAGCCGCTATAAGAAGCCAGTCAGCACGTTGTCGGCGATCAATGTTGGTCCGATCAAGTAGGATATGATGGCCTGCCTCGAACGAAGCACGTACACGCGCTTCCACGACCGTTCGACGGCCCAGTTCATCCTGGTTCAGGCGATCCCATGTCTGGCTGTAAGTAGGAGAGACATCGACATACCCCTGGCCATGTATCTACGGCAGCTTGCGCCACTGCATGTAAGAAAGAAGTGGTACGTACACGTCGATTTACCGCTGCCAATCAACTAGACATCGTTAGCCACAAAGAAAGAGACACATACACCACACAATACAACAAGGTGCTGAATTGGTCGTTCTCCTACGCTTTCGAGCGGTACAGAAGTGTCTGCAGAGCCCGCATGCCAGGTGGGCACAGGCAAGAGGGGCTCCGGCACATCGCTCGGACGCGCCTCATACATGACGTCGTTCGCTAAAGCGTTGGCCCTCACATCGATCGGGCACCTATAAATCGGGCTATCGCGCGGGGTATCCAAGATAAAAAAACTACAGTTGTCCTTTGATCTGTCGGTGAGTGTGAGTGCCTGCATCCCATACGTACATCAACATGGCGGTATCGCCCCATGGCTTGAGATAGCGGTTCCTGTGCGCGCTTGGCATCCCATTGCGCGTCTTCCAACCGTGGCACGTCCGTCACGTAGATAGCTGCCTGTACGGACTGCAAGAAGGCATCCGCTTCAGCAACATCGGCCCACCCCAACTCACGCGCGAGGAACGTAAGCGCACATGACGGACGGAACGACTTGGCGAGAATGAGGAGCGCTTGCACACGCGCATGCTCCATAAAGTGATCCATGATGTAGGCATTCATATTGGGCGCAGTTTGATAGAGCTGAAAGAAGGCATGGTAGTTCCCTGCTCGCATCGCAGTACGTACATGCAGAGCATGAGCAACAGCAGGCGCTCGCTTGTCCGCCTCGCTGAGCTCGGCCATCAGCGCATTGATATCGCGTTGATTGCGTGTATGCAATAGATATAAAATACGGTACGCAAGGAATTCATGCGTACACCCAGGCAAATCGTATGCGTACAAGGAGCGAAGCTGTGTTTGGCATTGGTTGTATTCACCCAAATCGCCCTTTTCAAGGGCAATGCGTGCATGCGTCTCGTAGACTTGCACTGTAAAGTCATTCTTGATCCGCTGCACGGTGAGATCTTGGCGCATACTCTTGAACTGATCACAAATGTAAGCATAATTCTTCTCTGCTTTCCATTTCTGCGTCAGCAAATGGAGCGTCTTGCGTAGTGTCGCCAAGGGGCGTACTGTCTTGGGGTCTGGCGCAGACGTAAGACGCAGGTATGGCTTCTCCAGCTTGGTCGACGTCCCGACAATGGTATGCGCATCCCAGTCGATCACATTGGGATTGGGCTCAGGCGGCGGCGTGGAGGTAGCGAGAGGCGAAGACACAGCGGCACCGAGACGGCCGCCCAGACTCGTCGATGCTATCGCAGAGTGAAGATCCGCTTGTTGCTCTCGCTGGAATGCCGCCTGCTCCTGCTCGAAACGACGTTGCCGCTTTTCGCGACGTTCAGCGTCTTCTTGTAGACCAAACGCAGGCCGTGGTGATTTGCTCGCCTTGGGCGTCCATTTGGTGTCCGACGCAGCGCCTCGCTTTTTCCCTGGCGTAGGCATCGGTTTAGGCGGGCGTGTACCAGGCGTCAACGAACGAAGGTGTACACGCGACCAGTCCTTTGTATGGAGTGACCCATCTTGCACAGCTTGAAAGATGAGAGCTTTCAGCTCGTTGCTCACAGCTTGTCGATTCGCATCTGTGCAGGCAGCAAACGAGCGGCTAGCTAGCGCCCTGGATGTGAGACAGGTATGTACGTACCTTAAGGCAGGAGGCCAATCGCCGGGGGGATTGGCCATGCCAACGGAGAAGGAAACCAAGGCTGACGACGACGTGGACGACAAGCACGAATGAGGACCGCCTCCATGCATCGCGACCACGTGCGGGCGGGGGAGGGAAGGCACTCGCCTCCACTGCCGACCTGGGGAAAAGGGGGCGCTTTTTCAGTGGCAGTCACTACACGGTTCTTCGTTGCGCTGTGTTTGCGAAAATGAGCCGTCGTTTCTCGATTGACGTTCCATGCACATCGGCCAACATTGGCCCTGGGTTCGATGTGGTCGGTTTGTCTCTCTCGCTCTATCTACACCTCGATGTCACGATCAATGCGAGTAAGACCGAGCAGCGTCACCCCATTCTCTCGTACAGTGGAGAAGGCGCTAAGGATGCGCCGCTGGATCCCTATCACAATCTGATCACACGTGTGGCCTTGTATGTGATGCGCGTGAACAACATTAAGACTTTCCCTTGCGGCGTATCGATCCACGTACACAACGAGATTCCTTTCGGTCGTGGTCTGGGCAGCTCGGGCGCCGCTGTGATTGCTGGTGTGCTGCTGGGCAACGAGCTAGGCGAGTTGAAAATCTCCAAGGACCGCCTTCTTGACTACGCGCTGATGATTGAACGGCACCCGGACAATGTGGCTGCAGCGCTGATTGGTGGCTTTGTTGGGTCGTACTTGCTGGAGCTCACAGGCGAAGATGCGGTGACGACGCAAGTGCCCCTCAGTGAGGTACTCCCTGAATACCCAGATGACGCATCGGAAGCATGGGGCTACAACCCGCCCACGCCACCTCAGGGCATTGGCCACTACATCCGCTTCGGATGGGCAAAGGAGATCAAGGTCATTGCCATTGTCCCTCACTTCGAGGTGCTGACGGCCGAAGCACGAAGTGTCTTGCCAGAGACGTACTCCAAGAAGGACCTGATCTTCAACCTACAGCGCCTCGCAGTGCTTACCACCTCTCTCACGCGCTCACCGCCGGACGTCGGCCTGATCTACCAGGCGATGCAGGACCGCGTGCACCAGCCGTATCGCAAGAACCTCATCCCTGGTCTGCCGCGCATTCTCGCCTCTGTCACGCCGTCAACGCACCCTGGCTTGCTGGGCATCTGCCTTTCGGGTGCTGGGCCTACGATCCTGGCCCTGGCAACCGACAACCTGCAGGACATTGCCGATACCATCTGCGCCGAGTTTGCGAAGGAGAACATTACATGCGATGCCAAGTTCCTCCAAGTCACAGAGGACGGTGCGGTGGTTCGGGAGCAGTAAATCCATGTATACAATCGATCTATGTAGGCAACGAAAAGGACCGAACTAGTGTGTCCATATACGCAGCCGCCGTACGACATAGGGCATCCTTCTCGAGCTGCATACGCGCATAGTGTGCTTCATGTTCTTGTAGCAGGGATTCCAATTGTCGCTCAATTTGCGTGGCTTCTTGGTTCTTGAGCTCGGCCAGGGCATGGCGTTCTTTGCGCACTTTAGACACATCGCTTAAGCGCGTCGTAAGCGCTTCCAGCTTGGCTTGGCGTTCTCCACGCTTCATTTCCAATTCTTCGCGCGCGCGCTCCAAACGCTCTGTCACAGACTTCACTTGGCGATCTAGCTGTTCGTTTCGATGCGTTTGCGTCATCTGCTCCTGCGACTGCGAAGCCACACTTGCTTTGGCTTCCTCTAGCGCACGACTCTCCCGAGCTGTTCGTTCCATATCGGCAGCAACCTGGTCCATAGAGGCAATGCAAGCTGACATGTCCGCATCCAATTGTACAAGGACATCCATCTTGGAACGCAGCGCCTGCGCCTTGCGTTCGTTCTCTCCGAGCGTCGACCGCTCACCCTGAACCTGCGTCTGCATCTCGTCCAGGTGTCTCCGAATATCGTCAGGTCGCGTAACAATACGCGCCTGCAACTTGTTCAGCTCAGTGGCAACGATCTGAAGCTGGTACTGCAGATCCGTCTGCTTTTGAATCGCATCAGTCTTTTCTACTTTGAGGGTATCCACGTCCTCCAACAAACGACTCTGCTCCTTCTTCATCTGCAAGAGCCGGTCGGAATGCTGCAAATTTTCCTCGCGCAACTTCTGTACACGCGGCTCTTCAGCCTGTCGTTGTGCGCTGGCACGCGTTAGTAGTGCAATCGTACATACAGAATCGCATCAATATCTTGACGCATACGCTCTATGCTTTCCTCCAACTCGATCCGCCGATTTTCCATCTCTTCCGTCTCCAGCACCAACTCATCAAACTCCGCCAGTCGATCCGAACGGAACCGGAAAAAGTTGACCAACGCCGACATGTGGCGCTTGAAGCGCTTCGGTGTAGGCCGCGTCAGATCTTGAAGTTGGAAATCGTGCACCGTTGCGGCCTCCATCATGGTACGACTTTCTGGTGAGCACGGCCAGCTATACATACACTTCGCGGAAAAACAGGAGCCATGCCACACCATCTTCAAACACATCCTGCGATATAAGCATACGAGAGAGACGTACCTTATGATCCATATCACGGCATATATCATCACGCTGCTTCTCCAGTGTATCAGGCATCGTGCCTGCCAAGGTATCTAGAAAGGCCATGTACACTTTTTGGACCATCGCGCCCTGTGGCTTGGCAATGTCTTCAGCGGTAACACCGAGCCCCAGCTCATGGAGAACAGATAATAGCTCCTCTGTCTTTACAGCAGGGAAGGATGTATAGTTCTGATCAGGCGCTGCGCTCATCGCGCTAGCACAGCAAGCGACGTACAACACACGACGCGCCGCTCGACGACCTCCACGCGTGTACACCGCGGTGGCGACCTCGCTCTCTCTCCGTACGCGTTGTGTCACGTGATTGAGTTCCTAGGGTGGGCCACGTTGCTATGTACGTATGCACGGCGAGGTGCGATTAGGAGGAGGCTTGCAACACTTCTTGCAATTCGCCAGAGGCGATCATTTCCTGAACATGTTAGTCATAGAAGTATACATACCTTTACAATATCAAGACCGCCCACAAGCTCTCCGTTTACAATAACTTGAGGGAAGGTCGGCCAGTCATTCAGCACTTTAAGTGTTTGACGCACATTCTCATCCGAGAGAATGTCGTAGTAGTCAAAGTCCACATTTTGCTCGCGGAGAAGCGACACAATCTTCTGGCTAAAGCCGCAGCGTGGCATCGAGGGCTGGCCCTTCATGAACAGCATGACCTTGGATCGCGACATCAATTCGCGGCAGCGACGCTCCGTTTCTTCCTTCGATTCGTTGTCCGTGTGGACCGTAGGCGGGAGCGCATGTGGCTTAGCGGGGTCAGCAAAAGTCTCGTCCACCTGCGAGGCAGGAGCAGCCGCACCGCCAGCGGCTGCGGTGTACGTCGATGGCGCCGCCTGAGGCGCAGCCGTCGATTGCGCCAAGCCACGCGTGTTCGCAGCGCTGGCAGTGCTGGCATGCGACGCTAGAGCTTGCTCGACAGCCAGTACATTCCCGCCTGTCAGCTTGGCTAGGAGGGTATGACCACGGAGCATGACGATGGTCGGCACAGCGTCGACATCGAAGGACTCTGACACATCTGGCTGCTCCTCTGCCTCAACGTTCATGAAGAGGACATGTGGGTACTTGGGTGCCAATTCTGTAATAGCCTTGGTCATAGGCTCGCATGGCTGTGCCCATGAGGCCCAGAAGTTGAGCAGCGTGACTCGATTCAGGTCCTGCTGCATAAGGCTTGTGAACATCTCTGGCGACGCAATAGCGACCAGGTTAGACGTAGCACTCGCTGTATTTGTAGAAGATGCACTCATGATTGAAGACGGGATGTACGTAGAAAAAGTTGACGTGCGAGCCACCGAATGCGTTCGTTCTCACCGCGCTCACTCCGGCGAACGTGGAGTTGAGTACAACGAAGGCTGGCTGGCTGGCTAGCGTGACTGACCACGAAGCCTGCGACAGCTTAGTTCCACAACAGACCAGCCTCCACTTGCGTTGCCTCTCCTCGAGGAGGGGGCTGCGACTTGCGACACGGCCGTGGCCGGCGGTCGTCGTAGGCAGATGGGGCACGTACGTTTGTAGGAAAAACCTCATACTACCATGGACTATCAATGATGTTTCCTAGCAAAATGACCGAGCTGCACCGATAGTGCCAGGCACTTTCACAGTCGGTGTCTGTGTAGGTGTCTGAAATACTTCATTTCTCTTCCCTTCATGAAAAATTGATGGCAGTCATGGAGGCCATGCAGGCGACTGTCAACAGAGTGTTAGAAGGGGGCGTAACGACTGACAATCACACCGATACAAACAAACAAATAGAAGACGTGGCCTTGGTATGTCTACATGGCTGCCAGTGAGTCGCAGAAAAAAAAAAACGGAACCCACGCCGTAGTCCACCCACCCAGTGGAATAATTCCAAATATACCGGCCGCATACGTCCCCACAGAACGTGACGCACTGCGGCCGGGCAGGCGTCCTGTGCGGATTTTTTAGGTGGCTTGCGCTTCGCCCGTGCGTTGTTCCAGCGAGCTGGCGTCGAGGGAGATTGTGCTCGCTCTACGGACGTACGATAGCACGCGACGTAGGCTTGGTCCAGTCGATGTCTGAGTCCCTTTCGGCCTCTACAGATCCAGACCCACCTACCCCTTCGCCGCTCGACCGCTTCAAACGAGCTCGTACGAGCAGCTTCGATACCGATCGATCCAGCCCCGACGTAGAGTCGGCTTCTTCGACGTTCGGTGCATTGACCCATCGAGTCGCAGCATTCGGTGACGAGAGCGACGCGAGTAGCCCCAGTGTGATCAGCCCCCACAGTAGCAAAATGCCTTCCCCAAGGCCCAGTGATGAGAGTGTCGACTCTCTCATCGGCGATGCCTTGCATCTCGACGACGAGCGCCTATCGCCTACGGCGCTTGTGCGTGAGGTCGAGGCATGGCGTGTATCGCGACCACGGGTCGGTGATACATGGTACATTGTGCCTACGGCCTGGTACGCCGCGTGGAAAGCCAAGCCGTCCGCAGCAGGCCCGATAGATCTTCGGCCCCTAGTCCAGGATGCCAGTGGGTCCCTGCGTGCGGACCTGCTGGAAGGACAGGACTACGAACTCCTTCCCCGTGCCGCCTGGGATGCTCTGGCGTCCCGGCACACGGTGCAAGGCACGCCGTTGGCCCGAGCTGTCGTGCCAGGCGCGGCCGATGGCCATACGCGCATTGAGCTCTTCCCACCCAGTATTGAGTTGGCGCGTATCGGTGCTTCGGCGGCTACACCGCGATCGACCCTGCCACGTGTGACGCTGTCGTCCAGTGCGACGCTGCGGACCCTCAAAGCGCATGTACGTGCGCTGGGCGTATGTGCGCATGTCGATGAGGACCTACGATTCCTACGTGTGCCTGTATCGCTTCGAGGCGTGGCGCTGACGAACGATGGCAGCCTGCCGATCCCGTCCCTTCTCGCGCTGAACCCTGCGCCAGAGATCGTGCAGGGCAACGACGCCCTGACGTTGGCCTCGCAGGATCTCGATGCACCGCAGATGCTGTTGGCCGTCGATATACGGAAAGATGGGCGCTGGGGATGGGGCGAGGCGGTGTCCACAGGGCCCATGACACGCAGTCGGACGCAGGCGAGGGCGGGTAGCGCAGGGAAGCCACGCGGCCTGCGTGGCCTAGCGAATTTGGGGAATACGTGTTTTATGAACAGTGCGCTGCAGTGCCTGAGCAACACGGAAGAGCTTCAGCAGTACTTTTTGCGGGGCGCCCAGTACAAAGAGCTCAATACGGACAACCCGCTGGGGATGGGCGGCGCGTTGGCCGCCGCGTATGGCCGCCTCGTCCAGTCGCTGTGGAATGGGAGCCAAGGCGCTGTCATCCCACGTGAATTCAAGACGGCGCTGGCCCGCTTTGCGCCGCAGTTCACAGGGTATGCACAGCAGGACACCCAGGAACTCTTGGCGTTCTTGCTCGATGGACTGCATGAAGACTTGAACCGCATCGTCAAAAAACCCTACATTGAGTCGCCCGATTGGGAAGGCGGAAGCGAGGCGGATATGGTCCGGTTCGCACAGAAGCAGTGGGATATGTACAAGGCGCGCAACGATTCAGTGATTGTCGACTTGTTCCAGGGCCAGTACCGCAGCACACTCGTGTGCCCCGTGTGCGCCAAAGTGTCCATCAAGTTTGATCCGTTCATGTACCTCACGTTGCCGATTCCTAACACGCGCCAATGGCGTGGCCGTGTGTACGTGGTACCGCACGAGGCCCACCGCCCGCTCGTCCAGGTCGACGTGCAGCTGCCTGCCACAGCGACCATTGCGCATTTGCGCGACCATGTGGCGGCCTTGGTCGACGTGGACCCCGCGCGTTTGTTGGTCGGCGAGGCTTGGTCGCACCATGTGTACCGCTGGCTCGATCAGTACGAGCCTGTGCGCGACATCGGGACGGGCGACTACATGTACCTGTGGGACACTGGCGAGCCATGGACGATGCCCAAAGCGCTCAAGCCGCGCACGTCGCGGTTCGCCCTGTTTAGCCGCGCAGAGCGGACCATCGCCGACATCGAGAAAACCTACGCGCCCCCTACGATCGGCGAGTCTGTGTCGCTCCCCGTATACTCGTGCAAGGAAGATGGAGCGGGGCGGTTCGGCAGCTACCGTCGCACATTGGGCGAACCGTTTGGACTGCCGTTCTTTGTGACCATTCCACGCAGCAAGCTGCACGATACCACGTTCATCTACGATGCGGTGCTTACGCAGTACACACGCTTCAGCACCGAGGCTAGTCGCGAGGCCCTGCTCGCCAAGTGGGCGCACGTACGTGCCACGGCGCCCCCCGATGCCGCCACACAGGGCGAGGCAGAGGCGACGCCCGCATCCCATGCCACGGCCGCGTACCCATTCGCGCTCCGATTTGCCGCGCCTAGCGCCGATGAGGCCCTGCATCGCGGCGACGACGCGACAGACCAAACCTCCGAGCTGCTCACCACGCGGCTAGCGCGGGATCCGATCGCTACGTGGCCCGCCTTGTACAATGGAGGAGCGCTGTATGCCATGTGGGAAACGGCCGTGGCCGATGCGCTCTTCCAGCCCGTGCTGGCGAACCAGTCGTGGGGCCCGGTAGAAGAGAAGCAGGACGCTGCCTTCCAGCGTGGCACGGCGATGCTCGCGGAGCATCGGCGGCAGTCGCCACGACTGCGCTTGGAGGACTGCTTGGATGAATTTACCAAGGCAGAGCAGCTGGGCGAGGACGATTTGTGGTACTGCCCGTCGTGCAAGGAGTTCCGACAGGCGACGAAGAAGTTTGATCTCTGGAAAGTGCCAGACATCCTTGTCGTGCATCTCAAGCGGTTCAGTGCAGGCCGTGTCTCGCGCGATAAGCTGGACAATCTGATCGACTTCCCCCTCGAAGCCCTGGATCTGAGCGACCGCGTGGTCGGCACGCGGATCATGAAAGAGCAGGGACTCGCACCATCCCCAGCGGAAACGCACATCAGCGATACCATCACATTGAAGCATGACGTCCACGACGACGAAGTCGAGGCGGATGCCCCGATCTACGATTTATATGCCGTCGACAATCACTTTGGCGGCCTCGGCGGTGGACACTACACGGCCTTTGCGAAGAACCCTATGGACGGACACTGGTACAACTACGACGACTCCAGCGTACGCCCTGTCTCGGATCCACAGGCGGTGAAGAGCTCAGCAGCGTACCTGCTCTTCTATCGACGTCGTACCTCGCGTCCACTGGGTGGAAAGTCGCGGGATTTGATGGATTCTCTGCCGCACGTACAGACGTCGTCCACGCCGACATTGTCTGCGCCGACACACGCCCAGGACGAAGACCCTATGTACTCATCCAGCTCCGAAGAGGACGAGGAGGCCATAGCCGCACCCCCCGTAGCCCTCTTGTAAGACACGCTGGTAGCACGTGATCCAGGCCCGAGAAGGGCGAGGCCGCCGCGCCGGGTCCGCGACGCCTCTCAGGATGGGCGACGACGCGAACGACGCCGCCGCGCAGGCGATGATAGCCGAGTACGACGACGTCCCTGACACGGTGTACGAGGAGGAGGCAGAAAGTGGCACAGGCGATGATACGTCGTCAGCCACTGAGGAGCCACCTACGCTGCGCCTCACATTCCAAGAACAGGATTTTGCGGTGTTCCCTGCGCAGCAAGAAGATGGCCCTGTGATGTACCTTCCATCCGGGGAAGAGGATGACGAGGAGGAGAGTGTCGTTGCTGTGTCTGCCCCAGAACTGCCCGTGCCGTCGAGCACGTTTTGGGAGCCACTAGACTCCCTCTTCGCGGCCCTGCGTGTGAAGGAAGCACTGGGTGAGTTTTTGGAGGAGGGCACAGAACTGCACCTCACATTCCCGGACCTCGACTTGGTAATTGCCGAGGACAATGTATATGCAAAAGAAGTGACACTGTGCGACATTTCCCAGCTGGCTTTGGGATTCCAGCATCGTGCCAGTCTGCATGTGGTCGTCTCCGAAGAGCCGCGCTTTATTACACGCTATAATGAGCTAGCTACCATCCTAGGGGATGGATCAGAGGACGACGAGGAGGAGGACGAAGACGCCTCCGTCGAAGACCCGTCGCAGGACGATGCGCAGGCAGAGAGCGCCGAGGCGGAGGAGGACGCCTCCGTCAAAGACCTGCCGCAGGACGATGCGCAGGCAGACGATGCTTCGGCGAGTGAACCTGCCAACGTAGACGGGACCCCCGAGCAGCAGGGACCGCTTCATGAGGTGGCACACGAGGACGATGCAGAGGCGTCGTCGGCACAGGTATACGACACCGAGACACAGGCAGAAGCGTACGTGGCCGACATCGAGCAGCCGCTGGACGCAGCTCAGACCTCGGCGGCGGATGAGGCGGCATCGACGCAGGAAGAAGCACCTCGTGAAGCAGTGCCTGCCTCGGACCTGCCCCAGGACGTGGTTGCGTCGGCGGAGGTGGAGCCAGCCGCGCTGGAAAAAGACACAGGCACTCGATTGGCATCGCATTCACTTGCTCGGGCAGACGCTGGTACAGCTGTGGAAGAAAAGGCGGAGGAGACTGATGCGCCCTTGAACAAGGCAGAGGAGCCCGCAGGGCATGCGCAGGCGGCACCCACAGACGCGTCACTAGAGGAAATGGCGTACGTTGACGATGATGCTGCGTTGGAAACTGTGTCGCTTTATGGCGAGCAAGACCAAGCAGCCTATGAAGACGACGCGGTAGACTCTGTGTGCGGGAAACGCAGTACACAGGGGGGCGACGCGGATCTTGCGGCCTCTGACGCAAAGCGGACGAAAGTCGACCAGTAGCTATTGCCCTTCCCCTCCTTCTTTTCTGCCTCAGCGTACCGGCTTGGTATGTATGCGGCGTGTACACTAACTAGCTTTGTCCGTCATGGAGGACCACCTTTTATTCATGTCATAAAGATACCCAAGTAGGTGGCGGTGGGTTGTCGTCAGATAGGCGTGACAGAGGACTCGTTCACGTGAGGAGCGATCATAGTAGCCCAGTCGTCCTGGGTGAGCCCCACAGCGGCCGGGTCGGACGCCAGTGATTGGTACGCTTCCCACCAGAGCAGGTGGAGGTGAGCGTCGGCGTCCTCGTGTGGGGCGAGGGGGCCTAGATGCCAGGGTTTTCTGCGGCACGTCAGGAGAACAGCCTACGTACTCGAGGATGTAGTGGATATTGCGCACCTGGCCATCGTCCCAGATGTTCTCGTGGCAGCGCCGAATGGTTTTCAGCGCATTGTAGTACCAGGGGAGGGGTGTATACTTACCGCGGTAGACGTCTGCCAATAAGTCCTGATCAGGAAATCGATACGCAGATACTCGCTCTGGATGCATGTGCACATAGGTATGTAGAGCTTTGGCTTGCTCGGCACTTGGCTCCATAACCACGAGTCCGCTGTTCAACAGGTGGTGCGTAGGCCGCTCCAGCTCTTCTGGTCTCGGCGGGTGCGGGAGCTGGAAGCCACAGTTGTCGGGTACCCAATCGCTGGGATAGGTGGGTATACCATTGGGGTTGCATGTACATGCCATCCCTGCAGCGATGGTGCCTGGGGCCAGCGTGAGGTCCATGAGCTCGTCCATGTTCTGCATGACCAACATATCCGAGTCGATAAGCACGACACGGTCGTATTCAAATAGTTCCATGGCGCGCAACTTTGTCCATACATTGGTAAACCGCGCATGCGCAAGGATCTCTGTATCGGTGCTAATGTCCCATGGCTCCACATCACGCAGGCGGCATCCGAGCTTGCGCAAGATATCCCGTGTAGAGGCATCCACCGACGGGGTTATCATGACGACAAGGGGATATCTGGTTTGCTGTTGTTGTAGACTGTGGTAGAATACGACAGTGCATGGGAGGTACTTGACATCCGTCAGGAGCGTGGCCCAACAGCAGTGCTGCGTCATCGCCCCCGAATGGTGCACTTTCGTGGGGGACGGATAATGTGGAGGAGTGCGTCTCTAAATTTTGGCCGATTTTTTGACATACCGAATGTGGCTACGAACCCTCGCATTTACTTACTCTACCAGTGTCTCGGTGGACGTCGGTTGACCCTCTCCACGTGCTTTGCGGGCAAGTTGGTCATCCAGCCAGCTGGTCATATGTCAGTCTCCACCAAGCTCGAATACGTACTCCACAAACGCCTGCGTAAACTTGAACTTCGCATCGCCGGGATCAAACATCGCTTCATGGTAGTACCCATCAAACGACCTCAACGTGACATGTCGCCCTATAGCGCTCATATTATCAAACAGCGCCTTGCTGGAATCCCATCTCGTCACCTTGTCTCCTGTACCATGGCAAATCAAAAACGGTAGGGACTCGGGCCAACGCTTGTAGTCGTCGGAGACAATCCTTGGACCGCCCGTCAACGGGCCCAGCAAGCACCGAACGTGCACATCACAATTACTCAGAGGGTCCTTACGCAGCGCCTCGCAAAGCTCGCTATCGCGAGACAGATTCGACGACGGCGGGCCCAGCGCCAAATGCAGCCGAGGGAGACCCCACAGAGCTCCACGCAGAAGAGGGCCAGCAAGCCATGTGGGAATCGGGAAATGAATATCGTACCATGGCGCAGACGCCATTACACCGGAAATCATACCCTTAACTTCCGCCGCAGGACCCTCAGCAGTATCACGAGTGAAGAACGCAGTGACAAGACCGCCGCCCATGCTATGACCCATCAGGTACATAGGCACACTACCTGCACCCCAGTCCTTATCAAGGCGAACACGCACAAGCTTGATCATGGATGTAATATCATTGATCTGCTCGGGCCACGTCGTCCAGCCATGAGTTGTGCGACGGTCCGGCGATTCGTACCACGTGCGACCAAAGCCAAACTGATCAAACCCGGACACTTGATATCCATGATCAGCCATATACGAAAAGTTGCCATCGTATCGGTTGATATAGTCCGCAAAACCATGAACAAAAATGATCGCGGCTTTAGGCTTTACAACGTTCTGCGCTTGATCGGTAGGGAACCAGTGCTTCAGAAAAAACTGTGATACATTGGTACCACGAAGATCGTACCATTCTTCCTCAGAATGAATGGGCTTGCTCAACGGAAACACAATTGGGTACGTAGCTGCCATGGTAGGTCGTCGAGAAGATAGCCTTACCCCGAATTCTGAAATTCGCACCTTTGAAACGGAGTAGAAGAAGCTCACTAAAGCTGACAAATCACAGACACTACGGGAAGCAACACACAGATACATAGGCAAGGGGACATTTCGCCGTTCAAATAAAAGTACATATGCTAAGGGAAAAGGAGGCTCCTTGCCGAAGGGGAAACCACCTCACGCCACAACGAATCAATAGAGAACACAAAGACGTTTAGCTGCGCTCACCACGGAGACGGCGAGCGAGGGCAATGTCCTTCGGCTGGATAGTCACACGCTTGGCGTGGATGGCAGCCAGGTTGGTGTCCTCGAAGAGCGAGACGAGGTAAGCCTCAGCCGACTCCTGGAGAGCAAGAACAGCCGACGACTGGAAACGGAGGTCGGTCTTGAAGTCCTGAGCGATCTCACGGACCAGACGCTGGAAGGGGAGCTTGCGGATCAGCAGCTCAGTGCTCTTCTGGTAGCGACGAATCTCACGAAGAGCGACAGTACCCGGGCGGTAACGATGGGGCTTCTTCACACCACCGGCCGAGGGGGCCGACTTGCGGGCAGCCTTGGTAGCGAGCTGCTTGCGGGGGGCCTTACCACCGGTCGACTTGCGGGCAGTCTGCTTAGTACGCGCCATTGTATTGAATAGACAGTAGAATGTGAGGGGTGGCGGATAGAACAGCCGTATATTTTATAATACGCCTGAGGGATGATGCATTGGTTTACCATTCCACAAAAGATCACACGCCATTGTAAGATCACGCAGAGCGCGCGTATGTGATCCTCCAGACGCGTAAAATCACGCGAGCACACACCACAGAGATGACTAAACAGTCAACTAAATCAACCCCGATCACCCGACACAGGTCCGCATCACACCCGATACACTCATCACCGCTATTCGCGTGTGATCTTATAGTGCTGAATCACACATCCGACGCGTGCGCCATCACATTGGTACAACCCACGCTTATTCAAGTCGCAAATTTCCAACTAGTACAAATACCCTGCCTTAAGCAGCCAACGTCGTTTTCCCACAACTTCATCACTTTATTTATCTGAACAATGTCTGGTCGTGGAAAGGGTGGCAAAGGTCTCGGCAAGGGTGGTGCTAAGCGCCACCGCAAGATCTTGCGTGACAACATTCAGGGTATCACCAAGCCCGCTATCCGCCGTCTCGCTCGCCGTGGTGGTGTCAAGCGTATCTCTGGTCTGATCTACGATGAGACCCGTGGTGTCCTCAAGCTTTTCCTTGAGAGCGTTATCCGTGACTCGGTTACCTACACTGAGCACGCCAAGCGCAAGACTGTTACGTCGCTCGACGTCATCTACGCGCTCAAGCGCCAGGGCCGCACCCTCTACGGTTTCGGCGCGTAAGTGCTATCATAGCCTTACAACTCCTTTTCGTATGTACTATTATATCTATTGCAATGTCATACCCAGCCTGGGCTCTTCCAGCTGGCTTTGAATATTCTCATGTGCGGATAGTGTCATTCTATAGTCGGGACTACCCGGCAAAGTTAGAACCGTAGTCGTGTCCGCCTTCTGTCTCGCCTTTCGCATATGCGCTGCGCGTACATTCGGCAGCTGCTACGGGCTTTCCGATCTTTTGCCGCGAACCCAAGGCAGCGCATCCGGCGCGTCTCTTTCGGCACTATCCACGTGGTCACATGTGCTGGAGGGAAGAGAATCTCCTTTTCCATGCAGGGTCACCACTCGGCCGAATCGGTTCCGGTAATCAATGCGGGGCACCGGTGCCGTCACCGGGTACTTTTACAGGTGCCTAGAAAGCATTGATCCTCTTCACCTTATACCAATAATCAATATGAGCTTCGCTACCCAGACCGGCAAGAACCAGATCCTCGAGAAGCACGACGATGACGTCGTCATCTGCGGTGCTTACCGCACTCCTGTCACCCGTGCTCGCAAGGGTGGCCTTGCCCAGTGTGCTCCTGAGGAGTACCTCGGTACGGTCCTTAAGGGTCTGATCGCCAAGACTGGTGTGGATCCCAAGACTATTGAGGACGTTGCTATCGGCAACGTGCTTCCGCCGGGTGGTGGTGCCACTGGTGCCCGCCAGGCTGCTCTCTGGGCCGGCATCCCGAACACTTCTGCTGTGAACACTGTCAACCGCCAGTGCTCGTCGGGTCTTGCCACCGTCAACCAGATCGCCAATGAGATTCTCACTGGTCAGATCGACATCGGTATTGCCGGTGGTGTGGAGTCCATGACCCTGAACTACGGTGCTGGTGTCATGCCTCTGAAGATGTCGGACGAGGTCATGAGCAATGAGGAGGCTGCTGACTGCATGCTCCCCATGGGTATCACCTCGGAAAATGTCGCTAAGAAGTACAACGTGACTCGTGAGAAGCAGGACGCTTTTGCCGCCGAGTCCTTCAAGCGCGCTGCTGAGGCTCAGGAGGCTGGCAAGTTCAAGGAGGAGATTATCCCAGTCAAGTACGTGGATGACGACGGCAACGAGCGCAACGTCACTGAGGATGACGGTATTCGTAAGGGCGTGACGGCTGAGTCGCTCGCCAAGCTTAAGCCGGCCTTCTCGAAGGACGGTTGCACCCACGCCGGTAACGCTTCGCAGGTCAGCGATGGCGCTGCTGCCGTTCTTTTGGCCCGCCGCAGCGCTGCGAAGAAGGCTGGTCTCCCCATTGTCGCCAAGTTCTGCGGTGCTGTTGTGGTGGGTGTGCCCCCGAACATCATGGGTGTTGGTCCCGCTTACGCCATCCCCAAGCTGCTGGAGAAGGCTAAGATCTCGAAGGATGACGTCGACATTTACGAGATCAACGAGGCCTTCGCTTCGCAGGCCCTCTTCTCGGTCGAGCACGTTGGTATTCCTCTCTCGAAGGTCAACCCAGTTGGTGGCGCTATTGCCCTCGGCCACCCGCTTGGTGCCACTGGCTCGCGTCAGATCGCCACTGCCCTTCAGCAGGCCAAGCGCACTGGCGAGAAGGTCATTGTCACCTCGATGTGCATTGGTACTGGTATGGGTATGGCCTCGCTCATTGTGAGCGAGCAGTAAATATGCTTAGTTGCATGTCATCTTATGCATTGTAGTGCTCTGTACACTGAAAGCTTGAAGCTTCCGTCAACGAGAGCGATCCCTGATTCAGCAAGCGAGCTTACCGTCTTGCACATTTTGCCAAGTGGCCCAAACGTGCATAGAACTGGCCCAATCATGCGCGTAATATAGATAGGGAAGCCTGCCAGACGTAGCGTACACGTAATGGGCTCCACCCGTGCACACGGAACTCGCACGTGCACAAGTCCACATGTGCCGTGCGGCTCCCAGACGTTTCGTGAGGCTTACACGGTTTTTGCTCGGTACTGCACTGTTGTACTGCACGGAAAGCGCAAGATCTGTGACCTACTGCCAGTCTGTCGCTGTCTCTGCTGTGTTTTCTGCAGCTACAGACTCTTTCTCCCGGATAGCCTACATACCTAGGTGTACCGAAAGAGTCTTTCGTGAGCAGCACTGAGGTATCTGAGTGCTTGATTGCACTCTGTTTGACCTAGTACTGCCGCTGTATATTTCCTTTCTTTTTTCTTGTCAATTTGTTTCATCTGTATTTATCCTGGTTTTCAAGAAAAGGGAGATCTGCCTACTAACGAGTGCCGTTCTGTCCTGAATTTCTACTATACAAGCATTCGATTCTATGGATTCAACCTCTCCGACAGAAAGTCGTGCTTCTATGGCCCATTCCTGTAATAATGTCACAGAAGAGAGGGCCATAAAGACCCGTCGAACCTCTGCGGCCACATCCCCAACTTCAGCTACGAACTTGTCAGCAAGGGATACCTTGTATGACAAGGGTCCTACCACTCCCGGAGTTGATATGCCCGCCAGCGAGTTATCTACGTCGCCCTCCTCAGAGTCCTCGATTCGATCGAAACCTGCTCACTTGGATATTGCCAACTTTCCTACTGCAGATCTCTTGCGTATGCTCGCTGCTCTATTGCAGCATATCGCCACGTCTAATGACCAAATTCGACCTTTAAACCAGCAATCTATGGAGGAACGAGTCCATCACCCCAGAGATCCAAACGCAATACCTTCTTCTATGTATTTACCACTTAATGACCCTCAGAGGCCAACAACCACTACCGCGGCCTTGGCTACGTTAAATTCGCCGAGTAGCACACTGTGCTTCCATGCTCGACACATTCCAAGCATCAGCATTGAGGCATACTTGCTTCGTATTTTGAAATACTGCCCTACAACCAACGATGTATTTCTCAGTCTCTTGGTTTACTTTGACAGACTGAGCCGAGTTGGGGCTGTTGGCAACTTTCCTGGCGAGCCCCCTCTGGGCACCTATGCCGATGAAGACTCCTCTACCAAATCTCTACGCGACTCATCAACATCGCCTATTTCTATGCCTTGGCCTCGAGCAGACGTCGAGAGTGACATTTCCAAATCCTCACCAGACAACAACTTCCCAGGGATCAGTGGATTCGCTATCGACAGCTATAATGTTCACCGGTTGATCATTGCAGGAATTACAGTGGCTAGCAAGTTTTTCAGCGATGTATTCTACACCAACGCTCGGTATGCCAAGGTGGGGGGCTTAGCTGTGCATGAATTGAACCAATTGGAGTTACACTTTTTGCTATTAACTGACTTCCGCTTAATGATCCCTATATCTGAGATTCAGCAATATGGTGACCAACTCCTAGCATATGCCCATGATCGCTCCTTTTCCTCTAATATTCAGCGGCCTCTACCAGGATCCACTGAAGAAAAGACGCAGCATGAGGTACACGAATAAGGCAGGAATGTTGATGCATGTCCATTATATCAACCATCATGTAATGGCGGCAGTTATGGTCCATGTAGTGCGTATACCCTTTCTTAGTTTTTGCGCAAAACCTATATCTGTTATGCTAAGGCACCCAATCACTGTTGACTAGGTTGAAAGTCGGGATATGATTAGATCTATATTCAGAACAGCTCGCTTTGTGAAGGAACGTGTATATTTTGCGCTGTTTTCTCCTTTTCACAGCGAAACTTTCCACTCGGTGCTGAAGAACAAAATATTTAAATCCAGGCACTCACCGAACACACGGACCAATAGAATTACGCCCTTATCTTTACCCCTCGTGTCTCGGGCTCATCTCGCAATGTCTCCATATCGTCCCTTCTCTCTTATTGGCGATTTGACCCTTGAGCCATTGACAAGATTGTTCTTTGTCTACCCAGCCCCACGTTAGTGTGAAAGAGCATTTTAAGAGCACGAGACCAAAATGAGCCGATGAATTGGCCATTCGGCATAAAATAGAGAGATCTCTGCCTCAGGTCCCAGGCAGACGCAATTGATTACCTTGTGTGGCTCAGTGGACCTTTACGAATAAAGGTGAAGCTTGTCTTGGAAAAGTTCCAATTTAAATGATGCCACTGCTCCCCTCGATACCAGAGGCTTCTTTTCCCATTGCCTACCAGCCAACCTCTCCCTTAGATGATGCACTAGGAATTCCTATGGCTCCTAAATGTGACCTATTTCAAAATAACGAATTATCTCATTTGACATCCAAACCGTGGGTATCGCAAGTGGAGCACCAGCCATCTATTGCTGATGAAGTGATACGCATGCTTTCTGCTGAAGGTATGTACAGAAATTCTTGTTTACATGTCTAGAAATTTCTTTACCATCGTCTACCCCACTGCCAGGGACACCGACCATCACTGCACCATCAACCCCTGATGGATGCCTTACCCCAAAGCAAATGCAGTTGTCACCTCAAGTGTTAAGTCCAAGTAACCGTGTAGATGTGTCAGGGAGCTCTTCACATTCGAGAAAAATGGGGCCAGGTCATGTCAAACGCCCTTGCAACGCATTCATTTTGTTCCGATCTCATGCTGTTACAGCGAATCTCATTCCTAAAGAGGTTGAGCGGGATCATCGGAATATAAGCCGAATTATCTCACATATGTGGCACAGTCTCAGCGAGGAGGAGCGCAAGCTATGGGAAATGCAAGCCGAGCTGGAGAAAAGGAAGCACCGTGAAATGCATCCTGATTATAAGTACCGCCCGTCATCAAGAAGGAACAATGTGCACCGACGTGCAGCTCGTCGCCTTTCCAGTACCGAAAGACAATGTGAACGTATTGCTGATGCCATTCTAAAGTCATGTGGCCGAGAGGGAATCAAGCGTCAGCGCAAACCCAAGACGCCGAAGAGGAAGTCACCAATGGCACAGGTATCCCCTTGCCTTCCATCAATCCCAGGAACAAGGTCTTTCGTGCCTGAATGCATTCTTCCCCCCGAGCATGGTCAGTCCAATGCCTCTCGCACTTCCAATCCTGACGTCCCTTCTCAGGTATTCGACCTGCAGAAGTCTAGCAGTGCAGGGGTGCGTAGGTCGTCTTCTGCCCCTCCATTTAATGCAGATGCACACCAGTTAGCACCTAAGGCCGATTGGACCGCTATTCCTAGTCGTCAATTGACGCTAGACGAGACTATGAATTGGCTTTTTCAAGCATCTGCCTCGCCCGCCAGTCCATTCTTTGAACTTGCACCTTCAGTGCATCCAACACCTACGCCTTCTTCTGACATCTCATCTCCTGTGAAGGCAACATGGGTTGCTAGTCCTGCTAGCTCTGGCCAATACGATGATGTACAAGCGGAGCAAACACTTCAGCAGTTAGAGTCGTTTTCTTTGGGGCCTAGCATCATACCCAATGAGGTTTCTCTTCCTTCACTTACGCAAGAAGCTTTAACGGAATTGCCAATTTCACCCAAAACACAGCTTACACCGAGCTCGGTGACGCCTATGGACCTTTTGAACTTTGTTTCAACCTTATCACCAGCCGTTCCTGAAGGTATTCTCGGAAACTCGATTTCACCAACTGCACAATGTGACACTATGACACCAGCCTTGACCGTTCCTACCGCAAAATCAGAAACGGATACACCGCTTCAAGCGCCGTGGTCAGCCGCACTTTATGGACCCAACTCTACATTGTTACAATGACAGCTTTTCGTTAACTTTTTTAAAATTTTTTTCTTTCTCCCTTTTCTTGTTCTGCACAAGCGTCTATTTATGAGAACCAACAACGATAGATCCATCTTTATTCCAACTTTGCAACACATTGGCATTTCTATGGCCTGCGTAGGCTGGAGGGTTGCGCCACTACTATAGTAAACCGGAATAGTCGCAACCATTTTTTAACCTTAACTCTCTTCCGTTTTGATTTAAAGTTGGCGCACAAGCCAGATTGAAGGCACGCGTAACTATTCAATCCATGGATGTAAATCCCCACGGCGTGAGCAGCCACATGACCGGAACGACGCCCATCTTGACAATCTTCGTGCAAAATTCTGCACACTCCTGTACGTCTCTGCGATACGTGCATATCAAGTAACCCTACCGAGCGAATATTCTTTGAATCTTTCCCTCCATGGAGTTCGGCCGACTAAACTCTCTGCTGTGCCATTATGCAAGGGGTCAGTGTAAGACATATGCATGTCCAACAGAAAGGCATGCATTAAAGGGTGTGGAGCCGTCCTCAAGTAGAACCTATATCAATTTACTGCAATTTCCTGCATGTGATGTTAATGTGGCGCCGGGCATGTTGGCACTATTGGCGTTGTAGAAGTATCACGGAATTTCTTCGCGCATAGGGTTCTAGGCGTTGTCTCATTATATAAATCGTTTCTGTCCCTTCCCGGATTTGCCACCCCCTACCTTGTCCTAGCCTTTCAACCCGTCCAAAGGGTCTCTCCCAACCTTTGCACCTTCTTTTAGCTAGTACAATGTACTCGACCAGCCTCATTCGCTGGTTCGCTCTTGCCCTTGTGGCTGCGCTCCCGCTCGTCAGCGCCCTTGGTGCTGTTCCTTTCCCTGACCAGGACCCTTTCTACTACCCCCCTAGTGGCTGGCAGTCGAAGCAGCCTGGTGCCATCTTGCGCTCGCGTAAGATCCAGGCTGCCAGTGTGGGTATCCTCCAGTTCAACCTGGATGCCTGGCAGATGCTCTACCGCACTAACGGTGTCACTCGTGACCAGCCTTCGTACACGGTGACTACTGTCCTTGTGCCCAACAACGCTAAGCGTGACCACGTTGTCACCATCTCGTCGCCTGAGAATGCTAACTTCATTCGCTGCGCTCCCAGTTACGCTTTCCGTCACACTGGTGTACTTGAAATTACCAACTTCGAGCCTCGTTGGGAGCAGATGATCTACACCCTCTTCCTTGAGGAGGGCTGGATTGTCAACGCTCCTGACCACGAGGGTCCGGCTAGCGCTTTCTCGGCTGGTCGTCTTGGTGGTCACATGGTTCTTGACTCGATGCGTGCTGTGCAGAACTACGGTCCTCTGAATGTGCCGAAGGGTGCTATGCACCTTGGTCACGGTTACTCGGGTGGTTCGATCCCCAACGGTTGGGCTGCTTCGCTTAAGAACGTGTACGCTCCTGAGCTCAACGTTGTTGGCTGGTCGCTCGGTGGTACCATGACTGACCCTATGATGACACTGGGCTTCCTTGACGGTGGTGCGACTTCTTCGCTTGTGCTTTCGGGTGCTGTTGGTCTTATTGATGCTTACCATGACGAGATCTACGACCTCTTCGAGAACGAGATCTGGACCGATGCCGGTAAGCAGGCTGTTGAGGTGACTCGCAACGCCTGTGTGTACGAGATGGTCATTCGCTTCTTCGGTCAGCGCATTCAGTCGTCGAAGTACATCAAGGGTGGTCACAATCTGACTCACTGGCCGCAAGTGACTGCTATTACGAACAAGAACATTTTGGGTCGTTACCCGCAGTACACGCCTCGTGAACCGGTGTTTATGTTCCACGCGGCTTACGATGAGGAGATCATCTGGTACCAGGCTAACAACACTGCCGTGTCTTGGTGCAACAACGGTGCCAACGTCCGCTTCCTGACCTACACTTCGCACGACCTGAACCACGTGTCGACCTACCTGCTGAACGTGCCGTACATTATCTTGTACATGCGTGACCGTTTCGCTCGCAAGTCATACTACAACGGTGGTTGCCAGTTCGATGTTCAGGCTCAGGACCCGGCCTTTGATGTGTCAATTCTTGGTGAGCGCTTCCGTGAGTTCCTGGTGGCTATTCTCGACCTTCTCGGCAAGGAGATTGGTCCGAACGACAGCATTATCAGGCGGAAGCTGCGTGACGGCAAGAACCCTAACAAGGATGGTCTTACCCACATCAACGGTCTCACTTCGACCAACGTTACCCCGGGTCAGGGTGGTAACAACTCGAAGAAGAGCAAGGCTGCTACCAGCCGCTACAAGCAGAAGCAACAGAACGGCACTGCCGAGCAGGCTGACAACTAAGCCTAATACCGGTCTTTTCGTGACATGGATTAGGTCTTGCACTGGCTGCAAGTCGGGATGGATGTCACAGACTATTTCCCCTTTGATTGAATTTGAATAGATTTAAGAATCAAATCCTTACTTTTGGTTTTGTTATGGGATCCAAAACGAATCTTTTGCTGCTAGTGAGTAGTACTGGTCTTAAATTCTGTAGGAGCAATGTGTACTTTTGAAGCTGTCTAATTTTAGTGTGCGAAAGTGATTGGCAACTAAGGTATGTGGTCAAATTGTTGGAAGGGTTCAAGCTAGAGTCGTTTTAGTGTCATAGCAATTTGCAATGTCAATGTAATGGCACGATCTCAGTTGATCTGGCTATGTAATCCGATGGAGATCACGTTGCCACGAGAAAGGTACAATGATATCACATCACAGTATTCCATTCCATTGTATTATGAAAAACTAAAGTGATTCTTGCCTGCTACCCAAAAAAGATGCTTCCACCTCTTTCATGAATTTACATCATCATATCTACACAAATAAGCCTCATTTTTACGTACCAAGACATAGTTCTTCCAGACAGCAGCACGCCAGCATGGCCGCCAAGCATGCGCAACAGCCACCACCAGCACTACCGCCAGCACCACCTTGAGGGCGCTGAATGTACACCTGCGGTTGTTAATTGTTTATCAAGGGAGAAACTTACAGGCTGAGGCTGCTGAGAACCGGGGTAGTAACCTGCCTGGGCACCACCATACGCTTGCTGAGGTGGTGGCGGCTGTCAAGGCGTTAGTATATGTTCACAGCTAGCCAAGTTATTGTACGTACGTAGTAACCACCCTGAGGCGGGTAGCCTCCACCCATCATAGGTGGCGGGCCTTGCGGGGCCTTGTAACTACTTTGCTGAGGAGGAGGACCAGTAGGAGGAGCGTAGGTGCCAGCGCCGCCGTTGTAATAGTTCTTCGCCGACATGTGCGTAGTTAGAGTAGGGTTCGGTAGCGCACGATGCTCGGGCTACGGTATGGCCTTCTCCTTAAAACATGGAATGTCTAGCCTACTAGGTCACATCACGTGCACACGCCAGGCCGCGTACGCATATGCAACATACATTAGCATTAGTATCTTAAGACATTTGGTCATGTCTTCATCCGAAGGAACGAATCCACAGATACGAAATGTCTCTTTCAATTTAGAGAAAGATATTCTTGGTCCCGACTCCAAACTTGGCTCAACGTCTCCTGAAATGAACAAGACGCCACCTAAGTCTGCTCTTAAGCGACGACAATCTCATATGCTGCCACCACCTGACCAATACCAACATTCCGATCCTCTACTTCGTCGTCTCCGCTTGATTGATGGGCATGGAAAGCCTGTAAACCTCAAGAAGGCATTTCGAGATACCAAGATTGTTATTTTCTATTTTGGTAGCCAGTGGAATGCCCGTGAAACAAAGGGATGTCAAAAGGTATGCTCTTCTGCGTAATACTGACATTAGTATGTGACATCTATTTGCCGGAAATACCCTCATGAAGTGAAAGTATGTATGTTTTATCCTGACCGAAAGACTGTGTACATTAGTGTCGACGTCGAGGCACAGAACTTTGAATTGGCTACGCGCAATAAGGTATGCTTTCGATGTGCTGACAAGTAGCCATGGTTTGCCATGGTATGGAACGATGGCTCTTCCGATGACCCTTCGCTGGAAAGCGAAAGCTCTTCGTCGACTGAGTCGTTCCTTTTAGCAGGTGATACGGATTTGGACAAGTCTGTGGTGCAGGAAGACACTGCAGGCACTTCGTACGTGCGTCCTTTCAGTCGCGTGTATATGGCCGACAAATTCGATGTCCTGATGACGCCCACACTAGTCGTATACCATGTGCCGACGCAGCGTGTTCTCGATAAACATGTTCGTCTCTCACGCCTGCGATCTTCTCGCGTTGAAGACACGATGTCCGTTTGGCTCGATGGCCGAGTTTCGCCGTCGATGAATGTGGTCGACATGCTCTATATTGCTCCATGGACAGTGGTGTTTGGCTTTATTGCCCTTTTGTATCTACTGCTTCTTGTCATTGGCGGCGATAAGTACAATCTACAACGCATCCTGGCTTCATGGAACTAGGTGCGATAGTCTCCGTTGATCTGCCCTTGTGTTAGCATAACTGGTAGTTAGTGTATACGTACCGTGATATACTCCTTACTAAAGTCGCATGTCCAGTAGGTCGCTTCTGCTTGCCCTTTGGTACCCCAAGAACCGCCTTGAAGGTCCATGTCGATAATGATATCTTCATGGGACAGCAGCTTGGCAGCATGGACCTCATCGACCACTTGGGGCACACCGTCTATCAACGTCTTCAGCGGCTCGAGCCCCGGTGCCGAGGCAGGCGGCATGAACGTCACATTCACTTTCCTTGGGTCGATATCCCAAGCGGGTGAGGACGTCGGCAAGCTTGCATAGCCTGTGGCACAAAGAATACGGCCCCAATTGGCATCCTCGCCATGCATGGCACACTTGACCAAAGCTGATGTACTCACGGAAGCTGCAATGGCATGGGCCTGCTCGTATGTTCCAGCGTTCCGCACACGAATCTCGACAAACTTCTCTGCACCCTCACCATCGCGCACGATCAGGTGCGCCATTTCCATACACATAGACTTTAGCTCCTCTGCAAACTGTTGTACGAGCGCAGGGTGTGATTGTTCCGTGATATCCCCTTCAATAGGCTCCCCCTCCGATGTAGCGGGTGCTTGGCCGTTGGCCAATGCTAGTATCGTGTCGTTGGTACTCATATCACCGTCCACGCTGATGCAATTAAACGACACACGAACAGCCTCATCTAAGCATCGTTGCAAAGTGGACGATGCAATCGGCGCATCGGTAGCAAAAATGCCAAGGAGTGTAGCATGCAGGCCACCTGTCGTTGTCATGTGAGGGTGAATCATACCTGCACCCTTATCAATACCCGCAATACTGCACAACCGGTTGCCCAACGTGAATTGACGCGTGCGCAACTTCGGGAAAGTGTCTGTTGTCATGAAAGCACGCGCCACTTCGTACCACGCATCCGCATTGCTCTGCAAGACTTGGCCTGTAACCAAATGATGCACAGCGCGCTGCATCGTTGGTACCGGCAAGCGCACACCGATAACACCGGTAGACATCATCAATACGTCACTGGGGGTAGTTGGCTGATCGGGCTTCGCCGCTGGGGTGAGCAGCGCACGAACTTGGTTTACCAAGGTCACGGTATCGTCATAGCCTCCTTTCCCTGTGACGGCATTGGCACATCCACTATTCGTGAGCACCGCCCGTGTACGTGGATTCGGTCCGGCTTCCGCCAGCGCTGTCGTCGCATGCACTACAGGTGCCGCCTTGAATTTGTTCGTCGTAAATGTACCTGCTACTGCTGCAGGTACACTCGACACAATCAAAGACAAGTCAGGCTTTGGCTCCACCTTGGGAGTGGCATCTGTGCTAGCGGGAGCAGGGCTGATCGCCTTTTTGATACCCGCATACGTGCTAGCAACCAAGTAACCTCGCGGGAGTGTATCAGACGCGACTTTCTGAGCAAAGCGGTCCGTTTTAGACATCGTAGAATAACTGCACACACTCTCGCATGTCTTGTACATCTGGCGAGCCATCGCTACCCTAGACATGGCCAAAGAGGGCATGGTAGGCAGGTGCTTTGCCTTGGCGATTCGAGTCAGATGTACGGCTTATCCCATGTGCTACATTTATCTATTCTCGTCATGCTTATCAAAAGAGAAATGATTCTCATCATCGCACGTGGCATCTCAGGAACTACCTTGCATTATTATTATTGACGATGCAGTACCGAGCTAATATAACTTAACATAACAAATGAACTTGAATGAGACAAAGAGTGGAGCCCCTGCATTATATCAACTCAAGCCCAGCGACCAAGCAGGGCCATAATGGCAATACCAGCACATACATAAACGATGTTCAGGAACACCTTCCAGAGGGGAGCCTTGTGCATCTTTTCGTTAAACACAAAGTCGTGGGCAAGCAACTCCACGAGACCAGTGTAAATTAGAATACCAGCCGAGATGGCATCAAAAATACCCGTCACATAGTTACCAGTAGGCGTGTTTTGTGTGTATGTCGAACGAACACCCAGGCCAATGGCCATACCCACAGGTGTACACAGCGAGTAGCCGATAGCCATCAAGCATGGGAGCCAAGTGCCCAACGAGCGAGGCAAGAATGCCAGACGCGATCCCAGACCCAAACCCTCAAAGAGCTGGTGGAACACAATGACTGGGAACAAAACCGGGAACTTCTCATCACCATCCCACGGTGTCGTAGCCAGCGTCAAGCCAATAATAACTGAGTGGAAAACGACACCCAACTCAAGAACAAACACACCCACAATCTCCGTCGTACCAGTGCTGGCCTTGTTCATCATCAGCAGACCATGCTCTTCGTCCGTGGGCGACATAGGCTTCTTCACGTCTTGCTCGTCCAGGACAGCATTGTCTTCGTGCTCAACTTCAGAAACAACAGTTTCGTTTTGGTGTTGATGCGCGTCGGTATGACCAGCAGCATGGTGATGTAGAGCACCACCAAGTTGAGAAATGCCTTTCTTTTCCAGAAGAAGTGTACCGAAGCGGTACGCAAAGAACTCACCCACAAACAAGCACATCATCGAGATCAGACAGAAAGCATAGGCCATAGGATAGTTTTGGAAGTTGTCGTTCAAGCATGGAGCACTCAACTCATCCGTCGCAGGCTCGAGAAGATGGACGAAACCTGTTGCAATAATGACTCCGCTACCAAAGTACTTGGCAAAGTCATAGATGGGGCCTGGGATGGCCAAGCGAGGAACACGCTTGGTGACAATAGGGAAGAGAGTGAAAATAGCCGACGTGACTAGAATCACAAAGAGAGCACCAATACGAGTTCCGAGGTGGCCCACATCGTTGGTCTCACCGGAACAGCGCTCATCAACCTCTGGCTCATCCATCTTGGGTTACGTTTTGTCGATATCCCGAGATCTGAGTTGAGTCCCTTTTTTATCCTTTGGACAAGAGAGGACTTGCCTGGTTGTCAAAGAAAAGGCAATACCTCCATGCCAACAAATCTAGGGCTTCAAGTGCATGCAAGATTTTTTCTCTAGCCGACAGGGTACTCACTGATCTCAGTCTTTAATTTTACTGGCCCGCCACGCACATTCTCTTCACGTACAGAAAATAATTATCGATTCGCCTGTCTTGTACATTCGCTTGCATGCAAGGAGCCCCCTTTTTCATTACCTTGCCAATTTTCAGACGCCGAGGCGCTGGTACTATCGACAGCATGGCTATTAAGGTAGTCATCTATAGCCTATCTTGTCGCTATAGCGTTAGATAATCGTTCTTCTCTCCTTTGTGGTAGCCATCTCACGAAAGTCGTATGGCACGTGACACGTGATGGCATGTCGAGCGCGACGACGCATTCCTCACTTCCACTGTCCACGCGTATGCACAGACAGTAATGCCGTCACAAGACTTGCATACACGTGAGGATAGGGACCATCCCCATCGCTCAGAGGACCGTAGGCATGACTACAAGCGCCAGTCAAATCGGGAAAGGGAACACGATCGCTCAGAGGGCCATTCTTCTCGACACCGGTCGAATCGACATGAGCATGATCGAGACAGACATTATCACCATCACCACCGTCACCGTCAAGATCGGCACTCACATCGAAGCCATCGTTCTTCGTACAGTGATGAAAAAGGCAATGAGCGACAATCCCGAAACAATCAGGACCAAGACTTTACGTCACAACTGGACACACGTCCTACCACAACCACGGCTCCTACGCTGCAAAGAGATGATTGGATGTTAGGAGGTTCAGACTCAAATACGGCCCAAGATGAAGACATGTTCAGTACTTTCGGTTATGATCGCACGAAGGCGTCTCGACCCGAAAAAGCTGACCCAGAAAAACTTCAAATCAGCTCGCGGGAGCTGAATCCGATGTTTGTAAATCCACCTCATGGTGACGCATCTCGAGGGGCGAGCCAGCCAAAGAAGCAAGAGTATGGCGCTCCTGGTTATAAATGGCGCTTAATGAAACTGCAGCGTACATATGACATGGCGGACCAGCGTGGTGTGCCTGTGGAAGAAATTGCCCTGGAACGATATGGTTCCATGGATGCATTTAATGAAGCACGCGCAGAGCGACAGTTCATCGAGGATCGAGATCAAGGCATTCCTTCAACGCAGGTATCAAAGCCATCCTCTTCTTCCGCTTTCCGGCGCCCTGGGCAAGCTACGTCTTCTGTCCCTTCTTCTTCCTCTTCATCCCGTACCCCCTCTACCCGCTCTCCTGCGCCTTCTATTTCTATACCCAGCGTGATGCAATCGTCGCATGCCACCAACTCTACTCGAACAGCAGCGATGAGCATCAGCGATCTCAACAAACTTGAGGCACAGGTGCTTCGTGCTGAGCTTACAAATCGCCCTGACGCAGCCAATTTGCGATCTAAACTGGAAGAGGCTCGTTCAAGCACCCTTGAGCGCGATGCAACCCACCAGGTAGAAGTTGTTCCTGTGTTGGACGGGTATGGTCGTCTGTATGATTTGGGCACAGGAACAAATGAAGATCAAAATCCTTCAGAACGACCAAGCAAGCGCTCCAAGGTAGAAGCAGAACCGGAGGACTTGTCGTTGTCCGAACTTGTGCGCCAAGAGAAATTTAGCGCAGGTCGGGCAGATCAAAAAGATGCTGATGCGATGCTTGCTCATCAAATTATGGCAGATCAAGGCTTTGAAAATGATTTGGACTACATGGATGATGAGGCCAAGCGTTTTTCGCGTAAGAAAATGAAAGACGATGCTATGAAGCGACTGTTTGCAGTACAAGGTATGCGATACTCGTGAGACTTACAAGTACAGACTTTGCACGTACAAAGCGCGCCTTAGATGAGTGCCCCTTCTGCTGGCAAGATGATGGACGTACGCCTCCCCAGGCTCATATTGTGTCCAGTGGGACTTGTGTGTATTTAGCATTGCCAGATCGCGAGCCGTTGGTTGAAGGGCATTGCTGGATTGTACCTATGCAGCACCATATCAGCTCTCTTGATGTGGATGAAGATGGCTGGACGGAAATTCGCGTACGTATACAGGCTGTACTGACCGTCTAAGAATTTCATGAAATGCTTGATTAGCAAAGCTGCTGCACAAGGCCAATCGATGGTATTTTTCGAGACTGTCATGTCGCTTCGACAGCAAAAGCATACCTATTTGGAAGCGATCCCGCTCCCTAATGATGTATTTTCACAAGTGCCTGCTTATTTCCAACAGGCGCTTAGCGAGGTTGAATCGGAATGGGCCGACCACAAAAGCGTAATTACATTCTCTGAATCGCGCCCTTTTCAAGGAAGTATGGTCTCCAGGTTGCCATACTTTATGATTCAATGGGACTATAAGGGGCAGCGTGGCTATGGCCATGTGATTGAATCACGTCAAGGCGATCCTGGCCGTTTTGCTCCCTCTGGCAAGGATGAAGTTACATACGAAGATGGCGACCATGTAGGTGGCACTGGATTCCCAAAGTACGTATATGCTATCGAGTCCGTCTACTTACACACTCTTGCAGAAACTTTGCACATGAGATTCTAGGCAATATGATGGATCTGGAGCCCTATCGTTGGCGACGTCCCAAGCATCTAGCAGGTGCCTCTCAACAGATTGAGCGCTTCCAAGCAACTTGGGCGCCCTATGATTGGACACAAGAGCTTTCATAGCATGCACGGACCTCTTCAGCATAACACGTGATATAGTCCCACATCGATTCAAAACTACAACGATTTCTCACTTTCGGCCGAATCTACCTGGAAGGGGAGCAGGCTAGTCCATTTTCTTCGGGCGCGAGCGGTCCATCGTTTGACTTTGCAACCAGTCCTCTCACCTTTGCATATACTACAGCCATGGTTCGCGGACCGCGTCACCACTTGAAGCACCTTGCTGCCCCCAGCTCGTGGATGCTGGACAAGGTATGTCTGTTTCCTCACCATTTCGCTAACAGTTTTTTAGCTCGGCGGCACTTATGCGCCGCGCCCGAGCACCGGTCCCCACAAGCTCCGTGAGGCTCTCCCGCTCGTGGTACGTATTTTTACGCATCGTGGAAGCAGAAACAAAGTCGAGGCCTAGCGTGGTGTTGGAACGATGATCCCAAGACTACATGCATGGCTTTCCTAGCGCCCTATGGCGTGCGGACACTTTACTGTTAGGCGTCTGATCCTCCATGCCCAAGGTGACGATTTTTTTCTGTTTTCTCTTTGCTATGCCTTGGTGAATAAGAGCTAACATTCCCAGATCCTCCTCCGTAACCGCCTGAAGTACGCTCTGACTGGTCGTGAGGTCTTGTCGATCACGATGCAGCGCATTGTCAAGGTCGACAACAAGGTCCGTACTGACCCGACCTACCCGACTGGTTTCCAGGACGTTGTTTCGCTTGAGAAGTCGGGTGAGCACTTCCGTATCCTCTACGACGTGAAGGGTCGCTTTGTTGTGCACCGCATCTCTGCCGAGGAGGCTCAGTACAAGCTCCTGAAGGTCAAGCGTGTTCAGCTTGGTGCCAAGGGTGTGCCGCAGATTGTTACCCACGATGGTCGCACTCTTCGTTACCCTGACCCGCTTGTGCGCGTGAACGATACTGTGAAGTTCGACCTCATCAACAACAAGATGGTCGACTTTATCAAGTTCGACACCGGTGTGCAGGTCATGATCACTGGTGGTCGCAACATTGGTCGTGCTGGTCAGATCGTCCACACTGAGCGCCACCACGGTGGTTTCGACATTGTGCACATTCGTGACCCCGCTGGCCGTGAGTTCTCGACCCGTCTCAGCAACGTTTTCGTTATTGGTGACAGCGAGAAGCGCTGGATCTCGATGCCTCGTGGCGGTGGTGTTAAGCTCACCATCACTGAGGAGCGTGACCTGCGCCGCAAGCAGCGCGAGATCTAAGTTTTTCGCCTGTTTAGCTTAGCTATGTCTTGTTTGGCGGATGCCATTCCTCACCCCATGTTTGCGCAGTCAGCGTGAGTGAGTATACTTGCTCTGCTTGCGCTTCTCTATAGTGCCAATGGGCGCGATGCCCTATGTGGCTTTTGGACTTAGTGCATGTCTCCTTAGTCCTTCAAAACAAAAGATGGCTTGCTACGCGAGGATGTATGGTTTTTTTTTTCTTTGCTTAGTAGAGGGAACGTTCTGCCCCTAGTGTTAAGCTTAGGTAGCACGTGGCCTGTCGGGGTCCAGTTGAACGCATCGGGGGCTGCCGCCGCGACATTTTTGACGGTGATTAACACTGTACCTTGTCGAGTCTCGGTCATGAGTGAAGAGACGAAGAAGGCTTCTCAGCCTGCCAACATCAACCGTGATGGTGAGAAGATTGTGGTATGTTGCTGTGTTATAGCAGAAGGACTGACATCATGGAAGGATATGGAGTACTATGAACTGCTCGAAGTGCGTGGCGATGCGACCGAATTGGAATTGAAGAAGGCATATCGCAAGGCCGCCATCAAGAACCATCCAGACAAAGGAGGCGATGAGGAAAAGTGCGTGCTACGAGTTTGCTAACAAGTCCAGGTTCAAAATGATTGGTGAGGCGTATCGTGTGCTGAGCGACTCGAACGCTCGTGCCGATTACGACCGGTATGGCAAGAAGAAGCCTACGGATGAAGTTGGTCTGAAGGAGGCCACTGAGATGGTATGTTTCGACAAAGAAGCTAACGCTAGTTTGGCAACCTGTTCGGTGGCGAGCGCTTTGTGGACCTGATTGGCGAAATCAGTCTCATTAAGGACTTTGGCCGTGCCTCGGAAATTATGATGACTGACGAGGAACGCGAAGAGATGGAACGTCAGATGAGTGAGAGTATGAACAAGGACAAAGTCGACGGCAGTGAGGCCACCACAACGACTTCGGGTGCATCCACGTCGACGGCGGCCAAGCAGGAGAAGGAAAAGCACCAGAAGCACAAGATCACACCTGAGCAACGCCAGAAGCTTGAAGAATTTGAAAAGGAAAAATCTGAGAAAGAAAAGAAGCGTATTGAAGAGCTCACGGAAAAGCTCAAGGACCGTATCCGCCCCTTTGTTGAGGCTCGCAACCCTGGTGCACCAGATGACAGTGAGACGGAGATCTTCACGAAGCGTATGAAGGAGGAGGCTGAAGACCTTAAGCTGGAGTCGTTTGGTGTTGAGCTCTTGCACACGATTGGTACTGTGTACATTACGAAGAGTAATACGTGGCTCAAGACAAAGCGCGGCAACTTTTTGGGTATGCCAGGCTTCTGGAACCGTCTCAAAGAGCGCGGTGGTATGATCAAGGAGACGTGGAATGTCATGGGCAGTGCTATGAATGTTCAGGCAGGCATGGAGGAACTGGCCCGCCGCCAAGAAAAGGGTGATCTTACCGAGGAGGAGATGGCACAGCTTGAGCAGGATGTGAATGGCCGCATGCTCTTGGCGACGTGGCGCGGAACACGTTGGGAAGTCAACGGTGTGCTTCGTCATGTGTGCGACAATGTGCTCAATGAAAAAGGCGTGCCGGACAAGGTCCTTATCCAGCGTGCGCGTGCGCTGGCCTACCTCGGTGCCATCTACAAGAGCGTCGTGCCTGATGAGTCGGATGATGAGCGCCGTGAATTGGAGCGCCTTGTTGCACAGGCCGCACAAAAGAAGAAGAAGAAGCGTAGCAAGGAAGCCAAGGAAGGTTCTCACAAGCTGTTCCTGCGTGGCTAAGTCTATACGCCTTTTCTTTTTCTTGCTTGCGATACCCAGTGCACTCTTCTAGGCGGCACTTGGTGGACCCCTTTTGTTCCTACCATGTTGAAGAAGTACTTTACATAGTTTGGCTATGGCGCGCGCCATCGATTGCCACAGGCACTACAGGACGTAATAGATGGATAAGACGTGCTCAGCGACAATACAACTGCGGCTTGGGCGGATCGTTGACACCCTGTGCAAGTCCATGTGTCTACAGAGTCCATGACCATCCATGTGGCCACACATCGGTCCATCACATGGCCAGCTGGGCACCGAGCATAAGGGCCCAAGGAAAAGCTGATCGGCTCTGCACAGGCCGGGCATGGCTCGTCCAACGTCAGAGCATCTTGTGACTGCCATGTTTGGTACGCTTCTGGCGCAATGTGTTCACTCCACTGGGATAAACATGCGACTTCCTCCGCGGTAGCCTGGCTATCTTGGGCGCACAGCCACAACACGGCCGCTAAGCGGGTGCGATAGCCTGTGGTGGTCGGCGCCCTAGGCGGACAAGCCAACGCGGCACGTATACTCCCTGTCCATTGCGCCAGCCACGCCAATTTCGGCGGCACACAATTGGTGATGGCCTCTGAGGAGGCCCAGTGGGCCCACCACGCCAACGTTTGCGCTTGCTTATGCACGTGTGCCCACGCTGCCATGTTCTCCACACCAGCTGAGGCCTTCACAAGTCGATGGGCCTCGGCTTCCACTGCATGAAAGGACGTAGAGATGAACGACCATAGAGCGTTGCAAGGTGCGCCTTGTAGGTACGCCAGCATCCATGCACGCCATACAATGTTCGGTGGCCCCAGCAACGTTGGCATAGGGGGTGAGTGTCCCCATGACAAGGTATATGTGAGTTTCCCGCTGATCATATATCGCCATGCCTCGCGATCGTCTGCACTACACAACGTAGCTTGCAAGCCATGCTGCGTGGCATGGCCCCATAGCGGCGCTGATATAGGTAGTGTGTCTTGGAGAGTGCCATCCCATGCATACCGCCGTCCATCATCGAGAAGGACTGTGCTTGCCTCACTGCCTGCAGCATGCGCACAGGACGGCGTCAAGGCGACACAGCTTGGTGCTGAAGCTTCGTGTTTCCATGTCCAGAGACCACCCGGCGTCACACCGTGCCATGTGCGATCATGCCAGGTCATACCTGTAATCGTAGCGGCGCCGATCAGCGCTGTGCCTTCTTTCTCCCATCGCGTAGGGTCTGCTGCGCTCACGCGATAGCGAGTGAGATGCGTACCATGGTGCACGGCCACATGCGCATACGCATCTTGCCACGCACTCCATTGCACCAATCGGACACGGCCTGGAACGTGGTGTGTGACTATCGCCTGCATGTCGTGGGCGGATGTCACGCGCCATACTGTCACAGTCCCATCGCGCGCCCCTGTGACGAGCAGGGCCCCCTTTTCAGCGTCATGCGTCGGGGCCCAGTCCAATGCTATGTGTGAGAGGGTGTACATACACATACCTGAGTACTGCTGTGATGGCGGTACCCGCGTGCCTTCTCTTGCTGTCTTATCATGAGCCGCAGCAGCAGGGACCCAAGGTCCTGTGCGTACATCCTTGTCACACATGTATAACCGCACATTTCGCCGTGCATTGATCGTCGCAAGAATGCAGCTATGCGTTAGCACCATCGCTCACGCACCTGTACAAAGGGCCTACGCCGGCCGGGGACCAGGCTGCTGCGTACCAGGCCTCTCCGAGCATGCTGGGGACTGTGGATGCTGCTGGCATGTCTACTGTCAGATAAAGAAAACCATACCTTCATCGTTGGATTCTATCTGAGCCGGTTCGTTCGCTAGTTCACGTTTGGTATCCAAGACGGTGCTCGTATGCGTACCGAGTGTCGTATCTTGCTGTGTATGCCCCATGCTAGGCGTAAGAATATGGATGGCGTCACTTGTTACGACCACGACTTGGCCAGCCTCTGACCACTGTAGCGAGATGCATGGCGCACACGCTCGCCCTGTGTTTAGCGTCACAGACCACAGCGATTCTGACGTCGTCGTCGCCATAACGCAACACGTCGCGCGCCGTGCGCGCCTCCACATAACGAGGGCTTCCCTTGTTTCGCTAGCACTATGGAAACCTACACGTCCGAGACAATGCCCTTTTCTTTGGTGGCCATGGTCCATGCAGCATCTACGCGATCCATGTAGCTCTGTACTTCTTTGACTGTGGCTTTCCGTGCGGCGCGAATCTCGTCCTTCTCAGAGGGAATATCGTCCAACTTTAGCAGTTCACGTAACAGCAATTCGGACAGTGTACGCTGGGTGTACGGGATCTTATGCGGGGGTACATCCGTAGTGTCCGTAGCCGTCGCTTCTGGCTGTTGCTGGGACTGGGCTTGAAGCTGGCCTGGCGGTGCATTGGGTAGCTTTTGGATGCAAGCTTCAAACTGCTCCAGCCTGGGCAACAACTCTTTGCGGCAATGCTCGCTTACCTGCTGAATTCGCTGGATATGTTTTTCATCTTCTGTAAGTTGGGGCGCAAGAGGGGCAGGGGGTCCCTGTGCTTGCTCTCCGGCAGGCACGCCAGCGGCCTGAGCCGGCATTTCGCTTGTGGGCACCACAGGGGGCACTGTACCATTCGGCGCCTGGGTTGGCACCGGCTGTGGCTGGGCCGATGTCTGAGAAGCTGGGGCTGGGGCCGGGGCCCGTTGTGCGAGTTGCTCACGCGTTACCAGAGTAATACGCGAGCCTGTAGCCAAACCATACTCTTGCAGCAATACGCGATCGTCTTTTAGGATTATACCTTGGAACACGACGACAATTCGGTCCACAGGCAAAGAAAACACAGATGAGAGCTCCTGGCGTAAATGCGCCAACTTGAGCGGCTCCTGTGTAGATGGAAGAGCTACCTGGTACCTGGAGGTTAGGCCTCTTCGTTGGTCGTACATACCTTTGACGATTCCACATCACTTCAAGCCATTCTACATCTGACCATCGCGATGAGGCATCTTGGTTCCAGCGGTTCCATTTGTTTGAAAACCACGACATGGCTGTACCTTTACAGCGTTTTCGACGTGTCGCAGTACAGAGTGTAGAACCCACTCGTCACGCACGCACGGCACGCTGGCGTTGCAGCTGCTTTCGGTCACGCACGTGGCAAGTCGCACGGACGGGCCTCCTAGGGTCGGTCCCTAGGTCCTAGGGGGCACTGGTGCCTGACAGCGTGGAGGTCAGTCAGATGGATCGACTTGACAACAACTACTGAGGGGGCAGGCTAAATAGGGGGGTAGCCATACGCAGTTTGATATCCACGGGGCCAGGGTGAACCTGCGGATCGCTTCGTATAGCTGGATTGGTATCATCATGATGGAATGTGAGTAGAGTATGACGCCCTGTAGGACGGCGATGCATCGGCAGTACGTCTGGCTCCGATGGCACAGACTGTGCTTTGGCGCCCATTTTATCGTTCTTTGCATTATTGTACATGTACAAGCCGACGAAGGTCAGCGCAATGCCAATCCACTGTAAGAAGGAGACAGATTGGCCAAACCAGGCAATGGCCACGAGAATCACAAACACACGCTTGAACAGGTTTGCGACACTGTATGTAACCGGGGAGACATGAGCCAAGACCTGGAATGCAAGAAGGTTCTGTGCGAAATGAACGATCCCGTTGAGGATTAGGAGGTATATCGTATAGATGCCCACGTTCGGCGATGTTGCTGCGACCATGTGGCCCGCGTCGTAAAACAGGGACATCGGTAGCATGATAGCCACCGAGCAGGCGCTAGAGTAAAACAGAATATTCACTTTGTCCAGCTTTTCTGGTGCATTGGTTGCTGCGCTTACAGCTGGTTTGAGCAGCTTTTTCGAGTAGATATTTTGCGCGACAACGATCAGCGTACTACCCAAGGCCGAGACGAATCCGACCATATCATCATGCTTGCTTTTGGAAAGGGACGTGCACGCCAGAACAACACCAGATATAAGTGGGAGGAGCGATACGTAGGTTCGTGAGGAGTATTGAACCCCGAAGAATAGGGCGTAGGAAAGCACTGTGAACAAGGGCGACAGTGCTTTGATCGTATGCACTAAACTCACTTCGACGTGGCTTACGGCAATCGAGCTCAAGGCGTGCCCGAGTACGTTGAACAAACTGATTTGCACAATTTCGCGGATTTGTTGCCAAGTGATGGGCACAAGGCGCTTGGCGAGCACCCAATCACCCAGGATGTGTCGTCTCGTACCCACGTAGCAAAACACGTTGACAAATATAAACTGCACCAATGTTAGTGTGACTGGGTACGGAAACAACGGCGGGAGTTTGGTATCTTCTCCTACGACCTTCCGCCGGGATAATAGGCTCTTGCTAGTGTTCGAGGAGAGTGCAGAGCTTGTGTACCACAGCAGGCACAGGAATAATAAAATTGGAATGGAAGTAGCTCGTTCATGGGCATCATGCACTACGATTTCCTCTTCTGCACGCTCGCCATGCCGGGTACGAGAAGAGGCATGCGGTTTCCCGCCGCTCAACATAATCGGTCGGTCGGCTATCCAGCGGAGCGTGATGCGTGTTAGCGGCGCACGTTCTCTCGCGAAGCCATGTGCGTCGGTTTTGCAGCGCTCGATATGCTTATCTAAGCCTACAGGGTATAAGGAAGACGCTTTCGCCTTGCAGCTCAGCGCGTGGGGGGCGTCGTAGTTGTCACTGGCATGTCGATGGCACGCTGAATCCAACGATGAATGCGTGGCGGTACACGCATCGCCTCAAGGCACGTCTCCATATGCTTCACACGTTGAGAGGTTGTGTCAGACGGAGGGGATGACCGAATGGCCGCGACCAAGGCTCGGCATCGCTCTGGGTGATCCCAAACGGGCGTCCAAGGCCCGGGAATTTGCGACGCTGTGACTTGCAGTAGGGGCAGGGCCTGCTCCATGATAGGCCATCCATAAGGATCATGCATAGCAGCCATCCTTGCCCTTTTGCCTCGGCGCACAGCAACGCCATGCACCCAAGCACCAATGAATCGCGTCCACAGCCGTACCAGTGTTGGGGCGCCGGTCACGTACCCTTGCCGGTCCTCCCACAACGTTGGATTGGAGCCTAGAGCCAGTGTTTGCAGCATTGGCTCTAGACGTCGCGAGCGTGAGGCTCGACAAGCCTGTGAAAAGAGCGTCACCAACGCACGTCGTTGTGCATACACCGCGGCGGGGGACGCATCGCGATCCATCCAAGCACGCAACGATGTTGTGGCATCACGAAATTGACCACTCATCGCATCTAGCGAAATTTTCACGCGGTCATAGCGGCCTTCTTTGCCTTGTAGGGCCTCGGCCACAAGCGCCAATTTCGTGCGTATCCGTTCGGTACTGGCATTGCGTGGAAACGGGGCACAAGCTTTGCGTAGCTTATGCAAGTCCTTGGCCTTGCTCGTATGCAGCGCGCTGAGAAGGAACATTTCCAATTCGAGCAGCTCTGCGATGGAAGCTTGGTATATGTGTAAAGAGGTATGCTTCGTAGCCGAGGGCGACGTAGGGTTATGGTGGCAGAGCCATTCAAAGAACGCATCTAACATGCGCTGCACAGGTGCGATGATCATCGCCAGCTCGGCTGACGAGGCATGCGAGGCTAGTGCATATCGTACTGGGGCTGCTAGAGCATGAAGCAGGCGCGCCAATGTAGCATCGTCCAACTTGGTCCCACTCCGCCGCATCTGCACGAGAATAGCGTTGACTTCTGTGTGTGAATCACGAGAATGCGGCGCATGTTGCAAGCGCAATAAAAGGTAGCGATACATATCCACAAGACTGGTGGCCTGTGCAGCTGCACTAGTACGCAACGCCTCATCAAGCAAGTCCCAATCATGCGCTTGGGCGTGAGCACGTAGCAATGTGCGCCACATGCGTATGGTGGAGAGGCTAGGCTGCGAAGTATCTGACGCAAATGCACTGCAAAGATGCCTGTGAATTGAGCGACGGGTGCGTGGCAGATGCTTTGCATGGGCCGCGCGTAAAATACGTGTATAAGCCTGCGGTGTAAAGGCGAGTGGGTGTGGCTCATCCCATAATACATGCAGCAGCTCTGATAAAAGGATATCGCGCTGCGTAGTCCCCATTCGTGCCTGGAGAATGGATCGAAGTAGGACATGATAAGGCGTAGCGAGTGTCTCCTGAGCCACCGACGAGGCTGACGAGGCCTGGGTAAGCCAATGCTCACATGCTTCTCGCGCTTGCGCTTGCGTTAGCGAATAATTACGTCCTGTCTTTTCGACGTGCCACGTTATGGGCATGGACGTCCACTGCTGTATAGAGCGCGAAAGGGGTATGGTGCTAGGAGTGTGTGCCAGAGGCCACATGCGTGGGTATCGTGGTCTTGAGGGCCATGGCGCCGTACTTGTCTTCGCCCACGACGATATCCTATGCACGACGCCACGCGTGCTCGCAGTCTGTATTGACCGCTGGTGCATGTGACTTGGCGCCGTGTGCGTCTCAATGACGTATGGTTCGTTCCCTAGTCAACCACGCGCCGCGACGATACGTAGGAAGAGGGCGTCTGTCGGCCTGTCTTCGTTCTGCGTATGCACTTCTCGCCTTCCTCCACATGACCTCCGACTTCTCTCTTTCGAGGGCCCATCGTGCGCGCGACGTGTCGGCCGAAGCCCATTTTTTTTCTCGTTTTCGAGACGCACTGCAGCAGGTCAGCGAGGCCATTGCGCTAGGTCTTTCCTTGTCGCGCCACCGTGACGATCGATGGCTCCTGCAGGCTCTCGGAACGGAGGACGTGCGCATGCGTTCAATGCGCGCACGCGCGCTTCGCGTGAAAAAAAACGACAGGCAGATACGCGTGAAATTGAGGGCCTGAATGCTGCGTGTGCATCGCTAGACCTCGCCGCCGAGGACTCAGCGTTTGCCAAGCTGCCTCTCTCGCAGCGCACACGCCAAGGTCTCAAGCGTGCTGGATTTATTGATATGACGCCCATTCAGCACGCATCCTTGCCCAAGACGCTGAATGGCCGCGATGTCCTTGGCGCTGCACGTACTGGTTCCGGCAAGACGTTGGCGTTCTTGCTGCCTGTACTGGAGCGCCTGTATCGCCAGCGTTGGTCCAACAGCGATGGACTGGGTGCCCTGATCATCTCACCTACACGTGAGCTGGCTATGCAGATTTTCGATGTACTGCGTAGCATTGGTGGCTCGCATACCTTCTCGGCCGGCTTGGTCATTGGCGGCAAGGACCTCAAGCACGAACAAGACCGATTGCGCAAGATGAACATTCTTGTCGCCACGCCTGGTCGTTTGCTACAGCACTTGGACCAGACTGTCGGCTTTGATGCGTCTCATTTGCAAGTCCTTGTTCTGGACGAGGCCGATCGCATTTTGGATATGGGGTTTGCCAACACCCTCAATGCTATTCTTGAGCACCTACCGCCGAATCGGCAAACGCTGCTCTTCTCTGCGACACAGACCCGCAAGGTGAAGGACTTGGCTCGACTGAGTCTGCGGGAGCCTGAGTACGTCGCTGTACGCGATACAGACGAAGCGACAACGACACCGCAGCACTTGGAGCAGTACTACATGATCGTGTCGCTCCCGCAGAAACTCGATATGCTTTTCTCCTTCTTGCGCACACATACCCAATGCAAGGTGCTTGTATTTATGAGCTCATGTCGCCAAGTTCAATTTGCGCATGAAGTCTTTTGCCGCCTGCGTCCAGGTTTGCCGTTGATGGCCTTGCATGGCAAGCAGAAACAAACACGACGTCTAAAAATCTTCTCGGATTTCTCGCGCAGTAAGCACGCGGCTCTTTTTGCCACGGACATTGCTGCGCGTGGCCTTGACTTTCCAGCCGTCGACTGGGTCGTTCAAGTCGATGCGCCTGACTCCTCGGATACGTACATTCACCGTGTAGGTCGGACGGCACGGTACCAAGCACATGGCAAGGCGCTTCTATTTGTGCTTCCGAGTGAGCAGCAGGGTCTATTGTCGACTTTGGAACGTGTGGATGTGCCCATTTCCGAGATCAAAGCGCGCGATACGAAGCTGCAAAGCGTTGCTCCACAACTTCAGTCCTTCTTGTTCCAGGATGTGGAGCTGAAACATTTGGCCCAAAAAGCGTTTGTCTCGTACGTGCGCTCTGTGCATCTGCACAAGGACAAGGAGACGTTTGATGTCATGTCACTGCCGCTGAATGAATACGCTGCTGCGTTGGGTCTGCCAGGTGCGCCGAAAATCAAGATGGTTAAGGAGGCTCAAATGAAAGCACGTGCTGCGCAACGACAAGCCCTGGCCGAGGCGCATGCCCTAGCGCAGGCGTCCAGCAGCCACGAGGGCAGCAGCGACAGTGATCGCACGGACTCGGACTCAGACTCAGACTCAGACTCGGGCTCGGGCTCGGACTCTGACACGGCTGCGCCGACACGTGTGCGTACTAAGCATGACCGTCTCTTTGGCCGGCAAAATCAGACGGTGCTTAGCCAACATTATGCGTCGATGCTCGCGAGCGATAGTGAGGAGGATGGCTTTGATGTGCCTGGCGGCGACGAGGACGGGGGCGATTTGCTTACCCTGTCACGACCTGACCATGAACTGGAAGAGGCACCCAATGAGCTACCTTCCTCGCATCTATCAAAGCGGCAGCTTCTTCGCGGCGCTAGCAAGAAAGCGATGGCCGCCGCTGGTTTGCGTGGCTCCGGTGATCGTGTCGTCTTTGACGACGAAGGCAATGCCCGTTCGCTGTATGAGCTGCAGGATGAACATGCCTTCCATGCACAAGGCGATGTGCGTGCGCAAATTGAGCAACATGCTGAGGCAGAGCGGGCACGTATGGCTGAGGCCGATGTGATCGATAAGGACCGCGCGAAGCAGAAGCGGCAAGAAAAGCGCCGCCGGATGAAGGAAATCGAACGGATGCAGGCCGAAATGCATGGCAAGCGCCCTGCGTCGTCCCATGTCGCTATGGAAGGCGAATGGGACTCGGACGATTCCTACGACGGACCAGGTCTGGCCGATCTCGTGTTGCCAGGCGAAGAAGAAGCGGCGACGCCGTCAGAGGCCAAGCCACGCAAACGCGCACGGACAGAGGCGTCTGCACACGACGATTTGGCTTCGCAAGAAGCGTTGGCTCTGCGCTTGCTGGGCGCCAGCTCGTAACCTATACCATGTACGTATGAAAATGTTCAGCGCTGTGGACGAGAGGATGGTACTTGTGTAATTTGCGCCTGAGGCTGGTGTGGCTATTCCAAAGGGCTTGCTTGCCGGCAATGCCTGGCTACACAGCGTGCTGAATCTACTTACATTACTGATCACTCCACGGCGCTGTGCATCGCAAAGACGGATTCGTGCTAACCTCTTTTAGTCCCTGGCCGTAGACCACGATACCCCTCTTCTGTGCTACGTTTTGGTGGACTAGACATACTGTGTCCGTTAGTCATTTGTACGATGTATACATACCTTTCCAAACCATGGGATCAACGACTGCGCAATGGTGAACGAGAACACCAACTTGGGGCCCACCACAAGGACCTTGGGCGTAAGACCCTTGAAGAACGCCGAGAAGCCCTCATTGCGCACCATGTCGCGAATGATCGTCACACCGCCCACCTTCGATTCGAAGTTCGCGTTCTGAATACGGGTCTTGACGACATCCAGTGGCGCCGCAACAGTAATGCTCGCGACACTACCCGCAATGCTCGCCACAAAGTTCTGGGCCCAGGTAGCATCCGAGTAGTTCTTCAAGCCAAACACGTACTCCTTGGTGAACGCACTACCACCGAACAGAGCGAACGAGCCAGGCGCATTCCGCGCCGCTGTCCAGCCCCAGCCGCGGTACAAGTTCACATTCTCGTCCAACAAGATGCGAATGAAGCCGCGCGATCGGAACGCCTCCGGGTTTGTCTGGCGCTTGATCTTGAGCACATCGAGCGGGAGGAGGACAATCTCACCAATACCCGTCAGCCTAGATAGTCAGTATACCTTATCGTGATACATACGAGCCAGCCGTGGCACTCATAATGCTCTTGCCTGTGCGCTCGCCAAAGATGTTCTCAAACTGCTTCTTGTGGTACTTGTTCAGGTAGTCGTTAAAGTAAGGCTGGCCACCAAACTTGTAGATACGCTGCAGGACCTTGTAGCCGGCTGCATACCCAAGACCAGGGAACAAGCTAAAGAACCGGGTCATAGCCGGGGCCTGAGCCTTGTCCTTAAACAAGACGGTGGCCATCGACGCAGCGCGATCCTTGTTGCTCATCAGACGTTTCGCCACAGTGTCCACAGGGTGGAACACCAGAAGCTCAGCGATACCTGAGGTACCAGAACCCAGCAGGCGGGCCTGGGCCGACTCTTTCCTCTTGCCAAGGGGCGGCGACATTGTGTGGAAGATTGGCTGCTTCTCCGGCCCCGACGATCTATCTCAGTCTCATCACGTCACGTCACGTGCAACAGGCTAAGCGACGGAGTGACTTGCTGCGCGTCGGTGGAAATTTTTTGAGGGCGTTGGTTGACACTCTGCCCCGCACCGTGTTCACGATGGTGATGGAACGCACTAGTGGCGATCGGGCGGCGAGCCCTGCCCTAGCCCCGCGGACCGATGATACATCCTCGCTTGGTGCTGAATCTGTTCTTGCCCGTTCAAACTTGTCGGGCATCCTTGTAGGTGAGTTCTTAGGACCCCATCGGCATGCGCCGGGCGGCGCATCGTCGCCAACGGGTCGTGACAGTGAACATACTCCCTTGCTTGGCGCTGAGGCTGCACCGACACCTGGCCATGGTATTGTTCAACCCTCGATTTCCAGTATGGGGAATGCGTCCGGTTTCGGTACAATTCGTCCTCCATCGCATACGGTGTGGACGTCGCCAGACGATCCTACCTGGGATGTCTCTGATGAAGAAGATGAATACGAATTCCAACATGAACCGCTTCGCCACGAGATCAAAGCACTTCTGCGATTCACCATGCCGATCTGTGCAACCCACATTTTGGAATTAAGTCTTTCGGTGGTATCTGTGCTTAGTCTCGGTCATTTAGGTACCGTGGAGTTGGCATCGGCATCCCTGGCCGGTATGACAGCCAATGTGACAGGATTCAGCGTGATTAGCGGTCTGATTACTGCACTGGATACGTTGCTGCCTGCCACCTTCACACGGAACCCGCGCATGATGGGGCTTTGGACGCAACGTGTCGGTGTCATTATTGCCCTGACATTGCCTTGGATCATTCTTCTTTGGCTCAACGCTGAACGTTTCCTTCTGCATTTGGGACAGGAGCCAGAAATTGCGCACAAGGCGCGCCAGTTTCTTGCGATCCTTGCTATCGGCTTGCCAGGCCATGCCATCTTTGAGCTGTGCCGTCGGTACCTCCAAGCACAGGGCTTGATGCATGCACCTACCATTGTGTTGCTGGTTGTTTCACCCATCAACGCCCTTGCCAACTTCCTGCTTGTATGGGGCCCCGAATCTATTCGCCTCGGCTTCCTTGGCGCGCCTTTGGCCAGTGCATTGTCCATGTGGCTTATGGCCATATTGTGCTTCTTGCAATGCACCTTGGTGTCGCAAGGGACGTGGGGTGGCTGGTCATGGAAGGCTTTCGACTGGGATGGCCTTAAAACGAGTGCCTCGCTCGGTTTTGCAGGCTTGCTAAGCTTGGCATCGGAATGGTGGGCCTGGGAGATTGTGGGTTTGGTCACAGCAGCACTGGGTACCACGGCGCTGGCATCACAGTCCGTGCTGCTCATTACATCGTCAGTCACCTACCAACTCCCATCAGGAGCCGCAGTGGCTGCCTCGGTACGTGTGGGAAACTTGCTTGGCGCTGGCAAGGCTCGACATGCTCGAACAGCTTCTACGGCCGCCATTTATTTCTCCATTTTTATTGGTCTAGTCAACTCGTCCATCGTGTTTTTCACGCGTCACCAATTGGGATTCCTCTTTAGCAGCGACAAGGAAGTGGTTCGTCTTGTCGCAACCGTCCTCCCTATTGTGGCTTTGTTCCAAATTGCGGACTGTATCTGCGGTATTGCTGGTGGTATTTTGCGTGGTTGTGGCCGCCAGTCACTTAGTGCTATCATCAATGTCACTGCCTATTATGCTGCAGGCATTCCGACCGGACTCTTCCTGGCCTTTGGACCCTGGCACCTCGGACTTGCGGGTCTTTGGTGGGGTCTCACATCGGCACTTATTTACGGTGCTGTATTCTCTCTATGGTATGTCCACCGTATGGACTGGATCAAAATTATGCACCAAATTCACCATACTATGCATGATGGCAGCATGGAAGCTTGAATGCATTATACCTACTAGTTTTACATTTGTAGATGACGATTTTTTCAGGAAAGCAAATATCTTGTGGCAGTGCCGCGCGTTGTATCGTCTGGTCGTCGATACAGATTGGAAGGTAGCGTATCCTGGGCCCGAGCTGCACGATGAGCTTGTTGTGGTTGCGACACGGGTTCCTTTGTGGTGCGAGTTTGAATTTGCTGTCGAGTCCAGATTTGTGCCTGTGTAACACTGGCTCCCAAGTCTTTCAGACCTGCTTCACACAAACAAAGCAGACCTAACGGGGGTGGATATATCACATGCCATGGTATCGCTCGTTGCGTATGCGGCGCATCTACTAGTGATGCCTGCGATGCATAGAGTTCTAAGATTGCCAACGCCACTTCATCCACATCCTCCTGAACGATAGTCCACGCATCGTCCCACGTCGATGGAGCCCAGCACTTTTGTTCCTCTTCTGTGGCAGATGTCCCCATCACATGACACAATGCTGTGGCTACGCACAGGCTGCCCATAGCGATAGTATGAGGAGGGTATAGCAGAGGCATATTCGTCCGATGACTGAGGTGAGTGCCTCTTTCACGTACCTATCAGAAGCCACGCGCCATGCCACACCTGCAGATGATTTGGATACTAATATCAGCAATCATGCCCTTTCATACATACATTTCCATGTCTGTGCCAATTTGATGGTCCATCGCAAAATGTGTTGTGAACGCAATTGGAAATTGAAGCAAATACACTGGAGGAGCAATCTCTCCAATTGCAATAGGCGTTGCTGGTCCTGCTGGATCATAGAAGAGCTTACATCCGACTCAGATACATGCGTATGCGCTAACCAATCGGCTGGGACGTTCCGTTGATCCATAGACGAGGGAGTCGGAAGCAGTTCAGGGAATTGGAATGAATAATTGGTTAGAACGACTTCATGGAGCCGCTTTTGCGTATCGTTCATTTTAGCAGCCGAAAAAAGGCATGCGAGTGCCACTTCATGATGGCTAAAATCAGAAGGAGGATAAAACAAATGAAATCGCTGGTACAGCAATTGAGCCGTACCCATTGTACGTTGCGGGCTATTGCATAAGCCAAACTTTTCATACATACCAGCCCAGTTTAGTACCTACTGCTGCGATGTAAGAGCATGCTTCCATCTTTGTTTGGTTCCATTTTTGCTCTGTGATCTTCGATCCCCTGGACTGTGTTTCCAAGCGGTCCCACTGTGCTGGGGTAAAGTAAGGCGTATCCACGATAGTCGTTACTTTCGCTGGTACCTTTGAATCAAACCCTTCATTTGCTAACACTTGTGCCATGTTATAGTACGGGCACTAAGTATCAAGAAACCACGATTCTGTGCTTCTCGCAGACTTTTAAAGGCGTGCTTACGTTCCAAAAAGTACGATGGATAGGCGTGGTGGAGGCGCACATGAAGTCCTACTAGGCTTCCTACATTGCATGTGGAGCAAACGCGACGCGCACACGCGAGCGACGCGTCTTACTTATACGCAATGGTGCTAGACACGGAGGATCCTGCGCGGTTGTTTTTCCCAGACCAGGAAGAGGTCGATTTATACTCAGTTCTTGAGCTTGATTCTGAAGACAAACCTAGTGGCGAGGCTATCAAGAAGGCCTATCGGAAGCTAGCACTTCGTTATCACCCCGATAAAGCAGCTTTGCACGGTGGCGAAGCGGAGACAATTTCAAAGAAATTTCAACAGATTGGCTTTGCTTATACCATCCTATCTGATGAGAAGCGCAGAAACAAATATGACCGTACTGGCTCTACTAGTGATTCCATCTGGGACAGCGACGAGCCTATAGACTGGAATGAGTATTTTAAGACCTTATGGTCTGGTGAAGTGAGTGCTAAGACACTTGACGATTTTAAAAAGTCGTACCAAGGTATGCTAATTTGATATATTGACCCCAGGATCTGAAGAAGAAGAAGTGGACATTTTGAACGCCTATCAAGAGCATGAAGGCGATCTTGAAAAAATCTTCTCCGCTATCCCTTGCTCGAATATACTGGAAGACGAGAAGCGTTTCATTGACATTATTGATTCTGCCATCCAGGAGAACAAAGTAGTCAAAACGAAGAAATGGGCTTCTATGCAAGGGCCTAAAGGCAATAAATTCCGTCAGGCTTTGCGCTCAAAAGCTAAGAAAGAAGCCAATGAAGCAGAGCAGTATGCTAAGGAATTAGGTGTATGGGATGACCTGTTTGGACAAGGCAAATCTAAGGGTAAAGCATCTATGAAAAGGAAGAAGGAGAATACAAACACAGAGAACAAACAGCGAAAACAGGATGACGATGATGAGGATGTAAATTTGGACGCGTTACGTGCTGCAATGCAAGCCAAAGCAAAGAAAAGAGAGTCTTCCTTTGACGATATGATCACTCGTCTAGAGAAAAAGCACTCGCAGCAACCATCAAAGCGTAAAAAGAAGTCGAGTTGATTTATTGGAGCCTTCCTATTTATCTGTCCTAGCGTGTATCATTGAAGTATTCACGTATATATATATATATATATATATATTAATGAGTTGGCTGAATGTATGTCTCACTGCATGAATCTTCCCATCACAGGGATATCTTTATTGAGCTACATCGAAGGGCAATGTAATGTTCGACACCTATCGATTACTACAATGACCCCTTACTAATCATTTCCGACCCCTTATTTTTGTGGGGATTAGGTATTGCACCCATTCGATGTCCTCTCTCATTTTTCTTGCTTTATTGGCGTACCTGATTGGGTTATGTCCATATTAGCCATATAAAGGGCGAAACCCAGGGTTCATTCTCAATGGTCCAATCATAGCAAGTTTTAATACTATATATGGATTGGCGAGTCATAGTTTATATGCAGCTCTTGAGAGACCACAGGGGATAATCACTTCTCGGCACGTCATAAATTGGATAGTCTTCATATGTGATCGGATTTCACTTGGCGCCATACCCGGTCACTCTGCTTAGACACGGGGTTCCCCGCACTCTTGTGCTTATATATAGAAGCGGCATACGCTCTGTTGAAGGTTCATTCATTTCAAGCTCAATGCAATGCGCTTCTTCGTTTTTGCTTCTCTCGTAGTTGCTTAGGACCCCAACGGTCTGACTGGCCGCAGACTGGGCAATGCTGTCGAGCAATCTGCTAGCAATGCTGCTCTGTTCAAGCGCCAGGATGGTAGTAACAGCAGCAACAACGATAACGTCAACGACAATGGCAGTGGCAGGAACAACTCTTCTCGTGCTCCTTCGTCGTCTACGGCCAATTCCGGTGCGCCCACCTCGTCAGCCTCGAAGCCTCCTGCCTCTAGTTCGGGTGCTGCTGCTGCCGGCGGTGCCTCCAGTGCTGGATAACGGTGATGACAAGTCATCGGCTGCTTCCTCTGCCACCTCGGCTGCTGGTGCTGCCGCCTCTAGCGCAATGCCCTCTACTGCTGCCAACGGTGCCATGTCGTTTTTTTCTTCTTCGCCCCTGGCTATCTTCGCGTCTATGATGGCTGGTTACCTCATCATTGCTTAATATTAAATGTATTTACGAAGGGTTTTAAGTAGTTCAGTGAATACATATTGACTTTTAAGTTATTCGACCAGGACTGAGTCTCCTAATTATGATTCAACATTCTATGTTCTTGGCTTCAATACAATAGGGATGCTTTCGATAGAGTCCATCCGGGCTGCATTCTTTTCTTACTGCCTGTCCGGCTGTGAAATGATTATTAGATCACGCTCTTATGGATTAGGCAATGATTTGCTTTGCTCCACGCTATGGTGTTTGGCGCGCTAAGTCCTTGCATACTCGGCCGAGGTATGAATCGTGCAGAGCCTGTACCCCTGCATATGGGTCCATTTAATTGCCAGTCGCATATCTTGGTCCATACTTCACCTTTCATAACCATGCGCTTCTATTTCCTTGCTCTTTTGTTCGCATTTGCCACAGTAGCTCTGGCCCGTATTCCAGCTGGTGCGGACTCTTCTATGAGCAATGTTGGTGGGCCGATGACCCGCATGTCAGGCTCAGCCTCCACGACTGGTAACGGGTACGTTGTTATATGAATGATTCGATCTAACTGTGCTTCTAGTGCTGGCAATGGTGGTAAGACCGGTGCCAACTCTGGAAAGAGCTCGGGTGCTAAGTCTGGTAATAAATCCAGCTCGGCTAAATCTCGTGCTACTGATGGCCAGTCCTCTCGTGCCGCTGGTTCTTCCGCTGCGGCCGGTGGTGCTGGAGCCGCCCCTACTTCCAGCCCCTCCTCTCAAGCTAGCTCTGCTATGAGTACTACTTCGAGTCTCCCCGAAGCTGCTGGAACCAGCTCTGCAATGAGTGCCTCTAACGGTGCTGCTGGTATTTTGCCCTCCGGCCCTGGTATTCCTCTTTTAGTTTCTTTGGCCATGGGTTTGATCTACTTTGCCTGAACTTATAAAAGTACACCTCCAGCCTCCTTTCACTTCATGTAGATTGATACTAGCTTTGTTTCATAAACTGAATTACGTCGAATGTTGAAAATATCGTATTAAAAAATCACAGCTAGGAGCTCAATCTCATGTATCATGAGCTTGAATGGCTTATAGTTATTAATGCCAATATGAGCTGGCGACATGTCTGTTAGAATGAGGATATGGGGCCTAATGTCCATTTGAAATTTTTTTGTTGGTTTATCAAGACTGGCTCTCAGCATAGCCTCATTATGTATGCTGTGTTCTTTCGGTTGGTATGACGCCTACTTGGGGTTATTTAAAGCGAAATATCATTGAGCTACAAAAGTGGTGGAAAGTACCCTCCTCTACATACTATGTATCAATTGTGCTGCTGCGTCTGAAAGGGTCCCCTTACTTCCCACTTATATATTGAATTTGTTTATAAGTTTCTGCCCCAGTTACGTTCTTTAATGCGTGCTAGTGCGATTTGTCATACTTATCGCCTTTATGGAGCCTTAAGACACAACTTCTTCTGGACATTCAAGCAGGAAGTTGTCTGCGTTTACCCAACTCGAGTATGGGGGCGGCTGTGACTGGTACAACGAGCAGCCCGAGCAAAATCGCTGACTCCGCTATAACATCGGCTTGAAATGGTACCATTGCACTTTACCTAACTCCATCATGGCCGTGGCAGTTTCTTTACTGACTATGATGCTATACATGGTCTGTTATATATGCACACAGTAATATATATAGAAATACTTTCGTGCTTATGACAAGGTGTGAATGTCATTGCCCCGCGTTTCGCGCGCAAAGCCTTCTCCGCCAGCCACTGGGCCAACGCATGACATGAAGCCAATCACGTTGGACCAATCAAAACGGTTTATTATTGCAGGTGATTGTTGATTTTCCCGCCAAAGAGCGAGTGGTGTGAGGGGCCAGTGTGTTTTACGTTTCCTCCCACCGTCATGGCACGCAAGAACCGACCTTCTGCGTCGCTTCCCACTACGCAGGCGACGCCCCCGATTCGATTTGCTGTATGTATCTACGAGAGTTTTTATGTTGACCTTATAGCCTGAGGATGAAAAGCGGGGCAAGAAGAATAGCAAGGCCAAGGCTTGCAAGGTATGTTGTCAACTCTCCGCCACTAACTATACAGGGCAAGTCGAGCTGCGTCCTGACTCGTTGGCTTTTCCGCTTTGGTTTCGTGTACATGATCTATGCGCTTCTGTGGCGATGCTCCACTGAGCCGTTCTCGTTCACGTACAAGCCGGACCACGAGCTGCTAGTATGCCGTGAGATGTCGGCATTCCAACAGCATGTGTCCCCAGTTCTACACGAGTATGCAACCGACGTCCACAAGAAACTCGACCCTTATGTGGGCAAGTACATGAACGCGGCCCACGGCGCATGGACGAGTACGAAGCCGTTGGTGCACAAGTCGGCTAAGCAGGCTCACAGCTTGTACTGGTCGCATGTTGAGCCGGGTGCGCGTGAACTGTACAAGCAGGTGTACAAGTGGTCCCTGCCGCACCAGCGCAAGGCGCATGCATACTACAAAAAGAACCTTCGTCCTCACGTGAAGAAGGCCAGCAAGACGATGCAGCCGTACATGCGCACGTACAACAAGGATGTACACCCGCATGTCCTTACGACATGGTCGACGATGCAGGATCTGCATGACAAGTCGTCGAAGTACTATGTCAACACGGTGCACCCATCCTTGAAGAGTACTTTGTACAATGCTTATGTGTACGTGCGCCACACGTTGTACCCGCTAGTTCACAAGCGTTACGTGAAGCATGCTCATCCGCACGTTACTAAGCTGCAAAAGCAGGCGAGTGCTGCTGTGGATGAGGTGCTGACGAATGTCAAGGACAATGCCGTCGTCGACACTCTTTCCCAGAAAGTGCAGGAGACCTACGAGCAAGTCGAGAAAGTTGTGAGTAACTAAGTTTCAATACGGCATCTGTGGGTCTACGCGATGGTGCATAGAGTCAGGTGCGTGCGTTTGCTAGTGTATAGCTAGCAAACGTTTTTTCTGTGATACAAATGAGATTCTAATACATTGTTTTTATTGCAGGATTTGTCTAGTTCGATTGTAAAAGAGGATGTCGACGTGGATGCTACTGCAGCGCCATCTGTGGTAGAGTCAGAGAAGGATGAAGCTAGTATGAGCGATGAGGATAAAGTTCTGCAAGCTCGCTTGGATGCCGAGTTGGCTGCGACGGAATCGGCGCTTCGGGAGCACGAGCAGGCTATGACGTCGCTCACCATGTCGGAACGCAAGAAGATAGCCCAAACTATCGGCGAGATGCGTAAGGAATCGGTTATTAAGATCCCTGAGCGCTTGGATATGGTGCTGTCTAACGGTTTGGACCAAGGGATTTCTAGTGTCTTTATCAGGACGCTCCGCGCCTTCGGCGCCTTGGCGTCCAAGATAGGCAACATGGATGCGCCATCGGATAGTTGGGAGGAAAAGGCACAAGCTCTCGTTGCCAAGGAGTTGGATACTTTGGTGGAGGTCTACGATGAGATTCGGGAGAAAGTGCGATATGTCCTTTATGCATCGCGTGAAATGGAGCAGGAGCTTATTCAGGAGAGTGTGGCCAAGGTTCGTGCTTTGTCACGCGAAGCTGTACGTGGTTTCTTCGACGTCATGGAAAAGGTCGAGTTCCAAGTGACGTACTTCGAAAACGAAGGCTGGGACTCGGCTATGCGACGCCGTGGTCGTTTCCACCGCGAAGCTATAGAGAGGGATCTCATGGCCATGTCCAGCCTGGGTGATTTGCCTGATGACAATGCCGTCACGATGGCACCTAATTTGGCCGAGGAGACTAAGCAAATCAACACAGGTGTTGATCAGCTATTCAAGCAGGCTGAGCATGGATTCACAGCGCTCTGCGATCGTATGACACAAGATCCTTCTATCTTGTCAGATGAAGCGAAATATGCTCTTCTTCTTATCGATATGCATGCTCATCTCGATATGTTGGCTCATCTTGTCGAACAGCAACAGCGATCGGCAATGTTGCGCCTTCGTGAGACAATTGGCGATCTGCGTGAGTACTTTAACATGACACGTGTGCCACCATCGGGTGCGCTACACGACATCGCTGACTTCCCACTCCCTGTGACTCCGTCTCAGGACACAGACAGCCCTGAGGGTGTCCTGGATGTGCCTGTACCTGTGCCAGAGGTGGCTGAGGATATGGCTATTCCCTCAGCTACGCCTGCTGCTGGTGCTGGTCTGGATGACGAGGACGCACAGCCGAGTGTTACGATGACATCCACCGCTCCTGCTTCGGCGTCGCCTTCCTCTGATGAGATCTCCTCGCTCGATGATGATTCGTTGACGTCTGATATACTGGAAGAAGCATTGACGACGTCTTCAGAACCTGAGCCAACACATGCTGCCGAATTGGGTGAGGACAACGTTCTCTCGGCTGAGCCTGAAAGTCACTCCATCACGGAGTCTGAGTCCACTGTAACTTCGACATGGACAGTCGAGGACGCATTTACTACCTCAGATCCTGCGACGCTGACACTCGACCCTAGTGTGTTGACGTCAGAGGAGATGGCTATGCCCACTGACGCTGATGTTTTCCCTTTCGTTGATGACGTTCGCGACCTTTCCCCAGATGCAATGCTATCTACGGTGATTGACACTCTTCCTACCGAGACTTTGGAGCCTATGGCCGGTATTGAAACGTGGCCGCCTCACTCCGACGTATCTGCGTCTGTGATTGTGGACATATCATCCCCTGTTGCAGAGACGCAACAGCCCACGGCATCTGTCACTTTGGACGTCCAACATGGTGACATGGACGACGTCCAGGAAATGACTCGTACATCCAGCCATCAGGCACCTAGCATGCGCAAAGTTGCACGTATGCCACGCTCCTCCTCGTCGTCAGAGCTTCATGCTTCCTCGGCCGTGTCCCACGATGAATTATAGTTATGACTTCTTGCAAATAGCTTTTTTTCGAATTTTCTTTCTACACTATCTTACGAGCGCTTCATAAGGTCTAGATTACGCTAGCTATCTTCTTTACAAAATCGTGCCAAGACCCATGGACTTTAAGCCACGAATATAATAGTTCTCCAGACCAGCGCGGGCTTGGTCTTCTTGGCCCGTAGGGATGCCCCGCAAAATCAGCTCCAGTTTTGTCGAGTCATCGCCTTGAGTGAGCTCAGTGGTGAGCTCGCCGTGGTATCCAGCAGGCCATTGAGGTACGCGCCATGTTTGTACGAGTTTGCGAGGCGCCGATACCTCGACGATCGAGCCCGTAATGTTGCCGCCGAACAGCGAAAAGTTGGCTCCCTTGTTCGGTGAGAACTGCGCTGGGGCTTTGCTCCACATAGGAATACGGTGTGGATTCGTTAGCAGATCCCAGAGATCCGCCTGACTGATAGCCAAGTGGCTGGCCACACGTACCTCCGTCGTGCTCGTTGACACGGCATCTGGCTCTTTGGACGACTTCGTGGAGATACCCACCGTAGCGCTTGAGGCGGCCTTTGGCGTCTCAATCGCATCTGGCGTCGGCGGCGCATCGCCTTCATGGCCGAGGTCCTTGGCATGCGACTCGATCAGTTCAGTGCGGAAGCGATGGAACACTTCCTCCAGAGATGGAACAAGAGAGGTGCGCACCACCTTGTACAGGTCATGGGCCTTGTTGGATGACTCTGAAAGGAGTTCCGTCTCAAATTGGTATGACTCGTTGTTGTCTTCAATCTCGTGTGACACTTCCGGGAACTTGATCGTGCCATTCGCTGCTGTACCATCATCTGCCTCACCAGACCAAGTCAGAGTTACAACACAATCGTAAATAGTAATCAGCTTTCCCTTGCGGTTGCCAAGCTCAACATCGCCTTCGAAGCCTGTCAGGTTGTCGATCTTGACGGAAGCTTCGTCACCTGTCTTTACACTTTTACCGACCAGGTTTTGCTTAAACCAGTCCTTAGCCCAAGGAGTACATCCCTTGGTCTTCCAGTGATAGTGCTTGTTCCACGTCGACATATCGTACAGGTAAGTGCCACAGCAAGCTACAATGCCTTCTACGATCGCAATATGCCAGGCAACATGGAATTCTCGAGAAGCTACGCCACGTGGCACCACGTGTATGTGTTCTATGTGAGCTCGCTGGCCTGTGCGGCGTCAGTCGTCATGGCTATGGCCATGCCGATACGTACCTGCTGGTATAGATTGTCGACAACGTGCGAGATTTGCTTCAACGTGCCCAGAGCCATCTCATAGGTTTCCTGGTTGTGAGAATATAGCGAACATACATCTTCTTCCGTCTCATCAAATACAACGAGACAACCTGCGCCTTGGTCTAAAACACCTTGGAAGGCTTTGTCCAGAATCATTTGGCTCAATCTGATGGTCAGTGGTCGTCTATATACGCACTTTTGCTCCACATCACGAACAGGTTGGTGTACCATCTTGGCAATATGAGCCAGCTCAACACGCGAGTAAGGCTCAATCACACGCAGAAGATTCTGCTCGAGCAGAGAATCATACAAGGCCGACAAGTGCGAGCGCACGATAGGGTCACTGGCCAGTTCTACCGGTAAGTCGTCAAAAACACATACCATCTTTGTACTGACGCAGGGTCTTTTCAAATTCTTCCAACGAGCGATGCTTCTGTGCTTCAGCGACGGCTTTCATCACCTCTATTTCACGGCGTCCGGCATACTTGCTAGCCACTTTGCCTTCCAAGATCGACTGCACCTCCTCTGGTTGATTGAGCATGATTCGACACAGCAGCATATACTTCAGGGCTGGCAGCGTTCGTGGGTCGTCGAGTGAGTCAAAGCCTTCTAGTGTTTCAAAGAAGTAAGAAGCGGCTGTGTTGAAGTCCTTATCTTCCGCATGCAATATACCGCCCTGCATATCCAGCTGTGCTTGCATAGCAGGCGGGCAGTAAATCGAGTTGGCAGCTGTACGGGCCGAAGTGAGTGCCGCCTTTGCCTTGGGGAAGTTGGAAATGGCATGATTCACCTTTGATTCAAGAAGATGGACCTCCGTGAGGATCATCTTATCATCAAGCGTCTTCAGCTCTTTGAGCAGTTGGGTAATCAGCGGCAGTGCCTCACGGTATGCCTTCGCTTCGTAGTACTGCGCAATAAGCTTGGTTTCCAGGTTTTGTTTAAGGAAGATACGCTTCTCTTTTTTGGCCCACTCTGCGTTTTCTTTGGTGACCCGAATCTGAAGCTCTCGGCTATCAGGAATATCGTTGAAATAGTCAATAAGGATGCGCACTGTGGTCAGCGTATAAGGGATACGTACCCAGCTTAGCCGTTTTGGCCTTCGCAATCGATGCCATAAACTGCCGAGAATCCACTACAGTCTTAGCCAGACCTTCTGCATCCCTAATTGTAAGTGGTCGTCAACACATACTTCTGATCACGATGCAGCTGGCCTAGACGAAGCAGGGCCTTCTCCTGCTCTGCGAGCAGTGCTTCATCCTCCGGGGCTGGCGGTAAGTCATGGACCCTATACATACCGTCTTTTTTGCTCAGGATGTCTTCTAAGATCTTCTTTCCATCCGCATACAATCCTTCATCAATTGCCTTATTGGCATCTGCGACGGAACTCATCGTGGCGGTGGTCACTATCGTCCCAGCAGCACGGTGAGGACAACGTTGCGACACGCGGTCGCCTCCAGTGTTTAGTCAGCAACTTCGGCCGTGCTGCAAGTGACGACGCGGCCTCTCACCATCGGTGTGTGTCGCGACCATGGAGGAAGAGTTGGTGGCACCGATCCCCAACCCTTATGTGCAGCAGCATCTGTTTTTGATCACGCGTCCCTACACAGACAATGAGACGCGTGCAAAAAAGGTGGAAGCGCTTTTGACTCAAATTGAGAAAGATGGTACGTATGACGCGAAGCGATCTGACCTTCATAGCCATGGCGCCATACTATGAGTTTATTCTTGCTGATCCATCGATCGCAGAAGTAGTGCCACGAAAGAAGGAACTACTCGATGACTTGCATGCGAAAAACAAAGCAGAGCTTGAGCGCCTAGAAGCGGCGCAAAAGCAAGCGGAAGACAGTGAAGGGGATGTCGAGCTGAGTACTGTGCTGCGACGGCGTGCCATGTACCTGGCTCAGATCGGCGACAAAGAGAAAGCTCTCCCTGCCATTGATGTTGCTTTAGAGAAAGCACCTGGTGCAGGCTCGAAGATTGATTTGACGTTGCTCAAGATCCGTTTGGGGTTGTTCTATGGCGACACGGATATCACGCAGACCAACATTGACAAAGCCAGTGCGCTCATTGAGAAGGGTGGCGACTGGGATCGTCGTAATCGTCTGACAGCGTACCGTGGTGTATACTATGCCTCGATCCGCCAGTTTTCTGAAGCCTCGAAGCTGTTTTTGGAGGCACAGAGTACCTTTACCGCCACAGAACTGCTGGACTTTACCGAGTTCATCAAGCTGACCATTTTGACAAGTGTTCCTACGCTGTCTCGCCGTGAGTTGAAGAAGCTGATGGAGTCGCCCGAGGTACTACAGACAATTGACGAACTTCCCCACCTGCGCGAGTTTACTTCGTCTCTGTACAATAGCGAATACGCCACCTTTTTCCGCGCGCTTGCCGCTGTGGAGCAAGCGTACCTGCTTCCCTCGCGCGTTCTTGCGTGCCATACCCAGTACTATGTCCGTGAAATGCGTATCAAGGCTTTTGCACAGCTCTTGGAGAGCTACCGAAGCGTGGCATTGGATCGTATGGCTGCCGCATTTGGCGTCTCGTCCGAGTATATGGACAAGGAGCTTTCGCGCTTCATTTCTGCAGGGCGTCTGCCAGCTGTCATTGACAAGGTGGATGGTGTGATTGAGAACCGGCGTCCCGATCAGAAGAATGCGCAGTACAGTCGCATTATTAAGGAGGGTGATGTCCTCTTAAACGCCCTGCAAAAGCTCTCGCGTACAGCCTTGTAGATGAGGTAGCTCTATATAAACTACACGATGCCCCTACGATCCATTGAAGGCATCGTTCAACGCATGAAAAACGCCAGCGGCGAGCATTCGCTGCTCGACGGAGGTCGTTTGCGGTGGCAGTTTGTCAGGATGCAATCGCGCAATCGCTCGGGTATACGCGCGCTTGACTTGCGCGTCCGTCACAAGTTCGTGCATGCCGATTTTTTTCCACCGCAGTTCTGGCCACAGCAAATCAAAGCGTGGATCATCGACAGAGGCCAGCAATGCACGAACATTGCTTTCCTTGCCCTTGGTCCACGCGGCAATACGCTCATCGACTGAATCTTTGTGTGTCATACGTTGTGCCTCTTCGGCCTGTTGCGCTGCATGAATCGCCCGCATACGCTCCCGTCCTTCCTGCGACGCTTTTTGGGCAGCGCGCGAAGACACAGCGCGAGATTTCGATGCAGCAGCAGGCGCTGAAGCAGGGCGGGGTATCAGCATACGCTCACATCGGGCCACGCCTTCCATGGCAGCTCGACGGTGTGTTTCACCACTTTTCACACCGCTACCTTCTAAACGTTCGTACTGCTGTAACAAGTCCCAGTCCTTTTTTGCCAGAGCCCATTTTTCCGAGACTTCATGGGCTCGCGCACGTCGAGAGAGGCTCTTGGCGTACGCTTCACGAAGATTGATCGATGAATGCGACGACGGAAGCGCATCTTGACTGGGACGGTACATTCCATCAGCCATGTGAGGCAAAACGGTCAGTTCGATCACGGCCGTGCAGTCCACAATCGCACCATCGCTGTTTCCATTCTTCATACGCACATTCGCACGGTTATTGAAAAGCGGGATACGCCAGAGAGATCGTGCGGGTAGCATATCCAGTGCCTTGGTATAGTGTTCTTCCGCCTCCGCATACGATCCACGCTGGAAATGAGCATTACCTTGATCTTTTAGACGTGCGGCATGTGTTACAACGCCGGCGTCGTCAGGTGATAGTGTACGGACCACAGGTTGCGCGGTTGGCACTGCTTTTGAGGGCTTCGTAGGCGGTCGGCGAAGCGGCGTAGCCGCTGGGCGCATGGGCGGACCATCGTCGCTCAGAAGAGATACGTCCCGCGGCGCAGTCTTGGCAGGTTGCGAAGATGTGCCCTGGGTCTCGGATGCCGGTGGTGAAGACGACGATCGCTCGGCCTCCGCCATCCACCGTGGTTTGGCATTGAAATCCACGGGCTTCTTGGGCTGGCCACCCCATCGACGTAGAGCATGCCGTCCCAGCTCGGTCGCTACGCCAATAGCACTTGGATCCGTACTTTCCTTCCGAGCTTCCTCCATCGCTTTTTGTGCCTGTGCTTTGGCATTGCCCCACAATGCATTGGCGTTTTTTAGCATCTGTGTACCAAACACACTGGCTTGGGAATAGAGCTGATCTGCCTGTTTCTGCCAAGAGGCACTAGGGCCTTCCGTTGTTGAAGCATGAGTGGAAGGACGGGCAGGGGCCGGTAACGTCTCGTACAAAGGTTCACGCGGCGGCGCAGGCATAGACGCTTGCAGGGACGCCAACGCTTGAGCTACATCCTGCCCATTCGCGGTTTGCGCTAGAGCCTCACGGGCTTGTTGTGGTGCATAGCCCATTTCCACAAGCTGGCCGATAATGTGCGGCGGTGGCGAATTTCCTCGGGATGCTGGCGTAGAGCGCGGTGCGCTGGCGCGTGGGGCCGACGACGAAGGCGGTGCTGGCGCCATACCACTGAGCAGATCACTTGTTTCTTCTCCGTCCCACATGGATGCAGATGGCTGTGGCCCATGGAAATCAGCTAGCAAGTCGTCGTGCGTAGTCGTACGCTGAGTGTGGGGAGCGATCTCACGCTTGGGGGCCGCTGAGATCGACTCGAACGCATCAAAGCCCCATGGATCTGTGCTGGACGTAGGCGCCTTAGAAGAGGAGGCGAGAGGACGTGAGGAAGGCGGACCTGAGACAGGTTTCTGTCCGAATGTGGGAAGAAGCGAAGCAAAAGCATCCTCCTCCTCCTCTCTCTTAGTTGTAGTGGCGGCTTTGGCGGCCGGCGCCGTAGCCGTCACAGCAGGACGTGGCGGGGGCCGAGCCGTGGTGGCAGTGGACCCGCTGGACGGCATTGAGCGAAGCAGGGCATCGAAATTGTACGTAGAGGATGGAGTACTGCTCCGTGCTTTTGACGACGCAGAGCCCCAGTCCAAATCAGCTAGGTCCTCCATTGCCTAGGCTATGTTCTTCTCACTGCGCCAGCATGATGCCTTTGCCTTGTGTATGTATATGCACGTGACTTGGGGGACGCAGTGGAGTAGCGACCAAGGCACCGCACGGCCCTCCTAGTCCTTTTGAAGTGTGGCAGTAATGTTTCGTGCGCCCAATCCGTTTGAGGAGTTGGTCTTGAAGGCCACCGATGAAAATTTAACGGCAGAGAATTGGGAACTGAACTTGGCCTTGTGCGATAAGCTTGCATCGAACCATGATGGGGATGCGAGGTACTGCATCAGTGCCATCCAAAAACGAGTCGTACATCGCAATGCCAATGTGCAGTTGTACGCCCTAACACTCACAGACACATTGTCGAAAAACTGCGGAGATGCGATCCATCATGAGATTGCTTCCCGCGCGTTTATGCAGACGCTGACCAAGCTAGTGCGTGATGCCAACACACATACTCTTGTCAAGCAACGAATTCTACGGCTTCTCAAGTCGTGGGCAGACGAGTACAAAAACGACGATACGCTCGAGCTTGTGGCTGAAACTGTACGGGATCTTCATGAAGAGTGTATGTATGCTGTATAACTCACCCCAGACTACGATCTTGACGAAGAACCGGCCTCCGCCGCGAACCATACCGATTTGCAGCGCCAAGAAGAGGATGAGTTGCAGCGTGTTCTCGCCCTGTCCCTGGAGGACCAGGGGAGACGTACGGCTCATACACCCATGGTCACGCCTGGACCATCCGCCAGTGGGTCATCCAATGCAGCGCCACCGCCACCGCCTACGGCGGTGCAAGCCGCTACGCCTGTCATGCCCCCGACCGCTTCATCCTCCTTGCACGAGAGTGCCCCCGCCGGATCGGGTAGCCGTATGGCAGTGCCGGCACCTAGCATTGACCCAACAAGCGTGCCCGCACCGACGCATATGGCACGCCCTGCCTTTGTGCGGGCTGTGTACGATTTTGAGCCGGACGAGCCTGGGGAGCTGGCTTTGAAGAAAGGGGACATAGTTCGTGTTCTCGACAGTGTGTACGAGCAATGGTGGCGTGGCGAAAAGCGGCATGAAGTGGGCATCTTCCCTGTCAACTACGTGGAGCCAATGCCGGACGATACACCGGACCTTATTCAGCAAGAAATGGAGTTGGAGCGTACCGTATTTGCACACGCCTCGGATATTCATAGGCTCCATGCGCGATTGCAGCGTATCCAGCCACACGACAACTTTGTGGACGATGACGAGCTGCAAGAACTGTACCAACGATCTCTTGCGTTGCGGCCCAAAATCATCAAGTTGATGGACAAGTACCACACCAAAGTCCAAGAACTCCGTGCGCTCAACGACAAATTCGTCAGTGCGCGGTCGACGCTGGACGATATGATCCAACAGCATGTGCAATATACGTCCAGGAGCGTATCTGACGGCCCGAGCGATAGCGCTGCGTCCTCAACATCTTTGCCAACAGGGCCTTCAGTACCTAGCATGATGCCTATGGCCACATCCACGCCCCCCATTGTCGTGCAGCCACCGTCGACCGATCCTACTCCAGCGTCGACATACGAGGCCAACAGTGAGACGGCGCCAGAGGCCATGCCCATCCCACATGATGACGAGAAGCGACTTCTCTATGAACGTGCACGGGCTGAAGTGGAAGAATACCACCGGCAAAACCAGGCGGGCTCGTCGTCAGAGCCTAGTACGAGCGAGCTGCATGGGCTAACGTGGCAATCGTAATTTAGTACATACCTGTATGACGCTCGGAAAGACGAGGAATACTACGTAGGGATGGATCTTTGGCATACGACCACAAATACGCGTCCAGGTCGCTCTCTGTCATCGTCGCCATCCATGCCAATGCTGTCTCTTCATGCGCCAATTGATGCGCACGACGAACGATGCGATCCCCTGCAGACAACGCGGCAGCCCTAATGCGGTAGGCGTCCTCCTGAGAAAGGGTAGGCCCAGCCACGTCCTTGTCGCCCCCTGGCACTGGCTCAGGATGCCATGTCTGGAGCGGCACAATGTTGCTATGTGCCAATTGCAAAATGCCTACGGCCGTGAGCATCGTAGGCAAGACGTTGTCCACAAACAGGGGCAATGGCGCCTTAGGGTGCGTGGCCCAGTGCTGTGTCATAGCCTGGATGATTGACGGCACATCGTGTGCCGATGCCATGATCAGGCCTTGTAGCGCATGTAGGAGGAACAGTGCTTTTTTGTACATATACAACGGCTCATCGTCCACGATCGTCGCATCATCAAAGCCAGGGATACGGGCAATGCCTTCTAAGACATATGTGTCCACATTGTCATGCGTAAGAGCATCTTTGCATACGTCGAGCAGATAGCTCGCAAAGTCCTTGTAGCCACGTTGTTGCAAGTACGTGCCGGCTTCCTTGCAAAGCGAGGCGGCTATCGCTAGGGGCTCTTCCAAGGGCCCGCCTACGGTGCCCACTGTGACAAACGGCAAGGATGGGTGAGCTTCCTCGGTGTGTGTAGGCACGCCGAGAATCTGAGCAAGCTCCGTAGTACTGACACGCGCAAGAGCATCTGCCTGCAGGCTTGTCCCATCGTCGGACGATAGATACAGACCCATCACGCAGCGTCGCACATTATCATACGATCCATGACCCGTCACCTTATGAAAGTCCACACGGTATCCCGAGAAGGCGTTCAAGAGCGAAAGCACACATAGGAAATTGCATTCCTCGGCCCATGAACCAAAGCGCAGAGGGAAACGCAGGCCATGCTGTGCCTTGTGCTTCTCGAATCGGTCCTGGGAGAGGGACCGAAGAAACTGATCAATGTGCGCGTCGCTAATATCGATGCCTGCGCCTTGAGCCACGTCAGCCGCCTGCGCCCGCATCATAGATAGCGCGGTGCCTGGCACAGGCGTTGGCACGGACCTTGCGGCTGCCATGTCGACGTCGTGTGGAGAGGAGGCACACTTCGCGCGAACGAGCGAGGTCGGCCGAACTTTGTCGTCGTCGTCCTCTTCCTCCTCTTGCATACCATGGCGCTTCGTGCGACGCCTGTAATGCGGCAGGGCTCGCCGCCCGAGCTCATGTACGGGCTCCTGCGCTGGAGCAAGAGCGCGCGTGCGCAAGCCCCGAATGTGGCGGTGGCGCAAGGCCAGGCGCCGGAGGCTAACCTTGCAAAGAAAGCGTTCCAGCACTGGCGCAATGCTGACACAGGTCGCTGGAACCCACCTCAATACTCGCTGCGTCGCCAGGCCCAGTTGGTTCGTGCTGCACATGAAACAGGCATGCTTGATGCCGTCGTAGCAAGTCCCAAATATGCGCGGTTTGCACGCCGCCTCGAGGAAATGCCGACGCATGAGGTATTCACAGGCTTCCCTACGATCACATGGCCGACATTGTCGTCGCGTGAAGACGCTCAAGAAGCCGATCGTATTGCACGTACGTTCCACGCGCATGGACCGTATGCAGGCCGTGCTACGTCGCGTATGTTTAAGGGCAAGAAGGGCGATCGCGTGAAGCACGCTCGTCGACGACGTGTCGAGGAAAATATGCGCACGATGCACGAGACCATCGACGAATGGCGCAAGGTATGTACCTCTATTGACTTATTCTCTAGGAAAAAGCGGCAGCCCGGGCGAAGGCCAAGCCCATCTCTCCCTTGTAGACAGATAGATCTACCACGCATATGGATCCCGGCACACCTATGCCATCAGGCAAGCCAGCCATGCATTCCCAAGGACGGTTATCCTAGGGCTCCGCCGGCGCCGCAGCGAAGCGGCTGACAGCGCAGGCGGCGTCGCTCACGCCACGACGCGACGCGGCGTGGTGTGGAGGTTCGTCACCCGCCCTCACCATGGCCGAGTGGACGCAGCAGGCGCACATCCTTGCTGACAATGCAGTCCCTGGCGTGCTGGGAGGTGTTACGGCGCTGCATTTTGATCAGTTTGCGGAACTTTTGTGGGCTGGTAGCGCATCGGGGCAAGTCACATCGCACTCCAATGCTCTACCGGCCTTGCCGCGATACACGTCGTGCGCCGCGCATGGCACGCCTGCACGGCCCCATGAGGTGCGTGGCATACTGAGTGATGATCGCTCGATTTTGAGTGCGGGCGAGTCGTCGATTTGTGCGTCGCAACGTAGTGGCTTGAATCGCTGGACGCTCCCGATGGCGTATGTATACATGAATACGGACTAACCCGACAGGGACCATGCACCGGGTCTGACGCTCGCTGGCATGTGCGCCTCGCCTCATACGTCGAGCTCTGATGTGTTTCTTGGCGGTTCTACCATGCACTCGCGGCATGGACAACCTGGGGAGCATGACAAGATTTTGACTGTGCATGTCAATTCAGGTCGTATCGTGCGACATGCACCGTCCGAGGCGGCCATTACCCATATGCGCCGCAGTGGCCGGTACGTGTGTTGCGGTACCTCGCAAGGCACGATTCAGCTACGTGATCCCCGCACGCTCCAAGTGGAACACAAGCTCACCGCACACCATGGCGGCCTGCTCGATATGCAAGCAGAAGGCCACTTGCTCTACAGCATCGGTTGGACACTGCGCCAAGGCCGTCGCGTCGCCGAGCCCTTCATCAAGGCGCATGATTTGCGATCCATGAATGCCCTAGTCCCCATTCCCATGACAGCACCCGGTGGGCCGGCCTTCCTGGCGGTGCACCCGAAAAAGTCGTCGATCCTGGCCGTAGCGACGCCGCAGTCGCAGTTCCAGATAGTCGATACGGCGAATCCTGGCCTAAGTCAGTTTTACGCGTTCCAGTCAAATGCCTTCGTCACGTCGATGGCCTTTTCCTCGTCGGCAGAGACATTGGCGTTCGGTGAATCGGATGGATGCGTGCGCCTATGGTCGACAGACCATGGCACCAATACGCCGCCACGTTTCAATTCGTACCCGACGGCACCTGTCCCGATGCCTGACTACGCACCGCCGCCGCCCGTCGTGGAATGGACCGAGACGCAGCCTTTGTCGAGTATTGGTATGCCGCATTATGACAAGCCTTTGCTATCGAACATGGACTACGACAAGCTCTGGTCAGATGCAAGTCCGCTCTTCACCGTCCCGTCAAAAGTGGACGAGTCAGCTCTGGAACAGGTACACACGGTGCAAGGTGTCAGCTTTGCATCCCTGCCACGTCACTGGCGCGGCGCACGCAATCGCATCGTCGGCTCGGACGATGTGCTCAACCGCTTTGATCGGCATGGCAAGCTGAAACCCGGCACTGCCACACGCATCCGCCATGGTGGACGTGGCACACGCCGCGTGAATGTTCCCTTCCGCAGCGAAAAGGATGAGCAGGCATCGACGCAGGCTACGGCGGAAGCCGAAGCCGAAGCGACGTGGCGTGCCAACGCAGCGGGCATGCCTGGCTATTACGCCCCCGTCACCATTCAGTACAGTCGCTTCGGCGTAGAAGACTTTGATTTCGCGTTTTACAACAAGACAGCGTATTCGGGGTTGGAGACCAACATTGGCGCGTCGTATGCCAATTCCTACTTGCAGGCACTACACTATGCACGACCGTTCCGGCTCTTTGCTACGTCCCATATCAAGATGGCGTGTGAAGAGCCTGACTGCCTGCTGTGTGAAGCTGGGTTCCTCTTCCGTATGCTTGAAGATGCGAAAGGGACCAACTGCCAGGCCTCCAACCTTCTCCGCGTACTCGCCCGCACGCCGCAGGCTATCACGTTGGGCTTGCTGGACGACGAGGCAAACCATGCTTCCTATGCACACATGGCCCAGAACTTGAGTCACTACTTCTTGGACCAGGCGACGTACCAGGCGCTTCGTACGAGTCATGCCTTGGCCCTGACGAACGAAGACGCGGCGCTCTGTGCGAATCCGTGTGCATGGTCCATGCATGTGCAGACCACTTGCAATGCATGTGGACACACTTCAACACGCGAGCAGGTATCGCATGTCGTCGACTTACTGTACCCGAACGGCACTCCACAGCCACAACACGACTTTGCGGCGCTGCTAGGTGCCTCGATGCGTCGGGATACCATGTCGAAGATGACATGCCGGCACTGCCACACGCCCTATGCCCCGCATACGGCATGGCGTGCTCTCCTCTCGACCGATGCCTTGCCTGCTGTTCTCACCGTCAATGCCGGCGTGATGAGTGCGGAACAGCTGGGCCATTGGGTCCCCCAACCCTCGTCACAGGGTTTCCTAGCGCCACGTATGGCATTGCGTGTGGATCGCGGTCGCGTCGCTGCCCAGAACGTATGGACCGACGCGGACGCCGAGGCCTTTGCGTCAGACAGCGCATTGTACCTTCTCCGTGCCATGGTAGTGCAAGTCCAAGGCGGCTATGATGCGCCCCATCTGTGTGCGATGGTGCGGGGTCCTGGTGACAATGCGGAGGAGTGGGTTCTCTTCAACGATTTCCTTGTGCGAACGATCGACGAAAAGGAAGCGTTGCGGTTCGATGAGCCATGGAAGATCCCTGCCGTGCTGGTCTGGGAACGTGTGGATGCAGCTGCGACCGCACACATGGCGACCCTCACGCGGGCCACCGAGAAATTGGAGCCTGATTGGTCCCTACTCACCCAAGATTGGAACTTGGCACAACACCGCAAGAATGCGATGCATCGGCACCACTTGCTCACGCCTGACGAGCTGCCCAAGCCGGGGACGTTGGTCGCCATCGATGCCGAGTTCGTGTCGCTGGCGCTCGAAGATATGGAAGTATTTAGCGACGGTTCACGCTCGCTTCTTCAGCCCAGTCACTTGGCTCTGGCGCGTGTCTCAGTACTGCGTGGCGAAGGACCGCATGAAGGCGACTCGTTCATTGACGATCATATTCACACCACGGAGCCTGTGGTGGATTATCTCACACAGTATTCGGGCATCCAGCCGGGCGACTTGGATCCAGCCCAGACAGCCTACACCATCGTGCCCCACAAGCTGGCATACAAAAAGCTGCGTCTCCTCGTCGACATCGGGTGCCGCTTCATTGGGCATGGCCTCACGAAAGATTTCCGCATCATCAATATCTACGTGCCGCCCAGCCAAGTGATCGATACGGTGCTGCTGTACCATTCACCAGCGCACCCACGCAATTTGTCCTTGCGGTTCTTATCGTGGTTCTTGTTGAAGAAAGATATTCAGCAAGGACTCACACTCACCTCGGAAGACTCCGACGAGGTGCAAGTCCATCACGGCCACGACTCCATCGAGGATGCGCTGGCCGCGCTGCAGCTGTATCGCCGGTACGAGCAGTTTGAGCGTGATAACCGCTTGGAAGACATGCTCGAAGACCTGTACGAGATTGGGCCACGCGTTCACTGGCGTCCGCCAGAAAAGACATAGTATCGATTCTATACTACGACATACCTAGCTCGATGTCTCTGCTCGCCGACGCCGGCCCACCGGCTCATCGTCAGGATGCAAGTCCGCCTCCGCTTGAAGATCAGCGAGCTCATCGGCGTCGATATCGAGATCTTCGTCATCCCCATCCTCGTCGTCTTCCACTGCCTGCTCCTCCTCTTCTTCGTCGGCCTCAGCTTCAGCCGTGCTGTTATGGTCGTCGTCGTGCGCGTCGCCGCCTGCAGCGTCGCCCGCGTCCCCATCAGCTTCGTTATCGATCTCGGCCTCTGCCTCTGCCTCCTCCTCCGACTCAACATACTCGACGCCTTCCATATCCAGGGCGTCCACGTGTTCACGAAGAAGAAGACGTTTTGCTTGTTCACGCTCGGACAAGGGGCGGTGGCCCACAACGATACGATGCAAAAAGCCTTCGTACGGCACCAACAGGCGCTGCTCGGCTTTGCGTGTACGGCGGATACGCAGACCATACCGCATATCAATGCGGTGGTAGTACGCCACATGCCGACCCTGCGAGGCTGGTGTGACAACATGCTGCCGCTCACGCTCCTTCGCCGATTGAGGAGGCAGTGTCGTTGTGACATCCTCTGTACCATGTGTCTTATCGTCATCGTCATCAAACAAGTCATCGTCGCCTGCCTCTGCCGCGATCGAGGCGTTCACATCCACACCGTCCAACTCCGGCGCAGGATCCGGCTTCTCATCATCAAATACGACGGCCAACAGGTTATCTGTCGCCACAGGCTGGTCTACTGGCTCCAAGTCACGAATATGACGGAAACCTGTGCCATATACGTTCGCATCGCCTTCCCCTTCAGTCTCACCGTCGAGCCATGGCACGACCGGGTACACACCCAAACGCCGGCGTTTCTTGTACCGCTCCGCTGCGCGGTCCTCCCTAAGCTTCTTGGTATCTTCATCCAGCGTCTCAGGCTCCTGTTCGTCGTCATTATTGTCGTCTCCATATTGCGGCAGCGTATCTGCGCACGTCAAGTACATGGAAACACGCTGCTGACCTGTGAGAGGATCTGTGACAGGACGAAGCAAAGCAGCGTCCATACGTGGATCTTCGATTGGCTCGCCATGTGCGCCACGGCCAAGCAAGCCGGTAAAACGTACGATCTGGAAATGCGTAGCCCATGTCTCGGGGTCCGGCAGCAGCTCGAAGGCGTCCACGGCGTGGACGCCCGGCTTGGTCGGATGCTGTAGTGATCCCAGCGGTGTATTAGCAGACGCAAACCCTTGCTCGATACGCTCAATCTGGGCTGGTCGAGATGTATCCAAGGCTTCCCCGGCCGCTTTCGCATCTGTCTTCTGCTTGCGCTGCTCCGCGCCCAAATATTCAGTGCGCCGAAGCCAAGTGACATTCGCCGCCTGCGCTTTGGCAGCCTCGATACCCGATACAGGGATCGCACGATCCGCTGTGCCAGGTGCTTGTGCCACGTCGTCGGAAAGGAGGAAGGCATCTTCATCGTCGACCAAGTCCCAATCCAACGGCGTCTCGAGAGTCGCGGCAGCGGCACGCTGTGCCTCCTCCCCGATCCATAGGGACTCCATCTGCGCTAGGTCAATGGGCATACCTGCATCAGCATCCACAGCGACAGGAAGCTGCAGCGACTCGGCGAGGCGCTGCGAAAACACAGGCGTCGTATAATTGGGTTCCGGCGCAGGAATCCGCACGAGCTTCGGTGGGTACGGAAGCTCAGGCAGCGGATTCGGGTACCGAACCCGCTCAATTAAATCGCTGAGCCATGAGACAATGTGCGAAAGAGGAATACGTACCGCTTGCGTCGCGACGTCATCGTCAGTCGTGGAGAAACGCACGAACAATCGCCGCGCTTGCAGCCAGCGCGCTCAACGACAGGCGGACGACGGCAGCAGCAGCACTGCACGTGATGCGCACGCGGCGTCCTCCCCAGGTCCCCCCACGCGCGTCGCGTGCCGCATCGCAACGTACGACACGGCGCACGGTTGTGGCACCGCAAGGGCCATGACGCCAGCGCAGGGACATGCTCGCGCGCACTTACTCTCCCTCTTCGGGAAGCAGAAAGATTCGGCGTCTGTCCAGTCGGGCGTGGACGCTTTGCTGACCCAGCTCTCGCAGACCGACGAAGGCGACGACGACGCGGTGATGGCTCTCCGCACGACCCTCGCGACGCAGATCCAGCGCATTTGTGCGACCACATGGTCCGATACCGACTTGGATGCGGCCGTACTAGCGCTCATGCTCAAGCACCGCGACGATCAGCACCGTGCCGCGCCGATGCGTACGCAGCCTGCATGGACACGCGGCTCTACCGCACCATCATGGAACCTGCGCGCGCCCTCGTTTACGCCCCAGAAGCCGGGCCTGGCACAGGCGCCTGTCACGCCACTCGTCGATGAGGAGGAAGACGATGAGTTCTCGCCATTTGCTCGTGCTCCGCCGTTGCTGCCGGATCCAGAGCCGAACCCTACGATGGAGTCATTTGACTTTGAAGAGATGGAACCTGTGGCTTATACGCCGCTTGATGTATTTTGCAGTACTTTGCTCGCATACAATGAGGGTCTGTACGCTACGGAGCCCGATCCCTTCATGCGCATGGTGCGTGCATCTGAAAGCATTCAGCATGCGCTGGAACGCTCGAACTACGATGTCGGTGCAGCCCTGGCCTTGCTGCACGATGCTCACCAGCAAGGCAAGGATGTGTCTGCGCCGTCCGCTTGCAATACGGCGCATCCAGAAGAGGCGCCCGTCCGTGTATGCCGCTTCTTTCTGGCAGGCGAGTGTCGGCGCAGTGACTGCCGCTTCTCGCACGACCTGAATCGAGCCTTTTGCCGGTTTTGGATGCGTGGGCAGTGCCTAAATGACCCGTGCCAGTTTCTGCACGACTACGATGCGCTATCTACGTTGGCCCAAAACCCAGAGATTGCGCCGAAAGAAGTGCTTAGTGTACCTGAAGCGCCGCCATCCCCCCCACCGCTACCACGGCCGACATGGGACGCATCGCAAACGCGGTGGGCTGCCGCGGCCAAAGCAGGCTTGCAGGCTACGCCGCCGCCGGTGTTTCGACCTTCGTCGACGTCTAGCAAGACCACGATGCCAGCCCGCAGCGCTCGTATACCCCTTCGCCCCCCCACGCTGCTGCCTACCTTGGTCACCGGCAGTGCCTTGGCCGTCGATATGGCCAAAGTACGAGCGTCATTGCCCAAAACGCAGGACGCTTGGGCAGCGACGCAAGCCTTGCTGCTGGCACGGCATGCGCCGCTTCGTGATCGTGTGCTGGTAGGCGCAGGTGGTGATGCAGGTGGATGGGGTGGCAGTGCCCAGGCCAGTCAGGAAGCTGGGGCCCGTGGGATGCGGGGCCGCTGGATCGGGCAGGGACTCGGTGTATGCTTAGGGGTGGCACGGCCTGCGAATGTCGGCGCCTCGCTCTCGCTGGACGAGCGCGTAGAAGCCGTGCTGGATTTGCATGGCTTGACGGCCAAAGAAGCCTGTGAGGCCAGCGAACAGTGGCTGCTGGCCCTCGAAGCGGAAAAGTTTCGAGGCTTGGCGTACTTGTGTGTCGGAGCGGGGAAGCATAGTGCTCGATCCCAGGGCAAGCTGGCTGGCCAGGTACGTGCCTTTTTAGAGCACTGGGGCTATCCCTTTGCCGACTATGATGGCGTGATCGCATGCGATCCATGCACACATTGGTAGTCGAACAGAAAATAAAGAAATCAATGCCTCTACATAAACGCAGCTTGGCCACGGCGTGCCAGCTCAATGACCTTCCAGCCACCGGTCACTTCGTTCTCGAGTTCTTCCTCCACACGCGTGAGCACCATAGCATAGCGGCAGAGATTCGCCTGCTCGACACTGCCCTCTACGACTTCGCCCGTCTTGGGATCTTTGAAGTACATGAGCTCCTGCGTCTGGAAACTGATGACAAGCACAGGCATAGGGCCCGTCTCTAGCATTTTGCCCTGCACGATCTCAATGCCCGACAAGTCGAGGATGCGGCCATCCGCAATGTAGCCACGCTGCATGTATGGATCCAGCGTCGCCATGAGCACGTTGTACGTCGCCTCACCACACCACTGACGAAGAAAATGGCGCTGCGCAGTATGATAGGCATCCAGCAGTTCCGGCAACACATATTCACGCAGCTCGATCGTGAAGCCCGACAACGTAAACTTGGGGTCCATCTGCTTGAAGGCACGCACGACCTGTGCCGTCTCGTTCTCCTCGAACCACGACGCAACACGATTGGTCACACCACGCAACCGCTCCACAAACGGATGCTCCGAATCTTGGTACGCCTCGTTCCATTCAGACAGGCGGCGCATAAACGAGCTCTCCGAGCGGAACTTTTCCCACTTGCTGCCCTGCGCTGACTCTGGGGCAAGGACCAAGTGGCCTCCTGCCTCTGTATTCTCCTGCACACGCGACGACTGCACAGCATAGCCGCCCAAACGCTTCTTAGGCTTGGGCGCCTCCGGCGTAGCCGTGGGCGCTTCCTCTTCCACGCCCGCCGCATCACGACCTGCCGCCTCGCCTGCAGCCATGGCAGCAGCAACAATGGGGTCGACAGGCTCAGCATCTACATCATGCACAGGCGGACTACGCCCAATCTTGCGCAGACGAGCCTCCCGCTTGATCTTGCGCGCATCCTTCGCACTAGTCCCCTTCGCGACACGGATATCAATGGCGCCCGTACCATCGTCCAGCGCCTCGCTAATCGTCTCAGCGAACGCCTTGTATACTTCTGTGTTGCGCACAGGCGCGGTTGTATCCTCAATTTGCCGACGCAGACGGCTCGACATCGCAGACAGCGACTTCATGAGCTCGCTTTCCTCCATCTGACGCAAAGTGGCACCCACAGCCGCACTCACTTGGCCACCACTCTTGCGCAGCTGCTCCGCCGCTGCCTGCAGACGCGGATTGTGCTTGATAGACGAGACAATACGGGCACGCTCGTACGCTTCACGGGCCTTGCGCATCGTCTCCGAGTCCTGGAACTTTTCCGATTGACCCTGTAGCTGCTTCAAGTTGTCCTGGAATTCACGCGATTTGGACAACTCCTGACGAAGCGTCTCGACAAACACCTGGAAAGGCGAACGCGGTGCATCAGCACGCAGTACGGACGCATGAAACGCACGCACAGCAGGCGCATGAGAACGCAGGACCCGTGTGAGGGGCATGCGAGCGCTCTTCATGCTGAACAGAAAGTGTCGACGATGTACAAAGCTTGCCACCCTTCCACGCACCGCACCATGGAGAAGAGCGACGTTACGTTTCTTCTTGTCACGTGGCACGCACGTGCTAGATCGGACACTCGGTAGGCGGCCCATGCACCCCACCATCCACTTTGGCTACGCAAGGAACAAAGCGATGTCGTTCGCCTCGCGCTTTGGTCAGGCGCTCCAGCGCTCGCTGGACAGACTGCGTAGCGAAACAGCGCGAAGTATGTATCAATACACCTAACAACCTAGTCATGCGCATGGAAGTGGAGTCGGCCCAGCACCATACGAACGCCCAACGGCTGTATCAATTCACCACACCGCAAGACTTGACGCAGATTGCCACAGGCTCCGACTCGGATATTGGCGGATTGTCACGCTGTCACTTTTCGCTGGAAAAGGAGACCAAGCCAGACGGATCGACGCATACGTTTGGTCGCTTTTACGGCTCGCTGAGCTCTCAAGTGCCGCGTGGCTCGTCGTTGGAGAAAAGTGGGTATGCCGCCTTCCGGAACAAGTCGCGGCCCACGCTGTTTAGCACAGAAGCATGGGATACGTCGTACCATCCTTATCTTGCCCTGCGTGTACGTCGTCGTGTACCTGGTCCTGCCTCTTCGACCTCCGCCACAGAGGCGGCCTCCTCGGATGTGTCGCTTCGAGCTGCGCTGCATGCAGGTGATCAGGCGGGGCCGGCTGTGCCCCGTGCTGTCCAGGCACTGGGTTTGTCGTACGCCGGTATTCCCGCTCGTGCGCCAGAGCCGCCGCTGTTCTTTGTCAACATCCAAACGGATGGGCCTGTGACCACAGACTTGTACCAACATCGCCTGTTCCTCGATGAGCAGCAAGGCAATGCGTGGCAGACCATCACCATTCCCCTCGACTCGTTCGTGCTCACCAATACAGGCGTGGTCTCAGAATCACAAGTATCTATGCTACGTGAAAAGGTGCTCACCGTGGGTATTAGTGTATTGATGGACCCCCCGCTGCTACCACGCGACCAAGAAGTGCCAGAGACGCCGAGCCCTATACCCAATGCGCTGCGTCGCGTCGATACGGCTGGTCCGGCAGCGGTACGAGGCAGCAAGCGTGATCGTACCCTGTCCTTTGAACTGGACATTGCAGGTGTATGGGTCGTCGCCTCGCCCAGCGATGCACAGGCCTTGAAAGAGGGTATGTAGACATATCGACAATCTACAGTGTCAAGCCTAGAATAGAACAGGTAGCTCAGGGTATCTCAGGAGGTACTAGGACGCCAGTTGGTCATACTGGCATACTCGTCTTCTTCAATATCAGGCATGTTCTCCAAACTTGCCAATAGCGCCTTTTGGCTGATGCCCTTGATCTTTGGAAGAGCAGCTTCCTTGCTTGGCGCCGCGGTAGCCTCCGACGAAGGACCAAACAGGTCAAGGATACGATCTGTATCCATCTGCTCCATGGATTTGTTCTGCTGCGTCACGACCGAGTTGGCCACATTCAGCTTAAACTGCTGCAAACCCATGATCTTAGCCTCAAGGGTGTTGCGCGTGATGAGACGGTAGACGTTCACAACCTTCTTCTGGCCCAGGCGGTGGGCACGATCCATCGCTTGCAAGTCTTTCATGGGATTCCAGTCATGCTCCACAAAGATGACAGTATCCGCACCCGTCAGTGTCAAACCCAGACCACCCACCGAGGTGGTGAGGAGCAAAACATCAATACTGGGATCGGCGTTGAACGCCTGCACAATGCCATGGCGTCGATCGCTGCTCACACTACCGTCCAAACGGAGGTACGTTACATTGGGCATAAGCGCTTGGAACAAATCACGCTCAATCACATCAAGCATTTGTTTCATCTGACAAAACACAAGCACACGATGCTGGGATACCGACGCCGCTGTATCTGCCCCCATGAGCGCTGCATCGTTGGCAGGCGTATCGAGGCCAATACCGCAATCCAACAACAGCTGGCGGAGCGCTTGGAGTTTCGGTGCATGCGCCAGACCAGCCAACGTCCCTCGGTGTGCATTGACTTGCGTAAGTAGCTGCTTCTGGGCAGGAATCGATGGGTCCAGCACCAGCGACGGGTGGTTCGCGAGTTTGCGCAGGTACTGCAGCGTCTGGAAAATGTGCTGCTGCGCACCCGACGCGACATCTTCTTTCTCCTCGTCGTGATCATCGTCATTGTGCTGTTTCTTGATAAAGTCATCGTACAGCTGCTTTTGAATGTCGCTTAGCTCACACTCCACATCCTGGATGATCTTCGGCGGGAGGTCGTTCAGCACATCTTCCTTCAGCCGACGCAACAAGAACGGCACAATCTGTTTGTGCAAAGCTTCCAACGCCAAGGTCGCCGCCTCCTTGTCGGACGCACTGGGCTTGCCGTTACGGCAGGCCAGTACGGGCTTGGCAAACCGCTCGTGGAAAGATTGATCCGAGCCAAGGAAGCCTGGCATCAGGAAATCGAACAAGCTCCACAACTCCAACACATTGTTCTGGATCGGTGTGCCCGACAAAATGAGACGGTGCTGGGCACGGATCTGCTTGACAGCGCGAGTCGTCTTGGTCTTTGCACTGCAGATGACATGGCCTTCGTCCAAAATACAGTAGAACCATGTGCGCTGCGCTAGCATATGAATATCGTTGCGCACCACGTCGTACGACATGACGACGGCATCGGCATGCTCAATTTGTGACTGCAGCCGTGCCCGCTCGGAGGGATGACCAGCGTACAACAGTGGCTTGAGGTTGGGCGAGTACTGCTGAATCTCATGCACCCAGTGGCCTGTCAGCGTCGGCGGGCACACGATCAGCGATGGGATCGGGCGAGCATCGGGCGAAGAGGTCGCCGCCCACCGCTGCTGCCGCTCAAAGTGACGGCAGGATAAAAGTGTGATGGACTGCAAGGTTTTGCCTAGGCCCATATCGTCGCACAAAATCCCATGGAGTTGGTAGCGTGCCAAAAAAGCCATCCAGCTCACACCATCGAGTTGGTACGGACGCAGTTGCACTTTCATCTCCACAGGCAGCTGGTAAGGCTGGACTTTGGAGCCGTCCATGAGCTGCGCCAAGAAGGCCCGCTCCGTTTCCCGTCGAGCCAGCAACGCCGGCGAGAAGTGGGGCGGGTCAGGCAGGCCATGAATCAGCGGCACCAACTTCACAAGCTCGGCAAACGTATTCGTCGCGAGCAGACGCACCGCTTCATCGCTATCACTCATGCGTCCAAGGACCGGGACGACCAGGAAAAGCACGTACGGCAGCAATCGCTCGTCTTGGCCACGCACCGTGCACGAAATCACTTCCATTGCACCTTGCCGACGTGCGAGATCCGCCTCGCCGAGCATGGGAACAATGCACTCAACCAATTTGTGCATCGCCTCGTCTGTCACCGTACGTGTAAGCATACTAAAGCACCGAGCGCCGGCATTCCGGATGACCGCATATTCGCTCTGGATCACACGGACTAGTGCGTCTAGAAGCGGCGTAAGACGTGTGCGAATCTCGGGCGCAAGATGCGGCGCCACGCACTCAAGAACCGAGCAGGCGTCCAGCACAGCTTGGCCCTGTGTCTCGTCCAGCGAGGACGTAGTGGCAAAGAGATCCAGCAATGGCTGAGCCGAGCACGTCCACAGCATCGGCACCCGCTCCCATACATGTACGCTGAACTCTGTGCAGACATGCCGAAGTGCGCACTCGGCACCGCGACGAATAAACTGGCCTGGCGTCATGGTATCGTCCGGCACATTGGCAGCCGACCGGCGCGGCAAAGCCGATTCTTGTGCGGCCAGCAACATAATGCCATCGCGCTTGGTATGTGTGTCGGCAAAGAGCGACGTGAACGACGTGTCTTGGCATACAAACGCACACAGATTCTTGACGATCTTGGGGCTCGGATTCGCGGTCGCCGTCGGCGCCGTGCACAGCGCAATCAGACGGGCCACGGCCAGAGCCGCGCGTGCCTGCAAATCCACTTGTTCTTCGTACTTGATGCTGTTCATCAAGCTGCGGATCACAGGGTTGAGCTTAGGAGGCAGTACACTCCATGCGACAACGGCGCCAGCCACCGCAGCCAGGACCAGCACATCGTTCGTTTCCTTCGTGGCTTCGTACCGATCAATACCCAACGCGATCTTGTTCTTTTGTTCCTGCACCGTCGACACGCCTGGCGCCAACGACGCCGCGTCGGCAATGGCGCGGGCCGCCTCAAGGGTCATGGGCTCGACCAAGGGCGGCACACGTGCTCTCTCCACATGGGCATCGCGCACGAGCGAGGTGATGAGCTGCTGACACTCGTGGTGCAGCCGCTGCAGCAAGATGTGCATCTCTGCATACATACCTGGCATCGACGCGTCCAGCAGGTGCAGCAGCGTAGTGTGGACCTCGCGGAACGAGGCGTGCGTGTCCAGATAAGACACCGGATCCTCGACACGCTCTGCCCAGCGCTGCGCTACCACAGAGGCCAAGCACTTTTGCAGCGCTGATGTGGATGTCAAGGCCTCCGTAAGAAGCCGGCATGCATCCGCTTCGGCCATGGGCGCATGGGCCAGCACTTCGCCGAGCGCAGACGCCGCACCGATACGCCCACGAAGCACGACATCCATGCTGACCAATGTCAGGTCCTGCGCGAGAATCCCACGGTCGATGTTGTGCTCGGACTGAGCACGTGGCGGCACATAAAACAGGGCCATGTTCATCGGCGTCCCAATGGGCGTGAGGACGAGCTGGAAGAGAGCAGGCACGTGGGGCGCTACGCACTCTGCCAGCTGCGGCCCAAGCACATCGAGCACTTGCGCCCAGACCTGCGCCGTAGCGTCGCGAATCGCCGGCTTCTCCTCCACCAGCATATTCTGAAAGAGAAGGCGGACCAAGGCATCGTCCAGCCAGTCACGTGGGAGCGAAGGCGCTTGCAACAGCGCTCGCATGGCATGGAGCATTGCCAGGCGTACATTGGTAATCGTATGCCGCACAAAGCGGAAGAGAGACGGCACACGCTGCGATAAAGCCGCACGGTCCACCACCTGCAACACATCATCATGCGCTATGAGCGCTGCCAAGAGATCCATGACACTCGCGGCGCTGCTTGCAAGGTCGTCACGCTTGTCGCTGACGCACGCCCACAGCTGATCAATGAGCGCTGGTACACGCTCCAATTGATGTGCCACGATATTGCGGGTAATGGGCAAGAGCATCGCAGCCGCCACGGCACGAACGTCGTCATCATCGTCCCGCAAACCAAGTTGCGCGACATCCAGTACGTCCGCCAACATCTCATCTTCCACACCAAGCACGTCCACACGCATCGCCACTTCGTACTTGATGCCCAGAAGGCCTGCATGACGTACTTCCCATACATAGGGCTTCTGCCCATCCTTGCCTACCAGCTGTACAGCACGCACAGAGTCCTGGCGTACCATCTCAAGGAGGACATGATGCGTCGCACGTACCAACTCGCTGCTCATATGCGGCAGAAGCTGGGCCAGCGTCTGCGAGGCAGTCTCACGAACCGGCGCCACCACATGGTCGAACACAAAATCGCCCAATCGGTCCAGCGCAAATACACAGAGCAGCCGAACAGCTAAATCCTCACACCAGGCTGCATGTGCCTCTTGATTCGCAGTCGATGAGGCGCCAAGCGTCTTGCCGCCGCCACTGCCTTGCGTCCGGAAGAGCTCCCGAAGACCCAGCGCCGCGCCATGCCGCACTTCCCACGTGGGGCTAAACAGCTCGACACTCAAAAACTCGGCGAGCGCACGAAAAGGCCACTCGCCTCGCTTCCCTTGAAGAGACTGGACCGCGGCAATTTTGCTGGTCGGCGCACTATGGTCGAGTTTGGCCCGTTTCTCAGGCTCGGCGCGCGCGGCTGGGCGCGCTTGGCCCTTGGCTTCGAGTTTGCGTTTGCGTTTCAACTGAGCACGTTCACGTGCACTCAGTGGCTTGTCAGAGACGGGCTCCGGCTCCGGATCGGGTTCTGCCGCAGGGGCAGGGGACAGTACAGCCGAGGCCGTTTCCGATTTGCTTTGTTTGATAGACAACTCGGCCTCGACATCAAGACCGAGATCCATATCCGCACCGCCAAAGCCAAGCCCTAGCTTTCCAAGTACATCTTTCTTCGCATGCTTCAGTCGTTCTTGGCTGAGAAGCTCTGGGACATCGTATTCACGTCCCGCTGACGCCAAGAGTTTCGTACCCTTGGCCAGGACCTGTGCCAAGGAAAAGTCGGCTAGCTTTAAATGCTCGGACGGGGGAAAGCCAAGGTCCTGGCTGGCGCGGGCCACGTCGTGGGCCAACGCCACTTCCTCGTCTTCTTCTTTCTTCACAATCTCTGGGACGTCGGTGGCCTTGGCCTCCGCTGACGTGGAATCGTTTGCAGGGGTATCCGGATCCCAAACACCAGCAGCTTGGCATATATGATACAAGGCTTGCGCAGCAGCGTTTCGTGTATCCCAGCTCTTGGAGACAAGCAGCGGCACCACACGCGCAAGCAACGTAAGTACTTCATTCCATTCGCCATCCACGCCACGATACGAAGCGTTGATGGTATCGGCATCGACGCTGGAGGACGCATTGTCATGTGCTGTACTGGCGCCACGCACACGCAACGCCGCCATCTGACCCAGCTGCGTCGCAGCGGTCATGCGTATGGCCGACGAGGACCCAATGTCCAGCAACGACACGAGTCGGTCTAAACGCGTCGCTGGTGATCCCATATTCTAAAAGTAAATAGGCGTAGTCAATGGTATAGCATGCCCTCGTAGAGTGCACAGGGAAGGGGCAGGGTAGGTCGTGCGTCACACACACACACACCCGCGACGCGGTGCAACTTCACGTCCTGTGGGAGCAAGAAAAATATCGCTCTATATATATACACATCCCCTACGCGTGATCCTGTGGAGGGCATAAATCCACAAAAAGCCACCGGACACCTCCCCACCCCCGTGGCCTCAGCAGCAGCGAGGCGCTGCGGCCCAAGAGCGGGGGAGGTGGCGTGCGTGGACCGTGGAGGAAGCGAGATGAATGGCATCGCTTAACGGTCCTCGGCCCATTCCTAGAGGTGTGAGTGGGTGATACACGTATACGTACATTCTCACGGCGGATCTGTGCCTCTTCTTCGGGCGTAAAGTCGTTGTGGATATTGAAAAGCTTGCGGATTTCTTCCGGCTGCTTACCCTTGATCATATTCGCGCTATTTTGTTAGTCATAGCATACGTACACAGTCTTGCAGCCGACATCGAGGAGGCTCTTAATGTCCAGGTAATTGGCAGCCAAGATAATCTCAAAGAGCATTTCCTGGTCCACCTGGATGAACTTGGCATCCCATTCCGAAATGTCAGTGGCACGGCGCCGCATCTCGTCCGTCTCATCGGCTTGTGCAGGAGGGTCATTGCGGTGGTGGCTGCAGTATTCAAGCACCTTGGTCAGCACACTGGAGCTGACATTGGGCAGCGGAATGGGCTGGTCCGTCTCTCCAATATCTTCGATCATTTGCTTAATCAGTACAGATCGCTCTGCAATATCGCGATCCACAGTGAAATGTTCATTGTCCGACGTGGTAAGTAGCACCATGGTGATGAAGCAATCGTCGTCGCGCACAGGCTGCACGAGGTGGAGTGGGCATGTGCGCTGTCGACCCCCGTCCAGCGCCATCACGTGACGCGAAGAAGAAGCGTGTGGTCGCACGTCGGCAGGCAGCTGGCAGCCTCCTTCATGGCGTCTCGTGGTATGGGAGCTTGGAGCGCGGTATGGCGCGCGTATGTGCCGCTGGCACATCGCAGCTTTGCCACCGCGACTTCGATACGCATGGTACCTACGCCACGTCCGATCGGCTCATTGGGCGTCGGGGCCGCTGTAGCCGTGCAAGCGGATGGCTCGCCGTATGTGCCGACGCCAATCGCTGCGCCGACCACCACCGAGCCTAGCCGTCGGGAACGGCGTGCGATGAAGAAACGGCAGCGCAAGATGCAGAAGCTTCGTCGCCTGTCTAACTCGATTGCGGCGCGCCTCGGTGTATCGCAGCGCAAAACGGCCCCTCTTGTGCGAACCGACAACCAATTCAAGTCGTTCAAGCCCATTACACCGTCGATCCGTTGGCTTCGTTACCCCCTAAACACACACTTGCATCGGGGCAAGCCTGTGCGTGGGCTGACGATGGCCAAGCGCAGCACCGGTGGACGCAACCACCATGGTCACATTACTGTACGTGGCCGCGGTGGTGGTCATCGCCGCCGCTTGCGTATGGTGGACTTTTACCGCTGGGAAGCCGGCGAGCAAAAGGTCGTGCGTATCGAGTACGACCCAGGCCGCAGTGCCCACATTGCGCTCATTCAGCATATGGAAACGGGCCGTATTAGTTATATCTTGGCACCGGATGGCATGATTGCCGGCGATGTCGTACAGAGCTATCGTACGATGAAGCAGGAGACAGAGTCCAGCAGCCACTTTAACCTGGGTATCTTCCGTACGCATGCGGTTCGTCCCGGCAACGTATTGCCTTTACGCCTGATCCCCATTGGTACCATGATCCACGCGATTTCGCTGCAGCCGCTGGGCCCTGCGAAACTCGTCCGCGCAGCTGGTACGACGGGCCAGCTGGTCGCCTTTTCATCGTACCGTCGCCAAAGTGACTTGCATGAGCATGAGCTGGTCGAAGATGCCAGCAACAGCACGCATGCCCAAGTGCGTTTGTCCAGTGGCGAAGTGCGTTTGGTCCCGATTGAGTGCTGTGCTACGATTGGTATGGTGAGCAACAAGGACCACCAGCACCGCCGCCTCGGCAAGGCTGGACGTAGCCGTTGGCTCGGCCGTCGCCCGAAGGTGCGTGGTGTGGCCATGAACGCGTGCGACCATCCCCACGGTGGTGGTCGTGGCAAGTCCAAGTCGAACAAGGTACCACGCTCGATTTACGGCTTCCCTCTCAAGTTCCAGCGTACGCGCAAGCCTGGTTCGCGTCGTGGTAACCGCATGGTGGTGCGTGAGCGACCGCGCCGTAATGGCAAGCGCATCGGCAAGGCATAAATACGAGATAGACGTAGTTAGGAGCAGGATGACAGACTACCAACGTAAAACCTACTTATTATTTCTTCAAGCGTTGGCGCTCCGCACGCTGACGCTTCCGCAGTTTCTTGTACTTGTGCTTGTTCATCTTCTTCCTGCGTTTCCGACGCACACTGTCGAGCGACACAGACGCATCCTCGTCATGGCCCAATGTCGTTTGCAGCCACGAACGCCAGTCGTGGTCCGCGCCGACGCGCGTGTGCACCAAGCCCTGCATGAGCCACAAGTGAGCATCCTCATCGGCCACGTCAAAGTCGTCGACTGTGCGCGCCCGAACGCGGCGAGGGGATGTAGATGAAAACGCCGACGGCGGGACGTACGGCTGGGTATGCGATCCAAGGTGTGTCGCCACGCCTGGCGCCCAATCTTTGTGAGCGCCTTGCGGCTCGCCCAACACGACGAGTTCCGCCTCGGCGCCAAGGCGCGCAGCGCGCTCAACATCTTCGCCATGCTCCACAGCATTGGCAATGACCTGTTCACGCACGTCCGCATCGCGCTCGAGCTTTTCAATGTGTTTCGAGGCGGCCTGCACGACAGGCGACGAAGGGGCAAAGCCACGCGAGGAGGCACGGCGAGTAGTGCGGGTCTTTCGGCCACTGACTTTGCTGCCAGGCGTCACAGAGAGACGAGCCAGACCATCGATCAGGCCCGAAAAGGTCTTTGCATCCACAGACCGTGCACGACGGCGCCACATGTTGGGCCGCGGCACGACGAGGTCTTCGCTATCGACAACAATCGTGTCGCCCTGCATGAGGCGCGTAGGACGCGCGGGCAGTTGCTCATGCTCCAAGAGAGGTCGGTGTTGCGCATACAATCGCTGTAGGGTCAAGCTGCGCTCACTCGTCGGCGGCGGCGTAGCGCGTGGCAGAGCGACACGCGGCCAGCTAGCACGGTGGTTGTGCGCCGCCGCCTGCGCCATGGCGCGGCGCGGGGCATATGTGCGTGGGGAGGCCGATACAGTGGCCTGCAAGGCTGTACGTGCTGGCACACGTAAAGCCACGACGTTCCTCCGCATCGAAGCTCTAGAGATGCACGTCGAACAAAGGCAATGTCAGGCAAGAGAAGAAGGCTCCACGACGAGCCTCGCCGGCCGCTGCGTGCCACGTGATGCCCACGTTGCAGTGCGTGGCCCCACGATGGGCCTAGGCGAGGGGGACCCACTGGCCACGCTCAGCTAGCTGGCTGGCTGGCTGGCCCATCGCGCGGCGCCTGCCCAATCAGGCCCATGCGCGTGCCCGCCGGCCCTTGTGGCTGCGACCCGACAACCCCCCTCTGACACGGGCCTAGGCATCGTGTCCTTGTGAACACAGCGTCGTAGTACACGTTGGCTACCTCCGGATAGACGCCGTACGCACCACTAGCTACATGACCTGGGTCCATGGCCACAGTAGTGCCTCGACTGAAAAAGCGGCGTCTGTCCCCGGACGCCGCCACACCCTTGTCTAGAGACGCGTCCGCTGCAGCGTCCGCCGCTATGGCCGCTGCCGCGTACCTTCAGGCACCTACACAACCCCTCTACCCAAGCACGCCAAGTGCCTACGCTTCGCCGACGCACTCCCATCCGATGGCCGGCTCGTCATTGACGCCTATCGCGCCGGATTTGGTGATGCACAGTCCGCACGTCCCACGCGAGGCTGGCGGCGCTGGCGCCGGCGGTGAGACGTATCGACCACGCGCGAGTGTCGTGGAAATGATCAATGGCCACGAACAGCAGGTATACCTGGTAAGCGATGACGAGGACGATGATCAAGACGGGCCACCCCCCGCCTCACCCCTAGCACAGCCGCTCACCGCGCCACGCCCAACGACGATGACGACGACAGGCAAACGCAAAGCGCAGGCGCCGTGGGAGTTCACGGCCACCTCTGCCGTAGACGAGGGCCCGGCGAAACGACGGCGGCATGATCCCCCGTCGTCCATGGCGCTCTCTACGCCCGTGACACCGCATCTACACCACCCTGCCCTGCACCAACCCCCGCCTTCGCATTATCACATGCCAACCATGAACGAGCCGGCAGCCGCGGCCTCTATATACCCCATTCCAGAGACCCTTTTGTCGCCCTATGCCAAGTCGCAATCGTCGTACGCGGCCGCCGAGGCATGGCGTCCCTCGTTTGCGTCATCCACAACAACGACGACTGTGCCTCGCGTTGAGCATGTGCCCTTGGATGACAAGGATGGGCATATTATCGTACGTGAGGGCGACTACATCACACCACGCTACCAAATCCGCCGTTTGCTGGGCCAAGGCACTTTTGGGAAGGTCGTGCAGTGCTACGATCGCAAGCAGCATCGTGATGTGGCGATCAAAGTGATTCGTGCGATCCAGAAGTATCGCGATGCCAGTCAGATTGAGATTCGGGTGCTCAAGTGCTTGCGCCAGAACGATCCGAGCAACAAGTACCGGTGCGTGCAGCTCCTAGAGACACTCGACTTCCGCAACCATGTATGCATTGTGTCTGATCTTCTGGATCGCAGCGTATTTGATTTCCTGAAGGACAACAAGTTCCAGCCGTTCCCCTGCCGCGATATTTGGTCGTTTGCACACCAACTGTTGAAGAGCGTGGCTTTCTTGCACCGTCTTTCGCTGATCCATACGGATCTCAAGCCCGAAAACGTCTTGTTGGTGGACTCTGCCTTTGACGTCGTACCTACGTCGCGGCGGTCCAATGCACGCAAGAAACGCGTGCTCCGAAACTCGGAGATCCGCCTGATTGATTTCGGCAGCGCTACCTTCAGCGACGAGTACCATTCTGGGGTCGTATCGACCCGGCATTACCGCGCCCCTGAAATTATTCTCGGAATGGGATGGTCGTTCCCTTGCGACGTGTGGTCCATTGGATGCATCCTCGTAGAGTTCTACACGGGGGAAGCCCTCTTCCAAACACACGACAATCTGGAGCATTTGGCCATGATGGAAATGGTGCTGGGCAAGCTGCCTGACGATTACCGACGCAAGGCGGAGACATACAAGCCCGATTACTTTATGCATGGACGCTTGGACTACCCGCGCCACGATACGACCAAGCAGAGTCGCCGATACGTTCAAAGCATGAAGCCATTGGCGGATATTGTGGCAGGGCCCTCTGCGTACGCCAAGCATGCCCGGGAATTTGTGTCGCTGTTGCGGCGCTTGTTGGAATACGACCCTGCGAAGCGCATTACTGTGCAAGAAGCTTTGGAACATCCCTACTTTATGTTACAACCCCACGAATTGCCACCCTGATGGAGCTTGCATCCCTTGGCTGTTGTCGCCGAAGAAGAATGTCCGTACAGCTAGGCAGATACAATGACATGTCATGATACCATAGAAAGAAAAAGCACAAGCTGTGCTACTTTTTTGCCGTCATACCGACCAGACTAGATAGAAACTATTTACTCCGGCTTGGCAGTGCCCTCCTGGAACAGGTAGGTCAGGTGGCACTTACCACAGTACTGACGGTTGTGGTGCCAGGCCATGAAGATACCCGGACCACACTCGGGAGCAGGGCACTCACGGCGCAGCTGCTTGACCGAACCGTCATCGTTGATGCGGTAGTACTTGAGCGTGGCCATCTTGACCTTCTTGTGCTTGTGCTTGATCTTCTTGGGGGTGGTGTACGTCTTCTTCTTACGCTTCTTGGCACCACCACGCAGGCGCAGCACCAGGTGAAGAGTCGACTCCTTCTGGATGTTGTAGTCGCTCAGGGTGCGGCCATCCTCGAGCTGCTTACCAGCGAAGATCAGGCGCTGTTGGTCCGGAGGAATACCCTCCTTGTCCTGGATCTTGGCCTTCACATTCTCGATCGTGTCGGAAGACTCCACCTCAAGGGTGATCGTCTTCCCGGTGAGGGTCTTGACGAACACTTGCATAGCTGCTAACCAAACAAAGTGTGGTGTCCTTGCGGTGCTAACAAGTGAAGGAGAAAGGAGGCCGCCGCCGTCGCGCCTTTTCCTCTCGCTCTTCCGACCGTGGGAAAAATTTGTCACGTGTATGGACACCTCCACATCTGGCCCCACCGCGCCGCGACGCAGCGCTACGTACGCCCATAGGCCCCTCTATGGTAGCGCGCAGTACAGGAGGCACGCTTCTATTGAGCGTAGTACAATAGGGGTTATGATCATAGTACAAGGCAGAGAATTACGAACGCATGGGTGACAAGCTGCGCTCTCGGCGCGGAGCGCGACGAGTGCTGCGTGCCGACAACGAGTGCTTGGGCGGCTGCACAAAGGCATAGTCGGCCTCGAGAGGCTGCTCCAGCAACGTGAGGCCTTTTTGGCACGCCTCAATTGCATCGCGTGCTTCTTGTTGCGTCTCGTATTGCAAGAGCGCATACCCCTTGTAGAGTGAGAACAGATGCAGTACATACCTTGACATAGCCTGTCCGACGGTCCAGGTTCAAGTGCAGATCCCTGACCTTACCGAAATCCAAGAAGAGATCCATCACATCGTCTTCTGTCGCTTCGTCATGCACGTTCGTTACCATGATGACCCAGCCTTCCATCGCTGCAGGCGTTAGCAGATCGCGTATATAAGATACATACACCGGGCCGCGTGTGTATCCACATCAGATGCTGTATCCATAGCTGGTAGGCGCTCAAAGTCCCCAGTCTTGACGCCATCGGCATCTTGGCCAGAGGCCTGTGCACCAAACCCACGACCACGACGACGGATACTTGGATCTGCACGGTAAGACACAGTTTTCGGCGTACCATCGTCTAGCTCCATATCGGCACCGGTACCGCGGTACCGACTCTCTCGCTCTGCTTGGCTCATAGGGATCGTGGATATCGCCGCACGTTTCACAGCCAGCTGTCGTGGATCGCTGCGAGACGGTTGGCGGCGTGTTGGTTGGCGTGGCACGTGATACGACCTGCCTATGGCGCGGCTGGAGGGACACGAGCCACGTCTCGTTGCCAGCCAGGATGAGCGCGCGGCGCGATACAATCGCGCAGTGGACAAGTGCGTTGGAGGGCCAGCTGCCTGCCTGGCACGCCGCGCTGCAAACGGCTAAGCAAGCCTCGACGTCTACGTCATGGGACCCGGCGGCGGTGTCGGCATGCATGCAAGCGACGTTGCCGTCGCTGCTGCCTCTGTATGAGCAAGCCTCAGACATGTGCAAGGCAGCACGCACAGAGGCAGACAAGCCTTGTGTGTGGGATGATGTGCTCTTTACGTCAACATGGGAGCTTATACATGCCTATATTCTCAGTGCGGGGCACGTGAACGATGTCATGGATCGAGTGGATATGGCGTTGGTGCTGGCCGATGCAGGTACGTCGCGACCAAGCTGACTTACCCTAGGCTGTGTAGATGCGAGTCTGCCGCTTTCATCGCTGGAAGATTGGATGGAGCAGGCGCCCTTGTCGGCGTGCATGGCTATGGTCTCCTATCTGGAAATCCGCGCGAGTTGGCTGACAGAGAACATGGTTCCTACGTCCGGCAAAGGGCTGGTCTACTTACGTCTGTGCAATGAGCTCCTTCGTCGGCTTTCGCGTGCGCATACACGGCATGCGGCTGTGGCAGGGCGTATTCTGTCACTGCTAGCGTCGACGTTTGCCGTCCATGAGCGAAGTGGTGTGAACCTTAAAGGCGACTTTGACACGGCGCGTTCCACACAGATCGACGAGGTGGTGGCGGAAGCGCCGTCCTTGTCGAAGCCGACGCTAGACGAAGTGCTAGCGCACCCGCAGTTCTACCGCCTGTTTTGGAGCTTGCAATCGTACTTTGCGAACCCTGCGTTGTTGTTTGGCGAAGAGGCGATCGACATTCCTGGCCGAGACGCTGCTATCGCCTTAGGTCTCGAGACAGAGGCGACGTGCATGTCGACCTTCCAAGGGAGTATTGGATGCGTTTTGAACGTATTTCAGCACTTGAACAAGGAAGCCGGGCGTGCGAAGCCTCGTGTTGCTGCTGCAGCTGCTGCGGCTGCGGCTGCCGACGAGCAGGAGATGGTATACCCCAAGTACCTTGGCGCGCACGAGTTGTTTGCATACCAACTGCACGACGTGGCGTTCCGTCGGCAGTTTGTGATCCAGTGCCTGATGCTATTTCAGTACCTGCTGGGCCAATCGCAGGCTAGTCGTGAGCGAGCCAAAGACTGGAAGAACCAGCTGCTTGTCCTGCCGTACGAACTGAAGGAGAAGGACGAGACGTGGGCCCGCAAGACCTGGCGTCAGGCGCAGAGTGTGCTGCGTCAATCCGGGGCTGACAGCGATGTATATCTTGATACCATTCTTCCGATTCTGCGTCGCGAGAGCAGCTGGATTCAGTGGAAAGGCGCTGGCGCTCCCTCCATCGAGAAGAGACCACTCGAGGCGGAGGTAGAGCAGGCGTGGGTGAAGCGTGTACCTGCGTCGAGGGAATGCTCGACGTCCGCGTACCCACATGCTCTCGGCACCGCTGAGCTGAGTGCGATTTGGGCGGACGGTTTCCATGTCGTCCCGCCGCGTCAGATTGAGGTCCAAGACGAAGAGGGCCACATGCATATACGCACCATGGATGGATGGGAAGACTTGGAGTTCCCTCAAGTCCCACCATCGGTCGTATCTATGCAACGCCAACTTCAGCAAACGGACGACGACGATCATCGGCAAAGCATCGCATGGCGAGCGCTTCGGTGCGTTGGTCGTGAGCATATGCATTTGGTCGCACATATGACGACGCTGGATGATTTGCCGTCGTTGCTGGCCGTCATGGAGGCGGAACGCAAAGGGGCGGCCTACGACGTGCCGACCATCGGCGCAGAGCCGGTGGAGGAAGAGTACGTCGAGGAGATCGAGGAGGACAGCGAGACAGAAGACGAAGCTGAGGTTGACGCTGCGGCTAAGGCTGACGCTGCGGCTAAGGCTGACGCTGCGGCTAAGGCTGACGCTGCGGCTAAGGCTGACGCTGCGGCTAAGGCTGACGCTGAGACGGATGCGGCTAAGGCTGACACTGAGACGGATGCGGCTAAGGCTCACACTGACGCTGCGGCTAAGGCTGACGCTGACGCTGCGGCTAAGGCTGACGCTGACGCTGCGGCTAAGGCTGACGCTGACGCTGAGACGGATGCGACGTCAGCGGCCGAGGCTGAAGCGCCGGCGCCTGTTGCCGCCCATGACTCGGCAGCCGATGACACCGAGCCCACGTCCACCACGACAGCACCGGTGGATCATGAGGACGCTGAGCCCATGGACGAAGACGAGGGCATGGCAGGACCTCCGGCTGACCCGTCTGTCGAAGACAGCATGTCCGACGTGCCGCGTAGCGAGGCAGCGTCGGACGCCGGCGATGACAATGACAGCGCCAACGACAACGAACGTACGACACCGACTCAGCCTGCACATACCCTAGCGCCTGCGCCTGCCCCAGGCAGGGAGCGTGCCTCGTCGTCAGACTTGTCGTCGTCAGACTCCTCGCCCCTCTCGCCGTCGTCGCAGGAAGCGGACGCCGATGCCACGTTCATGACGGCGCGTGCCCAAGAGCCGGAGTCCGAGTCGTAGAGCTACGACGACGGCGCTTGTTGGAAGGAAGGGCAGGGGCCGACATCGTCGCTACCCACGCCCGAAGCGAGGCGACCAGCGCAGGCGCATCGTGCACCACGTCGCGCGGCACAGCGTCGTGTGCCGCTTTGGCCGCTTTCGAGGTGCTCGCAGGCTGCGCCAGCCATGCGACTTCTACGTCCAAACGCTTGCACAGCTGCGCAATGCCTTCACGGACGCGGGGCGCCAGCACCATGTCAGGGGCCTGTGTGTGGCGCGTATGCCAGCCATAGGCGACGTACCAAGCCAACCGCACGAGATGCGGGAACCGGAATTTGCGGGGTACATGGGTCGCCTTCTCCATCTCTTCCAACCGCCAGTGCATCGCGACATGGTAGTCCGCCAGGAAATTCCCACCGACGACCAGTGTGTCTTGCGGTGTATGGACACAGTGAATCCACCCAGCCGGAATGAACATCGTCTCGCCAGCTCGAATCGTGACGCGCATCATATCGTGCAGGGCATACCCTAGCCATTCACTGGCCTGCCGTGCGGACGAAGACCATGCTTTGTACGCGGCCAAGTTGGCCGGCGTAGGCGGTGCGAACAGGAACACCTTTTCGCCCCATACCACATGATAGTATACGTAGCTCGCCGCAAAGTCAATGTGGAAATCGGTAAACGCGCCCTGGACGCCCATCAGCACGTACCGCTGGACTTTGGGCCACTTGGATGCATCCGTGGCAAGAGGCCGACGTGTACATGGCCAGTCGCGTTCGACCCAGTCGCTCTCACGCACCATCTGCGGCGCTTGGACATACGTCTCAAACGGCGTGCCTGTCACTTCCAAGCTAATGACATTCAGCAGTCGTTCACGTTCCGCCGCAGGCGTCTCCATGTAGGTAGCCCACTCGTCCAACGTCCATGCATTGGACGACATTTGTGTCTGCACGTCAATCACCTCGACGTTGGTAGTCACGCCGACCTTCTCGGCGACGTCGCGGATCGTCGTACAGCGTGGCGGTACACGCATGCCAGGGATCGCCCCCGCGTCAGCAGGTACCAGTACAGGCGCCTCCAGCGCATCCGGCGACCAGGCCAGCCAATCGGACGTCCATGTCGCGCCATCCACACGACGTACCGTGTCTAGCATCGTGTCATACATCGCTAGCAAACGCGCCCAACGACCGAGAGGATCAATAGGCTTCCCCTCTTCAATCGCAGCATAGTCTGTTGTGGGCCGCATACGTCCTGATCTGCGCGGCGGTGCCCGCATCTTGATTTCAAGATGCAATGCAGGATCAGAGAGGCACGGTGCACAGTACCAGGTCTCGTACAGGTCGACGCGGTCCACATGCACGCACACGACATGGAACCATGTCCCGCAATGCGAGCATGCGACCCACACACGTTTGTCGCCTTGCGTAGTGGTACACGCAGGACATCTTTCTTCCTCATCTTCTCCTTCGTCCTCCTCCCCCTTGGTAGGCCGCAGCGCCTGTACGTGGTCCTCCGCCTTGCCAGGCCACATCGAGGATGCCTCCACCCCGCGAACGTCCAGCAGAGGTAGGCGGCGTTTCGTTGCGTCCTCCACCTTCGCGTCCTCGTTCGTGTTCGACACAAGGATGGTGGCGACCCCGGCGGAGCAGGCGCTAGGCGCGTTCCTTGGGCTAGGTACGTGGTGAAGGACTTACCGAAAGATGAGACGACTGTCACAGAGCAAATCTTGCCGTATTTGTCCACACATACCACGCCAAAAGCGCTACGCATGTACTTACAAGATTTGATCGGGACCTCATCGGAGGCCAAGGCCCTCGCAGATCAAGTCGTAGCGCAGCGATTTCCTACCCATGCCGAGCCCACCCGCAAACGCGATACCAAACCGATCCGACTCACGCCTGGGACGGTGGTAGCCGCCTTGGCAGAGTCAGAAGAACGTGCGATGCCACGTACGCTCGAGCCGACCCCCGAGATGAAGGCATTGGATTTGGCGTTCGCCATGGTCTCTACCGAACCTAGCTCATCTGCAGCACAGGCCTATGCTCCGACAATACGATGCATCTGTCTCTGCCAGGGCCGACGGCATCCCCTGGCCGCGTGGGTCCCACAGTGCACGTCATGTGGCCTCCTATTGTGTGAAGCGCTACGTCCCGTGGTCGTGTCCCCTTTCTCCGTATGCCCTTCATGCCAGAAAAGCCCCATTGTCACCTCGTCTGCACGTGCCCGACTCTTGAGCTCCATGGTCGAACGTCGCGAGCGCTTGGCCCGCGAGCAATGGGACCACGAGGCAAAACGGCACGCGGAATGGCAGTTACAACGCACGAGTGGTCGCGTCCCCGACCAACCCTTCCCCACGCTGCATGGCACACCAACACCAACTCCGTCCAAGCCACCCACTCAACGCAACCGCGTGCTTCGTCTTGACACGAAGACACACAAAGTCACAATTGCGCCTTCGAAGCCGGCCGCCAAGGCTGGAAAAAAAGGAACAACAGCGCCAGGAGGTGCGTCCCAGGATACCGAGGAGGAATGGCGTACGACAGCGGAGGATGGGAGTATGCTTGTGCATGATTACGATGACGATCAGTTTCGTGAGCGCTATGCGCCAGAGGCTTCGATCTCCTCAGCTTCCCCTACCAAGGCAAGTTGGGCAGGGCTGTCGTCCCAGTTGCTATGGACGCCTACCTATGTACCTGCAACACAACGAGATGCAGCCATGGCGCCTTTGGTCTCAGACATCCTGACAGAAGTCCCCGACATGGACTTGCTGCTGCAACGCAAGCCACCTGGCAGCACGTCCACTGATACCCGCCGACAAAATCGGTCCAAGGCAAGTGCCTCTGCGATCGCACGCAGCCAAGGCCGAAAATCGGGTAAGGCTGGCAAGAAACGATAGTGCTATATAGCGGCTGCCATGCCTCACTTTAGGACCCTGGCAGGACGAGGCGCGGCGTGGCCCAGCGGTTCGCGTCACGTGCGGCATCGGTGCACTGCACGGTTCGATCGTCGAGGTGCCATCGTACCGTACCGTACGCACCCCAGGCCGGGACCGAGTTTCTACGTTTGTGGCGCAATGGGATTCTTTTCGAAGAAGGAAGAGACGCCGGCATCCACGCTGCCTGCTGAGGTGACTGACAAAGCCGAGGTATGTACGACGTAAGTCTCAGGACTCACATGGTAGATCGGTCGTACCCTGCTGAACAAGCTGGAGCACGCCGTGGCTGATCCCCAGGCGCCTGCGCCCCCGCATGAACGTCAGGAGGCTCTGGATGCCTCGATCCAAAAGAAGCTGCATGATGAGCTGGCGAAACTGCGCAAGCAGGAGAAGGATGTGCAGAAGCAGATTGAATTGGCATTGGAGAAGGAGAACTTGGAGCGCGAGAGCAAGTCTTGGTTCAGCAAGGACAAGGGCCAGAGCAGTGTGTTGCTGCAGCAAGAGCTGGACCGTGTGAAGGCACAGGCCGAGAAGTACCAGCGCCGGGACATTTCGTCGTTCCCTACGCTGAAGGCCGCGCGGGAGTCGTTGGTGCAATGCTATAAGTATGTACATGCTTCACTAACATATTAGGGACAACGAGGGCCGGACACTGGACTGCTGGAAGGAGTACGATGACTTTAAGAAGGCCATTGTGTCGGCAGAGCGGGTACGTATGAACGACCAGGATTTAACAGGCTAGGACTTGTTGGCATCGAAGAAATAAAAGATGCATAGCTTTATAGACGAACTACACGATGTCAGAATGGCTTGGGTGCGCTTGGGGTTGTGGTCATGCCGCGAGACGTGCCACGGACCAGGGAAAACCTAGACGAGGCAGAGTCGAACTGACGTCGCACGGGCGACGACAGGCGGCGCCGTGCGGCCCGCCGCGCGTTTTGTGGAGCATGACTGGCCCACCTGCTTGGTTTCCCCTGCCACGCGCTGGCGTTACGCATAACGCGGGTTCGGCCGGGCGGGTCGGAGGAGGGGACACCCACGGCCATGGGTATCCAATCACCTGCATGTGATTGGTCGGCACAACCCGGCTAGAAAGGCGCGCTGCAAGAGGCAGCCCCCACCCCTTGAGCCCCGTGAAGGAGTTCTTGCTTGGTCCTTCTAGTCAATCCAGCTTGCTATCAAACCTCTGAAGCGATGATTGGCAGCAGTGCGTTTCTGCGCACCGTGACGCGCTCGGCGGTCCCTCGTACCCGTGCGACCTCGCTGATGCCGCGCGTGAATGCGTTCCACACCTCGTCGCCAGCTGCGCGTGTGCTTGGCACGCAGCCTCTGCGGGCCAAGGCCTCGGGTGGTGTGTCGGACCTGGGCAACGGCTACCCTGTGATTGAGCACGAGTATGATGCGATCGTTGTCGGTGCTGGTGGTGCCGGTCTGCGTGCCGCTTTCGGTCTGGCGGAGGGCGGTCTGAACACGGCTTGCATTACCAAGCTGTTCCCGACCCGTTCGCACACTGTCGCTGCGCAGGGTGGTATCAACGCTGCGCTCGGTAACATGACCGAGGATGACTGGCGCTGGCACATGTACGACACTGTGAAGGGTTCGGACTGGCTCGGTGACCAGGATGCGATTCACTACATGTGCCGTGAGGCGCCCAACACTGTGCTCGAGCTGGAGCACTACGGTCTGCCGTTCTCGCGTACAAAGGAGGGCAAGATCTACCAGCGTGCGTTCGGTGGTCAGTCGCTCAAGTTCGGTAAGGGTGGCCAGGCCTACCGCTGCGCTGCCGCTGCTGACCGTACTGGTCACGCCATGCTTCACACTCTCTACGGCCAGTCGCTGCGTCATAACACCACGTACTTTATCGAGTACTTTGCGCTGGACCTTATTATGGAGGATGGTGAGTGTGTTGGTGTGATGGCGATCAACCTGGAGGATGGTACGCTCCACCGTTTCCGTGCGCACAAGACGGTGCTGGCCACGGGTGGTTTCGGTAAGGCCTACTTCAGTGCTACGAGTGCGCACAGCTGCACGGGTGACGGTCTGGCGATGGTTTCGCGCGCTGGCCTGCCTCTCCAGGACCTGGAGTTCGTGCAGTTCCACCCGACCGGTATCTACGGCGCCGGCTGCCTGATCACGGAGGGTGCCCGTGGTGAGGGTGGTTACCTGATCAACTCAGAGGGTGAGCGCTTCATGGAGCGTTACGCTCCGACTGCCAAGGATCTGGCCTCGCGTGACGTCGTCTCGCGTTCGATGACCATGGAGATCCGTGAGGGTCGTGGTGTCGGTCCTGAGAAGGACCACATCTTCCTGCAGCTCTCGCACTTGCCGCCGTCGGTGCTCCATGAGCGTCTGCCGGGTATTTCGGAGACGGCGAGCATCTTTGCGGGTGTGGATGTGACGAAGGAGCCGATCCCTGTGCTCCCGACTGTCCACTACACCATGGGTGGCATTCCGACACGCTACACGGGTGAGGTCCTTACACAGGACGCGAACGGCAAGGACAAGGTGGTGCCGGGTCTGTACGCTGCTGGTGAGACGGCTTGTGTGTCGGTCCACGGTGCGAACCGTCTGGGTGCCAACTCGCTGCTCGACATTGTCGTGTTCGGCCGTGCTTGCGCTCACCACATTCTGGAGAACCTCGACCCGGGTATGCCGCACAAGGAGCTCAAGGGCGACAACGGCCAGCAGGCCATCAACGACATGGACGCCATCCGCAACGCCGATGGCGAGCGTACGACGGCCGACATTCGTCTCGACATGCAGCGTGTCATGCAGCGCGATGCCGCTGTGTTCCGTACGCAGGAGACGCTGGAGGAGGGTGTGAAGAACATTGACCGCGTCGTCTCGGAGTTCCCCAAGGTCGCGATCAAGGACCGCGGTATGATCTGGAACACGGACCTTGTGGAGACGCTGGAGCTGCGTAACCTGCTCAGCAGTGCTGCGCAGACGATGCACTCGGCGGAGGCTCGCAAGGAGTCGCGTGGTGCGCACGCCCGTGAGGACTTTACCGAGCGTGACGACGAGAACTGGATGAAGCACACGCTCTCGTGGTTTGACGAGGAGACGGGCAAGGTGACGCTCAAGTACCGTGAGGTTATTAGCAACACGCTGGATGAGAACGAGTGCAAGTCGGTGCCGCCGTTCAAGCGTGTCTACTAAACAGCGCTATAGATGAATACTGACGGGATTGTGCTTTAGTCGTAGTGTTTGTGTGATTGGGTGAGATGGATGCGTAGACAGGCACCGCACCGGACCGGCAAGTCGCCAGGGCCTCCACCCAATTTGGCCCTTTTTTCGAGAGTTCGATGATGGTATGGCACAATGCAGTGCGGCGCTTGAGTACGACGGCACGCTGCGCCCATGAAAACCCCCTCGTACGTGATACTCGAGACTAATGGCAGGGCTTGCCGCGCAACAATGAACGGCGTCCACCGACCATGCCACGGCGTGGTGGGACTCAACCACGCAGGCGCATCCCGAATGTCCGCCAAGTGATTGCCGTGGCAAGTGGCAAGGGCGGCGTAGGCAAAAGTACCGTTGCTGCCAACCTCGCACTGGGCCTCGCATCCACGTCGACAGCTCAGCTGGGGCGTCGGGCGCGTGTCGGTCTCCTGGATCTTGATATCTTTGGCCCAAGCGTCCCGAAACTTATGCGCCTCGAAGATATGGGCGAGCCGGATCTGACACAGCGTACGTGATCCTCGTCGCCTGCCTGCTAACCTGCCCACAGAAGGTGCCTTGATTCCTATGACCAACTACTCAGTCCCGTGCATGTCGATGGGCTTCCTTCTCCCGCCGGCTGCGTCTGGCTCAAACGCAGATACCCCGATCGTATGGCGTGGCCTAATGGTCATGAAAGCCGTACAGCAGCTTCTTTTCGACGTGGATTGGCGTGCCGGTATCACTCCCACAACTGACCCTGCTACAAGTGACCTGGCGCCTCTGGATGTGCTTGTTATCGATATGCCACCAGGCACAGGCGACGTCGCGCTCAGCCTCAGCCAACTGGTCCTGGTCGATGGCGCCGTGATCGTCAGCACGCCACAAGAAGTTGCACTGATCGATGCGCGGAAAGGCATGTCGATGTTCCACAAAGTACATGTCCCTATTCTCGGCATGGTCCTTAATATGTCCCATTTTCGTGCGCCTGATACCGGTGCGACGTACCCCCTCTTTGGCCCTGCGTCGTCGTTCGAAGCGCTGGCCGAGCAATGGCATGTCCCCATTTTGGGCCGCGTTCCTTTAGAGATGCATGTTAGTCAGGGTGGCGACGCAGGTATCCCTGAAGTCCTCCGCCCTCAAGCCAAGGAGCCAGGAACGAGCCAAGCTGTGTTCCTTGAGATGGCACGCCAGGTGTGGTCGCAGCTCTCCAAGATGGGCACACCCGCTTCACCCTAGAAACCCAATAAATTACGTGCGATGCATATCAACTATCTAGGCCACGCCAATTAACGAACCAGCCGGTACAATCTTAAGCCATTACGTGGTTGCCCTTCTCGGTATTTTCGCCAGGGGCGGCCACAGGAATCATGTCCGGCTCGCCCTCTCCCTTGGGCGGCGCCAAGCCACCCATGTGTGTCGCCGTCGTGTCCGAGCCCATCGACGGCAAAGTCTCGTCTTGGGTGCCAGGCAGGGCCGCGTTTGCCGGCCCCCCTTTCTCCGCCACCTGAATGGCCTCGTCGTACGTCCTGTCAGATTGCATGCGGAACGGATTCTTCTCTGGCAGCTCATCGCTCACCACATTGTTCGAGCGAGGTAGGTACCAGTCTTGCGCAAAGAACGACAGAACGAACAAGAACGCCGAAATACCGATGGCAAAGTACACCACGTGCACACTGGCCTCGTTGTACGCCGTCGAGACCGCATCACCTGCAGGCGTGCCGTGCTGCAAACCCAAGCCGAAAGAACTTGCAGGCATAAAGGCCGACGTTGGTGACAGTGCCACCGCCTGTTTTTGCGCCTCGGAAAGCATCGGGGCGTACTGGTCCAGCTTCTTCGGGAGCTCATCGTTGAGAATAGCCTGATAGACAGCGGTACCGACTGAGTTACCAAGAGAAAACAGCGTCAGGATCACCGACGTCACCATGGCTTGGTCCTGATGACGCACTGTAATCTGTGACATCAATGTCAAGATCTCACCGAGGAAAGCACCACCAATACCCTGCACAATCTGACCCCAGACCACCTGCACAATCGACGAATTGAGGTGGCGATAGCGAATTTGAAGACCATAACCAATCATACGAACCGCCGTACCAGCCACCAGGAACCACTTGTAGCGGCGTGTGTAGGCAATAATCAAGCCTGCGATAACGCCAAAGAGAGTGAGCGCAAGAGTGTCAGAGAAGGTCACGTATTTGGACTCCTTTGCAGTTGAATCAAAGCCGTACGTGACGATGATCCAGTTAAAGATGACTTGAAAACTGGCACCGAACACCATATTGTCAAAGAACGCCAGGAGCATGGCAATGATTACTTCCTTGTTCAACCACGAGCGACGGAAGAAAGGTCGTGGCGCAATAAAGTATTCATATGTGGGTAGAATAAATAGCAAGATGATAGGCCCCACTGTAAGAACCGCGATGACCCAATCTGTAGACCATGGCGTATACTGACTTCCTCCGCGAATAAGTGCCACCACAATCATGGCAAAACCACCCACCAGCAAAAGCAAGCCAATCAAATCCGAGTCAAGAAACAGGTTCCACAACGCATAATGAATACCCTTGCGGAGATATGGGTGCTTCGGTACCAGACCCGTACGACGAGCCTTAAATTCCAGGTACCATAACATCGCCATCAAGCAACCTGTGACTACCGGGATCATAATGCAGAACATACCAGGAAGCCAGCGCCAGTTTTTAATGGTCAACGATTGCTGGATCATTGGTCCTGTCGCAAAAACGATAAACATGGGCAGCGACACAAGGCCGTAGCCTAGCATACGGTAGCGCGCAGACAGGAAATCGGCCAACACAATCCAAATGACCATCTGCACGCCAGAATTCCCGATACCGTAAAAGACAACGCCACCAGTATAATCAGCGCTGTTCTGTGAGACGGCCATGATCAAAAAGCCCAACGTGTAGCAAAACACTGTGACGCACAACGCCGTAAAACGTCCAAAAATATCAGCAATTTTGGCAACCACTAGCTTGGCAATAGCAGTGAACAATGCTTGCACAGTGTACGCTGTAGATGAGTTGACTGAGCTGCCATCAGGCAGATACTCTTTACTCGCAGTCACTGTCAGTGTCGTACTGGCAATCACTTGGTTATCCAGGGCATAAAGGAAATAGGTAATCCACAGGAATATAGCAATACCGTACCACGTATATCCTGACACAGCATAGGTCGCCTCTGCAATAACGACACCGACTTGTTTCACTTCGTCTTCCGAAAGGTCACGCTCATCGCGCTCGACCTCCAATTCGGGCATAAGTTGAGCCTTCGGCTTCTCATTCTCCAGACCATAACCCGCAGGCTTCTCGAATTCTGGGTAGTGCACCCGCCAGATATCCGTAAAAAGGGTTTTGACAAATGTCCCTACCCGCGACATACTGTATGCGGTGTAGACGGGCACTCTTTTGTCGTGTGGATCTCTAAATACTAAAGCAAATCTTGTCACCGAAAAATATCAGATTGTCTGTGGCCTCACGTAGGGCAATTCGGACCTGCCTAATGCAACGAGGTTATCAGATTGATTATTTTGGTGAAGATTTAAGGCACTTGGTAAGCCAATTAAATCCCTCCCCCATGCTTGGTCCTTCGGCCGGCGTTGATTCGCAGAGATTGCATCACCCTTGCCCGGCCATCTATGACATCATAGGCACCAGCCACGCAGGGTGGTCACACTAGATCGGTGCTGAATGTGATGGGGTATAGCGATCTCGTTCAAGCTCTCTTTTAAGTGGCCTAAATTTGTTCCTTGTGCCTCCAAGTATTTTTCTCTATCTCTTTGCATATCGTTGCGCGCTCTGCGTGGTGGTTGGGCTACGCCTGTTGCGCAGAGGAGTTCGTCATGCTTACATACGGGTTTGTAAGAAGAGGGCCAACCATTCCGTCATGCGAGGCACACCAGATAGACATAGTCGGAAAATATCTGGGCTGTGTATACTATTGGCTCTTTGCATGGACATCGTTCTCCATGAATCAACATGCTTCTGTATATAGTCGGATCCACATTGGGAAGGCTGCATGATGTCTGTCAGGTGACCAGTCAATTCTCTCGTCGCGGCGTAGTTCGGGCGCCAACCAGCCGTTTCTTTTTGCAATCCCTGCATGAGTTTATCCATGGGTTTCAACGAAATGGTCCGTAAAATATCGTCATTGGCTCCTTGATCGGCGTGTCCACCTTTCGTAGGTTTGACATGACCCCACAATGCTGCGACAAATGGGAAGGGCTAATGCAGTGAGGACAGAATAAAAGGTGAAGGCGGAGCTAGTCATGTTCAAGAACGTGGCGTAGCGCGCAGTCCTTTTTGTTTACAATGGCAGCCTGGTCTGAAAAAAGAGTTGACGAAGTAGAGGACATGGCAACATTTGGGCAATCCTCCAGCGCAAAAGCTGATAATGCTACTGCCAAGGACCACACTGTCTATGCGAATGGGAAATCGCACGATACCTTTATTGGCCTTAGTGGTTCGCGCCTCAACATCATGATTGCCGTGACCGCTGGTGTCGGTTTTACATTGTTTGGTTATGACCAGGGTGTCATGGGAAGTCTGTTGACTCTTCCCTCGTTTCTTCAGCAGTTTCCTACAATGAATGGCGCTACCCACCCAACTCTACAGGGTGCTACTGTGGGTATCTATGAGATTGGTTGCTTTGCTGGTGCTGTATCCTGTCTGATTTGGGGCAATGCTTTTGGTCGTCGTGCTATGATTTGGATCGGCAGTATTTTCATGGCGGTTGGTACTATTATCCAATGCATTGGTGAACATGTGGCTATGCTATGGGTTGGCCGTATCATTACCGGCATTGGAAATGGTCAGCACACATCTACGATTCCTGTGTGGCAGTCGGAGTGTTCGCCGCCGCACCGTCGTGGTATGCTTATTATGATTGAAGGTTCCCTGATCGCGCTTGGCATTATGATTTCGTACTGGGTCGACTTTGCACTTTTCTGGGCCGACAGTGCGAAAGGCTTTTCGCCACTGCAGGAGGGTTATGTCAAGGCGACTAGTATCGACACAGTATCATGGCGTTTCCCTATTGCTTTCCAGTTGCTGCTGATTCTTCCCACCTTCCTTACTATTTGGATGCCAGAAAGTCCTCGGTGGCTTTTGCTTCGCGGTCGTGAGGAGGATGCCCGCAAGGTTCTTTCGGCTTTGCATGAGCGTCCTCGTCATGATCCGATTATCGACACGCTTGTGGACGAGATTAACGAGGGTCTTGCTCTTTCGAAGGATGTGCGCTTCCGTGATCTGCTGAAGCAAGGAAAGAGCCACAACTTCCATCGCACGGTTCTTGGTTTCGTGGTTCAAATGTTCCAGCAGATTACAGGCATCAACCTAATTACCTATTATGCTGGTACAATTTTCCAGAACAATATGGGCATGACGGATGTAACCGCACGTATCCTTGCTGCTTGCAACGGTACCGAGTATTTCTTGGCTTCTTTGGTGGCTATTTTCACCATTGAGAAGTTTGGTCGTCGAAAGCTGATGATTTTCGGTGCGCTGGGTCAAGCCTTTACTATGGCTGTTCTTACTGGTCTTTTGAGCCGCACAGCCTTGCAATGGGATCCCAAGCCCATTGATGAAGAAATGTGCAGTTTTTACCGACAGGGTCGTATCAATGAAAGCATCTGGTGTGAGCAAGTGCCAGGCAAAGCCCGCCGTGATGGCTATGCGGTGGGTGGCGTTGTAATGCTTTTCGTTTTCAACACGTTCTTTGCGATTGGTTGGCTGGGTATGACTTGGCTCTACCCGGCAGAGTGCACGCCGTTGAGTATTCGTGCGCAGGCGAACGGTATCTCGACGAGTGCGAACTGGCTATTTAACTTTTTGGTGGTGATGATTACACCTATTGCGTTCGCTAATATCAACAACTATACCTACCTCATTTTCTGTGTCATCAATCTTCTTATGGCTCCCGCGTCATGGTGGATTTTCCCAGAGACGGCGGGCCGAAGTCTCGAAGAGATGGACGAGATTTTCGCACGATCTAGTGTGTGGAACCCATACGATGTCGTGCGCATCGAGAAGACATTCCCGCGTCGTTACGACCAACATGGCCATTTGAAGCTGGAATACATCGAAGAGCACCAGCACTTCCATGGTGTTGATACGTCTTTAAAGCCAGCTCCATCGCCAGAAAATATCTAATCTAACCACAACGAGGACATTTACGAACAATGATAGGCTCACGCTTGCATGTAGCTAGAGTATGGACATTGAGTTGTCTGCGATTTTTCGGCGTTGCGAAGCCCAGCCACGGTCTTCTATTCTTCTCCACATCTTTCTTCCTTTTCACTGCCCCGACGCTTCGAAGCATGTCGAATCCCTGGCGGGAGACAAAGGGGTATTCCTTCCATTCGATCTGTCTTCATGTAAAAGACATCGAGGAAAGCTCCATGTTTTACCAGCATGTGTTTGGTATGTGTCATTTCGATAGTTGCTCATGGACAGGCATGAACCTCATTCGCGAAGCCAACGTGGGGTAGGTGCTTGCGGTGACTTACCTTCAGCCAAATTGAAAAAGTATGGCTCCAGTTCCCCGCCGATAAGAAAGACGATTTGTTTGGCAGTGCAAGCGCTGTGATGGAGCTGGTACAACAACGGTATGTGGGCTCATTTTCTCACACGATAGCGGCACAGAGCGCGACAAAAACTTCCACATCGAGACGGATAAGGGGGTACGTACAGCGACTCTTACGCCAGGGTTTTCATCATTTGTGCATTTCTGTCCCTGATATTCATGAAGCACGTCATCGATTCACACGTCTTGGTGTGCCCATGATGGATGTAGGCATCTCGCAAAAGTACGTGGCGTGCGTCTCTGACGACCTTAGCGACTTGATTATTGTACGCGATCCTGATAATTATCCTATTCAAATTCTGAGCCAGAACTTTGACCTGTACGCGGCTCTACAGGCGGCCTGCAGAGAAGTGGTTCTGGATTCCAACCAAGCGGCGATGACGACCATCGGCCAATCTCAAGATCCAGACCTCCTCGCCGAGGCGGGCTTGCCCGTACCTGCTCACTCCCCTCAATAATGCTGTTTTACGAAAACTGTTATGATATTCTAACCGTTCATTCGTCTACATATGCTGGCCATAGAAGACAAGGATCCTTTTTCGCTATACAACCACGATAGATGCTATACACAAAACAAACAAAAGGACAGCGCGCCTCCTTACAACGATTTTTTAGAGTCTGGCGCCGTCGTATCAGGAAAGGAAGCAGGGGCAGATTCCTCCGGCTGCGTTGTGGGAGGCGGCGGCGCTTGTGTGTTGGACGATGGCGCTGCCACTGGAGGCGGCATCGGCATACCTGGCAGCCCACCAAAGACCGTCGGCATACTTGCTCCGAACAAGGTGGACAAGCCATCGGGCCGCGAGGTAATTAGCCGACGAAGCCAGTCGTTTTCTGTCCGCAAACGCTCATTTTCTTGCTTGAGTTCATGGACTTGCGCTTCCAGTTCGCGTGCGGACATTTCCAACGCCGCCTCTCTCTGCTTTTTCTTAATGCGGAATCGGGCACTCGCCGCTGTATTACGTCGTCGTTTGTCTTCCTCGATCGCTAGCCGATTGGCTTCCGCATCGGCTTCTGGGTTGCCTGTATCGACCAATTTGACTCGGTCCGCCAGCGTGGAGCCAGCCGCTCGACCACGCGCCGGCGCTGCCTGCGACGAAGATGCTGACGTGCTAGTGCTGGCCAAGCCCGTAGGGCTGTTGGAGCCGTCTCCACTACCTCGGCTCGCTTGCGTAGAGGCCGAGGCCGTGGAGGCCGGGAAGCTGCGTTTGCGCTGCAGCGATGGTAGGGACGAGGCATTGCTGTCTGTACGAGGTGGGAGTGTAGGCAAGGGCAGTCCATCCGTTCCGCCTTGCGATGGAGGCGTGAATGTCGGTGCTGTGGGTGGCCATACTGAGGGATTCATAGCTGGCGCAGGTGTATTGGAAGATGACGACGACGACGACGATGCCACGGCTGACGGTGGCACACCGTTGGGCCACAAATTGGAGAGCATCGATGGGTTTTTAGATAGGAGATACTGTAGCGCCAATGTGGATGTCAGGTCCCACGCGCCGCCATTCTCAGCGCCCCGCGCTGAAGTCGAGGCTGGCGTCGCAGTGGAAGTGCCTACACTTGGAGGTGCAAAGGAGGAAGTCCATGGTATGTGAGGCTCTGTCGCATTGCCTGATGTAGCCGCGGTAGGTGCATGAGGTACGGCGTGGCTCGTAGCGCCAACCACAGGCGCTGTCGAGCCCGGCAAATGCTGGAACGAGGCGGGTGATAGCGAGATCGGTGTGGGCAACGGCGGCATGGTGGGGCCCGGCAGGTTCTGTGCTTGTGGCATGCCGCCCTGCGCCTCTACTGGGTCTCGATCCAGTGCACGCATTTTATCGCGCGCTGCGTTCGAGTGCGCTGACGAGGCTGCCATGGCACGATGTCGTTCTTCATCGTCGACGCGGTCATCGACCTTGTCCTTCTTTTCATCTTTTTCGTCGTCAGCAATAAGGGCATGGCCCATAGGCCCGTCGAACGAGAAGCTCGCTGTAGTCCACAGCGATAATTGGTTCGCAAAATGGTTTGCCGCCTCCTCGTTGGATTCAGCAGGGGCGGAGGGTAGCGTATTCAAGCCGTGCAAGAGGGAGTTCGTGCCCATGTTAGCCTCGGGCGCTGAACCAGCATTCGCGTCCTGAAACTCATTGAGGCCTAAGAGGAAGGCAATCGACTCATTCACCTCACCTGACATCGTTCTGGACGAGAGGACAGGCGGCGAGGCTGATCAATGCTAGCGATTGCACCTGTAAGCGTCGCTTGGCGGACGACTCTTCCCCTCCAGTCATGCGACTCCGGCCGAGTCATTAGGCTTAGCGCCACCGCGCGATAGAGGCGAGGGCCGCGCGTGGGTCGTGGCGCTGCCGCCAACATGTTGTGGAGGCGTAGTGGGTCCTGATGACGAGACTCTGATAGTACCTACTAGGTTAGAAACCACGAGTCGTGCCAGGCTGGCGCGCCGTCGTCGGTTGCTTGTGACGCTTTCTGCTCGGGACGCTTGGACGACGGACGTGCGCGCTCCGCCATGTCGTTCAAGAAGGATGAGGAAGCCGCCTTTCGGCACGATAAGACGGCCATCATCCAAGAGGCGCGTGTGTTCAATGAGTCGAACATCAGCCCTCGTCGATGCCGTATTTTGCTAACCAAGATCTTGTATTTGTTGTATACCGGCGAAAAGTTTTCGCAGCAAGAGGCCACCGACTTGTTCTTTGGTGCGACGAAGCTCTTTCAAAACAAAGATCCTGGTCTGCGTCAGATGGTCTACTTGGCTATCAAGGAATTGGCGCCGTATGCGCAGGATGTGATTATGGTCACTGCGTCTATCATGAAGGATATGCAGCCCAACACTGAGGTCGTGTACCGCCCCAATGCCATCCGAGCCTTGATGCGCGTGATCGATCCCAGCATGGTCCAGGGCCTGGAACGCTACCTAAAGTCGGCCATTGTGGACCGCAATCCCAGCGTGGCCTGTGCTGCGCTGGTGTCTTCGTACCACTTGTTTATGGGCGCTCGCGATGTTGTGAAACGCTGGAGCAACGAGGTCCAAGAAGCCATCAATATGCGTCCTTCAGTGTCGTCAGGCTCTAGCACCTTTGGCGGCCTGCGCCCTGGCCTTACGCTCCGCTTTGGCGGCGATAGCAGCTCGAATCAAGTGGAACCGGCGAGCGTGCCCAGCATGAGCTACTTGATGCAGTACCATGCGTTGGGTCTGCTCTACCTGTCACGCCAGAGTGACCGTATTGCCGTGACGAAAATGGTGCAGCAGCTTGGCAACCCGCGCCAGGGTGTTGTGCTCCGCAATCCGTTTGCCCTGTGTATGCTGGTTCGATACACAGCGAAGATTGCTGAAGAAGATCCCAATATGCGTGTGCCTCTTCTTGACCTTCTTGAAGGCTGGCTGCGCCACAAGAGCGATATGGTCAACTACGAAGCTGCGCGTGCGCTGTGCACGATGCATGGCATTGGTGTCGAGCATCAGACGAAGGCCATTTCGGTCCTGCAAATGTTCCTTTCCTCACCGCGGTCTGTGCTGAAATTTGCCGCGGTTCGTACGTTGGCCGAATTGGCGCAGACACGCCCTGCACTTGTGCAGACATGCAATGTCGATATGGAGAACCTCATTACGGACGCCAATCGCGGCGTGGCGACGTATGCGATTGCGACGCTGCTCAAGACAGGCAACGAGTCAAGTGTCGACCGTTTGATCAAGCAGATCAGTGGCTTTATGTCGGAAATCAGCGATGAGTTCAAGGTGATTGTCGTCGATGCCATTCGCAGTTTGTCGTTCAAATTCCCGTCGAAGCAGGCTGCTATGCTCAGTTTCCTGGCTGGTGTGCTGCGCGACGAGGGTGGTTACGACTTCAAGCGCTCTGTGGTTGAAGCCATCTTCTCTATGGCCCGCTACATTCGTGGGTGCAAGGAAGTGGCCCTGAGCCATCTGTGTGAATTCATCGAAGACTGTGAGTTTACCAAGCTCAATGTGCGTATTCTGCACCTGCTCGGTGCCGAAGGACCGAGTATGCCTGAGCCGCACAAATATATTCGGTTCATTTACAACCGTGTCGTTCTGGAGAATGCCATTGTGCGTGCAGCGGCTGTCAACTCGCTGGCCAAGTTTGGCGCGCAAAATGCCGAGCTTACGTCGCGTATTCGTGTGCTACTGCAGCGCTGCTTGGAGGATGTGGACGATGAAGTGCGTGATCGTGCTGCGTTGGCGCTGCGTATGCTTGAGCCCAATGTCCTTGCCCCGCTGCCTGTGGACGACACACCAGACTTGCAGGTGCTTGAGCAGAGTCTCAAGTCGTACGTCGATGCGATGGATGCGTCTCAGCCCTTTGACTTTGAGAGTGTCCCACGCACTACCGGCACCGACGAAGAAGCCGAGGCCCAGAACGAGGCACTGCTTGTCTCCACAGCCACCACCTCTGCCTCGGCAGACACCGGCGCGGCGGCTTCCAGCGAGGTGGATGGCGCGACGCCCTACGCAGACTACGCGGCGCAACTCGCGGCTGTGCCGGAGTTCGCTTCGTACGGTACGCTGCTGACCTCGTCGCCCTCCACACCTGTGCCGCTGACGGAGAGTGAAACGGAGTATATGGTGACAGCCGTAAAGCATGTATTTGCGGAGCACATTGTATTGCAATACAACGTGACCAACACGCTGGCCGAGATTGTGCTCGAAGAGGTAATGGTCGTGGTGGGTGGCCTTATTGAGGCAGGGCTCGAGGAAGAATTTATTGTGCCTGTCCCTACGTTGTCGGCGGCTATGCCAAGTGGCACGGTATACGTCTCGCTCCGCCGTGATGCGAGCCTGCCTTTCCCGCTGGCTACCCTTAGCAACACGCTGCGTTTCATCTCGAAGGAAGTCGATCCCGCGAGTGGCGAGCCGGAAGAAGAAGGCTACCAGGACGAGTACCAAACAGAGGAGCTCGACTTGGGTGTCGCCGATTATGTGCAGCCTACGGATATCGACTTTGCTGCGACGTGGGAGACCTTGCCTGCGTCTGCTAGCGAGACATTTGCCCTAACGGCGCTCGAGAGCTTGGATGCTTCGTGCTCGACCCTCATCGAGATTCTCGGTATGCGGGCTCTGGGCGGCACAGATACACCGGCGAACCCGAGTGTGCACACTATGATGCTGGCCGGCCATTTGGCCAGCCCCACGGGCCTCGACCTCGTCCTGGCGCGTGTGCGTATGATGTACGAGCCCTCGGAAGGCGTGACCATGGAGCTGTCTGTGCGTGCAGCGAACGACGAAGCGTGCCTCTTTGTTCTCTCGGCCATTGCCTAACATAGTTCCACATAGCCAGTCTATGCTTCTCTCTCTGACTCGCATGCACCTTCATGCCTATCTATGCACGGCCATGCCCCATTGGCATGGCGGCATGTCTGTCTCACACGCACACAGTAAGTAGGAAACCACACATCAGTGTTAGGAGTATATTTTTATGGCTGCGCCAGGACGTGGACAAGAGCACGGCTCTTCCATCCTTGTCCGGCGACTTGGGATCCGTCTACAACGGGATATGATACGCTTAGCGCAGGCGACTGTCGTATTAGCATTCTCATTACCTCTCCAATATACATACCGAGCCTCACGCTCCGACTCGAGCAGAGCAAGGATATCGTTCTCACGGACAGGGCCCTTGACGTTGCGGATGATGCTGCGCGAGGTGTCGTCCATGAACTCAACACGGACCTGGATCACACCACCACGCGAACCGGTGCGGCCAAGCACTTTGGTCACCTAGACAGGTTAGTTCTTCTCTTCTTTCATGCAGGCTGGATGGGCGCCCACGAAGCGCAACTCTCCCGCTCTTGTACGACAGGAGTTGAATCTTCATACAGGGCATACCCATACCAACAAGATACGTACGCGCGCGAGCTTAACAGGGACCTTCTGAGGGGCGGTAGCGGCGTCCATCTTGGTAGTTACGGTGAGAACAAACTGGGAGCGTGTGTCGTCGTCCCCTTTTTCGTGAACATGCCCGCAACACCTGCTAGGCCTTTCACGGAATTGCAGTTTTGCGAAGTGCACGTGACATTCGGACGTGGAGGTGCCACGTGTCATGGCTCCTCGACCCCGCGCGCTGGCACCATCCACCACGTACGTGCGCACGAACGATGGGCGTGGAGGGCGACGCGGGGTCGTCCCATGCACAGGCTGTGCGCTTCCTCACATCCCTGCGATCGCAGGATGGCGCAGCCTCTTCTGGTCCATTGGTCCTGACCGAGGAGCAGCGTTCGTTCTTGCAATCCAAAGGTCTGGATGATGAAGCCATCGAGCGTGCGCGGCAAGATGCCGAGCGTCCAGAGAATGCTGTCATGGCGCGTGCCTATGCCGAAGATCGCGCTCGTATTGAAGCATCCAATGATGCTGAGGCCTTTACCAAGGCATCACAGGCCTTTGATGAGCCATTGAGCGTGCCCTCCGACGTCCCTACGCCACCGGCAGCGTCTTATCCGCGCTCGCCATTGGCTCTGTACCAAACATCCAAGCCGCCTGGCCCACGCGACGCAAACGAGATCCTTTCCAAGCTGGCGGCGACTATGACGCGCCCACGCTATGATGTCCTTGTCACGTTTTTCCGTCTTCTTCATATGTTCCTGCTATTGGGTGGTGGCGCCTCAGCTGTGATGGTCGCCCTATACCGCCGCTACTTGATGCCTCGCTTGACAGCCATGGTCGACGCGCGTGTCAACTTGATGGCTTTGCAGCGTGATCTGTTTGGTAAAGTCCTTGACTCTATGCGGGCGTTGCAGTCTGTGCATCTGTACAAGCTTCTTCCGGTGGGCTATGAGCCTACGTGGATCGAAGTGGACGAGCCTACGGAGGAGAAGGTGGAGCACCCTGTTGATACGACCAAGGAAAAACAGGACGAGACTACTGCGTCTACTGAGACGCCCAAGGACGAGGAGCCAAAGACGAGCGAGGAAAGGCCCGCTGCCGATACCACTGTCGCCGATGCGGACGCCGATGCGGCCGCCGACGAACTGCCACCCCCTCGCCGTCGTCGTGTGTTGGCGCCCATTGATGTGACGCAGTCGTTGCGTTCGTCGTTGGACCGCCTATCCCAATCGCTCCAGGATGCCCGGTCTCTACGTACGCCTACGGCGTCTGTGACGGACGAGGACGACGAAGGCTTGCTGGATTTGACGCCCGTTGGGCCGGGTACGTTGGTACGTGACTCGACCGCGGGCAGTGCCGCGTATACACCGACCCAGAGCATGTCGTCGTTCCGCTCCTCCCTGGATTCTGTGCGCAACGATCTTCGTGCCAAGCTGCTGTCCGAGGAAGATGTTGTGAGCGTGATCGGGAATCGCTTTAGTGCATTTGCCCAGTCGTCTACCCGCGCCACTTCGGGTCCGGCTGTGGAGATGCTCCAGATCAAGGCGGAAATTCGCAGTTTGAAAGGTCTTATGCTCAGTCGGTACGTACAGACTTGATCTACTAACGTCTTAGCCGCAATTTCCCCTCGTATCTTCGTACGTCGCGCGTGACGCCCAGCTTTGGGACTACTGTACAACAATCATAGATGCCCTTATGTATATCCATGTGCGAGCGAGGATGCACGCTAACGCCGACCCCATCGGCCTGCAATTGAGCAGGTGGAGGCATAGCACCCGGTCGAACAAGGGACGAGCGCTGGCCGCGACAAGCGTGGCAGCAAGCGTGTCAGACGTGCCTTGCTGACTCATCCAACACCCAACGAAGTTTCCTATAAGGCCCTTCGACGTCATGCCGGGCACGCACCGTGCGAAAGCGCTGGAGGCTTCATGGTTGGGCGGATAGACGGCCTTGAAGCACTGCGCGGAGGAAAAATCTGAGCAGCGCCCCGGGCCGCCTACCAGCTGGCACACGGCCGCCGAGATTATCCCCTCCGCTGTGGGCATCCCCCTTTTTCGTGTTGACGACCACGTCTTGGTGTGTCCACGCGTGTGCGACGTCCTCCCCCCTAGCCAGCCACTGAACCTGAGTGGCTCATGGACTTGCATACAGTCGCGTCCACCAGCTCCCCCCCGCCACGCGGCCCAATGGCAGACGCGTCATCCCCCGCAGGCGACGAGTATGGCAGGACGGCGCCTCCCGCGCCGCTCACTCGATCGCCTGCCTCGCCGCAGGAGACGTGGGCCGAAGATGAATGGGTTCATTCGCGTCGACCTGCGATGTCCATTTCCAACATTCTGAACGATCACCCGTCGTCCAGCTCCGAAGAGCCACCTGCTGGCCCTTCCACGTCATGGGCCACGGAGCCGCGTATGTCGTCGCCGCCGCTGCCTGACGACCCGGATGCATTCCCTACCGCAGCACAGGGCTCGATCGCGTCGTCTTCACGCGCGCCTTCTTCGTCGCCTACAGCCACACGAACCTTGTCTCGTGTGCCTTCCTCTCGCTCCATGCAGGCCTCTACGCGTGCTATGGAAGAAGAGTCGGCGTGGGATAGTGACTTGTCTGCCGACGAGAATGTGCCATTGTATGCGGCCGAGCTGGCATCGTACTGCCAGGAACGGCAAGCGCATGAAACGCGGATGGCGTCAGCCTATACGACGCTGCTACAGGACCGCCAACGCTCTATGGTACAGCGTCTATGCGAACGTTATGAAAAGCGGTTCTTGGCGGCCCAGCGTCGGGCGCAAGCGAAGCGCTCTGTGCCGGCCACGGATGCCGATGCCAAGGCCATAGCGTCGACATACGACGATGACGACATTGATATGGAGCTACTGGATACGCTCTCCGACACAAAGCGCTCCCGTCGAGCTTCCAGCTCGGATTACCTGGACGAGCTGGTGGCGGATGTGAGCCTGCCTGACGACCATGGCTACGGCCAAGGCGAGCCCATTCCCGAACTGATTGATCCTGACACAGGTGCACTTCGTGGCCCTATACCCATCGGCGCTCGCCGTGCGGCCATGTTGTCAGAAGCTCACGATCGTGTATGGACCCTGATTGCGAAGCGTGATATCCCGAAAGTATACCGTACGGTGGTGGCTAGTGCCACGAATAAGGCCATGTACTGGCGCCGTCTCTCGATGGTCGTGCAGCGAGAGGCCCGTCGTGGCGCTGCCCGCAACAACAAGTCGACCAAGGATATCCAACTGCGGGCCCGCAAAGTCATGCGTGAGCTATTGCTGTACTGGAAGCGCAACGAACGTGAAGAGCGTGATCTGCGCAAGAAGGCCGAGAAGGAAGCGCTGGAGAAGGCCAAGAAGGAGGAAGAAATGCGCGAGGCCAAGCGACAGGCCCGTAAGCTGAATTTCTTGATCACACAGACCGAACTGTACAGTCACTTTGTGGGCAACAAGCTCAAGACGGCCGAAGCCGAGGAGTCGGACGAGACGGCAGGTGATGCCGCCACGAAAGCGGCCGCCACCACGTCGAGTGGGTCTGATTCTGTAGCGTCTGTGGATCCTGACGCGGCCCTGCAGGACATTGACTTTGATGATGAGGACGAGTCGAATTTGCGGGCGCATGCCGCTCGTAATGCGACGGAGGCCGTGCAAGCCGCCCGCGAAAAGGCGCAAGCGTTCGATGCGGCGGTCGCCCAGGAGCGCCGCAAACTGGCCGAGCAGCAAGGGGATGCCGGTGAGGCTCCGCAGCCGTTCTCGGCAGACGACATGGATTTCCTGAACCCAACGTCGATGGGTGCGACCGAAGTCACTCAGCCAAAAATGCTCACGTGCACTCTCAAGCCGTACCAACTCAAAGGGTTGTCGTGGCTTGCGAATCTGTACGAGCAGGGCATCAATGGCATTCTTGCCGACGAGATGGGTCTCGGCAAGACGGTGCAGAGTATTTCGCTGATGGCGTACCTGGCCGAAGTGCACGATATCTGGGGCCCCTTCTTGGTGATTGCGCCTGCCTCGACGCTGCACAATTGGCAGCAGGAGATTACCAAGTTTGTCCCCGCGCTCAAGGCACTGCCGTACTGGGGCAATGTCAAGGACCGTGCCGTGCTGCGCAAGTTTTGGAACCGCAAGCAGATCTCTTACGACCGCGATGCGCCTTTCCACGTGCTTGTCACGTCGTACCAGCTGGTCGTCAGTGACGAGAAGTACTTCCAGCGCGTCAAGTGGCAGTACATGGTGCTGGACGAGGCGCAGGCGATCAAGTCGAGCTCCTCAAATCGATGGAAGACGCTGCTAGGCTTCCATTGCCGCAACCGTCTGCTTCTTACGGGTACGCCTGTGCAGAATTCAATGCAGGAACTGTGGGCGCTCTTGCACTTTATCATGCCTAGCTTATTCGACTCGCACGACGAGTTCAGCGAGTGGTTCTCGAAGGACATTGAGAACCATGCCGAAAACAAGGGCACGCTCAACGAGCACCAGCTGCGTCGTCTGCACATGATCCTCAAGCCATTCATGCTGCGTCGTGTGAAGAAGAACGTACAGAACGAACTGGGCGAGAAGATTGAGATTGACGTGTTCTGCGAACTGTCCGCTCGTCAAAAGATGCTGTACCAGAACCTGCGCTCTCATGTCTCAGTCGCAGAGCTTGTGGACAAGGCCGCGACCAACGATGAGTCGGGCCTCAAGAGCTTGATGAACTTGGTTATGCAGTTCCGCAAAGTGTGCAATCACCCAGAACTGTTTGAGCGGGCGGATGTACGCGCGCCGTTGGCCATGGCGGAGTTTGCATCGTCGGCGGCGCCGCCACGCGACACAGATCTACTTTCGTGCTCGTATACCTCCAAGTCGCTGCTTGATCGCGAGATCCCACGGTTGCTCGTCCAAGATGCCATTACGCATGTCCCTACCGAATCGAATCGCGTGGGCTTTGATACGCAGTACTTGGACCATTTGTTCAACATTTGGCGTCGCCCCTATATCCACGAAGCTGTGCATACACCGTCCTCGCGGACGTTTGACTTTGTGCCGTTCTTCCATCTGCAACCGAGTGACGTCGAAGCGACATTCCATGGGCCCACGCTCACGCGGCTCGTGCGCGACGTGGACGAGGCACACACATGGGCACAGTGTGCGCCGTACATGCAGCCCGACTGGGCGGCCTCCGCTTTGCGTCGTCGTGGTTACGTGCACCAGCCGTTGCCATGGGCGCATGAGCGCCCGACGCCTACGCTTGTGCCCCTCGGCGACATTGTCTCGCATGTGCTTGAGGCACGTGGTGGTATGGATTTGCAAGCCGCCATCCCTGCTGCCGTGGCGCCTATGCCGCGTCTGCATGCCAACGACCGTACCTTTTACGACCGTACGCAGCGCGAACGGACCGACATCGGCTTGGAGCAGACGCTGTTTGGCCTCCCGTCCATGGCTGCCGAAGACCCTGCCCAAGTCTCTCGTATGCAGCAACGTCTGCCTGGCATTCCCCCGCAGGGCCTCGTGTCGCGATCGCCTGCGTGGCAGCTGTGGGCGACGCCCATGCAAGTGCCACGTATGGACAAACTTATTGTGGATTCGGCCAAGTTGGCGCGTCTGGATTCACTCTTGCGTGAGCTCAAGGCAGGCGGTCATCGTGTCCTCATTTACTTCCAAATGACGCGTATGATCGACTTGATGGAAGAGTACCTCATCTACCGTCAGTACAAGTACTTACGCTTGGACGGTGCTTCCAAAATCTCGGATCGTCGTGATATGGTTACGGACTGGCAGACGCGTCCGGAGCTGTTTATTTTCTTGCTTTCGACGCGTGCTGGTGGTCTCGGTATCAATTTGACGGCCGCCGATACGGTCATTTTCTACGATCACGACTGGAATCCATCGAACGATTCCCAGGCCATGGATCGCGCGCACCGTCTGGGCCAGACCAAGCAGGTTACTGTATACCGCTTGATTACCAAGGGCACGATCGATGAGCGTATCGTCAAAATGGCACGCAACAAAAAAGAGGTGCAGGATATCGTCGTGGGCAACAAGGCGTACTCTGAGTCTGGCATGGCCAAACCCCAAGAGATTGTCTCGCTCTTGTTGGACGACGACGAGTTGGCCGACTCCATGCTGCGTCGCAAGCAGGCCGACGAGGCACAGCAAGCGCAGGACAAGGCTGACAATGCACGTGCTATGCATGCACGTCGCAAGCAAAACAAGGCGGCGCAGCGCGAGTCCACCTCAGTAGTAGCGCCAGGCGTGAATTGGGCGTTGGACGACGACGAAGACGACTTTTTCGGGGCCAAGCCACCACCGCCTGATGAGCCGGAGGAAAGCACCAAGCAACCACGAAAACGCGTCAAGCGCGAGTCGGATGGCAAGCGGCGTGGCAAGGGTGCTGCAGCAGATGCCGCTACGACTACAGCGTCTGCGTAATGTACATGAGTTGTATCAACACATAGCGTTTTTACGACAATTCTATATACTACATTTCAAATCAGCTCTTGACGCTCCGGCGGCGGGCCACACGGTTGCAGCATATTCTGCGACATTAGTCTGTCGTAGGTACGTACTTCACACAGACGGAATTGTGTACGGGCACGCGTCTCTCCATCGGCAATCGCCATATATGAAAGGAGCGGACCTTGGGCAATCACAGCAGCATTGGTATCACGGTGCTGATGAACGGCCCATTCACTGAGGTGTGAGTCGCCATCCAAAGAACCTACTGTTTTGTAATATCAGGATGAATCGTGCCCGTATACTTGGCATGCACTGCCGTTAGAAGATATACCACATACAATGCTCCAGCTGCGGGTTGCCCCAGTACCGCAACTCCGACTACTGTCAGAACCTCACTGCATTACGTACCATGGCCTTTTCCTTGCAAATCGACGTGGTCGAGGAGCGAGACGTATCTACCAAAACCACGTGGCTATTGCTTACCAAAGCCCAGGGACCAACGCCCACCGCGCGGGGTACGTGTGGCCAAAGCGCTGGCGGTACCATTCGTGGCCACGCCATGCGCGAGGGGCCATGACCGCTATTTCTACAAGGACAAAGAGAATGGGTGGGTACATGTACCATGCCTCCTGTATATGGGGTACCCATTGGACACATGCAAAGGCCCATCCTGCCCATTCGAGCCCTGGTTTCGTTAGTTGGTTGGTGTACCTACATTCACACACATAGTGCGGATAGCTGATCCACGCAAAGGCCCCACCTTGGGGTATGCGATAGAGTGATGACGAAGTGCGGATCACCGTCTCATCAGGCGCGGGTGATGTCCTACGAAGCCGTCGAAGTAGCGCATCATGCCAAATGTTGCCTACCGAGCCGCAGGCCCACACGCCCACACCCACGATGGGTGCCATGCGGCCTTTTGGTACAGACCCGCCGCGTGTAAGCCATACACCCTGCATGAATCCGTTCATCAAGTTAAATAGAATCGCGCTTACCACGACTGATCCATGCAGAGGAGTCCGTGGAGGATTCAGCCATGGCTGGATGATGGCGCGATTGATATAATGCACAACAAACAAACCCAACATGCATGTGCTTGCCGCGGTATGTACAGGCCCTCGAGCGGCACATACCACTGCGGTAAGGGGCGCCACTAGCTCCATGATCATCCAGCCCACATTGCCTGCTGTAAGCTACACTGTAACGCACCATTTACATTCCACGATGTGGGGATCCCAAACTTACCAAAAGGTGCATTGACCATGCACAGCACCGGAGGGAGAAGCACAGCCGATGCTTGCATCGACCGTACAGCCCATGCATACGCACTGACCCCTAGGATCATGCTGGATCGTCTCGAACCAACGTAACGTCACGTGCTATATATCTATGCAGCCGCCGTGGCGGATGTCTCAGTGCTCTCCTGGGCCTCGCGCGCAGACTCCAAGACCATTACCGATTCAGGGTGAGGGGGCTTGAATTCTTTCAACTGGCGTTCCAGCTGCTCGTCTAGCACCCCGGCCGCCGCTGCGACAAGACCCAGGAAGGGCGGCGAAGGGTTCAGCGGACGCGATGCCAACTCCGGATGCGCCTGCATACCCACAAAGAACGGATGGTCCTTCATCTCGGCAATCTGCATTCGGTTGCCCTTTTCGTTCTTACCGATGAAGTGGAAGGAAAATTCCTTCGTAGAGCCTGCTTCGATTTCACCCGCCACTTCAGGGTTGACTTCGTAACGTTGGCGGTGACGCTCCCACACCGTTGCATTCCCACCGTAGAGCTTACGGATCTTACTCCATGATGCACTATCATCCGAGAAGATCGTAGGGCGAAGACCCAGACGCATCGTACCACCGAGGTGCGTACGGCTGATTTCAGGCATGTACACAATTACAGGGTCTGTCGTGGTCTCATCCAACTCAGCACTTGCCGCCTTCGTGCGGCCACACACGTGGCGAGCAAACTCGACCACGGCCAACTGGAAGCCCAGACAGATACCCAGGAACGGCACCTTCTTCTCACGCGCCCAGCGGATGGCATGCACCATACCCTCTGTACCACGCGTACCAAATCCACCAGGGACAATGATACCTTGCGCAGAGCACAAGAGCTGCCAGGCTTGGTGGTACTTAACAGGGTGTTCAGTCTCTGTCCGAGGCTCCAAGTCGCCTGACTCGACCCAATGCAAAATCAATTTGCGACGGCAACGCATTGACGCGTGCTCCAACGCTTTGACCACGGACATGTACGAGTCTTGCAGTGACGTGTACTTGCCCACCAACACGATTTCCACCGTCTCAAATGCACGCTCATGGCCCACAGTGAGCTCCTTCCAGCGCGAGCGCAGCTCAGCACCTTGCGCCACGCGGTCCGGCGGCACATCCCTCTTCAGATCCAGTTGCAGACGGCGCTCAAAGAAGCGGATCATACCCTGTGACTCGAGGAGTAGAGGGACATGGTACGTAGAGTTCACGTCATGCACACCCAGTACTTGGTCAGGGCCGACGTGGCAGAAGAGCGACAGCTTGTGAATCACACCACGTTCCAAGGGCGCAGCGCAACGTGCCGCAATCATGTCTGGCACAAGACCCAGGCCACGCAAATCACGGATCGCTGCCTGTGTCGGCTTGGTCTTCTGCTCACCACCAATTACAGGAATCAGCGAGACGTGAATCAACGCAAAGTTCTCGTGGCCCACGCGGAACTGGAATTGACGCAGCGCCTCGACAAATGGCGCAGACTCAATATCACCGACTGTACCACCGAGCTCGACGATACACACATCCGGCTTCTCACCGCTCTCGTCGACCGGAAGTGCTGCCACACGCTCAATCCAGTCCTGGATCGCATCCGTCAGATGCGGCACAATCTGGACGGTCTTGCCAAGGTAATCACCACGTCGTTCTTTCTCAATCACTTCACGGTAAATCTTGCCCGTCGTGATGTTGTTGTCACGAGTAAGCGTCACATTGAGATAGCGCTCGTAGTTACCGAGATCCAAATCCACTTCACCACCATCGTTGAGGACGAAGACCTCACCATGCTCCGTCGGCGCCATCGTACCAGCATCAATGTTCATGTAAGGGTCGATCTTGATCGCTGTCACACGCAGGCCTAGCGTACGAAGAAGCAGGCCTGTCGACGAGGCAATCACACCCTTACCGATGCCGGAGATGACACCACCACTCACGACGATGTACTTCATGGTCCAGACGGTGAACTAAGACGGCACGCGCGTCGACAAAAAAAAGTTGAGAGGCACGTCACGTGCCATTCACCGCGCGACGCGGCGCGCCTACAATCTCTCTACAAGCGATGACCAGGCCCAGGCATGGGTACTCGGGCCTCCATCTGTAAAACAACGACATTACTGGCGCTTGCGCACTGTAGCAGAGGCATGCAAGGGTGTGGCTGTGTCCTCGCGCGCGGCTAGGTAGATATCCATCACGGCACCAGGGCCGACAACCAGAGCCATCAGCGTGCTCTTGATCGTGCCCAAGATCCACTTCACAGGCGAGGCGCTATGCAGCGGCTTACCAGTCTCGTTCTTCAGCTGGATGTCGGCAATCATATCGACAAGGACAAAGTAGATAAGAGTCAGGAACATACCCAGCGAGTCCCACAGAATCAGCTTCTCACCGTCGTTTAGCGCAATGGGCTCACCACGCCTGTACATGCGTAAGAACGGCACCAGCTTGTACAGGGAGTACCAGTAGATGACCATCGACATAAGCATATTGTCCTCGTAAAGCACAGAGACCTTGCTTGACGTGACCGAGCGCTGTGGGCCGACCATAAACAGGTAGAGAGACAGACCCAAGAAGACCAGCGGGAATACTTGGAATACGACATTGATCGGCATCCATGCCCAGTGGTTCACAGGGATCACGAACGAAAGAATCGCCGGTGCACCTGCCACCATATTCACGAGCTTGATCACACCCGGCGCCTTCTCACCAAACGCACGATCAGGGTACACTTTGCTCAAGTTCATCGCACGAACAAAGATGAAAAGGGGCAAGTACACAAGCGGGACAGCCGCACCAACACAAATCAGCTGTCCCAACAAGTACACCAACGTGATAGCCACACCGCGCAACAGGACGTTGGTGTCTGGCTTTATCGACTGCACCATGGTGAACATCATGATGGGCATCGACATCGACATAATGAACATGAAGCCACCACGGCCCACGTTCTGCGAGCCCATCAGCTTAAACACGTAGATAAGCAGCAGGAAAAAATGCTCCGCCTTCTCTGTCCATGCAGCCTGGCCGGGAATCCAGCGACTTTGCGGATCGAGGCCGAGGACGGTGCGAGCGTCGGTCAGCGAGAGGCTGCTAAAGTACTCAAAGTTTGGCTTCGGTTTTTCATGAATGGCCTTGTAAGAAATAAACACACCTGTGGCCATCGAAAGGACCGCCAGCAGGGCAAGCAGTGTCTTCTGGATGCACGGCGTACACTTCGACATGGTGGTGACACTGAGCAAACAGTGTCGGGTCGGTCGTGCCTCTTTCAACGCCCACCTCCACGTGGGGCTGTCCTGTTTTGGCCAATACGGTGGGCGCCTGAGCCACGCGTCGATGTTCTTCATGTGGAGGTAATTACTGGGTCGTTGGGTTGTTGGACGACGCGTGCTCTTGTGGTAGGATGAGTGGCACGGACGAGCGAACGATTGAGGCAGGGCTTGCGCCGCGTCTCCGGCAGATGATAGTGCAGCACAAGAATGTGATGACACAGATTCAGGCGCATCTTAATTTGTTGCCTGACATGGCTGCTGATTTGGAAGAGTACGAAGGCGAACGACACGTACGTATCGCGCTGCCCTCACATCTCAGCGCGTCGCTAAGCTGGACCAGAGTGCACGAGCATTGCTCGATTTGATGCATGAATCAGAGTGTAGAGAGCGCACTTTGGACATGCTTCAGTCCTCGATTGCGCAGGGGACTGCGTCGGTACGTTCCTTGCTGACTTACCGCGTCTAGACCGACTTGGTGGATGTATACAAACAGCATGTGGGCGACCAACTGGATACATACGAGGCACGTACCTCGCGTCAAAAATATGCGCGTAATGCGCACTACATCGACTTTCGATCGCGTGTATGGGTGCGTATACATTCTACTGACCTCGCAGGAAGTGAATGGCGATGGTGCGATGCCGCCCTTGGTGGATTTGATCCCGGCAGGTATGTCACAGTCCACCTAACTCCAGAACCCGGCGATGAACAAGACACAGCGCAAGACGAGGACGATGATATTGTGGTGGGTGGCACCGTGCTGCAATATCGGTGTCCCCTCACGGCCTCGCTATTGCAGGACCCGGTCATCAACACCAAATGCCAACATGCCTACTCACGCGATGCCATTCATACCTATATACGTGACCAAGGGCATACAGGCTTGCAAGTTGCGTGCCCAGCGGCGGGATGTCGTCAATGGGTCTCCATGACATCGTTACGCGATGCCCCTGATCTGCAGCGGCGTGTCGACCGGTACGAACGTCAATTGGCTCGTCGGGAAGAGCAGCGGCGTGGTACTCAGTATATTACTACGGTTCTAGACTAAAGCTTCAACTTACGGGCCTGCTCCAGCGGGGCCCATTCCACCAACTTGGCACCACCGGCATAGATGTGCGCGCTCACACGCCAGTCGCTCTGACTACGGCGGTCCTTTCCTTCGCGACGGAAGTCGCCCAGCTGACTGATAAACTGCGCCAAACGGCCATACTCTTCTTCTGGGAGGTCGGAGACATGCTGCACACCCAATGGGTTCGCCGAGGGGATCCATTCAGGGTTGAGCGTGACCAGCGTCACAGGCTTTCGTTCGCCCTTCTTACGCTTGATCAAAATGTTGCGCTGCTCAAAGTACGAGAACGCATTGGCCAGCGATGCACCATTCACAGCTTCGTCATGACTCAGCATACCTTGCTGGAAGAGAGTGTGCCCAATCTTCTGTGCACAGGGAATCAAATCCTTGTTCTGGTACCACGGCACTTTCTTGGTGTCCATTCCCACAGGGCGCTCAGGCGCCAGCGCCAGCAGCGATACAGCAGCGAGCCAGTAGCACTCAATGTATGGCCACACTAGGAAGAGGAACAAGTCAAAGTGGCGCCGACCAGAAAAGCGCTCCGCCTCGGCGAGGTGCAAAAGGGCACGGCCTTCCACCCAATCTTCGACCGTCGCACTTTGTCCTTCGGTTGGGAGGAAGGCCAGGACGTCCTCCTCGACCAACGTCCTGACTACATTCTTGATATTCTGCTCCAATGGCAGCGAGCCATACACAAACTCGTCACGTAGGACATTCGAGATAAATGCACACTCTTCGTACAGCTCCTTGTAACTCATAACCTGATCCGATTCAGGTCCGCCATGCTTCACATGCGTATAGAGAGCGACACACACAAGCGATTCGTGCACAAAGATGTGCATGATCTGGTTGCGGTAGAACGAAAGCTCAAACTTCTTCACAGGCTCAAAGGTGGGCTCCAGTAAATTCTTGTGCTCCACAATCAATCCCTTCATATCCTTCAGTGCTCGGTCAACCACGTCGCCAATGTGGTCAAGACCAAAGTTGGCCACTTCCATGCCCTTGTTCAGAATACGTTCACGCAACCGTGTCACACCATCAATCAAAGCTGCACGGCCAATACCACGGCCACGCAGCGTCAGCATCACTGTACCGACCAGCGCCGAGGGCATAATCACAGACACCGAGTTGATATCGGACAAAATGCGGTAGCCCAACGCCTTCAGCAGCTGGTTGTCGGTTTGCTCTGTCTGCACAGACAGCTTACGCGCAGAAGCCTCCTCATCAAGCCACTGGCGCATACTCCATGGCTGCTTGAACCTCACGTCGATACGGCCCATCTTGAGCTGTAGCAATGATGACGAGCTGCGTACAATATTGTACAACGATTCTGGCTCTTTTGGCTTGCCAAGCAACTCACTGACGTACGTCTCTGCCTCAATCACCGAGTCGTACTGGAGGCTCACAGGGCACAACAGAATATCATCTGTCCTATTCTCACGCAGCGCCGTCATCATATACTTCAAAATGCCGTAGCGGGGAGGCAGCAGTTTGCCTGTGCGTGAGCGTGTGCCCTCAATAAACACTTCCATATTCATACCACGCTCTAGCAGCGTCATAATGTACTCTTTGATCACCGATGGGTATAACGAATCACCTTGGAATGTGCGACGGACAAACAAGGCACCGCCCTGACGCAAGATGCCACCCAACACAGGCAAGTCCAAGTTGTTCCCAGCAATAATGTGCGGCAACGCCATGCCTATACGGTACATAATGAACGACATCACCAAGTAATCGATGTGAGATTTGTGGCATGGCAAAAATACAATGCTCTGTCGCTTCTCCTGCGCATCTGCGGCAATACGACGTAGCTCCAGTACCTGCTCCATCTTCACATGCGTGCCGAGGTTGTACATGGAGACTAGGATCTCATTCACCGAGAAACCAAAGCCTTGCACAAAGGAGCCGGAGTTCAGACGTGCTGCACTCTTTTCCATGATTATTGCAGCACCATGGTTCAACTCATCAATGAGTTTGGTGTGGACATAGGTGTAGAACCGCTGCAAATCGTCACCACGATAGTGCTTGTTCTTCGGGATGATATCACGTAGCGGTTTGGGTAGATCCAGCTTAATACCCGCTAGACTTGGGTCCCATGGCGACTCTGGCTCCTTCATCATCACTTGCACAATCGTCGGGGAGATTTTCCCTTGGTGGATATGGCTCATAATATGCGAGGCTCGCCGTGTCGCCAACTCTTGAATGGTACGCTGCACCGCCGCGCTATTCAGGACCAAATCAAACGACTCAGAGGCAAAGTCTGGATATAAGATCGGCGTTCCAATGTAGTTTTTCATGCCACGCCATCCCTCGCCGCGCGCCCACGCAACAAGGCGTCGAAAGGATTCCAGTCGATGGTACGCCGACCATTTTTGCTCTTCCAATACATCCCAGTCCTCACTGCCTTCTTTGGCATTGTAGAGCTTGCTGAAATCACTCCTAGTGAGGGCAAGGGGTTCACCACTGCTACCTAGGGTCATTTCGGGCATTGAGGCATGAAGGTGAGAGGTCCTGGCTGGCGTGGCGCGCCAATTCGCCGCTTCCTCGTGCACGGGCGCCCCATCTTTTGGAAAATGCACGGCTCAGTTATGTGGAGGGCCGGCTAAGGGCCTTGGCACCGGCGCTGTTGACGCCGAGCGTCCATGAAACGTAGATGCAGATGCCTATAGACGAAGGGAAGGAACTTATGTACGTGTAGATCGATTCGAGCGCGAAGAAGGGGTGTCTGGCAGTCCAACGTGTGATACACTTCGTGTCCCCCCACCATGCCGGCTAGGCTCTTTGGGGGAACGGAACGAGAGTGCGTCGGAGCCTTTGCTGGGCACAGAGGTGCCGCTCATGATCCGCCTATGTGACCTGGATGGAGCTGATTCTTTCTGTGTCGCGATAGAAGTAGCAGTTTTCGAAGGTATGGGCGCTGCGCCACGTGTAATCATTCCCGAATTGGCCAGTAGTGCCGCTGCCTCTGGACCAAAGTATGGCCGTATTTGGGCATACGACGTGTCACACAGGCGTGAGCATGGTTTTGTATCGAGTGCATACTGCTTTTCTTCTTCGTTCCCTTGGTAATCTGAGCGGAGCATCGCAGGCGGCGTGCACAACAACGAAAGGTAGGCATGCTTCGCTGTGCCTGCATCTTGGAACATAATATAGGCCGTTGTATCATTGTGCCACTTGATACGGTAGGCCATATAGTCCCCTTCACTCCAAGGAGCCAGTATCGCATGCAAATCTTGTGTCGTTAACACAGGCGAAAAGCCACATAGCTCAAGCACATGCGTGGCCAGAGGAGAAACGAGGGGCAGTGGCAAAGAGACAGAGGCCATAATGCACTACGGCCGTGATGGTATCACCAGGGAACACGGAGTCGCTTAGGTGGTCTAGTCGTGAACTAGGTCCAGGTTCACACAGGAAAGCGTGGTCTGTCGTCTATGCTTTCAATCCCTAGATTGAGCGTGACGAGACAACTACGTACACTATGTGGAGGTTACATATCCTCGGCAGACCAAGCTGTACGACAGTGAATGAGCCATAGAAAAGTACGTACCATGATGTTCGGTCCTGATGCGTTGCGCATTGTTGATAGACATGAGCATCTTACGCTCAAAACCATTGCTTCGGTCTACACCATCCCATCGATACCCTGGTTTAATACCGAATCGATTGGGTGGTGGCGCAGGTCCTTCGTATTGTGGTCGAACTACTCGTCGGCCTGCACGTCGCGTAAGGAACGCGCGTGCAGGGTCGTCCCAGTGAACCCGCTCACGCAGCTCCGAGTTTAAATGCTTGTCGTCCGCATATCTAATATTAGCCCAATAGTGCGACACGTACTTTGTTAGTTGCTCATGCCTAGCCGAGTCCAACATAGCTCGTTGCTCTGCCTCTTCGCGGCGCTGAACAAGACCACGGTTCCATTGCTTTTGCTCCTCTTTCTTTCGTAGTCGCTCTTGCTCTTCTTGTTTGAGTCTCTCCTCTTCCTCTTCAATATTCACACGTCGACCTTGAGCGTCACGGTACACCGTCTGCTGCGCTTCCGGTAACTGTTCGTCTTGTTGCATAGCTTCTTCTTTCGCTGCAGCACGCTCAGCGGCTTCCCGTGCTTCTCTTTGTGCTCGAAGTTGCTCACGCGACATCAGACCAGCTTTCGGCCGCGTTTCCATCTCGGGCGTCGCCGCCTGCGACGTCGCTTCCGGAACGGGGGTATCGGGGGCAGAAGGCGCCTCTGATGTTGGCTTTCGAATGGCAGTCCAACCTGATTTTTGACTTTGCTTCGACGACGGCGCAGTGTCCTGCACAATGGGACCGACATGTACAGCCTCCGTCTCTGCCTCTGCATCGTCATGCTCATCCGTCTCACCAAACCAGAGCGATCCTTCGTCGCGAATCAAGACAGCTCGGGGATCTGTTCCTTCTGCATCGGCTCTCCGTTTCTTTTTCTTCTTCTTTCCATCCCCGTACTTTTCCAGTACTGCCTCTGACTTGGGCCCCGAGTAATAGTGCTCAGCCAAATACCGCTGCAGCTTCTCGTCAGGCATCGGGCTAGGACAGGACTGGAGGAGCAACGCGCCGCGTACTTATGCTTATGTCATCAGACAAGGCGACGTACATTCAAGCGCTAGAGCGTCGCGACAGGTTCATAACACGTCTTGACGCGTTTGCGTTGCATGTCGCGCATCGAGAAGGGGACACAGCGATTCCGGCCCACAGCTGTGGTACGAAGGTCATCTCAACCGGAGGGTCATGCTGAACCATCTTCTTCGTCCTTAGCGTCACGAAGCACACAAACTACGGGGACGACAGCCACGCACGAGTCGTCATCGTCGTCGTCGGTTCGTCCTGCTGCCGCTACGCGTATTGTGCCTCGTGCCTCTAGCAGCGTCAGCACCAGCGTCTCCACCACTACGCCATCTAGAATTAGCGCTCCCAGTGTTTCTTCTGCGCGGAGTTATGCGTTTGGTTCACAGCCGGCGACAAGCCGCACAGCGCAGCGAATTACTACGCCCAGAGCTATTGGAGTACCGCAGCGCGTGGCTCCTGCCGTGGACAAGGCATCCTCATCGCAGCCAAGTGAGATGCTACCTCCTACCATGTCTGCATCTCAACCCCTCTCCTCTTTTACACCGTATGAACGCTTCCTTCATGCTGCTCAAGCAGATCCACAGCATATTTTGCATACATCCGCTCCAACAGATCCTAGTCTCATTGCTGAAATGGCAGCGGAGGCATGGCAACTCATGAGTGCTGAAGCCCGCGCCCTTTATGGCGCGATTCCTATGCCTTCATCATCCGCTCCACCCGCTTTCCGCTCTCAACCACGTGCACAAAAGAAACGAACCAAGGCCAGTATTTCTGATGATGAGGCTGAATACAATCGACAGTGTGCACAGCAGGAAGCTGGTACACCTGATACTGACTTACCTCCTTTACGCGTCGATATCGGCACAACTACGATGGAGTCCATTGCTGTGGCCAACTGGAAAAGTGGACGAGCCAGCAGTCGAACATTTGAACTGGAGCGAGTTCGTGCACGGCAACTCAAGAAGCGCCGTGAAGAGGCGAATTCACAAGAAGATCCTTCCAGTGAACAAATCAAGCAATCGGATACCCCTGCGCCCTCTACGCCACGCGAGACGCCCGCTACTGATCTGCCAGCCGGAGAGACTGAGCCCCATTTCTCTGAGAACCGTTTTGCGGTGCAAACTCGTATCGTTGATGGCAAAATTGTGCTAGATGAACAGTCTCTTTTTGCAAACTATCGTGATGATGAACAACAAGAACGTGAACAGCGTAATTGGGAGGTCATCGACGAACGCGAAGGCGACCAATTCGTGAATAGTGCAAGTCGCAGCAAGCAGCGACGAACGCAGCGTTGGTCAGCGGAAGAGACGGAACGGTTTTTCCAAGCGATCTCCCAGTGGGGTACCGATTTCGAGATGATCACACGGCTCTTTCCGAGACGCACGCGTCGTGAAATTAAAGCGAAATGGACGAAGGAGTCGCGACAAAACCCGCAGCGGCTAGACGAGGCGTTTCATCGTCGCGTGGCCGTGGACCTGACTGCTTATGGTCGAGCGGCTGGTGTGGACTTAAGTGGCCCACCGCCCACCATTACACCACGACAAGAAGCCAAACCTGACGTGGAGGTAGTGGATCAAGAAACTGTACAATAGTGTATTTAATCTGTGCCAATGTATACTCATACAACTATAAAATTGGAAAGCGACATGTCTGCGATATGTATGGTTACCGTGTGTATGTCGCATAATGCATATCCGTTTGCTCTTGGGGCTGCACAGGCTCATAACGTGGCTGACCAAATGTGTTCCATTGCTTGGTATCTTGCATGGGCAGCGATACAGGCGCAGGGTTCATTCTAGCTTCCTTTTCCGCAGCACGTTGACGTTGTCCATATTTATGGAGCATGTAGCACATGTAAAGCTGCATAAGGCCAACGACAATGATCAAACCAGCCATAAGACCGACATCAGCCCATGCCAGAATGTTGCATACATCACGACGACCTTGATCAAGACGGTCCTGCACTTGTTGAATACCGAAGCCATCGTTGGCTAGGGGCTGCTCGAAGTTGGCCAGGCATGTCGGAATGACATTGTCATGCAATCCAGCTGCCGTGGCCATAAATGCGATGGTGAAAATTAAAATAATGATAGTGCCAATAAACGTCACGCGTGAGTACCAGCGGAATAGCACAGTGTGATCAGCCATGATTGAGGCAAATCCCACAATCTGCCAGGCCGCAAGCACAAAAGCGATGACTGCCACGACATACTTGCCCCACGCAGGAATGGCGCCCATGCCACCAACAATGGGCGGTGGAGCTAGCGCCAGAATACCCACGCAGAGCGCAACAAACGCCGTCTCCACCGTGAGTGTATAGGCACCAAATTTCACTAATGGAAACACCTAAACGGTTAGCAAGCTCTTCCTAAAGTACGTACACAACAACAGAACTGCACACCTCGTTTTCCCATGGACAGAGTGAAACCTTGTTGAGCAACTTCCAACACAGCCTTCACTATAAAAATAAAACACGCGTCAGGCACGTGGATCGCACGTGGAGACACATGGTCCATGCGCATTGATGCAATGAATTTGGCACCAAGTATGTCACCACCCTCCCGTGGCCCATGTGCCTGGCAGTTGTGTGCTGATGGCAGAGGGCTATATACAGCAGATGGTATTCTTCCCAAGGTAGATCAACAGACTAAGAAGCGCCTTGTCGATGTGTGTGGTCATGATTATCTTCATGCAGCGAATGCATGCTGTTCACGCTCCCAGATTGATCAACTCGCCTCGACTTTCAGGACGTATGATTTACTCTGGCGTGATTGCCCTGCGTGTGAAGCAAATATAAAGTCGCTACTTTGTTCCTTTACACGTTCCTCTACGCAAGCACAGTATACCACTACTATCCCGTCTAGGTCAGGTAGTCGTACTCATGATCTCTCCTTTACTGTACACCCTTTCTGGGCTCGTGAATCGTTTGACAGCAGCCATCGTGTTTTGTCTAGGTCGAACTACGACTATGCTATGTACATGCTAGGCGGTGGTGTGCCTATAAACCCGGACGAGTTTTTGTCGGTGTTGAAAGGCATCCAACCGTTCGCTGCCAATGTCTCGTTTGTTGCCTCCGAGGATAAGACATCCCTCCTGCCTCCTACATATGATTGCAATGATACAACTCTGGGGCTTGCAAGTTCATGCTACATATGTGATAACATGTGTCCTGTGAACGAGGCGCTTCCTCTTCCCACAGCACATGCTTGCTTGGTTCTCATTCCTGCTGGAATTAGGCCTTTTTTGCATAATACGCACTGTGTATCGTTTTATGCTTATGTGAAATTCTCAAGGGAATTTCGCAGAAGCACCGAAACGAACGGGCAGCTCATGGAAGCGCGTCGGCCGTGAATCTACCTTGTACATCCCCCAATCATGCAGAAAGGTATCGTGCCACTATCTTCACATCGGAGACTTTAGACTCGCCTTCCGCTGATGAAGTGCACAAAGAAATTATTGATATGGGATCAAACTTAACATTGTCTTCGTACCACGATAGTTTTGCCTACGAGCCTATCCTATCCCAAGAGCGAATTCAATGGTGGTATGATGTGGATACGTACCTCTCTGAACTTCGGTCGCCAACGTATAATCTTACCTGGCTCGAATCTTGTCGAGCTCTCCATACAGATGAGACAACACCTGACGCCTGCCATCAAACTAGTCTTTTCAACGTTCTTCAACCACCCTTTTACCACTGGGAGCACCAACTGAACTCTCGCCTAACATTCCCGCTTACACACGAGCTGCGGACTGTTTTTCCAAGTACGCACACTCGTTGGTTGAACACGCCGTTGGTGTATACGTCATGGGCCAGTGATCATCGCTCACCGTATATTCAAGATTGGGAGGCAGGAGCGGCTAAAGCTCTAGAAATATTGTCCGATAACAGACTGTACTCCATCTTGTACATTAACGCTGATCCACAACTCTATACACTGAAGAAACAAGGCGGCCAGTTGGGTGTTGCTCTATTATACAGGCTCTGGTCACAAAGTCGTTCTATGCCTCTCCTTGTGAGAATTTTAAATGGAGGTTTCATTTAAGTTCTTTGATTGTCATCCTACTACAATCTTGGAAAGGACGTCGCAGGCTTGCCCAATCAGTAAGACTCAAATCTACTGAGCAGTTTCAGCCGGAATGTCCTACGAGTGCCCTATCGCCTGGAACACGTCGTGAGCGTGATCCTACACGCAGCGTGCCGTTTCGTCTTGCCTCCGCCTGTGGTTATGCACTCGCTAATATTCTTCTCAGTCTAGGCTCAATGCCCGTACCTGGCTTTGCAAGTGTGTCTATCCTTGTCGTTTTTAATTCCACATGTATATTTTTTGAGTTCCAACTTCGGAAATTGTACGACAAGCCGTTTCTTTTGCGTTGTTGGAAGTCTTTCTTCATTGCCAGCTTTTCTTTTTTCACGACCTCTTGCACAGTCCTGGGCGTTTTGGATACTATTCCATTGCCATTAATGAGTATTCATTATTGTGCTATATACTCTCCTTGATACTTTCGTCCTGGTCGCAAGTACGAGTTCTTTACACATATGCCAATGTTCTTTACGAAGGGCCGACAATCTCCTGTCGGATGGAACGTATGCTGCGAATCCAATATGTGTTTGATCAATATCAAAATGTTCCTCCCTACGATGTTTCGGCTACGCTCTTCTATGATGGCGTTTTCTACTTATTAATTCGGAATCTTTTTGTATCTTCTCAGTATTTGTACGTGCATTCCCGTTTTACTCACACCCAGTTATTATCAAGTATGGCTGTATTCCTTACTGGCTATGGCTATGGTCTACTTTTTAGTCGTCATTCTCTTGTTACCTATCCTTCTCTACTGATTTGGTGGTGTCGGATACGGTCATCTTATTCATAAGCATCGTTTCGTGGCACGTGCCCACGAACGTGGCTGAGAGATGTATAGTGCGTCGTAGAGCTCCCATCTCCACATTCTTACCCCACGCAATGATGAAAGCCTTGCAACTAGAACGACCAGAAGGCGTTTCGAAAGGGCAGCCCAATGCCCTAGTAGTGCGAGACGTGCCGATACCTACCGTTCGAGAAGGTATGGTGCTGGTGAAGGTATGTCTTTATAATCTAACTTCAGATTTTGGCTGCTGGGTTGAACCGACGTGATCAGTGGTCCATGCTCGGTCTCTATCCTGGTCTTATTTATGAAAACGCTACGCTTGGGTGCGATGGATGTGGCATTATCGTTGATTCACAGTCGCTTTTGCCCCTCGACAATCAACTATATCTCCTCGTTCCCTCCCGTGGCTGGGAGTCTGACGAAGCAGGACCTGAGGCTGCCTTGCCCTCTGCGCCAGCCCACCTTGCGACCAACGAATTCGGTGGCAGAGGGTTTGGCATCCTTGGCGCTACACGCCAGGTATGTGGTGCTGGTACCTTTTGTGAATATATTGCCGTTGACAAGTCACAACTTGTCCCTGCACCTGCACATCTCACGGCTGTGGAAAGTGCTACGTTGCCTTGTGCAGCTGTGACAGCTTATCGTGCTCTGTTTACCAAGGGACAAATTCAGCCTCATCACAATGTTCTAATTACTGGGATTGGCGGTGGTGTAGCTTTGCAGGCTTTGCAAATGGCTGTGGCTCATGGCGCCAATGTATATGTGACAGGGGGCAGCGACTCGAAAGTAGAACGCGCCTTGGCTATGGGGGCCAAAGGAGGCGCTTTGTACAAAGACGAGTCATGGACAGACACGATCCGCCGCCAACTTCCTTCCGACCGTCCATGGATTGACGTGGTCATTGATTCTGCGGGTGGCGATATAACAGCCAAGGCGCTGCGTGCTGGCCTTCGTGACGGAGGTCGCGTCGTAGTGTTTGGTATGACGGCAGAGCCCAAGATTTCTTTTACTATGCGTGAAGCGTTGAAGAATGTGGATCTCCTAGGTATGTATACATTATGCTAATGAACCACAGGCACGACCCTCGGATCGGCCGATGAGTTTGCGAAAAGCATCCGGTTTATCGAGCAGCATAAAATCAAGCCCTCGATTGATACAATCCTGCACAGTCTAGAGGAGGCGCCGGCAGCCATGGAGCTCTTGTCCCACGCAGAAAAACGGTCAGGCGGAAAGGTCGTGTTTCAACTTGACGAAACGCCTGAGCCTCTTCGAGCTAGAGGCTAGATTCTTGTAGAGCCTTATGCGTTCCTGCTTGTACAACACGACACATATCCCTGTCGGATGAGCTGATACGGACAAAGCGGAAGAGTGGGATGCCTTGTGGATCGCCTTCCCATTTCCGCAACAAGTCGACATTGGTTTCATTACAGAGGTCAGGAACATCCATACCTTCATAATACTCTCGCTTCTCCGCTTCCATCAGCTGCTCAAGCTCGATAAGCCGCTTGCTTTTAGGTCGGCCAGGACGCTGCTCCTTCTTCAGCTCCTCAAGCTCGTCGTTATGACGTCCCAAGTAAAACGTGGATATAAAGTCATGGAAGGAGTATAGATCAGGAAGATGAGTTTTGTCCTCGGAAAGAAGAAGCACAAATGTGAGGATTCGGTCGACTGCGTAAGCGAAGAGAGAACGCACCTTTTGCAGAACGCTGGCGGTTGCGTAGCGACTTGGCTTCATTCAAGCGTCTCTGCCGCAACACCACGCGGGCCCGTTGAAATGCTTGGCGTGAATTTGGATGCATAGCATCCTTCTTCATGAGAGTTTTGGACGAGTGCTTCATTATAAGACACACGTAGAGGCACGTACCTTTTTACCGCCCATTGTCACAATGGTGAACCCAGAAAAAAAGTGCAGAAAAAATATGGAGGCGGCGGCCCATGCGCAAAAAATTATCCTCCCCTACATTTTTACTCAATATATCGTGCAAAGCTACAGATCATCTATGTCTTACTTACGTCCCGCAACGGCAAATGCAGACTTGACAAAGACTTGGAAGTAAATAAGCCCGTGTCCCATAAAGATCATCGAGCGGAACGTGGCCAGTGATTTCGAGTCGGTAAAGATGTATGCAACATTAAACATGGTGCGGAGAACAAGGTAGATGACAGCCAGAAGGTTCATGTAGCCACCAGGGAGCTGCGCAACAATTCCACAAAGAAGAGTAAGACCAAACACCGGCAGGTTCTCCATGCCGTTCTGCTGACAAGCGTTGCAGCGCAGAATACGGCGCTCCAGAGGTGTATGTTCCGACTTCTTGTCTCCCGCCACTGGACGAGCAGCTAGCTGCATGAAGAATACGCGTGGCGACTGCAGGGGAAAACCGTCGGCGGTCCGAATTTGTTCCACGGCAGCAACGGAATACCAATGCGCTTTCGGGTCAGATTTTCAGTACGTACGAGCCATAGATAAGAAAAACATCACTGGCAGAGCCAAAAGAGAGTAGTTGGGTGCCTCAGGAACGAAGTAAGCCTTGATCGAATGCATGATGGCAGGTGAAGGGGGAGTGTGTTAGAGCGGTCAACATTGTATATAAGCGACGACTCTCCACTTGGCCCGGCAGAGGGACTGCCATCTCCGCTCGCACGTGCCGCCTAGCTATAAAACATGGCTGCCTGGCCCCCTAACTTGGAAGAGGCAGGCTGGGAGCCTAATCATTGGGCCTATCTTGCAGAAGGTGGTGCCAATATAATTTATCGCTACACAGGGCCACCTGAATGGCCATTTGTAAATACATTAGGCAATGGGCAGTCTATCGTGCTACGCGTAAAGAAAGAAGTTCCAGAACCTGATGCGCATGTTGTGCCGTATCCCGATGAATATCTCGAGAACGTCATTGCGCATCTACTTCCTACGTCCTCCCTTCCCGTCTTACGCAAAATACCTGTGGATGACCAACTTCGTACATTCTTGCAGACATTGGTTCACCAAAGCGAGCAAGTGCGTCCGTCGTCACGGCGCACTAAGTCAAATATTGATTTGAGTGCTCCCTTTATATGGGCCATGCCAGATCTCAGTCGTTCTTCTGTGCCAGGAAGTTTTGTGGTCGAGATTAAGGTATGTACAAGTGATACTCAATTCAGCCAAAGTGCGGGTTTTTGCCTACTATGCAAACTAAATATCCATGCAAGCGTGCAGTGTCACGCTATCGAATGCATCGCGTGCTCAAGACGCTACAATCATCACCATCTTCACCTGATCTAGCCGCTCGTTTTCTAGCTTGGTATGATCCCCTTGACTTATTTAGCGGTGATGAACAACGGGTTCAGCGAGCTGTGTACGCGCTTTGTAGCGACTGGGTACATGGCGAGGGGAACATGAAAATTCTATTCGGGGGCAAAGTTCAGAAACCTTCGCAGCTTGTCAAGCTATTGACATGGTTAGGCGAGGAACCTGTGTTAACGTTGACGCGTCGCATCAGCTCCATATTTATGCAGCCTGCAAATCAGGCATTGTTGACATCCATTGTCCAAGCACAGCAAATTCTAGACCCTATGGATATTGAAGGCATAGCGAAAGCATGGGCGCAGGTTATGCAGTGTAACCTATGTGACGCCAATGATGATATGATTCAGCCAATCACACTACAAGAGTATAAGGAGGCAGTGCTCGAGCCACCAGCTGCGCTCAACGAGCCCAATGTACAGGCGCTACGGAAGCTGATCGTCGCTCATATGCTCTCGGCTACTATCAAAGATCTTAGTCTGCTTTTTACAGTGACACCTGACTTACACCCTCCATGTACGACCATCTTTGTCGTCGACCTTGACGCGAAGCGCGTTTCGAAGCTAAAGAGGTATGCAGCTCTCGACATAGAAGTTGCGCGTACTTTCACGTGCTGGTCACAGTCAAACTTGAAATAAAGACATGCTATTGGTTTTTTGTTATTAGTTAAGCCGACATTGCATTCTACAATGTCTATTGTAATCATTTGTTCTACTGCGCCCCTTTCAACCCTAGTCCGGCAAATGCACATTCCAAGCCTTGCACGTCTTTTATCTACGCAGTTGCCGCTTTTTAAATAGCGATCCTTGACCGCGACTCTATCCTCTATCATGTTGGTCCGTTCAGTCTGCGTATGGGCAGCGGCCCTTTTCGCTGCCTCTGTGGTAGTAGACCAGTCTGAAGCATACAAGAACCCCATGGGTGTGCGAATGCACCCGCGTAGCAGCCACAACTCTTCACATCCAAAGTCCAAGACGCTGGATGTGTCGTCCTCCATTGACCGCTCGAGTAAAAATGCGATGACAGAGGGTGAATCTCACAACAGTCCGGATGTGCCGGAGGGATCCATTCTGACCACTCTCCCTGTCAGCATCTCGGGTGCTGAGGTGGCGGTGTACTGGACGAAGGAACCGCAGAACAAATCAGTGGAGCATGCGTTCATCATGGTTCACGGCAAGCTCCGTGACGGTGACCGTTACTGGACTATTATGAACGATGCTTTGCAGTCGGCTGTGAAAGACAACTACAAGGGTGCTAACAACAACTCCGTTATTGTGGCCCCTCAATTCTATTCCACCAAGCTGAACAAGGGTCAGTACTCTGACAAGACGCTTGCTTGGGGCGATGTCAATGCATGGCAGGCCGGTAGCGTTGCGACGCACCCGAAGAATACTCCTGCCTCTTCTGTGGATGCCATCGATGCGATTATTGACCACTTCACGGACAACCAGAAGTACCCGAACTTGCGTAACATTACTCTTGTGGGCCATGGCGGTGGTGCTCAGCTGATGAACCGCTACGCCACCGTGGGTAAGGACGGTCCTAAGAACGTGCACGTGCGCTATGTCGTTGGTGACCCTAGCAGCTCTGCCTACTTCACTGAGCACCGCCCTGTTACTGACAAGTCGATTGCCTCTATTGACAAGTGCCCCGAGTACAACGACTGGCGCTACGGTTTTGCTTCGTACCCTGGTACGCTGTCGTCGAATAAGTCGACTTCGGACTACTTTTCTCAGTACATTAACCGTGACGTGGTGAACATTGTTGGTTACAAGGACACTTTGAAGAATGGTGACCAAAAGTGTATGGCTCTTCTCCAGGGTGGTCAGAAGCGTCGCGACCGTAACCTGAGCTGGTGGCGTTACATTAATATGCTCGGTGCTACGAACGAAAACCTTGATGGTTTCCCGGGCAACTTTTCAAACTTGCCTGACTGGTCTCACCACAGCAACGGTGTGATCAAGACCCGTCTATGTGTCGTGGAGGATGCCTCTCACGATGCTGCCAAGGTATTTGGCAGCAAGGAGGGTCGCTCTGCTTTGTTCAACGACTACGATGTTGAGATGGGCTGGCGTCCTCAGGGCTGGTCGTACCGTGCCTCGAAGCCTATTAGCAACAAGAACGCCTCGAACAGCACGTCGAGCACTTCATCCACGTCGCCGAGCTCTACTTCGTCCTCGCACAGTGGTGCGGATGCCTCGCACCTACCTCAGCTTTCGGTGTCGAACGATGCGTCGCGCACCATGATGACTGTCGCCAGTGTGCTGGCTCCTGCTGCCGTTCTATTCATCGCCATGATTTAATCAGCATTTATTGTTGATCGTACATATATATATATATATATATAATAGAACAGACAATTGATCGATCAGAGCAGACGATAATTATTATATGACAGTCGATGGCAAACTTGCGGCCTCTACAATGAGTTGCTCTTGTTGTTGATGCATAATCTGTTTCCAATCTGTGGGCTCATTATGGACACCGTCAAATAGACGGCGTCGGCCCACAAAAGCCCAATTCTTCGTGCTAGGAATGCGTAACGCTTCTGTTTCAAGGCACCAACCCGCGCGAAGATGCAAGGTAGCAATATAGGTATAATAGGCCAAGTGCTTAGAATGTGTCACAGCCCCATCAGGTGGCGTAAGCGTCCGGTACGCAAACCAATGCATATGTTGTAAACGTGTCTCCCAGTCTTTGGCGACGTGCTGTAGGGGAGAAGGTGGGGCTTCTTTTGACGGCATACGGGTTACACCCAATAAGGAGGCTAGCACATCTTCATTCCATTTGATTTGCGTTGCTGTGAAACGTGACGAATTCAACATCCATGCACAACACGGAATATTTACAAAGCCAGAGCACGTTGGAAGACTGGCCGCTAGAACAGGGATCCATGGTGTGAGTTCATCGGCATGATTGCCAATCAAGAAAACACCATCGGGCCATGGGGAGTCGCCTCGCAACGACTGCTGGATTAACGAGGGACCATCAAGGAAGCCTTCTCTTAAAGACGTTCCAGCTTGCACGTAAGGAGCCCAGGATTTACGAGCACGCGCATCCTGTCCACACCCGTTGTACCCCTACATTGGTAAGCATTGTGTATACGTACTTCACTGTGCAAAATATGAACCAAAAGACCATTGCCGCATCCCACATCAAAAAATCCACCCGGCGGCTGGCCCCATATATCTCCACAACGTGTAGTAGGTGTCCATCCTTTGCCCGTAGGCAAGGGAAACATATCTCGCCATAAAAGAATGAGCCAGGCGGCGATACCAAGATCTTCAAAGACATGTTTGGTCGGATCGGTAACTTCGGCCCAGGAGGCAATTAATGAGCCGGCATATCGTGTGCGAAGAGCTAGGTATACATCTTGGTATAGATCACGAGGAACCAGTATATCATGATGGACGCGCTTCACGTAGGCTGTTGCATGGCCATACCCGTGTTGGTGAAGCAGCCGAAGTAATGATATAGCTGTGCGCCCCAATCGTGAAGACGGAGGGATAGGGCGTGCTTCATCAGGGAAAAAGCTAAAATCAATACGTAAATGTCCTTGTGGGCCTTCTTTCATGCATTCAGCACATTGAGTATAGCGAAAAGCGATACGTCGTACGACGGGATGATAGTATGGCACATCATGAGCCGTAGGCCAATCATGATCATGATAGGGCTGGTCCATAATAAATGCATTTGGTTTTTCGGTGGACGGATCTGAAGAACGGAGTGTTGTGTATACTACGATACCGGCCGCCTCGCCTTTGGTATAAATGGCACATTCTTGTAGCATACCGCGATCGATGTGAGTTCGTCGAGGTAGAATTCGTCGCACACATTGGTATCGACACACCCACTCATCTAGATCAGAATCCGTCTCATACTCTTGCCAAATTTCCCCACGAAGAATGCTTGAGCTATTGCGCTCGGGGTGTTGTATCCATTCATGCATAGTGTGGAGCCAGCTCCTCATCGAGAAATACGCAGGGCATTCGATCATAGGTGTCCAGGCACCAAACTTGGAAAAAATAGGCTCTACATCTGTGACATCCTCCTGGTCACAGTGTGTAGGGTGAAACAGGGCGGAAGCTGGCGGCGTCCCTGAGCACGACACGCTAGAGGCAGCTTGGCCATGCCCCATGTCGCTACTAGAAGCAATGGTGGTGCAATGTGGAGAGGAGGATGACTAAGCGATTTTCCCAAGCACGTCGCAGTTCGCGTTGGACTCCTTGCTCATAGCGCTGCGTGAGCCGTTTCTGGCCCCATGCAACTGTATAACTTCACGCTACAGCCGTCGTCCAACGTGACGACGGCCGTAGTAGGTCAATTTCAAGGGACTAGACAGCAGGATATTCTGCTTGTGCGTGGTAGTCGTCTGGAGTTGTATCATATTGACACCAACACGGGCAAAATGTCGCGTGCTTTGTCCCAGAATACGTTTGGCAACATCCGAAGTGCCACATGTTTTCGCCTTACAGGAAGCACAAAAGGTATGTACTTTACTGTGCTTATAAAAAGACTATCTGATTTTGGGCAGCGATTCAGGACGCATCGTTGTTTTGGAGTATCGTGAAGATGTAAACCAATTCGTCAAAGTGCACCAAGAGACATTTGGCCGGTCAGGAAATCGTCGCATTGTACCTGGTCAGTACCTTGCTAGTGATCCAAAAGGCCGTGCTGTGCTCATTAGTGCAATTGAGAAGACGAAACTTATTTACGTGCTGAATCGCGACGCTGATGCTAACCTTACTATATCCAGTCCGTTGGAGGCCAACCGCCCTTCCACGATTGTCGAATCGATTGTCGGCGTAGATGTTGGTTATGAGAATCCTCTTTTCGCCTCGCTTGAGTTCGATTATGCGGACGCGGACGCGGATCCTACAGGCGAAGCATACTACCAAACGGAGAAATTACTTACTTACTATGAGCTCGATCTTGGGCTAAATCATGTTGTTCGTCGCTGGTTGGAGCCTGTGGATCGCAGTGCGCACCGACTTATCAGTGTTCCGGGTGGGTACAATCACAATACGGAGCGATGGGATGGGCCTAGCGGCGTCCTTGTATGCATGGAAGACTACATTGTGTATAAGCACCAAGGACAGCCTGATCACTGTGTCCCAATCCCAAGGCGTGAGACGTCGTCAGGCATGAACCGTGGCTCGATGATTGTCTCGAGTGTCTTGCATAAAATGAAAGCGGCCTTTTTTATTCTGGTGCAAAACGAAGATGGCGATCTGTTTAAAGTGACAATTGATCATGACGAAGAAGAAGTCCAGGCGTTACGTATCAAGTATTTTGATACAGTGCCTGTGGCAATTAGTCTTACCATTCTACGAGCTGGTTTCCTGTATGTGTCTTCAGAAACAGGCGACCAACAATTGTATTCGTTCCAGAAACTAGGCAATGACGATGACTTGCCGGAGTATGTATCTACTTCGTACCCTAATCACGGAGCTACTCGCGAAATGCTCCCGCCCACTTTTACGCCTCGGCCCCTGGACAATATTGCACTGGCCGATACGCTGGAAGCTCTTGATCCTTTGATGGATGCCAAGATCGCCAACCCTCTCAACAATGACGCGCCGCAGATTTATACTGCGTGTGGCCGTGGTGCACGAAGCACTTTTAAGCGTCTGCGTCATGGATTGGAGGTCAGTGAAGTGGTTAGCAGTGAACTTCCCGGTGTGCCTGAAGCTGTGTGGGCTACTAAACTGCGTGAAAAGGATGAATACGATGGGTACATTGTGCTGAGCTTTGTCAATGGCACATTGGTACTTAGTATCAGTGATACCATTGAAGAAGTTGTGGACAGTGGTTTTCTTACCACCGAGCCAACTCTGGCTGTGCAGCAGCTAGGACCGGATGCACTCCTCCAAGTTCACCCTCGGGGTATTCGCCATATTCTTCCGAATCAGCAAGTGAATGAATGGGCCACGCCACTGCTTGACGATGGCACATCAACGAAGATTGTAGCAGCGACGACCAATGAACGCCAAGTGGTAATTGCGTTGGATACACATGAGATTGTGTACTTTGAGCTTGATATGGACGGCCAGCTAAATGAATACCAAGAGCGCCGTAATATTGGCGCACAAGTGGTTGCTTTGAGTGTTGCTGCGTGCCCTGAAGGCAGTCAACGAACGCCCTATGTGGCCATTGGATGTGCAGACCAGACTGTGCGCATCATCTCGCTGGATCCAGACTCCACTCTCTCCCCCATCAGTTTACAGGCACTGACGGCAGTGCCGACAAGTATTTGCATTAGTGAAATGCTGGATGCGACGATTGATCGGCATCACTTGACTATGTTTGTGAGTATTGGCTTGGTCAATGGCGTGTACATCCGGACCGTTCTGGACCCGGCCACTGGGCAATTGACAGATACGCGAACGCGTTTCCTTGGTAGTCGGCCCGTGAAGTTGGTGCGTGTAAAGGTGCATGGCGATACTGCTGTTGTCGCCCTCAGCAGTCGCAGCTGGCTGAATTACACGCTGCACTCTCATTTGCATTTTACCCCTCTCATGTTCGATGCTATGACGCATGTGTCTAGTTTTAGCACTGAGCTCTGTCCGGATGGACTTCTTGGTATTTCTGGTGAGACATTGCGTATTTTCACTATCCCACAACTTGGAGGAGAGCTGAAAATGGACTCCTTGCCCCTTTCTTACACGCCACGGAAAATGGCAATTCATCCTTCGGACCCGAGTTTGTTTTACGTGGTGGAATCAGACCATCGAGTGAACGCGCCCTCGTCGCAAGAGGATGCAGCGACGTACGGCTTGCCACGTGCGTCTGCGTCCCATTGGGCCAGCTACATTCGCATAGTGGATGCGAAGAATATGTCCACTCGCTATCATCTTGCGCTGGAGCAGGACGAGGCGGCCTTCAGTGTGGCTTTGGTACCTTTTGCAGCTGCCGGCAATGAACTGTTTTTGGTGGTTGGCTCCGCTGTGGGCGTGACGCCCTCCCCTTCGTCTATGCGTACCGCGTATTTGACGACCTACCGACTGGTCGACGACGGTCACCGATTGGAGCTTGTGCACAAGACAGAAGTGGATGGCGTTCCGCTAGCGATCCATGCTTTCCATGGACGAATGTTGGCAGGCATTGGCCCCTATGTACGCATTTTTGAGATGGGGACCAAAAAGCTTTTGCGCAAGTGCCAAAGCAAGCCGTTCCCCTCGCCGGTGGTTTCGTTGAATGTTCAAGGACTTCGTGTAATTGTGGGCGATATGCAAGAGTCTGTACATTATGTTGTGTACAAACAGGCGACGAATAGCCTAGTATCCTTTGCAGATGATACCATGCCGCGATGGACGACAGCGGCGATTATGCTCGACTACGATACTGTTATGGCAGGGGACAAGTTTGGTAATTTGTATATCCTTCGCATTGAATCCGGTGCTTCGATGGCATCAGATGAAGACCCTACTGGCCTGATGTTGCAGAATGAGCGCTCCTACCTGATGGGTGCAGCGCATCGTGCACAAGTGCTGGCGTTCTACCACTTAGGCGATATCATTACGAGTCTCTCTCTTGAGAGTCTGGTGCCAGGTGGCAAACCCGTGGTGGTGTATACTGGCCTCAACGGTACGATCGGTGCGCTTGTGCCTTTTATCAGCCGCGAGGATGTCAACATGTTTACAACGCTCGAAATGCACCTTCGTCAAGAAAACGTAAGTTTGGTGGGCCGTGATCATCTGGCGTACCGTGGGCAATACGCTGCTGTCAAGTCGGTGGTAGACGGAGATCTTTGTGAGCTGTATGCTACTTTGCCCTACGAAAAGCAGCTCTCTATGGCAGAGGCGCTCGACCGAACACCCAGTGAGATTGTCAAGAAGTTGGCGCAGATGCGAGAAACCACCACAGGGTTCTGATAGGCAGAGACTTAGATAGAGCTGTCAAAGCGCCGGAAAAAATTAATCCCATGCACTCCCTGAGCACGGGGCGCCTGCATATGGCAGGTTCCCCACAACACCGGGCGCTGACTAAGCCAATGAGATGACTTAGACGAGGAAGGTACTATCACGTTCCGCGACTAGTGCACCGAGAGGCACTTGAGACTCTGATTCCCGCTATCGCATTGCTTCTTGTGCCTGTGCTCGATGGCACCAGAACCTGGCCAGAGTGCACTACCCCGCTCTCATGCATCACCTACGAGTGATGCAATGGCTTGGCTTCAGCATCGCGTCAGGCGCTCGCGACGACCTACAGCGCAATCACAAGACATATCATCCTATGCGGAGGATGTTTTCTCAACATCGGGCCATCGGACCGTTTCTACACCTTTAGAAGCGTCCGTGTTAAATGGAGATCAGTCATCTCAACAATTGACTGTTGAACGGGATTCCATACTACAACATTCTACGCCAGTGTCCTCGTCCCGAACGACCCCGAACTATCGACGCGCATCGATGATGCCAACACCGTCCCCCTTGCAGACACCTTTACTATACCGACGGTCAAGTATGCAAGTGGGCCCACAACGTATGCCTAGCGAAGAATCAATCCCTGCACTTTCTCCGGCACCCATTCGAGGTACGTCCCTTCTTACACTGCAGGTGGCGCCATGACTGTATTGTGTTCCCACATCGCTGAATGAGACCCAATCTACATTTTTGCACGTGGGACGAATTATATGCCGATCTCTGTGCGCACATGTGAAGATTGAGACACATGTGATGAGTCTGTGACATCAATCACAGGTGCATTCGTTACATCGCGTGGGGTGCGTGACACAATTCAATCAGCCTGTGCGCCATTTGGGTGCTTAAAAGAGTAAGAACTGTACTAACCGTGCCCAGTTCCCAATCGATCAATTACGTCTCCGGCGGCCATGCCCCTGTATGCACGGGACACGCAAGACGGACCTTTTCCTGCCCTGAGCCCACTCACTTTGATGGAAGCACCGTATGCATCACCTCCTATGTCCCCTGTGGGTGAAAAGTCACTTTCATCAGGCCAGCTACGGAGAGACTTGGAACCTATTACCACATCCCTTCAAAGCTCCCCTGACTTTCTTTCGCCTACAGGAAGTATGTCTGCTGCTGTACATACACCTTCTATCCTCTCAGATGCGCAATCCGGTTCGTATTATGAAGCGAAAGGCAGCTCTATGTCATCGATAAATGGGCTTGTATTGGATGGCGTGGATCCGACCCACCGAGCTCTCCCACCATCCCCGTTGCCAAAATCACCTTCACCAATGCACAGAAAGTCGACAACAGGCTTTCCTTTTCTTAGCACAGGGCCGAAGCGTCAATCTGGATCGAATACAAGCACATCCGGCTTTTTGTATGAGAATGGCACAGCTACGCCCTCATCAGCCTCGGAGTACTGGGGTATGGAAAATGATAAATTCCAAGTGACACCTTTGCGAGCTGATTGGGATGATTACAGCTGGGACTCAAATGATTCCATTCCAACAACTCCGATTCCGGAGCGTGCATTTTCGCAGCTTCCTCCGCTTCGCTCGTTAGAACTGATTGACGACAAACAAGCCCGACTAGGTGTCGTATCCAGCGCAGAGGACATTCCTGCTCAGGTTCACAAAGGAACAACACATTTATCTGTCCAATCATGTCCTTTATCGAGCTATGAATTTTTGTATACCCCGTCGATGTTGGTGGTGTTAGACCTCTCTAAATCTGGGCTGACGGAACTCCCATCGTCCATCACACATTGCGCCATGTTGGAGGAACTAAATATTTCAAGCAACCCTCTTGGACAATCGCCCAAGATGGCCCCATTGGTTAGTTTACGCTCACTTCAACGCCTCCGTGTCTTGTTAGTGGACAACTGTGCCCTTCCTTCTGTACCTCAAGAGATAATGACACTGACCTATCTCCAAATTCTTGGTCTGCGAGGAAATGCTTTAACGTATTTGCCCAGTTGGTTGTATACACTTGAGTATCTGGACTGCCTTTTGCTAGAGGGAAACGAATCGTTTACCCCCTCCTGGTGCTTGGTTGTTACACCGCTACTAGGTACGGAACGTATGGCATCATTGCAACACACATCCACAAGCGGATCCAATTATATACCCAGTCCGTCGGATAGCAAGAAGTCAATCAGCTTTTTGCAAAAGCTACGGACGCAGTCTCGCGTCTCGCCTATGGCAGATAAGACGTCGCGCTGGTTTGCCCGGAGCCGGGAGTCATCGGGAGACCTTTCCACGCCCAAGCGCACAAATAGTACGTCTGGGTCCATACGAGGCGTTATTGTCCCGTCGCACGTTCCCACCCAAACAAGCATTGTACCACAAGCATCAATTCTTGGTACACCTACACATGGCGATGATATTAAGCCATTGGCCTGCTTTTTGCCAGTGGGTGGTACTCAAGAGAGCATGAATACATTGAACTGGTTTGCTTCTCAGGGCACATCGTATGTCCGACAGCTTAAACAGTATTTCAAGGATCTGGATGCCCTTAACCCGGCGCGACACCAGGATGCATTTCTTTCTGCACCGTGGACGAATAGCGGCGCAACGGCTAGTACAGGGCTATCCACCTCGTCTTTGCTCATGATATCTAATACAACAGAGAATACGCCAAACGTGACGCCGGGTGAAGTGCCTATGCGGGGAGGTATTTTGGAGGAAGCGGGAGAATCTGTTCTTTCCTCGCGGGCTTCATACAGTGCGGATCAAGAGGTGAGGGAGGATGCAAGTAAGCGCTTTAAGATTCTATGTGAAGTTATTGAGACGGAGCAGACCTACGTGACAGGACTCAATGAACTGATGGATATTTATGTTCGTCGTGCGCGTCATTCAACAGACCCTTCAGGGGACGATCGCGTATTGCCTTTGAGCATGGAACGTCGAATCTTTGGACATGTGGAAGGCATTGTACAGTTCCATCGTGATGCCTTTTTACCGTCTTTGCTAGAAGCTACGAAGCCGCTGTGGTCCATGCATACGACGGACCCAACATTGTATGCGAAGCAAACGGCTCAAGTGGCCGTAGATGTGGGCAATGTTTTCTCGCAACATGCTGCCTATTTCAAAATGTACATGAACTATGTGAATCAGTACGATTCCTCTGTTCAAGCCATTTCGCGTTGGTCGGAACCTACCCTGACGCGAACACGTCAAGCCCTCCGAACGCCGAGCGCCTCGTTCAGTAACATCGGGCAACGGTTACTGAATTCCGACACGAGTCAATCCGATGACCGCATTGAGGACTCATCACACCTATCCAACTCGGATCTGCGCAAGTTCCAACACTACTTACGCAAATGCCGCGAAGATCCTCGCCATTCACAAATCAATCTAGAAGGTTATCTTTTGCTGCCAATTCAGCGCATTCCCCGGTATCGTCTCTTACTGGAGCAGCTTGTCCGTTGCACAGGGCATGATATGCTACCTGATACAGACCAAGAGGCTTTAGCGCGCGCTTTGGCCCACATTTCTCTTGTTGCTTCCTGGGTCAATGAAGGAAAGCGCCAATCCGAACAGGGCCGGCGTTTACTGCAATGGCAAAGCAAGTTGCGTGGTACGTTTTCTGCTCCTTTGGTTCAGCCACATCGGCGTTTAATCTGTGACGGGCCTCTACGGCTTCGACGGGTGAGTAAGCGCGTTGGTCAAAGCATGGAAACGGTCAACGACGAAGATGTTCTTGAGCAAACATCTTTGGATATGCCTATTCAGTTAATTTTGTGCAACGACCTAGCTGTGATTGTGTCATCGCCGCAAGCCGAAGACCTTACTCCTAGCCGTCGATCTAGTCTGAATGCAACGGACCCAGATCTTGTGGATGTTACCGCTGTGTTTAAACCGCAAGCGCATACTTCACCACCGGGTACCGTGAAGGATGCTCTTCTGCCTCCGGCAAGCCTCGTGGGACAGCTACATTTGCGTGTTGTCGACTCTCGTCATGTCTTCTACTTCACAGCATCTTCACATCGTGAAGCTGCGCGCTGGCGTGCAGTGATAAATGCACAACCATTCTAATATAGTTTACACTGTGATGCATATAAATTTGTATTGTAACGATGGACGTATAGGAAAGGTAGAAAGAGAGCGTGGAGGCGCGATGCCTGCCACCCCACGTGCCACGCGGGGACGTGCGAAGGAGCGGTCTTTCTTGGTGCCTGGACCCCACCGCCTCTCTACAGCTGTGCGATGAGGCGCTCAAGTCATGCACGATCAGAGTCCTTCGGAGACTTTGTGACAGCTGATGCATCCACCACAGAGCATCAGGATGACTCTATCATCGATTTGCGGCACGTGGAGCGGAAACTAGACGAAGATCGTCATGCTCAAATAGCCGAGGCCATCTCAGCAGAGTCTGCCATGCCAGTCCCTGTTCCTCACGCGACTACGCATATCGACTTGAGACCTATTGAGGAAAAACCTTTACATTCAGCGCCTGATATGCCAGCGTCGACGTCGTCAACGGGATCATCATCATATTGGTCTACGTCATTGTGGAACAAGCTTTCTGCACTCAGTGCGTTTGCCGGTGACGCTGCGTCTCCCCCTACGCCTCATCGCCACAAGCCTCGACGCAGCCACTCTGTTGTTCGCAGTCGTACCGCGCCTAGTGCGATTTCCGGCGCACCTGGTTTTGATCCCACAGCCACACCACATTGGAATCATGGACACTGGTCTTTCGATTCAGCAGGGGAGCGACGAAGAGAGCAGCTACCTATCCCCGTGCAATTAAAGGGGCGACGTGAGGACACAGATATTGTGATCGAGGCCTGGCATGCGGCTCGGATCCATGCGCAGGTGCCCCGGCGTCTTCGCCTAGGAAAATCCTGGTCACTGTTATATTCGCTGGATCAACATGGAGCTAGTTTATCGACATTGTACAGCCGTGTCGATAGGGCTATGAATCCAGGACGTAGGGAACAAGGGCCTGCCGAAGCATGGCTGCGTGGCTCCTCTGCAGCAGCACAGCAAGCTGTCCTTGGGACCTCCCTCCACGTCGGTGGCGGCGTAGACATGAGCAACGCAGGGATTGTCATTGCCGTGCGGGATACCGACGACAATGTATTTGGTGCGTTCGTCAATGAGGCATTGCACATATCACCTCACTATTATGGAAATGGTGAGTGTTTCTTGTGGAAAACTGTGCAACGCCTTTTACCTGTGCCTCCCGAAGAGACAGATGGAGAAGCCAGCGTGGAGGATGATCTTCACCCTGATAAGGCTATTGAAGTGTTTCGATGGACAGGAAAAAACGATTATATGGTACTAACGGAATCTGACTTTTTATCTGTGGGAGGCGGAGATGGCCACTATGGCTTATGGTTTGATGATGCTCTCAACAAAGGTGTATCAGCACAATGCCCAGCATTCGATAATCAAGTGTTGTGTAACGCACAAGAGAGTAAGGCATTGCATGCAGCGGAGGGTGGTGGAAATGCGCCCCCTGTGGACTTGCTAGACGACTTGATTGACAAACCACACACGCCGGAGCAAGGCAAGTTTCAATGCTTGGGCGTCGAAGTATGGGCTGTAGGGCTTGACTAGCAGCACTATAGTTATTGTAATCGTATTTTATACACCTCCACCTGATGCCACCAAAGCAGTTGAGTGCAGAGCTACTGCATCGCATAACTGAGGCGGCTTTACAGGACCCACATTACCCCTCAGACCTTGTCAAAAAAGCTTTACATGAAGACGGAAAGGATGGACCTATACCCACGTTAACAAAGGAACAAAAAGAAGCAGCTCGACATGCGCTGAAAGCCATTGCCTCTTTCCGCGCTGCAAGTCCTCAATCGTTGGAGCAGGACCCAGATATGGCTTATCTCTGGTTTCAGCAGTGCGGACTTCATATAGTATTTCACGAACTAGGTACTGCAAGAACAGAACTGGAAGTCCTGGGCAAAGTTGTACGCCCTCGTCCTACATCCAACGCCTCTATTCTTCAACTCAATGTACAAGTGCTTGGTGCTCTGCAGTGGATAACTGGAGCTCTGAACGATAGCCACGCATCGCAAAAATATGCGAAATGGAGGAGCAATGCTCTATTGAATCTATGACCAGGGTATATCACCCAACTCGCTGTCATCAATGCATCCTGCCAGTGACCAAGTCGAGGTTGCTGTAGCATCTTGGCACAGGCGTTCACGCCAACTTACGTGACTATCCTCTTTGGATACGTCCGTTGCAGGTGCACAAAAGGCGGGCTTTTTCATTTCATTGACAGCCTGCTGTGTCATAGTTGTATCATAGTCCAACAGACGAGATAAGAAGGTATCGTACAAGGTCTCTTTGCCGGTCTTGGAACGGAACCCGCTGATTTGATCAGGCGAATATTTCATGAAGGCCAATACAGAAGACAATTCGGCTTTACTGACAAAGTTTTGGGTAAGGGCAACAGACTCATCCAGGTTGATCACAAGATGCCACCAGCCACTGGGGACATACATCACTTCCCCTGCGGCGCAAACGCCTTCCAATAGCTGTCCATCTCCACCACATTCACGCCGCCCGTGTTTGGCCTTAGTTTCAGCATAAAAGTCCAGCATCCATTCACTTAAACTAGCAGGCGCTGTTACTTCTGAATGGTCTTCCGACACAAATACACCAGGAGGCGATACATCAGGAGGGAGCATCATCCAATACTTTGTACCATGCATCACAGCATTCCAAGCGGAAGTCATATTTGGATCTTTGTGCCAACCACTTCCGCTCCTTGCAGGCCCCGCAATGAGCCAACGATAGTCAGGACGCATGGCACCCATGAGTGAGAAGAGATCAGCACGTGTAGCATCAGCACTTTCTTCGTCAGAGGAAGATTCAGTGTATTGCGCCGGGTATCGTACAATAGCGGAAGGAATACGCCACCCTTTAGATGCTTCAACCTCCTCGGCTGCTACGGTAGCATCAAATAAATAGAAGGGCGATGTATCAGGCACCGCTCCAATTTGACTGTCTGGTTGTCCACCACCCCCATAAGACCTCGCATAGTCAATATAGGCTCGTCCGCTTATTCGAATCGCTTCTGCTTGAAAGATGCGGCTACCCCAAGCCTGACAAATATAATCCAGTGACCATGTACGACATGGCCAGTCCTCTGTGGCGTGCACCAAAATGCAAGGATAATTCTTTTCTGCATAGTGAGAAACAAAGTCAAATGCAGACATCTTTTTGGCATTTACGCGTGTGAAGTTGTCAGAAAACCTAGGATGACCATGTGCTTCTTCGGTAGACACTTTGCGAACACGCCGTAAACGTTTCTGCTCGAGGCGTGCATGGTGCTCCAAAAAGGGGGCTGGATCAAACGCAGATGTCATGAATTCATGGTATATGGCCTCAGAATAAACGCCTTTGGCCGACACTTGGCATTGCGATGCGGCTCGGATCATAGCCAAGTCATGCTCTGATGCAGACTGACGTTTAAGATGAGCAGCCGCATACATAGCCCGCCAACTTCCATGCCACACTAAGATATCTTCATGGAAATCTGCAATATATTTTTCACGCCAGACACTAGGCGTGTTTCCTAAGGCATAGAACGACCGACCAGCAGCACTGAGGCGAAGAAGACTGGGTGCGTCTAGCCATTCAATGAGAAGCTGAAGAAGAAAGGCATCTTCCAGCTTGGAAAAATAACCTAAGTCATGAGATCTAGTACTCTGCACGCCATCAAACCATGCATTGCCCAAAGGCTTGATGCCTAATGGATGAGACCCTACTGCCAGAGGCAGGCTGGACGACATGTCGACCCTTCAGAAATGTCGCGTCCAAATTTTTGGACTTTGTCAGCAGTGCCACGTGGACCAAGATCAACACGTTCCAAGGCACTCGTCGCACGTCCTGTTCCTTAGGCTTTGTGTGATGCGTGAGCTGATCACTTTCGCTGTCGGTCAAGCCGGCAATCAAATTGCTAGTGCATTTTGGGAGACTATTCTCAAGGAACATGGACTAAACCATGATGGTGTACGTATACCAAATTCATTGACATATACAGGAATATGTCGGCAATGACCCCCTTCAACTTTCCCGCGTGAATGTGTTCTTTGAAGACTCAAGCCGAGAGGGAAAGTATGTGCCTCGTTCCGTCAACATTGATTTGGAACCAGGTACCATTGATCATCTCCGTACAGGTCCGTTGGGCCATCTTTTCCGCCCTGACAATTTCGTCCATGGTGACTCTGGTGCTGGTAACAACTTTGCGAAGGGCTATTATACGGAAGGTGCAGAGCTCTTGGACTCTGTGCTTGAGGTAGCCCGGAAGGAGACAGAACGTGCAGACATGTTCCAGGGCTTCCAGCTTGTTCACTCTCTAGGTGGTGGAACAGGTTCTGGATTGGGTACCAACTTGCTCAGCAAGCTCCGTGAAGAGTATCCTGACCGTATGCTTGCCACATGGTCGGTTCTTCCCTCGCCTAGAGTATCCGACACCGTGGTGGAGCCTTACAACGCTACCCTTTCTTTCCATCAGCTTGTTGAGAATGCAGACTTGTCTTTCTGCTTGGACAACCAGGCATTGTACGATATCTGTCAGCGCACCCTTCGTACTGAATCACCCAAGTATGAAGACCTGAACACTCTGATTTCAAACGCTATGTCGGGATGTTCTACTACACTTCGATTCCCTGGACAGCTGAACTCAGACCTGCGCAAACTTGGTGTGAACATGGTACCTTTCCCTCGCTTGCACTTCTTCACTTGCGGATATGCACCTCTAGTGGCATCTTCGCTTCAGGCTTATCAGGCTTTGAATGTATCGGAGCTTGTTCACCAAGGCTTTAGCCCACACAACAACATGGCAGCCATTGACCCCCGTGCTGGCAAGTACCTGACAATCGCTGCTATTTTCCGTGGTAAAATTTCCAGTCGCGAGGTGGAATCAGAGATGCACAATATCCAAGCGAAGGCGTCTGCTGGATTTGTTGAATGGATCCCGCAAAACGTTTTGACCTCACTTTGTGACGTTCCGCCGCCTAATGTGAAACTGAGCGCAACATTTATTGGTAACACTACAGCAATTCAGGAACTATTCAAGCGAACTCACAATCAGTTCGGTGCTATGTTCCGTCGCAAGGCTTTCTTGCACTGGTACACGAATGAAGGCATGGATGAGATGGAGTTCACTGAAGCGGAGTCAAACTTGCTTGACTTGATTGCTGAATATGAGCAATATGAAGCGGCCGGCATCGACGATGATGAGGTGTACGAAGGCGAATACATCGACGACATGGTCGATGAACAGGGAGAGTACATTGAAGAGGAATATTAGATGTAGTGTTGTCTGTTTTCTAGTTTACCACCAGTGATAAATTGTGAATTCTGGCCCTGCCACGAATGGACATTGTATGTGGAGGCTGTGCACGAAGTCCGTGCTTCGCCCGTCATATCATGGTGGACTTGAGCAAGCTCAAGACTACAGCAAAGCCAGGTCATGTAGTTCAACCATTGGGTATGAATCCAGTACATGGACCGATAAGAAGTAAGCATATTGTGCTTGTGCTTGGTGTACGTTGTTTATGTGACGGAACTCATTGTTAGGTGGGGCCGGGTTTGGGACGAAGCTTGGCTCGAACGTTCGCTGAACAAGGATACACAATCGCAATCATGTCTAGATCTAAAGCGCGGCTAGATTCATGGGCTAAAGAGGTAAGATATGGATGAGGTTAACACGAAGTTTGACCAAATTATTCGGACAAAATGGGAACAAGATGGAGAAAGGGTGCCTCTGACCTCATCTCCTTTGGCACGCGCTTTTGCGTGTGATGTTCAAGATATTGAATCCATTAAGATTGCTTTCCGTGATATTCAAGCTACATGGCCCGACAAGCTCATTGGTACCTGTCTTTACAATGCAAGTATTCGCAAACGAGGTCCCTTTTTGGATATCCCTGTTTCGAAGCTTAAGGACAGCGTCGAAGCTAATATGTGCGTAAAATGGCTCTGACCGAAAGTATCGCACCCTATGTTTTTGCGCAAGAATCTTTACGCGCAATGAACAAGCACCGCCAAGGTGGTACCATTATATTCACGGGAGCAACAAGCAGCGTCCGAGGTGCTGCCGGATTTGCCCCTTTCGCTGCCTCAAGTACGTAGTTGCCAGGCGCAGTATATGCTAACTGAACAGAGGGAGGTCTACGAAACATGTGCCAAGTACGTATGAGCCCATTTCATGGCCTACTAACGCCATCAGTCATTGGCTCGTGAGTATGGAGAGCAGAATGTACACATTGCTCATGTCATTGTCGATGGTCTCATTGAATCCAAAACAGCGTTGAGCTACTTTGGTTTGCCTACCACCGAACGATTTCAGGATGGCTTAGTACGTAAAAGAAACCATGCACTAACGCAACACCTAGGCATTGGTGCCAGATGAAATGGCCAAGTCGTGGCTCTTCCTCGCACAGCAGCATCCTAGCACTTGGACATTCGAAATGGACCTTCGCCCTGCAAAGGAGCACTTCTGACATGTCCTAAAACACATGTAACACTAATAGAAAAGAGGTATTGGCCTTTTGGGGCCGATTGCATTACAATGCTACTTTGTCAGACTGGATACTCCAGTTCTAGAAGAATCAGAAACAGCCTGAAAACCAACTTGAATCCAACGACCGACACTTTTGGTGGCCAACACCGAGATTGTTGAAAGACAAGAACACAATACCAAATGTAGTACAGAGGTATTGGATTGCCTTGGCATGAAGAAGGAGAAAAACTCCCTCAGAGTCAAAGCACTCGAACGTCCTTGTCACATCGCAAGCTCATTTACTTCGAGCGAGCACGCATCTTTCTGCGCTTGCGGCGAAGACGGCGCATACGCTTCTTCCTCCACTTAGCCCTCATTTCCAATCTGAAGAGTGTTAGCATACCCTCCTTTCATCTTTGGGTTGGTCACATACCAAGTCCGACTAGAAACGATGACGGTTGGGAAGCAAGCCCAAGCGCCACCCCTTCTCAGTTATAGGCACAGTACCTGTTTGAGAAATAGTCACGTGCCATGTAGTTCTGCCAAGTCAGCCTTTCGTCAGCGCCAATGTGGAGAAACACGACGTGTGCAGGTATGGCGGCACGCCACGCCGCACGTCCCTTCGCCCAAGACCACGTTAAGGAATGTCTAGTGAAGAGACAAAACAAACGACCGCTCCAGGGGAGGCGCAAACTCAAGCTCCTGCTGCTGAACAAACGCAAGCTCCTGCCCCGGCGGAGGAACTGAACCCAGATGGCACGCCTCTGTCGGACAAGCAGCGCCGTAAGCGCGCTGAGAAGGCAGAAAAGGAACGCATTAAAGCGGAAAAGGCAGCGCGCCTTGCCGCAGAGCAGGCTGCTAGGCAGGCTGCTGAAGTGGACTATGCGACAGAGAACTATGGTCCCCTCCCGATGAACCAGTCGCAAGAGCACACTAACCGTCAATTATTTGCAATCGAGGATATCCACCCTGACAAGGATGGTCAGCCAATTACCCTTGTCGCACGTTTGCAGACAAGCCGTGCTCCTTCGGCAAAACTAGTCTTCTTCAACCTCCGTCAGAGCATGCAGTGTGTTCAGGCGACCATGGCAGTGACCCCAGAGAAGATTTCGCGCCAAATGACCAAGTGGGCTGCGTCGGTCACGCCTGAGTCACTGGTGTTGATTGAAGGTACCATTTCCAAGGTACCGAAGCCTATTGAGTCGCCTTCTGTGACCATCAAGGATGCGGAGGTGAAAATTTCTAAGATGTTTGTGCAGGTCCCTGTGACATGGGAGGGTCAGATTCCATTCTACGTTGACGATGCTACGCGATCGGATGCAGAGATTGAGGCATCGCAGAACACGCCACGCCCTCTTCCTCCGATTGCGCTGGACACGCGATTGGACAACCGTGTACTGGATCTGCGTACGCCTACGAACCAGGCGATTTTCCGCCTGAACCATGGTGTGTGCAAGCTGTTCCGCGAATTCTTGGAGAACAATGGCTTCATTGAGATCCATACCCCGAAGCTGCAAGGCGCTGCTACTGAGAGTGGTGCGTCTGTGTTCAAGGTGGATTACTTTAAGGGCAAGGCTTTCCTAGCGCAGAGTCCCCAGCTGGGCAAGCAGATGGCCATATCCGCCGACTTTGGCCGTGTGTATGAAATTGGCCCTGTGTTCCGTGCGGAAGACAGCAACACGCATCGTCATATGACCGAGTTTACCGGCCTTGACTTGGAGATGGCGTTCCAGGACCACTACCATGAAGTGGTGGACCTGTTGAACCAGTTGTTCATGTTCATCTTTAGCGAGCTTCCTAAGCGTTATGCCACAGAGATTGCCACGATCCGCCGTCAATTCCCTGCGGAGGAGTTCCTGGTGCCGGAGAAGCCTGTGCGCCTGGACTTTAAGGAGGGTGTGCAGATGCTCCGTGACGCTGGCTACGATATTAACGATCTAGACGACTTGAGCACAGAAACGGAACGTGCCCTTGGTAAGCTTGTGCGCGACAAGTACCACACAGACTTTTATGCATTGGACAAGTTCCCGCTGGATATCCGTCCCTTCTACACTATGCCCGACCCGAAGGACAACCGTTACTCCAACTCTTATGACTTTTTCATGCGCGGTCAAGAGATCTTGTCGGGTGCGCAACGTGTACACGATGCCAAGTTCTTGGAAGAACGTCTGGCTGCAGCCAATATCCCTGTGTCGGCTATGAAGCATTATGTGGACGCGTTCCGTCTGGGTACGCCGCCGCATGCAGGCGGTGGTATCGGTCTAGAGCGTGTCGTCATGCTGTACTTGGGTCTGGGCAACATTCGCCGTGCCAGCATGTTCCCTCGTGACCCCAAGCGCCTGGAGCCCTAAATAGCTTTTATGGGAGAACACTTGCTTGTGTAGAGTCTCGAGTGATTTGCATGAACCATTGCGACTGTATTGGTCAGGAAGCAGAGATACATACGATATCGCCTAAGAGTTCGTTCCGATTCGCAATGTCTTGGTCGGACATACCAGGATAGTTCTTGACCATGGCTGAACGATGAGCCTCGACAATACATACCATGCTCCCATGAGGGCCATAGTCGCAAAGACTTTTTCTCAACACGCATCCTATCGTAGAACATGCGCGAGCCAGCAGGGTCCGTTACACGATCGGCTGTGCCATGATGAATCGACACAGGGCACTGTATGGCATCGGCAATCTCATCGAGATGGACCAGTCCATCCACGATGGCCAGCCCTGTATCTACACGGACAAGGCCATGGTACCCTTGAATGTCATTGCGAGCAAACAACTCCACCCTGCAGAGTAAGTCTTAAGACGTGGATACGTACCTGGGGTCGTCCGACAACTTGCCGCGGATCGCACGGAGAACACCCAGTCGACCTGCAAAAAAGGCGATGCACCGTGCTGTCTTTTCCACAATCAACGGCGGTCGTGTTTCTGGGGCAATGCGGAGCATGGGCGCCGTCATACTGATCCCATCCAAAGCAAGAAAGTCAGGGTGCGAAGCTGGCGGATGGAGGGCGGCATGGTAGGCGACAGTGAACCCGCCCATAGAGCCGCCTTGAGCAAACCGCTTGCGTTTGTGCAGATCCTTCATTCCATTGTGCTGGTCACACATATATACATGGTACATCACAGCATCCAAGGCACCTTCGTTTAAACGAAGTGTTGGCAAGTGTCCCTGCAAACCGGACGATCGGCCAAAGTTGGGCATATCAATCGCAATCGTCCGGAAACCATTCTTCATGTGAATCACGGCCTGAGGTGTACACCGGCCTGAGTACTCATTGATGCCATGGACCAGGTACACGTCAGCATTGACTGCATGTGAGTGGCATTTTGTGGACACGTACGATGCTCCCGCTGAGAAATGTGTGGCATTTCCCATACATAATAGTTGATGAAGGCTGTCACCTTTTTGCCGCCAAAGGTAAATGGCAGTGCACGATCTACATCTCGGAGTTTCATGGAGAGAATCGGCTCGTTCCTGCTCATATATACACGACGCCGCGTCACTGTTACATCTGGGTTCTCGTAAATGTCACGCCGCTCCGAGGCCGAGTAGGGCAGCGCATCGCGGCCATACGTCGCATCACCAAACCCAAACTTTGCGACACCCAGAAAGACAAAGATAGGCTCGAGAAATACGTAATACACTTCGCGGATACACCACAGGAGCCACGCAGATGTCGACATGAGGGAATCAAGATCCCTTTCGACGATCTGCGGATAGATGCAGAGCCCGATCGATGGAGGCGGCTTGATCGCTCCATCGGGTGAAGCAGAAACGCTCGACGCACCTCGTTGGGTTGGAAACATTTCATGTATGAATTGGACATCGTATTCTATCATCTATGTAATCTTCACAACTTGGTAGTCGACAGCACACGATCATGCAGAGCGCGGAGCTCGAGACCGGCCTGACTAAGGCAGTGCGTGAAACGCGAGGCAATATGCTCCTCCTTGAGACACATGATCGTAAACACAAGCGAGTTCTCCTTGATGCAGTACGCCACACCGAAACCCTTCGGGGTCACCTCACCGAAGCCCCAGGCATCAAACAGCTCAGCACTGATCTGCGAGGTACTGAGAATCCACGTACCGCTCTTGGCGTTCATCGGGTCCTGGAACAGCGCAGGGGTCGTCTCGCCGTCCTGAATCAAGCGCTTCAGACCAAACAGGTGACGGTCCACACCCTGACCTTCCGAGGCAGCCTTCGCGTATTTGATGTGCTGCGCAGCAGCGGCCTGGAACAGCTTGAGGCGCTCCGCGTCCGTGCATGAAGCATCCTCCATGGCGCGGCAGAACGCCAGACTCTCCACGCTGGCACTGCGGATCGTCTCAGTACGTCCAAGCTTGAACTTCCGTGTCTGCGACGCCTCGTAGGTGGCGCAAGCATGTCCATACATCTTGAAAAAAGCAAGCTGAATGCACATTTGGGCCCATGCATCAGGAGAGCACTTGTATTCCTTAATGGCCTCCTTGCCGTAGGCAGAGAACTCCAACACGGACACATCCTGCTTGCCCATCAGCGACACAAACGCGTCACTAGCTTCGCTCGCAGCCTTCGCAAGATCGTCGCTGACCTTGAACTCCAGGTACGCAGGGTCATCCAACACAGCACCCGAAGAGGGACCAGCAAGCTCAACCTTACCAGCCGCTAACGCGTTCAGCATAAAGTTGTTGAGACGCAGGGTCTGTGTGCCGTCCATCATCGAGTGCTCACCGACGTAGCCAGACGTTCCATTGTCAGCCACGATAAGCTGCTGCTTGTCAAAGAAGCGGTTCTTGGCGTTGCCACCGTAAACATCGAAGCTCCGTTCTTCGTACGTCACAGGCTTCGACGAATCAAGCGACAGGACCAACACACCGCTCTCAATCTTCTCCAAGATCGCACGGTTGTGCTCACCATTCGAGCCCGAAAGAAGAGCCTCATGGTTCTTCACCCATGTGTCACGGTCTGTCGACGAGAGAGCACCAATCGGCGCTTGAGCAGGCTGCTGCGTGCGTGAGTCGTTCACAATCTTTTCCAGCTGGACTTCAATCTCAGGCACGCTGAGCTCCTTGCCTGTCACCTTGTTTACAAGATCCACGGCAAAAAAGTGGCCATTGCGCAGCACAATGACGTGGTTGTTCACAGCAGGGTCATAAGCCTTGGATACATCTTCACCCTCGACAGGAATACGGCAAGAGTTAAACATCCACTTGTACGGAGCCATGCAAAGAAAGCCGGTCTTGGTCTTCTCAGGAGCAAGGTCTTCCGATACAACCAGCTGGCGGAACGCCATCATAGCCTTCAAAAGCTGCGCCGCACGAGTGACACCCGTCTTCACTTTCGGGTCGCCCTTGTGCAAATAAAAGTAGCTCGAGAATGGCACAACAGGGTCACGGTACGACATGTAAGCCGCAGAGAGCCACCATTCCGAAAGCCAGCTCTCACGACCCTCGGCGGTGGCACGCTTCACAAGTCGCTCCTGAAGAGTCTGCATAAGCTTTGCATCCTTACCCTTCAAAGCAGACTCCACGGCGGCCTTGGTCACAGCCAGTGACTCATCCGACTCCTGCAAAGGCAGCGTAGACTGCAAGTACTTGCTCAGTGTCTGTTCCAGTGCTGGGACAGGGAGGAGCGGCAAAGATGGCTGACCCGCATACATGGGCTTCGAGGATGTAGAAGAGGCGCGCATAGCTTGGGTGATGGTAGCAGGAAGACGAGTTTGGAACGAAAGGCGGGATACAGAAAGTTTGGTGGCAGAGGACAGATAAATTCTAGCGTCCATATGGACTTCTTTATGTTGTTATACGTCGAAGTGGTGGAAGAAACAATGGAGTTAGTTCCTGCTGTTTCCCGGTAGCTTGTATGAAACTAGCACAATAAATAGGTGCTTGAACTTCGGCTTGAAACATAGCCGGTGCGCGTAGGACGTCGCTTTTGTATCGGGACCTGTTTAGGCCACGTGCCAATGAATCGCTTTTGTGGAGTAGCGGGCTGACATCCCGTCACCTGCATGCACCATGGAGCATCCCAAACGTGAAATCACGGGCGTTGTGGAAGGCCTTGTGCGAGCCAAGACGGCTGAGGACCAGAAAAAGGTTCTAGAACGGTACTTTACCCCAGATGCCTCCTTTGATCACCCCATGTGTGCTGTAAACTCTTGGCCTCACGTATGTCTACGCGTCATGCCACTAACGACGATAGTCAAGAGATAATGGTATCTTGCAAATCTACCAGTGGCTGCGTATCATGTTTATGGACACTCTCATCGAGGTACACTCCGTCGGTACGTCTTTATTGTTTTCTTATATGCCAGCGTACGATGAGTCAAACAAGCGTATATACATTGAGGCCACACAAACGTTGCGTTGCAACCTTTCCTTTATTCGCTCAATACACGCACCAAAGGCAACCCTAGTGGTACTTCTGAATTTAGTTCAAGGGTCTGATAAGAAGTATTACATTTGCAAGCAACAAGATGTGTACCCTATCCAGGAGTTGCCATGCAAACTGATCCCTGGCCTGAGCACTATGGTGATGTTTATGAAGCTCTTGGTCGGCATTCTCATTTCTATTTACGTGGCAATCTTCCAGCTCTTTGGCGTCTGGACTCTGAAACCGACCCGGACGGCCTAATGAGCCTGTAGACGCTGGACATTTATACACAGTTTGATGCCAATCGTATGGTGGCGAGATCTTATATATAGTTTGAAAGCGGAATTTATCTTGTATTTTTTGTTTCATCAACGTGCATCGCTTTAAATCGGCTCATGCAAGCCAGGACCAAAAGCTGGCTTATGTAATAAGATTGCTGAAGCCAACTAATCCCGCACAGGCATATCATCATCTGTTGCTTTGGTGCGCGTTCTAAGAGAACTTTACTGCCTAAAGTAAAGTCTTGCTTTACCTGTCTTTCAACACCACTATATTTGAAGGGCCTGCGAAGCGAGCGTCAACTCCACTACTTGTAAGGCTCATTTTATACGCTAAGACTACGTTTCACCAGCTTTAAAGAGTAAGCAGTCGGTTGTCATAAAGGAGTCACGCGGTGGCGACGGGTATACATAAGACACCATGCCTGACCGTCATATATTCAACACGGACGAAGACATTGGACCAGTTTCTCATAAATCAAAGGAAGGACGCAAGAAGGACCTGAACCCACTCAATGATCTTCGTCGTTTCCTACATACCCATATTGGCAAGAGAGACAGTAACAAGTCACGCAGCAATTCCAATGGACGCGGCTCTGACTCGCCACCCTGGGGTACATCGACAGCTGGTCTATCAAAGAAGTATGGCAAGTTTGGTAAGACATTGGGTACAGGAGCAGGGGGGACGGTACGCATCATCCGACGATCCAAGGATCAAGAGTCGTTTGCAGTGAAGGAGTTCCGCGAACGACAGCCTAATGAATCAGAGAAGGAGTATATCAAAAAAGTAACAGCAGAGTTTTGTATTGGAAGTACACTTCATCACATCAATATCATCAAGACACTAGATATCATTCGGAACAACGGACACTACTATGAAGTCATGGAATATGCACCCAATGAATTGTTTGCAGTGGTTATGAGTGGAAAGATGGGGTACAATGAAATTAATTGCGTGTTCAGGCAAATTGTGGACGGTGTGGACTATCTTCATGGGCTAGGACTGGCTCATCGAGATCTTAAGATCGATAATTGTGTTATGGCCGCAGATGGCATTGTAAAGATCATTGACTTTGGCACGGCCACAGTGTTCCAGGCTCCAGGTAAGACCGACGTCCTAGCCACAGGTATTGTTGGGTCTGATCCATATTTGGCGCCGGAAGTAATTTCATCCCAAATGTACGATGCGCGTATGACCGATATATGGAGCTTGGCCATCATCTATATTTGCATGGTACTACGTCGATTTCCTTGGAAATTGCCTGATCCAGAATCGGACCCAAGCTTTAAGATTTTCATCGACGCGCACCCGGAGCTCAATGTGCGTGCAGCACCCCATCGCCGTATCGAACTGCCAGCGACATCGAATAATGACGCTTCTCCTGAAGACCGCTTTGGCGCCGTATTGAACAAAGAACACGCAGATGAGCTCATGTGCAAGTTCAGCGGTGAGGGAAATATCCCAACCGCTGTGGAAGCAGGGTACACAATGCACACTGGGGGAGGTGGTATGACACCAGGCACTGTGACGCCTATCCTTACGCGCGAAGCAACTACGCCGGTGGGTGATAGCCATGAGCCCTCTCCTATGACGGATAGTGTATATGAAGAGTCGGAACTTGAATCGACTGCGCCATCTCCAGGTATGATGACACCGCGAGACGGCGAGTCCACAAATGATGGGCATTCACGGGCGGATGACAGTTTATTTCGGTTGTTGCCGTTGAGATCACGCGCCTGCTTGACGCGAATGCTTGTGTTAGAGCCAACAGAACGTGCTACGCTTGGTGATCTTCTACGTGGTCGATCTTACGGAGCTCGCGATGGTGCCGTATCAGCCTCATTATACGCAGAACAACGTAACAAGGCGGATGATCCATACTCATCACCAACGCATGCCACAGATGTCATTCCAGTGTCGAGCACAGGGGGACCGTCGCTTGCTCCTTATGTGGACGAATTTGAAAACGATGAAGATACGGGTGATGAATGGCTTAAAAGTATTTACACCTGCTCGCATTGGAAGGATATGGCTCCGTCTAGTACAAAGGCGAAGGCATCGGCCAATCTATCCAACTCTAAGGAGAATGATGAAAACATCTTTGCTGACATGGGATTCCGTTCTATGACGGAGCTGGAAGAATTGGGTCGCGTACGTCCCCCAGCTAATCACACACATACAACGGTTCCTACCAATGAACACAAGCGACGCCTGTTCCATAGGAAAGACTAAGTTAAGAATCTACCATCATATGATAGTTATGAAAATAATGACGATGGCCACGCGAGGCGCGTCATGGAACAACAGCGAGTGGTAATCTGATAGGTTCCTGGCGAAAGGATGGTGATTGCACGTGCGAGTACGAAGTGCTTATTCATCAATGATGACTGAGCGGAGCCCAAGCTTCCTGGGTCGACGCATGTCTGCCCATGAATAAAGTGGTGATTGGGCCTACAAAGCGCGTACCTGCCGGGTAGAATCGACTGCAGAAATAGGCAGTGCTCACAGGGCCATAGCGAGCTGAGGTATGTGTCGCGCTGCAAAAGCTTGAGGGTCCCGCAGTGTGAAGGCCCATGGCTTCATAGATAGTACCATTTTCTATAGGCACCACGATCTAGTCCGTCATGAGCACGGAATACTCTATGGCCCACCAGGGAGCACGTCCCTTGGATGCCCAAGGGTACCCGGTGAGCACAGGCCTGCATGGGCCGCGTCCTCTGGGTGCTGCCTCGAGCTATGATCCCAGTCGTGCCGCACAAGCTCATTATGCTGCGACAGGGGAACATGTCAGCGCGAATGATTTTCAAAATGGCGCGCCGCTCGGTGATTACAACTACAGTACTGGCTACATGGGCAACGCCAGTCGTCAGAACCTGATGAGCCCAGGCTACGCGCAGCAGGGATGGAACGATGCGGCCAACCCCTACGCGACAGATGGTTTTGAATCGAACCATGGCCACCGGTCAGTGCCTCCTGCTGTGGCGCCCCAGGCGCATACAGGCCGCGCTCCCTCGTCTGCAGCTGCTGCGGGTGCCAGTGCTGGTCTCGGTGCTGCTGGCGCCAGCGCTGCCCATGCTGGTGGCGTCCCTCCTAACAACACTGGTGCGGCCAAGTACAATGCGGCTACATCTGGTAGCCGCAAACGTCGCGGTATGTTCGGCGGAAAGAAATGGCTTTGGTGGCTACTTGGTATTATTGCCGTGATTGTTATTCTGGCCATTGCATTGGGCGTGGGTCTTGGTGTGGGCCTCACGCAAGATGACAAAAAGGGCGGCAATGACAATGACAAGGGGTCGGCCGTTAGTGGTATCGGTACTGGTAAGCCTCAGTCGAACCTGGCTGCTGTGTTCCCGCAGGACGTGCGTAATGCTGCCTCGAACGCTGCTAAAAGCGGTGGTGGGGATCAGCTCTCGTACACGGGCACGGATGTGTACGGCAACCCAATGTTCACGAGTGCGGCGAACACGGGTGCGCCGAGTACAGGCAAGCAGCCTGGTTCGTGTGGAAAGGACCCATGGAAAGCTACGAACAACCTGAACAACGGTCGCCCTGGCCACCCTCGTCTGATTGCGCCGCAGTACATGTGGGACTGCTTGCCGAGCAAGATTCAGAATGATGCTTACCTCACAGCGTGGAACCACACGATCATGACCAACGCGTCGACCTGGTTGGGTGCGAAGCCTGTAACATACGATGTGGATGGTGGTCTTACGCTCTCTGGTATTCTGGACGTCTCGCGTATTGTGCAGCAACGCCTCAAGGCATGGGCCTATGCGTACCGCATGACACGCGACAAGAAGTACAGTGACCGCGCGTACCAGGAGATGAGCGTGGCGGCCGGCAACACGTCGCAGCCGTTTGGTGATGGTGTCAAGCGCTGGAACCCTGACCATTTCCTGGACACTGCTGAAATGATTGCGGCATATTCCTTCGCTTACGACTGGATGTTTGATGCGTGGAACGACCAGCAAAAGTCGTACATTCGTGACTGGATCGTGACGTACGGTCTGCAGCAGGGTATGGACATGTACAACAGTGGCACCGCTTGGTGGTCGCAACCAGCGAGTGGAAACGGCAACTGGAACTGTGTGAGCAACGGTGGTTTGGTATTTGGTGCACTTGCGGTGCAGAACGACGTAACAGGTGCTGCGAAGAACACGACCGACACAATCTTGCAGACGGCGCTGAATAATGCGAAGAACAACTGCATGCGTGGTGTGTACGAAGACGGCACATGGTCAGAGACGCCGAACTACTGGTACTTTGGTACGAATGGTCATGCTCGCATGCTTTCAGCTTTGATTACAGCCACAGGTTCGGACCAGGGTCTCATGAGCCAGAACAAGAACTGGTACAAGACGAGTGAATTCCACATGTATGTGACGGGCAATGGCGGCATGTACGCGTACGGTGACAATGGTCCGAACAAATTCTCGACGACAGCGAACCAGCTTTTCCTGTATAGTCAGCTGGCCAAGAACCCTTTGTACGCTCTCTTCCAGCGTGACCGTGCGGATGCTGCATCGGACCCTCTCAGTATGTTCTGGTACGATGCGTCGTCGAAGGGTGGTTTCTTCAACGGTCTTCCATTGGATCGCTTCTTTGACAACGACCAGAACAGCTGGGGTACCATGCGTAGTTCGTGGACAGACACGACGGGTGTGTACGTTGCTATGAAGTCGTCGAACATGACGGGCCACCAGACCCACGGTGACTTGGACGCTGGTGACTTTGTCATCGATGCTCTGGGTACGCGTTTCGTGGGTGAGTACGGTAGTGACAACTACCTGGCGAAGGACTACTTTGCGAGTGAAGAAGACAGCGCTGCGCGGTGGACTTACTTCCGTAAGGGCACGCAAGGCCAAAACACCGTGGTAATTGGCAAACAGAACCAACACTCCAGCTGCAAGCCGAAGAACACATTCCAGTCGTCAAACACGGCGCAAAATGGCGACCTGAGCTTCACACCGGACCAGAGCTCCACGGCGTTCATGGTCACGGACATGAGTCAGTGCTACGGTCAGCAGGATGGCAGCGTGAAGCGTGGTATCCGCATGCTCAATGGCCGTCGTCAGGTGCTTGTGCAGGACGAGATCAAGAGTCCGAACCAGGAAATTCAGTGGCGTGTGCAGACGAACGCGACGGTGACCCTGTCGGGTGACAAGAAGACGGCCACATTGAAGATCAACAAAGTGGAGAACCCGAACGCCCCCAAAGACCCGCTGATGGCGACGCTAGAGAACGAGGTGACGATGGTGGCCACCATTGTCCAGCCGCAAGATGCGCAGTTTGAGGTGAACCCAGCATACAACAAGCAGACGAATGCGCCGAACTACTACTATGGCGCTGACAAGGTGCCGCAACAGGATAAGGACATCAACGGCAACCCGATCCAGGCTGAGGTGCTCGACTTTGAAGTGAGCGTTCTCTCTATTACCTTGCCCGGTAATGCGGACACCAACATCCAGGTTTGGTGGCAGCCTCAGTACGGCAACGGCAACGACGCTGACAAGAACACGCCGAAGAACGTGCCGCTTGCTCAGTGGAGCCTCACCAGCCACTAAATTCACCACTAATGACAACGTATATTTTTTTTCGAAAAAGCAGCCTGTTCATTAGCTAGCTATGTAGTAGACGGTTAGATTAAGGAATTTTGTTTATGCAGAGACCCTTCCTGTTGACGCATGGGCGGCTAGCTCGACACCTGTCCATGGCCAATCTTAGCATCTGAACCGCCTATATTAGATTCATTTCAGTACACAAAAGTCAAGACTTTCAACAATTTTAACGATTGATAAAACGAACGAGGGTATGAAAATGATAAGAGCCTATCACGTCTCCCGAGAGGAATACACGGAATCCACTTTATCCGGGGCGGTGTAATTGAAGGGTACTCTTTACACTGAATCTCCGAGACTTTAGCGAGACATTGTCAGATATGATAAAACGAATCTATTTTTAGACCCTGAATTACCTTAACAGTACATAAACATTTTGCCCATGACCTGTCTGTATAGTAGATGAACACGAGTTTGAGATATTATCTCATGTGCATGCGCGGATTACAAGATTTTGGTTGGCGCAAAGGCCATAGCCACAGTTCGGCCGATGCAGTAAGCCCCCTACACGCGAAGGATTTTAGCCCCGTGTGAATGTCTGACCTAATATTGGCCAAGCAAGCGTGTGGTGTACACAATATTGTGGCCGCTCCGAAATCGCAAGGTTTGTGAAATAGGCTCTTGCTTCTTATCACCATACAACTTGGACCAAAAGCCGTATTGTCTATCGTACAATAGAGGGTGACATTAGAATGGATCACCCATTGGCTTTTATCCATGAGCTCTCGCCGCCTACGGCGGGTCTCTCGTTGGGCGATAGTCTCGCTCAACATGTTACTGACAATGGTCGCTTTCACACGTTGATTGATTGTTTGCCATCTACCAACAAGCGTGCTCTTATCTCGCCAGACCTCTCACGCCCACCGCTGACGCACCGTATGCTGAAGCAGTTTGTGACGTCCTTTGTACTGCCACACAGTACTCACTTCAAGCCGTTGCAGCCGAACGATCGTATTATGATGGCACTGCCCACCGGCCCCGAAAATGCGTTGGCTTTATTGTCTGTGGCAGCCTACTTTAGCTGTGCCCCTGTAAATGCTAGTTGCACAGCAGAGGAACTGCGTGACGATGCGCTGCGCTTGGGTGCGAAGGCTGTGGTCTCTACTCGTGAGGCAGCCGATCGTCTTGAACTTTACAATTTGTTCAGCCAGCACGGTTTGGAAATTATCTTTGTCGAGCCACGTCCATCAGGTCCGGCTGGTTTGTTCGACATGTCATTGATGGGTCAAGAGGCCGCAGACTCGCGTCAGCAAGGCCCTTCGGCGCCCAACACGCTGATGAATCAGTCCCTGGTGCTGCACACCTCGGGTACGTCAGGTACGAAGAAGGTGGTACCATATACACTGCGCGACTTGATCATCGGTTCCGTATGTGTCGTTAAGAGTTGGGACTTGACACCTACCATGGTCAACATGAATATGATGCCACTCTTCCACGTCGGTGGTATTGTGCGTAACCTTTGGGCGCCAGTGTTGTCCGGCGGTAGTACCATTCTTTGCTCTGGTTTTGATGCAAATGCGTGGTGGAGCTTGTCGATGCAGCTCGGTGCTACGTGGTACTATGCTGCGCCGACCATGCACCATGCCATCTTGTCGGCGAAACCGCCGGAAGTGGACCCATCTTCACAACTGCAGATCCGCATGATCTGCAATGCGGCAGGTGGTTTGCTCCCGTCCTTGGCAAATGAACTCCGTGCTACCTTCAATTGTGCAGTATTGCCCTCTTACGGTATGACAGAATGCATGCCGATCGCTTCGCCGCCGACATCGTATCAGCTAGACCGTCCTGGCTGCTCCGGTGTGGCGTGTGGTCCTTACCTCTCTATTCGTGACCCGTTGAACATTGAACTGGAGCTTCCCCGTGGGAAGACAGGTAATGTGTGTGTGAAAGGCCTGCCGACCTTCTCCGGTTACGAGGTCAACGGCAACCCTGTGCTCGACACCTCTGTGTTCTCCAGCGAAGGATGGTTTGACACGGGTGACTGTGGCCATATGGATGAGGATGGCTACCTGTATATCACAGGTCGTTCGAAAGAGATTATCAACAAGGGTGGTGAAGTTATTTCGCCCTTTGAGATTGAAGAAGCTATTACGCAGGCGTGCAAGGACCGTGTCAAGCAGACACTGGCCTTCTCGATTGAGCACAAGGTACTGCAGGAGACCATCGGTGTGGTGATTGTCCCGCAGCCGAACCAGCCTCGTATTGGTCTGAGCGAACTCCAGAACTCGCTGCGCAGTCATTTGCACCCGTCCAAGTGGCCTTTTGTGATTGTATATATGGATGATTTGCCAAAGAACCAGGCGGGTAAGCCGTTGCGTATCAAGCTAGGCTCGCGTCTTGGCATTGGTCCCTTGTCGGACGATGTGCCTGCCCTGGATCGCCACTTTGAGGCCAAAGCACCGAGCAAGGAGACGCCTCTTTCGCGTCCTATCCCCTGCTCGCGGATCACGGTGGATGTACGTGCTGTGCAGCGTGCATGTTACCGTATTCCTGGTGTACTTGACGCTGCTGTCGTACAGCAGCGTGATCGCTCGCCCATGGCCTTTATTCAAGTGCAGGAAGATGCAGAGTTCGATGCGGCCGATATCGATCGTGCCCTTGGACAGATTTTGCATGGCTACGTCGTGCCGAACCCGTTGCATGTCTTCCGTCAGCCTCTGATTAAGACTAACGGAGAATATGACTTTGCCGCCATGGAGAGCATTGTGCGTGAGCAGAACGCTGCTAGCATGTCGCAGACATCGATCTTGGTGCGTGACATTATCGCCAAGCTGCTGGATCTCGATTCGGGTTCGATTACCGATGAGTCGGACTTTTTCCTGCTGGGTGGCAACAGTTTGTTGCTAGGTCGTCTTATCTTTATGATCCGCAAAGAGACCGATGTCAACCTGGAAGTGAGCTCTCTGTTCACAAACTCAACAGTGTCCAAGATGGCTGCGCTTATTGACGAGCACCGTGGTATGGGCGATGTAACCCATGATGATGGTCTACACTACCAGATTGACGAGAAGGGTGCTGGTCTGCACACGGGTTACGTGGCGCACAACTATGCTGCCGAGAACGACGACCCAGCGTTCTCGTCGCATGGCTACAAGCCGCGTAGTCAGACACATCCCCTGGTGCTCTTCGTACAAGCATTGCCGTTCATTTTCTTCTACCCGCTCAAAGCGGCGTGGACGTGGACGGTGATCTTGCACGGTCTGGCTTTCTTTGCGTACTACATTCGTGACTCGTTCTGGGAGCGTCTCGGTGCACTGCTGGCTTCGATTGTGATTGCCCGAGTGACCTCGCGTATCGTCTGTCCCTCGGCAGCAATTCTCTTCAAGTGGGTGGTCATTGGTCGATACCGACCTGGTAAGTACCCGATGTGGTGCAACTACCACCTGCGTTGGTGGATTGTGAATCAGTCGCTGCGTGTGAGTGGTCGTGGCGTGTTTGCGATGTCGCCTTTCCTACTGAAGACGTACTTCCGTTTGCTTGGTATGCAAATCGGTAAGAATGTGCAGATTGATTCGATGGCTAAGATCGCTGAGCACGACTTGATCACGATCCATGACCGCGCATCGATCGATCGTGCTCGTATCCGTGGTTTCTGTGTGGAACGCGATGGCTACTTCCGTTTGGAGCCCATTGTGATTGGCCGTGATTGTGTGGTAAACACCTACACACAAATTTCGCCAGGCGCGCGTCTTGCGGATGGCACCGTTTGGGGCCCACAATCGTCGTCCCATGAAGCGCCATCGTCTGACTCGTACGCTGCGTTCAATTCGAATGCGGTGCCAAAGCCCAACTTCTTGCTTCGTTTCCTGATCGGTTACCCGCTCTATGGTTTGATTTGGGTGATTTCGTACGTGCCGTGGTTTGCTGCTTTGTTCCTGCTCTTGGCGCAGCCCTTCAACTTCTCTAACAACGACTCGCTGGAAAGTATTGTGGCTTGGTACGCGTACCCTCATCGTATTGGTTACCACTTCCTTGCCCGTATCGTGCGTAAGGTGCTGCCACCGCTTATTCACTTGGTGCTGAGCTTGTTTGTCAAGCGCGTGTTCCTTGGTCTGAACAAGCCTGGTGCCATGCGCAACGCTGGTCAGTGGGTCCTCTTCCGTCGCTGGATGCATCAACTCTTGCTAAACCAGACCCGTCTCAAGCGTGCCTTTGATATCATTGGTACGCACTATGAGATGGTATCAGTGGTCTTCCGTATTATGGGTGCCAAGGTTGGTAAGCGTGTCTACTGGCCGGGTTCGGGTATCGTTTGCCCTGACCCTGAGCTGCTCGAGATTGGTGATGATGTGGTGTTCGGTTCGCGTTCGGAAATTTACACATCGGACTCGATCAGCTTTGACCCGGTCCGTATCGGACGCAGCGCCATGATTGCCGATCGTGTCGTGGTCTTGCCAGGTACTACGATTGGCACTCAGTGTGTTATGGGTTCTGGTGCGCTTTCGCGCCGTAACGGTAACTACGAAGACCGCTCTGTGTGGATGGGCTCGAAGAATGGTGAGGCGGTCAGCTTTGGTAAGTCGCAAGCTCAAGCGGAACCACTGGGCGAAGATGACACGATCACGCCTTTCGGTCGTGCGTACTACAAGCGCCAGGCCAACTACTTTGTCATGCCGTACATCATGATTGTGGCGATCAATGTGTTTGCCCAGGCTGTCACAGCAGCGTACTGGGCCGCTGGTTTCGCAGCGACAATTGTGGTGATCAACCGCATCGTGCGAACGTTCGAAGACCAGGCACACTGGCTCTTCCGCGACCACTGGTATCGTCCGTTCTTCCTGTACTTGGCTATTGCGATCTGCTTCTTTGTTATTTTGCCGTGCCAAGCGATCATTTCGTTGCTCTGGGTGATTGTTACCAAGTGGATTCTCATTGGCCGCCGTCGCGAAGGCAAGTACAACTGGGATATGAGCAGCTACTGCCAGCGCTGGCAAACGCATTTAACATTGCAAAAGCCAGCTGTGCATGGCTTTGGTGGTCATATTTTCATGAATTTGTCGGGCACCGCTTACGTTGTATGGTTCCTTCGTGCCTTGGGTGCACGCATCGGCAAAGACTGTGCCATTTGGGCTGGTGGTAAACCAACTTTGATGTTAACCGAGCCGGATCTGGTTACGATGGGTGACCGTGTCTCGATCGATGACTGTTCAGTGGTTGCTCACATCAACTCGCGTGGTCAATTTAGTTTGAACAGGCTTCGTATTGGTGACGGCTGTGCTATGCGAACAGGCAGTCGTCTCTTATCAGGTGCCAATATGGAAGCCCATTCGATGCTTCTTGAGCACACACTTGTTGCCTCTGGTGAAATCACAGAAAGTTGGGCTGTGTACGGAGGTTGGCCGGCTCGCCGCCTCAAGTTGCGTCGTGTCACCGAGAACCCAGACACCAAGAATGAGGCCATGTTGTAATGAACTTCAACAATTAAGAGTATGACGGGTCGCCCTTGATTCAGCTTCATGCTATGAATAAGCAATAATAAATATATGTGGATAGTCCAATGTGTATCTTTTCTGTCGTTTCAATAACGCTAGTCCTCCTTGACAAGCCAGGTCCAATGCGTCGTATGGTCACGTGATTCGTATGTGGTCAGCGCAAAAATGATCGCAGCGCCGTCACCTTCGCACGGTGTATCGAGAGTAGCACCATGGATCTGGACGAAGCCGGTGTGCACGAGGGCGGGTATGTATATTCATTACCTTCTGACATATTCCACAGATATTATGATGATGAGCCTGAATACCAAGAAGCTGATTTTGAAGATACGCTTCGTGAAGGAGATGCTGACGACAATGATGTCGATCACTATGGCGACGACCAAGTAGTGCATTCGAGTGCTGGTGGCTCCATCCCTGCTGATACCAATGCACATGGTGAACCCAACAAGGAGCGTATCACTACACCATATATGACCAAGTACGAGAAAGCTCGCATCCTCGGCACACGTGCCTTGCAAATTAGGTATGTTGTGACGGCCTTTTCGGCTACATGATCATGAAGAATATGTATTAACACTCTCAGCATGAATGCACCTGTCCTTGTCCCGACTGAAGGAGAGATGGATCCGCTAGCTATCGCTCAGAAGGAGTTGGTGGCTAAGAAGATTCCATTGCTTGTGCGACGGTACCTGCCGGATGGCAGTTTTGAAGACTGGAGTGTTTCGGAACTGATCGTGACGGAATAACTAAGTGATGTAGGTCGATCCTCGTACTATCATGTGCATGTATGTTAGAAGCTTGTGAAATCGCAAAAGGATGGTACGCTTTGTTGGCATGGTAGGCTATTTATGGTTTCTATCCAATAGCAGGGGAGAATCGTGGGCCCGGACTTGAGGCTATCGTTCTCATTGCTGTTCTCGCGCGAATATGCTGCCATTCAGGCATGCACTACGCCGTGGATATATCATTCGGCATTTTTAACCTATCCCAGAACTAGCCGTCAAGGTCAACCCCCACGTGGCATGCCCGTCGATTGGATTCCCGTGCCAAGCTTTGCCAAGCCATGCAGGTTTCGGCCGTGCCCAATAACACCTCAAATTACACTGCTTCTCGTTGCTTTGCAAGCGTAAGAAGTGGCAACCCCTCCTGGCAAGACATTCCCGTTAATTTGAAGTCTTGGCATTGCCAAAGCCTACGCTCTCTCCTGCGTTCATGGTGACAAGTGAAGTGGGCGCATCGAAAGTAACTAGTGAGCCTGCTAGCAGCACAGGCGCTAAGCCAGCGAGCACAACTATGACTGAAAAGGCCGATGAGCCGATTAAGTGTCTCTGGACAGGTTGTGGGATCGAGTGTGCCAATGCTGAGGCTTTGTACCACCATTTGTGCGATGATCACGTTGGGCGTATCAGCAAAAACAACCTTTGCTTGACATGCTCGTGGGACAACTGTGGGGCCAGCTACGGTAAACGCGACCATATCACGAGCCACATTCGAATTCATACGCCACTGAAGCCTTTCACTTGCAGTACCTGTGGCAAGAACTTCAAACGCTCACAAGATCTTAAGAAACATGGACGAACCCACCAGGATACGACATCACCTGCCTCAATGGACATGAACATGCCATCAACTACGATGCCGAAAAGCGCAGCATCTTCCACGAATGATGCCCTCCAAATTCCTGTGGACCCTGTAGACAATGTGGCAACGCCTGCTTTCTCGGCAGGATCTTCTCCAGGTTCTCTGTCTCCATCGTTGTCTCCCCAGGCAAGAATGTCAAGGTATGAGATGCAAGACAATGGCGTTTATCCAGACCGCTACCGAGGTAACATGTACCCGTCTATCCCGCACTATCAAGAGGCTATGGACCCATATATTTCGATGCGTACTGAGTCTGAAATGTATGGGTCCATGCCTGGGCAGCACAATGGTATGTCCGCGGTGCCACAAGATCCAGTGTTTATGGACCGACGTGCTCTGCCGACGGAATCACTGAAGCGAGCCCGGCCGGCAGTAGACGAGTTTTGGAATGACGTGCGTCGGAAGAAAGTGACCCCTACGTATGATCAAAACATGGCGGAGCGTCTTGATAATCTATGGGTGCCTCGTGTAGGCTTGGACCAGAATGATCTGGATACATTCCTGAACGAGTCAGTCGACGTGATTAATGCAATGACACCTATGCAAAATGATGTCCGTTTCTCGACTGGATTTTCACCCCGAAACAACTTGGTCGATATGAATACATGGCTCTTGCAGCTGGGCGTGAATATGAACAGGACAAACAGGTTCGATGGGCAGGCTGTGCCTCAATTTGGCCAATCCATGGACTTTACTCAATCATTGCAACAGCTGGGTCTGGGACATATCCCAGGGATTGATATGGTCCCTGGATTGATGTCAGGCGTCATGGAATCAAACGGGTTGCAGCCACAAGCGCCTATGTACGACAAGGACGTGCATCCAGTGTATCGTCAAGTACAGCCGCTTATGCGAGCACCACCTACTAGCACAAAGATGGAAGAGGATATGGAGGTGGATGTGCCACCTGTACAGAAATTGTCCTCTGGCAGTGCATCGCCCCAGTCGACAAGAGACTCAAGCCGATCTCCCTCGCCGCATTTGCCAATGTACCCCAGCTTGCCCGCCGGTGGAAAGATGGACATGAACAGGCCACCTCGTCGAGGTCCTAGTAATGATGGCCCCAATACGCGTGAACGTCATATGCGTCTGATTTTGAATCTACTTCTTGCGCTGAACCAGAAAAAGCGCCTAGATCCCAACACAGGCAAAGCTGTGCCTTTGCGCCATGGGGTGCCTTCTTTGCTGACTCCGCTGCGGCGCCGCAGTGATACGCGCCAATATCCACCTCCTCCGCAAAGTTGGCGCTCGTCTCTTGGATGTAGTGCCACCCGATTGCCACCGCCCCCACCCATGCCCTCCATTACTCTTCGGAGGCCTTCTCACCCACAACGCCCAGGCAATTTACCGAGCATTGCACAACTCTTATCAGACACTGACATGTAAGGTGTGTATGTATTATTTATGTAATTACGGTAGAATCTGTTGATGTAGACATTGTAAGACACTGGTATTGTTTTGGTAGATCGCCCTGAGGCACTGCCGCGCCAATGTCGTACGCAGAGCTTGAGCATGACGAGCCTCCATACTAGAAGCAATTTCCCATGCTTGCTGCGTAATCGTAGCAGGCAAGCCTGCCATGCCTGCCACGTGAATGCCAAAGGATTGGGAGGCAGCGCCATCCAGGAGTTTGTGCAGAAATACAACAGAAGGGGCCGCATAGTCAGATGTCGATGCCTGTACAGCCATATGTTTGTTCGTCAGAAGAGTGGGGTATATTTTTACCAGGTGTGTCAGAGAAAGGTAGTGTGTAATGAATAGCAGCTTTGGCATCTCTGTTCCACGATCTAAGAAAGAACGTAGCACAGCCTCGGCAAGAGCTGATCCATCAAATGTGGACGTCCCTCGTCCAAACTCATCGAGAAGAACAAGTGTATGGGGGGTGGCAGTGCGCAATATATGCGCCGTTTCTTCGGCTTCCACCATGAACGTCGATTTCCCACGCGAGATATCGTCTCGTGCCCCCATTCTGGTGACTACAGCATCAAGGCAAGAAAGCCGGGCAGATACGCAAGGAACGAATGAGCCCATTTGCGCCATGATGGTGATCACCGCAATAGCGCGGATGGTACTGGATTTGCCTCCCATATTCGAACCAGTAATCAAGACGCCACGAGGTGCTTCTGAGCCACCCATGGTCAGATCATTAGGGACGTACGAGGAACAAAGGGCCTCTGTTACGGGGTGTCGGAACTGGTTCAACTGTAGCACATTCACATCATCGTTGGCTTCAATACTTGGACGAGCATACCCTGGACGAGAAGCAACCATAGCAAGACTGTACAGAGCATCAAAGCAAGCAACAGCATGGACAATTCGGCGTAAATCAAGATACGAAGCACCCAGGTCTGTAATGAAAGAGATATATGACTCATTGGCAGCTTTTCGCAAGAGCTCACGATGCTGCTCACGTTGTCGAATCAGTTGTACTGTTACAGGTGACCGAAAACGAACTGCTCGTTGTGTCGCATTCACACGGACCCAGTCTGTCGGAATGGATTTGACATCTGCATATCGCACTTCGATCAAGTTTTCTTCGCCCGATACACTGAGATATTGCAGAGATGGGCGTTTGAGAACACGTCGGATTTCCCCAAGATGCTCTTGCAATGCTTTTTCATCCTCCTCAATAGCACGCTGCATCACCACCATAGCAGGGTATTGATTGGGGTTCGAATATAGGGACACCTTGTCGTTTTGGCGAGCACTGGGAATGTGAATGGCATGCAACCATTCGGATATGTCATCCCGTGCCACACACAGATCAGAAAGAAGTGTGTCAAGCAAAGTACTACCAGTATTGATCGAGGAACCTTGGAATTCGTGCGAAATTCGATGAAGGGAGAGTAAAATGGTCGCCAATTCTGTGGGTTGGATGAGTTTGTACAACAAGCGGACGAGCCCCCGCTCTAGGTCTGGCAAATGAGAAAGGAGGGAGATAGCGCGATGCAGGATCGGCAAACGACGTGCACGAAGCAATTCAACAGCATCAGCACGCTGCGCGATGGCAGCTGGCGATCGAAGGGGGCAGCGGATCCATTTTCGGAGAATTCGACGCCCCATGGCCGTTTGGCACTCGTTCATGAGCCAGAACAGGCTGCCATGTACACAACCATCAGTGGTATTCTGGAATAGTTCCAGGTGATACAACGAAGCTGCAGGAATACGCATGGAAGACAAATCCGAGAAAGGGGTATATTGGCTAACATGTTTGAGTGCAGCTGTCCGGCGGTAAAAAGAGGCAAAAGCGAGGACCAATGCTAGGGTATGCTGCAGCAAAGAGGATTGGTCCATAGCCCATGCCAATGTAGGTGGGGAAAGATGATCTGCAAAGAGAGTGGGTATATTCGCTGGAATCTCTTGCTGTTCGATACGAGCATTCTCATCGAGAAATGTGCGTAGCAGATGCTTGGTCCTTTCGTCCGTCGACGAAGAAAGAACAACATCGCGAGGCCGTAAATGTGTGACACGGGTCTCAAGCTCAGAGCACAATACGTCGTCTTCCCATTCATCATACACCACCGACGCCGAGGACATGTCCACGGAGATCATAGCAAAGCGCTTGGTGGTCGGGGTCGAAGCGCCTTGAACAAATGCAGAGAGAACCTGTTCGTCCTTGCTATCATCATTCGTGGAAAGATCATCGATCCATGTACTAGACGTATAGATATCGGTGAGCGCCCTGTCAAAGGGTTTGTTGGCCTTTTCTGTGGCAGCCTTCAGTGCTCGAGTTTGCGTCTGTCGGCAAACGCCCACCTTGTACCCTGCTGCAAGCAGCCGCTTGATGTGGAAATTCATACGCTGCACAGGTATCATCGCTGCCATGAGGTTCTTTTCTTGATAGCAAGCGATTTGCAGAATTTGGCTAGCTACATGAGCATCTGCTTCATACATTTTCATTTTGTAGCCAACTTCAACCATGAGCAACAGCTCTGGATGCTGCGCTTTCAACTGAAGGATTTGCTCTTCCAAGGGTGAGTACTTTACTTTATCCTTTGGCGGAGAAGCAGCATGCGGGGGTTGCACAATAGAGGAGCCTTGGGACGCGTCAGGAACACGTCGCTCCGACGCTGATGATGAGCTCGGTAGCGTGGCTTCGCCTTGGTACCGCCATTTTTCCAGAGATTCAATGCGAGCACGTTTTGGTTCGCGCTCTGGAGTATTTGTGGTACTCGTAGATGAGGGTGTGCCTCGGCCTAAGAACGCCTGCAAGGTGGGTTGTACCCCTACCATAAGGGAGAAAATCGAAAGTGTTGGTGTCACGTGGAGCAGTACGCTACTACCATGGCGTCGACGCTACTGCTGGACAAGCATGTGCAATTTATCAAGAAGTTGGAGAAGAAGCGCGATAGCAGCTTGGCTTATCATATGACAGCGCATCTGCGCATGAATGGCGTATATTGGGGTCTTTGCGCGCTGGCTCTCATGGAAGCCGGCGATGAATTAGACCGTGATGCGCTCGTGGAGTTTGTACTAAGCTGCTATGACCCATCGACAGGTATGTATCCTGGCGCCCACGCCTAACATAGTAAGGTGGGTTTGGATCATACCCTAAGCATGATTCTCATATCCTTAGCACACTAAGTGCTATTCAAATTCTTGCGCTGAAGGATGCACTTGATGTGCTTGGTGACCGACGCGATTGCATTGTACAGTGTATGTACAACAGCCCACTGACCACGCAGTTATTTTGCAGCTACAGCTTCCCAATGGTTCGTTTCAGGGCGATCGGTGGGGAGAAACGGATACTCGGTTCCTGTACTGCGCAACAAGTGCCTTAGCGCACCTAGGAGCTCTTGATCGGTTGGATCAGGAAAAGACCATCAGCTGGATCCTGCGATGTGCGAATTTTGATGGCGGCTTTGGGTTGACAGAAGGTGCAGAAAGCCATGCAGCGCAAGGTGCGTACCAACTGCTCTCACATAACAGTGTTTACCTGTGTCGGTGCACTTTCTATTCTCAACGCCCTCGATCGAATCGATCAAGATACCTTGGCGTGGTGGTTAGCAGAGCGTCAAGTCCCTGCGGGTGGACTGAATGGCCGGCCGCAAAAACTGGAAGACGTGTGCTATAGCTGGTGGGTCCTTTCCTCATTGAGCCTACTGCACCGTCTGCACTGGATCGATGCCCAGAAACTTGAAGCATTTATTCTCTCCGCACAAGACCCAGACGGCGGTGGCATTGCAGATCGTGCGGACAATGTGGCCGATGTATTCCATACACAGTTTGGCGTGGCGGGTCTCTCGCTTCTAGGCTATCCTGGCCTGGCCAAGGTCGATCCTACGTACTGTATGCCATTGGCCCTAACGAAGAAACTAGGAATCGACCGACCGTTTCAGCAATAGTCTATGTGACAGCAACTACCGAGGCTACGAACACGGTATTATAGATAACGTAAAGGACAACGTTAATACATGCACAGGATGAGACAGTAAGTCTGGACATAGAGAGAAGAAGAAAGACATATTAGTGTTGGGTGTCCAAGGCAGACGGCTGCAATAGTGTGTACCGGATCATCTCTTGCATAGACCGCGAAAGAGGCATCCCCATGTCCTCGGTCTCGCTTGCATCATCATCGCCGCCGATACCATGGCCATGCACATGCACACTTTCGTCCTGAGGCGAATATGTGTGTGAAGCGACAATATTCGAGGTTCGCCTGGGTGTAGCGAACAAGTTCGCAGGCTCAACTTCCTGATGATAGGCCAACTGCTGAGTCGAAAACGATGGTGTAAGAGAAGACGAAGGCAGGTAGAAAGGGTTGCTCGTCAGCGAAGGTGCCAAGGTCGACGTAGCAGTGTTAGTTGACGTCGCACCAGACGGGATACTCGGAGACGGGTAGTAATAAGCCAGCGGGGGAGCAGGGGCCTGTGATGAGACCTTAGGTACCTCTTGCGAGGCACCGGACAAGCGAGGCGTGTGGAAAGAACGGTCCGGCGCTGGATCGCCCAGCTTCTCGTGCGGTGGAGGCGCCAACGTACTGGCCGGCGGCCAGTTGGTATCCGATGGACCACTAGACATGACTGTCGTCGAACCAAAGGCCGGCAAGAGATTGCTGGAGGCAGACTTCACCGAGAGGGGAGACGTAACAGAGGAAGGAGTGGTAGAAGACATAAGAGGTTGGTCGGTTGGCACGGTAGCCATCGAGGAGGAAGCAGAGTCGCCCGTGCGAGTAAAAAGCGCCGTCGTAGGGGGATACATAGACGACGGCTCAGGCTCAGCGGCGGTCTTCGTGGCTGGCGCCGTCTGTAGGTTCCACGGCATGGAATTCACAGGCGAAAGAGGACGGGATGCCATAGTGGATGGAACAGAATACGACGGAGCAGGCGCATACTCCGCTGCTGGCGTGGTTGCATAAGGTAGCAGCACAGGCGCAGAAGCGAACGCGGACGCTGACGCAGAAGGCGTTGTCCCAGACGGTCCGGACGGTGACATCGGAGGTGTTACAGAGTCTGGATCGTACACACTAGCAGAAGCCTGTGGCTCCGGCTGGACAGGGTTGGGCACTGTGACCACACTTGGCGAAAACGGCTCCGGCGCTTCGGGAGGAAGGGGCCGCTGCGGTGGGGTTGGGGGCTCGGGAGGTGAAGAAATAGGGCCCAAGCGCGGCGGACGCTGGGGTGGTAACTGAGACACATTGGACACGCCTTGTGTTTGTGCGCGAGGGCTTACTGGGAAGGTAACAATCACAGTCTCGGGTTCGGTGGCGGCGGCTGGGGCAGTCGGCGCTGGGGCAGTCGGCGCTGGTGCTGACGGCGCTGGTGCTGACGGCGCCGGTGCTGACGGCGCTGGTGCCGTGGGTCCTGGCACAGGCATTGAATCGTTGCCAGTCTTCACAGCACTGTCCTTCTCAGGTTTGTTCGCGCTTAGACTGGACGCAGTAAGCGGCGCCGTAAGACCCGCTGCAGTCACAGGCGCCGTCGAGCCCGAGGTAGGTTTGCTATTGGCAGAGGAAGCTGCCGACTTGGCTGGCATAGATGGGTGAGACTTTTTCTTCCGGAAAAGAGGCCCAAAGAGTGATTTCCACTTCGACTCTTTCGTGGTAGAGGCCGAAGCAGTGTGTTCATTTCGCAAGCCTGAGGCCTCATGACGAGCGCCCATACTAAAGATGGAACGGCGACTAGGCGAAGATGGCATGGTGGGGCGTTGCATTGGAAGACTCGTGCTCGATGCCGAAGCAGGCAAGGCAGTCGAGGGCGGCGGCTTTGAAATAGAGGTTGGCGGTACTGGCGCTGTCGTTGGAGCCGCCGTGAATGGCATACGTGGGGGTGTTTTCGCACCTTCCCGTGGATGTGTCAATGTGCTTGACGCCTCAGGGCCATCCACACTAGCCAACGCCGGCTCAGAAATATGGGGCGAGTCCGACAAGCCACTTGGTTGCGACGAAAGAGCCATGTTCGACGGTGCTGGAGAAGGAGACGAAGGCAACCGCGGCGGGGGCGCAAGGCCATCGCGCGCATCTGTCGCTGAAAGCACGGGCGATTTATTGGAGTACGTTGATGGACCTTGCCAGGCACTGTTTGATGTACGAGGCTCTGGCCAGGTCGCATCAGCCTGTTGTGGAGCCGCGTTCGGCGGGCCGCCGCGAACAGCATACACGTCCGAATCCTGAAGTAAATCAGGGTTACTCATCATGGCAGGGCCACGCAGCGAGTTACCCGCAGCAAACGACTCGGCATCGATCTGCTTGGCAAAGGTGGGATAGGGGCTATCGCCTACACCAATACCCATACCTTCTGGCACCTGTACCGACCGCACAGCTGCCTCGCGATTCGAGAATCCAGTTACATCAAGCTGAGATGAGGAGGGAGACAGGCCAGGTCGCGATCCCCAAGACTGGTTTACACGCAGAAGGCTGCCTTGGCTCGAGCTGTACGGCATCTGGCCCATATACGGCGACATCTGTGGACTGCCAAACCCGTTAGGTTGGAAAAGCGATTCAGTCGACATCGCTGCCGACATGCCAGGCCCAAAGGATCGGGGTGTAGATGTGCCAGATCGAGCGGCGCGACTCTGTGCGGCCACTTCGCTCCGAAGAATATCCAACTCACGGGTATCATTAAAGCGACGGCGTCGAGGTTGCGACGGCGTTTGTGTCACTGAATTTTTGTGCGAGTGAGCTGATTTACTCAAGGGGGGGTGCTGGGCCGAAAATGAACGTCCATTCTTTTGTGCAGCTGCATTCGCACGAGGGCCGACGGTGCCTGACGAGCTGCGCTGTTTTTCCTGGCCCTGATTGACTGGTGTCATGCCTAGATGAAATGGCATGCGGAAAGAATGCCGCGGGGATGACGGCATGGATGAAGCCGCTTTGGGCGACGTGCTAGCACTAGCAACCGAAGCAGTGTTAGTCATGGAGACGGTCAAAAATCGTATAGCCCTAGTGCGAGGAAAAAGATATCCGATCTGGACCGCCAGCAGAAGAAATGAAAAGCGTAGGCAGGGTACAGCGACAGCTAAAGTAAATGAGGATTCCTACTGTTGCAAATGGCCTCGGCCTAGTCGTACAACGTATATGGGAGAAATGTAGTAATCCCGCCAAAATAGAAGGTCGAACAAAATGCTTACGATCGACACGTAGCCTTTGTCCACGTTTCGCGCGTGGCGGGTACAATGGTGAACCGTGCTCAGCCACAAAATGCGAAAACCTGGCCGGCGATTGGGCAGGCACGGACATGCCAGGCATACGCCAGATGCATTGCCGCCCACTAGGCCCAAAATTCATGCGCTTACCTCAACGCCAAATTCCCGCGGAATCGGACCCCCTTGCAAAGAGACAAACTATGTTGCGCTGCATAATTTCGACTAATCAGCAAAAATATCGACATAAAATATTCTAAGCGTCTTCTTCGTCGCTATTCGGCGGCAGGGGAATGGCCCCATACCCACCTAGACTAGTTGAGGCTAAGCGACGTTCATTCCGATCTTGCTCCTCTGCCGTAGCAAAGTTATCAGCAGCCTGCGCAACCTCCGTAGAAGAGTGGCACGCCCTATAACGGGCCAAATATTCGCGATTTATTTTTGGAAAGTTTTCACCCCAGGCGAATTTGGCTAGTAGCTGATCACCAAGAGGACGTGCGTGGCATATATAGAACGCGGCAGCTAGTGCTTCCACACAATTCAACTTGAATGGCTTACCATAATTAACAGGGTTGGTGGCCATGAGACGTGGGAGAAGCCGTTCGTGTGGACTTTTAATCTTGCCAAAGGGTATCTCGTCCAGACGGGCCCAACTGCATTCTACCACGGCCACGCCATATTCTCGGAGAACAGGCGCATCGGCTGGTGAGAGCACTTGGGTAGCATGAGGAGTGAGGACAATGCCACGGAACTTTTGTCCGACGCGCAATTCCTTAATGAGGCCATGGCGCGCGAGCTTTTTGCCACTGCAGCGACGAGGATCGCAATGCTGGAAATCCCACATAGCAACAGGTACAGGGGCCGTAAGATCGGACATAGAGCCCAAAGCATCATCTTCTTCCTCCTCTGACGATCCGTCTTCCGTTCCTGCTTCGCTACCGGACATTTCATTCTCCTCTTCTTCCTCTTCTTCTTCCTCTTCACTATCAGTGGAAGTACCTACATCGCTTGATTCTTCCAAGTCAGACTCGCTCGCATCGAAGTTACCATGTACGACATAGGCATCAGGAGCTTCTTTGGGATCAGAAAAACCGTACCGGTCCAAACGCGAAAATCCGCGCGAGCCATGGCCCCGCCCACGGCCTCGACCGCGACCGCGTACCATTCGCGAGTTACCCCGCTCAATGCCTGCAGAGATTTCCATTGCAGTCGACTAGTTCGGTTAGCCGATACCGGTCACGTGATGTGGGGATGGCCGGAACCCTGTGATTGCAGTACATTGATTGGCAGAAATGTCGGAAGGAAGAGTTCGGATGCAGCTCACGCATTGAAGCGAGCGGAGAACAGTCACTAGCGGACCGGATCGATGAATATATATAACCCCGATCCGGCATAACACCGTCTTCCCTAACGCAACTTTGAAATGTCTTACGATCCCAAGAACGAGGACGCCATTTTCCAGAAGGACGTCGAGGCTGTGAAGCAGTGGTGGAAGTCTCCCCGCTTTGCCCGTGTCACTCGCCCGTACACTGCTGAGCAGGTCGTCAGCAAGCGTGGCACCATGCGCACTCAGTACCCCTCCAACGAGCAGGGCAAGAAGATGTGGGCTCTTCTTGAGGAGCACGCCAAGAACAAGACCACTTCGCACACCTACGGCGCCCTTGACCCCGTGCAGGTGACGCAGATGGCCAAGTACCTGGAGACCGTGTACGTGTCGGGCTGGCAGAGCTCGAGCACGGCCAGCTCGACCAACGAGCCGGGTCCGGATCTGGCTGACTACCCGTACAACACTGTGCCGAACAAGGTTGAGCACCTTTTCATGGCTCAGCAGTTCCACGACCGCAAGCAGCAGGAGGCTCGTCGCCGCATGACCCCTGCTGAGCGTGCCAAGACTCCGTACGTGGACTACTTGCGCCCGATTGTGGCTGATGCCGACACTGGTCACGGTGGTCTGACGGCCGTCATGAAGCTCACCAAGCTCTTCGTTGAGAAGGGTGCTGCTGGTATTCACATTGAGGACCAGGCTCCTGGTACCAAGAAGTGTGGTCACATGGCCGGTAAGGTGCTGGTTCCGATCCAGGAACACATCAACCGTCTGATTGCCATCCGCTTCCAGTACGATATTATGGGTGTGGAGAACCTGGTCGTGGCCCGTACCGACTCGGAGGCTGCTACTCTTATCACTACCAACGTCGACGAGCGTGACCACGCCTGGATTCTGGGCACCACCAACCCTGACCTGAACCCGCTTGTGGATGTCATGAACGCGGCTGAGCGCAGCGGTAAGCAGGGTGATGATCTGCAGGCTGTCGAGGACGAGTGGACTGCGAAGGCTGGTCTCTGCCTCTTCTCGGATGCCGTTGTGGATGCTATGAAGAAGAAGGGTGTTTCGGAGAAGGACCAGAAGGAGTTCAAGCAGGCTGCTGCCAAGCTCTCGAACAAGCAGGCTCGTGCCCTTGCCGCCAAGTACGGTGTGGATGAGAAGAGCGGCTTCTTCTGGGACTGGGATGCGCCGCGTACCCGTGAGGGTTACTACCAGTACCGCGGTGGTACGCAGTGTGCCGTTAACCGTGCTGTGGCCTTTGCCCCGTACGCCGACCTCCTTTGGATGGAGACCAAGTCGCCGATTCTGGCGCAGGCGAAGGAGTTCGCCGAGGGTGTTCGCGCCGCTCGCCCTGGTCAGTGGCTCGCCTACAACCTCTCGCCGTCGTTCAACTGGGACGCTGCCAAGCTCTCGGAGGAGCAGATGCGCTCGTACGTGTGGGACCTCGGTAAGCTGGGCTTCGTCTGGCAGTTCATTACCCTGGGTGGTCTCCACTCGAATGCCTACATCAGCGACCTGTTCGCCAAGGGCTTCGCTAAGGACGGCATGAAGGCCTATGTTACCCTCGTCCAGCGCCGTGAGCGTGAGATTGGCTGCGATGTCCTGACCCACCAGAAGTGGAGTGGTGCTGACTTCGTGGACAACCTGCTGAAGACTGTCACTGGTGGTGTCTCGTCGACCGCGGCCATGGGCAAGGGTGTCACTGAGACCCAGTTCGGCGGCAAGTAAAGAATAGGCTTGTATCAAGTAAAGTAGTATACTATACGACAAAGATGAATTATAGTTGGCATCATGGAGTCACAACAGGGAGAAGGAGGTAGCAAGTAAGCGACTACACCGTCGCCGCCTGCTTAGGTAATTTTTGCAAAGTGGGCCTCCTCAAGTCGTCCCTCCTTCTTCTACGTCGCATCGACGCGGTAGTGTGCCTTTGTCCCCTGCGTACCCTTCCACCGCGCCGTGTGTGTTGGTACATACATTGAACTATGTTGCGGTCTATGGTACCCATTCTGCGTAGCCGTTCGATCCTTCAGGCGTTCGTTGCCACCCGCTATACCCTGCCCACGTATACCCAACACTTGACGCCCGTGGCAGGTTCCTCTGTGGCTAGTGTTCTTGGTGCATACGCGTCTACATGGCAGTCATTGCTGGGGCGTCTGTTGGGACAAGATGCTATGAGTCAAGGCTTTGCGCTGTCCCCTGCTGGTGTTCGGGCGGCCTTTTCGGACGCGGCCATCCCTGAGCCCTCGTCGCTAGAGTGGGATGGATTGCTCTTGGCTGCGCCCAAGAAGAAGGTGTCGCATTCGCGGAAGGCCATGCGTGCCGCCAACAAGGGACTAAAGGACCGTGTTAGTATGTATGCTTTGTGTACAGCTGTACTTACCTTTGTCAGATTTGGTTCATTGCCCGGGCTGTGGTCGTCCTAAGCTCCAGCACCATCTTTGTGAAAACTGCTTCGGTGACTTGACTCGTGGACTAAAGCAAAATGGCAGGACAGGTCCATGATTCGGTCGCCCTGTGCATGTATGTAGTACGATCTTCTGGTCTACGTATTTCCTGCAAAAACGTAAAATCATCCATAATATAAGTAAATTCGTCCCTGTAGTGAGCATGCGCGAGACGTGTAGTGTGGTTCATAGGGGGGAGGGGGGGTTGGATATTCTCACTCAAGACTTTTCTGTACAAGACTACGGACCTCAGCAGGGAGGAATTGGGCCTTTTTGTCATCCACGCGATGTGGAGCAAATACATGTTGGCATGCTCCGACACGCCGCTGGCGATACGGCCGTGCGTGCAGCCGCAACGCATAGGGCCACCTCAGCATGGAGGATGAACCACAGCACGAACATCCTTCGCGCGGCACGCACGCATGCCACGAATCATGTACGAATAATGCCCCCTCTTCTACTACCAGGAGGCACGGCATGTGGCTTCGCAACAGAAGCCGTACCATCGATGTCGCTTGACCATGTGGACCGTACGTACTATGAACGCTCCTCTTACAACTAGGTTTTATCCCGCCTATGAAGAAATACCCTATTCCCAGAGACCAAATTGTGTCCATTCTACAAATCATTACAGCGTGCTTGCAACGAATTGCTGCTACGACAGAGCTCGCAGAGGTCGACGCGCTGTACACAGAGTGCGAGACACAGGTCTTAGAAGGTACGTGTACAACAAACTCACATCACAGTCCTTGAAAAAGCGCACGGAACAGCAGGTGACCTACGCAAACTCGCCGCGGCTATTCTTCAAATGACACGCGATCCGTCTCGGTTCAGCATCGCTGCGCGTCTCTATGCCATGGCGTTCCGTCGCGGCGATGATGATGCTGGGTATTCATGGGCTACTATGGTCATGGAGGGCATGGTACCTGCAGCCAACAAAGAACTAGAAGTTGCACAAGCCGAGAAAGCTACGCAAACATACTCTCAACTCGCGAGAAAAGGGCATGCCCAAGCGCAATTTGGCATGGGGCGGCTCGTTCTAGCCAAGATTCTCTCGCAGAAGGAGCCTTCCTCTGAGCCACAACACAAACAAGTGCAGATGGCTGTGGATCTATGGCAACGTGCCGGCCGCAATGGCTACGCGGATGCCTGGTTTGAGCTGGGCCAGCTGTTCCACCAAGGCCAGCTCGTTCCCCGCGACAAGTCTCGTGCCTTGACCTACTTTGAACACGGTGCTCGTGGTGGCAGTGCGATGGCGTGTCATGCATTAGGAACGCTGTATTTAGCACGCGCCAAGAAGTTTGTTGAGCAAAGTGCCCAAGCTGAAGCGTCTAAAAATTCCGCGTTGGCGGCTCGGTATTTTCTGCAAGCAGCCCAGAAAGGGCATGCTGCAAGTGCCTACAACGTCGGACTTCTGTACCTCCTGCCCCCTGGCGCGGATAACAACAAGGAGACCAAGGAGCAGCACAAGATTCGACATGGGGTCCAGCCGGATGACCAGAATGCGCGTGAATGGTTTAGCGCAGCTGCATCGAAGAGTATGTACAGGCGTTTCTCACATTACAGACTTTTTACCCGCTATGATGAATTATGGCGCCATGTTGATGGAAGGCCGTGGCATGTCAGAGAGCGACACACGCGTTGGCGACCTGGAGGAGGCGCGGCGTGTGTACCAGCGTGCCGTCCAACTGTGCCGCCAGACGCAGGCACGTGCCTCCTCGCCCACAGCGGCACTGCAAGCGACTCAGCGTGATACCAGCGTGGCGCAGAATATGAGGGCGAAGGCTGAAGAAGCCCTCACGCTTATTGACCACCAGCTTCAAGACAGTGCTAGCCTATCTGCGGCGGCATCTACGTCGCGCTCGTGCACCATTATGTAACCTAGCACGCGGAGGCCAGGGCCGTTTTGTGCCACGTGCGCAGATCCTCCGGTAGAGTGTCGTTCGCCGGAGACCTATAGTTGGACCAATGGGACACAGCGTACTACCACGGGTGGAACCCTTCTCCGCAACCGGTTCGTCCGGCGATAGTGTTGCGTATCCTTAACACGAATACCACCATGGCCTCGGTTCAGCAGATTGTGATGCACCCTTACGTCTCGAACGTCGTATGTATGCATGTGCCGAACCTCTATCTAACATGAACAGCTTAAGTTCTGGAGCACCACTGTCGGTCGTGACAAGACTTCGCGTGCTGTCCAGTACCTCGCGCGCTTCCTGGCGTACTACTACGCCCAGGCTGGTGCGCCGAAGGAGACGGTGTCTCGCTACTCGTCGATCAAGTCGAACATCGGCCTTAGCCGCAAGCGTATGTATGATCTATGTGAATGTTGTTAACACGTACAGTGTTCCGTATCGGCAAGTTCCTGGAGCACTTCCAGGCTGCGATGAAGGCCACTTCGACGGCGGACCCTGTGCTGAAGATCACTTCGATCGGCCGCCAGCTTGGCTACGCCTTCTACCTTATGCTGGACGCCCTCCAGTGGGTCCACGGTGCCAAGGCGTACCAGTTCGAAAAGGAGACCTACAAGAAGATCTCCCTCAACGCGGCTCGCTTCTGGCTGGCTGGCCTCACGTTCTCGCTGATCAGCGGCGTGTACAAGTCGTACATGCTTGCGCAGCGCCTCAAGCTGGCGCAGCGCCCCAAGGCTACGGCCGAAAAGGAGGCCGAGCGCCGCGTCGAGCTGCACCAGATCGCCACGGAGACCAAGGCCGTGCGTCTGCAGATGCTGCAGGACTGCTGCGACTGGGTCAACCCCGGTACCTCGACGGGCTGGATCGAGGCCAACGACGGTGTTATTGGTCTCGCCGGTGTTCTTTCGTCGTGCCTGGGTATCCGCTCGCAGTGGAACAAGGTGCACGGCGCCAAGAAGTAAACAGTTATGTACTGGTCAATTATAATGGAACACGACACTACGTGAAAACCCCTTTTGTAGACAGTCCATGACATGCCTATCTGCTATCAACGACTCGGCCAAAAGTAGGCAAGCGCATGGCTTATGCCAGTACCTCTTCCTTCTCCTCGAGCACTTCTTCGATCCACTCCTGGACTTCTTCTGTGCTCTCCTGCTCGAGTTGCGAGGCACTCGAGACTGACGCAGGCTCTGTACCATACTCTTTTTTGCCCTTCTCCAGCAACTCGCGGTTGCGAGCACGCCATGCCTTCCACTCGTCCACCATGCGCTTGTACTCTTCGCGATGGGCCAGGGCCTGGCTGCTCTCCGCCTCCTGGTCTTCCTGGTCGAACACCTTGGAGTACTCCCGGAGGTTCCGACGCACACGTTTCATCTCCTCCTTGCTCAGCAAGGACTTGGGCCGCGGGCGCCATAGGATTTGCTTGAAGTGCTCAATCACATGCTTCTGCAGCTCATTGCCCCGCAGGTCCCAAATTGCGTAGCCCTGCTCCATAGCGTGGCGCCATAGACTCGCGGAGGTGGTAACGTAACGACCACTAGGGTCCCACTCGACATCTGTCATGCTGTAGTGCTCCGCTGTGCCGACCGACTTGACTTCCTCAAGCATCTCGCCGTTGGAGTTCTGGCGCACATCACTGTTGAAGTCGACATCAAACCACTCCAACTCGAACTTGGACGAGGAGCCAAGCGTCGCCGCCAGCAAATGACGGCCGCGTGGCGACCAAAAAAGGGCACTGTACGACTTGTTGTCAAATGACTTCAACAGACGGAAGTCTCCACGAGGGTGCAGGTGGAAAAAGTTGATCTGCGTCTTGAGGGCAATCGCAGGCGACGCCACGCCAAAGTTCGGGTCGTTGGTCGAGAGCACAGCAAAGTGGCTGCCTTGCGGCTCCCATGCAAAGGCGACCACTGGGTCCTTGAGCTCCACGACTTCCACAGGGAAGTCCTTCTCGCGCATACGGAACAGCTCAAAGTTGCAAAACACGGTCTTTTTGGTTTTGGTCTGGCGGTCGACCTTGACACACAGGTAGTCGCCCTGCGGGTGCCAGTGCAGCTTGCAGTCTGCCACATTGAATAGATTCTTCGAGCGCAGAATCTCACGCGTAGGCACACTCATCACCGTAACACGTGCTGGCTGGTTCTGCACTTCCGGCTGCCAGTATACCAACATATTGTCACGCGGCTTCTTGAAGCCCTTCGGTAAGTTCTTGTTCTTGCCATCGTCCCAGATCTCGATGGCTTCCTTGTCCTTGTCACCCAGCGGGCACCATTCAAAGTCGACGACACCCTCAATCTTGATGCTCTTCTGGTCCAAAAGACCCATCGTCGGAAGCGTGTACACACTAATAAATTTGCCAGGCGTCACCTTGGCACAGTACTTGCTATCGCCACTCCACTTGAGGAATGGCCAGCTAAAGCCCTTCACAGGGGCACCATTGGGACCCGTGCTCTCTTCTTGCACAATCGGGAACGTACGCAGCAGGTGGCCGGTGCGCACTTCCCACACCGCAACGCGGTTTCCTTCGTCCTCCGGCGCAAAGAACTGTGGACCCTGAGGCGCATTGTCAGGCACCTGAATAGGCTCTGGCGACCACGTCACCATGTACTTCTCGTCGGGACTAAAGTCAACAAGACGTACACCAGGATGGGGGTATCGCATGATCCGCTCCCACGAAGGGCCACCCCACAGCGCAATGCCCTGCAGGTGGAACGTGGTAAGATACGTGCCAAGAGGCGACCACTGCACGTAAGATTCGGTCCAGCGTGTGCGCTTGTGTGCTTCTTCCGGCGGACCAGCCCGGTTGTGCCAAGCCACTTGCACATCGTCACGCACGCAGATGGCCAGCTGATCACGGCCCTGTGGATCCATCAGCCACGAGCGCAGGTGACCGCGCTGCTCGAATGGCTCTTCCTCAGGGTCTTCGTACTTTCCATCAAGAGAGGCTAGACGCTCAATGTCAGAGAACCGGCTCACCACAAAGCGGTGCTTCTTGTCGAACGCGTATCCGTTCATCGCACGAATGGCATGAGAGGCCTCATCACCGTTAGCAAGCTCCATCAAAATATACCCCTTCGACTCGCCATTCTCGCCATAGGAGATATGCATAGCGTCCAGGCTGACATCCAGGTCGGCGTGTGTGCGGAAACGCTTCTGGATGGCCTCAAACAGACGCTGCTCTTTCGATGAGGTAATAATCGGTACACCATTCACTACAATCACATTCTCAAGCCCCTCATCAAGAGGCACGGCGTACTTCGCCTCAATGTCCGAGTAATCGATGTCGTCCATCCCTGGCTCCATCGTGCGGATGGGTTCAGCGCCGCGCAACCTCGCGGGTTTTTCTTCTGGGCTGGCGAAAAGGTCACGTGAGCCCGCTTAGCAAAGCCATGCCAAAAAATTTTTGTCGCGCAGCAAGCCACACATCCTGAGCTGAGGCAGGCCCTGAGCGTTGACCACGGCCGCCGTGCATCATGGGTAAGCACGAGAAGAAGGCGGGTAAGGGGTATGTGGTTCTGTGTGACAGTAGGATGCTAACGAGACAGTCGTCTGGATAAGTTCTATTGGCTTGCCAAGTACGTACATATACGCGCGAGTGGCGTACTGACACCTCTTCAGAGAACAAGGTTATCGTTCGCGTGCTGCCTTCAAGTTGGTCCAGCTGAACAAAAAGTTCAAGTTTTTGGAGAATGCACGCTGTTGTATCGATTTGTGTGCGGCGCCTGGTGGTTGGCTGCAGGTAGCTAGCAAGCACATGCCGCCGGGCAGTTTGATTGTGGGTGTCGACTTGGTCGCTATCAAGCCCATTCCGCGTTGTATTACCTTTGCGGAAGATATTAACTCGTACCGATGCCGTGATCAACTGCGCGAGCATCTGAAGGACTGGAAAGCGGACATTGTCTTGCACGATGGTGCGCCCAACGTCGGTACGGCGTGGGTTCAAGATGCCTATGCACAGTCTGAACTGACGCTGCAGGCGCTCAGGCTGGCTGTTGAGTTCTTAGCGCCGGGCGGTACGTTTGTGACCAAGGTATTCCGTTCGAAGGACTATAACAACCTCATGTGGGTTTTTAACCAACTCTTCCACCACGTCGAGGCCACCAAGCCGCCCTCCTCCCGTAATGTGTCTGCTGAGATTTTCGTGGTATGCCAGCGCTTTAAAAACTTGACACGCATTGATCCCAAGTTCCTGGATCCCCGCTATGTATTCAAAGAATTGGATGCTGGTGGTGGTCATATGAAGGGATCCAGCTCGCACAACCTCCTGGAAAATGTAGTCAACCCTGAAAAGACGCGTCGTAAGCGTGAGGGCTACGAAGAAGGCAACTATACCCTGTACAAGACCATTAGCGCAGACGAGTATATCCGAGGCGCTGATGCCATTGCCATGCTCGGTACCTACAACCGTATTACCTTTGATTCCAAAGAGGACAAGGCTCTGCTGAAGAGCCATTTAACGACAGAGGATGTCAAGGCGAATTGTGAAGATCTTAAGGTGTTGGGCCGTCGTGACTTTTCTGTGCTGATCAAGTGGCGCAAGGCGATGCGTGAGGCTATGGGTCTGGATGTTCCGAAGGAGAAGCACTCCGAAGAGGCTAGTGCTACGGTGGAGATGGAGCCGTTGAATGAAGAGGAGGCTATTGATGAGGAGCTTGCGCGTCTCAACGAGGAGGCTTCCAAGCGTGCCCGCAAAGAGCGTCGTAAACGCAACGAGGCCCGCGCAAAAACCATCCAGAAACTGCAGCTGAATATGACGACGCCCATGGATCTCGGTGAAGACTGGCGTGACGAAGCCCTTCATGGCGAAGAGATGTTCTCGCTGGGCGAGGTGGAAGGCCATCGTGCGCCATCCAAGTCGCACTCTTCCACGCTTCTTGATGCGGATGATGCGCCTGAGGACGAGGAGAAGGGAGAGGACGTGTCCGAGCAGGACAGCGATGAGGACATGGAAGAGGAAGAGCGTCGCCTCGCTGACCTAGAGTCTGGCATTGACTCCATGTACGATCAGTACAAGGAGCATCTCCAAATGCGGGACGCCAAATACCGTGCCAAGGAAGCGCGACTTAAGTCTGGTAAATACGAGGAATGGAATGGAATTTCGTCGAAGCAAGATGATGACAACAGTGAGATGAATTCAGACGAAGACGTCGAGCATGGCTTTGATGCTGTGAATCGACGCAAGTTCCACGAAGAGACGTACGACTCTGATGATGCCGAAGACGATGACGATGAACGTGCCTACGCCGAGGAAGAAAGTGATGATGCGCCTGCTGTCAAGCCTTCGACACAACGAAAGAAGTCGTCCGGTGCTCCGCCTCTGCTTACAGAGCTGGAATCGGCCGCCGATTTGGAGCAACGCCAGAGCGCTGCTACAGCCATGTGGTTCGATAACCCGCTCTTCAAGGACTTGATGCCTATGGATGATCTGTCGACGCAGACGAAGAAACGCACGGCCAAGGAGCCGACACCCGAGCTTGTGGAAGAGGAGGACGAAGACGAAGAAGACGAAGAAGAGGACGATGACGATTTGGAGTTTGTTCCCTCCACGTTTAATGGAGATATGCCTGAAGGCGAATGGAGCGTCCACGACGAAGACCAAGAAGCTGCCAAGCAAGCGCGAATTCGCGAGCATGGTTTGCACACCGCAGAAGCTGTCTCGATGGCACATGCCTTGGTCAACCGCAAGATGACCAAGACAGACCTTGTGAACCAGGGTTTCAACCGCCACAGTTTTAACGATAAGACTGGCTTGCCCGAGTGGTTCTTGGAAGATGAGAACAAGCACTACCGTGCGAACATTCCCATCTCCAAGGAGGCCGTGGAGGCACTTCGTGCTCGCCAGCGTGCGCTGGATGCCCGACCTATCAAAAAGATTGCGGAGGCCAAAGCACGTAAGAAGCATCGCGCTGCTATGCGTCTGGAGAAGGCGCAGAAGAAAGCTGAGGCGATTAATGAGAACTCGGACATGTCGGAACGTGAAAAGGCTGAAAATATCAGCAAGATTTTGGCCAAGTCTGGTCGCAAAACCGAGAAGAAGGCACCACAGCTGGTTGTGGCTCGTGGTGTGAATCGTGGTATCAAGGGCCGCCCGAAGGGTACCAAGGGTCGTTACAAGATGGTTGATCCACGTATGAAGAAAGAGCTACGCGCTCAAAAGCGCATCGCTAAGCGCGATGGCAAGAAGCGCAGCTCTGGCAACCGTCGTCGTCAGATCCCAAAGGGATACTGATTTCTATGTAGTTCGTATAGTTACCCATTTGGCTGAAACACCATTATTTTTTTTGGTTCGGACCAAATCTATACACACCATTCACTATGGGACGGTCAGAGTGGGTTGGATCAACCTACCCTAGCATAGATTCGATCAAGAAAGAGACATTGGCGGAGCATTTACTCCTCGTCAGCCTCCTCCTCCTCCTCCTGGTCGTAGGAGACGTTGAAGAACTTGACCTCGAAGCCGGCCTTGGAGGTGGCCACGACACGGAGCCAGTCACGCAGCTCAGCACGCTTCAAGAACTTCTTGGTCAGGTACTTGAGGTAGCGCTTCGAGAAGGGGATCGTGGTCTTGACCCAGATCTTGCCCTCACCCTCGCGGGTGATCTGCACGGCATCGCCGAGTTGGCCGGCCTTGCCATCGACCTTGATGCGGTCGTGCAGGAACTTCTCGAAAGCGTCCGCGTCAAGAACGCGGTCGTTGGCCGGGCCACTGAAGTCAATGAAGAAGCTGTGGCCCTTGGCAGCAGCCTTCGACGCACCAGCGCCGACAACCTTGTTCGTCTTGGTGACAGCCATTTTGTTACAATGCAAGCAGCCTACTGTGGATCAGCAAAGCGTAAGAAGAGGTTTGGTTCTCTTTGCAGAACTGCAAAAATGGCTCCCTCAATTCACACGTGACCCACAAACCCCACGTGGGTCCGCGTGGCACCGTTGACAGACGGAGCCAGGTTGCTCGTCGGCGGCGCAAAAAAAGTCCTACGTGCCGTGCATCGTGGCTGGTCATGGCGGACACTGCGGATTTCACGATCAAGCCTGACAACTCTGGCCAGAGCCTTCACTATTCGGATTGGCCGCTTCTTCTGAAGGACTATGACAAGCTTCTTGTACGCAGCAGCCACTTTACCCCCATTCCTCACGGCTGCTCGCCTCTGAAGCGTGATATCGCCTCGTATGTGAGCAGCGGTGTCATCAACCTCGACAAGCCATCGAACCCGTCGTCGCACGAGGTCGTGGCATGGCTGCGCCGCATTCTTCGTGTGGAAAAAACCGGTCATTCGGGTACACTTGACCCGAAAGTCACTGGCTGTCTTATTGTGTGTATCGACCGTGCTACTCGTCTTGTCAAGTCTCAGCAGGGTGCGGGTAAGGAGTATGTTGCTGTTCTTCGCCTCCATGAAAAGCTGGATGACCCCAGCAAACTTCCCCGTGTGCTTGAGACACTTACCGGTGCGCTTTTCCAGCGTCCTCCCTTGATCTCGGCGGTCAAGCGTCAGCTTCGTATCCGTACGATCTACGAGTCGAAGCTCATTGAGTTCGACAATGATCGTCACCTGGCAGTGTTCTGGGTGAGCTGTGAGGCTGGAACGTACATCCGTACGCTCTGTGTACACCTTGGTCTCCTTCTTGGTGTCGGTGGCCACATGCAGGAGCTCCGCCGTGTGCGCAGTGGTGCGCTGAGCGAGAACGACGATATTGTGACGATGCACGACGTGTTGGATGCCCAATGGCTATACGACAACCAGCGTGATGAGTCGTACCTACGCAAGGTGATCCGTCCGCTAGAGTGCCTGTTGGTTGGCTATAAGCGTATCGTTGTGAAAGACAGCGCCGTGAACGCTGTGTGCTATGGTGCGAAGTTAATGATTCCTGGTTTGCTTCGCTTCGAGGCCAATATTGGGCTCAACGATGAAGTTGTGCTTATCACCACCAAGGGCGAGGCCATTGCTATCGGTATCGCCCAGATGACCACGGTGGATCTTTCTACGTGTGACCACGGTATCGTCGCCAAGGTGAAGCGCTGCATTATGGAGCGAGACACATACCCACGCCGCTGGGGTCTGGGCCCCAAGGCCCTGGAAAAGAAGAAGCTTGTTAAGGAGGGTAAGCTTGACAAGCACGGCCACGAGATTGAGGGCGTAACTCCTGAGAAGTGGTCGAAGGAATATGTCGACTACTCCAAGCCGGAGGCTGACGATGCTTCGGGTGACGTCTCGATGTCGCAGCCTAAGGCTGATGAGGACGAGGACGAGGACGAGGAAGATGCTGTAGTGGAAGTCTCGACCGAGTCCAAGAAGAAGCGCAAGGCTGAGGACGCCGAGGCCGACTCGGACGACGAGGAGACAGAGGAAGAGCGCAAGCGTCGCAAGAAGGAAAAGAAGGAGGCCAAGAAGGCCAAGGAGGCTGCGGGCGAGTCGACGGAGGTATGTCTACAGAATCACAATGCGCGTCTAACATGTCAGAAGAAGAAGGAGAAGAAGGACAAGAAGGAGAAGAAGAAGAAGAGCGAGTAACTTGGCACCCAACCTTGAGCTGAACTCCTTGGGTGGAAGGCATAGTTCCTCTTCGTGTCCGTACTTTTGTAATTCTACGTCGCTTGTCTACAATGAGTCTTTCCCTACGCGATACTGCGAAAGATCTGTATCGGGTCTGGTTGTGTTAGTTTTCCTGCCACGTACTCTAGTTGACCATTGACTGGATTGCGTCGTGCGCTGAAGAACGTGTACGCCAAGATGACGTCTTTCACGTCGCGTGTTTCCTTGTCTTCCAGCATTTCCTTGTCAAGGAAGAAGAACACGGGCAAATCCACTTCTTCACCTGCTCTAATCTTTTGCTCTTCGAAACAGAAGCACTCAATCTTGTTGAAGTAAGGGGCAATGCGGTCTGGAATCACATTGTATGTCGCAATACCAATAATATCCTGATCGCTGCTGTTATGCGCCTTAAAGAAGGTCAATGCTGTCTCGCCGGGGAGAACATAGATCTCGCGCTGTTCTGGGGTAAAGGTCCACGGAATTTGGTCCGATGTGCTGGCATTAAAAGACACCCGAATACGCTCAGTCATCTTAGCATTGTTTAGTGGGTCTTGATACGAGGGGACCAATCGCGAGGGCTCTGCGTAGCGTGAAGGGTCTGTTATAGGAGTGCCGCCGTATCCTGTGGCCGAGCAGAAGGCGCGGTATAGTGGTACGGCTGCATAGCTCAAGCCCAATACAGAGATGAACTGTGTACGTTAGGCTGGTTCATAAGTTAGTCAACGTACCCCTGCAGCAGCATACATCGCCGCACTACGATTCTTCATGCGGCGTTGTTCATCTATATATGACGCATGGTTACGATATGGTCCACGGTTCTCTGTAGAGAAACGTCGGGTCTGACGAAGGATGTTGGTCGGTTGGGAGACAGGATGCACGGCCCTTGCGCAGGGGGCAGCCCGCGGACAGAACACCATTTCTCGCACAAGCGCCGATGGCAGCAGGTTACGAGCAAAAGTTCTGCTCATATTGAGTAGCATCATGGGTATTTTGCTATGCTGCACGCAGTAGCGTCAATGTATTGCGGTTGCTAACGCCTTCCAAGATGGCCTAATGGCATTGTAGGCACATCACGCCTGGCCCTGTCATCTATTATTGGACACGTGACTAATGATGCCGACCATCGCAGTCCAGCGGACTCCGGTCAGACGAATCTCGCGAGCAGCTAGCATATCATGAATAGACATCGACGCCACTGATTATAGCAAGCGCAACCCCACTCCTTTCGTACAGGCTTCTCTACACACACATACACTGCATCTCCGTGCAAAGACACTTCTTTTGTGTCGTCCTAGATTGACATGGCTAGCTAATAAAAGTATAGAGACTAGACACCACAGGGATAAAGCAAGGGACTGCCATCCCACCCTGGATATATTGCTAGGCAGGGCCCCAGTATACCCAATGTGGAAGGTACTGCTTGGCTCACACCAACCAGCCCATGACTGACCCATGAGGATATACAAAGGGCGATTGTGAGCATGAATACGCCCTCCCGTTCGACAGCCTCCATACACTCGGGATACAAAGCGGCGAGTGGACAACAAACTCGAGCCAGCCCAGACCCCTTCGTAGGCTTTTTAACGGTTCGACTTGGCAACGCGCTCAAGCTCGTCCTTCTTCTTGATCGCGTAAGAGTTGGACGAGCCCTTGGCGGCGTTGATGAGCTCATCAGCAAGGCACTCAGCAATGCTCTTCACGTTGCGGAAGGCCGACTCGCGGGTACCAGTGGTAAGCAGCGAGATCGACTGGTTGACGCGACGCAGGGGCGACACATCGACAGCCTGGCGACGAACGGTACCCTGCGAACCGATACGGGTCGAGTCCTCACGGGGACCAGTGTTGATGATGGCATCCACAAGGATCTGGATGGGGTTGGCATCAGTCAGGAGGTGGATGATCTCAAAGGCGTGGGCGACAATGCGAACAGCCATGAGCTTCTTACCGTTGTTGCGGCCGTGGAACATGAGAGCGTTCACAAGGCGCTCAACAATCGGCATGTGAGCCTTGCGGAACTGCTTGGCAGCGTAGCGGCCAGCAGTGTGTGGGGCGTAGACAGCGTTGCGGAGCGAGATGTAGTCCGTGAGCGAGATGTCCTTCACCTCAACATCTTGGGCGCTGTTGGCGGTTAGTATGTGTTCTTTTCGTGCAATTTTAAATACGTACTCCCACTTGCCAAACAGGCGAACCGAACCGACCTCAGGGGCGGCAACAGCGGCGACGTTCTCTGTTACATTGTTAGTTTTCCATTCTTCCGAACCATGGCGGCGCTTCTCCGCCATGATGCTTTAGTACGTACTAGGAATTCCGACCTTAGCCATATTGAAAGAATACAAGCACAGAAGCTGGTAGAGGAACGATACAGAGAAGTGTAGCTGTAAGTTCCGATCAAGTAACTGAGCTGGTCGCGGGAGCCAGTCAGTCAAGGACTTGAGGTGGTGATGTGCGTTGAAAGACACTCCTAGGGATTCTATGCTCTTGTCAGTCCCACGCAAGCGTGCCTCCCTTCACGTGATGAACAATAAAACTATGTACCACATCACGTGAACGTTATGAAACAGATCGGGGTTTATTGTACACGTGGCTATGAAAGACTCGTGCTTAGATCAAGCACGACAAGATGCTTATCGCCTTGGGCAATAGCTAATTGGTGCGCACCCGTGGAGGTCGCTGTAGTGGTGGTAGAAGAGCTAGTGTCATCTGGTAGTGGTATACGTCCTTTGGTGTGCCAAGTTAAATCCATAATAGGTCCACCACCGGTGTATGTATAGACGCGCTTGCCATCTTGCACGCGCGTGACAAACACGCGATGATCAATACCTCCTGTGGCAAGGAAGCGTCCACATGGACTAAATGCCAGAGCGTATACGCTGCGTTCATGACCTTCAATGACATGAAGGCAGGCACCTGTCTCCCCATTCCATAGACGTGCTGTATTATCAAAACTAGCAGTGGCTAGCACCTTCGGACGCGCAGGATGAGGAGAGCCTGGTCCACTTGGACTCCATGCGATGGCATACACTTCTTCTGTATGTCCACGGAGGACATGCAAAGGCTCGTTGGACATGGCCGCCGCATTGCCTTGGCTGTCCACTGCGTAAATATGCGCTGTACCATCGTCCGAAGCCGTAGCCAATAGAGTTTGAGATGGGTCAAAACGGATGGCATTCACTTCATCCGAATGACGGGTCCAACTTTTAATAGGCTTAGGTTCGCCAAGCTTGCACAAATGCACTTGGTTATCATCAGAGCAAGTGGCGAACAGCATGTCTGCGATATTTTGATTAGCGTGCGAAGCTGTAGAGTCTGATGCGCCAGTCAGCCATTGCACGTCCAATACATTCTTCGCATGTAGGCTAAACTGCTGTCGCGTACGGCCACTGCTCACATCCCAAACAATAGCAGTACCATCACCGCTACCTGTGAGTAGCATATTTCCCTTCCTATTCCAACGCACAGCAAAAATAGGGCCCTGGTGCATGGACAAGACCAAATGCAAGTCGCCTTGGGGTGTCCACAAACGCAAAATACCATCATAAGAACCGGACGCCAATAGTGTGCCATCCGGGTTCCATGCAACTGTAGATACATTCTTAGCTTGTGTTGCTGGCATATGCTTACACACGGCTGGTGGCTCTGAAGGCGATGTCAAGTCCCAAATACGTACAGAGGCATCACCGCCACCGCTCGCCAGCAGACTAGGTACGGTTGGGTTCCATGCTGACACAAAAACTTCTGCAGAATGTCCCACAAGATCCGTAGCATTTGCATCAGGTATCGCTTCAGGTCCTTCTTCCATTTTGGACTGACGACCATGCAAATGCTCCGAACTGGATGCACGCCGTGAGTGACTGTCCTTCTTTGGCTTTGACTGTGAGGTGGACGCATCATTCTCTGACGTCGCTGGTGGCGTTATACGGCTTGGTGTATTTGCTCCTGTGCTTGAGGAAGGTGAGATGTCCATGGAATCAGATTCAGTTTTGGTACGTTTCTCTGACGAAGGCACATCCCACGTGCCCCGTCTCTTGCCGCTGGCTTGCCCGTCGTTAGTGGATGCAAGGGAAGCTGAGTTTGATGCAGCGGAAGGTTGAGTTTCAGAAAGCGCCTTTTTTGACTCTGTGGATGACGGCCATGCCGGCGTTTGGGACGACGCATCACGGCGTTGACTAGGCGACGTAGCTGGAGCCTTCGACGATGCAGGCGTGACTTCCGTCTTTTCTCGTGACGAAGATACCAATGCATCTGGTGATGAGAGTTTCTGTGCGTCTGCTTGTCCCTGGGTCCAGTTAGCTAACGTTTTCGTTGTGTACATACTTGTTGCACCAATCGCTCAGCTGTGGTATATAGCAGCCCACGATGCAAGTACCGGAGCAACTGACCCGGCTCTACAAGAGGTTCATGTGATGCAGGAACATCGTCAAGACGAGCTTCATAACGCAGGGCAAAGCATGTATGATGCAGGCCGGCTTCTTTCAGGTAGTGGTAAATCAGTAAGTTCACCTCCGATGCAGAGAACTGCGTAGACCCGGATCCGTCTGGCATCGCGAGACCAAATCCAATTAACAAGTGGGCTAAAAGATAGTGCGCGGTCTAGCGCTACGCAGTCAGCAGAAGTCTGTAGGCTAAGGTGAGGGGGGTCGTACGAGGATACGGTGCTACAGACTTGCGTTGTAGAGGGAAACCGACGAGAATGAGGACCGGGGGCGTATTTCCTAGACTTGCCTGCAGCCTAGGGTGGATGGCGCTTCGTCCACCAAAAGGCCCCCGCGTGTGCGTGCGCGTGACCGATTTTCGTAGCGGCAGGGACCGACCGCGTCGCAGCAGTGCGCCAGCCACCACCGACCAGTGCACTTTTGTGTGGAAGGTGTTTGAAGATGGCGTCAACTCCCTCTACTAGCGTGTTTACACGCTTTCAGCAGAGCCTCTCCTCTGTGGCTGGCCTGCCTGCGGGCGTCCGCACCCTTATAGGTATGCTGCTAGTGGTATCTTGTGTATTGGCCGTGCTTCGTGCAATGATTTCGACCAAACGAACAGGTGCTGCAGGTTTCCCATTTTTCGTGCTTGTTCCTGGTGCTAGTTGGGCTTTCCCATGGTACGTACTTTTTTCTCTTACCCTAGGGTGATTCTCGTTGCTGGGTTCTGCGCCACCACTTGGATTGAAGGCGTGTACTATGTGCTGGTTTTAGGCCTGCTAGCGCCGTCGTTGGAAATGCAATGGGGTCACATTGAACTTCTTCAGTTCTCTGCGGTGGTCATTGCGGGTACCAATATTCTCTCATGGATCCTAGCGCTGCTTGTCGGCCTCGTTACACGCAGTGAGCAAATGCTGTTCCATACACATTTTGATGGTATGCATGGTCTCATTACAGGATTCCTAGTAGCCTATGCGCAGATTATGCCAGAAGTACGCGTGCCATACATTCCCAAGCTCACAGCACGAGACGTACCGATGCTTGCAGTCGGCTTGTCGAACATTCCGTGCATCCTGGGCTACATGGCCCCCTTTATTCAATACCAAATCGCATGGCTCGTATCCTGGGTTTACCTGCGATTCTACCAAGTCGGTCAAGCTGGCCAACGTGGTGATGCCAGTGATGCGTTCGCCTTTGTAACCTGGTTCCCGCCCTTTATTCATCCTGTTCTGGGGCCAGTATCTCAATTTGTGTATAAGATGGCATCTTCATGGCATCTGGTTCCTTTGCAAACGGGCTACATGGATCTTGAGCTCAGCGTGCAAGAGCCTCATGCCGGTGGTGCACGGGAAGAAGCAGAGCGACGGCGTACTATGGCCTTGGCTGCTCTAGATGCGCGCTTGGCAGACTCAGCGTCCTCAAAAGCACCACCTACTGCCACATCATCTCAAGACGAGGCGTGATGCCTGTGTCTTTGCTATCCAAAATTCGTTATAGTCCCGAATATTTGGGCCATACCCATTCTATATAGTACAAGCAAATCAACGCACTTGTCGGACGTGGTATTCCATACGACCTGAAAGAAGATCATGCGTCAGGGTAATAAGTTCATGCCGGAACTGACGTCGTTGCTGAATTCGCGCGCGCATCTCCGTTTGCTGGATGTGGCTTGATGCTTGCGTGTTGGCTGCATGCAACGCTAACGCTGCCTGTCGTTCCGCTTTATTGTCATGGACTCGAGTACGTAGCCAATGGCCAGACCGTTTGAGTCGACGACGTAGCGCATAATCTGGGATCATCCCTTGTTCCAAGCATTGCGCATAAAACTTTTGTGCTTCCAGGTACGCATGCTGTCGCATGAGCAGTTGGAAATGTTGTGCTACACTTCCAAGATTGGTCACATCGATGGAATCATGCGTCGTGGACAACAATTTCATGTTCATGCCGCGCTTATGAACCACTGCTGCTGCACGCGCTGATACCGTGTCCAGTAAGTTTGTGTCAGGGGTGAGACCATGTTTTTGCATATCCTGTAACTCGCGAGTAGCAGCGCGCCAGTTCCCTGTACGCGCAAAGGCACGGACCAATACTGTGTACATCGGAACGGTAGGGGTAATATGCCAGGCAGGTAAGGCTTCACGAACAAGCCACGATGCCTCACGTATACCGCGCTTACGATATCTAGCACACAATGCCCGCAGCATTAATTCCACATGCAAATTATGCGGTGTAAGTCCGTTTTTCAACATGATACGGAACACTTTTCGAGCTTGATTGGATATACGCAGTGCTGCGTGCAGTCGTAGGCGCTCTGCAAAGGCTGCCAATGTGGTTAGATGGTTGTTTTTCCTTCGCCTCAAGCCCTTTGTCCTTACAATATAACGACGCACAGGCGCTCGAGACCGAACTGTATCCGAACCCTGACTGGGTAGCAGTGCCGTATCACGTACCCAGCCATGAAGTACCGTTTCCACACGGCCTGAGGGGCCCGCAGTACGGGAACGACGACCTGATACACGCTTTCGACGTTCACTTTGGAGGCAGGCCACTCGGACCCTATCCTCAAATCCGAGCTGCACCAGCGCCTTTTTCAATTTGAGCCATCGCGTCATCGAGGACCTCCTTGCTATAGGAGCACCCGCCCATCGAATAGGGCGTGCCAAAGCCCGGCATAGTTGGCTCATTTCCTCACGATGAGGCTCAATGCTGTGCATAATCATACGTGCCAAAGCCCGGCAAAGATAGCCATTAAAACGAATGTTGTGCATAAAGGCCTGCTCCAGCACACGTCGGGCTAGGCCAACAGAATAGAGAGCGTTCGCACAATCGAGTAGCGTTGCTGTAAGAAGGCCGGTCAGGGGCACATAGTGACGTGGCAAGGCTTCCATGCCTAGATTGGTCGATGGTGCCACACCCCAATCCAAACCAGTCACATGCTGCGCCAGGGCCAAGCCCTCGTTAGGCCGTGCTGCACGGACAAGGGCTTGTATCGCACCGCATACAGCATGGGTCCGAGTCACTTCATCTGCCTCTGATGTACATGTGGCGTGAAGAAAGGCCAATGCTGCATCGACTAAACCACGTCGCCCACACCACGTCGCAGCCAATGCCAGCGTTGTTGGTTCCACAGGCACAGGCGGCAATATGGTCCACGCCCCCATCCATGCTGTCAATACGGTCTCTGTGGATTTGATAGGTAGCCTCTCACTTCCAGGGACTTGGGCAGCTTGCAGCACCACCGTGACGTAGCGCGCCGCTCCTTGCGCGAGCATGGCAAGTATAAGCGCTGGGAGCATATCATTTGGTGCGAGTTGTTCGAGCCCACTTCGCTCTTGCTCAATGATTCGAGCCAGGGGGGGATATACGGACCATATGTTAAGCCAGATCGACGTAGGGATATCGTAGCCGGAAGCTACAAGCTGTCGCAATAACGTACGAACAGCATTCACATCGCCTTGTCGTGACCAGTATGCCACGCAGGCTTCATAGGCTTTCAATGGAATACCCCCGGCTGCACGCATGTCAGTCCAACAGGCATGTACATCCATATCTCGACCCAAGGCTATGCATGCCAGCAAACGAGAATAATGTAACGCTGCATCTTGCACCTCAGGATGATGGGTATGTGCGAGGCGCTCCCACTGCAACACACTCATTGCATCGCCTCGTTCCCCGAGTCGTGCTGCCATGCGGCGAAAATAGGCCATGGGGATAGGGCCGACGTGTAGGTGGGCATAAGTCAGTAATTTTCGAGCCAAGACGAGTGCATCGCTGGTGGCCACAGCCACTAGCGCTTCCGCCGCTGTACCGAGGATATCAAGAGCTGTTGCTTGTGAGGAAGATAGATCGGTGGGGATATGGCCTTCATGGAAGGAAGATAGCGTGGTAGTGTACGCTGTCGCTAACGTCTCTTGAATACGCGCTAAGGCGTTTGGATCCTCCGGATGTGCCAAGATCTGCTGCAGCTCATGTAATATAGATACAGATGAATCTGCGCTTGGCTCCTCTGAATGCATCGAAGGATGGGCTGTCGCCATGGTCATAGGCGCAGCTGTGCTGGCCCACGTGCGTAGCCAGAAAGGGGTATACAAAGATGGAAGATAGAATGCACTGTAAGTGGGTCGTAGTGCTTTTGCATAGGCACCTGCTACACTTGCAGGTAGCATCTGCCCTGTGGGGCGGAATGGGGTGCCATGCCCAGTTACGGCATGGATCACTCGACTCCGCCGTATTTCCTTAATACGGGGCGGCCTCGGCATCCAACGCCTCGTCTATGGGTATTACGCGTAGATACGATCTTCCTGCGCGATACCGTCGACGGGGCGTATACACGCGACCACACTAACGACTTGAGAAAGTACAGGGTTGCGTCGATGGCCGCTTGGGAAGAAAGTGTGCTGACTAATCCGACGCGTCGGAGCAGCCGCTCAAGCGTTGTGCTCCGAACCCACTAGGGCAACGACGTACCTACTTGTTTGCAGAGGCAGATTCTGCGGCTCACAATACGCCTATGGTCATAAGTATAGAAATAAATAAATATATGTCAGAGTAAACGAGCTCTATTTGTAACTCGATATCACGAGCTTGGCCGTGCTACACCACGAACATTGCGCTTAGCAAAGACACCTTTAGCAAGTCGTACCACACTAGGCTTTTGCGTGCGAACAATGCGTGTAGGTGCCATACTACGGTCACGGCGACGAATAGGCTTTGCCACTTCTGTCTCTTCACCCACCTTCGCCGCGACCTCGGGCAGAAGCTCACCGGCATAGACACGATTACCCTTCATAGGACGTGTCAATGTGCGTCCCCGGCTGGGGCGTGCCAACTCCATAGCATCCCAACGCTCTGTATCAGGACGGCGAGGGCCTTCCAATGTGTTTTCAGCCCACATCCGCTCTAGGTATTGTGCTGCCTTTGTCGAAAGTTCCTTTCGTGCCTCGTCGCCACGGAAGCGAATAAGCTTCGCAATGTTACGACGAGTCAGATCGTGGAATCGTGTATCCTGCTCAATGGGAATCGAGGCCTGTGCCTGAATAAGAGACTGCAGAGCCTCCCATCCGATATTTTTATGAGCCTTGTGCAGCAAGATATATGCTTCCCGTGCCATTGTACGTGCCGTCATATCGAGCTTCACATCCGTAGGGTTGTCCACCAACTCTAAGACAGCACGCGGCGCATTGTCTCCCTTTCGGTGACCCATCAAATGAACGCGGGTATATCCACCAGCACGGTCTGCATATCGCTTCGCCATCTCGTTCAAACGTGGTAGGGTGATCGCAGGGTTAAACAAATACGACTGTGCACTAGACAGTGCTGTAGGTGTACCACGCTTGCCTAACGTGATCATCTTGTCAGCCATACGTGAGGCTTCTTTTGCCTTCGCTACCGTCGTCACAATGCGCTCATGTGTTAAAAGCGAGGTGACAAGGTTACGAAGTAAATGGTTCCTGTGAGACGCTGCGATTGTCAGATATAGTAGAGAACGTACATGATCGTCCCAACTTGCGGAACGCCAGTCGCTTCATGGTCGAACTTAGAAGGCGGCGACGAAGCGATCGACGAGCGAAGGGAGCACAGGCTCGATTCGAATTTCTTCTTACCAGCCTACTAGGCCTTTTTGGGTCGCCTCTCTACCACCCCACCCAGCCCACGAGTTCGGCCGAAACCTATGGCGCTGACCGCCCGTGGGCCACCAGAGGCCAGCAATGCGGCGTCGGGCGTACACTGTCTCCCTCACCAACGACCATGCTGTCTTCTGCCATGTCGATGATCCCGCGCGCTATGCGTGTCACTCCGGCGTTTGCTCGTGCTGCCCCTATGGCTCGCGTTTCTGTGACTCGCATGCCTGTGGCTTTCCCGGCCATGGCTCGCTCGTACGCTAGCGCCTCTGGCCCGTCGCTCGACGAAATTAAGTCGCGCATTAACGAGGTGCTCAAGTCCTTTGAGAAGGTTGACCCTGCGCAGATTACCCCTTCGGCTTCGTTCCAGGGCGACCTTGGCCTTGACAGTCTTGATGCTGTTGAGGTTGTGATGGCGATTGAGGAGGAGTTCAACATTGTACGTATGACAACCGACCCAGCAAATTGTCTAACAAACCGTAGGAGATTCCTGATGCCGATGCGGACGCCATCACCACTGTCCAGCAGGCTGTGGACTACATCTCGAACACGCCGGATGGTACGTATAAGTGTGATAAAGAACGCGGTGTAACACTACAGCTATTTAAATGAAGAAAATACCCATGGGTATTGTAGCTTCATGAGCTTGTATACATGCTAGTTCAATAGTCACGGTATTGTTCTGCCTTACCAACCCTACATTTGCCGTATAGTTCCTATGCGCATTGCAAAGGCATGTCCGATGTTGAAAAGATAATGGTCTTTGTATTTGCATAAGGCCATTGGGATGAATGTTCCCCCTTTCGGGGGACGACGGGGGTCATTCAGTGAGTGAGCTAAATTTACACGACTGCATCTTCCTCCACGTCCTTTCCCCAGTCGATAGCGTTCACGCCTCGCTCCAGCGCATCCACTGAGCTTTCGTACGTGCCGCTGTAGCTGAATCCACGGAATTTTTCCTGGATACTCTTGGAGAGAGGCTCGTTCTCCGACTTGCGTTCCTTCTTCTTGATGTCAACACCATTGGGCGTAGTATTGTCTGATTGAGTATAAGCTTTTATAGACGAGGGACCAAGTCCTTCCAGCTCGTCCTCCGATATAGGAAAGCCAGCGACTTCGCGGATATCAGCGTTTGTAAACTCTGGGTCAAAGTTCGCTACACTTTCGTTGGATTCAACAAGTGGCTTGAAGACAGGTGCAATCCTCTTATGGGCCAGCGCATCCCAGTCCATGTCGTTGAAAAATGGATGGTCTTTCAGGTCCTGTGCATCGTTCTGTGCACCCAGGCGATGTTTTGGGTTCCGATTGAGCAGTCCTTTCACAAATTGTTTCCCATTATCACTAATGGCACCTCGAGGAAACTTGATTTTTCCAAAGCAAATGTTTCGGTACATCTGTTGAGTGTCCTCGGCATAAAAAGGTGACCAGCCACAGCACATTTCAAAAAGCAGGACACCTAGCGACCAGAAATCGACCAGCTTGCTATATCCCATCTCATCCAAGAGGATCTCAGGCGCAAGGTACTCGGTTGTGCCACAGAATGTGTTGGTTAGCTGGCCAGCTCCAAGATCGGGCTTGCTCAAACCAAAATCACAGAGTGCTACATGACCTGTCGCATCCAGTAAAATGTTTTCTGGTTTCAGGTCACGGTACACAATATTGTATTTATGCAAATGCTCCAAGGCCAGGATTAGCTCTGCAATGTAAAACTTGGCCCGTCCCTCCGTGAAGCGACCTTCGCGCTGCAAATGCCAAAAGAGCTCTCCTCCTGACTTGTAGTCTGTGACAAAGAACAACTCTGTTTCCGACTGGAAACTGAATTTCAAGCCCACAAGGAACGGACAATCCAAGCTTTTCTCCAGGATTTTTCGTTCGCCCATCGTGTGTGCCACTTCCTTTTTCATCGCGATTTCGCGCTTTGACAGCACTTTCATAGCGTAAATACGCTTGGTATCCTTTTTGCGCACTTGAAACACACGTCCAAATGTACCACGTCCAATTAGTTTAAGAAACTCAAAGTCTCTGGACGTTAGCTTGCGGGGAGGAACACGCTCGTAAGTCAGTTGTATGTGTACTTCGCCACGAGGCAATTGTTCCTCCAGCCCATCTTCCGTCAGCGCAAAGATGGTATACCAGCGCCGTGTTGTAGATCGATGAATCAATCGAGGTTGAATTTCTCTTGTGCCAATCAGTACTTCTGTATCCCCAATGCGATCGTAGACACTAAATTGAACGTTTTGATTGTCCATGGTCACGTCGAAAGTGACTGTTTCGTCCCACGACGGGTTGCTTCCATCGCTGCAGTTACCCGATTCGCCAATATACTCATTCTTGTCATACTGAATCACCACATAAGGTTTCGACAGCGAAGTCGAGGACACAGCAAGGTTGCGGGCTTCCATCAAGAGCACATTTAAGTAGCCCTTTGCTGAACCCGTATTGCGTGTAGCATCCTTGTCGTCACTTGCCTTTGGCTTTGGTGTAGGCATGCGGATCATGAAATCCGTAGGCTTGTTGGTCATTGAAGCAGCTGCAGCGCTGTCAAAACTGGCCATATGCCCTTGCGCATAGCCAGGGGTGAGTAACACACTGGGTTCGCTAGCACGGTCACCAGCCCGTTCCGAGTTCAAAAGGCCCATAGCCGAGCCGCGACCACTTGAAGGCCTATCATGAAGCAAATCGAATGGATTGATATCCATACCAGGTGGCCGAGCCTTGGGTGTCATCTACGCTTGCGTTAGCACCATCAACACCGCCACGCGAGGCACGAACGCATGGAGACTCCTATCTCCCCATGCAACCTAAAATGAGTACATACCTGATCATCCAAGGACGGCGTTACCGACGCCCTTGAGTCTGTAGGAATCATATCCTACAGTCCACAGAGGCGTGTGGTGTTGTAGCAATATAAAGCAGGTCCTCCGAATGAAAACGGGCAGAGGGACGAGATTATATGCACGCCATTGAATTTTAGGTGCACTTTCTTTATGCACGTGGGATTTGTCCGAGCGCCAGGTGGCGCATTTTCAAGGCTTTGCACGGATCTATTTGTGAGTTGGGTCTATAGGCTGGAGTGTCTAAAATGGGCACGCTGTTCCTTCCTAAAAATAGCGGTATAAGTAATATGAGCCTTATGAGCCGGATCTATATAGACTCACGAGAGCCATATGGCGCGGGCAGCCTGCCGCTGCTGAGCATTGGATGCACGTTGAGACTCAGTGAGGAATGCGTCAGCATGCGGCCATTGTTCGTGAGCAGCATGGCTAAAGGTCGCCGCATTTACGGACTCCGGTAGAGCTTCCATTGTTTCCATACGAGCCAATAAACTGCGGGCCTGCTCTAGAACGAACAGAGGAGCATTCTGCTTCAGGATGGTATGCACAAGCTCAGCAGCAGCTTGAGGTGTCTGCGTAGACCCTTCCATGAGGTATAGGCCCTCTGCAGCGGCCAACGTATGAGCTGGGGATAGGCCGCCAGCCTTTTGCAGATACTCAGTATGCAACTGCTGTAGAGGCATGGAGAGAGTAGGCACATCAGCAGATAGTGTAGCCAACGCATTCGTAACCGGCGCTGGAAGCTCTCCTGCCTTGTCAAGCGCCTGGCGTAGGCGAATGGTCTGTACATGCAACGCAGGATACGATGAATCCAGTTGGTACGCCAGCGAGATAGCACGCAGGGCCAAGAGCCACTTGGGCTCACGCAACGCCACGTCCAGCACACTCATCCATGTACGAATGTCCTTTGGCGCATTCAGTTCCAGTTTACGAACAAAGTGGTGCGCATCCGCCAACGGCGTCTCTGTCGCTGCCAGGATTTCGCCACGAGGATCAGGGTCGGGCGGTGGCGTATTCTCGTCCAGCTCGCCCGTAGCCACCACCTTGGGCGGTTTAACGGTGGAACGCGCCGTGTCTTCATGCAAACAAATGTACTCAGCGATGGCACCTCGGGCAGCACGAAGATAGTGTGGGTGGGTAAACACGTTGTCCTCGAAGCGGATCGTGCGGAGGTAAGCCCGTAACGTCATTTTGCGCAGGCAGTACGAGTGGAAATCAAGCTGATCATCGTAAATGTCCTGCACAATCTTGTCCACTTGGTGGAATCGCTTGAGCGCCATAGCCTTCTCACCACGTCGGTCATGTGCCTCTGCGTCCTCGACCAGGTAGCCAATCGCTTGCATGTCCACCAAATCCACCACGGGATCTGCCATATCAGGCCTAGTAAACAGCTTGAGAACCTTGGCAGCTTCATCCACCTTGTTCACACGCAGTAAGTACTTGGCTGTCTTGGTGTTCAGGTACCGATCCTGTCCATCCAGTAAACGAGCTTCCTCCATCGCATCTGCCGCCGCTTCGTATGCACCACAGCGCTTAAGGACACGGGCCCGCGTCATGTGGAGTTCTGGCATCGAGGGTGTATGAGCCACGATGGAGTCAATGTACTGCAATGCCAAGGCAGGGCGTTGTGTGTACGAGTAGTGGTGTGCCAAGAAATACATCGCAAAGAGATACGACGAGGGAGGTTCCTGTGCGGCCTCCGCATTGCGTGGATCCCACGCCTGACGGAACGACTCAACAATCTCCTCGACCACATCTTGCTTTCCTGGCTGCGTGTAGAGTGATTTGACGTCGGAAAACAACGAAGGCACGTTCTTCACGAGCGCGCGTTCCAAGTACGACTTGGCATGGGTACGGAAAGCATCACCCTGTGCCACATCGAGTGCCATACGGCGCATGGCATTGGAGCGTGGGAACTGCGTTTGAAGCTCGACCAATTTGTCCAACCGTGTGGCCTCGGTCGAGACCAAGTCCAAGTATGCAGCAATCCAGTGCTTGTTGTCCGGATTGCGCTCGACCATACTGTACCACTTCGCGACTGCCTCTTCACGCCGGCCCACCTTTTCCAATGCTTGACCTCGCAAGACATCGGCCGCAGGTTCATCGACAATATGCCCTTTCTGGGCCTCCAGCAAGGAAAGTACACCCTCCGCATCGCCCAAGTCATGAAGGAGACTTGCATGGTACAAGACCACCTCCGAGTATTCGTAGTTATGCGGAGGAATGTTACGGCAAACGTCTTCGTAGCCTGCCAGCACACGGACAGCTTGTGTTTTGTTGTCAGCCAAATCATGCGCGATCGCTAGAGCGAGCCAGTTTGTACGAAGATGAGGCTGTGTACGAAGGATAACTAGGCGTGCATCGATCAGCGGCGCATAGTTACGCAGCTGCAGCTGCATGAAGGCTGATTCACGCACAATGTTGAGATTTCCACCTTCGATGCGCAGTGCCTGTGCATAACATTTCAGTGATTCTTCGTAGTTCCGGTCCATGCGATGAATAATGCCCAAAGCATGCCAGCAGATAAAGCTGGTTAGGTCATAACGAAGGCCAAGCTTGGCCAGTTGCACACCCTCGTCGCGCCGATGAAGAGAGCAGAGCACCAGGCCTTTGATGGCCAATGTCTCACCGTGGTTGGGCACTTTGCTCAAAATAGCATCAGCCGTTTTGAGTGCAGGCTTATACTTCTTCGTTTCGTACTCCTGCACGAGACGCGAGAAGAGCGTCCGCTCGCGCGTTGCAAGCTGCGGCTTTTTGGGCGGCATCCACAGAAAGGCGTCCTTCGATGGAGCGAACTGCAGCCGCAGCGCACAGGGCGGACAGGCCTCGCCTCACGTGATGATGATTACGGAGAGCATGCTTCACCCGACAAGGGACGTTCGAAATATTTTTAATGCCCAGCGTACGAGAGCGAACTAGGTACTATAATTCAAAAGTGGAGAGCCTGCGGAAGGAAGACTGGCAGCGTTAACCGCATCGTCCGACGTAGTATCCTTGCCTCTTCTCGTATCGTATAGCCTTTCTACCTGTAGAAATCAAGATATTCCTGCCCGTTTTTCGACTGTTTGGGTTCTCTTACCGGCTAGCACAGCGCCGTGGGCCGCACTCAGTCGGGCTCGTGGGTCTTTCGTAGCCTGTCCACGTGCAGAAGTGGAGTCGATTTTCTCCTACCGGCCGAGAGTTGATATTCCCAACCTATAGCTGGCTGCTCGGGGCCGAAACGTAAATGCCGCTCTAAGCAGCCCCTTTTTTTCTTCTGCACCCACTCCCTTTCCCATCTCCAGATTGGTGTTGCGCGAGCTTTGCGCACCTTTGCCACACGAATACTCCTTACGTTTCTTTGACTTTCGAGCTCGTGTGATAGACCAAGATGGTGAACTTTACCGTTGATGAGATCCGCGGTCTCATGGACCGCCCTACCAACATCCGTAACATGTGTGTTATTGCGCACGTCGACCACGGCAAGTCTACTCTGACTGACTCGCTGGTGTCCAAGGCCGGTATCATTGCCCACGCCAAGGCTGGTGACATGCGTTTCATGGACACTCGTGACGACGAGAAGGAGCGTGGTATCACTATCAAGTCCACTGCCATCTCGATGTACTTCCCGATGGACAAGGACGAGCTTGTGAACCTGAAGCAGCCGCACAACGGCAACGAGTTCTTGATCAACCTGATCGACTCGCCCGGTCACGTTGACTTCTCGTCGGAGGTGACTGCTGCTCTCCGTGTCACTGACGGTGCCCTTGTCGTTGTCGACTGTATCGAGGGTGTCTGTGTGCAGACCGAGACTGTCATGCGTCAGGCTCTTGGTGAGCGTATCAAGCCTGTGGTGTGTCTGAACAAGGTCGACCGTGCCCTGCTTGAGTTGCAGGTCGGCAAGGAGGACCTCTACCAGTCGTTCCAGCGTACCGTTGAGTCGGTGAACGTCGTTATCGCCACCTACAACGACCCCGTGCTCGGTGACTCGCAGGTGTACCCTGAGAAGGGTACCGTTGCCTTCGCCTCGGGTCTTCACGGTTGGGCTTTCACTCTGAGCCAGTTCGCTTCCCGCTACGCCAAGAAGTTCGGTGTCGACAAGGGCAAGATGATGACCAAGCTCTGGGGTGAGAACTACTTCAACCCGAAGACCCGCAAGTGGTCGTCGAAGGACACTGACGCTGAGGGCAACAAGCTCGAGCGTGCCTTCAACATGTTCGTTCTTGACCCGATCTACCGCATCTTCGACTCGATCATGAACTTCAAGAAGGAGGAGACCAACACTCTGCTCGAGAAGCTTGAGATCGTCCTTACTCCTGAGGAGAAGGACCTCGAGGGCAAGGCTCTGCTCAAGATTGTCATGCGCAAGTTCCTGCCGGCTGGTGACGCTCTCCTGGAGATGGTTGTCTTGAACCTTCCCTCGCCTGTGGTGGCCCAGCGCTACCGTGTTGAGACCCTGTACGAGGGTCCTCTTGACGACGAGTCGGCCATTGGTATCCGTGACTGTGACCCCAACGGTCCTCTCATGCTCTACGTCTCGAAGATGGTGCCGACCTCGGACAAGGGTCGCTTCTACGCTTTCGGTCGTATCTTCTCGGGTACCGTCCGCTCGGGTCCGAAGTACCGTATCCAGGGCCCGAACTACGTACCGGGTAAGAAGGAGGACCTGTTCATCAAGTCGGTGCAGCGTACTGTGCTGATGATGGGTCGTTACATTGAGCCGATTGAGGACTGCCCGGCCGGTAACATTTTGGGTCTGGTCGGTGTTGACCAGTTCCTGCTCAAGAGCGGTACCCTTACTTCGTCGGAGACCGCCCACAACATGAAGGTCATGAAGTTCTCGGTCTCGCCCGTCGTGCAGGTCGCCGTCGAGGTCAAGAACGCCAACGACCTGCCGAAGCTGGTCGAGGGTCTCAAGCGTCTGTCGAAGTCGGACCCGTGTGTGCAGTCGTGGATTGCCGAGTCGGGTGAGCACATTGTGGCCGGTGCCGGTGAGCTCCACCTTGAGATTTGCTTGAAGGATCTCGAGGAGGACCACGCTGGTATTCCGCTCAAGATTTCGGACCCTGTCGTCGGTTACCGTGAGACTGTCCAGGCTGAGTCGAGCATGGTGGCTCTGTCGAAGTCGCAGAACAAGCACAACCGTCTCTACGTCACTGCTCAGCCGATTGAGGAGGACCTCTGCAAGGAGATCGAGCAGGGCAAGGTTAACCCGCGTGACGACTTCAAGATCCGTGCCCGCTACCTCGCCGACAACTACGGCTGGGATGTTACGGACGCCCGTAAGATTTGGTGCTTCGGTCCTGAGACCACTGGCCCGAACCTGCTGGTCGATGTCACCAAGGGTGTGCAGTACCTGAACGAAATCAAGGACTCGTGTGTGGCTGCCTTCCAGTGGGCCACCAAGGAGGGTGTCTGTGCTGAGGAGAACGTGCGTGGTGTTCGCTACAACATCATGGATGTGACTCTCCACACTGACGCTATCCACCGTGGTGGTGGTCAGATCATCCCGACCACTCGTCGTGTCTGCAATGCCGCTGCTCTGCTGGCTCAGCCGGGTCTCCAGGAGCCGATGTACCTGGTCGAGATTCAGTGCCCTGACTCGGGTCTGGGTGGTATCTACTCGACGCTGAACAAGCGTCGTGGTCAGGTGTTCAGCGAGGAGCCTCGTGTCGGTACTCCGATGGTCACTGTCAAGGCCTACCTGCCCGTTAGCGAGTCGTTCGGCTTCAACGCTGACCTTCGTCAGGCCACTGGTGGTCAGGCTTTCCCGCAGAGTGTGTTCGACCACTGGGCCCTTATGAACGGTATCGCGAGCGACAAGACCGGCAAGCTTTACGAGCTGGTGAAGTCGATCCGTATCCGCAAGGGTCTCAAGGAGGACGTGCCAGACCTGAACGTGTACTACGACAAGCTCTAAACGTCTCGAAGGAGTGTATACTCTTTGGAGAGCCCGGAAAATGTTCTCGGTAGTGTTCATGTCGCGTACACGGCATGAAAGCGTTCCGTAGCAAGTAAGCGTATTCGTTTCTTGTCGTCTTGTTTTCTTTGTGGCATGATCACTTGGATGTATACAAATTGCGCCTGTCTAAAAGTACGGGGTCTACTGCCGTGTGTATATAGAGAATACTTAGCGTTCCAAGTCTGGTGATCCGTTAGTGGTCGTTGCATGACATGACATACTGATGTTGTTACCAAAGCGCGCATACAGCTTGACTTTCAGTTCTTCCATGCCTTGCTCGCATTCGTCCATTTGTGCCTGCAGATGCGCGAGCTCTTCGTCGGCGCGTTGGGTATCTTTCTCGAGCTGAGCAAGAGCATCAGCTTGCGGCATGTGTACATAGGTATCGCCAATTTTGTAAAGAATCGTTTCATCGTCCATCAACTCGAGCTCCAAATTCAGATCTTCCAGATCTTCACGCTCTCTGCGACGCGCCTTAATTTCGTCTTCCAAATCGGAAAACATGGCATGAAGTCGGCTGAAGCGATTGATGCTTTGCTGATCTTCCCACGTCACTTCGACGTCGTTGTCGCTCTTCTCGTCTAGCTGTACGGTTAGTGAAGCTCCACGTACCATCTGCATTGGACAAGATAGATCGCCGTGATCGCGCAGAGGAAACGGAGGGGCGATGCAGACGATGCCGTCGAGCCTACGCGCGGCCAGGCAGGCCGCCGCGCGTTGGCGCTTAGTCAGCGACTACGTACGCTGGAGGTGTCGAGAGGCTGCAGCCAGCAGCCTCCAGAGTGACGGCCGCTATGTCGAATATCGACAAGCAGATGCTCAAGCAGTGCCGTGCCTTCATCCTCGATGGAGAATGGGAGAAGGCTCGGGATAAGGCGTACGTACCCGACATGTACTAATGGCAGGGCCGCAATCTTGCAGTTTGATGCAGACAATTACAACGCGTAGGTGATGTGTAGTACTGACCAGGCAGTCTTGTCTTTCAAGGTCTCGCCTTGTTACATCTAGGGCAAGGATCGGAATCGGAATCGTCCTATGCAAAAGCCACCAAACTACATCCTGACCAGCTTTTGGCGTGGCAGGGTTTAGAAAAGGCGTACGAAACACAGAGTCAGTGGGACAAGCTTGGTGATGTGCTGGAGCGCATGGCAGATTTGTACCGAAAAGCGTATGTATTCTTGCGCTGACGCCAGGGATGATGAAGAAAAGTGTGCTACGTGCCTTGGCAAACTGGTAGCGATTACACGTGAGCATGGCACACGCGATGATGTATGTACTCCTGTGGCTGACCCCTCAGTTGATTCGCATTTTGCTGTTTTTTGTACCATCCTCGCGCTTCTATGCACTCCTCTCTACGCTGCCCATACCCGATCAAGCAGCGCCATCGAGCACTGGCAGCTACCCTGTACAAATGATCATGCATGCTGACAGCCTTACCACGGCGCAAGAGCTTTTGCGTCTTTGTGAAGAGCGTGATGAGGATGAAATTCATACCACGTTCCAGAAACAAAAAGGGACCATGGAAGCTATAAAGATGGGTGTGGGGGCCTACAAAGAGCTTGTCGTTATGCAAGTCCTTCTGCGATCCTCTGTAGCAGAGCTCTTTGAAGTCATTCTTGCGCATCCTTATGCGGATGATGAGCTGCGTCGCGCTACCGAGGCGAAGCAGCTACGCTACTACCACCGACTAGCGCTAGCTATGCCGAAGCGTGGACCTCATGCGGATACCCTGCTTCACAAGCAGCTGCGGGATAAGACCAAGGAGCTGGCCCAAGGCATGGTCGTCCTCCATGTGCCTGACGAATTGGCCTGGCGAATTCACTTGGAATGGATCGATGCTTCGCTGGCTGCCTTACCATACGATACGCTGCGGCAGTACGTGGCTCTCTTCCCTTCCTCCGGCCGCGCCTACTCGTTCCGTGCGTTGCTCCGATTGGTCGACGACGAAGCGTACCTCCGCGACGTCAAAGAACATGAAGAACAGTTGGCTGAAGAAACAGACTTGCTGCAGCTGGCTATGGATGGCATGGAGCGTAACAAAGACTCGACATTGTGCGCTCGCATTGCTGGCCTCTTTTTCCTCTTGGACAAAGACTATGGCTCTGCTCTCGATACACTCGTGCAGGCCCATACATTGGTCCGCGATCGCGAAAAGGCGCTGAATATCACACTATACAAAACGGATTTGGAGCTTTCGACGCAGCTCGCTACGGCCTACACACACTTGCATGCACCTAAGCACCACAAGGAGGCCCTGGAGCTTCTGGGCCATGTGCTTACGAAGCAGGCACGCAACATCGATGCACTACTGGCGCAGGCGTATATCCAGGCCCACCGACGTCAATGGGCCGCGGCGCGTGATGGATTCCAGCAGGTGAAGACACAGCCTGTGAACCTGGCGCCGTCTCATGGCCGTCGCCTCGCGGCACTCGCGCTGTGTGCGGACTACCATATGGAGGCTGAAGCGGAGTATGGCCGTGTTCTTATTGAGCTGAACGACTTGGACAGAGCCCGTGCTACTTTGACCGGCCTCCTGGAGCGTTGCGATCATGATGCGAATGTCTTTGGCGCCGAGTTCCGGGCGCGGGTATGGCACCAACTCGGACGGTGTTTGTGGGCGATGGGCGGCGAGTACCGTACGTCACCGGCGCATGCATACAAGTGCTTTATCGAGAGTATTCGGCGCTTTGGAACGTATGCGCCAGCGTTTACCTCGCTTGGTGTGTACTACGAGAGCGCTGTGACGCCCAGTGATGTCGTGCGTGCGTCGAAATGCTTCCAGCGCGCGTTTGAGCTTGATGCGAGTGAGTACGAGGCAGGCCGGCACTTGGTCGAGCATTTTGCTGCGCAGCGCGAGTGGGGTCTTGTGGATGTGATTGCGCGACGTGTAGCCGAGGCGGAAGGGGGAACCGATGTGCTCAGTGGGAAAGCGACTGCCGCGCATGTGACGCAGAATCCATGGGTATGGAAAGCGATCGGTATGGTGGAAGCGCAGCAACAGCATGCAGATGCCGCGATTGCTGCGTTCCAAGTGAGTCTACGTGCCTCGCCGCGCGATGCCGATGCATGGGTCCGTCTCGGTGAAGCGTATGTAGCGTCCGGTCGTCCTGTTGCTGCGCTCAAGACGTATGCGCGTGCGCTGGCCTTGATGGAGACCTCCCCGGTGCAAGAGCAGTGGCATGTCTATTACAACATGGCCGAGGCACAGCGTCGATTGGGTCGCTATGAACTAGCGCTCTCTCTTTTGGAGCAGGTGCTGCGCATGGCGCCGACGCAGTATGGCGTGTGTGTGGTGCTCGCCGAGACGTACCTGGCTCAAGCCCGGCAGCTCCTGGCCAGTGGATACAGTTTCCGGGCCGTGGAGGCACTGCACTGTGCGATCACCCAAGCTGCGCAGGCTCTGGAGTCCGACAAGCTCCTTCGTACCGCCTGGAAAGCAGCGGCTGATGCATGCTACCTACTTTCGAAGATTGATAGCCTTCCGGCCGACGACGCGCCGGACGCACCGGCCTCGTCCATGGCATCGATGCTGGCCAACCTGGTCCTGTTGCTGGGCCAGCAAGATTTGGACGCGCGGTTGCAGGGCATCTCTGTGGTGCAAGCCTCGCACATGTCCCGTGCCGCCTCCACGCACACAGGTACACTGTACCCGCACGAGTACCTTGAGCATGCGGCGCTCATGTACAAGTTCTTGGCGCTGGTGCATGCCATGGACGAGCATGCATCCGTGCTGGCCTGGGCTGATTTGGCGACGGCCTTGTGCCGCCTGGCTTGGGTCCTTCCTCTTCCGAGCACCTTGGCACGCATGGGCGACGTGCCCATGGACGCCGTTGAACGACGAGCCTCCCTGGCCCGAACGCAGGCCATGGAGTGCACCCACTTGGCTCTGTCGTCGAAGCCACATGCTCGGCTGTGGGTCCTGCTTGGCAACCTGTACTTCTCGCACGATGCGGCCATGGCACAGCATGCATACATCATGGCCATAGAGGCCAATGGGAAAAGCCCTGTGCCATGGACCAATCTCGGCTTTTTGTACCTGCAAGCAGGTGATTTGGCCTTGGCCGAAGAAGCCTTTGTACGGGCTCAGACCATTGCACCGGATTGGCCAGCAAGCCGGCTCGGTGCCGCGTTGGTCCACCGCCTGCACCAAAACAGCGACACACGCCTATCCACGCGGCTCCTGGAGCAGGCGTACACCCTCTCTGATGGTGCATTGCTTGAAGCGGACTATGGGTTCGCCTTGGCCCTATGGGAACGCGTTGGCCAAGGCGCGCACGTGCCCTCTGTGCGCATGATGCCAGCCATGCTCGCGTTGCAGCATTATATGGCCCGTATGCCCCATGATGACGCGGCCTGGCACCTCAGTGCCTTGCTAGCCGAGCAGCTAGGCGGTGCAGCGCTCGCCGCGCAGCGTATTGAGCGGGCATCGACCGTGCTGGAAGCCGAGTATGAAGCGACAGAAAGCACCTCCAGTGCGATTCGATACGGTCTTGCGTCGACCAATCTGGGCCGCATTCGCTTGGCCAATGGCGATATCGATGGCGCTATTGAGGCCTGGGAGGCTGCGAACGCGCTCCTGGAAGAAGAGGCCGAAGAGGCACATACGCCCTCTGCTGCGGCCACTCGCGTATGGTGTGCCATTGGCCTAGCTCACGCCCACTTTTTGCAGGGCGAGTACGATGCTAGTGTGCAGGGTATGCGCGAGATTTTAGCGGCCCTACCTGCCTCCGAGGTGCGAGACTCCGAGAGGCCTTCTATGCATGCTTGTGCAGCTGTGCTGCTCGCGCGTATGCTATGGCATATGCAAGCCCCCGTGACAGAGGCTGCGAGTGTGCTTGATCATGCGTACGTATCATATCCACTTACCCCAGCTTGACGATCGCCCCCCAAAATGCTCTACTTATCACGACACGCGCTGCTCTAGCAGCTGTGCAAGGCGACGTACCACAGTACAATGCTATTCTCGCCCAGTACGTCACACCGCTGCCGCCCGACATACAATCGTCGCTGCGTAACGCTGCAAAGACGTCGGTTCTGAGCATGCTGCATCTGGCCGCGGCCTTTGATACACAGACCCTCGTGCAGTACTTGGCCTCGTCGTTTACGCGTGCTGATCATACGACACATACGCGCGTCTTGGTCGGCCAAACCATGCTACGTCTAGCGGCAAGTTGTTATCTACAAGGCAAGCCTCTGCCTGCGTTGCCCATGCCGGAAGGCCAGGATGGCTCCCTTCTTGCTATTGCACGCACGATCCTACATACGGTGGAGTCGCAGGCAGACGAGCAGGGGGCAGCTCACTGGGCCACAGCGCAGTGGTTGGTGGGTTTGGCCGAGTTCTTGGCCTCGCAGTCGGAGGCCGGGTCCGCGCCTGCGCCTACGCCTGCTGCCTCCTTGGACGCCGCCCGCCGGCATGCGACCAACGCGGTACATCTACAGCCATGGCACCGCGTACATTGGGACGCACTTCGTGCCACGATGCATGCTTAGTCATCTCCATAGACGCCCAAGGGGGTGGCCGTCGTTTCTACCGTGATCGCCCACGCGCACGGTTACCTCTGCGAGTCGTGGGCATGGCTGTCCTCGTCGCGGGGATGACAGGCGTATGCCTGGCCTTCCTTTTGGGCATGTATGCCATGCCATCCTTTTGTGTGTGGAGTGCATGGTGTACGGATGACGTGGAGATGGTCATCGCCAGCACGGCCCTGCCTACTTCGCCATGGCGGGCATTATGGCGGACAGCGACGTATGCCATTCGGTACATGGACCTGGCCTTCCCAGCGCTCGTTGTGTCCCTTGTACTTAGTGTACTCGCTTTTGGCATGACGTACCTGGCTATTCAGTATGCCCAATCGGCCTTTGTCGTTGGTGGTCTGGGCGGCGTGGACTTACTCAAACGCGATCTTCTTCCACACGGGCAGAAGCCGCCGGTGATTCCAGAGTCGTTGGGCCTGGTGTGTGCGGTGATCTATTTGCTCATATTGGTCGCATTTATTCCTTTCCGGTACTTTGGTGCGAACATGTATGGCCTTCCATCAAGCTTGGCGGGCGACGTCTACAGCTCGCCAGGTCTCCACCAGGACCTGGCCTCGTTCCTCTCTGCCCTCTTGTCTGTGTACTCCGGCGCCTTTTTGGGGTTTGTCGACGATGTCCTGGACATTCGGTGGCGGTACAAACTGCCGATCCCCCTGTTGAGCAGCATTCCTATGCTGGCCGTGTACATGGCCGGCGGTGGGACTACCGGCGTCGTGATTCCTGCTTGGCCGCCGATTCTTCGCGACGTACTAGGCTGCTCGACCATGGAACTCGGTGCTCTGTATTATGTGTTCATGATGATGCTAGCGACGTTTTGTACCAACTGCATCAACATCCTCGCGGGGATCAATGGTGTGGAGGTCGGGCAGGCGACGGTGATTGCCCTGAGCATTTGTGTCAACGATTTGCTGTACCTAGACATCCCGGCCGTCGTACGGGCGGCGCTGATCAACAAGACGCCCATTCCATATCCTGTGGATATCTTGCGTGGCTACCATGGCAGCCAAGACTTGGTGATTCGTCACTTGTTTAGTCTGCATCTCCTTCTGCCCTTTATCGGCACCAGTCTTGCGCTGCTGGCTTGGAATCGATACCCAGCTCGGGTCTTTGTCGGTGATACGTACTGCTATTTTGCCGGCATGGTTCTCGTGTCTTGTGGCGTGTTAGGCCACTATTCCAAGACTCTTCTTCTCTTCTTCCTCCCCCAGATCTTCAATTTCCTTTTGAGCTGTCCACAGCTCTTTGGCCTCGTCCCATGTCCTCGCCATCGGGTACCCTTTGTCGATGTGCCATCTGGTCGCCTGTACCCATCCAGCGTGCGTTTGCATGCGTCCACACCACGTGTGACACATGCCCTCCTTGCTCTGCTAGAGTCGTGCCGGTGTGTTCGCCGCCTGCGCAATGAGACGGGCCAGGTGGTCGGCGTCACGAACATGACGCTTTTGAACGCTGTGTTGGTAATGGCAGGAGCACGCGCTGAGACGGTATCGCGAGCCGATCTGTCAGCGTCCCTCGCTGTGGCCGACCCAGCGCTAAAACCAAGGGCCGCTCGCTCGACTTTATACCTCACTGAACGTGGATTGTGGTACTGTACCATGCTTGTCCAAGTTATTGGCTCGGTCATTGCGTTCGCTATACGCTACCGCCTATCCTCTGTACTCTTCCCATCTACGTAGATTGCAAGTAGGCTTGCACTTTGGCCAGCGCCTTGTATCGATGCGAAACCTAGCATGTGAATACACTTCCACGACCTACCTCGTTCTTCTCAGCGCCATCCATCTCCGCAAACCTGTAGAATAGGTTAGAGGCTTGCATACATACGTCTTTCCACGTCCTTCCACCTCGAACACAGGGTCCCAACCAAAGTGCGTAGGACCCCGCGGCGGGACAATGCGGCCAGGCGTACGTCCCTCAAATACGATGGGCTCCGATTCAGGCCCCTCGCAGTAGGCAAACGTGCACACTGCCTCGGCGCGCTTGTCGTCAAAGCCAGCCAGCAACGTGTTCAGGCCTGGGGTGAGTCTTACGCCGACGTACCGTCCAAGCCCAGCTTTTGCAGAAAGTCTTTGATGTAGGGACCTGGAAGACCTTGCAATGCCTGAAAGCACAATGCCGTATCTTCGGTAAGACACGGGCCATTCAGCTGCTTTGCAGCAGCACGGCACTTGGCGAGGGCCACTTGTTGTGTGTTGCCCTGCACTTCAGGTACTGCTATGAGTACATGAGTACGTACCATCCAACTCCCGCGACTCTAGCGTCCATGCGGTATCGCCCGATTTTTCCAGAATCGCTTTGACTTCACGAAGCTTGTTTTTGTTGCCTGTGACAAACGTGATAACGCGCGACATGGTAGGATCAAAGTGGAAGGACGAAATGCCTTGCTGCCGTCGAGTGGAGGCGGAGCGGTAGGGCCGTTTTTTTCTTGTACGTGCGACGCTACAATGAGCGAGAAGAAGGCGACGTCGTCTGTGCTCCCTGTCGATGCCCCGCTGGACGATGGCGCGCCGGACCATACGTTTGGATCTAGGACACTGGATGCAGATCGAGACGTGTGGTCGCACAATGCATGGTACGTAGAAGCAGCACGCTGATGGTAGGGATCACGTTGTGCCGCCCAAAGAGCATCTCGATATGGTGCAAGGGCTGCTAGAGAAACAAGCAGAGACGCGTGTAAGTGACGAAGACGCGGAAGTATACCACAGCCATGCCTTCCAGTACTGGGACACATTTTATTCGCGCCACGAAAATCGATTTTTCAAGGACCGCAAGTGGCTCTCCCTCGAGTTTCCTGAACTCATTGCTGCCACCAAAGCCGATGCACCGCCCACGACAATTCTTGAAGTCGGGTGTGGAGCTGGAAACACTGTCTTTCCTCTTTTGAGCATCAATGAGAACCCGCACTTACGTTTGATCGCGTGTGATTATGCGCCGCAAGCCGTGCAAGTGGTCCAAAGTCAGTCGCTGTATCAGCATCCGCCGGCCGGTTCCTGCGAAGCGTACGTGTGGGACCTAAGCACAGGCGCTACCTCGGACGCTGAGGCTCGCTCATCACGACTACCGCCGAATGTCGAGCCTGGTAGCGTCGATATCGTAGTGCTGATCTTTGTGTTTTCGGCGCTGCATCCGCGCGAGTGGGCAGCGGCAGCTGAGAACGTGTACCGCATGCTTAAGCCACGTACAGGCCTGGTGCTTTTCCGTGACTATGGTCGACACGACTTACCACAGCTTCGATTCAAGAAGAATCGCATGCTAGACGACAATTTCTACGGTACGTTGCCCTGATATTCTTACATGACAGTCCGTGGCGATGGCACACGAGGTACGCCCTGTTTCCTACTTACGCAGTGTACTTTTTCACCCCTGACGAATTGTATGGCATCTTTGGCGCTGCGCCGCGCGATCAGACGGACAGCGCTGCGCGCTTCGCCACGCATCAAATGGCGGTCGATCGCCGATTGCTAGTCAACCGAAAAGAGCGGAAACAGATGTACCGCGTATGGATGCAGGCCAAGTTTCAAAAACAGGCCTAGTCCTTTGTTATACAAATAGGTGTACAAGACTATCCCTACAATGTCATAATCTCATGCAGCAGTAGCGTCTCCGTGCTGGACGAAAACCAACCACGATCGCCAGAGCTTGTAAGGAGGAAGCGTGCACAGGGGTCGATTACTGGGTAAGTTTCATAGGGTACGTACAGATTTGCGAGATCGTGCCACCATGATGCCCTGCGACGATTTTGAACGGCACATCCACGTCGGCAGAAGCTTGCATATCCCACAAACGGACATTGTCAAAGGAGCCGCTGCGGTGTCAGTCATGGGGTTTATACGTACCAAACAATGTGCCGGTTGTTCGGCATCATGGCTACGCTGCTCACGGGCCCACTACCGCGTGGGAGATGCAGCGTATTCACGTGTTTCGGCGCACGTCCAAACTGGGATCGATCCACCGTATCTGGACGACTAGCATCGGGGAGCATCCGCACATCCCATTCTTCTACCGTCTCGTTGCGTCGCCCGACATAAATCTTATCACCAGCGTGGTTCCAGCACACACCGGCACACCATGGCGGCGTGCCTTGGGGAAGGGCCAACGCTCGGACGCCATGCTTGTTTTTGGTATCTACACGGCGATCCCAGAGCAGTACTTGGCCGGAGAGAGTGCTTGTCAGCATCACATCACTGCTGAATGTCGATACATCCGCATCGTACTGCCAGGAGACATTCATCGAGCCAAAAAGAGGTTTCGGCAGCGACTTGGTCACAGTTTCTTTGAGCGCCGGCGTGGGGTTTGAGGCGGTAGGGGCCTTCGGCGCGTCATCAGCACGCTGTCCAGGCAATACCAAAGAAATCCCAGTGCTCGTGGGCTTGGTGGGCAACGTAAGCTTGGCATCGGCAGATGTCTCTGCCTTGGTCTCTTTGGCCAGTGGCTCGTCCATGTCGGTATCGCCATCCGCATCGCCATCCTCCTCCTCTTCATCCACATGCATCTTGTCTTCCACCCCGTCTTTGTCTTCTTCATCACCAAAGAGCGAGTCGTTGTCTGCTTCGCCTTCTGCCTCGCCGTCTGCATCGCGATCGGAGGCCAACGCAGGGTCCTGCTCGTCAGACTTGTCTGAGCTTGTTTCCTCGGCTAGGGTGCGCTTAAGCTCTTTCTCCAGCTCGTCGTCCGCCTGCGGCGACGAATCTTTGATGAGCGACATGTCCACATCCAACTCGTCGTTCGCTTCTTCTGGCGACGAGGCCCATGACGAGGGGTAGGGCGTGCCTGTAGGACGAAACACCACATCGGAGATCTGACCAGAATGACCCTCATAGGATCGGACAATCTTGCCAGTCTGCAAATCCCATTGCTATCGCTGTAAGTATAGCACCATACGTACGTGCACACCTCGATCCCAACCTCCGCTTAGGAGGCAGGTCTCTGTAGGATCGAGTGCTAGGGCCGATACGGGGCCTTTGTGCTGCCGAAATACATGGCGGGTCGACCCAGGCCCATGCCGCAGGCCCCATAAATTGATGTGGCCTGCCTCGCCGCCGCTAACGCCCCAAAGGGCATCGCGTTGGCACGCCAGGCTGTGCACAGGGCTGTAGGGCACATCGCGTGCCTGCTGCATGTCCTCGTCCGTTTCCCAGTGTGAATGGCCCCACCAGGTTGTTAGCACACCACCTTTGGACACGCCTTCCACAAACGTGTTGCGCAGGTTTTGTGTTAGCATATTCTTGCCATTCAAACTGGCAAACAGGTCATACCATCGTACATAGCCATCAGCCCCACCTGTCAATAGGATACTCGCATCGAGACTCATGGTCATCGCATGGATAGGCGCACCATGCGGCGCGGCACCGACTGGATCCACGACATAACCACGCTGCGTCGTACGTGCTTCGTCACTTGGATGGAATTCTGCACGTCGTCGCTGAACCGCTTTGATATATTCATCCATGGTACTCGGGACCTTTCTTGGGCGTATGGCCGTCTCAACCATAGCGGTGGTACCCGCCACGGCGTCTGCCGTACGAGGTTCGGCCATCCAAAGACACTCACACGGAGCCCCAAGGCCTTCGCAAGACAATGCGCTGCGCCGTACGACGTACGCGGAGTACGATAGTGTCACGTGGTAGAGCGAACAGCAACGTCGTCCTCCTCTCTCCGTGGCCTATCCACAAGCTTGTCATACATATATCATTAGACTATACATGAATCCATGTACGAGATAGCGCTTTGTGCCCTCCCACCAGAACTACCAGGCCCACAGCACCCACCGCAGGAAACACTGTCCAAACAGGCGCGCCAATCCAGTAGAGCACAGCCAGGAGTTCCACCAGGCACACAGAGGCCAAGACGATGGCCGTCGACACGTCCGGCAGAGATAGTTTTCCGACCAGAGGACGACACAAGGACAAAAGCAAAATCCATGGTCCGATCAGAACAATCAGCGCAATAAGAAGACTCGCCATGGCGGGTGGCATCGTTTGCCAGGGCTCCACTTGGAACGTGTGCTTGTTCGCTGGCCAGGGCAAGAATCCATCTTTTTTACCAGCCTCAACCCGTACTGAAGGCTTGACTGTTCCTTTCAGTCGAGAAACAAGCGAGGAAGGGAAATGGATACGCAGCAGAGGCAGAGCCAACGGCGTTACTACTGATTCGGCATCCTGTGCAAACGAGCCAAGCATCAACTGAAGCTCAAACGTTTCATCCACGCTAGCCCCCACCAACGACTTTTTCAACGCTTCGGGAAGACGGTCCATACGGATACTCCACGACGCACTAGCTTTAGAGCTGCGCAGTTTCAGAGGCCAGACAGCCGGAGCTGCGCTGGAGGGCGAGGTCGAAGGCTGCAGCACGATCCATGCCTGATGCGGGAGGTACGAGCCAGTGGCCTTCTCCCCGTTAGATAACGAGGCAGCAAAGTTAACTCGGATAATGTCATCCGGCTCTGTCGTAATCAGCTTCGGCTCGGCGGGGCATTCCTTCTTGTTTGCATAGGACATACGAAGACGCGAGCCGCCATCAAACGATGCGACGCTAACAACCATATCAGAAACATCATAGGACAGAGACGACGCAGTCACCCCCACTACAGCGAGGAGCAGCGTGAGCGCAGCAAGGGCCCATAGCCGCATACTGCTCGCAGCTGCGTGCATAGCGATGTAGAAAGCGATCGTCCCTTGTCACGTTGACCTCGTGAGATGTGGCCCTTGCACACAGTTGCCTAATAGGGCATGTGAGACAGGTCTGCATGCTACGTTTTGATAGGCTGGATTCCATTGTGGGGCTTACGTCGGCCAGCGTGGCGGCCGGGGCCAAGGGCGTTGCGTGGATTGCAGTCCGACGCACCGGCTTGTCTTTTCACACTACCTACAAACACTATGAGTGAAGCTCAGTTCAAGAAGGCCGTTGAGATTATCCGTAACCTGCCTAAGGACGGTCCGGCTAAGGTCAGCCAGTCTCAGCAGATCAAGGTCTACGGTCTGTACGTATTATTATGGAAGGGCGTGGTCTTCTGACACAATAGTTACAAGCAGGCTACGGAGGGTGACTGCAACATCTCGCGCCCGGGTATGCTCGACTTCACTGGCCGTGCCAAGTGGTATGTACTGATTTCTGGCATACACTAACACAACAGGGATGGCTGGAATGCCGAGAAGGGCAAGTCGAAGGAGCAGGCGATGAAGGACTACGTTGACGTGTTCATGGAGGTATGTGCTATGACAGTAGTATGGTGCTTACAAACAGATCTTCAAGCCCCTGGAGGGTAGGTGCCATATGCGTGATAGAATACTCACCGTACAGATGATGCCGAGTACGCCAAGTACATCCAGGAGGTCCAGAACGCTGCCTAAACTACGTCGTGCTCTCCATTACCCAGCAATCCGTTCTATCGCCGTTCTATCGCTATATAGAATTAGATATTGCTGCACAAAGGGACTCAATTTTATACATTGTATGTAGGGTATCGAAAAGGCATTGCTCTATCCATGGACGTTAGTCCCAGTCCAGATCCTCGTCATTGAACTCCATAAGCGAAGGGGGTATAGTGTTCGATGATGACGCAGCCTGGCTGCAGTTCATTCGGCCCTGTGCGATATTTTGTTGGAATTCCATAGCCGCTGCCTGGTATCCACCATGATCGATTGCTTCACCTTCTTTCGATGTCGCTGCACGTTCTTTCACGCGATCATCGCGAATCATACTGGAAAAGTATTAGGCCAAAGTAAAGGAAAAACATACCTTGGATCTACGCGCCCATCTTCGCCTTCTACTTGGAGCATAAGCTGTGGCGTCTTTGCCTCAATTACCTGTATATGAGGAGAGATGCGCATACATACGTAGTGGTTATCGCAGTGAGGGCAGTACTCGTCAGCTGCTTCATACTGTGCCATATCTTTACGGAACGCCCGTCGGCATTTTTTGCAGAGGAATGCCAACTCGGTTGTTTTCGCTAGTGGATGCGACTGTGTTTCAGCATGGCATTGAGGGCACTAAAGTGAGCTAGCTGGGCACAACGTACATCAAAAAACTTTTTGCAGCAGGGAGCTCTAATAGCTACTTGTGCATTCAATATATGCTTGCTGGGCTTTGTTAGCTCTCTTCTCCCCCTTCTCACGTACCACATGACGCGTATATCTTCCGTGTTGGAAACGACGCGACTGCGGCGTGCGTTAACATTTATATAAACATGTTTTTAGCCCAGTAGGTCAACCTAGAATAAAAATCGGCTCATCGCCAATTCGTGGGGCTTTTTATCACAGGGGACAACCACCATGTCGAACAGCGCGCCAACAGACGAGCTGCATTTTGTTATTGGCGGTGCAGGTTTCCTTGGATCCCACATTCTCAAGGCCCTTGTTGGCCGTGGTGAGAGTGCTGTAGCGTCCTTCGACCTGCGTGAGGTGGAAGAGCCCATTCAAGGCGTCCGATACTTCGAAGGTGATCTCACGAACAGAGACTCACTTGCTTCGGCTGTAGCAAAGGCGAAGGCAAGCACAAACAACCCGAATAGGTCCGTTGTGGTCTACCACACGGCCAGTCCTGTGGCTGGTTTGGATGCTGGTGTATACGAAAGGGTCAACGTAAACGGTACCTTGGTCGTGATCGATGTTTGCACAGATGCGCAGTATAATATCAGCAAGCTCATCTTCACGTCGAGTGCGGGAGTAGTTTTCAGCGGACACGATCTTATTTACGTGGATGAACGTCTAACCTATCCTAAGAAGCCTCTGGATGCCTACAATGACACGAAGGCACGGGCTGAGGCTGCTGTCCTGAATGCCAATAAAGAGAATGGTCTGCAGACGGTGGCTCTCCGACCAGCTGGTATCTTTGGCCCTGGCGACCGCCAAGCTTTGCCTGGCTTTTTCAAGGTCTTGGAGGACAAGCGTACAAAATGGCAGATTGGCGACAACACAAACCTGTTTGACTGGACGTATGTGGGCAATGTGGCTCACGCTCATTTGCTGGCTTCCGATAGCCTCGGTGTGCGTTCGCATGTGTCTCGTCCGCCGTCTGCGTACCCGGCTACGTTGCTTACGGAAGAGCACTTGCCCATGCTTATTGGTGAGCATGAAAAGGCTGCAAACCGCGAGGTGCCAACCTCGATTGACCGTAAAGATGTGTCTCCACCGACCAAGGATTACTGCCGGTCGGTGAAGCCGCTCATTGATCTCTCCACGGTGGAAGCTGTGGACATGCGCCCTGTATTCCGTAACCGTTTTGACCCTCTTTTCCATCATGCCAACCCTGAATCCGTGTGCGGTGGTAACCCGCGTCCATCCGTGGAGTCTTTGGCGCACTCTGAATTGATGGCCGCAGGCGAGGCGTTCTTCATCACGAATGCGCAGCCTATTCCTTTCTGGGACTTCCCTCGCGCTTTGTGGTACCGTTACAATGGGCATGTGGATGACAAGGACTCGATTTTCGTTATGAAGCTTTGGGTGGCCCTTCTACTTGCTTTCTTTGCAGAGCTGTTCTCCAAACTGACTCGGCGTCCTGTTCAGTTTACGCGTTACCGTGTCACGTACACAGCTTGTGCCCGTTACTACAACATTGAAAAGGCGCGCCGTGTTATTGGATACGAGCCTATCTACGGCCTTGAAGAGGGTATCCAGCTGAGTGTGGACTGGTGGAAATCTATTCACCCGCCTGTCAAGGAGTACCCTGGCGAGTCGGCCAAGACCAAGTAAGGTCCATAGTCTCTCACGTGATCATTCATTTCTCGTAGCTGCACGGTCCATATGAGACGCACCTTGACAATGGACGAGAGGCCCGGTGAAACGTTGAAACGACCTTCACGATGGGACCAATCTCGTTCATGTACGGGGAAGGAGTGCGATCTAAATCAGGTTGAATCGCAAGCGAAAGAAGCTGCAAGAGCGGCTTTGCTGGCCAAGCGTCGTCGCGTCTCAGCATCGAGCGAATCCCTTGATCTCTCTTCGATCAAGTCTATACCACCCATTCCGACGCGATCCATGCATCCAATCATTCAAGGTTGTCATTCAATATCCGAGTATGAGAAACTGAACCGCATTGAAGAAGGGTCCTATGGTATCGTGTCACGGGCCAGACATAAAGCAACGGGCACTATTGTGGCATTAAAGCAACTAAAATTGGAGAAAGAGAAATATGGCTTTCCGATTACGAGTCTGCGTGAAATACATACATTGATGGAAGCACGGCATCCACATATTGTTGAATTGAAAGAAATGGTCGTGGGCCAAACCTTGAATCAAATCTACTTGGTGATGGAGTTTGTGGAGCATGACATGAAAACCCTTCTTTCGAGAATGCGGACGCCATTTCTACCGTCTGAAATCAAAACATTACTGCAGCAAATCCTATCTGCTGTCGCACTTATGCATTCGAGATGGATTGTGCATCGAGATTTAAAAACCTCGAACTTATTGATGTCAAACCATGGTCGCATTAAAATCGCGGATTTTGGACTTGCACGTATGTTTGGAGACCCTCTAGAGACAATGACAAGTCTAGTTGTGACTCTGTGGTATCGAGCCCCTGAGCTTCTGCTGGGTGCAAAACTTTATGATACCGCTGTGGATATGTGGTCCGTGGGTTGTATTTTCGCGGAACTTCTTCATAAAGAGCCTTTGTTCCCCGGCAAAAATGAGGCCGATCAACTGGCTCGAATCTACCGCTTGCTTGGACAGCCTACCAAGGAGACCTGGCCTGCTTATGACACCCTACCAAATGCCAATGCTCGGATTCGTGCTCCCTCAAGAAGTAGTTTAAAACATCACTTTCGTTATTGTTCCGATGCAACGATTGATTTATTGCAACGAATGCTCACGTACGATCCTACCAAACGGATTACAGCTGAAGAAGCTCTGCATCATCCCTACTTTCAAGAATCGCCTGCCCCTGCTCACCCGGATAGTTTCGGAAGCTTTCCCTCTATCGCAACGGGGGGCAGCAAGACAAAATATGTTAGTCCAGAGGCACCTCAACGACGGCCCAGTAATAGCGCAGCGTATCCTCTGCAATTTGACATGTAGTAGTAAATGTAACACTAAACACCTTATTCGCTCAAATTCTGGCTAGCCTTCCCATCCTCCACACCGCCAACCATCTGACTTGACCATGTCGCTTCTTCTATCTCTGTTTCGCGGAGCTCGTTTGTCCACCAGTCAGGCATGGCGTTCTTCTACTCTAGCCCCCCTTCGTCCATTTCATGCCGCTACAACTCTTTTGGATGCTTCCTCGCCCGAGGAGAAGCAACAAACTATTGTCCGAATTCTGACAGAAAAGTTCCAGCCATCTGATCTTCAGGTGCAAGATGTAAGCGGTACGTATTCTTGTCGACTTAACGTAGCAAGGAGGTTGTGGCTCCTTTTTTGCCATTATGATCAAGGCCAAAGCTTTCTCTGGAAAATCCACCATCCAGTCCCACCGCTTGGTGAATAAGGAAATCAAGGAGGTGATCCAAGATATCCACGGTCTTCAGGTGCGTATCTTCTTATCACTTATGTGTAGCTGAAAACTATTGCCGACAAGAAGTAAGCTTTGTATAGGATCATCGTATTTGCAAAATATGTATCTTTTTGTATCAAGCAAGATTGCACTCTACGGTCTGGTGTTGCAAGGACGTTAAAGATTTCCATGCATACGCCGCGCTTCGTTGGCTGAGAAATCTGTTCGAATTAGCTAGCCCCATTGAACATACATAATGGTCGCTTTACCAACAGCCCAGGAAGAAATCGATTCCACAGGACCAAATCTCTGGAATAGGTTCCATAACATGCTTGGCAGTACATATGAGCCTAACCCAGATACGTTGACCATATTTTGAGCTGTCGGCGAGATAGAGTATGAGATTTTGGCGGTTCTCGCCCAATGAGGGATGTGATGGACATTCGACTTGGCTACTATGATAGCTTCGTGCGCAGATGTATCGGACATTTTGCGCGAATCACTCAAATCGTCATCCCATAGATCCATTTCACATTCCCCTCGTCCTGTGTCTATTTCCAAAGGGGTCTGAACAAGGCCTTCATAGTTCAGAAAAGGGAGTTTCTGGTGAATATAGATAAATTGACGATCCTCCGATATAAAGCGATTTTGTGAAGACAGTGCCTGAGTTCCATCTTTCATTGCCACCTGGGATACAAGTAAATTGCTGATGTCCATCATTTGCCCAATTTCCTGATATGTTAGCGATCAATGGCGTACCAAATAAGCCTGTATAGCATCCCTCCTGTTTTTGAAAACCACGTCCATAGTTAGATAATAGTCGTTATACTCTTTAATCTTTTCCACAGAGCCGAACAAAGAAGAGAGTTCCATGACAAACTCACAAGTGAATTGATATTCTTGATTGAGAAGCCAAAGGCGTGCCGAATTGAATTTCACTAAGGGTGTAGTAGGATTATAGAGAGAAAATCGTACTGTGCGTTCACCTCTAGCAGGTTCTAGACGCAAGTAACTTGAGTAAAAAGGATATCTCTTGGAACCCTGGGCAGCTGCCATGGCATCGGATTCAGAGAAGAACTCGGCAAAAGCATACTTCACATAGCCAGTCGAAGGATCACAAACGAGTTTGACAGATTTAATAGAGGCCCAGCGTAGAAAGAACGCTTCTAATGACCACTGCAGCTCGAAGGAACGATACATTCCCACAGGGAAGCTATGATAAGCTGAACCTCACACATACCCAGCAACAAACATAGTGAAGGTAGAAACATATTCATCAGGAATGAGAGAGTGATTGATATATTCCTGAGGAGACATCCTATCTTCTTTCAAATGGCGTCGTGCAGGTATATCGCTCGTTACGGCATCGGTCCATTCCTGCTTCTCGGGGAATTTTAAAGGCGCCGAGCAAATCTGTGTATAAGGCCTCTCCATGTGAGAAACGTTTCGTATATCTGAAAGACTCTTGCTTTTTTTCAACACCTTAGGAAGATATGGTCCCATAGTATACAGATCTTTGGGGGAATTCGCCGATAGAGAAGCAAGAAGCGGGACAGTTGTGCGTGCTGAAGCTCACACACAACCTACCTTGTTCGTCCACATGTTCTGGGCGAATGGATATTGATGAACTGGCATTGCTTTTTTTCCTGGTCAAATTAAATGAAAGTTCAAGGCCGCAGGGATCTGGTCCTCACATAGGATTGGTTTTCTTATGCCAAGTTCCCAGTCAAGCCTAGATCGTTATGCAAGTGTCGCAGGTCTATTCGCGTGTCATTCTCCACACAGGCAAATCGAGATAATTTTTTTTTGGATTTCTTACGTAACAAAAGGAATAAAAAGTGAGCCTAGGGCTCTGGAAAGAAGTCGTAGTAATTTACATATAGCTGCAACGAAGAGTCCCACCACCGCTACTTTGATGTTAGCATCATGAAAGAACAGTGATCGATCATTGCATATAATACGTTAAGTGTTCTTAAGATGTGCTGCTGTGATCCACTGCACACCAGTTTTGTAGACGAGAACCAATCGTCCAGGATATATGGTAAAGCAAATCAGTCCTTTTCCATGTTTTTTCTTTTATATTTTGGAAAGTGCAGTTATACTGCAATGGTGCTTTGCTGCGCCGAGGCCACGGCAGCAAAGTCACGCGTTTGCGACGGGCTCGTGCTTGAGGCTGCAGCTGCAGGTGTAGACGGCGACGCGTCTGCTGGGTTGCTCTCTTCTTGGCTCGGTTTCTCCTCAGCAGACTTGGTCGGTGTCTCCACGGGCGTTTTCACCGGCTTGGACGGCGCAGGCGCACTCAAAATAGCAGAGAAGTTGGCCTTGGTGGCCTTGTTCTCCGCAGGCGCAGGAGCAGCTTCGGTGCTCGTGCCACCAGGCAGAGCAGGGAACTCATCGCTATTGGGAACGCGCTGCACTGTCTTGCGGTTGGTATGCACAGGCGCTGCATTACGACGCACACCCTTGCCGCGTGGGTTGTTGCCATTCACATTACGGCGAGCGTTGGTCGACTTCTTTCCGCTGCCCTGCGGCGTAGATGTGCCACTGGAGGCACCTTCCCCGTCCGATACATTGTGCGATTGGGCGCCGTGTGTGTTGCTACGACGTGGCGAGGATTTCGACGACTTGCTCTCCTGATCGGTGGGCAGCTGACGTGCGTCTGTACCGTCGGGCAGCACATGCGGGAAGCGACAGTCGTTGGCATAGCGGCAGGCAGAGCGGGCGAAGAAGGCGCAGGATGGGCGGCTTCCCTGGTTCACACGACCACGTTGTGTGTTGCCATCCGAGCGAGTAGGCTTGTTGTTGACCTTTTTGTTGTTCGTAGTAGTACGGGCGTTGCGGTTGTTGCTGGCATGGTTGGAGTTCTCAGTGTTGGTAGACTCTGACGTCTCACCCTGCTTCGTGTCGTTCTTGTCGCCTGACGTCGTGTCGTCTGACTTCTTCTGGTCTTGCTGGGCGCTCACAGGCGGAGGGTAAAATGGCACACCATTGGGGCCATACGGCACAGGGAACATGGGGTGATTCATCTCCATAAAAGGCGGCGGCACACCGTACGGAGGCGGTCCTGGCTGGAAAGGCATGCCATTCGGACCAGGGAAGAACATGGGCTGCATGCCATGTGGCGGCACGCCGTCTGGGTGATTCGCAATCGGGCCGGATGGGTGGTGGAACAGGCAGCGGTCACCGTAACGGCAATTCGGGAAGAACTTGCACGGAATCATACGAGCCACTTCGGGCGGTGGCAGACTGGCCGCTACGCCACCCTCGTTCTCTTCCTTCTTGTCGTCTGACGTGGGCACGTCGGCTGTCGGTGCGACGCCTGAGTGCTGGTTGGCCATGCGTGTATCGGCACGCAGAGCAGCATCACGGACCATGGCAAAGGCTTCCTGGTTTTGCTCCGTAGGGGTGGCTGTAGCCTGGGCTACACGTGGGTCGGCGCCTGGTGTGAGTCGTGTGGGTGTACATACCTCGCTCCAGCAGCTCGCGAACGACGTCGACATGGCCAAACTGAAGGGCACGGGACAGTGCAGTCTTGTTGGACTCGTCTATGTGTCAGAGAGGCGCATATACGTACCGACAGCGTGAACAAGCTCAGGCGTCAGATCAAGTAGTGAGCGAACGGCGTTCACGTCGCCATGCTCGCACACGTGGAAAATATCCAGACTCATACTCACACTCGCCTTGATGGATCTAGCGTCTCTCCGAATCGAGCCACACACAACACACGACACTTGACTGCGAAGTCCTCGTGCCCAAGCGAGATTGCTCGGTCGGAAGGTGGTTGCCAGGCTTCGCTAAAAATTTTTCGCTCGCTTTCAATGGCATGCTGCGGCACGTGATACATTAGCAGTGTGCCCCCACCCTGGTTCTCCACGCGTACGTCCGAAAAGCGCCAAGGAATGTCCAGCAGATCCACCCCGTGAAGGCTCGGCCCGTGCATGGCGAAGACCTGGGGGGTGGGAATGCACCGTAAATAGCCTATACACGACGGTACACTAGGCTCGGCTAGGTAGATAAATTTAGGCATTCGCGGTAGGACGCGTCTATTCATCTACGCCTTTGACCACGATGGACGCGGTGGTGGCCTGCCTGCGCAGCACCCTCTCGCCTGATCGTGCGGTGCGTGTCGATGCAGAGAGGCAGCTGATGGAGCGTGCGTACCCCCGTCATGATGCGGAGGGCACGTTTGGTGTAGATCTCGCGTGTGTCTTCCAGTCGGACACGATACCTCTTGCGGAACGACAGGCGGCTGGCATCGCCTTGCGCAAGTATATCCATGAGCGCTGGTCCATTTATTTCGAATCGTTCTTGCGTCGTGCCAAGGAACAGGGGGAAACGGAGTCGATGGAAGCACTGCCTGAGCCCACGAAGCACGAGATTCGCACAGTGCTTCTGGCTGCCTTGCAGGACGCCGAGAGGAAAATACGACTACTTGCATCGCAGCTATTATCGATTGTCGGAAGCTGTGACTTTCCTGACCACTTCCCTGAACTCTTCAGTACGCTGCAAGCGTATCTACAATCCTATGGCCAGCGAGATGCTATGGCGGAAGCCAAAGTGCATGGCGCCATGAAGTTCCTCTCGGACTTTGTCCAGGTGGAACTGGATGAAAATCAGCTGCTGATTGTGGCGCGTGAATTTATCCCTTTGCTGCAAGAGCTTCTTAGTAGCTCGTTCGGAGACGTTTCAGCGCATATTAAAGCGCGATGCATCTTGGTGTTCCGACAATGCCTTACGTCGCTGTACATGGCCAAAGACACGTTCACCGACGCAGTCAACGAGGCTGTGAAGCACTACCTGCCCTCCTGGCTGAATGCGATGCAGATCCTGCTTGATCCTTCGTACTTCGCGAGTGCCTCCTGGGCCGATTCACTCGCTTGGGAAGAGCTAGGGTTGCGCCGGGAGATTCTGCGGACCATCGGCGTAGCATCGCGCTTCAAAAAAGTGTTTGCTGAATTTGGGCCTGCCCTGCTTGGACTGTGCTTGGCAAATCTACAAGCTTTGGCCCCCTTGTTTGTCCAAACCGAGCTCGAGGAGAGCGTCACACCACCTTCGCCAGCCGAAGGGGATCTAGACGTTGCCGCCACGGTGCCAGCTCTGGCGATGGCAGCCTTTACGCTCTTGTCAGACACGTTCCACTCCCCGTCCATGCGGCACCTTCTTGTCGATGGCGGCGTAGGCGGCGAGGGCCAGCCTACCGAAGCCTTCCGTGAATTGTTGCGTCTCATGCGGACGTATGCGCAAGTGACGCAAGACGATGAGGCGACGTGGGCCACGGACATGGACGCGTTTGTCGCCGAGGACGATGTGGAAAACATGGCAGTGACGCTACGCACAACCACGATGGATTTGATGGATCAGTTGCTTGATTTGTACCCGCTACCCACGCTGCGTGAACTGCGTGAGCAAGTCGAAGCACTGTCCGTCTCCACGTCCGAGTCCTCATCGTGGTGGAAGCCCGTGGAAGCGCAGCTGATGCTGCTTGGGCAGTCGCACGAAGCGGTGGAAGACATTCTGATGGAGCATGGCGGGCCTGACGTGGTCTCGATGCAGCGTGTGTTTGAGAAGCTCGTGCTGCCGTTCTTGGACCCCACGCCGGCTGTGTTTCTACGTGGCCGGTGCTTTGTGTTTGCATCGCAATATGCCTCCGAGTTGCCTGACGACTTGGCGGCGCGCATCTTCTCGGCAGCACAGGCTGTCATGCAAGCGCCCGACTCGGACGAAGTGCCGCTGCATATGAAATTGTCGGCGGTGCGAACCATCTGCAACTTTGGCCAAATGCATTCACAGCTTGTCGAAGGCCAATCTAGTGCGTTGCTGGCCCAGCTTGCCCCGCTTTTGTCGCAAGCCACAGGCAGTACGTTGATGCTACTGTTGGATGCCATGGAAGCTTGCTTGCCTCGTCGTGGCTCGTCGGACACCTTGCCCACGCTGCGTATGGTGACAGAGGCGGTGCTCGCAACATGGTATGCACACACAGCTGATCCTCCGGTGGAGTTGTCCGTTGCGTCGCTGCTAGAAGACTTGGTCAAGAGTCCACTGCGTGGCAGTGCCACCCAAACGGTAGCGCTGTGTGTCCCCTTCTTGTGCATGCGCCTGACGCCGCAGGAAGAGCTCACTGTACCGCCCAGTGCCGCGGCACTTTTGCGCAGCGTGCTGACCAAGGCACCGATCGATGCCCTGGCGGATATGGTCGCGCCGATTTTGCAGCATACGACGACGTACCTGCAGCATACCGACGACGTCGAGGCTGCGCAGAGTTTGATTCACTGCTTGACCCTCCTCCTACAAAAGCGGCCAGACGAGGCTCTCGCATGGCACCGGGACGATGGCACGCCGTCGTTGCAAGTGATGCTGCATATTATCGAGCGGCTGCTGACGATGGACGAAGATGTATGTGGCATGTCGTTCGGCACGCTGCTGGTGACGCTCTTTGTGCAGGCAGGTGCCGGATTGAGCCCTGTGATGCCTGCCTTGGTACAGGCTCTCGCGAGGAAGGTGGCCGAGACCTCGTCGTCCACGACGCTGCTGGCGTTGCTGTTCCCTCTGGCCTACCTATTTGCGGAACATACAGAGCCTGTCGTGCATGTTCTGCATACCATTCCTCTGTCCACTGAGACGGCTCTTCAGGCCGTGGTACGCCGTTGGCTCGCAGAGATTGAACATGTGCACAGCTGGTTTGTGCTTAATGTGCACATTGCTGGCCTCTGTCAGCTGCTGGCGCACTGGCCAGCGCCGTTGGAGAGTATGCATGTGGATGGGGACATCTTGCCCAAGTCGAGCGACGGTACGTGTCCGGAAAAGCTTACCGTGCCAGTGATTATTACGCGGTCGCGTGCGAAAGCGAGTACGTATGGCATGCCGACTTACGTTGCAGTGCAACAATACCAACAGATACCTGCGTTTGCCAAAGCTGTGAAGGTGCTCCTGCAAGAATGGAAGCAAGCACAAGAGAAAGCGGCAGCGGCGGCGTCTGACGCGCCGAAATGGTCGTCCCTGATGATGGACGATGGCGCCGCCGAGTGGGCAGACGACGATGAGGAGGAGGAGGAGGCCGCGTTGGATATGGCGTATGGCCGAAGTGGCGGCGGCGTGGACTTGGACTTGTTCCGCGACTTGTACTCTGCAGGCATTATGGACGAGGGCGACCTAGACGAGGACATGGACGATGCACCGCTGGTGGATGTGCCAGGCACCAAGGCTTTGGTCGACATGGATCGTGTGGTATGTAACAGGCAGTCTACTTACACAACCTGCAGGCCTATCTCGCTGAGTTTTTCCAGCAGCAAGTCACGGCGCCTACGGCATCGATGCAAGCGGCGGTGCAGTACTTGCAGCCAAAGGAACAAACCATGTTGGCCAAAGTAGCGTGAGAGTCTTAGTAGCGGTACAAATCAATAATGTGATCAGGGCCGCCAAAGGCCATGACAGGGTAATGAGGATGGAACGCCACGACGCTCGTGCTGGGCGAGTAGCGCGAAGGCAAGGGGTCGCGGTCACGAATGGGACGCAAGGCAGACGAGGCTAGCGACGTGGTATGATGATGTGTGTGCACATAGGGCGAGCCCAGTGGACTGAGGTCTTGCAGGCGGCAGAGCCATGTGGTATGAGACAGTGTGCTGTGTAAGCTGTGGGGCGCACTCGTCGCGGCCAGCACGGGCATGCGGTCATGCACAGCCATTGCAGAGAGCGCGGTGCCATCGGTCGGCAGCCGCTTTTGTACAATGGACGAACGGGCACGAATATCCCACAACCGGATTTCGCCATCGACGCTGGCCGAGGCCAGCTCACGCTGCCCATGCTTTTGCAGGTGGACATGCTCGACCCAAGCGACATGCTCCTCCCAGAGGCGCACGAGGCTCGAGGCAGGGGGGTTGCGCTGGTCGTACACGCCAATCGACCCGTCGCCAAAGCCGGCCATGAACAAATGGCCAATGTCGGTATCGCTCGTGATCGAGGTCACGCAGCTGTTCACGTGCGTCGGCACGTCAGCAATGCACAATTCGCGGTGGGCATCCCACAAACGGATCAGACGGCAATCACCGCCCGCCAGCAACCGACCACTCACTTGCTGCCATGCCACCCGCAGGCCACTGGGGTAGCGACTGCGCAGCAGATCGGGCAACGCACGGAACGCACTGACCAGCTCGACACCATGCCGTGTGCCTGGCGCGTGCTCGTACTGGCGGTACAAGCGCACATGCGCATCCGCCGATCCAACCAGCAGTAGGGTATCCACCTCTTCGTTGATGAACGTCATCGACGTGATGTCTGTGCCATGCGTATTCCCGTTGCTGAACGAGCTGACCATCCGTTGCTCTTCCCAGTCCCATACAGCGATTCGATCGCCATTGCTTGCACTCACCATGTACGGATCATACTCGTGGAACAGGACCATAGAAGGAGCGGACGGCATCGCCAACGAGCCGATCCGCTTGGACCACCGCGTCGTCCCTGCATCGCCAGCCGTCTCCATGGCCTCGGCAATATGGCGCTCACATCGCTTGCGTCGCCATGCATGGCGATTAAACTGCTGACTCCCTGGCTCATCGGCCTCGGCAGACTTCATTTGCGGCTCGGTATAGTATTCACTGCACCACGCAAACAGTCGACTTTGCAGCGGAAGCGTCTCACGCAGACGCCCGTACCAGCCTGGCGGCGTGCCATCGTCACGGCCACGCAGGCGTAGATGTTGCAGATCCGCGGCAAGCGCATCGGCCAGCACGTCCTCAATCCGCACGCCGTGGCGTGGACGAGAAGGCGCATACGCAGCGAGCGAGTCGACCGTCGCACTGCGTGCGCCTTCACGTGGGCCTTGGGTGTATGGCGCTTCGTAGCCACTGCTCGTGGTATCCTCACCCAGGCGAGGTACCGCCGTGAGCGCCGTCGCACTGGACAGCTTCGACGGCGGCGGTGGGGGCGGCGTGGTGGTCAGCGCACTGAGCGCTCGCATCGTTCGAGCCAGCGCGGATTCACGCATACCCGGCTCCGGCGGCGTGCTTGGTGGTGTGCGTTCCACATGCGTCGCGAGGGCTGTAGGAACCGTCTGCTGCTGCTCCAGCTGCTCCAGCGATACATGGCAGAACACAGAGCCGTCAGCATGCAGTACACCTTGCTCGAGCAGCCCGGCAAGAATGCGATCGACCACTGTGGATGCCATCGACTCCACTTCTGGGTGGGGATCCACCGACAAATCCAGCAACGCGACAAACAGCGTGACGAACGCAGGAATGTTCGCCACGTCGCTTGGGTCCAAGCACTCGTCACGTTCCAGCACACGCCGCACCACACTGGAAAGCAGCTGCTCTTCGTACTCCACACGCGACTCGACATCCGCGCTCATCCGTGAGAGCGTCGGCGTGGCTAGGCGAGTCGCTGCGCGTTCCCGCGCGTTGTGCAGGTAGGCGGCCAACATAAAGAAGCCATGGTAGTGGTGGACCAAAGCGGAAAGCGCAATGACCAGCTCCTTGCGCACAAGCGGACTGCAATCCCCAGCCGATGCCAGGATCGCGACGGCAATCCCGATTTCCACGTTGCGCTGCCGTGCCGGCGGCAAGTCCGTCATGCTGCCAGTACCGACACACTGGCCCCGCGGCGTATGCCGTGGCTGGTCTTTGCGTCGTTCCCCTGCGCCTTCGATAACTTCGTACGCGGATCCACTGGCGCCCAGCAGCACGCCAAGTGCATAGAGCATAGCCGCACGCACTTCCGGCGAGGCATCGCTTAACAGGCAGCACAGCTTGCCATGCGCATCCTTCGCAATCGCACGTGCCTTGCCGAGGTCACTGTTGTTCCACAGCTGCGCAAGGCACAAGGCCGACCATTGGCGCAGCAGGAAGTCGTCGTCCTCCAAGTGCTCTAAGCACGCGTCCATAATGTCCGTTTCCAGACAGGCGTCTTGGCCCATCGGAAAGTCCTGGCAGAACACGGCCAAAATGAATGCACACATCGCGCGGTGCTCACTGACATTGGGAATCGGCAGCGACTGCGACGAGGTGGACGCCCATTGCGATCCACTGCCCACGCCGCCTCCACTTTGGAACGGACTCAAGACCGGACTCAAGACCGAGGCAAAGTACATGTACCCATTGTCACGCAGCAAATCCACCTGGCAGCTGTGATCCACAGCGAGAATGCGCGCCCAGATATAGATGAGCACTGGCTTGAGGTCCACGGCAGGCGACTGCAATAGTTTGAGAACATAGGGGAAAATGCCGATACTCAGCGCCAAATTGACGGCCCAGGGCCCCAAATCAAGGAACTGACTTAGCAAGATCAAGGCTCGCAACCGATGCACTTGTGACAGCAACACTTGCAGCACGATCGGCAACTGCTGCGGCGGATCATGCAAGAGTGCAGCCTCGTCCTCCTCATCGCCGTCGGCGCCAGGGGCAGCATCGATACTCCCCTGCCGATGCGCCGAAGAGGCTGTGCCTTCGTGGGCGTGCACATTGTGCGGCGCGGTACTTGTAAAAGGCGTGATGCCCAGCATCTCACCACCCACCCGAACCACGGGATGGCGCCGCACACGACGGCGTGGTGGTCGTCGACTGACATCGCCCTGCGAGAGCCACACTTCAAACGCTTTCAGCTGCTCGCTAAAGAACGTGGAGTGCTTGTACTCAAACGCAGCGAGATGCGGGGGCATCGGCGGACCACCATTCTCGGCCTCGACACGCGCCTGCTCCTTCGCCAGCAATGTCGGGAGCTGCGCAAGGCACTGATCCACCGCCAAATCCCAGCTATCCCACAGTGGGTGATTGTGCGTCGCAGGCAGCCGAGGATGGCTCACGGGCGTGCAGTGGTAGAAGCGCATAATCCGCTCGGCCAACAGATAGTTGCGCAGCAGAGCCGCGACCATCAAATCATCACGGAAAAAGCGGCGGAAGAGGGCACGTGGAAGCACCGTCCACGCAATGGTATCGGTGACCGCCGTCAAAATCCAGTTGAGCTCACCAAGGGGCGTCCTACGATCTTGCAAACGTCCAGGGATGTTCATGACCATATCAACATTGAGCTGATTCGGCAGGGGGTTCTGCAGCACAAACCACCGCAACGAAATCTCAATAGGCGACGTCAGGCAGCACGTAAACAAGTCCGCGGGCAAGTCCGGGTTCATCGGAAGCACTTCATCGGCGCCACACGCCGCGAGATGGATGGATTCGCGAAGCGGGAAATGCTGCTCGCCCGCTGCGTCGGTCATAATGCCATCGGCATTGGGCATCGGCGGCGGCTCACGACCCTCGGCAAGGGCCTGCTTGACTTCATCCTCGGCACGCGCCTCTGCAAGACGTCGGAAGTTGTTCACGATATGCCCCGAGGCACTGGTATCCCATACGTAAATACATGGATTGCCGAGCCATGTCTGTAGATCGTACAGTGTCAAGGGGATGTACTGTGTGTAGGCCTTGTTAAACACCCAGATCTCGCCACCTGGCGTGGGTTTGGGCACGCCGTAGCCATTGTAGTAGAAGAGGACACGTTCATCCTTCGCTGTGCGTCGCAAGTTGGTACAAAATCGCTTCGTTTCTTCAACAATCGGATCAAGGTACTGCTTGTACCGCGTTTTCATACTCAGTGTCTCGAACTGGACCTGCAAGTTGCGGCCGATGGCTGGCAACGCTTTGGACGCATCGAGCGACTCGGGATCCATCCAGCAGATTAGCTTCGAGCATGGGTTCGTCTTGCTCACGTCCGGGGGGTCGACGCCAATATTCAGGCACATGACAAGCGCGGCGGTCACCGTGCGCAGCCGTTCTCGCATGCGCCAGTCTGGCAAGTCGGCTGTACGTCGTACGATCGGGTCTCCATTGGTTTTGTGTCGCTTGTTGCTCCAATGTGTCATGTACGCGCTCTCCAGGAGCTCCCAATCGTCGGCTTCCGGTTGAAGCAAGGCGCCATGACGTGGACGAGCGACAGCGGCATCGTCTTGATCGCCCAGCGTCACTGCGGAATGCATCATCGCCTCGTCATCGGAGAGGACCTGCTCCGGCTCCAACGTCGATACACTCCCTAGCATGGGCGGTGGCTCCACCTCCGATGCTGGGCGTGTCATCTCAGCTCACCCTGTGCGAGGATAAAGGGAGCCCCGCCGCGGCGGGCGCCTCAGCCAGTCAGTCGTCACGCGGCGCGCGGGCGGCAAGACCTCCACCTGGCCATTGCCGCCGTCGGCCGAGGATGAAGGAGATCGGCTAGGGTGGAGGGGAGGACAGGCCGGGCGCGGCAATCACGTCCGCGGCGCTGACATCTCTACGCGGGGAACGACCAAGGAGCGACCACGTATGCCCCTGTGGAAACCAGGTGTAATCCTACGTCGACCTTGGATGTCCAAGCCAGCTACCACTCGATTGAACGCGGTAGCGCGTCATTTCCGTGCGGGTGTAGCCGTGTCGGCCAAGCCGGCGCCTGGCACGGATTCGCCACAGCTAGGGACGTTGCAGCTGGGCCCGCACGTCGCCATCTCGATTCATGCCGCAGATGCACCGGAGCGAATCCCGCCTGAGCGTCTCTTGCTGGATACGAGTGATCCCATCGTGCTGGAGCATCTCGAGTTCCTTGGCAAGAAATGGCAGTTGGGGCAGGACGTATTTCTCTCCTCCCCGCCTGGGCCTTACACGCGCCGTCTGTGTCAGACGTTTGCAGCGCTCATCCAAGTGCCTGTGGAGTACGTATCGCTGCATCGCGATATCGGTGAGGCCGAGCTGCTTCAGCAGCGCTCCTTGGAAGCAGGAGGAAATTTGCGGTACGATGACGGGCCTGTAGTACGTGCTATGAAGTATGGCCGTATCCTCCTTCTTGATGGCATTGAGCGTGCGGAGCGCGGTGTGATGCCGATCCTCAATAACATTCTCGAAAACCGCGAGCAGAACCTCGCGGACGGTACGCAGCTCGTGCCGGCGGAGCGTCTGGCGGCGGCGCAGCAAGCCGGCGACGATGCCCAGGGCCATGGCCATGCCCGTTTTATTCCCGTACACCCTGATTTCCGTGTGTTTTGCTTGGGGTTGCCTGTCCCGCCGTACCGTGGACATCCCCTGGACCCGCCGTTCCGTTCGCGGTTCCAGGCGCGATGGGTCGAAGGTGCCGTGTATGCGCCACCGCCCGTGACAGCGGAATCGGATGCTGCGCAGGCTCTTACGTCGCGTTGGCAAGAATGGGCCGCGTTGGTGCGCCTGCATGATACCGCGAGTCGTGAGTCGGGCCTGCTGCCGTCGACGTCGATGCTGCCGCATGTGCCGACGACCGCTATGCCGCTTCTCCGTGATATCAGTGCGGTCTTCCCGCCGACCCACGTGATAACAAAACGCAGCGAGCCGCCGGAAGCGTCAGCGCCGGTGGACAAGGCGACGTTGGCGATGCTCAGCACGGCCTACCCGCTGATGCTCTCGCTGGATGCAAAGAAGCGTGCATCGCTGCATGAGATGCTGACGCGTGTCTCGCTGGATCGCGGTATCGGTGTTGATGATCTGTTTGCCGAAGGTGTGGGTCTGATGGGCTACACGATCGAGGACGTCCAGCGCGTATCGCCGACGCAGGCGCGGCTGACCTTTGCGTCGTCGCTTGGCGCGCCGTCTGTCGAGGTGGATGTACCATGCGGCCCGCTGCCCATGGTACCGCTTTCGTCGCTGTCGCAGGATGAGCGGTCGATTCTCACGCCTCGTGTGCGCGCCCTGCTGACGACGATGCTGCAGCTGCACAGTATCGGCCGCGATATCTGTATGGTGCCCAGTGTGCTGGACGGCGTAGCACAGACGCAAGCGTCGTCGTCCAAATCGACATGCATTCAGCTCTTTGCCTCGTTGCTGGGCTACCGTGTGGAGACTATTTGGCTCTGGAAGGATGTCACAGGCACTGAGCTGATTATGCGCCGTGCCACGACCCCTGATGGCGCCACGGTATGGCAGCCTGCGCAGCTTACGTCGGCAGCGCTACGTGGCGCGCTTGTGCATCTCGCGGGCGTCGATGTGCTGGGCCCCACGTTGGAAAGCCTGGCACGGTTCACGGAAGATCGTGAGTTGGAATTGTGGGATGCGACGCGACTTACGTTGCCGGAGGGCGCTTCCGTAAAGGAAACGTTGACGACCGGACGTGTGTGTGCATTGGCGCCGAGTGTGCGTGTGATTGCTACGGCGCCGAAGGTCGGCGAGTGGCTCACCGAAGGGGTCGCGACGATGTTTGCGACGTTGGCTGCGCCGCCCATGACCGATGCGGAAGAGCGGCAGATCGTCGAGCAGCAGACAGGCGCATCAGGTCGGCACCTCGATGCGCTCTTTGCCTTTGTGCAGGAGTACCGTCGGCAGGCCTCCGATACCAATGTCGGCTTGCACAAGGCGCGGCGCTTTGGGACGCGCCAAGTGCTTCGTATCGCACGACGCTTGGCCACGTGGCCAGACGAAGATCTGTATGCCCTCATCTTCCGGAACCAGCTGTGTGACTTCTTGCCGCGGACCGTGCGTGAGATTGTGCATGAGATGCTGGTCTCGCGGGGCATTGTGCCGCATGGCTTTGAAGGTGCGTTCCAGTACATTCCTCCGTTGGTCCTGCAGCCGCCTGTGGTGGATGCCAAGGAAAATACGCTGCGGTTTATCGACGAGCAGGGGACCGAGCGTCTAGCTGTCCGGCGCTACGACTGGCGTACACGCGACCCCAAGGGTGCGTCGCTGATCCCGAATGCGCATGGCTCCTTCTTCCACAATACGCAGCAGACGCGGCTCATGTACTCCTTCGTGCAGGACTTGGATGTGCTGGGCGAGCATTTGCTGCTCATGGGCGCGCAAGGCACCGGCAAGAACAAGACGATTGACCAGGCGCTGGAATTGCTCGACCGGCCGCGCGAGTATATCCAGATGAACCGCGACTCGACCGTGGGCGAATTGCTCCAACGGGCCTACTTGGAAGACGGCCAATTGAAGTACGCCGACTCGCCCTTGGTCCGTGCGCTGAAACTCGGCCGCGTGATTGTGGTGGACGAAGTGGACAAGTGCTCAGCCTCGGTGTCGGCCGTGTTCAAGTCGCTGGCGGAGCGCGGCGAGCTCTCGTTGCCGGACGGCCGTCGTGTCGTGCCGAGCGGTGGTGTCGCAGACGACCACACGATCGTGGTCCACCGCGATTTCCGGCTGGTATTGCTGGCCAACCGGCCTGGCTGGCCGTTCCTGGGCAATACGTTCACGGATGTGGTCGGCGAAGGCTTTAGTTCCTATGCAGTGGCCAACCCCGACGTCGCGTCTGAACAGCAGCTGCTGGAGCGCATGGCGCCCAACGTCGATCCGGCGCTGATTCGATCGTTGGTCCTGGCGTTCCATGACTTGCGCTTGGCTTTCGATATGGACCAGATCAGCCACCCGTACTCGCTGCGCGAGCTGATCCACATTGTCCGTCATCTCAGTCGGTACCCCGGCGAAGAGCTGGGCGAAGTGATGCAGAATGCGCTGGCGTTTGACCTGCACAAGCCGGAAGCGCTCCAGCTGATTGCACGCACGTTTGCCAAGCACGGCCTGAAACTCGGTGGGATCTCCCTCGAGGCGCAGCGGGCCAAAGCCGAGCAGCGTGCGGCGCAAAAGGGACTGCGTGTAGAGTACAAGCCGAAGGGCGATACGTCGCTGGACAAACCGAAACTCGGCAAGGACGATCCCAACAACGACCCGCACGTCGGCGGCAATACGTGGCGGGGCGGCACAGGTGGTCGCGATACCGCCGGCCTCGGTGGCCGTGGCGGCTTTGAGCGGCTGTACAAAGGCCACAAAATCCACCAAATCCCCGAGCACTTGAAGAAGGATGTGCCGCCGGAGATCGCCGCCGAGGCACGTGCCATGGCGAAGAAGGCCCTGGAGGACAAGTTGGCCGAAGACCGTTTGGATCGAGACGAGGCGCGGTACATGCAGATGATCAAGGCGAATGTCGAGCCGCAAATCCAGCACCTGTCGAACGTGCTGAATGGACTCACGGCCAACGAGCATGAACGTCGCTGGATGGTGCGGCAGCAGGATGGCCAGCTGGACGAACGTCGGCTGAGTGACGGCCTGGTAGGCGAGCGAGCGATCTTCAAGCGCCGAAGCGAGGCGCCGCCGGAGATTGGCGCGCCGCAGATGAAACCGAAACGCATCCGCATTGTCCTGGATGCGTCGGCGTCCATGTACCACATGCAATTCGATGGGCGTCTCACACGCGAGCTCGAGACGTGTCTCATGATTATGGAGGCGATGCAGCGGGTGGACCCTACCCGCTTTGAGTTTGATATTGTGGCGCACTCAGGCGATCAGGTGGTCATTCCCATCGTGAAGCTTGGCCAGATCCCCAAGACAGATGGCGATCGATTCCGTGTGCTCCGCGATATTGTGGCGTACACGCAGTACTGCATGACAGGCGACAACACCGTGGAATGCTTGGAGCAATCGATCAAGGATGTGCGAACGAAGGAGGCCGATGACTACTTTGTCGTAGCCCTCTCGGATGCGAATCTCAGTCGCTATGGCATCACGGCCGAGCACTTGGGCGCCGCACTCAAACGCGATGACAAGGTCAAAGCGGCTGTGATCTTTATCGACAAGGGCGGCGCCGAGGCAGGGAACATTGCCCAGGCCTTGCCAGGCCGTGCCTTTGTCGCACAGGATACCAAAGAGATCCCGCGTATCTTGTCGGACATTCTCACGTCGCTTCTTCAGTCCTAGTCTATAGATAGTATATACGTTCTTAATGATCAATTTTCAAACTAAAGTCGATGTGCTTGGTCGACTGATGAATCGCACTGGTCGAAATGATATCGATCGCTGCACGTTAGGGCCAAGGAACGTACCGTCGTCAATGCGCTGGTCCGTCTGGATGTTCTCCAGCGTAATGCCACCACTGCTCTCCAGCAGGAAATGGTAGCCCTCGCCGCCGGGGGTACGGCCGAGGTCCGCCTTGAGCTGACGTGCACACGAGACCAACTCGTCGCCTACCATGTTGTCAAGCATAATAACATCGGCGCCAGCACGAATGGCTTCCTGCGCCTCCGCGAGCGTACGCACTTCCACGTCGATCCGCAGCGAGAAGCCACCGACACGGCGCGCCGCGTCCACGGCCGCGGTAATCGAGCCCGTGCTCCATACGTGATTGTCTTTCAGCATGACCATGCTGCTGAGATCGTAGCGGTGCGCATCCACCCCGCCGACAATCATACCATACTTCTCCACGAGACGGAAACCCGGCGTAGTCTTGCGTGTGCCTGCCACAATGCCACGGAATCCAGCGTTTCGCGCGGCTTGGAGCAATTGGTGGGATCTGTAGATAAGCATCACACGTGTACATACGCTGTAGCAATGCCCGCACATCGCGCAAGGGTGTTCAGTGCCACACGCTCGCCCAGCAGAATACGACGCACAGGGCCCGAGACATGGGCTACCGCCACCTTCACTTTGCCCTCGGGCGTACCGGGGAGATTGTCCTTCGCAGATAAGTAGGCACCCTCCTCAAAGTTCCATGAAATGCTGCTGTGAGTACATAATGCTGCGTACCTGCATTCCAGTTGCTGGAACACGGCATTCACAAACGGCACTCCGGCTAGCACACCCTGCCACGGCGTCAGTCGGATCACGGCGCATCACGGCGTACCTCCTGCTTGCACAGCAACGTCGCCGTGCGCTCTGTATCGCCTACTACATAACCGCCCCAGTCAAACGACGGACAGTCTTCTTTCAGCCATTCAACAATGGTCGCCTCCCACGACGGGGGAAGCAAGTGGGCATACTTCAGATGGGCCATGGTCTTTCGAGGTCGGTCGGAGAAAGCAGGAGCACGACGATGCAGTGTGGAGGACCTGCCCCACGTTCAGCTGAAATTCTGCCTATTTACGCTAAGAGCGCCGCACGGCCCTCCTCCTGGAGAGCGGTGGCCACCGCCTCGACCAACTTCGGATGCATCGCAGCTTGGCACGCAATCACACCTTTATTGCCGGCCAAAGTACGTCCCCGGCTAAAGTCAAGGGGACGACCTGCAATATCTGATACCTTGCCGCCTGCCTCTTCGACCAACAGCGTACCTGACGCATGGTCCCAAATCTTCTCCTGGTACGACCCATCACCCACAGGTAGGCGCAAGTACACATCGCCATCGCCGCGAGCAATGCTACCGTACTTTGCCTGACTGTCCATACGCACATGGTTGTCACCCATGCCCAGCAGCTGCGCAATCCGTGCATTGGTGCCCAGCGACGAGTGGCCTGCCTCCACCGACTCACAAAACGAGGCACCGGCAAACGTACCTTGCAGGTCCCGCATCTGCACAGGCGTCAGCGGCGCACTGGGGTCGTCCAGCGGCGCAGAGAATGCTCCATGCCCACGCACAGTGACAAACAGCACACCTAGTCCCTCCATCGATGAGGTCCGAATCTCGCCGTCCTTCGGCTTGGGCTGGTGCTTGTCGACAGGCAAGTTCGGGCATCCCATCACACCAAGTTCTACACGTCCCTCGCGTAGCAACGCCAGGCATACAGCGTACTGGCCCCCACGCAGGAATCCCTTGGTACCATCAATCGGGTCCAACGTCCAGAAACCTAGATCAACGTTAGTCTGGGCCTCTCATAGTCATACATACGGCCTTCTTTTCCGCCTTCATAAGTACCGCGATCGATCACATCCAGCAGCTCCTTGTCGGACAACGGAGAGCTGCTATAGTTGAACACGCTGAGTGCATCATTCACCAGGCTCGATACTTTCTCCCGAATCGGCTGACCTTCGTCGCCTTGCAGGTCGCCCGAATCTTCTTCGCCTACAATGCCATCGTCAGGGAAGTATTTCTGCAACACATAGTTGATCGCTGCTTGTGCACTAAAATCTCCAATGGTCACAGGCGACTTGTCCTTCTTTGTCACAGACTCAGCCGACGTAAGCGTCTTGAACACTTTCGTTGTAATGGTGCAGGCCATACGGACAGCCTCTATGGCGATACGCTTCTCTTCTTCCAGATAGGTGCTCATCGCTTTTCTTGTATAAAAATAACACACGGGGAATGCAGATCTACTTCGAAGGGCGACGCTAGGCAAACGACCAAGCATGCACACACATTGTCTGCGCGGCTGGCGGGTTGCCTGCTGGCAAGACGGACATGATGACTAAACATAGAACAGTGGCGCGTGCGAGACGCATTGACCAGCCCCTCAGCCGCCAGACGAACTTTCGCTCCGGTATGCCCCGCTGATCACCTCCTAGAGGCGGGGTGATGACGTGGAGTCTCCAGAGCAGCCCTGCTAGGCACTGGCTGGGCTGCTGCATGTGTGACCCACATTTTGCTTGACAGATCCGCTTAGTTCATAGTATCCAGTTAGCGGCCATAGACCCTGCATGCCAGCGCATAGACTGTGGGGAAAACTGAGCATTCGCATGTCTGCTGAGACTGCGCCGGCGTCATCATCATGTTTCGGTTTTTCCCCACGTTTCGCCGGCGCCCATATGACAGCAAGCCTCTTGGTCAAAGCGGGCATAAACGCCCACTCAATCTTTTTGGTTTACATTTGATTGGATAATTTCCATTTTTTGACCAGGGTTTATTAGCACATTTACCCATTCAGAAATGGCCTGTGGAACATTCGAAAGGGTCCAGCAAAGCGTTGCCCCGTGGTTCCCGTTCACGCTAAGAAATACTACCGATGATTGGATGCCTAAGTCTAAGATGATCTGTGCGCGTATATTTACTGGCCAGCCGGGGACGAGCTAGCATGCTACGTGGGGTATTTGTGCATATTCACGGTGGCGTTTATGTTCCCGCCCAAGCTGAGAAAGGCATAAATAGTCGGGGGTTAAGTCCCTGTCCGATCCTCACACAACAATCTATCTCAACAATGTCGGACCTCGCTAACCAGGCTAAGCACACCGCCCAGGACGCCCACCTCTCGGCCAAGCAGGGTGCTGAGAACGCCCAGCAGTCGGCCTCGCAGTCGGTGGACACTGCCAAGGACAAGCTCTCGAACGCTACCGGCCAGGGCAACACCAGCCAGAACTACGTCGACTCGGCTAAGGACACCCTGAACAACCTCGGCCAGCAGGCTTCGGATTACGCCAACCAGGCCAAGGAGTCGCTCGGTCTCAACAAGTAAATGCTACCAAAGTAAATACTTGACAACCTCTTAAACCCCGAGTGTTAATAGGTAGTATTTCAATCTAAGAAAAACTTTTTTAAAATACTTTATTTGTGTGATTGTGCGTGATGGTGAACATAGATAGCTACTGTGTGAGAGGGAAAAGGCCAGCGATGAAGGTCAACACGCCTAGTATGTGACATCCCACTACCGCAATTTGCGGCCACGCCTTCTCCATTGATGGTATGCTGGGCAAACCCATACTGTTGCAGAAAATATGTGCGGTGAGCGGAGCCGTCATGGTGCCTGGGATCAGTATGAATAGAACAAGGACGTACCTGTGCGCAAAAACAAAAAGTTGGCATACCAACCAAATATAGTAGTATATCCAAATTGTAGGGCTGATGATCACGTCAGTGCATTAGAGAATACGTACTTGAACTCATAATAGCCACTCTCTTAGCTCGTTGGGTATAACCGCCTTGTCTATACGTTTCAAGGGCATGGTGAAGGTGTGCCAATCCAAAGTACAGCGGCGTTGAAAATATGAGCCAGCCGGTGGAGAAGGTGGGGTGAAGACTCTGAATGGTCGCAAGCATACATGATCGGAAAACTATTTCTTCTGTCACAGGTCCCTAATGTTTGTTAGAGGTTTATAACGTACCACCACATAGTTTCTCCAAAAAGACAAAGTCCGCCATTGGGCTTTGAACCATTGCATTTGAAAAGGCCGTGTGGTATGGATGATATCGTCTACCATCGTGCCGAGATACACCGATCCTGTTAAAACCAATGTCTTAAGTATGGTGCCAATCCATTGACATATCCATGTAGCCATGGGTGGCTCCAAAGGAAGCCAGGCGGATGTGAGGAAAGAAGGCATAGGCAAGCCCAGACCCAACTTTTTGAGTATCGCTAACGCATGAAAGAATGGATGAGTCTCTTTGGGCTCATGGTGGTACAAAATCGAAAATGATATCGTAAATGATATTGCAGTCGCTAGACCTACTGAGATCAGTCGCTGACAGATGACACTTGGATCGTCACGCCGTTTCGGTGCATCGTACTGCTTTTTTCGAAGAAGCGCATAGAGTCGTGGAAAAACGTAGAGCGAGCCCACATAAATAGTTGTATACCCTGTACAGGCAAGTACAGAGAGGCTCAACGGCCCTAGAAGTACCATCGCAGGGAGCAAAAACGTAGGCGAGGTCTTCAGAGTTTCTTCCACCCCAGACAAAGAAATGAACAACGCACGGCCTCTAGACTTCCTTTGTAGCCACGTGGTTTATTGTGTTCACGATGTGTTGTGGAGCTTGGTCGGTTGCCACGATCCCTGTGTAATATGCATTGGCGATTCCTTCTTCGGGTTCTCGCTATCCTGACCATCTTTGTGGTGGGCGTGACTGCTGCCAACTGGGACAAAGATGATATCGAGGTATGTACGCTCTTACTTACGCATCAGATTTTCGAATTGCAAGCTGCGTTGGAAGAATCGGAGGGTGCAGGTTCCAACTTTTACTCCATTATGGGCCTACGTCCCTCTGCGTCACTCGCAGAAATCCGGAAAGCGTACCGCGAAAAGAGTTTGGAGTGGCAGTATGTATCCTAGTTGTTCTGACAACAGTCCCGACAAGAACCCTGATGTGCCTGATGCGCACAAGCGCTTTGAGCGCCTTGGTCTGATTCACCGTATTTTGCGTGATGAGCGTCGCGATCGGTACAACCATTTCCTATCGAAAGGTTTCCCTAAGTGGCGTGGAAGCGGTTACTATTACGCTCGCTTCCGCCCTGGCTTGTTCATGGTTCTTGCTTTCTTGATTGCCGTGTCGATGGGCGTCCAGTATCTCGTGCAGCAGTACAATTGGCGCCGTGACCAGAAGCGCATTGAGAATCTGCGTCGTAGCGCTCTCGCAGCTGCTTGGGGCGCCTGGTTCCAGACGCCTGCAGATGCTGTTAAGGGCACCAAACCCAAGTCGATTCCCGCACAGAAGAAGGTCCACGTCCCTCTGCATGGTTTTGAAGATATGCCGCCTGCGCCTCTGGCGGGTGACGTGAGCGCTGGCCAAGTTGATTGGGACGAGGAGGGCCATAAGATTCGCAAGGTGCTTTCTGCACACCATGGGAACGTGAATGTGCGTATGGTCGACGTTATGGTGTACAGTGACAGCAGTATGGCGATCATTGACGACGAGACCAACGAATGGATTACCGTGGAGCCGCTCAACGAGGCAGACGCACCGTCGGTAAAGACTACATGGCCGTTCACGCTTGCCCAGTCGCTTCTGCAGCGCTCGTCGACCACGGACACTGTGCGCGACGAGGCGCAGGCGCCTGCAGACGAGGTTGATTTGGCTACGTCGCGTACGGAAACTACGACATCGGCTACATCTACCAAGGCAGCCAAGCGCCGAAAGCGGGCTGGCAAGGCATAAGTGGGCATGCCTACTTCAAGAACTTGGCATGCCAGTGCACATGGTCTGCTGCAAAGGTGCTCACAAAGTAGTCTTGCGTTAGTGATGCCATACATACAACTGTGATCATAGCCTTCATGCAGGCGCACTTGGACCTGTGATTCATCCAGGCCGCTCTTCTTTGCTGCCTCGATGAGACTCTCCGGCTGGAGCGTCTTGTCCTTGTAGAAATTGTCGTTCAAGCCACAATCCACGAGGATGTCGATCTTACGTGACGAGACCTTACTCAGCAGCAGCGATGCGTCGTACGCTTGGCCTTCTTCCAAGCCGCCTTCGAGGTAGCCCTGAATCAGTTTCTTGCCGACATCGCAGTTGGTCGGATGACTGATGGGGGCAAATGCCGAGGCAGCACGGTACGAGTTGGGCTCACGCAGGTAGAGCACCAAGGCGCCGTGACCGCCCATGGAGTGACCAAGAATCGATGCACGCGTCACGTCAATCGGCAAGTTGGCCTTCTTGATCATGTCGGGAATCTCTTTGTGCACATGATCGTACATGTGATAATACTGACTCCAAGGGGCCTTGGTCGCATTGACATAGAATCCGGCGCCTGTCGTCAATGGTAGAGCAACGTACCTGTACCGAAATCCCAGCTGTCTTCTTCGCCCTGAATGTTAGCTCCTCGTGGACTCGTATCAGGGAAGACGATAGCCAGGTTCTCCTGGGCCGCGGCCTGGAACAAGTGGCCCTTCTGGGCAGCGTTGTCTTCTGTGCACGTGAGACCGGAGAGGTAGTACAACACGGGGACCTTGTGGCTGTCACTAGCGCCTTCCGGCACAAACACATTCATATTGGCATTGAGGTTGCCCAGTACCTTGGAAAGGAACGAGTACTTGGTGAGAATACCACCAAACACCTTGTTCTGCGACGACACGTTCAGGCTCATGGTGGAAAGAGACGTTTCTCTCTTGCTACATGGCGCAGGAGGTCCGGGCGGGCTAAGTGGAGGTTGGGTGGACCGTGTGTAGGCACGAGGGCGAGCGAATACGGCTGTGGCGCCCTGTCTTTTTCCCCTCCCACGTTAGGACCGTGCGTCAAGGTGTTTTTTGGAGTATGGACTGGAACTCGTGGAAAGACAAGGCGTGGTCTACTGGTATGTATGTCTGTGTAGTAACAGGAAGCCAAGAAGGTGGAGACCAAGGCATGGCAAATGGCTGATCCTATCGGTCAATGGACGAATCGCCAAGCAGGACGGTTTGGTATGGAATCTTTTTATCCCACCGATTTGGGTCAAGAAATCGTGAAATGTGCGCGCATACTCCGAACGTTTACCGAGAACAACCAGGTGGCGGCGGTGGAAAACGAGCAGCGGGGGCACACACATATGCCGGCCCCTTCGGCCACGGGCTCTGTGCCTGATGACTATGCTGACCGCAAAACGCAGTCGGTTCTGTACAAAATCCCGCCCAAAGTTCTGCAGCAAGCCAAGGGCGTGGCTATTTTTACGGTGTTCCGGTCTGGGTTTGTGGTCTCTGGCGCGGGTGGGTCCGGCGTCGTCTTGACGAAGGACGAGAACGGACAGTGGGGCTCGCCCTCTGGCATTTTGATCCATACCGTTGGATGGGGTCTGATGATCGGTATGGACATTTACGATGTGGTCCTCATTCTGCGCGACGATCGTGCGGTGAATGCATTCAAATACCCCAAGATCAGCGTCGGTGGTGAGCTGACAGTATCGGCGGGCCCTGTCGGCAATGGCGCTATGTTGGACACTGGCATTGAGGCATCGCCTTGCTTCTCGTATGTCAAGTCCAAGGGTCTCTATGCGGGCGTGCAGTTCGATGGCACGATCCTTCTTACGCGGTCGGATGAGAATGCACGCTTCTACAATTATCCGGACATTGAAATCGCCACGATCTTGGACAATCGTTTGCCATGGCACCAAATTCCCAAGGCGTGTACGCCGCTGTGGCAGGCCCTGTACGCGGCGGAAGGCCGCCCAGATTATATGGGTACGAACGAGATTCCCATGGAGCCGTCGCCGGGCGATCACAAGTGGACCGAGGAGGAGTTGGCTCAGCTCCAGCAGCCAGACGCTACCAAGCACGACCCAGCCATCCAGCCGCCACCGCAGCGCAAAGTGCCGCTGGACAAGCCGATGCCACAGCCTGATACTAGTTCAGCCATAGGTGGCCCGCCCCCTGTTCCTGCGCATCCTTCCGGTGCTCCTGCCCAGGAGGCGCCTCCTTCGTATGAGAGCGTCGCTACATCGAACGCGGATACGCCTCTCCCCCCACCACGCCGTACCGTTTAAACGAAATGAAGATAGCCATCCGCATCAGCGCGGTCGCGAAAGCCTTGCCACCATGCGTCGGCGCTGCGGATTGGCTTGCCTTGGGTTTGTAGATAGGTAGCCAAGTATATCCCATCGATGGTTTGCAGGGCGATGGCTTGTCGTTCTGGCACATAGACGCCGCGGCCAGCGTGTGGCAGCGCAGGAAAGAGGCCTGGTGGGCATACGTACCCCTCACGAATGGCCACGTTCACAGACGGAAAGCGGGTATGTGACGGAGGCTTGAGCGTCATCGTGATCGGTTGCTGAGGTTAGGTCGTCGTTGCGTACGTACGGCATAGCCAAATCCACGCTGGCGTCCATCTATGGACGCGGCAGTCCAGCGATCCCAGCGCACCACGGAGAACTTGGGTGCCAGTTTCGGGGCACGTGTACCCGGCATGCCGTGCTGCGACTGCAGCTGTGTATGGCACGTAGGCAGTGTCGCCATGACATCGACCAGCAACTGCGCTCCACGCTCTGCGATGCTGGGCAGCAGCGATAGGTAGGTACTGCCTGCGGGTATAGCGAACGGCACCTGTTTCAGGATACCGCCCTGGTCAAAGTGTGTCGGATGCAATTGCTGGACTGTGATGCCTGTCTCAGTATACCCACGCGCCAGGGCCCACTGAATCGGCGCGGCGCCACGCAGATCCGGCAGCATGGAAGGGTGCAAGTTGAGCGTGAGTGATGGCGACGGAAACTGGTGAAGAAGCGTCGTGGGAATTCGGTGGCCAAACGACGCTGTGACAAGCATCGGCGCTTTGGACGTTTGCAGCGCGGACGGTAACGGAAACATATCCATTCCTGCGGCCGGCAGTTCACACGTAGGAATGGCATGCGTTAATGCCAGCTGCTTGACAGGCGATACACGCATGCGACGTGCGCCCCATTTGTGCTTTACATCCGGTGGTGTAAGGACGTGCATCGATGTGTACAAATCTATGGCGTGAGCCGTGCTTCTTCCTACGTACCTGACCGCGAGAGAATCGCTTGCAGAGCAGCATGGGCAAAGGCATCCGTCCCACAAAACAAAATGTCGTACGGCGGTGCAGGTACGCTTGCCGTCGACAGGTATCGTGCGTTACAGCGATGCAGAGAGCCGGACCGAGGCAGGCATCGCACTGAACGCCAGCTCCCCCCCATCGTGGCTCGACGGTGTCGCGGTGTGTTGGTTGTGTTTCTTAGCTAAGCGAGCGAGCGACGAACGCAACCTGCCCTCTCGTCCTCCAGCGATCGAGCCAACGCACCCCGCAGCGAGCGAACGTGGATGCCACCCGGCCCCCCTCGCTTGGTCTCGCGTGTTGTTCGTTCTGTCCGTATGCCGAAAGCGACAAGTCGCCAGCCGTCCATTGAGGACCGCCCCTTGCATGGACTGGTCGGCATCATCAAGCCCAGCGGCCCTACGTCGATGGATCTGCTGGATCAGCTCAAACCCTTGCTTGCCTCGTCCTCCCTCTTTTACGCGCCGAACGAAAACATGGACACGAAGTCGCAGCGCCGACTCAAACCATGGGAGCGCGCCATGATCAAAAAGTGTGGGCGCTTGCCGCCGAAGTTGGGGCAGGGTGGGACGTTGGACCCACTTGCGGAAGGTGTCCTGGTCGTCGGCGTGGGCAACGCGACGAAGCACTTGCAAAAGTTTTTGGACTGTACGAAAGAGTACGAGACGACCGGCCTGCTAGGCACCGCGACGACCTCGTACGATAGCAAGGAGCCGATCATGCGTCGCGCGCCTGTCTCGCACGTCACGGAAGAACTTGTGCGTTCGAAGCTTCCCATGTTCACAGGGCCCGTCCAGCAGTTGCCGCCGCTGTTTAGCGCGCTGCGTATGGATGGCAAGCGTTTGTTTGAGTACGCGAGAGAAGGCCTTCCTCTCCCTCGGCCCATTGAGCCTCGTAACGTCACTGTGGAGTCGTTGACGTTGACGGCTTGGTACCCTCCCGATGCGCATACCTACCAGCCCCCCACGACCGAGGTGCCTGAGGAGGAACGGGCTTTGGTTGGCCAAGTTCGTCGCTTAGCTGGTAGCGATGATCGTGGCTTGGATACGATGCGCGCCGAGGACGACGCGTCGTCCTCGACGTCGGTGGATCATACCATTACCACGCCACCGACAGACGAAGCTGACGTGGCACCGCCTGCATTTTCGTTGGCCATGACGGTGTCTTCTGGCACCTATGTGCGCTCTATTGTGCACGATCTCGGCACGGCGTGCGGTAGCGCGGCGCATGTCGTGCGTCTGGTTCGGACGCGTCAAGGCGACTTTGCTCTCGGCACCGATACCACCCCAGGGAACTGCATCCCATGGGCCGTGTTTGAGCGTGGCCTGGCGGAGCTGAAAAGCGCCTCTCTCGATTCACGCGATGCATCGGGCCTGCGTGAATGGGAGCGCATGCTTCTACAATACATTCAGCCTGTGTGAGCTACGAGTCACGACGTAGAGGTACAATAGGGTCCAGTGATTTTTGGATTTGCTGCGTATGCTGGATCGCATACTGCAAGGCGCGGGCTGTCTCGTCCTGCTTCTTTTTCGGGACACCCGCGCCGACGTCAGAGCGCAAGGTCGACACAGCGCGGACGTGAATGGCCGAGCTGGGCGTCAGCTCTGCCGGCCGATTCGTTGCGTCAATCGTCCACTGCGTGTGAGTGAGTACGTCGTTGCATACATACATCCATCTTACGAAACACCAAGAGCTCATGCAAGACGAGCGGGTTCTGCGAGACAAGCACATACCGGAGGCCGTAGCGCATCCATGAGCGTTCGGGGGACCAATTCAGCATGTACGCAAACTCGTCCCAGCCTCGACGGTGAACCGCTTTCGTAGCCAAATCCTCCATGGATATACTGAAGATCTGGACTGGATCGAGAGGGAGTGGCTCCGTGGCCGTTTCTTCCCATGGCACATCCGGCGTAAGATCCTCGACCATGACGACGTTGCGCACAGCCACTGTAGGCGCTGCACCCGGGGGCGCAGGGGGATGTGGCAGCACAAACTGTGTCGTCTTCCCTTGCGTACGCACAGAAATACGGACCTGATCACGGGCGCGGCGTACATTGCTCCATTGCGTGTCCGACATTTCCAACTCGCGCGCTGCTTCGTCGTCACTGCGATGCAGAAGCGTCTCGCGCTCGACAAACCCTTGCGGCGGGACATGCACCATGCGTGCTAGCGCCTCAAACAAAGCACCTACATGCAGCGGCTCAATTTCGCCAATGGCCGACACTTGTGTGTGCTGCAATTGCACATCATTGCTTGCCATGGCCCTCACTGCCCTCTTGACAAGAAGCGCCGCGGGCGATGTGGAGGAAAGTGCCTGGGCGGCGGACAGGCCTCCACGGACGCGCGCGCAAAGACGCGTGTGGGCCTTGTCCATCATGTCCACGCTGCGTGACGCACCGGACTTGGGCACGTACACGTCGCATGGGGGCGGCGGTGATAGCGATGATGAAATCTTTGCCGAGTTGGAGCGCGAGGTAGAGGCGCTCAATGAGGCGGATACCGAGGACGCTGCGCGCGTCACAGGGTCTGCCGCACGAGATGGGGAAGGTGATCTGGCGCAGGCTTTCCAAGAGTATCGAGCGCAGCGCCTCGCGGAACTACAGGCCGAGTAGGTACTATAGCATGCTTACCCTAGAATGGCTGCGCGTATGGGCGCCGATACCAGTGATCCTGACCGTGGAAAATACAAGGAAGTCAAGGACGAGAAAGAGTTGCTGCGCACGAGTATCCGTGAGCCACGGTGCGTCATCCACTTCGCGAAGAAAGAGTTTCGACGCTGCCAAATTCTCGACCGTCACCTCGAGGTACGTCGCTTTCGACTCACACACAGCATCTCGCGCGACAGCATCCTAATACCCTCTTTGTGAAAGTCGACGTGGAGAACACGCCCTTTCTCGTGGACAAACTGCATATTCGCGTGCTTCCATGCATCATGGCATTTGTCAATGGCATTTCCAAGGACAAATTGATCGGCTTTGAATCGTTCGGCAACTCGGATAGCTTCACCACAGCCGCCTTGGAATGGCGTTTGGGCCAAACAGGTATGTATGGACATGCTGACACCAGGCGTGATTGTACCGCAACAGAAAGCCCACCAGCCTATCCTGGGCTTCGGCGTGGCCTCGTCGGCCGCTCAAGATACCTATGACGACGACGAGTGGGACTAGGAGCCAGCCAGCAGCCAGCCTTGTAGACTACGATTTTGTCCGTATGCTCGAGTGGAGGTCGTGCGCTTCCTTCCCATTCACGATGCCGCAGGCCACGTTGGATGTGCCGATCCTGTACCCCTTCGGTAGGTAGGCCGCGCATGTGCTCATGACAGTGGGTGTCTATCGTTTGTTCCATGATCCGAACCTGTGGAAGCCCATGTGGCGCTCCTGCTTTTTCTCGGTGACCAAGGGCACAGCGCTGGCCGCCGCTTGGACGTTCATTACGTTCCCAGTGCAAAGCTTCTTTTCCCGTGTCTTTCTGGGCGGGTTCGGGAGTGCCGTGGGTGCCAAGGCCACATACAATACGCTCTCTCACTTTTGTGGGCGCTTCGGACTGCCCTTCATTTCTTTTGAGACCATGACGATCCTCTTACTCCTGTTGAATCAAGCGCATGCTGTCTTGGAGATGTCGATTGGAACACAACTACGCAGGTTCCGTACAACGGCATACCAGGCTACTGTGGATTCGCGTGGGAAGCCAGCAAGTTTCTGGACGCCGTATACGGAAGAGTTTGCCAAGCCACCTTCGAGGCACGGCGCTTCGGCGTCGCGCCGCTCTGTCAGCGATAAGGCCGTGTCCGTGGTCAAGAACCGCATGATCAAGATGGTCATGCGGAAGACGATCAGCATTGTGTTTGGCGCTGTGCCACGTACGTATGCACTCTACTCACACCGATCTAGTGTTTGGTTTCCTGGTCTACGCTGTTCTTGGCGGGTTTGAGTATGCCTGCTCGCTGCATCGGCCGTACTTTGAGGCCAAGCACATGAACGCACAACAGGTGAGCCTGTGGACCGAGGAGCGCAAGAATGCCTACTTTGTGTTTGGGTGCATGGCGTTGATACTTGAGCGCGTCCCGATTTTTGGCCTTGTCTTCTCCGTGTCCAACCGCATTGGTGCTGCGATGTGGGCACATGATTTGGAGAAGCGGCAGCATCGTTTCCAGTCTGGCGAGATCGACAAGATTGCAGCGGATTCCTCTACCAAGTATATCAGCGACGACCAACCCGGGGGCTATGGCCGAACAGAGCGCTCGGATGTAGCGCTACCAGGCGACATTCATGCGCCGCCGGCTGCCTAGTATGTTCCATGTTTGCCATTACGATTCTGTAGCTACAATACGTTGACGACGACGTGCTTCGCGGCGTGCTTCATGCGCCGCCAGTTCTGCGTCCAGCTGCGCACGGGCGATACGTAGCCATTCCAATGGGTCGTCTGTATGATCCAGCCGATGAATCAGTTCGTCGTGTGAGAGTTCTCTCGCGGGCTGCGTCACCGCTTCTTCAGATGCAGGCAAAGGCACAGCGGGAATGTAGCGGGCCATGGACGATTGTCGTCCGACCGATGGCATGAGCTCATGCATTTTGTCGGTAAACTCCTGGAGTGTCTTTACACCGAGTGTGTACCGAATGATCAGCGCCGCGACCAGGGCACCTGTGCCGACGATCCCTGTGGCCACAGAAAATGCCTTGATGGCCATAGTAGCGCTATCGTCCGCCTCGTCCTCGGCCTCGTCCGGCTTGGCCGCCGTCGTACCACGCAAGGCCGCGGCAGGGCCTGCAGGTACATGGCGCGAGAGGGCGCCTATGCTAGCCGACACGGGTGCGGTATGGGCGCGTGATACAGGCACGGCCTTTACAGGCAATGGCGTCTTTTTCTTCTCGCGGAGCGAGGTGAAGATCATGCTGTTCATTTCACGGAAGAGGGCCAACGCACTTTTAGGCGGCTCGTCATGGGTATCCGCCGCTGTCATCGCATGTGGACTGCCTGGCGTGGATGCTGGGTGGCGCTTCGCCAGCACTGCCATGGGCGAGGCGCGAGGCGCGGTGCCAGTAGACGGCGTCGTGGTAGGTGCCGCGACGTCGTCCCAGGCGATGTGCTGCGCAAACGGCCGTCGTTTGAGGCCATACAACGCTGCACCGACTGCTCCCGTGACAAAGGCCGCGCCGGAGAGCAGCAAAAGCCGCTTCTCTGTAAGGAGCGGCGCGTCCTCCTCCGGCGCCGTGATGGGCGCCGCGGCAGGTGGGTCGGCCGCCGTGCGGGAGGGACCAGGCATGCTTGATCGACGCTCGACGGAGAGAATGTGGAGGATGTTGCTACCTACCATTTGCCATGTCTGTCTATTTACCCCAAGGCCGGCGGTGCGTGCGGCGCACGAACGACCGAGTCTGGCAGCGTCCCAAACTCGCTCGAGGCAGGCGGCGCTTTTTCGTTCGTATAATTGCACAATTCCGTGGACTCAAGGAACAGTTCGTCACGTAGAACATTGGTCCAGTAGTCCAAGTGGTTTAGAATATAGTACCATGCTGCGTACATCACGGCACCACCCAGGATCGTCACGTTGCCGTATCGTACGCACTGCCATTGCGTTGCTGGAGAGACATGGAAGCCTGTGGTCATCGCCAGGTATAGCACGGCCAACAAGTATGGCGCGACCAGAGCGGCGACCAAGCCGCCCAACGTAGGCGCGACGACCACGCGCGTCGCTGGGCCGACAGGGATCCGCCACAACACCCCTGACTGAATTTGGTTGTACACCGTCCAGAGCATAGCAAAGGTGTCAGGCATCCATGTAAGGACCAAAAGAAGCCCTGTATTGAGAACCAACGCCCCCAGAGCCCATGCATACCAAGCGGAGAACGTCGGGATCTCGGCAGTGGGCGAGGGGAGGAGGTACTGGTACAAGACCAGCCCTGTGAGCAACGGGGCCAGGCCCCCCATGGTCACCAGGAAGTAGAGGAAGCGCAGCGTGCCACGCACCCCGTGCGATACATCCTGCTTGTACTGCGCAGGCACACGTCCCCTCGGCCACAATCCTCGGGCGCCATGCACCAGCAAGAGCGCCACGCCAAGAAGCACGTAGCCATGCAAAATGGTGTACATATCATGCAGCGGCGCCCAGTCCAGCGCGTACGCGAGCATGCGTCCCAGTGCCAACGGCCCACCGAGCCCCAGCATTACAACGCCCATCGACATGGCGATGAGGAGCAAGAGCAAGCTTACAATCCGCAGCCGCAAGTGTGACGGAATGTAGACAATAGTATAGGGTGCCTTGGTCTCCATCTTGTCCAGGGCAGCCAGTTGTTTGGTCAGCAACTCTTGGTTCTTTTCGTCGATCGGCGTGCCAGCAGCATCGGTCCGAATCAAAATCGACGTCTGCGTAGGTGGCCGGTCGTTGGCAGGCACACGCGCGAACCCGCCATCCCGCTCGCGACGCAGAGGCTCCACGTTCATGATAAACGACCGAGCCCAGTCGCCCCACGTACGGTACACACATCGCTCCTGCTCGTCCAGTTGGTCGTCGCCCATCAGAAAGGCACTCATTCGCACTTGCTTTGCCGCCCAAATCCACCAACGCCGGAAGAGGCGGCGCGAGTAGTACGTCAACCGAGCTCGCTTGATGGCGACGCGCAGCACAAAATGGACGAGCAGCAACTCCACAGGCACCATCGTACGCGGCGTCAGCGGCGCCCAGTACAGCGGAAGGAGGCCCGGCACGAGGCGTAAAACACGCAGGCCCACGCCGAGGACACACCCGGCCAGCGCACCGTAGATCACCGCCGAGTCAGCCATTTTGTGGAGCTGCTCCAGCGTCCGTCGCTCCAAAATGTCTTTCACGGGATGGAAGTCAGGGTCACTTGAGTCACGCATCCAGCATACGACACCAGGCCGCACCACCGAGCGAATCGCACTCACGAACTGTGCAAAGAAGAACATGTACATCGTTCCTGTCGCCCAGCGGCAGAACGTGAATGTCAATGGCGCAGCCTGCGCTTGGCCGACCAACGCCGCAAACGATGCGCCTTCAAACAGAGGCATAAGGCACCAGTCCATGAGGAAGCCACAGTAAAGCGGGAATACCAGCATATCCATCACAAAGAAGAACACCACCTTAAGCGATGTCGCGTAGTAAAACACCAACGTCGAGGCCCACTGTGTCTGGCCGCCATGCACAATGTGGCCAAACCGCGCTTCAATACTCAGGAACAACACGACGTACAGATGGCCCAGCACCGCACACAACGCACGTTCCGCTAGGTGGTCGCCGCGCGTCAGCGCATCCAACGCTGTGCCTGCACCATACACCCACGAGAGCACCGGGTGCACCTCCCACGGGGACGACAAGGGCCCTACCGGCGCAGCGTCACGTGGCGTAGGCACGACCGTCGTGAGACTGTCCAGGAGCAACTCAAACACCGGGTCTGTCAGCATACGCAGCCCTTTCGCAGGCAGAAGCACAGCGTCGTACACACGCAAGCCAAGGATACGACCTATACCGTATGGCACAGCCACACAAATCGACATGGTCATAATCGCTAGCATCTCAAACACAAACACATTTTGCGCAAACGCCAGCCATGTGCCACGCAAGCCAATCGCATGAAGAATGCTGTCCAGATCTTCGAGGAGATGCTCCGGATTCTCTTCCCACTCCTCGTCGCCTTCCAGTTCCTCGTCTGGGGCATCAGGGTCGTCCGCCGGCAGTTCTGGCCCACGCAAGGGAGCCAATTCTGGTGCGGGAGGAGCTGGCGCTGCAGGCGCCGGCAGTGCTGGTGCCGGAGGCGCAGGCTCGTCCTCCCATGCATCATCCTCATCGTCTTCGCCGGCTCCTTCGCCCTGCACGAGCCACACAGGATCTTGCGGCGTGTCCTGCGCCGGCCTAGGCGGCGGTTGCTCACCGAGCTGCACCGCCGCTCGCGCTACATCCTGTTGCAACATTTCCATGGGGTTGGCCGCGAGCATCTGCTCTGCACGCGCCTGCGCCGCCGCCAGGGCGGCAGCGCGAAGCTGTCGACGTGCCTCGTCAGGCTCATCGTGGACCACGGGCCCCTGCGCGGCTGGCGCCTCGTCCACCAAAGGCGCTACCCCGGCGATGTACTCACGCAAGAAAAAGAGGCCGAGGAACAGCACAAGCAGGGCCAGCAAAAGACCTACACTGCGCAGCCAATCGGTCATCAATGCTTCCACCACACGCTGGGCCAACATAGGGATCCAGGGATGCCATGGCGTGGAGGAGGAGAGTACGACAGTGCGATCCAACGTGGCGACCGGTACGCGGAGAATGGTCTCGGCGAGCCAGTCGCCTGTCTGGATATAGGATCGCCAGATACGTAGCGTGACATGCGGCACCACCAGGAACCAGCACGTAGCTACGACGGCTACACGCGTCAAAAAGGCCAGGCCGAACCATGCACGCCATGCTAGGTACCTCATATACATCCACGCTGGAAGCTGGCCATTGGGCATGGCATGGGTATATCGCTTGTGAAATACAAACGGGTAATTGCATAGTTCGCAGTACTTTTTCTGACTATGCTGGAGCCATTGTACAAGACTGCGTCAGTCGTGTGTGTCACGTACCAATCCTGGTGGCAATACTTTATACTGCCTGTACATTTACACGGATGGTAGAGCGGTGCGCCGGGCTCCTCTTCGATGCGGCATATACGGCAAGTGGGCACTTCATCGAGCCCCCGGTCCACATTCATGCTGCTGCCGCACACGCTTCGCGAGCGAGAAACAAGAACAAGCCGAGAATCGTGGACAACGACGACCGCTACCACCACACCACCACCGCCGCCGCCTCCATCGGCCGAAATGTGGAGGTTGCGTAGGCATGGTATACCCTATCTTGTTCTACAACTTGGCGACGCGCGTGCGCAAATCTTTCTTTTGGATCTCTGGAAACACGTGAGACATATGCATACGTACTGCCTGTGCTGGACTTGGGAAGTTCGTCCAGGATCGTGAACCATTTTGGGACTGCAAAGCCACTCATCTTGACGCGACAGAACGCCGTGACTTCGCTGCTGAGCATCTCTGTCTTCTTTGCGCCTTGGTCTGCAAGAGTTTGGCGTCCTACTGCACTGAGCTTCACGAATGCATGCACGCATTCGCCCCACTTCGGGTCAGGACGCGCGACGACAGCACACTCTTCGATCCATGGATGCGCTGCCAACTCCTCTTCGACCATCAGCGATGAAACGTTCTCGCCGCCCGAGATAATGATATCCTTGCCACGGTCAAGAATCTGTACTTCGCCGCCTGGATGACGCACAGCCAAGTCGCCCGTATGGAAATAGTTGCCATGCGTTGCATTCGAGGTCGCTGTCGGGTCCTTGTAATACTGCTTCATGACAATATTGCCTCGCATCACAATTTCACCTAGCTCTTTGCCGTCCCGCGCCACATCTTGCAAGGGCTGACCAGGTGGCACATCGCGGCGCACGACACGCACTTCGTCCCCGGTGACATAGGCGTGCCCTTGTTTGGCCTGCTCCTTGGCCCGCTCTTCAATCGGCAAAGCCAACCACGCAGGCTCAAAGAAGCGACGGCACGATGGGCCATACGTCTCTGTGAGGCCATACAAATGCATAGGTAGTAGGTTCAGTGACTCCATACGGCGTAGGAGCGTGGCTGTAGGCGCACTCGCAGCCACAGTCACACATACACGCTGAGGAAGACGACATGCTTTCGGATGATTCACCACACCCAGCTGCACAGTAGGCGCGCCAGAATAATGCGTCACACCACCATGCAGTAAAGCATCCCAAATCCTGTCGTAATTGACACTTCGCAGCATATATTGTGTACCCATAGCGGCACTCATCGCCCAAGGGAAGGTCCACCCGCAGCAGTGGAACATAGGCAGGACCCACAAATACACACTCTCGCCTGTCACATTGGACTCGATGACATTGCTCAGAGCCGACAGGTAGCTGCCACGCAAGGTGGTTTCCACACCTTTGGGGTGACCTGTGGTTCCTGACGTGTAGCACAGCGAGCAAGTCGCATCTTCCTCCTGGACTGGCGGCACGGCGAGCCAATCCAAAGGACCACTGCGATTCGAGGCTTGCCAATGCTGGTACCCTTCATCCAAGAATGCTTCGTACGCATCGGATGGGTCCTGACCGCCAGAATCCTTCGACACAACAACCTTGACTGACGATGGAACATCGAGCGGTACAAGGTCTACGTACTGCTCATCGACCATGATTACACTCGGCTGGCAGTGCTGGAGAATCCAGTGAATTTCCTTCTTGGAGTTGCGGTAGCTGCAGGTAAGTAGATTTGTCTACGCACTTGAGTGGCGTCAGAATACCGCCTGCCGCAAGGACAGCGTAATGCGCGTCGGCCATCATAGGCACATTGGGGCAGATCATCGCTACGCGGTCGCCTCGTTTCCACCCTGGGACATGTAGAAGTGCCATGGTAAGGCTCAGTACACGCGCCGCCCATTCCTCGTAGGTAAAGTGGTATCCACGCTCTGGATGCACAATCGCCAGCTTGGTGGGCCGTGTTAAAGCCGCACGCAGCAAGAAAGAGACCGGCGTCAACACTGACTTGTAATGCGGCACATCCGGTGCTGTGGGAATGCGAAGCTCAAACGGACGGCCTGTAGGCGGTGTAGACGAGCGCGGAGGGCGGTACTGGGTATGGCGAGACATGAACAAAAGGCAAGGCTTGGCACGTCAAGGTTTCTGTGGAGGTCATTTGCTCTATGGGGTAACTGCGCCAAGCGCCGCCTATTGTGGGGATACGAGGTATCTATCTAGCACGTGGCCGATGCATGGGCCAACGTCGCGTCGGCGCACGACGTGAGCAGCGCGATGGCGCGCTGTGCGTGCACATCGGTCGTGGCAGGTGCACCGACAACTAAGCGGAAACAGAATCCAATGGTAGGCAGTGTTGTAGGTGTGAGAAGGATCTCGGCAGAATGATGCGAGAGCACTTCATCGAAAGCATGATTCAACGCATCCAATTCCGCGGTGGTGGCCTCGGGCTTGGTCAAGCGGAAAAGGACTAAACCCCACCGTGGCGGAGCCAGCATCTCAAGGCGGGCATGCGATGCGAGGCCCTCATGGATCTGCTTTGCGAGTCGCATGCATTTGCGCAAATGCGCCTGGAAACCTTCGATGCCGTAACTGCGAAGCACCATCCACACCTTGAGCGCACGGAATCGGCGTCCCAACGTGATTTGCATATTGCGCAGGTCCCATACGGAATCGTGGCCTGTGTTCTTGGACTTGAGGTACTCTGGCGTAAGGGAGAGCGCTTCTGTCAAATTCGTGCGATCGCGTACAAACGTCGGCGACGATTCAAACTGAACCAAGCCCCATTTGTGTAGGTTGGTCGATAGGGAATCAAAGTTTTTGTTGACCGCTTCCAGGTTCACATCACGGTACTCTGGCAAACTCCACACGACGCCAGCATACGCAGCATCTAGATGCAGCCACAATTGCGGGTAGGCTGTCCGAACGTCTACCAATTCCGGCATGTAGTCAATAGCACACGTGTTGGTCGTGCCGTACGATGCCACTAGTCGTGTGAGTATAGCGAATACATACCAAGGTAAAACGGATAACGTCCATTTCGTAGATCCTCTTCAAGCGCAGCACGAAGTGTCTCACCACGCAGTCCAAAGTGGTCTTCGCGGTACACGGGCAACGAACGGCATTGCAGCCCCAGAATCTTGGCCGCTTTGTGACCAGACGAATGAGTCTGTGTCGTACAATACAACACCATCTTCGGAAGGAGATCAGCGCGGACATCGGCATCGGATCGCCCGGTCTCAAGCACACGATGCCGCACAGCGCGCTCACGAGCCGCAATGGCCATAATGAGAGTTGACTCACTGGCAGAGCCAAGGATTACACCACCGCCACTCGTAGACTTTTCATCGCGTGTATGGAAAGCTTCAGAGAGTCCTAGCATCGAAGCAATCCAGTTGAGCGCAATGAACTCGAGTTCGGTGACGGCCGGCGAGGCGTTCCAATTGAACGCAGGGTTGGTGGTCATAGCAGCAAACATATCCGCAAGGATGCCTTCGTAGGTTACGTTCGAGGGGAAATATCCAAAAAACATAGGATGCTGCCATTGCGTGATACCTGGCAAGATGTGCTCATGGTAGTCGCGCATGATCACATCCCAAGTCTCACCTTGTTGAGGTGCAGAGTTCGCGAGATGGGGGGCAAGGTAGCCCCGTTCAACTTGCGCCGTCACAGGACGATGATCCAAAGTAGCATAAAAATCACAGATTTGGTCTACAGCTGCATGAGCCGCCTTTCGAAATCAACGAGGTCAGTGGGCGTCATCCACATACTGCTCCGCGTCCATGGTATCTGGGCAGCGAGCGAGTCAGGCGTATGCAGGCGCCAGGACGCCTCCACCGTATCCTTCCTTCCCAGCCTTGACACTTGGGCACTCGGCCGATCTACTTCCACGTGACAAACGCGGCGGCTGGCCGCTCGTGTAGGCCATCACCAGGTCGGCTCGCGACGCACTACGTACGCACGCTCAAAGCACCTACAGATGGCGTCGGCGGCCGGCAACATAGACGTGTTTCAGCCGTCACGCTTTGAGTCACTGTATGGAATTATACATGCAGTGGCTACTACACCTGATGCTGCTACGCCAAACTGGTATTTGGACGTAGAGCGTCAGCGTGATGCTTTGGCAACCTTGGGCCGAATTCGGCCCAAGAATGATGCTGAGCGACGTGACATGAACAAAGGTATGTGAATTTACGCTGATAGTAGGTGTCATTGTGCTCGATGGAAAATCGCAGTCTGTGAATGCCGACTTTGTTGCACAGACGTTGCTGCTTTCTGATGAGTTGCACGTCTCGGAGATCTATGCAGCCTCGCTGCTCCAAGAAGGCATCATAGCAAGTGCACGCTGGGGCCGCACACCCACAGAAGTTGCATGTCTGCTCTTCTATCGCGAGCGTCTGGCGCTGCTAGCTTCACTTAAAGAGCTTGTGCGTGGCACGTATACACAAACTGTGGGCGGCGATCTTCGTACTGGCATTCGCCTAGGCCGCATGCTGGACGAACTCCTGCAAGGCGATGTGCTAGTGCGCGAGATGCTACACGAAATGGAGCAGTTAGCTTCGGAGCGTGAGCGTGTCAAAGCATCCATGCAACGTCCTAGTGGCCAAACACGGCTCGGCGATGATATCCAGATGGAGCGTCATACGTGGATTACACAGGCAGAGCAAGAGCTGTGCCATACTGTCTATCTTCTTGCTCTCGCACGCCGCATCTCACCAGCAGCCATGAGCCACCTCCTGGCTCATTTATCGAAGATGTCTCTCCCACCGCCCTCCGCCTCGTTGCCGGCATGGCCCTTGTACCTTCTCACTAGCGCTATGACTGTGTTAGACCCTACGCCCGATGAGGCAGGGGCTTGGCTTGCGCAGCAATCTGCCGGCGCCACTGTGTATACCAGCGAGGTACTTCGCACCGATGTGGCGTTCATGAAAAGCGTAGCGCAGTCATTAACTTCCGGTACGTGGACGACGCCTGGCTTGCAGCATATTCTCCAAGTCCAGTGGGCATTGTTTGGCACCGATGCTCTTTCCGCCCAAGCTGCTCTGGCTCCGTCGCTGAATACATCGATGGAGGCTTTGCAAACTCTCGCTCACCAAGCCCTTACAGCAGAGGGTGAGGCGTCTGCTCTCGTCTTTACGATCTTAGCGTGGCTTGGTTTCCGTCGTAGCCCAGAGGAGGAACTTGAGGAGCCTGCGCCCTTGATTGATCCAGAGTTCCAAGAGTACGTCTTGCAGCAGGCCGAGCATTGGCTCTTGGGCCTTACCAATATCTTTTTGCCATTGCTCCGCAAGATGCAGCGCAGTGAAGAAGAGGCTGCTTTTGCGTCTACACGTACAGCGCGTGCCGGATCTGCTGTGCCAGCGCGACGCTATGATATCGAGGCGCTCTTTGATGCGATTGCGTTGCTCTGCCGCCACCGTCCGGAATCGGGCCTCCCATTTTGGCTCGGCGCAGACCGTCGTATTTCCCGTTTCTTGCTGTGGGCGATCGATACACGCGAAACGGGTCAGCAGCGAGCCCTCTTTGCAATGCTGGCAGCACTCTCGGAGGGCGAGCAGTGTGCGGCGTATACCCATGCCTTGTTAGAGCATGACAGCAGTACTGGGAATGACCGCAGCTTGGTGGCATGGTCGCGTTTGTTTGAATGGCTAGCCCACTATATTGAAGCCTTCCAGCGCCATACCTCCGCTGTCATGCCGCCCGAAGAAATGGTGCTCCTACGTGGCTTTTTGCATGTCCTGGCCAGCGTGGTACGCCATAGTGTGACGACACGCGACGCTCTTTTCATGCATAAAGAGTACGCGCCATTGGACCGCCTCTTTGGCCTTTACGCCTGTGCGGTGCCCATGGATCTGAAAGCAGCCCTGCTGGAAGCCTTGACAGCGTTTGCGGCTCACCGCGATGGCGCTACCTCAGCCCGTGTCTTGCAGTCGCTGTGGGACCGGCTTGAGCAGACAGGGGCCATCCGCCGCGTGCGTGGTGAAATGCCACGGGCTGTCTACGAATTGGAGCAGGTGGAAGCTGTGCATGGCCGGTACCCAGGGACCTACCAACTGATCACGTTCTTGCAGGCCGTTCTGCCGTATGCGACGCCGGCTGCCCAGGCCGAAGCGCTTGTGGCGCATATGCATGGCCAGGGCGCGCTCCCTGCGTCCCATCCTTTCACGACCAGTGGCGCGGCTCCCTATTTGGCGTTTGTGCTGGACGATGTGTTTCTGCCTGCTGCCAAGCGCACATATGCACGCGCGACAGAGCGATGGTCCTTATCGGCCGCATGCATTGAGTTAATGGATGCGTGCCTGGCCTCGTTTGCGCTTGCGCCCAAGGATGCGAAGGAGTCCTTGGCCAAACACCCAGGCTTTGATGTGGTGCGTCGGCTGCTCAGCGGCAAGTCGTTGCTGCAAGAGCTGTTCTTCTTCTTGCATCCCGATCCTTCCTTGGCTGGGTATGAAGTGATCGAGCAGAATCGTGCTCAGACGCCCGACTTTGCGCGTGCCGTGAAGGGTGTGATGCGTATTCTGCTACGCATTTTGGAAATCCAGCCACATGTACTGCAAACGCTTCTTCCTGCGTGGAGCGATGCATTGGTAGGAGAGCGCTCTGCGTTTGTGCCGCTGGACCTGCACCTACTGCAATCGCCGACCACTGTTGTGCAAGTGGCCTTGTACTTGCAGAGCACGGATCCTGACTTGGCTTGGCTCGCTGTGCAGCTGCTGAATGCCTTGGCTCGCACCGCCACGTTCCAAGCCACGGATGCGTTTGGCCCACTGCGTGCACGCACCTCTATGAATCGCTTGGTTGGTATTTTGGAAATGACCGAGGAGGCGGCCCGCGTCACGAACGGCGCGCTTGCCTGGCTCGAGGCCGAGCCCGACGATGATATGGACGTGCCTGTGTCCCGTGATCCTCTTAGTACACGTGCTACGTCAGCGCGTGTCCAAGCTGCGCTTCTTGACCTACTCGCCACGCTGACACAGCCGCATGTGCCAGCCCCCAATCTGGCGCACTTGCTGCTGGGCTTTGATATGCAAGCCCCTGCGCAAGATCGCCTGGTGGATGGCACACGTGATGCTATGCTGCAGGCGATTCGGACGCGCGTCGACCCGCCTGGTCGCTGGCCCGCGGTGCTGGCAGAGCGATGCTATGCGGTACTTCATCACCTGTGTGTGCATGCGTATACCAGCGCAGCTACCTTGCGTTTCTTGCGCACGCATGACTTTGTTACGCATATGCTTGAGCGAGTGGCACTACGTCCTGTGGCTGCGGAGGACGACCATGTCCTCCCACCAGCCAAGGCATGGACCTCTATGTCGCTGAGCCGTCGAGGTACGTTGGTCTGGGCGTCTGGCGATTCCATGTCGGTATCGGCGGAAGCGACCCTCGCGTGGATGCAGTCGCTGGCACACATTCTCTCTCTCACTGCACTGGAACTGCATACCCTAGCAGCCCATGGCCAACTGGCACGGGCAACACCGCTATTGACGCTGCTTCTAGGCGAGCCTGCCATGCAAGGCCGAGGGGCTCCGGCTGGTCGATGGCTGCCATGCCTCCATGCTACGCATGTGACGTGGGATGACCCGACATCGGCCCATCCGCCACCGCATGTGGCGCGTCTCGCGGCGGCGCAGGTGGAGGATGCAGCGACGGGGCCTCGTATTTACGATATTGGCGCTGTCGCTGCCCTCTTGCTGGAAGAACGTCGGCAGGTTAGTGGCCCTGTACCTCCTTCATGGCTGGAGCAGGCGCAGCACACGTTGCTTTGGGCCGCCTCTCAAAACACCCGCCGGGCTATTTCCCAAGCCCGTCGTGCAGCTCTTCAGGCATGGCGCCAAGTCCTGGATGTGCTGATGAGTGAATGCATGAGCGCGCTGCGAGCGGATGTACGTGTACCGCTTCTGCTGGATGTTGTTACGGCTCTCCTTCCCCGCCTGGATGACGATCAGGATGATATGGCTGTCCCAGATATGGCCGCAAGTGCGATTTTGCATGCGCTGCATGCGGTTCGTCGCGAAGCCGAAGCCCCCAGTGATCGCCTGATTCCCCTCCTGCGTGCTCTTCTCGATGTGATCTGCCCAGGCTCAAGTGCACAAGCGCGTAGCGACTTGTACTTGAGCGTGGTATGCACGACGCAGCTAGCGGCGAAGAACAGCACTGCGGCGCGTGCGACGCGGGTGCGCACGCTCCTGGCCACGCACGCGGAGCGCTTGATTGATACTGCAGCACGTGATGCGCTGGATGGCTCGGACGTGACACAGACGGTAGCACTTACCCTGCTCATGCACTTGGCCTCGCTGGATGAGGCGGCGCCTCGCTTGCATGTGGGCCAGGTCCTGGCGCAGCGTGGGTATCTGCCGAGCCTAGCGATTCGCTTGCAGGAACTGGATGCGCCCTTGCAGGCGACTCTGGCGCCGGATCCACCGTCGCTGAATGCACAATATGTGTATGAGGCATTGATGGCGCTGCTGGGTCGTTTGGCGCATATTGATGCGACGCACATTATCGATGCGCGTATCTTGGATGTGCTGGCCCGTGTGGATTTCCCCTCCATGCGGCCTGAACACACGTGGGACGAAGCCGAGGGGTTCCTGCCGCCCGTCGCGGAGCGGTACGCGAGTCTTCTTGCGCCCCTCTTGCAACTGCTGGTGAGTGTGGTGACGCAAGCGCCCCAAGCCAAGGCCTCAGTCCAAGCTTTGTTGCTAGCCCATCAGGATGCTTGGCTGGCGGCCTTGCATAGCCCTGTGCAGTCCTCGCCCAGTGTCGCCGACGTGGAGCAGGCGGCGTTGCTCGTGCACATCCTTGCACATGTCCAAGTCCCCGCGCCGTTCCATACGGCGGTGCTGGCGTTGGCCGCCATGTACCTGACGCCCGACGCAGCACAGGTACTTGTGCCGCAAACGCCCAGCGAGCGTGACGATGTCTCGATTCTTGCGCCGACACTCCATGGATTGGTACAAGTGGCTGGAGAAGCGCGACGTACACTGTTTGCGGATACAGCCCATGCAGCTGTGCTTCGATTGGTGCGTGCGTTGGTTCAGTACTTGGAGCAAGCGAGCACTGCGACACACGAAACACGTGCCATGCTCGTCCCTTCGCTGCACGTAGCGCGGATCTCCGAGCAGGCCACCGCGTCGCGCATGGTCGCTGCGCCCTCGCTTGGTACCGCTATTGCTGCGCTCAAAGAGCAGCTGTCGTCCATGTCGTCGACGCTGCAAAGCCTAGACCGAGTCGATGGAGTGCGACGTGATCCCTCCTCCGTGCATGCTGATGAATGGGCGGACATTGCTGCGGAGCAAGGCTGCGTTTCCACCTCGCCTCTCGAGTGCCGTATGGTAGGCGAGCAGGCTGTGGAGCGTATGGCGACGCAGCTCCATGCTATGGCCGACGCGCAGCTAGATGTGGTCGAGCGTTTGCTGGTCTTGCTAGTACGCCACTTGGATCTGTTTACGCGCCTGGGTCCCACGCGGACATCGCTGGATAGCCAAGCGCTACAGGCCGAGGTGCATACGGTCCTTGCGCCGATTCTTGACGAGCGCGCTGCGTACATGACGGTACCTACGCACTTGCTGCCCGATGCGGCAGAGCATGCCACTTTCCTGCATATGAGTGCGCGACGCGTATCGGAACTGCTCCTGGGGGCGACGTGAGCCGTGACGCCCTCGATAGCGACCGTGAAGTAAACATAGCCGGTACAAATACGCCATATATAACACTACAAATAGGTGCTACCAGTTTCAACAAAAAGCGGCCAATGGACGGGCATGTGTAAAGCCCTTTGTCAACCTCGGTGGTATCATCAAGCCCTACCCTCATGGATCGTTTTATTCATTCGCTTGCAGGATCTCCACCACACGCCGAATTTCCTGCGCCATGCCTGCATGCGAGAACCCTAGTTGCCCCAGCGCTTCGATGCACCAACTCACTTCCGCCTGCTTGGCTTGGCGCGTAAATGGCTCTAACGCTGTGCTCAGAGGTACAGACAAAAGCAAGTCCACATCTGATGGGGAGGCCGCCGGAGGTATATGAGGCGACAGCGACGGCGACCCTTCCGAATCTTCAGCATCAGGGTTGAGCAGCTCAGTGAGTAGCGACGTAGGCTTCGCCATAGCGAGCGTGTCAGGCTCGAAGCTTGTGCCCACATCATCGACCAGTGGATCCGAGTGAGAAAGCAACTGCGCAACGCGGAACAGGAGCCGAGCCACATTGGAGCCACGCAGCAGTGTGTACGTAGGAAGGAGGTTGCGGCTATAATGAGCCATTACACGCCCCAAACACAACGTCCTTTCCATGCTCACTTGCACAAGGCTCCGAATTTGGCCTAGCAGCTCCATTGATTCGTCCTCCGACACAATATGGGCTTGTAGCACTGCATTCCGCGCCGATGCCATCCACTCACTCAACCGACGAGACACTGCACGATAAATCATAAACGACAAACAAAAAACCATCCACGTCCACTTTAATGGGTTCAACGGGAGGGCCGAATTCAAAAGGGGCCGAGCTTTGGCTACTAATACATGCAGAGACGCTTCAATCGAGTACAAGCTGTCCCATACATACTGGCAGGCAGCCCGTAACTTACTGACATACTCCAATGTTGGCACCTTTGTATCTTCCAACGTTGGCTGCAAAATTTTATTGTACACTTCATGTGCGACAACGCCCACTTGCTGAGTCAAAAGAAATATGAGACCAAGAGACTGCGGCGGGTCCAGCGTGTCAGTAAGCTGCATGAGATCCGTTACAGGTGCAGGTTCCATCTCGCCACCAGGGCCTGTACGGTAACCAACAATAAACCAGCTTGAGGGGAGAATCGGTTTCTTTTGATACATTACATTAAACACAGCATCGCGCACCCATCCAGCTTGCAAAGCACGCATAGCAGAGAGGCGTGCAAACAAGTCCGCCAAAGACGACTCACGCATTAACAAACTCAAATCAAATTCACCTCGCTTGTACAAATGAGACAAATGCGTCATGGCTACACGTTGCACCGACGAAGCCATCGTGGCTCGCGTGTAGTCAAGAATAGATGCCAGCATAATCATGGCATAAACGCCTTGCGTCGTACACTTGTTCACCAAATTGTACTTGTGGAACAGCGCAAGAACGCGGTTAATAAGATAGTTGCAGGCCGCTTCTCGCGTATTTCCAAACTCCAAAATTTCTTGTTGCGAGAGAGAACGGATAGAGGGCGGAAGCTCTTCCATGAGATGAAATTCTTCTCGTAAGGGCAGCAACTGCACATCTGGTAAAGCACGAGCGGCCTGTGGATTCTTGAGAAGATCACGCTCACGCTTCCATTGGATATAACGATCTGTACAAACAATACGCTTCACACGGCATCGTGAACATGCTTTGACGCCAGGAGGTTGCTCCATCAAATCACAACGTACGCGGCGTAAGCGGCATGTATCACATGCTACACCTTGCCGGCGCTTCTGTCGCTTTTGTGGTGGTGGGGGATCGGAGACACTTGTTGGCGTGCCAACAAGCGCAGCACGCCGGAAACCAAGTTCATGGTCAGAATCGGCTACTTCTACCAGAGAACGATTCCCCATGTTCGCGAATATCTCCACGTCCAGCGACTCGAAAGGAAGAAAAATATGGTGCGCACCCCAAGCACAGATCGTTGTCAATAATACCTCGACAGTCTCAGGTGACCATTCATCCTTGATGGAAGTATCATTTCGTACGAGGTACGTCTGACGCTCTGTAAAGTACGAGCGTGTAGCTTCATCTCCTTCCTGGCCGTTCAAGTACCGTGCCATAAGCACAGGGTCACCAAAAGATCGATTAAAGGCCTGTGCAAACCGTTCATATTCCACCACAGGTGCTGTTGTGAAGGGGTATGAGAAGTAGCAGTGGATCAGTCGGAGGTAAATACGGGGCCATGTCAAATCCATACTGGACAGATGACCATTAGCTGCCGCTTGAGGATCTGACTCTTCTTCAGCATAAATAGCAGAACCATGCAATTGCCTCCCAAGTTCAATGCGCCGTCCCGTTCTTGTAGGACGAGGATAGAACCGATTTTGCGAGATACTCACTTGTAAACACTTAATATTCCTTTGTTGACACCTGGTGCAACTCACAGGTTCATTCTGACCGGCCATACGCATAAGATCCTCGCGATGAGAGTAGTCACACCGCAGATGTTGCCTACGACACTCCCCGCATGTTTTGTTCATTTTTCTTGGCGGGGGTGACATGCTCCTTTTCATGGACAAATCCTGTCCCTGATTCGGAAGAATTGTATCTGGGGATGGGACTACTGGCAAAGACCCCATAGGAGAAGGCAGGATTGGTATATGCCAGTCATTGTTACTCCAAGAGGGATCATAGGCACCGGGCCCGGGTGTCATCAAGGTCTCTAAAGGTTGTGGCGTCTTCCAGGGAATATTCGTCATTTCATCGGCATGCAATGACCTGATGTCCAAAAAAAGCCTGTTCCTAAACGATTTAACGACGCGAGATGCAGTAAATCCTCACTAAACCAATAACTCTTGCGGCATGAACACCGGTCCAGGCAAAATTCGCAATATAGCCGAACATGCACCAAATCAATCTCCACCCACATCGTCTCTCCCTCCATGCGACCACGTGGATCCCAGCCGGGCTTGTCACGCGCGTCGCGATGGTCGACACAAATTTTTGTGGGCCCGCCAGATCCTATCTCGAACTTGAGGCCAGTGATTTATGATGCTACTCCTACAGGGTCTTCGACGAAGACTGTATCGGCAACGCACCCATATTCTCTGTCGGAGTTTTCCATGCCTCATAAATCGGCTGCGCTGCGTCAAAATAATGCCCTGAGTCGTTATGCGGAAAAATTAATGACACGTCTAGAGGCTGCCCAATTGCATGCTCGACTCCAGAGTATGTGGTTGGATCAATATAATCAACGCTTCTGGACCGACAATAATGTGCGGTTCAGTCGTGCATTGCAAGAGTACGAGTCGACCATCTCACCCAATACCCCGGCATCGTTAGAGCAGGTGTCTCCCTTTTATCGTGAATGGCTGGCGACCAATGCCGAGCGTTTGCGGCATTACAATCGTACTCTGTGGGTAGCGACCTACAAAGTGATTGGGGCGCAGGTATGGTACCGATGTGTCCTGGGATATACCAGAGTCGTAGCTTGGTTGGCGGGTATGCGTGAATGAAAGCGGGTCACGGGTCATTTATAGCTACATAACTGACTTAATCAAAGGCAGCTTCATCGCCGCCATCTGCATCTATGTCATCATCGTCTTCGCCGTTGTCAAAGTAGTTTTGTGCATAGTCATCGTCGACTTCATCCTCGTAATCGCCTAGATCTTCCTCTTCCGACTCGGGCGCAGCCTCGTCTTCGCCTTCAGCTGCACGCTTTTCTTCCAAATGCAGGTTGTCCCAGTCGATAGTAGCTATGCGTGAAGTGGTACTCATGTTAGCAAGACGCGCTTTCCGCTTTGACTCATTACAGGAAAAGCTTTGCCATAGTTGAGGGGGGAATACGCATGGCTGCAGGGGGACTTCTTGAAGGAATGATGCAGCAGATGAAGCACTTCTCCGCTCGGGATGGTATCTGTAGGTATATCGGATCACTTCCTCTTCTGCTACTCTTTTCTTTGGTAGCCGGGTCCAGTACGGCGAGTCATGCTGTTGTCGAAGGAAATCCAACTGCAGAGACGCCGTTCGTAGTTCGTCATTCGTAGGTGGTGTGAAGATAGGCCCATCCACGGGGGCAGGAAATGTGGATGTCTCCTCTATAAGTGCACTCTCAGAATACGGGAATCCAGGCCCCTTAAACATGCCCATACCAGCACGGCCGCCACGACGTGGTCCGCCGGTGGCCATACCGGAGGATTGATAGGCAGGATGGCCTCGCTGGGCATTGCCTTGCAAATTTTCACCACGTGAACCTCCACTATGGCAAGCCCTCCAGCGTCGAAGGAAGTAGACTTAATGATTGTACATGACAAACTACGACAGAGGGGGTATGCTACACTAGCGAGTGCGGATGATACCGGCAGCAATAAGCTTCTGGATCTTGGCACGAATGCCAGGGTTTTTCATATGGTCTTGCAGGGCCGCAGGGTTCGACTGAGCTTGCTGCAGAATAGACTGCATGATCGGATCCTGCATGATCTGTGCCACTTCAGGGTCACGCATAGCACGCTCAAGGGTCTGCTCATCCGACTCACCCGAGCGCTGAGCATAGAGGGCCTGCATACACTTGTTCATCAAACCCTGGATTTCGCGGGCGTGCTGTGCACCACCCTCGGCCGCCTCGTCCACGTCAGTAGCCATCTGCGCCGCCTCCATAGCCTTCGTGTACTCCTTCATCGAGAAGAGAACGTTGCTCTTGCGGATGTATGCCTTGACAAACTTCGGATCCACCTTGATGGCCTCCTCCGCGTCCTTCAAGGCTTCCGGCAAAGCAGCCAGCTTGGTGTAGGCAGAAGCACGGTTCGTGTAGCCACGAGGGTCGGACGGGTTGCGCTTGATCGACTCGGTATAAGCCTGAACGGAGCCAGGGAAGTCGCCTTCCTTGTACAGCGTGTTGCCGCGGTTGCGCTCTTCCTCGGCTTTCGCAGGGTCAATGTACGCCTGGCGTTCCTGCTCTTTCACGTCCTTTTCAGCCTGGCGCAGCTTGGCAAGGATCTCTGGCGTGCGGTGCTCCGTCAGCGACTTTTCAAAGTAGGTAATGGCTTGCTTCAAATCATTCTTCTTGAGATAGGCCGAGCCGATACGGCCAAAGGCCTTGGCCACAAGCTTGTAATCGGCCATCATGGAGCGGCCTTCCTCTACAGCCTTTTCACACGTCTTGATGCACTCGTCAAAGTCACCTTTCTCAAAGTACACAGCACCCAGGTTGTTGAGATATGTGATATCCTGATGCAGCTCCCAGGCTTTCTGGTAATGCGCCGCCGCCACATCAAAATCACGTTTCAGGTAATGCTCATTGCCCTTCTTTTTTTCCGCCTCGGCTTCCGCTACCTTAGGGTCCACAGGTTTTTCTTCTGCCGGCTTAGGCTCCTCCTTTTTCGGCTCCTCCTTCTTGGGCGCAGACGCAGGCGTAGGCTCTTCTTCCATAGGAGTGCCTTTGTTGGCATTGTGGTCAAAGGCCTTCATGTCCACACCGATCAGCGCTCCCATAACCTGGATCATACGTGGGTCTTGCAGAGCTGTCATGGGGTTGGCCTTGCCACTTTGCAGGTCCTTGAGCTGCTGCACAAAGGCAGCATCATGCAGCATCTCCTCCGTCATGGGGTTGCGCGAAAGTTTGTCGAAGAGCTGCGGGTCGCGGAACAGGTTAGCCATGGAAGCAGCTGGATCGGAACCCGCTCCTGCAGACATAGCACGTTCCACGTCCGCCAACCCCTTCTTCAAAGCAGCATCATCGGGGCACGCCTCCAAACCTGCCTTGTAAGCCGCCACAGCATCCTCGTATCGATGAGCACCGTGGAGGGCGCTACCCTTACGGCCATAACCTTTAGCAAAGGAAGGGTTGGCACGGATGGTGGCTTCGGCATCGTCCAACGCAGCATCCCAGTTCTTCATGCCAGCATGGCTCGCACTGCGGTTGGAGTACAGCACATGCACACCATCTTTTTCACCTGATTTCTCAGCCTCTTCAATCGCAGCTGTATAATGCTTAATAGCACTCTCGTAGTCTTTGGCAGCAAAACTTGCGTTGCCTTGGGCCTTCAGTTCCGACACAGACATGACGTAGGTAACAAGAAGGCAGAGTGGGCGTCCAAGGCGTCTATATACATCTGTGGAGGGTCTACTTCCAGCACTTTCTATCGGCCGATGAAGAACAGTGCATGGACCATGTCGTCTGACACCTAACGACTATGAGGCAGGAGGGTATAGAGTATATTGATAGTTTACACACGCTTGTTACGAGACTCCTTAATTCGAGCAAATTTGGCACGCAATGCCCTTACGCTAGCTTATTAGTCGAATAAAAACACGTACCGTTCTTCACCTTCTTCCTGTGCTTGCTGTTCTTCTTCAATGCGTGCTAGAATATCTTCACGCGCCGCACGATCTAGACGCGCACGGCGTTCCGCCTCTGACTCTTCTTTCTCTGTTAGCTCTTGTGCTTGCGATGCGTCAAACAGTTCCGGTTCCGCCGATATAGTTGTGGATGATGGTTTCAGCATACCTTGCTCGGCAGGCGTGAGCACTGTGCGCTGGAATTCGGCCCATTCAAGGTCAAAATTGTCTTCTACCTTTGCTCTCTTTGTGTCCATCGCTTTATTGTCATGCGGCAGCGTGGGGTCGGACTCTGTGTCTTTGCGCTTCAATGGCGCAGAATCGGGAACGAGAGTAGAAGGTGTGTCTTCAAGCGATGAGGCTACCATCTCATCTTCTGTACTTCCTTGCTTTGCCTTCTCTGTCTGTGCTTCTGCTTCCAGAAAGGCGCGTACATGGTCACGATGCGACTTGGAGAGTGTATGAGGACCCCATAATCGTTCATGTTTAATAACGGTAAAATCACAGGCTTTGCAGCGAAGAGCACCCGTTTTGACATGGTATGATGCCCATCGATCACGTATCGGTCCCTCGCCTGCTTCCCTTTTCGCTGTGGCCGAACGCAGGAGCGTACGTTCGTCCACCATGATGGACGACTGGGAAGAACCACGTTAAGTCGCGTTGTTGTCACGTGCGTGGACCCTATTACCTGGACGTTGGCGACACAGCAAGCGTTGGTTCGACCGCACGTTCGTTCGTACCCTAGCATTGACATCGGTATGCTGGGAGAAGGTGCATCAGCGTCCGTGCCAGAAGGGCAGGTAGGGACCATGCCTGCCTCCAAAAAGGACCAGCTGGAAGCCAAGATTGCCGAGGATCCTCGCGTTGCAGGACCTTGGCTACAACTGATCGAGCTAACCCGTGAAGGTGGTCAGCTGGATGACATTCGCGATACGTACGAGCGCTTCTTTGAATACTTTCCTCAGGCCAGTGCTCAATGGATGCAGTATGTGGATCTAGAGCTAGCACACTCAAATTTCGATAATGTCGACGATATCTTCACTCGATGCTTACGATCCACATTGTCCGTCGATCTATGGAAGCTTTATCTCTCTTACACGCGTCGCGTTCATCCTGTGCCGCCTCCTACCGGAGAGGAAAACAGTGAACGTGATCAGGTGCGTCGTACGCTTGAAGAAGCGTATGAGTTTGCTCTCAAATTTATTGGCTGGGACCGTGAAAGCAGTTCCATTTGGCAAGATTACATTCAGCTCATTCGCGAGCGTGAAGCCAAAGGAACATGGCAGGAAGGCCAAAAAATGGATCAATTGCGTCGTGCTTTTCAGAGTGCCGTCGTTGTTCCGCTGAACCAAGTTGAGTCGATTTGGCGCGATTATGACGCGTACGAAACGTCTCTCAATAAGTTGACGGCCAAAAAGTTCCTAGGAGAACGTTCCCCCGCTTATATGCAAGCGAGGACGGTATTGCGTGAACTAAAGCAGTTGACAGATGCGCTGGAACGCCCTTCTCTTCCGAGTCAACCGGCTTGGCTGGTTGCCAATGGTAGAACTGCAGCTCAAGACAAGCGGGCTTTCAAAGCATGGCATCGATATTTGGAGTGGGAAGAGTCCAATCCACTGTCTATCGACGATACTACTGCATTCCAGCATCGTGTACTGTCCGCTTACAAGCAGTGCGTTATGTATGCGCGATTCGACCCGGTTCTGTGGTACATGGCAGCCAACTACTGCCAAAAACAAAGGCTAGAAACGGAGCGGCTTGTATGGCTTCGAAATGGTATTGATGCCTGCCCTTGGAGTGTGCTTTTACGATTTACGTACGCGGAATCATGTCGTGCTCAAGGGCGGTATAGTGATGCGACTGCGGCGCTGGATGACCTCGTCGAGTACACACAGAAGCAGTTGGATCTACGGCTACGCCAACTAGCACGTGCTGAGCAACAAATCGAAGCCGAAATTGCGAAGGAGCGTACAGCACAGTTGCAGAAGCGGAATCAGGTCGACTCTGCGCCGGATGAAGAAGAGGCAGATAAAGTGGAGTTGGCCGATATTGAGCGTCGCTTGCAAGAAGAGCGTGAGAAACGATGTGCCATAGCGAAGAAAGAGGCACAAGCAGTCTTGGATCTTTGGCAAAATGCTGTGAGTCAAGTATGGATCAAGTACATGCAGTTTGTGCGTCGTGCTGAAGGAATTCGGCCTACACGCCAAATTTTTGGCCGTGCGCGCAAGTCGCCGCACTGTTCCTGGGAAGTGTATGAGGCCAATGCCATGCTGGAGTATTATTGCTCGAAAGACCCTGTTGTAGCAACGAAGGTGTTCGAGCTGGCCCTCAAAACATTTGGCCCGAATGAGCACTTGGTCGTCCGATACCTCAAGTTTTTGTTGTCGATCAACGATGATACCAATGCACGCGCGCTCTTGGAGCGGACGGTCCACGGTATGCCACCGGAAAAGGCGCGTGTCGTTTGGATGAGCTGGGCCGAGCATGAATACAGCTATGGCGATGCGAGTGCCATTGCGCGGCTAGAAAGTCGCTTGCATGAGACGTACCCCGACCTCTCGGTCATGGAATGTGCATCTATGTCTTTGCGGTACCACAATCTAGACAGCGTGCGATCCATGGATATGGGCGACTCGGCCGATGCCATTCTGAAGCCCAAAGCCCAGCGTTCCAGCCGCGGCGAGGTGGAAGACAAGGCGGAGGAGACTAGCGCCGCAGCCAATCCCGAGAAAGAGCCAACGAATACCAGTAGCCAGCCAGCGAAAGCCGAAGCAGCTGGCCGTCAAACGATGGAGGAGATCCGACGGTCCCTCGTCACGTCGTCGGAGCCTGTAAAACGAACGCGGGCCAAAGCGGAGGATAAACCGTCGAAGAAGAGCAAGAGTAGTGCCGCCTCGGATACATTGACACGCAAGGCAGCGCGTGATACGCCCCCTCCGCCTCCCTTCGTACTCCCAGACGCCATACTCTACTTTATGAAGTATGTATCTATCACAATCTAACATCTTGCAGCCTTCTGCCGCCGGCCATGACGTTTGATGGACCGCCAATTACACCGGAGCATATTTTTGAGTGCATGATACACTCAGCCTTGCCTACCATCCCACTCTACGCTGAGCCACGGAAGTCCGGGCGGAAGCGCACATAGCGACATCGTAGACATGTGGCTGATAAGCAGCACTCCACGTCCGATTATCAATCATCCCCGGCCGCGCCCAAAATCGTGCGTGCCCCAGAGTGGAGGCTTAGTTGCTTCGTGCTCCCTCCCACCGGCAAGGTAGCCAAGCGAACGGGCAGAAATGCCGCGAGGATTTGCTACGTCGGTACTGTACCCCTGTGCCTTTGCGCAGGCAGCTTTAGGTACGAGAAGGTGTGTGCTCATATGGCCAGCCATTTGGTTCAAATACCCCAATCCGTATGCGGAGCATGTCAGGTCCATCGATATCTTGGACGAATACATGTGCTCCGAGACGGGTATCGTACACATGGAGAGACTCATCTCGGTAGAGCAGAGTGCGCCGCGATGGATACGCAGTGTATGTATCTGATGTACTAACAGGCAGCTACTAGGGGCTGACGACGTCACATATGTCCGTGAATTGATCCGCTTTGATCCTCGCGTGCCCGCTGTGGATATGGAGAGTACGAAGTAGGTGGTGGCATTTGTGGTCACTGACATGCCAGTCTTTCTTTCAGTGACTATCTCCTTGTCCAGGAGAAAATCCGTTACACACCCTTCGAGAAAGGTACAACACGATTTGACCAGAAAGCCGAATTCCACTGCCGTGGGCTAGAAGGGTCTAGCGGACAAGGACTGTTTAGTTCTGCCGCGCATGCTGTGGAAGAAGCAAGTGTGAAACGGTTCAGCCAGAATGCAGCAAAGGGTCGCGCAGGCTTCTCGTATGTCCTCATGGCTCTGTTTGGCGACAAAGATGCCGTAGAGTACGAAGCACATGTATTGGATACATAAACAAAAGAAGGGCGTAGAGCCTATATAGTACAAAACAAAAGAGTTAAAGATTAGGCACCGTCGCCTTCGTCCATCGCGGTATGCGACGTAGGCACATCCCAGGCGGCGCGATGAGCAGGACCAACAAGCCAGCCAATGGAGGTATGCATTTGTTCTGCGGCTTGATGCATGGCTGCGTGCACGGCGGCCTCAGTCGGCGTCTCAGTTTGATCAGAGGCGCAAGTACTAAGCATGGCTAGTCCACGGCACCAGGACAACACGACTTCTTGGCCATACATACGTGCTTCTTTGTTGACCGCCGCGTCCATACATACAAGCCATGCCTGCCATTCTCGAAGCAACATAGGAATAATGGTGTGCGCCATCGGATCCCGAGCGTCCGAGGATATAGTGAGAGAGTTTCGGAATGTTTTCACTAGGGAGCTCGACGGTACGCGCTTGAATTCAGCCCCATCGCAGGGCAACATGTGCGCAATACGGAGCATGCACTGTGTAGCCGTATGAAGGAACGAAAACATCTCTGTAGGATGAATAGGAGGCATGTCACGGCTTGCCTGGCGAGACGGTGAGAAAAGCGACAGGTATCGCGCCAAGTCGGAGGCCAACTCATCCAACGTCGAACGTACGCGGCCCCATACATACTGCTCGCGAACGTGGCCTGTGGTGCTCATCGGCAACGACGAACGAATCCGTGATTCGTATTGCTGCAGACTAGCCAAAGCATTTTCCACGGTCGGGGCTGGGAGAAGGGTATAGATACGTTCGGCGGTAGACTCGTCTTTTGCTAGCTCAAGCAGAATTGTTAAGAGCGCCGACTTTTCAAGCGTAGCCAAGGAGCGGCCAATATCGCCGCCATGAGACGGTGCCGCCCGTTTAGCATGTCCATCGCAGGTTCGACCAGCTCGACGACGTTTGGCAGGGTCGTCAAGGGATAACAACATGTCCGACTCGTCGTCGACGTCCGCATCGTTGTCCATGGAGTTGCGACGGCGCTTGTGCCCAGGACGTCCTGTCTCCTGAGACGGCATCATGCGCGCAGGAGAGAAGGACATATGCGATGCCTGCGGCGCCTCTGCCGCGAGGGCTGGCGACGTATGCGTCTCGCCCCATACACTTCCACAGCCAAATCCAAACGAGAGGGCGGGTGGCACATGATGCAAAGCCGGTGTATTAAACGGAATAGTGCGTGGTGGTGGTGTGACAATTGAGTTTTCCATCGTGCCCCACATGGACAAGTCCGCAGCACGCCAAGGTGGTGTGAATAGGTAGGGGCGTGGCTGGTGTGGCACTGGGTCTGAGCGTCCCAAACCAACGGCGCACCTCTCTGGAAGCTTGCAAAAAAACGAACGACGCTGGCGGCTGACGCAATGGCTGACTAAGCATAGCCAGGCCGCAGGGCCTGCGCGACGGCCGCGACGCGTCGACGGTCTCCTCGCCTAGGCTACGCTGCGCGACATGGTCGTTCGGCGGCGATCAGCGCGTGCGCCAGGGCGCGCATCACCTACGTCGTTGCCCTCCAAGAAGGATACATTGACTGCATCGAAAGAGACGAACGATACAGAAAAGCCAGCGGTGGCATTGAAGGCAGAGGATGCTCAGCGCCTTCGTACGATCCTCAACGCGTACGTACTAAGCAGCGAAGTACTTAGACCACAGCACGGCCCCTACCTTACTCACTATGCCTCTCCCTCATCGGGATGGTGTCACACTTCAAGCGCTTCTTGAGGCCACGCCATGTGACTTGTACGAGATCTGGGACAGTCTACGAGCCAGCCAGCCAGCGACGTCCCGCCAAAGCGCAGAGACACAGACTGGTGTTTTGCTGGCGGAACATATGCTCATGGAGCTAGCAAAGAACTATGTCTCAGGTATACGTGAGCAACCCTCCATGTCCGCCTACGCACTGCACATGACGCTGCCTTCCGGGGAGTACTTTACCAATGCCGTCCACTTGGACGAAAAACAGGCAGAGTCGTTATCGCGTGGCTACGCCGACTTAGTAGCCATTGCTCCACCCATTCGCACCGAGAGCGTGGTAACGCTTGGCGAGCGTGTCCGCTCTGGGCCCCCGCCCAGCATACCCACACAACCGCGAGGTCCGATCATGCATGCCTCGACATTCCGGTCGTACGGAGCCTATGGATCGTCGTTGGGCCCATCGTCCGATTCGACGGGGCAAACGCTACGTGCCAGACCTGCTGAGCTGGTATGGCAGATGCAGCAACGTACAACGCATCGTCGTACACCTCGATGGGGCGCGCCTTTAGCGGCTGCAGTGGATCGAGCCTACCGGACAGATCCCGCTTTGGAGGCGATGGAGACAGACAACGACAACGACGACAACGACGAAGAGGAAGAGACAGAAGAGACGACCTCCCATGCGCTCGCTACAGATGCAGCTGCGTTGGATCCTGCATTGGATGCGGCGCTATTGGAGCAAGCCCTGGATACACTGGAGATCGATCACATGCTCAGCGCCAATGCGGCGCGTTTGGACGAGCTGCAAGAGCTGCAGTGGCTGCGTGTGCGCATGGACTATGGCCATGCCACGTCGGAGCAGGCATCGCGGCGGGAGCAAGAGTTGGCAGAGACTCTTCTTGCCTCGTTGGTCGGCCTACTGTGCCGCCTGCCGCCCTCGGCGCTGGGCACGGCAGTGGCGCGCCATGGCCCGCTATGGCACATGACGCAAACAGCCTTGGCCTCCTCGCTCGCAAAACCGAGCCAGGTGCCGGGGTACTGGGGCACAGTGCCAGAGGGGTATGCGGGCGTACGTACGCAGGTGACATTAGCGCCGCCACCCAGCGCTACCGATCCATCCACGACGCCTACGCCGACGTGGGCGGCCCTGGTACGGCCTCGAGTCGTCGTCACAAACGAGACAGCCCGGCCTACGTCTGCTACGGTGCCGCTTCTCTCCTCGTACGACCAGTTCCAAGGCTCACCAGTTGTCGCTGTGAAAGCTATGATGACACAAGCAAGGCCCCCACCGCCGACGCCGGCCTACATGGGCGTGGGCCGCCCCCCGCTGGGCTACCTACCTTCGCAAGCCCCATTCTCGACGATGCCTCGTCCACCTACGAACGTAGCCCCGATTGTACAACCGGCTCGCGTCGTGCCAGGCTCCGTCGCACGGCCGCCGCTGCCGAACTAAGAGATAGTGATGTATTTTATGGTACACAAAGGCGCCTATTCGTCCATGTCGTCGTCCGAGTCGTCGTCCGAGTCGTCATCGTCGTCGTCATCATCGTCGTCGTCCAACTCGGAGTCGTCAACGGACACATCGCTATCATCGTCGTCCAAAGGCGCCTCGTCCTCTACATCATCGTCGTCGTCGTCGTCGTCCTCGAGATCATCTTCGTCCATCTCGCCCACGTCGTCGTCGTCGTCATCCAACGCCTCCACATCATCGTCCGCAGCCATATCGTCGCCGGCGCTAAGGCCAATGTCTTCCACATCGTCCTCGTCAGCTTCGACCCACGTCTCGCCCTGCTGGCGCTGCGACATGGCCGCCTGCTTCTGTTCCAACTCTGAGGCAGTCGAGCGCGGCCCGACCTTTTGGCCTTGCACTTGCATCTGCGCTTCGTCGGCCGTGTACGACATATGCATATCAATTTGACTCATGACCAACTCCATACGTCCCTTGAGCGCCAAAAGACGCTCGTACGACGCCAATCGGGTAGCTAAACTGTGATGCAGCTGCGAGAGACGCGTGACCAGGTTCGGCAACGACATGAGGTAGGCCGTATGGTAGGTCAGCGTTTGATGGATCCATTCCACAATACCACGAGCACGCGCACTACCCAGTGCACCCTTGCTCTTCACACCACCGCGGTTCAAGCGGTCTACACAGGCTTCCAATAGACGCACGGCCAATGGACCCGAAATGCGGCGCACCGTCGTGCGGATCAACGTAGGGTCCGAATGGACCAAGCATGATGTCAAGAGCGAGTGATCCCCGGAATGCAGCGCTTGCGTCAGCGACGAGGCCAGCGAAGCACCACCCACAGGCGCCACGGCCATGTCATCGTCGCCATCGTCAGCCTCGTCAGCGTCCCCCGCCGTCTGGCGCTCACCACGCTGAACTTTGAGCGCCTTGAGTCGCTGTGCCAAGGTCGGCTCGTCCACCACATCTCCCTGCTGCAGCAAGTCATCATGAGGATCCGCCATACCATCCTGCTCCTCAGGCAATCGCCCACCTTCCGTGCCAAGGAGCGCCGCCGTAGCTGCTGCATGCTGAGGAAGCTCAGCACGAGAGCCGGCTGACAAGGCCCCTTCCTTGTATCGCTGTGTCTCATTCGACGCAGCTGCGCTAGGCGTAGCTGCTGTGCTGGTATTCACATCAATCGTGCTGCGTAGCACGCCATCTTCATGCAGTAAAGCGTCGTCTAACACGACCTTGACACTCTTTATAATGCGCGCAATGCGCAGACGCTCTCCGTCTTCAGTGCGCTCTGCATCGGCCATGTCGGACACGGGCGTAGACATGTGCACACGCGCAACCACTGGCAAGGGCGCTAGACCTTTTTGCGTCTTGGACACATCTTGCGGCAGTCTGTACACTTGCGCTGTGCCTAGCTCAGAGACCACCAGCAGATGCCAGCCTGCCTTGGGCTCTTGCCACGTAAGTAGACGCCGCGCTGGCGCGTCCAACGTGAGCATCGCGCGAGCTTGTCCCACGCTGGTCGAAGAGGTGTCAGACGGCAGGGCCCAGTAGTACAAGTGGCGGTCCTCCGCCGCTGCACTCACAAAGCCATGCTCTCCAGCCCATGCGAGATGAGTGATCGGTGTTGCATGGCCCGAAAAGTGCGTCACAGGCGAAGGACGATCAGTGTCCAACGCATAGACCGTCGCAGCGTGATGCGCCGTGAGCAATCGCCCAGCAGGGCCACATGTGACCATAGTCGTAGGCGTCTTGCTATCAGGTAAAAAGTGCGTCGTAGGCGGCATGCGCTCCCGCGAGGATGAGAGCGACATCTTGGACAAGTCCCAGCCATGAACCCAGCCATTGGCCGTAGCACCCCAGAGATGCTGTATGTCCGACGAAAGGGACACCACAGCCGCGGACGTACTGTCGGGCGTAGAAGCCACCAACATAGCAATGACACGAGCCGTCGTCGGCGAATACAGCAGGACGGTCCCGTCCGACATACCTAGCGCCACATGCCATGATGGCGCGGCACTAGCGGCGTCGCTCTTGGTCTCTGCCTTGCCATGAGCCTTGCGTTTCTTCGAAGAGGCACTGTCCGACTTGTCGCGCGGAGCACTCAGCAGGACCCACGCCATTGTGCGACATCCTAGCGACTCGGGCAGCAAATAGTCAGCGACGACGCCTGCCGTCTGTGGTGCATAGACACGCAATCGCACACGATCCACGGCCTGGGAGAGCTGCGCAAAGTAGCTGGCATCGCGCGAAAACGCGGTTACATTGTCATTTGTGCTCCCATGCACCGGTTGCGAGAGCGAAGAGGTGGAAACGGGCCGCGACTTGGGCGCCTTGTTTCCCTTGTTCTTAGCCATCGTCTCGTCACCACGGCGCTAGGAAGAGCCGCTGAATTTTTTTTTTTTCCGGGCGCGTACTTCCCCAGCGACCTTGTTAGGTAAGCATTGCTCAGCCCAAGCGCACGAGGGCCAAACATCAGGCCCGGGCGAGTGTTGGTCGCTGGCTCTCTGTGCACGATTGTTGTGTGGCCTAGCCCGTTGGCACGATGAATTACATCCGTACGTACGAAAGCGAGTAGAATATGCTAACATCCCAGAGCTGGAGAAGCTAGGTACGTGGTGTTAGCGTGCGCGTAGCCATGCAGATCGACTAACCAGCGACAGGTGAGGGCACGTATGCGACCGTGTACAAAGTATGTATGCATGCATAGGAGGGATCGCTCACACCATCAGGGTCGCTCGCGCCTCACAAACGAGATTGTGGCGCTTAAGGATATCCATTTGGATGCTGAGGAAGGGACGCCATCAACAGCCATTCGTGAAATTTCGCTCATGAAAGAGCTTCGACACACGAATGTCGTGCGCCTGCATGATGTGATTCACACAGAGTCGAAGTTGATGCTAGTATTTGAGTTTATGGAGCAGGATTTAAAGCGATACATGGATGTACACGGCAACCGCGGCGCTCTGGACCCAGTGACGGTACGCAGTTTCATGTTCCAGCTGCTGAAAGGCATCGCGTTCTGCCACGAAAATCGTGTCTTGCACCGTGACCTGAAGCCGCAAAACTTACTGATCAACAAGCGCGGTGAGCTGAAGTTGGCTGATTTCGGTCTGGCGCGTGCATTCGGCATCCCTGTAAACACATTCAGCAACGAAGTCGTTACACTGTGGTACCGTGCGCCGGATGTGCTCCTCGGCAGCCGCACGTACTCGACCAGCATTGATGTGTGGTCAGCAGGCTGTATTATGGCGGAAATGATTAGTGGTGTGCCATTGTTCAGGGGTCGCGACAACAACGACCAGCTCATGCAAATTATCCGCATTCTCGGCACGCCCGATGAAAATACCATTAAGCGTATTTTGCATGAGTCGCCAGAGATTCAGTATCGTCCTTTGCCTCGCCTACCGAAAGTGTCTTTCCAGACCATGTTCCCGAAAGCCCACCCGCTGGCAATCGACCTATTGGAAAAGCTGCTCCAGTTTGACCCGTCGCAGCGCATCAGTGCGGATGAAGCGCTGCGTCACCCTTACTTTACTACTAGCGCTGCTGTGACAAACCAGACACCTGTATCGACTGACTCTCCCAGCACTATTGCTTCTCATGACACAAACTCGGTGAGTATGAGCCGCGAGGCTACCGCTTAGCGGAGGTACGTGGAAACAGGCTCGGCTAGACGAGGCATATGTAATGAGGATGAGAGGTACTGCCTTCTATGGTATAGTATGCGTGCTAGGATTGATCGGAGGGGGACGCTGGCGTTTCTTTTCCCGAATGAAGCTACACGCTACGACAGCCATGCCAGAGGCGTAGCGATCGTGCGAAGCGCCTCGCTGTCTCGTCGCCCGATCAACACCTCCACATAGAGCGACGTTGCGTGGCGGAGCCCATTTTTCACCCGATCGCTGGGTGGATAAAGGACGACTAGCTCATTTAATAGATGTTGAATCAACATACGAATGTACGAAAGAGGCCCCGGCAAGCGAAGCTGAAGATCTCTTTGTATTGTGAGCCATTTTGAAGTGTGCTTGTCATGAATCCGTCGACACCCACACGGAGCCGAGGTACAACGGCGGCGTTGTCGCGCGGTATGGGTATGCTTTCGCTTGACTCGCCGCTAGCGGATGTCCCAAGGAATATGCTGGGATCGCCAAGGCACACGGCCAAAGGTAAAGTCACTCGTATGGTCGTGCCGCCATCTTCGCATGCGCCGCGTCTCGACAAGGAAGACAAAATACCAGGCACCTCGAACGATGTGGATCGCCGTGGTGTCGTGTCCAAAGACTGGGAGGGCCCCGAGGTATCACTGGCACCACGCCGACGAAACTCGGCGATGGTCTCGCGTGGCGACCGATACATCCCCAATCGCGAGCTCTTGCGGTCAGGCCACAGTGCGCCGTTCTTGGAAGATGGTGCAGGCGAAGCGCTATCGCGTCCCAGCAGCCGCGCCTCGAGTCCGTCGGAAGCCGGCGACTTGGACACAGCACCTACAGCCTCGGCGCTGGAAGGGGCCTGCCATGTTGAGCTCGGTCAGCGCATTCTTTCGTTCTCGGCAGCGCCACCGACGGCAAGCCATGCAAAGGATGTTCGTGCGCGCTATGCGCCAAAATCCAAAAGCACCTTGCCCTCGAGTCTGTTAGCCGCAGGTCGCCGACGTATTCCTACGGCGCCGGAACGTGTATTGGATGCGCCGGCCATTGTACCTGACTTTTACGTGAACTTGTTGCACTGGTCGAGTCAGAATGTGATTGCCATTGCGCTGCAATCCGCCGTGCATACGTGGAACAGCGAGACGGGCGAGGCGAATTTCCTGCTGGACCTGGAAGAAGAAGGCGAACGTGTCGGTGGTGGTCCAGGTAGTTTGATCACAAGTCTACGCTGGGACGCTCATGGCACGATTTTGGCGGTAAGCACCGATCGTGGGTACACTCAGATCTGGGATGCGGAGCGTGGTGTGCGTCTGCGTACGCTACGTCCCAGTGTGGAAGGTGGTGCCGATGCGGCGGCCTTGAATGCGGCGGCATGGGCCGTGGATGGTACTTTGAGTGTGGGGTACGCTAGTGGTCTGCTGCGCGAGCACGATGTGCGTCAGCGTGCAAGTGAGACGCGATCCATTGAGCATGCCCATGCGGCGCAAGTGTGTGGCCTGGCCTGGCGAGAGGACAGTGCGTTGCTTGCGAGTGGCGGCAACGACAACGTGGTGAAAGTATGGGACCGACGAACCAATGTGGCCAAGATGCGTAAGGAGAATCATCGTGCGGCAGTCAAGGCGTTGGCATGGTCGCCGCACAACAGCAGTCTGCTTGCGACAGGGGGTGGCAGTGCGGACCGGTGTATTCACTTCTGGAACACAACGCAGAACACGCGTGTACAAACGATCCAGACAGCCGCGCAAGTCACGTCCTTGCAATGGGCGCCGCATTACCGTGAAATTGTGTCAGCCCATGGTGTGGGCACGACCGAGGGCCAATCAGGCGCATTGTGTGTGTGGGCCCATCCCTCGGGCCAAAAAGTGGCCGAGGTGTCGAGCGCGCATGATGGCCGTATTTTGCATACGACGCTCAGTCCCGACGGCCAGACGCTCGCCACGGTCGGCAGTGACGAAAGTCTTAAGTTTTGGCGGCTGTTCGAGCAAGCGCCCGACGCTGGAAAGGCGCAGCAGCGTGGTGTGCTCCCTGGCACGTACAAGGGTCTGGCACGTGCTGCGCCGGCACGATCATTACGTTGATGAATGTATGACGACTAGAACTACACGACAAGCCTCGGATGATAGAGACGGTGGATAGCGAGGGCAAAGCCCATGTTAAAGATACCAAATACAGCAAACACGAGTCCACCTGTCTGTCCATCCCAGGCGCCCAGTATGCGACGTACGGGCTGGAAGGCCATGGCTGTGAGGATGTTCGCGATCCAGTTCACGCCGAGACCGAGTGACGAGCCAAAGGAGACATGCGATGGTGGGAGCACTTCAGGAATGATCACAAAGGGCACCGGGCCCAGCCCCACGGAGAAGCAGGCAATGACAAGGAGAATGGCCAAGCCACTCAGCATGGCATGCGCGTACGTCAGACCGTACGCGAAGAGCAGGCAGCAGAGGCCCATACCTGTGGATGAGACAAGGAGAAGACGACGACGACCCATACGTGCCTCGTCAATGAGCCAGAGTGGGGGAAGTGTCATCACACCGTTGACGAGGGTGATAAGCAGGCCCACGACTGGCGCCAAGGTGGGGAGCAAGGTAGATAGGATGCCTGTGCTGTAGTACATAATAGCATTGACACCGCTCAGCTGCTGCGCTGCCTGTGTGATCATGACGATCTGCAGACCTGTACGGAACGATAGGGCCGTGCTCTCGTGTTCGTGCGGCGTATGTGTTGGCAGCTGTGCCTCGTCGCTTGAGACCGTCTCGTACTGGCACCCTAGTTTCGCGCGGATTGCCGCTGCGCGATCTTGTGCAGAGGCCAAGCCAAGCTGTGTTCCTTCCTGTTCGAGCCATACGGGACTTTCTTCGGCCCATCCCCACCCAAAGACCCACTGCGCTAGGGCCACCGCCATACTCGCACGGGGCACCCATCGCCAGGACGCGGCCGTGAGCACGACGGACGTACCTAGGAACTGTGCCACAAAGATCCCGGAGACCACCGCAAGTTGATTCAGTGTACCGATGGACCCGGCCATCGCCGGCGGCGCCAGTTCTTGCAGGTACAAGGGGACTTGGACGAGGGCGATTCCTGCGCCGAGACCCTGACACAGGCGTGCGATCGAGAGCCAAAGCAGGCTGCTGGACACGGCCAAAAGCAGTCCACCAACCAAGGCCAAAACGGAAGCGGTGCATAGACACGTACGGCGTCCAGCACGGAAGCGCCGCGCCACCGTGGCACACGCCAAGGACGAGATGGTGCCGCCAATGGTGAACATGCCAGTAATCACACCAAACTGATCATCGCTCAGGCCTAAGCACGATGCACTGCGTGGCTCACACACCCACAATGTCTGTAGTGCATTCAGCTCTGAAATGCCAAAGCCGTACTGGAACGTCGCTAGGACGATCCATACGACCTGACGCAGCACCAGCGGAGGCACACAATTCGCCGCTGCCATGGTAAGGGAGAAAGGCCCCTCGCTGAGTCAGCGTCCGTCCATTCGCCGTATTTGGCCTAACACCACCACTCTCGCTGTCGAACCGCCACTGGTATACGATGTCCCTCCTAGGACGAAGTTGTGCGGTATCTCGTAGCCTGTTGCGGCACACAAGGCCGACCATGGTGCCGCTGCCACGGATAGCCACCCCGACGGCGCTGCTCTCACGCACACTTACGATGTCGCCTGGTACGTACCTCTCCATCTTTGGCCCTCTTCTAACGTGCAGTGCGTTGCCATGGCGGCATTGACCGGCCCAAGCCAGGGACGGGGTAGGTACCTATACCTACTGACCACAGCATTAAAATCACCTTCCGCGACGCCCAAGGCAAAGATCTGAAGACAGTTGAGGCCAATGAAGGCGACGACCTCCTGTCGATTGCCCATGAGTACGACATTGATTTGGAAGGTATGTACATATACACTAAGGGCCCAGGCGCATGTGAAGGCTCCATTGCATGCTCGACATGCCATGTGATTCTGGAAGAGGACGTGTACTACCAGCTCGAGGAGCCGGGGGACGACGAAAACGATATGCTGGACTTGGCCTTTGGGCTTACCGATACCTCGCGCCTCGGGTGTCAAGTCCACGTCACACGCGATCTCGATGGGATGATCGTGCAGTTGCCTGCTGCTACACGCAACATGTATGTAGATGGCGCCAAGGCGGGTCATTGAATAGAGAAAGACTACGTACGTAGATCCAACGCACGCGGCGTGATATGCACACGCGCATAGATCCGCGCCATTTTGGATTCCGACGTAGCGTCGCCACGCAAGAGCGTCACGACGTGGCCAGGCGGCCGCGACGTAGGCGACGTCGCGCCCAATCGCGATACACGCCCAGCAGCGTGTGTATAGTGCACGGCATCCTGCACGGCCGCGAGACCGAGCAAGAACACATGACTCAACGCAGGCACATCGAGACCACGCGCACTGGTGCTTTGCAAGAGATACAGCACTTCGTCTTCCTCCTGCACAGGCATAGCATCGCCAGGCTGAATGATGCGTACAGACACGCCTAACGAGGCCAGTTCATCGTGCACGCGGCGCACACTCCAGCGTGCGGGTATCAAAGCCAAGCCTCGTCGGATGCCTTCAGCTGCATAGATATATGCAAGTGCTTCGAGCAGTACAGTGTCCACTTCATGCTCCGGCAACGGCTTGGTCGTAGGAGGCGTGCTTGCCAAGGCTCGTGGCGCACCACGCTCCGGGGCCAACGGACGAAACACAGGCGACGCGGCAGGCCCTTCATCGACGACGACACACGTATGTGTAATTTCGCGCGGCATGGCACCCATCATCGGCACATCCACCTCGCTCAAGCGCCCACTCATACCTGTTAGATCGATCCACGTCGCCAGGCCGCGCGTCTCGCGTGTATTGGTCCGCAGCCAGCCTGTACGTGCGCCAAAAAAGTGACGAAGGACAGAGTTTGCTGTGGCACTCGTACACACCAACTGCAACGGTGTCATGCCTGGCTCGTGAGGCAGCGGCGGCGCAAGATCTGTACGTTCCACGCCGCGGTACTGGGTACGTCGGATACGCTCCGGTGGGCGTCGTTCCGTAGCACGAGTGTGTTGACCGCGCTCGAGGCCTGCATTCATAATGCGCTCGCCGCCGGAAAAGGTCGGTCGAGACCGCATCAGGGTATTCAGAACATCGAGACCAGCAGAGCGGTGCGCTAGATGCTTCCACTTTTGCTTTTCACTGGGGAAGCGGCCTGGCAGTTGCAGCAGTGCATCAGCCTCGTCGAGCACAAGAGTACGTAGCGTTGGCACACCGAGAATGTGCTTGCCTTGGGGCAGGGCCAAGATCTCTTGCACACGTGTCGCTGTGCCGACCACAATGTGCGGTGGATGCGTACGTAAATGCTCAACTTGTGTCTCCAATGTGCTTTCGCCACGTACGACACACTGCAAGACAGCGTCAAGATGCCCATGCAACGACGCCGGCATGAGCTCCTGTGCCCACCGCACATACTGCCAAGCCAGTTCATTCGAGGGCACAAGGATCAAAGCACTCGTTCCGGCTCTGGCCGAGGCACTCCCGGCCCGAAAGAGCATGCGTGGCTTCGCAAGCAGCGAGAGAAGTACAGCCAAGCTTTTGCCGGACCCTGTATGCGCTCGCAGAATGACATCGCGCGGCGATAATATCGCAGGAATGAGCCGTTGTTGCGCCTCTGTGGGGTTTTTCATATACGGCATAGATGTGTTCATCTGCTGGCACAAATTGGCTGGGAGGCCTAAGCGCTGTCACGTCAATGTTGCGGCCACATACCTCGAACGGACTGGGTGGTACAGAGGCTGCCGCCGGAGCACCCGGTACCGCCGCGGGCATTGTAGTCGATGCCCAACGGCACCATGGCAATACTATTGTGCTAGAGGGCCCATACAAGCACGTACGCACGGCGTACCTGTACGTAGGCACTGCCGCATGTAGGCTTCGCCGCCACATGCAGAAAAAAACTGGAGGTGGAAGGCCAAGTCGCCCGATCGATCGATCAGTGCAACACCCTTACCTCGTGACTCAATAGCAAGGGATGCTGGCTTATTGGCATTGCTTACCTAACTAGTGTTTATGAAGCCAAGCAATAGCTTCAACGCCCACAGGGTTTTTCCCACTGGCGAACCAACGTCCCTTACAGTGAGGGTTGCTCTGTGTAGTTGGCTTTGTTACGAGGCTTTGCTTGTACATACACACATGAGTGAACGTTCCAGGATATCGTCGCCACAGCAGGAGGGGCGACAGCGGCAGGCAGGCCGTCCAGACTCCGTCGATGTAGCCTCTATTATGGATGCATATGGATCTCGGCCTGCCTCGCTGGACCTGAGTGAACGCTTGCCATCCATTCCAGATAGTGGCGAAGCGACACCTATCCCTCCTACTACACCGCATGTCCTCGGTATTGCCTTCTCTGCACCTGCTGCACGTTCTGAAAGGCCCTATTCCCCGTTGGTCGACCAACATGAGTCATCCTTCTCGTCACAGGGTGCATCGCCTCGAATGAATTCTCTTAGTGATGTGCCTATGCCCGTCCCTATGGCAAAGTCCGTTCCAACACCGACCTCTAAACCGATCCAGCAGTCTACAGCGGGGCCAGCGCCACCACTGAGTTTCCCTATCGCCGTGAACGAGGACGAGGACGAAGATATCTCGCATACGTCCACTTCCAATCTACTGCGCCCTGTGTCGAAGTACCAGAATGATTCATTCGGCAATATGGACGACTCTATCTCCTACTATCTGGACCCCACTGACGAAAGCATACGGGAAAAGGGCACGACGCCTATCCACGAAGACATTCGTGGCATTGTGACGCCCTATATGCAGCATGATGAAGACAATAGATCTGACCCGGATGTGGACAGGCAGTCTATGAGGACGCCCGATATGGATAGCATTCTATCGGAATATGCACGTCATGGGTCAATGACACCTGTATTGTCCATGTACAAACGACGGCCAACCAATCCAGAGACGCCCAACTTTGACAGGCACGGATTGCGATTGTACCGCCATGCTACAGACAGTCGCAGCTCGATCGGTGCATTTTCAGTCTTAGATGAGGATGATGAAGACCCTATTCGCCATATGGATGGCGATAGCCCCGTGCAGCGAGCACGGTGGCGTGGAAAACACGATATTTACTCAGGGACAGCAGCGGATACGTCCATGGTATCTCTGGCAGATATGTCCAGTGAACACACAGCGCTGCCAGCAGACTACCGAACGCTAGCACTTGTCAATCATTCGATGATCGACTGGGTGGATGCAGACAAGGATTGGGATGATAAGCGGATGTCAAAGATGAGCTACTTCTCATGGCGTGCTTGTACAAACGTATCAATGCTCTTGATCCTTGCTTTATCCGTGCTTATGCTGTTCTTGGGATACCCTGTTCTACACACCTATACAATCCAAGCTATTCATGAATCCAACCATTTCGGAAATGTCTCCCCTAATTCCTCCATACCTACTACGTTTAATGCTACGAACCTGCGCCAGGGCTTAATCGATCCTGATACGCCTCCTGACAAATATGAGCGCATTAACATTCGCAATCAAAAGACGATGAAATTGGTTTTCAGTGACGAATTTAATACACCTGGTCGATCATTTTACCCTGGTGAAGACCCCTTTTGGCAAGCAGAAGACTTGCACTATTGGCAAACTATGAATTACGAATGGTATGACCCTGACTCTGTATACACGGAGGATGGTGATTTGGTGATCCGCTTCGCTCAGAAGCCCGAACATGGCCTGTTCTTCCGTGGCGGTATGATCTCGAGCTGGAACAAGTTTTGTTTTACTGGCGGATACATGGAAGTCAAACTCCAACTTCCAGGTTTCCATAATGTCTCCGGTCTATGGCCTGCGGTATGGACCATGGGCAACTTGGGCCGAGCAGGCTATGGTGCTTCTACAGAGGGCATGTGGCCGTACTCGTACGACACATGCGATGTCGGTACCATGCCGAATCAGACCTATCTACCTAGTCAGGGCGGTGGTCCACTGGCTGCGGAGACATCTGGTCGCTGGGTCGATCAGTATGGCCCCAGTTTAAGTTTCCTCCCAGGTCAACGTCTGAGCCGCTGCACCTGCCTGGATAGCGATGATCATCCAGGTCCACGGCACCCTGACGGTACTTGGGTTGGCCGATCTGCGCCGGAAATTGACCTACTGGAAGCGACGGCCAACAATGGCGCTGATGAGCATGGTCAGCTGTCCATGTCTTTGCAGATTGCGCCTTTTGATACAGCATACAACGCATCGACTGAAGGTGATGCGTTGGTCATCTATCCGAACCTTACACGCGCCGTTGCGCGAAATGATTACACTGGTGCAGCGTTCCAGCAAGCCGTATCGGTCATGGTGAATACCAGTGACACAGCCTACCAGCACACAGGTCAGGAGTACGATACATACGCGTTCTTGTACGAGCCTGGTAGCACGCTTGATTCACACATTACGTGGTTCGTAAATAACGAGCCGAAGTTTACGGTCAACACAACCGCCCTTGGCCCCAACCCTGAAACGGAGATTGGCCAACGCACGATGCCCGAAGAGCCTATGTATGTGATTATGAACCTGGGTATGTCGCCATCTTTCCAATGGGTCAACTGGGATGAACTTAGGGTCGGCTTTCCTTTCAAACTCCGTGTGGATTATATCCGTATCTACCAGGATGAAGATAAAATCACTCCCGACAGTTTGTCATGTGATCCTACCAATTTCCCTACCAAGGCCTATATTGAGAAACACAAAGAGGCGTATACAAACAGTCAATTCACATCATGGTTACAACCCGCCGATAAAGGTGGGTATAATCATCCGTTCCCCGGCAATGTTTTGTTAGGGCAATGTTCGTAGCAGCCAAGCTCTTGTTAACTTGACCGTTCTTACACCGCAGCCTGTGGGCACTGCGCAGCCAGGTGGTCGTTCGAGCCACAGGTGTAGCACGAACGTTGCGGTGGCTGCGAGCAGTCGCGCGAGATATGGCCGAGATGGCCACAGTTGTAACACTTCGGGCCCGCCGACGACATGGCACCAGGCGCCGAAGGGCAGTCACGCGAGATGTGACCAAAGCCACCGCAGTTGTAGCACGCACGACCGCCACGCGCAGGCGCACTACCGGCCTTCGGGCACATACGAGCGATGTGGCCCGTCTCGCCACATCGGTAACACTCACCACCAGGCGCAGGAGCACTAGAGGCTGCGTTCGGGCAGTCACGCGACACATGTCCAGCCTCGTTGCAGCGGAAGCACGTCTTGGGCACAGCCTCGTTCGTGCAGTCCGAGGAGACGTGACCTTGCTGACCGCAGTTGTAGCTGATGTTAGGCGTCCAAGTGTACCTACCAAGTCGGGTTGCCTGCCGAGGGACACGAAGCAATCGTATGTCCAGCTGTTGGGTAAGCCCTGCGCAATTTGGGTCTCACACGTACGACGTCCACAGCTGAATCATGAAAAAACGAAGAAACAAAACAAACAATTACAATCACCCATTAGTATACCATTCACATATGCAAGAAACACCATCACTGGCTACAACACCCACTTATAACAGCTTCTCGAGTACGACATGTCTTGTCAAGTTGGACAGACGGGCTACGCCACTGCTTTGCTGCTCTTTTCTGGTGTCGCGTGCCACTATTCACGAATTTTGATTGGTTCCTACCAATGGAAGTGTGTATGCTACATCAGCGACCGATGCGTACCACGCGCTTGCGCTGACGGCGACCCAGCGCTGGCTGCTGGCGCTGCGGCGGCGCTGCGGCGGCGGTAGCCTCCGCCTCTTCATCGTCACCCAACCCCATACTACTCATCATACTGCCAAGCGGGCCCATACTCTTGAGCGCCTCGGCGCCTGGCATCTTGGCCATGTCCATATTGAGAAGGCCGGTCGCCACGACAGGACTGTGCGGAGGCAGTTGCTCGGCAAATGGCACGCTGCGAATCACACGCTGTCGTGGGCGCAGTGCTGCTCGGGACGACTTTTTGGAGTATGTAGCACGGTCGGCGAGCGGCGGCGGCGTACCGCCCGCATGCGGCTGTAGTAGGGTAGCCATGACTTCAATCAATTTTTGTTCTGGAGCATAAGATACGTGGTTGGATACGTACTTGTGGGGATGTCCGCCCGAATCGGTTTTCCGTCCTCATGGAATAGACGTACTTTGACGCGCCCAGGATTTTCCCAATCCTGCGGATGCGTGCGGTACGGCTGCGATGGTAAGCCGACAGGGGCGCATACGTACTTCATGGCGGAACTCCATGTTCAATTTCTTCGCTGCATTGGAGATGTATTGGCTGTTGGGGAACAACACGGCTTTGCTGTAGGGAACGCGGCGGCATCCATGACGGTACCTGCGTTTGGCGTCCATATAGATGGGATAGATGCAAGTCCAGTGCTTGTGAGGTCCATCTTCTTCCCCATCCATGACGACGTTGGACGAAGGGGGCGGCCTGGGGGCAGTTCCGCCCTGCATCTGCTGCATCATCTGCTGCATCATCTCCATCTGAGCTGGCGGCATAGCATTTTGGCTACCGCTCGGCGGAGACACATCGGGCAACGCGAACTATTGTTAGATCTCATGTATCACATACATCTGTATCGTCGTCAAACTCCTCCGCCATAATCGCCGCCTAAAACCTGATCTTAGACTGGTGGTCGGCTGGGGCAAGACGATGATGGAAGCAAGCCGCGTGGACCTCGCGACGACGTAAACGCCACGTGGGCCATCGAATGCAAAAACGCACTCGTCTCGCTCCGCCCTTGTTCTCGGTTTGCTTGCCTGCTTCGCCTTCCCCAGCGATGAGTGAATCGATTGTAGCTGCGCTCTCATCCCTATCGATCCAGGAAGGTGAGATATGCACTGTGTCGCATGGTGCTGTTTCGTCGCCTGCTGAATGGGCTGACGCGCTGAATGCACTGACAGTGCCTGAGAAGCCGGACGCGTACCATATGCTCAAAACGCTGGTCTTCAAGCCGAAGACGGCCAAGTCGGAGACGCCTGTGCCTGTGATGGTTGTGACAGATGATGCTACACAGACCAACACAAGTGCGATCGGTGCGCACTTGAAGCTGAAGGACTTGCGTCTTGCTGTGCCGGAGCTCCTGCACGCGACACTGGACGCAACCAAAGACGATGTCTCGCCCTTCTCTGTGACGCAGGCCAATGCCAGCAAGCTGCGTGTACTGGTCGACCAGGACATTGTGGACAATGGTGCTATGTACGCTGTGCACGCTCGTTCTGCGTCGCAGACCGTGTTTACAACAGGTGCTGCGCTGGTCGCCTACCTTGCTGAGACAAATGTGTCGCTGGACACGGTGGCTTTTAGCTCGCTGGCCGCCCCAGCTGCGCCTGCGCCTGCGGCGCCTACGCCGAAGGCCAAGACTAAGGTCGACGCCAAGATCCCGGAGGCTGAACTGATTGGTATTACGGTGCGCAAGGACCTGGACTTCCCCGAGTGGTACCAGCAAGTGCTGCGAAAGGGTGATATGCTGGACTACTATGATGTGAGTGGTTGCTACATTTTGAAGCCGTGGAGTTTCTTTGTGTGGGAAAGCATCCAGCGCTTCTTTGACGCGGAGATCAAGAAGATCGGCGTGCAGAACTGCTACTTCCCGATGTTTGTCTCGTCCGATGTGCTGGAGCGTGAGAAGGACCATATCGAGGGCTTTGCGCCGGAAGTGGCGTGGGTGACCAAGGCGGGCAAGTCGGATCTGGAAAAGCCTGTGGCCATCCGCCCCACGTCGGAGACGGTAATGTACCCGTACTATGCCAAGTGGATCCAGAGTCACCGTGACCTGCCGTTGCGCCTGAACCAGTGGAACAGTGTGGTGCGTTGGGAGTTTAAGCATCCGCAGCCGTTCCTTCGTACGCGTGAGTTCCTGTGGCAGGAAGGCCACACGGCGCACCTGCACAAGGAACAGGCCGACGAGGAGGTGCTGTACATCCTGAAGCTGTACCAGCGTGTGTACGAGGAATTGCTGGCACTGCCTGTCGTGCCCGGTGTCAAGTCGGAGAAGGAGAAGTTTGCCGGTGGTCTGTACACGACCACGGTGGAAGGCTACGTGCCGACCACGGGCCGTGGTATCCAGGGTGGCACGTCGCACTCGCTGGGCCAGAACTTCAGCAAGATGTTCGACATTACGGTGCAGGATCCCAAGGCTACGGATGAGACGCGTGGCAAGCCGGAAGGCCGTCTGCACGTGTGGCAGAACTCGTGGGGTCTGTCTACGCGTACCATTGGTGTCTGTGTGATGGTCCACGGCGACGACAAGGGTCTGGTGATGCCGCCACGTGTGGCGCAGATCCAGGTGGTGTTGGTGCCCTGTGGTCTCGGTGTGAAGGTGGCGCAGGGTGTAAAGGACCAGGTGAACAAGACGTGTGAGGACGTGGCGGCGGAGCTGCAGGCGCGTGGTGTGCGTGCGCATGCCGACCTGCGCGATAACTACAACCCTGGCTTTAAGTTCAACGATTGGGAGCTGCGTGGTGTGCCGCTGCGTCTTGAGGTGGGTCCGAAGGATCTGGAGGCCAAGTCTGTGATGGCCGTGCGTCGTGACACGGGTGCGAAGCAGGCGCTGCCGCTCGATGCGCTCTCGACGTCGATTCCTGCGCTTCTCGACACGATTCACAACGACATGTTTGCCAAGGCCGATGCCGAGTTCAGTGCGCACCGCAAGGTCGTGACCGACTGGGACGCGTTCACCCCGACGCTGAACGAAAAGAACCACGTGATTATTCCGTGGTGCGAGGTGGAAGAGTGCGAAGACCAAATCAAGGACCGCAGTGCGCGTATTGCGCTGGCCGGCGAGGCGCAGGACGAGCGTGCGCCGTCGATGGGTGCCAAGTCGCTGTGTATTCCGTTCGACCAGAGCCCGTACCCGTCGATCGAGGGCCACAAGTGCCCGCAGTGTGGTCAGCCAGCTAAGCGCTGGACCATGTTTGGCCGCAGCTACTAATGATGGACGCTATTTACTTGCGCTTCTGGCTTGTCGTGCCCTTCGGCAGTTCCTGCTTCGTTAGATGGTAAAGCATATAGGACGTACCCTAGTAAACGGCAAAAAGTCGCGGCCCTGCATGTACGGCTGCAGCACCGGGGGGATACGAAGACCCTCGGGCGTCTGCCAGTTCTCCACAATGCAGCAGAGCGCACGCTCGGAGGCACAGAGTGTACCGCTGATCGGTAAGTCGACAAAATACATACTTCAACATGTGGCAGTACTGCTTCTTCGTGTCGCCCTGCTTCTTGATACCGCAGCGCACCTCCAAGCGGCGGCTCTGGTAGTCCGTGCAGTTCGAGCACGACACCAACTCCTTGTGCTCGCCCTGGAAGGGGAACCACGCCTCCAAATCGTACTTCATCGCCGCCGCATTGTTCAGCGCGCCCGACACAATCGCCACGACGCGGTAGGGAATCTGCAGGCTCTGGTAAAACTCTTCCGAGTTGGCAACCATGTGATCCAGCATCTCCCACGAGCTCGCAGGGTCCGTGATGCAGAACTGCTCGACCTTCTCAAACTGGTGCACACGGAAAATGCCCCACGTATCCTTACCGTGCGAGCCAGCCTCCTTACGGAAACACGTCGAATAACCCGCGTACTTAATCGGAAGCTGCTCAGCCGGCTTCTCGAACCACTCGTTCGAGTGGAACGCCGAAATGGGCTGCTCAGACGTAGCAATCAGGTACTTCTCGTCTTCATCACCCACCACCTTGTACAGCTCCTCATCGAACTGCTCAAGCTGGGCGGTCTTGGCCATGTGCTCCTTGCGCATCATGAACGGCGTCATGACCTTCTTGTAGCTCTTCTTACGCAAAAAGTCAAGACCGTAGTTGATCAGCGCCTGGTTCAGATCCACACCGTCGCCCGTCAGGTAAAAGCCACGGTGACCTGCAATCTTCGCGCCGCGCTCCGTATCGAAGAGCTCCAGACGATACATGACTTCGTGGTGCGACAGGATACCCTCCTTCTTCTCCACCGTGGCATTCGGACCATCCGGGTGCCATGTACGCACCGTCAGGTTGTCGTCCTCAGTCTGCGACACAGGCACTTGGTCGCCCACCAAGTTGCCAATGGTCGCCGCCTTCGCACGCATCGCACGCTCCGCCTCGGCCACCTGCGGCTTGAACTCGGCAATCTTGGCATCCATCTCCTTCTTCTTTGCCAGCTCCTCATCAGCGCTCTCCTTCGCCTTCTTCTTCGCCGTGATCGCCTTCTGCGTCGCATTCACTTCCTGCTGCATGTTGTTCAGCTGGAACTCGAGCGTCGTCCAGTGCTTGTACTCCGAGAGCACCTCATCGACAAGCTCGACCGACGCACCACGCTTGCGCTGCGACTCGCGCACAATCTCCGGGTTGCCTCCCTTTTCCACCTGCAGCAGCTGGAGATCAATCATCGCAAAGGACTATGCTTTGAAACAAGCGAGCTGTGTGCGTTGCGCTGCTTGGATGGAAAGAGCGCGCGTGGGTGTGGCACGTGACGCATGGGCCGAGAACGACGGCGCTAATCGACTGACTGTCGGCGTCGCGCTGCCATTTTTTTTCTCTCAACGATCATAATGACGACGCCTGTCGACCTGCCCTTTGCCCTGCCGCCTGCGCCGGCCAACTATTCGGCGGCCAAGGCCTCGACCTCGGCGGTCTCGCTCACCTCCGTAGAGCTTGCGCCGATTGGTGACGCCTTCCTTGGCTACCTTCGCCGTAAGCTGCACCAGAGCTCGTTTGAGGAGGACGATGCGCTGATCCGCCAGCGTCTGGCTGACCACGCTGCCGCGAACGCAGAGGTGGACGAGCTTGACAACGATATCGGTGAGGAGCCGGAAAGTGCCGAGCTGCTTGCCAGCGACCCGAAAGAGTGGAAGTCGCAGGACCACTACGCTGTGCTCGGCCTGTCCTCGCGTCGTTACAAGGCCACGGACCACGAAATTAAGATTGCGCACCGCAAGAAGGTGCTTAAGCACCACCCCGACAAGAAGGTCGGTGCGACGGGTATCAGCGACGACTCGTTCTTCAAGTGTGTTGCCAAGGCCTTTGAAATTTTGTCGCACCCGGAGAAGCGCCGTCAGTTTGACAGTGTGGATGAAGGTGTGGACGATGAGGATGTGCCAACAGGCAAGGAAAGCCCTGAGCGCTTCTTCGAGCTGTGGGGTCCCGTGTTCGAGCGTGAGGGCCGTTTCTCGAAGGACACGCCTGTCCCATCCATTGGTACGAAGGACAGCTCCAAGGAGGAAGTGGACGACTTTTACAACTTCTTCTACAACTTTGACAGCTGGCGTAGCTTCGAGTACCTCGACAAAGAGGTCAACGAAGGCAGTGACAGCCGTGACGACAAGCGCTACACGGAAAAGAAGAACCGTAACGAGCGTGCGCGTCGCAAGAAGGAGGACAACGCTCGTCTGCGCAACCTCGTCGACAAGGCACTGTCGATCGACCCACGTATCAAGGCGTTCCGTGCGGCCGAGCGTGCGGCGCGTGAGGCCAAGAAGAACAAGGGCCGCCCTGGTGCGCCTGGCGGCGGCATGAGCGCCGCTGACAAGGCTGCGGAGGAGAAGCGCAAGAAGGAAGAGGCGGAGAAGGCCGCCCAGGAAGCGGCGGCCAAGGCGGAGGCGGAGAAGGCCGAGCGTGAGGCTGCGAAGAAGGTCCGTGAAGCGGCCAAGAAGAACCTCAAGAAGGAGAAGAAGGCCATTCGCAACATTATTACGGGCGCGAACTACTTCCAGCCGGAAGGCGCCTCGCCGTCTGCCTCGGTGCTCGACAAGCAGCTGGGTGCGCTCGACGCTCTGTGCGCGGCGCTGGAGCCGGAGCAAGTGCAGGCGCTGCGTGAGGCGTGTGAGAAGGGCACGGACGCTGCCAAGGCCGCGCTGAATCAGGCGTGTGAGGAGAAGAGCCTGGGCGATGCGTTTGCGTAAAGATCTACGTAGAACTACCTGTTTGTAGCATGCGAACCCAGCGATACAGTTCTGCGTACGTGAATATGCCATGCTTCGCGAGCAGGAGGCCGTAGCGAATCGTCACGCGACGAACCGCTGGCTGAGAGTATTCGTCACGCAAACGGTGCCATAGCGGAGAGCCACGTTCAATGACAAAACTCGACGGCTGTTGCTGCAACGCACGAGCGATGTAGGTCGCAGCGGTAAGCAGATGAATCTGTTTTTCGCCGGCCAGAGAGGCAAGAGTGTGGCCTTGCCTCCATGCCTCCCATGCACGCTCGTGCGCAAGCGTGCCTGTGGACGACGAGATGCGTGGACGACGTCGCTTGACATGGGCCATTTGCTCAAGAAATGTGGGTATCGTAGTAAGCCGGCCGGCCTGATGCCCGAACAGAAACAGTGCATGAGCCAGCTCCAAAGAAACGTAGGCATCTGACGCCGCATATTCGATTTGCTCGGGTGAGAGGGGGACATGCGTCCAAGAGCTAATACGTGTAGTCCCTTTGTCTAGGTCGCGATGCAGGTACGTCGTACATAAGTCACGTAAACTTATCAGGGTCCGTCGCTGCTGCCATCGTGCGGGATCGACAAAGGTGGCTACGCGACTCAGCTCCAAGGCACCTGCCGCTTCAATGTGGAAATCACGCTGGAGCTTGGCGAGGTCTTGATGAATCGCTACGCCCACTTTGTAGATACCTGGATCCACCAGCATTTTATGTAGCACGACCGGCATCTTGCGAATACGCGAAAGTTGAATTACAAAGATGGAAGATGCCGTAGCAAGCTGTAGGACGGCCGTCTTTCCTACCCGCAATCCAAAGTTCCATTCTAAGTCGAGGCCGACGGTGGGACCAACGGTGCCGATCGACGCCAGAGCGTCAGTCACTGCGTCATTGACCTGACGCTCCGTCGTAAGGTAGTGCATTTGTGGTGGTACCTTTTTGTTAGCCATGTTGTTCAAATGGAGTGCATGCAAGGCTGCAGGGATCGAGTACACAGGAGAACGATAAGAGTACATAGGATACGCCTCGGCTGAAGGCGCTACATTAGGCCCTGCCGCATCTGCCATCTTCGACGCCAATGCGTCCAGCGTCGATATTGATGGGACCCATGCACTTGAATGCAGCCTTCGGCACGCTAGGAGCGGAGACGGACGCCAAGCGTACCGAGACCACATAGCAGACCCCCGCCAGGTCCCAGTGACCGAGAGTGTGTTCACGCGTCGAAGAACGTGGCCCAAGCGCGCCGTATATGCATCACGTGTCGTCGATTTGTATAGACTAGAACACTATGAAAGCCAAGAGGGGGCGGCCATAGCCTCCTCGGCAATGACAAGGTCAATAGAGTCGCCAAAGTACTCAGGCTCTTCATCGTCCAAAGCACGCACAGCAGCCATATGGCCCTGGCTGTTGCCAAGTACGTAGGCAAGATAGCCAGCCGGTGCAATAAAGGCACGCGACGAATAATCGACAAGACCTTTGCCATCACGCAGACGCAAGCCAGCAGGAATGCTAGGGAATTGGCAGTGAGAGAGCGTGTTCATCATGGCCTGAAGAAGTGGAAGGATGCGCTGGTCTCCTGTTACGGCATAGTAGTGTGCTAGGCGCCAAGCTGTTCATGTCAGTCTACTAAGTAGAAGCACGTACGTGTACGGCAGGCATTCCAGCTCATATCTCCATCATGCTTGGACTCCAGATGCTTGCCTTTGGCTGGATGCCATCCATGACGCTTGTCATATACCAAAAAGTCAGCAATCAAACCTGACTTGTTGATGTTCAGCTGCGAAAGGGCCACTTCCAAGGTCGACTCAAGCACCTGCTGCCAACGCGCGCGCGACTGTGGGTTCGGATGCTTGAAATGGAATAGCAAGAAAGACGAGAGAATAAAGTCGGAGCTGCGTGTGGAATCGTACAGGCGGCAATTGTCCTTGTCGTCCATATTGCACCAATCACCAAGCAAGGGTACGTTCAAGTGTGGATGGATGCAATGGGCCAAAAGCGCATCACTTAAGTTCGCTGCCTCGTACTGGTAGGCACCAGCAGGGAACATCTGAGATCCATGAGGCCAGTTGCGGTGCGCAAGGAACAATGCCGTAGCAATGTCAATGTCTGACGTGTAAGTGCGCATAGCTCGTACCTCCATCGGTCGCACAATCCTCGGCATCTTCAGCCACATACAGCTGTCCACTGTGGCTGTTCATGCGCACTTGCCATTTCATCAATCCTCTCTCGTTCCGGAAGTTCAGGAAGAATTGCAAGAGACCATCAAAGTCCGCTTGACTTGCGAGTTAGCCATGTCGCCCGCCACGTACTTTCCATGCAAGACAGCAATCAACATGGCATAGCCTATGATAAGCGGGTGCATATTCACGTACCATGCGCCTCGGAACAGGTGACAGCATCACCATTGTCGCCCTGGTATCAGCATACGCACGTCTTCTGCTACGCACGGATCCATTGTAGAAGCAGTACAAGCCCTTTATTATGTTAGCCACTACACAGGATAGGTAGGCATACCATCGGACTAGACCGCATGTAGGTACTACACCATTGATGATACTTTTCGTCCATAATCGAAGACCAGGTGAGAGAGCAAGAGTTGGAGAATGTCCGTGCTCTCTAGCCACATACACAAGTGGAGCGCGCCAGTCCCACGTTGGGCCGCGCCCGAAAGGCACAGCCTCGCCTCTGCGCAGAGCGACAAAGGCAGACCGCGAGTATGTACGACACACCAAGCATGGAACGGGCATCGTGCATATTACAAAGCAAAAGACTATCGATAGTGACCATACATAGCCAGCTAGTGGGTGGGTATGCATCACCCCAGATCGATCCGGCAAGTAACATGCATTACATGATGTATTTTTAGTGCCGCATGGCAACCTATAGCCAGCGATACTAGAAGATCACCATCTTGCTATATGCAAGAGGCTTAACGGCGACCGGCACCCGGGACGTGGCGGCCCTTGCGCTCCGGAATCTGCTGGGCAGTGATGGGGGCGGTCACAGTCACTGGGAGGTTGTCGAAGCCAAGGCTGTGGAGCATCTCCTCCGTGTCGGGGTCGACCTCCAGAGGAGCCACCGACGGGTCGAGAGCCGAGACCTCCGGAACGTATTGGTCCTGTAGACGTTAGAAGCCATAAAGAAATAATAGACATACCTTGCGCTCACGCTCCTCCTCCTGGAGCTTGAACGAGATACCGCGAACCGGACCACGCTGAATGCGCTTCATCAGGTGGGTGGTGAAACCGGCGATCTTGTTGCGCAGGCGCTTCGAGGGGACGATGGCCACCTCGTCAATGACCTTCTTGTTGGTTTGGAAGTCCACCGGGTTGAGACGCGGGTAGTACTTCTCGATGAGAACGCGAGCAGCGCGCTTGGTGGTCTTGGTACGAACGCGACCCTGTAGAGCTGTTAGTCCTGTTCTCAAATGGTTGCGCTGGCGACATGGCGCGTCAACAATTCTTCCATGTCACAGCACTCGTCATTTTGCCATCATCATGACGACAAGAGAACATAATCGCTAGGCTCGAGAAAAGGCACGCATGTGGTACGTCCTCAGATGTGACTCAAAGATGTTTTCCACCACAACACGCCAACGCAACGTAAGTCATACATACCATACTGTGCTACCTTAGGTGTAAAGGAATAGAAAGGATTCGGCTTGCAAGGCTGACCTAGGCTTCGACCTTCCTGCGGCACGCTTCGGATGTAGTTTTGAACTCATCACGTGAACTACTGCAAACATGGGACAAGGGGAAGGAATATTGACTTATTTGAAAAATGCCCCATCCACCAGAGTCGAATTCACACGCTTGGTACCAGGCGATTTTCTTCTCGCTACCTTCAAGTACAATATGGTCAGGATCTCGGTTCTGGTACGTTGAGCAATACAAATGATGAGAAGCTAATGCACATAAATAGAACGACGCCCTCGTGAGCATCGTCAACGCTGAGCGCCGCGGTAAGCGCCAGGTTCTCATCCGCCCCTCGTCGAAGGTGGTGGTGAAGTTCCTTAGCGTCATGCAGAAGCATGGTGAGTACACCTCGCTGACCACACGATGATGGGAGACAAGGTCCGCACTAGTCCAGCGCGCGCTTACTCGGAATTATAACTGTTGGGCTACCGGGTCTTGCTTCCACTGGCGTCCATCTTTAAGGTTCCGAGAAATCAATGCAGTTCGCATGGCTGAAAAGCATTGTTGCTTTGCGAGTCACTGTGTAATAAGCTTGCTAAAGATGGCTGCGACACTTTGTCTCTTTTCTTCGTTGGCTCACGTTTTATGGATGAACGGATGCTAACATATACTAGGCTACATCGGTGACTTTGAGATCATCGATGACCACCGTGATGGCAAGATTGTTGTGCAGCTCATCGGCCGCATCAACAAGTGCGGTGTCATCTCGCCCCGTTACCCGGTGCCGCTGAACGAGATCGAGGGTTGGGTGTCGAGCATGCTTCCCGCCCGTTCGTTCGGTTTCGTCGTCCTGACGACCTCGGCCGGTATTATGGACCACGAGGAGGCCCGCCGGAAGCACGTTGCCGGCAAGATCCTTGGCTACTTCTACTAAGTGCATCGTGTATCCACTGTGAAAATGGACCTCTGAAATGGCTAGACGCTCTTTCAGGAGCATCAAAACCTCGCAGCTCCGGGACTTTTCGTCGCGGTCTGTATTGTTGTAGACTTTCTACGTGATTAGCTGCGAGTCGTAGCCGATGGGCAACGAGATATATTTCCCTTTGCATTTGTAGACATGTCGGTTTTCGTTCGTTTAGAACATGCATCTTGCGGCGGACATGTGTGGTGAGGCTGTATCATAGTATAGTTGGTACGTCTATGTTGATGAAGAGCCCTTGCTAGTTTTGGTGCGCTTCGCTGGTTGGGCTTCTTTCGAAGGAGAGAGAGTCTGCGTCGATGCATCGGACTCTTTGCTATCCGAATGGTCACGTTTACCTGCAGGCTGAGAGGTAGGCGTAAAGGAAGGGGCAGCAGGATCCAGAGACGTAGAAGCAGCTTGGCTTTCAGCAACATTCTCTACTAGTAAAGGTTTCATACCAAGTGAGGCACGCACGTCTCCATGCAAACGTTGAACAATACCACTAACATCTTGAAGACCATTGCGAGCTTGCGAACTGGCTTCGTCATACTTTGCAATATCAGTTTGCAAGGTCGTAATTTTGTCTTTCAGCTCTTGAAGTGTCCTGTCATTAATATTTCAAAGGCATCCATACATACATTTCCATATCATCGCGGCTGGGGTATACCAAAATTTTCCGAGCAATTTCATTGTATTCGACTTTGTGCTGACGGTCTTGTTGAGCCTCGTTTAACACCTGCTTAAGTTCAGAAATCTTCTCTTTTTCTTGTTCACATTGTTTCACTGGCACGTTAGAACATGTCATTGTACGTACTTAATGCCTTAGCCTCCTCATTGTATGTCTGAATATCGTAATCTGATGTGACAGACGCCGATGCACGTAGTCGCTCGATATGCCGTTCAAACATTTGTAGGTCTGATTTTAAAAGCAACGTGAGAGCTTCACTGGTTGCGTTAGAGACAATCGCCACATACTGTTCATCTGCGGAAGAAGCCTGAACAAGAGACGAAAGGCGCTTGGCGATACGTCGTATATATTTCTCATCAGCGGAAAGACGTGCCTTCAAGATGTCATCTGTCATGTATTAGCTTACCACCTCAGCACCATACCTTGCTCTTTGGTGGTTAAAGGAGCTACTGATGACGATGGATCATCTGTGCTCATTGTCGTCGATGAGGGAACAAACACGAGGACGTGCACCTACACAATTGACGCTTGTGGAGAAAGGGACGGGGCCTATTGTGTGGTTCCACCAGCCCTTCAGCCCAAACCTCCGCCAACGCTATCGAACTGTAGCACACAAAAATACGGATTATGAAACCATAGACATAGATTGATTCACAGCTATGCCAGGCGCGAGAGGCGCACTGCTCTCAAGGGAATAATAGCACAAAGAGAAGCAAACACCATATCACGGCGTCTACTGCGCTCAGAACCGCTGCTACGTTTTGGCACACAGGGTGGTAACCCCGGTTAAGTCATCATTGTTAAGCTTAGGCCTGGACCTTCTTGGCAGCAGCACCAAGGATGTTGCGACGCTGCTTCTTGAGGACCTGCACAGTGAAGCGCTCAAAGTCGGTCGTGTTCTTGCGAGCCTCACGAGCCTTGATGGTCTTGGCCCACTTGCTCTCAGCCCACTTCTCAGCGACACCCGAAGCCTCAAAGGCCTTCTTGACGGCAGTCGAGCCGGCAGCGCGGGGCACCTTAATCACAAAGCGGGTCAGAGTCATGTCGCGGTAAGCCATAACCTGGCGGGGCACACCAGTCGAAGGGCCATCCACAACAGCCTGTATGTGTCAGTAGTCTGCTCTAGGAGTTGCAGAAGCAAGAAGCAATGTCACAGTATCTTCTCCGTCAAGAAAGACGACATGTTGAATCGAGGATGTCGACGCTCGACGGGTATACGTGCCATGCCTCTCTGCTCCATATGTCAATACATACCCTGTTCTGGTCAACAATCTCGACAATAGTGGCGAGCTTGCCCTGGTTCTCACCCTTCGAGACAAGGATAACACGGCCAACCTCGACGTAGCGCTTGAACGAAACCCGTTGCACACCCATGACGGCTATTGAACCACTTGATGAGGATGCTAGAAGAGGATGTGGCATGCGTAGTCCCTATGTGACTGCCTCTAGTTAGTTCACGTGATTGAACTATAGTTTTGTTTGGTGCCCACGTGGCTGAGCATGATGCGATCTTACCTGCCACGTGCGCTCAAGTTTATGAACGGGAGGCCCCTCCACCGCGCACGAGCGCACGTTCGCGTTAAGCACAAGCCGCCGCCCCAGACTCAAGATAATCGTGCGAGGTACATCAACATCCAAGAGTGTTGCGTTGGGATATTAACCCACTCTTGGCAGAACGATTATACTTGTATAGATCGTCTGTGCATGTTGACTTTCGCTTGTAAAAATGAGCGAAAGGCGTAGTGAGGCTGGGACGCAAAACGCGTCGGCCAGTACGGATGCAAGTCCATCAAACTTGAATGACACTAGTCTAATACCAGATTCAGAGAATGCTGTACCCATGGATAGTGGTGAAATGGAGGGCGTGGATATTGCGACATCCCCACGTGTAGGGAGCGGACGCAAGGCGACACTCTCCCTACAGCTGTTTATGGCTACATCTCAGGCAACTGCTGTCTCACCGGTCATTGCAACACCTGTGGGAGATGCATTCCAACGTATACCAGAACTACCGCCAGATGCGATGCCTTCGCCAGTGAATTCCCTCACTTCTGGCAAGAGCTCCACGCTTGCGTCGACGAATTCTGCCGCGCCAAAGAAGAGTTTGTGGCCTGCTGACACTGGCGAGGTAAATGCGCCGACATCAGCGAAAATAGCAGAGAGCGATGACACTATCACTGATGTGCTGACCAGTACGACTATGTATGAGAATGAAGTCGGTAAGGTTACAGAAGATGACAAATATAATGACGAGTCTACGGGCTCAAGTACAAGCCAGAGCTCTGACAGTGATGTGGACAGTGATGAAGACACAGAGAACGAAATGACGATTGCAGAAAGGCGACAATATCTGGATACGGTTGGGCAAAGGCGACCCTCTGCTATTATTGCATCCCCTGCCCTTGGGCCAGACCAAGCTACACATACCCCGCACCACCCACACCATCATCATCACCATGTACAGGACTCTAACGAACCGCCACCCAGTGTTGTACAATTGCAACCTTATAATCACCAGGTGGGCGGTCATAGCCACATCTTCCGATTCTCACGTCGAGCAGTATGCAAGCCCCTTACCTCGCGGGAGAATCAGTTTTACGAAGCTTTGGAACGTGATCATCCAGATATGCTGGCTTTCGTGCCCCAATACCTCGGTGTATTAAATGTAACGTATCGTAATATCCACCGAGATTCACAAGTAAATACGGCGGAGGATGGTTCTGGAGATGACGCCTCAGCCGCCCAGCCACGTCGTAAGGTATTTGACGGACAGGAAGAAATGGAGGACCAAGTGCCAGAGGTGGCCGTTAATCAGAATCAGCATATTATGCCGAAATGGCTTGTGAAGCAATCACAACATGGGAATTCCGTGTCGGAAGAGGTCGTCAAAGCCGGTACAGCCTCCATATATGGAAAAGGCAGTACGTCGGTAAACCGTCGTCTTCAAGAGCAAGTAATCCGAGAAGTGTTCCGCCAAAACAAGCCACGTCATCGATGTAAGCGATCCATCAGTGGTCCTGTCAGCTCTGTTTCGAGCATGTCTACCTCCTGGGATGATAAGAAAGAGTGTCGCTCCTCTGATATGTCGCAGCCCCAGAAAGAAGAGATGCAGCCACTCGCTCGATCCCAAGACAGCATACCGGCTGGTCCCATGGACGGAAAGAATGCCTCTGAGCCAGAGGGGGAAGATGACCCTCATGCACGTCAAGAGCAGTTCATTTTGTTGGAAGACTTGACAGGCGGTCTGAAAGCGCCATGTGTCTTGGACCTAAAAATGGGGACTCGACAGTATGGATTGGATGCGACAGATGCCAAGAAGACCAGTCAGACAAACAAGTGCAATAAAACCACGAGTCGTACACATGGTGCACGTATTTGTGGTATGCAAATGTACGACGCTCGTACACGTGAATTCGTTTTCCAGGACAAATATTACGGTCGGCGAGTGAAGCCGAACGACTTCACATCCGTCTTTGAGAAGTTCTTCCATAATGGTCACCAGGTACTCGTCCATCATATTCCTGTCATGGTACAGAAGCTCCATCGATTGGCACGCCACGTTTATAAGCTCAAGGGCTACCGCTTTTATGCGAGCAGTTTGTTGCTCATCTATGATGGTGATCTACAGCGACAGAATGTGCTGATGCAGTCATTTGAAGCAGACCTTGCCCATGGCATCCATGACTCAGAATCACAGTCCACATCACTTGGATCGGAGCCTAGCTGTGACATGTCTCGCATGGTTGACAATATGCATACGCTGGTGATGACGCCCAGTGGCTCCGGCAGCCCTATTTCAGCTACTATGACACCATCTATCACATCGTCAAGCATGTCATCAACAGCTATTGCGCTTCCTTCACCTGCGATGTCGGCCCAGAGTGTAGCTGATGATGATTCGTCGACCCATAGCCGTCGACATCGTCGGCGTGGCATGATTGATATTCGCATCATTGACTTTGCCCACTGCACGACGGGAACGGATTTCTACTTTCCCGAAGATCACGGCGGCAGGCCGCCAACGACTCCAGAGGAGCTAGAATTACCTGTGTCACGCTTACCACCGGCAAATCGTGATCAACCGGACGTGGGCTACTTGTGGGGTCTTCGATGTTTGGCGTTGGCGTGCCAAGAAATTTGGAATCGTGAACGCCAACGCCGAATGGACGCCTCAGCATCAGAATTATGTCCAGGGGTGCAAGGCAGTGCCTATGAGAGTACAACCCGTACTGTTGATATTGGCGAGCTGCCTCTCCCTGTCGATAACATCTTCGATCGTCTGTTTGGCGATGGCCAGACTGGTTTGCTTTCGGGGTATATATCCACATGACATGTTTGCGCCCGATCTATAGGTCAAATTTATTTTGTTGATTAATTGGTGTGTGTGTTATTCAGGAATATCCGCCATGCGCTGGGGCCCGGAACAAATCATTTTGATACTTCCATTGCTTCCCCGCCATGTGGCGTCGCGGTGAGTCATTATTCCTTGGAAAGGACGAGGAGCGCTGGGCTAGTGCAAGGAAAGATCAAAGGGGGAAAGAAGCTTGGAAGTTTATCAAAAGTGTCCAATCCTTGGACCTGAATTCGTCCAAAGATGGCTCGAAAACGCGGTATGCCAGTGTTATTGGCATTCCTGATGGCATGGTGTCAGGATCCATGGGAGGCGCTACGCCTCCGTCCGCTACACAAACAAGTCTTTCTGAAAGAAGGAACTCCAGCTTGCAATTGCCAGGAGCATCCAAGAACGCCAAGTCGCCACCCTCCCCCCCGCTGGTCTCGCCCAATGCCCTGCTGGCCCAATCCGTCCAGGCCTCGCCAAGCAAGGTAGATGCGTCCTTCATGCCTTCGCGGGATGTAGCGCTAAAACAGTTCATGCGTGATAAGGCTGTCTTAGACGAACAAATTGGCGACGTGCCCAGGTTCGCTAAGCCTACAGGGGAGGTGAAGACCCTGCCCGATCTCGAAGTCAAGTCGCCTGCCTCTGTGCGGATAGCCGACTCATCAGTGGAACAGCGCCGTAATCGCCGCCTGAAACTCTTGCAGCCGGCGATGAAAGATCATGCCCTTACGCCGCGCCGAGGCTCGCCCGTGCTAGGCATGCAAAAGAAGGAGGCCTATATTCCTTTGTACGGTAACCTGGAGATCCTTACTTTGGTCCCTAAACGGTCTGTGGAGCAGGTCGAAGGTACCCTGTACGATGAAGACGGACCACTGAAAGAGGGAGCAACGACTGACAGCCTCAGTGTACGTTTGTTCTATGCGCCGAATGGGAACAATAGAAGAAAAAAAAAAGTTATCTGATTACCACGCCTGATAATCGTGTTTTCTCGGCAGCGAAGCGGCGACGCTGGGCAATGGATGACGAAGGCCACTTTTTTGCCGCGATGGAGATCAAGAGTGTGGAATCCAAGCTCCGGAGTGCGAAGAACGAAATTCGCGACCCTGTGTATGCGAAGGAATACGAGATGGATCTCCAGATGCACTATTTGGATGACATCTTGATGGAGCTGCAAAAGGCGGAGTCTTTGGTGCCTGGTGGGATGAAGACAGTGCCACATGTGCTGCAGACGGAAGATGGGAAGATTGTGCGCTTGGAAGAAGATTTCCCGGAAGAGGCCTTTTTCGTGATTGCAGGGTGTGAGGATGAGGAGTTGTACCCTGTCATTGTGCGCATCTTCATCGACTCTGTGCGTCTTTTATGGCGTCTGCATTCTCATGGCTGGATGCATGGTGACATCAAGTTGGAGAATTTGATGTTCGACAAGGATAAAAAACTCACGATTATCGACTATGAGAACGCATCGCCATTCCGCGGCTCGCCCTACCATGACGGCAAAATCCAGCTTTTGAGCTTCGACTGGATCCCACCAGAGCTGGAAGTAAGTGTGAATGGCCGTCGTATGGGTCCCTCGGGCGATTTGTGGGCGCTAGGCTGCAACTTGATTCGTGCCTTTGCCTTACGTGATGGCATCTCCGATATTGATATACGTCGAATGTTAATGGGAGATGGCCGTGATACATTCTTTCAGTTCCGACGTAGCCTGATGGATTTGTCCGATGTGATGCCATGTGCACCACCGATCCATTATGGTATCAATTTAACACCCCTTCTTCATGCCGCCGATATGGAGGTGGACCCGCCCTATATGAACCCAGCGCGCCTCCTTCGTCTATTTGCGCGCCGTGGCCCAAAACTACTGCAGTACGTGTTGGCGCACAGCGTAACACCGAGCCCTAAAGAACGGAATGAAAAGCTCGGCGTGCAACTCGCGGAAGAAATGCTCCATGACCACGATTATGCCCGCACATGGGACATTGTGGACAACGCATTGCAACAATCGTTGGACAACAGTGGTAGTGCCTGGGTCAAACCCAAGTTGGACGAGGCTCGGGCCATTCTCGCTATGTAAATCGACCGAAATGACGACATGATACATGACATGGATATATGTAGTTGTAACTGATGTACATATAGTAGAAACAATGTATGCATAACCATACTATGGCTCAACTCTCATTGCTTTCGGCCGTGAGACTAGCAATGAGCGCTTCCAAGTGCGACTGAATGGACTCGTCCTTGTCCGCGCCTGGAACTTCGCCTTCCAGTAACGATGAGAAAGGGGTATCCTCGGCAGACGCATCGTTCTCCGCAGGTGGCGCTGTTGTCGCATCGTCGGTCGATGTAGTCGGTGGTACAGCTTCTGACGATTCACCCTCCAGCGCTGGGGCATCAGCCACATGGGCCTCTGTCGCATCTTCACTACGCTGCTCAGTGAGCTCGGAGACAGATGTGTTCGGATCGCGCAGTGTCTCTGTCAAGTGACGAAGTGCATCGCCCGACACATCGATGCCGTACGACTTCAGCAGCGCTTCCATGCGACTCGAGCTATCATCGGTGTCGCCATGAGCCCCGCCTTCGCCCTCCTGGGTCTCTGTGGTCGTTTCGGTCTCCTTGGGCTGCGCCGTCTCAGTCTCCTCCGCCTCCTTGGTCTCCGCGGATGGCGCGGTAGGAGGCTCTTGATTGTGCCTTTGACCATGTGTGTCTTGGTCGTGACCATAGGACCCGTACGATTCGTAGGGCTCATCATACTCGTCGTCCTGATCTTGCGACTCGCCTTCCGACAAATCAGCCTCCGCATCGGCAATGGCCTTCTCGTCGGCCAGACGCTGCGCTTCGTCATCGTCTTCATCCTGCTCGCCTGTGGCGCCTGCCAATGCAGCTGTCAGGGTACGCAAAGCATCACTGTAGTCGTCCAAGTTGATGCCGCTAAGATCGCTGGTATCAAGGCCTTCGAGCGACGCTTCACCGGTCGTCCCAGCGGCGCTGCTGCTCTTGTCAGACGGGCCAAGTTGCTGGAATGCGGCTTGCAACGTTTGCGACACAGCCGCATCCAAGTCGGCCTGGGACGAGGACGTAGAAGTAGGCGCCGCCTGCGACGATGTAGGCACGCCCTCCGATAGGGCCTGACTCGAGAGTTCCGACTGTGCCTGCTGCTGTGCCGTGCGAGACGCCTGGCGGACCAGTGTCTCTATGGAAGCCGACAAGGACCCAGGGCCTGTAGCAGGGAGACTGGATGTGGGACCTGCCAGGGCTGCCACGTCGGATTTCGAGTGAGAATCGAGGAGGGAGGCGCTTGTCGTAGAGAACGACGACGCAGTTGATGACGAGGTCGCTGCCCGTGCTGTGCCTAGCAAGCGAGAGAGCGATTGCAACACGGGGGACGACACATTCGCCACTGGGTTGACCAACGGCAACGGCGAACTAGAGCCCGCAATGGCCGGACTGCCATCGTTGGGGCGTTGCACATGCTTGAGAAGCGCCGAGGCAAGAACACTTGACAGAGACGAGGCGCCCGGGCCATCCGTCCCACCTTGTGACGACGAATTGCGCAGTTGCTGTACAAGCGCTGTGAGGGTCGGTGTAAGATCTTGGGACGATGAGGAAGTGCTCTCCGTGCCATTGATACCGCGCATACGCTGCTGATGTGCTAAGAGCAATGCAGCGGCAGCCGCACCATTCTGGAAAATGCTGCTGGCCGGGTTGTCGAGTGGCGCAGCGCCCGGCTGTCCATACGGCTTAGGCCCTGGGCGTAGACTCGAGGGATTGCGCAAGCCTCGGTGCTTGCTAAGATGTACAGACGACTGTCGGTACGCTGCGGCGCCTTCAAACTGCGCTCGCGCTTTGAACGGACTCGCTGGGGCAGGCCCCTTCGGACCATTCACCATCATCGGGTGATCCTTGCCGATCTGAGGACGACGTGTAGGCTTCCGACCTGCATTGCTTCCATCCCAATTGGGATTGATACGATACAAGCTGCCTGCCTTATGCAGACGTCCACGTTTGAACGCCTTCTGCAGGGCTTGACTAGCCGACGGACGAAAGTTCTTCATCAGCGGGTACGTATCCTCCATCCAATGGAATAGCATACGTGGCGGAGTGCCATTCACGTCGCCAATGGCCTGGAGACCTTCGATGATCATGTCCTCGTACGATGGCAGCGTGCTAGTGATGCGGGGTGAATCGCGCTGACTTGCATTCTGGTCCTCCGTACGCGTATCATTCAAGCCATACGTCGTAGTAAACGAAGGGAGTGACGACGTAGCAGACGTAGGTGTCGTGGTATGCGATAGACTGGAGTAAAGAGACGACGAGGCGCCCAACGTCGGCCGCGCCAAGCTCGATATGCTCGGTATCGTGGGCGTATGCGTGGATGTGGATGTGGATGTGGATGTCGACGTCGATGTGGCCGTAGGCGCTGTGCTCGAGAAATTTGACAATGTACTCACACCAGGAGTAGCTGTGATCGACGACGGCGTCGAGGACGTCGATGTGGAGGACTGCTCCAATAGCTTCGATAGTGCCGAATTGGCTGGCATACGACTGTTGTTCAAAAACGACGAGCTGCTTAGCAGCGACGAAAGCCCACCAGACATCGGCGAGCCAGATCCTTGTTTCGAGGGTGCGAGCGGCTGCCCTTGCAAGCCTAGCATCGGCCCTGTTGAATTCGTATTCTGGATCGATTCGAGAATGGCGGCGATGCGAGACGAAATGTTGCCGCTGCCGCTCATTGGCTCTGTCGCGGTGTCCATGGATGCGGAACCTGTGCTGGACGTAGGCACAGGGATAGGCGTCGAAGGCAGGGTAGGTGCCATCGGCTCTGACACTGGGGGTAAGGGCGTCGACGGCCCCGACATGGATACGGGTACAGAAGGCGTGGGGACCGGCGGTGTAGGAGCAGACGTCGGCGCCGGGATCGAAGGGGTATAGAGTCGACCTGAGGGTGCGGCAGGAATCGGGGACGTAGGGACAGACGTGGACGTCGTGCTGGTGCGTAGCGGGGATGGTGCATATGGTACGTGCGCCAGGGCCGCATGCGATGATGGCATAGGTGATGAGGCGTCCGATACCAATGAGGACGTTGATGTGGACGTCGGTGGGGGCGGCGCTGACGATGTGCGCACCAAGGGCGAGGGTCGCGCGGGTGGGGGCAGGACTGGCTGGTGTGCCGACATTCGCTCCTCCATGTCATCAGGGTATATCAATGCACGCACATCGGCGGCATAAGGGGTATGTTGCACAAGCTGCTCGATTTGATGGAGAATGTGGACCAAGTCGGAGGACGAGAGGCTTTCTAGGTAAGCATCTGCGATTGAAGGACGTTCCGTACGTGGACGCTTGGCGGTGGCAGGTGCCTCAGCCAACACATCCTGATCAGGGGAATGGGAGCGCTTGACGGTGATCGGGGCACTGGACATGACTGCCAGTGCAGTGGTAGCGAGCACCGCAACGCCAAAGGGCGTAGCGAAGCCGAGAGAGGCAGACGCAGAGGATACGCTAGTGTTGGTTCCTTATGACACGCTTTAGGTGTCCTGTGCGCACGCGTCGTTGAGCGCGGGGTCCGATCCGCTCTAGAGACGCGTGTCGAATTTACAGCTATACAGTTCGGTAGCTGTAGGGGAAGAAACACCTGCCCAGGCGAAACTGTATATTTTTGACGACCCCTGACTCAGCATCCAAGTGCCTGTCGCTTCCTGGGGGGCACTACTTACCCACATGCCCGCGGCACGTGTCCCTTTGTTTACCCCGCATAGTAGGTTCTTAGAAGCATATATAGAAGTACCTAGTAGAATTAAATTTCATGTTACAACGCCACGGAACGCCGTGTATTTTTCCGTGTACATGCAGCCCTGGTCGGCGCCTTACGCACGAGGGCGTACCCGTGCAGAACACCACGTGGCTTTTCCAACACACGCACTTACACCCTCAGCATCGTGAAAGTAGAAAGCGACAAAATTACATATGCTTACTTGAACATACGCGAGAGGCGTCCCGGGGCATACAAGGATTTTATTCCAGCACGGAGCTGCTGGATAAACAGTAGCGTAAATTCTGGTCCTGCTACCGACGATCACGGCCATCATGGAGAGCGAAGGAGGTGCACCTCCGAAGAACAACATGGTAGTGAGCCTGTTGCTGGCAATTTGGCACACTCTGTGGGAGGTCTGGCTGGAGCCATTCCTTACGTTTACGCATTTGTACGATCCCGCAGACCTTACCTATGGACGCTCCCAAATTCCGTTCAGCAAGATGGAGTTGCGTCTACACAACAACCCTGACGTGACAGTGTCGTTCTACAAAGCCATGATGCCCAATGGCAAGGACTTTGTCTGGTACCAGGTGTGGGAAGACAAGCTTGCGATGCGCTCAACGGGACGTGTTGCAGACATGGTGTTCTGCCATGGCACCGGTGTGCATTCAGGCACGCTCGCTAGTCACTCGCGTCGTTACCTGGATGCAGGCTACCGACTGATTGTGCCTGACCTTCCATCGCACGGATACTCGACGGGTCTCCATGTGTACCAAGCTGAAATGCGTGGCTATACAGATGGTGTTCGCCAGGTGATCCATGATGTAGCACGTCGCGACGACGAGCTGCAAGGTTCCAAGACACTGAAGCAAAACCGACGCAAGACCTTCCTTCTGGGTTTGTCGTTCGGTGGTATGGTCGCCTGTCTGTACCCTATTTACTACCCACACTCGCTGCGTTCCGACACAGAGGACATGGACGAGATCCCTGTGGATGGTGTGGTAGCTGTGGGCCCGATCATCGATTACAACCCGAAGGATGTTAAGATTGGTCCGCTAGTGCGTTTGGTGAGTACGATTATTCGTGTGTTTAAGGCGGCACGTCTTGAGCTGTATGTGCCGCATAAGAAGGTGGTCGACAAGGACCCGAAAGTGTACAAGCAGCTGGTTGACCAGGATATGCGTAGCCATCGCGGCTCATTCCGTGTGGGTCACTTGTTCTGCCTTCGTGGCGGTATTGCCGACTGCCAGGATTATGCGTACAAGTTCAAGACGCCCGTGTATATCCAGCATGGTCTTCACGACCGTGTGGTGTCCGTTAACTCGTCTGTGATGTGGCTGGGCAAGGTGCACTCGGACGATATCAAGATGACTGTGTACCCTGCGAGCCAGCACATTATCTACCGCAAGGCCAAGTCGGAGGTAGAGGACCAGGCGGGCCGTGTGTGTGTGATTGAAGACAATGTGGCGTGGATGAATGAGCGATGCCCTGGTTCAGGCCACATTGAGCGTGGTATGTCGTTCTCGTCCGACTACAACGCGGACGGTATGCGTCGCTCCACGTCCTTCTCCCTTTCGTCGGGTCTCGTTACACCTAGCGAGCTTGCGCTCGGTACGGTGTCCGAGAACTCGGAGCACATGGTAGCCAACACGATCCAGACACTTACCGACAAGCTCGGTACGATTGGCCAGGAAGGCGCTGCCAGCACGGCACTGCAGGAATCGGTGTCGGAAGCTGCGCTGACGCAACGCAGCAGCGTTTCAAAAGATTCGCCCAAGAAACCAACTCCTGTCGCTTCGATGAACAAGACCAATGTGAATGACCGCATCTATCGTGAAAGCTGGACCCTTCCAGAGGACCTGTGTCCCTATGACATTGTCATCCGCCATGTGGAATAACCCACCCATGAGTGTGCAAGTAACACCCTGTAGACCTACCTAGTGGGGAAGTTAGGTTTTCTTGATATGTTTAGTCATCGCCGAGGACGAAGACGTCGTGCAGGGCCGTGACGTCGTCAGCTCCACGACGCGTGGCTTTTCTGCTCATCGGACACTGATGTGGCATCGAATGGCGTTCCGCGGGCTGCGCCGTGCCCCTGTCACGGCGAGCAGGCTACGGGGGCGTACCTTGGCGACGCAAGCGGCCGCTGAGGCCACCGTCCAAGTATCGACGCTGCCCAACCAAGTGCGTGTAGCCACCGAAGCTACCCCTGGTCATTTCAGTGCGGTGGGTGTGTATGTGGATGCAGGCTCGCGCTTCGAGCGGCCATGGGTCCCTGGCGAGAGTGGTGTAAGTCATATTTTGGACCGTATGGCTTTCAAAAGCACACAGACACGCTCGTCTTCCGACATGGAGCAGTTGATTCAGGCGGTTGGCGGCAACGTGATGTGCTCGTCGTCGCGTGAGACGATGATGTACCAATCCTCCGTGTTCAACCAGGATGTGCGCACGGTCATGGAGTTGTTGTCCGATACCATCCGCCACCCTTCGCTGGATGCCAACGAATTGGCCATCCAGCGCGAAGCAGCAGCATGGGAAGTCTCGGAAATCTGGACCAAGCCCGATATGATCCTCCCGGAAATTCTGCATTCGACAGCGTATGCTAACAACACGCTGGGCAACCCGCTGTTGTGCCCCATGGAGAGCTTGGATGTGATGACCACGGACAATCTGCGTGCCTTTTTGCGTGGATGGTACCGCCCTGAGCGTATCGTCGTAGCGGGGGCAGGTATGGCGCATGACGAGTTGGTGGGCCTCGCGACCGAGTTCTTTGGCGATATGGCCGTAGAGCCACAAGACCCTGTTATGGCGCAGTTGGCCAAGGACCAGGCGCAGTATACGGGTGGCGAGCTGTATCTCCCAGAGCCGTCGAACGAGTTCACGCATGTTTATGTGGCATACGAAGGCTTCTCGATCCATGACGAAGACATTTATGCCTTAGCTACGTTGCAGATGCTGCTGGGTGGCGGTGGCAGTTTCAGTGCAGGTGGGCCAGGCAAGGGTATGTACAGTCGGTTGTACACGAACGTCCTCAACCAGTTCCACGCGGTGGATCACTGTGCCAGCTTCCACCACTGCTATGCCGACTCGGGACTGTTTGGCATTTCGGCAAGTGTGCACCCAAGCTTCAACTCGACGATTCCCTACGTGATTGCCCGTGAATTGGAGCTGTGTACGTCGGGCATGTACCGTGGCAGTGTGACAGCTGCCGAGTTGGATCGAGCGAAAAACCAGCTGAAGAGCAGTTTGATGATGGCGCTGGAAAGCCGGCTGGTCGAAGTAGAAGACCTGGGCCGCCAAGTCCTTGTGCATGGCCACAAGATCAGTGTGCAGGAGATGTGTGCAGCGATTGACCGTGTCGACTTGCCGACCTTGCATCGCGTAGCGACGCGCGTCCTCAAGAGCGGCAAGCCTAGCACGGTCGTTACACAGGGTCAGCTGGATGGCCTTGAAGACGTGCGAGCCTTACTGGCATCGCGTGGCATGTAAAAAGGCACATAGGAGATGATACGCTATGTAGAGCCTAAGACATGAATGGTATAAGAAAGACGACGAGACTGGACACGCACATTTATTCATCGCAGCGCCATGCCATCGGGCCAGGCCACCGCGGCGACGCGACGCCAGGCCGCGTCCGGGTCTTGGGCGAGGGAGAAGCAAGGTGCATGTTGAGCACGCGCGTCTTGGACGAAGGGCCGGTCGGCGTATCAGGCATAGGGCTGCTCAGACGCACACCGTCCGTGGTGAGATCACTCGCAAACGACGGCGTAGCGTCGCTGGGTGTCGACAACGCAGCCCGACGTGCGCCGTATGTCGAGTGCGTAGGTGAATCGGGTGCGTACATAGCACGACCACGATTCGAGGGCGTACGCCAGGCGCTGTGGGGCGTGTACGCGAGCAGCCCTGTAGGTGTAGGCAGCCATTCCGCGTTGGTGTAGGGCGTAAAGTGCCGGCTGGGCGTCATGGCATTCGCGAAGGGCGCAGGTGGGGGCGAGGGTGTCCTGCAAGGCCGGGCTGGGGAGGAGGCGTGAGCCGCGTCCGAAGACATGGAGACGTGACGCGACCATACTGGCGACGCAGCCACCGACGAGCTGGGCATCCAGTCGTCGTCCAGCATGCGCGAAGGACTAGGGGCCAACGAGAGTGTCCATGGCTGAGAGGGCCAGGCTGCGAGCATTGGCGCAGGCCGAGCTGTCGTAGGCGATGGCGCATGCGAGAGAGCGGCACGGGATTCGTAGCAGTCGTCGCACACCCAGTCGGTCGGTGGTAGTTGGTCCACATGGCTCACTCCGACGCAGGCCAAATGGAGCCACCGTTGGCATCCATCGCATTGGACCATACCCATATGCTTATCTGTAAACCCGCAATGGCATCCCATGACGGGAGACAGGCCGCTCGCTTGCAAGGATTGCATGGTCGACGCAACGCGGCGTGGATGCGGCCGCTTGGTCCCACGCGGTCTACGATGCCCATCCAGCCCGATCCACATATCTTGGGCCGCCGATGTGTGTAGACTCGTGGAAGCGTAGCGCCGACTGCGCTCACGAAGGCACTTGGCGACCATGGGGTGGTACGTCGTAGAGGAAGGCACCTCGTCTTCGTCCTCGTCGTCGCCATGAAGCCACTGCAACACAAGCGCCCGACGTTCCAAGGCGTCCGACGAGGGACCGGGAGTCGTCGTGGGCGCCTTGTCGCTCGCGCACAGGGACGCTGGCGGTGCAGGCAGTAGATCGCTGTGCAGCACCATTCGCCCAAACCCTTCGACAGTGACAGGCTGCAGAGCAGGTCGAGGTGGCGTCGTGGACGACGATGACGACGCTGTCTCGAAGCACGCAAACAACTCGGTGCGAGCTCGTTTGGGCTGATATGTAGGTGTCGTGGGGGCCAGCGGGGAGGTAGGCGTCATCGGAGGTTCACACTTCATACCAGCTGAAGCATGGGCAGGGCGCTGGGTATACAAGGTATATTGAGTGCGGCCCCATACACTCGAAGAGGTAGGCGTCTCGTGGGTCTTGTCGCCGACCGCGCGTGGGAAGCGTGCAGACGACCCCCGGGTCTTCGCTCGCTTGGGAGCGAGGGACGTCGTTGCGCCTGACCGCCGTGAAGGAGGCGGCATGGCGCCTGCCGTCATACTCGGAAATGCGACTGTACGTCAAATGTGCCTCGATCGATGCAGGCACTGGAAGCACGAGGGAGAAAAAGCCCCGAGGGATGCGTTAGGGCTGCCCCAAGGGACGGTGTGTGAGCACAAAAAGCGAAACTCGTGCGTACGTACATGCCGCGCGACCAGGCGCGGCCACATTCGCGGCCATGCATGCAGGCCAATCAGCATGCGTATGCGTGGCAGGCGCGTAAATCTACTTGCATAGGCCAGGCCACGATCTTATGTCATCACGCTGTGACCTCGAGGGTGTGGGGTATCATAGGGCTCTACGTCGTAGGACACGAGGATCAGGGCGGCGCCGTGGACAGGCGGTCCAGCAGCGTTTGTAGATGACTTATAGGTAAGCGAAGCAGACATACGTACCGAATACGCGCTTCATCACGAGCAGCTCGCTCTTTCGCGCCCGCGCGCTCGCGCTTCACACGCTCGTCAGCCTCCTTGCATCGCCGCTCCAATTCACGGAGACGCACAGACAGCTGGCCCGGCGAGGAGGGTGCGGTCGCCATCGGCGCTGTGTCTTTGGCACGTGCAAGTTGGTGTTCCAACTCGCGGTGCCGACGCTGCCACTCGACCAACTCCTGCTCTTTGTCCTGCACACGCCGACGCCATTGCGCCTGCTTCTCTGTGGCCAAGCGAATCGTACGTTCCATTCGCTCGACTTGGTGCCAACGAACCTCATGCTCACGTCGAAGATCACTGGTGTGAGTGTGTATATGCATGTATACGTACGCCAAACGAGCGCTTTGCGCCTTCTCCAACGCATGCGTGCGCTGCGTAAATCGGCTTTGAAGGGAAGCCAAACGACGAAGACGCTGCGTGAGCTTGTCCTGGAACGTGGAGAAGTGGGTCTGCAGGAGCCGTGACTCGCCAGGCCCAGCCTCCGCTTCATCCTCGGCCAGGGCTCGCACCACACTGTCGTACACCGTCATGAGCAGCGCATTGCGTTCAGCGAGCTGCGTTCGTGCATGCGACTCACTGGCGGAACGTCCATTGGTACCCGAGCGAGGCGAGGCGGACATATCGCGCTGCAGCTTCAGTCGCTCCGTATCCAGACGGGCCTCTTCCAACGCACGCTGCGCAGCGTCCAGCCGGTCCTCGGTGTTCATGCGCGTGCGCGTTTCTGTCTGAAGCGCCGTGGCCAACTCGTCGGACTCGGCACGAAGACGCGCAACTTCGTCCTGCGCATCTTGCCAAGACCCGAGCTTCTCATTCATATCGTGAACCAAGCGATCCATCTCGCGACGATGACGCGCATGTGCCTCATCGACCTGGCGCCGTGTTGAGGATTCCGCCGCTTGCGCAGCTTGCTCAAGGCGCTCAATGGTATGCTCGTGCCGCCGCTTGTCGTCCCGCAGTTGCGAGAGCTGCTGCTCCAAGGACTCAATAAGAGCATTCTTCGCGCCGAGCGCGCGGCGCGTATGCACCTCGCTCGTATCGTAGCGCTGCGACCAGTCGCCTTCCGCCTGCTCCCGCGCCATCTCTTCGTCTTTGAGGTCCTTCACAAGCTCGACCAGCTTGTCGTTCAGACGCGCATTCAAACGCTCGAGGTCGGCACGCTGGGCCGCATACCGGTCCGCCGCCTCGCGAAGCTCCGCCACTTGCGACGATGACGAGGCCAGCTTCTCGTGGAGCGAGGCTACGACACCGTCATGGTGATGATGTGCGTCGCGGAGCTCCTGTGTAAGCTGCTGCACCTGGTCCTGCAGCCGCTCGACCCGCGCTTGTGCCGCAGCATCCGAGGCCTTGTGCGCATCGATTTGCCGCTGCAAATCGGCTGTCACCGCCTCCGCTTCTTCCAAACCAGCCTCCAAGCGATCCACTTCGCCATCCTTCTCGGCCATGTTGAGTCGCTCTGCGGCCAGCGCATCCTGCAACGAACATATAGCCTCATGCTGTTCTTCGATCTGCTGCTGCAAGGCCTGCACGTCCTGACCCTGCGACAGACGCAGCGAGGGCGACATGGGCATCGCACGCGCCCGTTCCAGTGCATCTTGCGTCGCTGCCAGATCGGCGCGCATCCCATCCACCATCGCATCACGCTCACGTAACGCCTGCTGCATCGCATGTCGATGTCGCTCCTGTGCCAAGTCCATCTCCCGCTCCATCGACCGTTGCGCACTCTGCGCATCTTGCAAGGCGACTTCCAGTCGTTGTACATCGGCGTCGACATGCTGGCCACGCGCCGCCTCCTCCGCGGCTTTTGCACGTGCTTCGGCGTCGGCCAACTGCGCCTGGAGCGTTTCGTAGTCGGCCCACTTGGCCTCCCACGCTTTGACTTGGCGGTTGACCGTCTTGAGCGCTTGGTCCTGATTCTTCACCAGCTCATTCATACGCTGCAATCGACGCACATACCCCAGCTTTTCCTGCCGCAGCGAAATGACCTCCGCACCGACATCGTCAGGCGACATGTTGCGTCGGTGGAAATCCACCTCAATTTTCAGGTCATCACGTTCCGCCGTCAATTGCTCGATTTTCTGCAACGTCGACTTGATCGAAATGCCGGCGGCAGTGCGACGGCGCATCTCTTGCACGCCCCAGTGCCCTGACGACGATTGGTTCGCGTTTTCATCGCCGTCAGCCTCGTCTTCTTCGTCCAGCAATTCCAAAGCGCCATGACTCCGGGCTAGTTGACTCGCACGTAACGACGTGGACAACGACGAGTCTTCGTGCGACCAGGACGACTCAGACCCACGCGTAGGCGTCGCATACGATGACGGCTGGGCTTGTGTGGCGGCCATAGGTGTCTTGGACGACGACGAAGCACTTGTAGGGCGGGTTGGCGTACGTCCTGCCGTGTGAGGGGTAGTGGACGTCGTCATCGGGGACAAACTGGAGGCAGGCTCTGGCGTGCTAGGCACGGGCTGTGGGCGCGTGTCATCATGGGAGTAAGAGGAAGCTTCTTCGTCCTGGAACGTCCCAAGCGCCGCACTATCGTCTGTAGACGATAGCAACGGCGGCGCTGCTTGCATTGACAAATCCAGCGACGTGGAAGAATCCAAGCCTAACGATGCATCAACATGAGGATACGTCGTTGTACTTTGGTCGACAGATGCATCCATCGGCTCATTCTGCCCGCTTTCATACAAAGCCTTGAGAGCGGCCAGCCTTTGCGACATGATCCACTCGAGTCGCAGGGCCGCGCGCGGACGTCCAGAGCAACCAGGTGGACGCGCGCCGCACCGCACTACACAATCAACACCGGGCGTGCCGTATCACGTGATACGCCCCCAGCGATCTACCGAACGAATTGCTACGACGTCCACGACGTTGGGTACGTGAAGAGCCACGCCGTGGAGGGCACAGAGAGGCAAGATAGAGGTAGTGGTACAGCTAGACATGCACGACATGATCACTGGTACTCGCAGCCCATCGCAAGGCGCAAGAGACCCCAGGTCTGCTTTTCAGACGTTCTCGCTAACGTGAGTTCGCCCTCTGAACCATCCTCATGTAACGTTGCAAAGAGTACGTGAGCGATCACCACGGGAAACCCCATCCTACCATGCATACAAGTTCGGATCCTAGGCATGGATTTCTAGGCTACAAAAAGGAGGGTTATGGACCACATCAAGTGGCTTCTTTACTCCTCATCATCACCATCGGCGGTGACGTACTGTACGTGTAAGTACGTGATTCTCACACGCAGAAGTACGACTTACCTTGTCACGGATATCCTTCCATTGCATCTGCATAGAAAAAGAAAGCAGCGGTGTACATCCGCCAGCATTGTCATCATGTCAGTATGTGTTCTTTTCCACGCTGTCATGGAATACGTACGCCACGGTTGTGGCTGTCCCACCACTTCTCCGTCAAAGTGTCAAAGGCAATGCCGAAGCCAAAAGCACCAGCCAAGATCGAGCCAACGCTGCAAAGAAAAACACGCATACAAACGCAAGGCGCGCATAGTGTCAGCATATATTCTTACGCCCCATAGCATGGTTACATACTAGATCGAGTTGCGCTTCACAATGAGGTTGTAGAACGAGTTCGCGAGCGACATGGTGACGGTCAGCGATCAAAGGTAGCGGCGATGCGACTCCAGTGAACGGGTCTCGGACCCGGCCGGAAACCTTTTGGTCACGTGATTATGAGAGGGAGGCAAGCTACTTGGAGAGGCGAGTGCTACCGCCTGTGCTTTTGAACCACTGGTGGTCAGTGCGCTGGCCAAGGGACGTAGGACATACCTTGGGAAAGTGGCGCTTCTCACGCGCGTCTTTTGCATCCGAGGTTGTGGTAGATTGACTAGAGGGTGTCGAGAACGTAGGTGGGATAGGCATATCGCGTGCTTGTCCAAGCACGTCTGGTTTGAGCGGCGCAGCTGCATGGGATGCTGAAGGTAAGGCAACGAGCGACATACCATTCTTTGCCGCGTCTGTCCATCGTATACTAAGAACGGCTGCCGGTGCGAATCCCAGAGAGAGTAGCGTTGGCGCAGTGGCCACGGGCGCTCGTGGGAACTCACGTCGAGGCGGCGATTGGAATAGGATATAGGTACCGTGGTGTGGATCTGTCACAGCATCAACAAAGTTGTACACGTCATTGATTGTCGCAGAGGGCGAGAAGGCCTGTTCGATTTGCGTGCGATCAGCAAAGCGGACACGAATACGGATCTACAATAAGCCGTATGCCATACATACCGAGTCGTATTGCTTCTTAGTCTTTCCCAGCGCGGCCTCACGTTTCTCTCTCATAGCTCGTGTCATCAGAGGCGCGTTAGGTCCATGTTTTTCCGCGATGGCGTCAGCATACGCAGCACGCAGTTCGGCGGACGTAGGCTCAAAATTATCGGCTTCCGGCGGTGGTGGAGCTGAGATGGGTGAGACGGGAAGTACGTACCGTATGCGCGGCTGTTGGGAGCACGGTACACCGAGAACGACGATGTACTCGGCCCTGCGTCGGACGACGACGACATGAGGAGGGGTGAAGACCTTGGGTGGAGCGCTACGGCGTGTCCCTATGACGTAAGCGCAACGCTGCCAGAGAGCGGGGCGGCGCAGTGCGCACAAGCCTTCTTGGTACGGCGATGCATGTGTGGCTAGCAGAGGCATCGCCGCAGCGGCAGACGGTGCTGGTGACGAGGTATGAGCCTAGTCAACCTGATCCCTCTGTATCTACGCTTGTCCTAGCCTTCACAACGGCGGAAGGACGATGCACGCTGCGCCTGACCGAGGCTGACGAGTATGACTGGGCCAGTCTGCGTCGTCTATCGATGCCGTATGCGCCTCTCCTTGGCTTATTGGGGCTGCTGAGCATCGGCTCAGGTATGTACGATGGCCTTTTCTTACATGAGAAGACACTTTCTTGGTCGGCATTTCCGCCACGGAGCGTATAGGATGCATTCAGTCCGACGAGATGATTCATCGCGTGCGCAACGTATCGTTTTACTGCCTGAACCGACGATTGGCCAACGATATGGCGCTAGCTCAGGGCGCTGTGGATCCGCAGGAGTATGGCCGCACGTCACTGGCAGGCAGCGGCAGCAGCAGCAGTGCGAGCGGTGGCACGGATGACCCCTGTGCGGCGATTCGCAAGTATATGTCCAGTGGATCGTTTTACTACGCGGAAGGCGCATACGATCTCACGCAACGAGTGCAAAGCTCACATGAACCACATCGGATGTTTCAGGACCAGTTTTTGTGGAATTCATACATGATGATGCCCATCGAGACGTTTCGTGAGCGACTGGATGCCACACGGCAGCGCCTATGGGGCGAGGCGCGCTTTTTCGTGTACGTGATCCACGGGTACGTGGGCGTACGAACGATCCCCTGCTCGTTTCCATGCCGCTTAGCGGTGATCAGCCGCCTAAGTATGCGCAAAGCCGGTACACGTTTTAATGCGCGTGGAATAGATGACGATGGCAACGCCGCCAATCTGGCCGAAACGGAGACAGTTCTCATCTTGGACGACTATGAGTATGCGTATACACAACTCCGTGGCTCTGTGCCAGTGTTTTGGGAGCAGCAAGGATTGCAAGCGCTTAATGCGCGCATCCAAATCACACGCATTGGTGCTGCCAGTGCGCCGAGTTTCCGGCGGCATATGGAGCAGTTGATCGACGAGTACGGTCCATTGTTCCTGTTGGACTTGCTAGGCACGCGCGAGGCGGAGACGTTGCTCGGTCAGACGTACGTCCAGCATATTCAAGCGGTCGTACCGGAGCTGCCGCTGCGGTACTACAACTTTGATTTCCATGCGGTGACCAAGGCGATGGGCGGCTTGGAAGGTGTGCAGCAAGAGTTTGAGCGCCTGAACAATGTACAGACGCAACGACAGCAGGATCGGTATACTTTTGTGCAGGGCGATACGGTCCTGGAGAAGCAGCGAGGTGTGTTCCGTGTCAACTGCTTTGACTGCTTGGACCGGACGAATGTCGTACAAGGCATGCTGTCGCATGCGCAGCTCCGTGATTTTTTCCGGCACATCGAGCGTCGGGAGGAAGCAGTCTCGCAGCGACTGGCCCAGGACGCGAGCCTTGCGTCGAAAGTGTGGCCTGTGCATCGCGAATTGTGGGCGCAGAATGGCGACGCATTGTCGTACATTAGCACGGGTACAGGCTCCCTCAATTCAGGGTTCGTGCGCTCTGGGACCAAGAAAGGGCTGGCAGGTATCCTTAGTGATGCGGCGAAGAGTGCGAGTCGGATGTACGTGAACAATTTCCAGGACGCGTCGAAGCAGGAAGCCATCGATACGCTGCTAGGCCGGCGTGCTGGCCAGCGGCATGTGGAGTTGTACGATCCGCTGTACGCCAAGGTGTCGCAGACCATGGCGCAGCGTTGGGACGAGTACGCGCAAGTGCGTACGCTGCGTTTGCATGTCGGCACGCTGAATGCGTGTGCAGTGGCGCCGGGCCTCACGTCGCTCACGCCCTGGCTGCGGCCGGACGGTGAGGAGGCGGAGATCGTGGCCGTGTCGCTCCAGGAGATTGTGCCGCTCACCGCGCAGTCGATACTCGTGTCGGGCACCGATGCGATGCAGGCCTGGGAAGGAGCGGTGTTGCGTGAGCTCAACCGAGGCACGTCGACGTACGTCCCGCTCCGTCATTCGCTGCTGTTCGGTACAGCGTTGATGGTGTTTGTGAAAGAGGCGCTGCTGCCACATATGAAGAGCGTGGATGGCGCCTCAAAAAAAACCGGCCTGCGTGGCATGGCAGGCAACAAGGGCGCTGTGGGTGTCCGATTCGATGTGTACGACACGAGTGTGTGCATTGTCGCAGCGCATTTGGCGGCAGGTGCGGGCAATGTAGAAGACCGGAACAGCGATGCGATGGCGATTGAGCAGGGCCTTGTGTTTGCTCGTGGGCGTGCGATGGACGATCATGATCACATTGTATGGGCGGGCGACTTGAACTACCGCATCGGTGTGCTGACGTCCGAGGAGATTCGCTCGCTGTGTGCCGCGCACAAGTACGAGTCGCTGTGGGAGCATGACCAGCTGCGGTGTATGCAGGAGAAGAACGTGGTATTCCAGCAGTACGAGGAGGCACCGATTGCGTTCGCGCCGACGTACAAGTACGACATCGGGACAGATCTCTACGATACCTCGGACAAGATGCGCGCGCCGGCGTGGACGGATCGTATCTTGTTCCGTACCACGCACAACGCTCTGCATATGGCGATGCGTGGCTACATGGCTGCGCCGGTTCGGTTGAGTGATCACCGGCCCGTGTATGCCATGTTCGATGTCGAGGTATGCACGATCGATACAGCGAAGCGCGATGCGATATTTAGCGAGACGCTCGGTACGGTCAAGGCATCGTCGGCCTTGCCCGAGTCGCTCTACCCGCCTCCGTCCTCAGAGACGCAGCAGTGGTGGTACACGGACGTTGCGGAGCCGACCGAGGGCCAGCCGCCCTGGTGCGGCAATCCGTTTGTGGAGGAGGAGGCAGGGACGACAACGACAACGACGACAACGACAACGACAACGACCCAGACGCCGCTCACTACGGCGACGAGTCTGGCGAAAAAGGCGCCCCCGCCTACACCCCCTCGACGCAGCGGTCCAGGGACGGCGCCCCCACCGCAGGCGGACACAGCAGCGGACGCAGCAGCGGCGGCCGACGACGCGGCCCTCGCCCCGCCGATCCCTGCACGGCCTGGTCCGAGCGAGGCCCCCGCACGCGTGCCACGTGCGCCGATGCAGGGATCGGGCTAAGCGCCCGTCAGGGCGGCAGGCGGGCGGCCCGCGCGCAGGTTCCCCATAGTTTATCTATAGACAGACACTATGTTGATGCCCCGTTGCCGGCCACGTAGTTGGCCTGCTGCGTATCGCGCCACGAAGCGGTCGCTGCACAGTAATGCGCCTCGTGCCTCGATTCGGTCGGCGTTGTGGCGTTCACGCTGGGTGCGCTACCCCGTCTACGGTGTAGGTGCGTTGACGTTCTCTGCCGTGACGACCATCGGTGGCTTGCTGATCTACGACTCGCTGACGTACCACGCGGTCGATGTGCATGAATCGACGATGGGCGATCTGGCCACATGCGAGGTAGGCGGGCCCGAGCAGCGTCCTATTTTGCCACGCACACAGACCAACGAGAAGGGCCACCTCAAGGAGCGGTTGGTCATTGTCGGCGGTGGGTGGGGCGCCGTCTCGCTGCTCAATTCCCTGGACCGCAATGCCTACGAAGTGACGCTTGTCAGTCCGAACAACTACTTCCTTTTCACGCCGCTGCTGCCGGCTGTGGCGGTAGGCACGGTCGGCGTGGGCTCCGTGACCGAATCGCTGCGCCGCATTCTCTCGCGCGTCCAGGGCCACTTTGTGCAGGGGGCAGCGCTCCGTGTGCATGAAGCGCAGGACCTGGACCGCAAGACGCTCACGACGACGCAAGACGCAGCGGGCTTGCTGGAAGTCGAAGTGCTGTCGGACGGCTGGGACGGCTCGCTGGATACGCCGCATGAGCCGAAGGAGAGTGCGCGGATTTACGTACCGTACGACAAGCTGGTCATTGCCGTGGGCAGTGTGACCAACACACGCGGTGTCAGTGGCCTGGAGCATGCGCACCGCCTCAAGACGGTGCACGATGCCGTGGGTCTGCGCAAGCATCTGCTGGAGAACTTTGAGATGGCCTCGCTGCCTACGACGCCTGCAGAAGAGCGTCAGCGTCTGCTCTCGGTGGTCGTATGTGGTGGTGGCCCAACGGGTGTTGAAGTCGCGGCGGAGGTCTTTGATTTGATCCACGAAGACATCCGCAAGTACTTCCCGCCCAGCTTGCAAAAGCTCGCGTCCGTTCACCTGCTGCAGAATGGCGAGCACATTCTGAACACGTACTCGGAAGCCATCTCGGAGTTTGCCGAGCGCCGATTCCAGAAAGAGCACCTGGACGTGGTCACCAATGCAAGTGTCGAGGAGATTTCGTCAGGCAGCGTGTCATACACGCTGCACAATCCACTGACCGGCGAGCATGAGAAGCGCATTGTGCCTGCCGGATGCACGATCTGGACCGTGGGCATTACTATGTCGGACTTTACACGCGGCCTCGCCACGACCTTGCCGAAGCAGGGCCATCGTCACGCGCTCAAAGTCGATGCACACTTGCGCGTCCTCGGCACGAAGCCAGGCACGATGTATGCGCTGGGAGATGCGTCGACGATTGACAGCGATATGCAGAGCTACATTGACGAGCACTTCTCGCGCTTTGATAAGGACAACGACAATGCCCTCTCGCTCGATGAGTTTGCACAGCTCATGCAAGTGCTGCGCCGCAAGTTCCCCATCGCGAAGAAGCAGCTGCGCGACTTGGCCAAGCTCTTCTCGCAGTACGACGTGAACCACGACTTGCACTTGGACCGCGACGAGCTCGTGCCGCTGATTATGGACGCGACCAAACACATGACATCCTGCCCTCCCACCGCGCAAGTGGCGGCGCAGGAAGGCAAATACCTGGCTCGCAAGTTGAACAAGTACGCATCGCTGCAGCGTGCCTCCAAGCTTCCGAACGACCCTATGGAGATTGACGAGGACATTTCGCAGCCGTTTGTCTTCCACAGCCTCGGCAACATTGCATACCTCGGCAACGCGGCCGCGTTTGACTTGCCCATCCCCGGGCCTTTCAAGACGTTCTTTGGCGGCCTCACAGCCATGTATGCATGGCGCAGTGTGTACCTCTCCGAGCTCGTCTCACTGCGTACACGTATGCTCGTGCTCGGCGACTTTATCAAGCGCACGCTTTGGGGCCGCGACGTGTCATGGCAGTAAAGCATGGATGACGCATGCATACGTAGAATCGCCTACCTATCTACGTTCCGCTGCAGACACTGTTATGCGAAGCGATATACTAGTTTTTGGCCCGACACCTTGTTGTGACGCAGAAGATCAAGACCCTCAAGGACCTTCGTCAGGCCGCCCTCCTGCGGCATCAGACGGTTCGGCTTCACTATGCCACTGTTCAGTAGCTGGTAGAACAATCCACGGTCCGCGCTGCCCATCTTTGCCATGTACGCCTTGTCTTCCTGGCAGTACGCCTCGTCAAACACGCCACCAAACATGCGCGTCTCCTTGCCCGACGTAGTGTAGAGCAATAGGAACGTCGGCTTCACTTGTGCATTCGCCGCGGCCACCGACTCTGGGTTGAAGGGCAAAATGGCTACCAGCTTCGAGGGGCCGTTCTTGGTCAGCGCACGCGCACACGCCTCGTGCGAGCCCTTCTCAGAGAACGTGTCGAACGCATGAGCCAAGTCGGGGTGCTGAGCCGCAATCGCTTCCGGCGTTTGCGGGTCGGCATAGTCGAACGTCTCCGAGGCACCGAGCGACTTGAGCCACTCGTGGTTCTTCGGCGAGGCCGTCGCAATCACGTAGGCACCCGCTGCACGCGCCGCCTGGATCGCGAACTGGCCCACGGAGGTTGCACCCGACCACACCAACACCTTGAGCGACGGGTCGACAGGCGGCAGCGACGTGGTGCTCGGCGACGGGAGGCCCAGGTGCTTCGGCTGGAACAGACCAAAGAGCGCAGTGAAGCCACCAACACCCAAACCAGCCGCATCAAGGTCCTGGAACGACGAAGGCACCGCTGTCACAGCAGCAGGGTACGTCACCAAGTACTCCGCAAACGCACCGAAACCAACGTGAGCACCGCCATGCACAGAGCCAGCGACACGGTCGCCCACGCTGACCAAGTCACCGGCATCGGGCGCCTTCTCCACCACGGTACCTACAAAGTCAGAGCCCAACGTCGTGTCCTTGTTGCCGAAAAAGTCCAAGTGCTTCCAGTCAGTGGGATTCAGCGCCACGGCCTGCACCTTGACGAGGATCATGCCAGGGCCAACACGGGGCGTGTCAATGGTCTTGAGCGACGCTGCAGACTTGCCGTCGACAGTGATTGCTTGCATCTGGGTAGGAAGAGAGCTTGTCATGTTGTGGAAAGAAGGAGGCTCGCGAACAGGCCTACTTTTATAGACGACATGTCCGCGGAGGTGAAGGAGCGCCCAGGCCAACGTTCGCTGATCGTGACGTAAGCGGAGACGCCACGCCCAAGCAGGACCCTAGCGGTACTCCCTCCACGCGCGTCGCTGGCGGGGACGTGAGGACAGTACGGATGACGTCGATTCCTGTGCTATGGGCATTCCAGGCCCATGCCGCCACCAGAGAAACACGAAGACGGCCTCATAGACAGCCCGACGATCCAGATCTAGGGTATTCCTCCGACGAAGAAGACGGTGAGGGACCTACAGCCCCAGGTCCGCGCGATATTACGGCCCTGGCTGAGCAAGCGGAAGATCGACGGTGGCTTCGGTCGACCAATGTCGTAGCCCGCGCAGGGTCTACTCAGCATACAGCCGAACTGCAAGCGCGGCAGCGTATCCAGCAAGAAGCACGCCGAGCAGCCAGGGCCCAGCATGTGCCTTGGCGTGGTACTTGCGCCGAAGAGGCGCGATTGCTTCGCGTCCTCAAAGGACTGCCACCGCTTGGCAGTAGTTCGGATGCAGATCAGCTGAGTGATTGGGAAGAGACGCTCGAAATGGCCAAGATGGAACGCGTACGATTTGGCGAGCGAGAGATCGTGCAGATTGGACGACGACGTACATTGGCCGAAGAGGAATTGAGTCATGCGGATGACGATCTCCCACGGCCCAGTGACGTACCCATGAATGCAGGCCCAGCAGCTGTACCAGCCACCATCTTAGCGCCAGCTGCCTGGGATGGCGACTTGGACCCAGACTCGACGCCCTGGTCCGACACGTCGCTGACACATACCAGTATCCCCGTACGTGTGGCCGGACGTATACGTATGTCTATGCCGGGCCAAGGTGTTGGCACGCCTGTGAACACTGTCGCTGCACTGCAGTATATGGGCCAACAGGCCGATGAGTACATGGACGCCGACTTGGACGCGGATCTCGATGGCGATGACATGGATACAACGACCTACTAAATATGTCATGTAGATACCAATATACCCTGCAAGCTATAGTCCTTCTAGCTAGTTGTTCGCAGCTGAGCTGCGATACGCTCGATCACAAAGCGGCGCGCCATGGGGTGCAAGGAGGCATTGGCCGACATCGCCTGATCAGCGTCGATCAGCGCCCGCTTCTCAGGCTTGCGTGCCGCATCCGGCTTGCGCAGCGATGGATCGTGGAGAGTCTGCTTCGGCAAGTACGGCGTGTAATCGCCGGCTCGCACTTGGCTGTCCAGGAGCGAGCGGATCACCGCTTTTCGGCCAGGTCCTTCGCCGACCTGGGCCCCAGCTGGCACAGCGATCGGCGGCGCGTATGTCTTGCGTGGACCCTTGGTCCCGCCCAGCTCGCAGCCGGCGTGGGGCCCGAAAAAGAGGGTGTTCGCACGATGCAGCTCTTTTTGGGTCAGCGGGGCCACTTTGAGGTCGGCCAAAGGCGCATCGGTCCCGAGTCGGATGTACGGAAGGAGTTGACGTGGGACGCGGCTGGCAGCGCGGTACAGTGGGTTGTTCCAGGATGTCGTAGGCGTCGGCGCCGGTTCCTTCTCACGTTGCGAGGGTGCTGGCTGTGTCGAGGATTTCGAAGCACGAGAGCCCTGTCGCATGCGACGGCTAGGTGGTGGTGCCTGGCGTACGCAAGATGGTGTGCAGAACGTACGGGTGTGAGCCGCAGCCGCCTTCGTAGGCGGCCCACGCATGGTCGGCATCCACGACATGACGAACGTCGACTTGCCGTGACGTGCGGTGCGAAGACATGAGCAAAGCGGGGTAAATGGCAATTATTTTTGAGGCGACGCACAACACGACGCATGGCCCCTTCGCTCTCCACGTCTCTCGCTGGGCGTAATGAGTGAGTCGGACGTGGCAGTGACGGCTACAACGACACAGCCGCAGCAGCAGCAACATCAGCCTCTCGGCGACTGGGTAGAGTCGCTGCTAGCGCAGATCGAAAGCCGTTTGGACGAGAAGAACAAACAGGTCGCACAGCGAAGTAAGTAGTTCTGGCATGACTTACCTCTAGTGGCGGATATGGCAGAGCGAATTGATGCTTTGGAAGCGTCGATTCAAGACCTTGTGCATGGGCCTGCGCCACAGGGTACGCCATCCCTCTGATGGCTCTGCTGGCTGGCTGGCCTGTGTATGCCATGCAAGTCGGCTATCATCCCGCTTTTTGGTGTGGTTTGCTATGCCACGCTCTATATACCATTACCGACGGCCAAACGTCAAGCCATAACCGTAAATGGGTTCGCCGCGCTCCAGGGTCGGCCAGCTCTGGCCTTCGTCCTGCTTTGACAGCACCAAGTCCAGCTTCATCTTGCCGAGTGTATACGATGATGCATCCGGCTTGATCGGTGCGTAGGGCTGCAACGTGCGCACAAAGCGGCGCGTATGCGGCACACTGGGCGTTGGTCCCAGCAGGAGAGAGAGGATAACCTGGGTGTGAGTGCTTCTCTCTGATACATACCTCGTTTTCATGAATCTCAATGACACTCTGTTCCGCATCCACTCCTTTGGCGTACACGGTGACACGCACGTCGGATGGTGTTTCATAGTGGTCAATGCGACACTCTACACGATCGCCCTCTGTAGGTGCCGGCGCAGTGAATAGGTGGCCATGCTCTGCCTGCGTGCATGGCTTGATTTGCAAGAAGTCGTCAAAGTGTAGAACACGTGGCTTGCAACATGAATAGCCTTTCGAGCCTTCATGGAAGATAGGCGTGCCTTTGTGGTACTTGCACATCTCAGACACACGGTCACGGTTCGTGATTGCTGACTCGGCAACAAAGCCACATCCTGGCCGGCGGCACGTCGTACCAGCGGCGACGCTCGTCACGGTATCGGCATCGCGAGGCTCAGGCGCAGGCGGTGCAGGCTCCGTTGGCTTAGGTGGGGCAGCTGGCTGGCTGATCTTGATCGATTGCAGCGATGCAGCCATACTGTCGGCAGCATTTGATGCCGGTGTAGCGACTGACTTGGCCGTTTCCGGTAGAGGCTGTGTCTCCGTTGTGTGGGACGTCGCTGTAGCACAGCCAGGTAGCTGCATAAACTGTTCGAATTCCATCACAGGCTTATTGGTATCTTTGCAACAAGACCAGGACTTCAGTCCTTCGTGGAAGACGGGTGCACCAGGGTGATAGCGGCACGTCGCTTCCGCACTGGCCGTACCAGCCTCAAAATCAACGCCACATCCTCGACGTTTGCACAGCACCATGTCGTGTGAGCTGGGAAAAAGGCCGAATTTCGAGAATCGTCTGTACCTCCACATCAGCCCGTTGGGCAAGGCCGCCTCGTAGTTTATACCATCGCACGGCGATAGAACAGGCAGAGAGGACCAGCATTACTATGACCGTACCGCTTAAGCGACGGCCATCGCTGCGCAGGTCACACCTGGAGTCTCGTGCGATGGCTGAAGAGCTCGGTGATCTTGCCATGCTGCTTCATTCACCGCCCGCAACGTCTTCTGCTGTGGGTACGTTTGCCTTTTCTTTTTTTCTTACAGAACCGCAGGCCCCTTCCTACCGCCCGAGACCCAGTTCAGCCTTGTCGATACGATCGAAAGCACGCTGCAAAATGAAGCATACCGGAACGAGCAAGTTCAATCTATCATGGCTTTCTTATCCGACCCTGAAAAAGCACGCATTTGTGCGGAGACCAAACTGATCGAAACACCACATTTTGAGCCTGTGAACGACTCAGCGATACTAGGCAAGACGCGTGGTGCTGCCTGCCCTGCTGTATGTTGCCCAGATCTACTGACCATGACAGGAAGATACATCAGATACCGTATACGAGCAGCGACATCTGAAGCATGAACGGGCGGAAAAACGTCTACGCCGTCTGGAGAAAGAAGCTCTCATCCGTGATCGACGCAGAGCTATGGAGCGCCTATCTCGCCTAGAACAGGTGGATGTCCAGAAACTCTTACCAGCCCTCGAAGCTCGGCAGGCGCAAGAAGAAGCATCTCAGCCCCCCAAAACTCGCGAAGAGCTCTTGACGTATGTCACAGAGATCCATGCTACTATGCTGGCAGATGCCCGCGCTATCCTGGACCGATACAACACGCTCTTACCTGATGAGGTAGAGCATGATGCCAGTGCAGCCTCGTCGGTAGCTACATTATCTACCGCCTCTACACCGGAGCCTAGTGCCACGCAGCGACTCCATCGGCCGCCCCGCTCAAGTCACACGGGCACGGCCGCTACGGCCACCGTTTCACTCACCACGAAACGCCCACAGCGAGTGGGTCCCACACTCTCTGAAATTGCATCGACTTCAGCTACGGAAGATCCTATCACTACCACACCAAAACACACGGATACGGATGCGATACCCTCTCACGATACCCCCGTACCGTCCATCCCACCTCCGAAGCAACGACGAAACTCTCGACGAACGAAATCCACTTCTGCCTTTGGCGAACGTGTGCCTGACTATCTGGCACGAACAGAGCCGTTCGATGATACCATGACCAACTGGATCACATCTACGATGGAAGCTGTGGTCACAGAGCCAGCGCTGTAGTCTACTAGCACTGAGGACGGCGCGCCTGCCGGCCCTGTGCTCACCTCTTCCGAGAAGAACGAGCCATAGTTTCTCTAGCATATATCCAAGAACATAATTCCCCAACAACAGAGCAGCCTCTTCGACGCGTCGCCCGCCGCCGAAGATGGCTGTCAGCTGCTTCTCCTTCCGTGCTGCGCGAGGGGATGGGCGACGCTGGCGATGCCAAGGCGCCAGTGCCAGTGACACAGGACCTAATTGCATCTCTCAAACCTGCGAAGGTATTTAAAGAATTTGTTCAAGCGGAGCACCAAGTCACGAGTTTGGACTATGACGACCGTGGCGAACTGTGTGTCACGGCGTCGGATGACGAGACGATCCAACTGTATAACTGCCGCAGTGGAAAGTATGTATGCGTAATCGGCTTACCCAGACACGTAAAAACATTGTACAGCAAAAAATATGGTGTCAACCTTGCGCGGTTCACACACAAATCATCGGCGATTGTGTACGCATCGACGAAGGAAGATGGTATGTGCAACAAGGTGCCCACTAACGCAGCAGATACGGTCCGATACCACTCCATGCATGACAACAAGTATCTACAATACTTCCGCGGGCACAAGCGCCGTGTAGTGTCGCTGGAGATGTCACCGGTGGATGATACATTTTTGTCTGGAGCCGTGGACGATTCGGTACGCCTGTGGGATCTACGAAGTCCTGCTGCCCAAGGGCACTTGCGCGTACAAGGTCACCCCGTGGTAGCATATGATCCTACAGGCATGGTATTTGCTGTATCGATCAATGAACGTGCCGCTGTCCTACTTTATGATCTACGCAAATTTGATCACAGCCCTTTCCTAACGATCATGATTGACGATACAGCTGCGCTCTCGCAAATCATGATTCCTCCTCGTGTGCCCATCATCACGTATCTCGGCTTCAGCCAAACAGGACAATATATCCTTGCAGGCACATCAGGCGATGTTCATTACGTCCTGGATGCGTTCTCTGGCCAGATGCTCTTCCGACTTGTCGGCCATGTCGGCCTGGAGCGTGCGGAAGGTGGGTCGATTGGTATGGTCCCTACCGCAGGCATTAGTGGGCAAGAATTGTGCTGGTCGCCCGATGGCCGGATCGTGATCGCAGGCTCGGCTACCGGCCAGCTCTGTTTCTGGGCCATTCCTGAGCAGCCGCCTGCGTCGCCGCCTGAAACGCTGCAGCCCAGTGGCTCGCTGAACGGCCACGGTGGCTTACCGCGAGTCGTTGCTTTCAATCCACGATGTGCACAACTGAGCACGGCAGGTGCAGAGGTGGCATTCTGGTTGCCAGATACGCAAATGTAGAACGCCTAGGTAGCTTGAAACGTACGGCGTCCTTCTATAAAGGGGCCCCACGCGCGCGACTAGGCGACCCAAGGGCCCCTCCACATCCCATTCTCCAACGACCATGTTGTGCCGGGCTACAATCTTGCCGCGCAAGGCCCTGCCAAGGGCGCCAGGCGCGATGCTGCCGCGTTTTTTCCCTCGTGCTATGCTATCCACCTCGTCTTCTGAAAGCAACACGTCTCGTGTGTATGCCAGCACGTCAGAGACGCCGCTGGTGCGCACCGAGTTCCTAGCTGACAAGCGCATCTTTGTTCTCCACTTGCTGGGCGAGGAGACGCAAGACAATCGGCTTACACACACTTTGATTCAGCAGGGTCTTGTGCCTGCTTTGCGTGATGTGCGCAGGCAGTGGTACAAGTGGGTCAAGGCGAACGATACGGCGGATGGCGCTGCGTTGGTCACCACTGCGCTGCCTACGAGCAAGATCTTCTCGAATGGCTTGGACCTGCTTAACGCATTGAAGGATCCCAACTTTTTCAACGAAAGCCTCAATGTCCTATCGCGCGAGCTGCTTACGTTCCCGATCCCGACCGTGGCTGCGATGGGCGGTCATGCCTTTGCAGCAGGTTTCACGTTTGCGCTGGCGCACGACTACCGCGTGATGAATGCGCAGCGTGGCTATGCATGCATGAACGAGATCGAGTTCGGTGCGCACATTCCGCGGGGCATGCTCGGTGTCATCCAGTCGGTGGCTTCGTCGGCGTCTCTTCAGCGCAAGATCGTCCTTGAAGGCCACCGTTTCACAGCGGCCGAGGCTATGCAGGATGGCCTTGTGGATGCGACAGCGGAAGGGGCGGAAGCTACGTTCCAAGCTGCGCTGGCCCTCGCTGAGAAGCTTCGCTCCCGCTGCGCAAAGGATGCCTGGCAAATCAACCGCGAGCAGCTGAAGCGCGAAGCTATTGAGATGCAGTACGAGCCTCCTCGTGCCCAAATCAAGACGGAGGTGAAATAGTCGTTGTCCCGTCGGGGTGTATATAGCTAGCCCTAGGTGATCTCCTTTCCATCCACCGAGCCCCAGATCGACGGCATCTCCTTCGTCCTCGTCCTCTGCGGTGCGGGGCACCGACCACGTGGCACCGGCTATACGCCTAAGCGGGGAAAAGTGAGTCTCTGCCATGTGGACGATCGACCCATTGGCTATCGTTCCTTCCCATCATGCCCTCAACGACGAAGGAGTACAAGTCTACCGACGGCACGCCGCTCGTGCGTCTCGAATTTGATGAGGCGAAGCGTATCTGGGTCCTTGTTATGCTGGGCAAGGAGACGCCGGACAACCGCATGAGCCATGTCTTGATCAAGCAGGGCATTCTTCCTGCGCTGCGTGATGTGCGGCAGCAGTGGAAGGACTGGGTCGCCTCGGAGGACACGGGAAAGGGCGCCGCGCTAGTGACCACTGCCGAAGTGTCCAACAAGATCTTCTCGAATGGTCTTGATCTGTTCAATGCCATTGCCGACCCGTACTTCTTCAACGAATACCTCAATGCCATGTACTACGAACTGCTCACCTTCCCGATCCCTACCGTCGCCGCCGTTGGCGGCCATGCGTTTGCGGCTGGGTCATGCTTGGCTTTTGCGCACGACTACCGCGTGATGAATGCCAAGCGTGGCTACATTTGCCTGAACGAAATTGAGTTTGGCGCCAAGATCCCGCGCGGCATGTACGGTGCCATCAAGTCGGTCATTTCGTCCAAGATCCTCCAGCGTAAGTTGATCTTGGAAGGCCACCGCTTCAGCGGGAAGGAGGCCCTCGACTTCGGTATGGTCGATGCCGTGGCGGACGGTGCGGAAGCCACGCTTGAGGCGGCCATTGCCATGGCAGACAACCTCCGCTCGCGTTCGATTAAGAACGCATGGCAAATGAACAAGGAGCTTATTTACGACGACATGCTCTCGATGCAGTTCGAGCCGATGCATCTGACCGTGAAGTTGTAGTACCTTTGCGCATCCATACTTTCTATAGCATACAGGCTTACGCAGCTGTGGTTACAGCGGTATCTACCGAGGCGGTATCATCGGCCGTGTCGTCCTTAGCCAAGTCCGTCTCCGCCTCTGCCTCTGCTTCCGTGTCTTGCTTTTTCTCACTGAGCCATACAGGTGCACGCCATACTCGACCGCCGATGCTTTGGATCTCGCGAGAACGGTGGTGCCATGGGCGCACTGTCAGGTGAACGGAAGGCTTCTCAAACGACGCCACCGCAGGGATGAAGTTTGGTACGCGTGCAAGCGGCAGAATGGTCGGCATCTCTTTCAACGAAGGGATGGAGGGGTATAGGAAGGCTTGGTCCACCGCATTCTCAGTCACTTTGGAACTGCTGGAGCGCGACGACGACGAGGTGGACGCGGCCGGCGCCGGCGCCGGGCTGCTTGTGCTCTTAGCCCGTTTCGTCGTCATTGAAGTCTCGCTATTCTTCACGAACGATACGGGCGTGGTTGGCTGCACAGACTGATTCTGCGGCAAATCCGCTGTGGAAATGTCTGAGCCAGGGAGACGGTACACGGGTTTCTGGCCCTTCGAGAGACCCTTGCGCCAGCCACGTCCAGGACCCGGCGCACCGCGTGTCTTGAGTCCCTTCCGACGCTTGGCGGAAGGCAAGGCGTCCAACTCCTCGAGCGTAAGTGTCGCTGCGACTGCCGAGATGGAACCGGCCGGCGGGCCCATTCGGCGTGGCTTTGCCCGCTTTGGCTTAGAGGCGTCCGTCGATGGCGACGATTTGCCTGATGTGTCTTCTTTGATCTCAGCGCCAGCACCTGCCGAAGGTGTTGAGGGGGTCGCCAAAGGCTCGTCGGCCAGCTCATCTTCCGACGACATCGCTTGGCTGTCGCTCTGCATCGAGACATCAGCCGTCGTATCTACAGTCGAAGGTTTCTTCTCTGTCGACGTATCACCCGACGCCGCAGAACTAGACACCGCGGAGGGCACACGCAATCGCACTTTAAACGCCGTCATCTACGAGGCCAACTTTCCGCGGGCGCAGCCCCATCGCGTTTCTTTTTTGCCGTGGGCGGCTTGCGGCACATGCACCGCGCCGCGCGTGAGAGGATCTATGTGGAGGTACGTCGAGGGACACGACGGCGACTCTGCTGGGCCAATGCATAGGCCCGGCGAGCACTATTCGTGTCGCAGCGCTGTTGGAAACCGGCAGCCAAGGACATGTACAGCGTGTGACGCATCTTGGTATCTTGCGCCCCGACAGGGGGCGACGATGGCACAGCCAAGCTGGCCATGTGCCACAATGTGTGCGAATCCATACGAAGATCCCACCTTGTCGCTGCTTGCACGAGCCACTGCCACGTCGTTACATCAGGATGATAAGCGTACTGGTCTCCGAGTTGAATCAAACGCACGACAAGCTCCTGCCATGCATCTAGATCTAGCTTGGTCGTGTGTATATGCGAAAGTCGAGGGCTCCGTTGCACGGCATCTCGAAATTCAGTGCTCTCGCGTCGACGACGGCTGCGCTGAGTGGCACGTAGGATCCCATCGTACAAACATTGCAACAGAAACGCGGTGTGGATCGATGCATGAGCTTGTGCCGGTGAGCTTACGCCTGACAAGAGCGTATTAAATGTAGCCGTCCCGTAACGTTTCCACGCCTCTGCCATACGTCGGTGAGCCATACGCCATGCCAAGCTTAAACGTCCAGCCTGAACAAGGGCACGAAGCAAAAGCAACTGCGCTAGGGCCCGATCAGACGGCGACAACGGCATGCACTGCTGCCATTGCCGCAGATCCTGCCAAGCCAGCCCAGCATGCCCACGTTTTGCGTGGCCATAGAGGCGCGCTAGGTAGGCTTTTGAGGTAGGGCCTTTTCCTTCTGCGTGCACACACAACTCCTTCCATAAACGCGCACTTTGGGCTGCGAGTGTCGACGATGTTGTGGGTATAGCGTCATGCGCCGTTACTTTAGCCTCGCTAAAATGACGCAATAGTGCATAGTACATCGCACGGGTTCGCCACCCAGGTGGTAGCGCTAGAAGCATTGTAGCTGCTTCGTAGGGTGCTCGCTGCTGCCATGCCATGTGCGTAACAATTGCTGTGAGGCGATGTAGCATGTCAGACGTGATCTCATCCGTGACCATGGGGCGCACGGTATGTGTCCACACCCGTATTTCGGCATACAACCTGTGCTGGACAAGCATCTGCAGCATTTGTACAAAGACGGCGGCGCTGAGTTTGCCGCCGCGTGGCTGCAACACCACAAACGACGCACAGGTTTCTCGTAACGCGGCACGTGTAGATTGACACGGGTCCACCGAAAGAGCGGATAAACGACGTGCACGCAACTGCCGTAAAAGTACATGAAGCATATGTTTGGGCTGCGATGGGCGCCATCGAGGATCGCGTAAAAGACGCGCGGCGTCCACATAGCGTTTTGCTTCCACGTACGCCGAAAACAGGCGGAACAGCGTAGCACGCTGTAAGTGCAGCAATGGGCGTGGTACCACCGTGGTAATAGGGTATAAAGGCGCTGTGACCATGCTAGCAAGGCGTGGGAGAGGGACGTTGGCATGCAAAGCAGCATCAATGACCAAGCATGCCAATTCCTCTTTTTTGGCAGGCGAATCAATCCAAATACGCCGAGGCACATTTTTTTCCACAATATGGGATAGAGACACGTCCGATGCCTCTTGTAGTGCCTGGACACTGCGACGTAAAAACGCTTGGTATGCCACGCGAGGCAGGGTATGTGACCATAAGGTGTGCGTGGAGGTCTGAGTAGCCGGCAAAGAATCGCGTCGAAGCACACGGGTGGATCCCTGCGCTACAGGACGTATCGCCTCTGTACACAGGCACCGTGGTCCTACATGGCTGAGCTGTCCATGCGGTATTGTACCCGCGAACAGCACGCGCATGCAATGGCCCCCACCTCCACGAGAGCGTCTGTGCGTGACGGCGAGCGCGTAGTCGAAGGAATGAATGGAGGTGCGCATCTTCTTCAACAATCACGTGACATATATAGCACCGCCGTTCTTCTTCGTTCGTAGCCGCGGGTCTGTTTCTTCCTTGTCTTTTTCGATCCCTTTAAATTTCCTTTCGACCCGTTCGAGCGTGGTGATAGGAAGGGTACTTTATCTTAAGACAAACTAAAACAACAACAAAACTTTACTAGTTCGCAATGGGTGTTACTCGTGCCTCGAAGGAGTCGTGGTTCGTCAAGCTGAACGACCTGCTTGACACCTACCCGTCGATTTTCGTCGTGAACATCGACAACGTCACCTCGCAGCAGATGCACCAGATCCGTCAGGCTCTGCGTGGTGAGGCCACCGTGCTCATGGGTAAGAACACCATGGTGCGCCGTGCTCTCCGCCAGGTGATCCAGGAACGCCCTGAGTATGAGCGTCTCCTGCCGTTCGTCCGCGGCAACGTTGGTTTCGTGTTCACTTCGGGTGACCTGAAGGAGGTGCGTACTAAGATTCTGGACAACCGTGTGGCTGCTCCTGCCCGTGCTGGTGCCTACGCTCCGGTCGACATCTTCGTGCCGGCTGGTAACACTGGTATGGAGCCGGGTAAGACCTCGTTCTTCCAGGCCCTCGGTGTCCCGACCAAGATTGCCCGTGGTACCATTGAGATTGTCTCGGACGTCAAGGTCGTGGAGGCTGGTAACCGTGTCGGTCAGTCGGAGGCTACGCTGTTGAACTTGCTCAACATCTCGCCGTTCACCTACGGTATGACTGTCGTCCAGATCTACGACAACGGTAACACGTTCGGCAGCGATGTGCTCGACGTGAGCGAGGACGAGCTTGTTGGCCGCTTTGCTCTCGGTATCAAGCAGGTTGCCTCGATCTCGCTGGCCCTCAACTACCCGACCATCGCCTCGGTGATGCACTCGCTCGTCAACTCGTACAAGAACGTGCTTGCTCTCTCGCTTGCCACCGACTACGAGTTTGAGGGCTCGGCTAAGCTCAAGGAGATGCTCGCCAACCCTGAGGCCTTTGCCGCTGTGGCTGCTGCTGCTGCCCCGGTTGCCGCCGATGCTGCTCCGGCCGCTGAGGAGGCTAAGGAGGAGGAGAAGGAGGAGTCCGATGACGACATGGGCTTCGGTCTCTTTGACTAAGCGCATCGTTGCACTTTGCCCCTCGTATCCTTTGGTAGCGTACTAGTTCATACCTAGTGTAGGATTTATGAATATAGTGATGGCTGCTTTTTATTTTTTCGACATTGACAACATCAAGAACAGCATTGGGTATGGTACAGAATTACAGGAGAACAGCGCCGCTCAGGAGGGCCAGGCCAGTGGCACCTGCGATCGTCCAAAGCCAGGACGAAGCATGGGTCTGCCCTGCCGCATTGGACATGATAGTACTAGTGACAACAGTGCCGCCGTTGGTGGCGGTCTTTGTCGAAAAGTTGACCGTGGTTGGTGGGGGTACAGGCGTCGATGAGGCCTGGTTTCCACCCTTGGCGTACGCGACAGTAGCGCCATTACCAGCGGCCTGCGACATGTAGCTACTCACTGCCGCCTTATCTGTGAGGTTGGGCACGTAGTGTGAGCCGGGAGGTGAGATAGGCGAGTTGTACGTCTCGACCTTGAACGAGCTAGGGGCTGTGGAGCTTGATAGTTAGCGCTAGGAAAAGAAGAGTACGTACCAATCGCCGAACTGCACACAGGCCGATTGACCGTTCATGACCGTCGTAGGCTTCGTCACGGGAGCCATGGAATTGGTTTGTGCTTTCACACAGGTGGCAAGCATGCACAGCACGAGCACACACACGACGAAGAAGCGAGACGACATACTCACGACGGACGATCGCGATGCGGAGAACGAGCAGAGGAAAAAGAGCGCCACGTTCTTTTACACGCGCGCGTGGGGTATATGCAGCTACGAACGCATGCCGCTCGTTCCCTGGGGCGTCGCCGCTTCTTCTCACGTGATACTGCAGATCCGCCACGCCCCTGGTGGTTTTCCGTGGCCTCCACGTGGCAGCGTAAGAGATGGTCCGAGCGGCGGTCGTAGCTCCGACATGCGAGAATTATTGCGCAACGTGGGCACGGGACCCAAAAAGGAAAAAAAAGAAAGGCACAGGCACTGTTGTCAAGCTTGTTTCTTGCCGTTTTTCTATAACAAGTCATCATGTTGTCTCTAAGTGTGGATCCGGAAGAGTATGTTCAGCTGGCCCAGAGCGAGGAGGCACAGCAGGCTCTGGTTCGTGCGCGTCACGGCGAGACGTCGGAGCCTGTGTACCACCTGCCGCATGCAGGTCGCTATGACACAGAACCGATCCCAAAGTTCCGCTTGCCGGAGCACGGTATCTCGGCGAAAGATGCGTATGAGCTTATCAAGAACGATCTGCAGCTGGATGGTAAGCCGGCCCTGAATCTAGCATCGTTTGTGCACACATGGATGCCGGAGGAGGCCACGCGTCTGATGACTGAGACCATCGGTGTGAACCTGTGTGACCAAGATGAGTACCCTGCTACGATGGCGATCCACGCCCGCTGTATTTCGATTCTTTCGGACCTGTGGAAGGCGCCGAAGTCAGAGACCAAGGATGGAAAGCGCCTGGCCGCGCTCGGTACTGCTACCACCGGTTCATCTGAGGCTATTATGCTCGGTCTGCTGGCCGCTAAGCGCCGCTGGCAGAATAAGCGCAAGGCCGAGGGCAAGGATATCCACAATCCTGGCCCTAACCTGGTGTTTGGTTCGAACGTCCAGGTAGCGATTGAGAAGTTTGCGCGCTACTGGGATGTGGAAGAGCGTTCGGTCGATGTAGACGAGTCGACGAACTACTGCTTGGACCCGAAGCGTGCGATGGAGAAGGTGGATGAGAACACCATTGCCGTTGTTGTGATTCTTGGCTCGACGTACACGGGCCACTACGAGCCCGTGGAGGAGATGGCTCAGCTGCTCGATGAGTACCAGGAGAAGACAGGCATTGATGTGCCTATCCACGTCGACGGTGCCTCGGGTGCGATGGTGGCGCCGTTTGCTACGCCCGAGCACCGCTGGTCGTTCGAGATCCCGCGTGTGGCGTCGATCAACACGTCCGGCCACAAGTTCGGTTTGGTGTACCCCGGTATCGGCTGGATCGTCTTCCGTTCGGCGGATCTCGTGCCGGAAGACTTGGTGTTTGAGCTGCACTACCTGGGCTCGGTGGAGTACTCGTTCGGTCTGAACTTCTCGCGTCCTGCTGCGCCGATGATTGGCCAGATGTTCAACTTTATCCAGCTCGGTCAGGAAGGTTTCCGTGCCGTGATGGAGGCCGACCTGAAGAACGCGCGTCTGCTGTCGCGTGCGCTGGAGTACAGTGGTCTGTTCACGGTCGTGTCTGAATGCCACCACCCTGCGACGAAGAAGGTGGAGCACACTACAGAGGCATCGAAGTACAAGCCGTCCTTGCCTGTGGTGTCGTTCCACTGGACGGACGAGCTGCGTCGTGAGTACCCGAGGATGGAGCAGGCCAAGCTTCAGACGCTGCTGCGTTCGAAGGGTTGGATTGTGCCGAACTACGAGCTGCCCCCGCGTCTCGAGACAGTGCAGATCCTGCGTGTGGTCGTGCGTGAGAGTGTGACGGAGAATATGGTTGACACCCTTGTGAAGGACATTATCGGCTTCACACGTGTGTTGATTGAAGACCAGCGCAAGATCCAGAAGGCGATTGACAAGATCGTGACGTCTGGCGACGAGTCGGCGCACACCAAGCTTGAGCACCGCCGCGAGCGCCACCGCCGCATCCATCGCCGCAACGAAGAGTCGCTCCGTACCGCGCCTCATGGCCATGGCCGTCGCGGCAAGGGCTTTAGCAGCCAGTGCTAATTCTCCTTTATAGAATCTTTTCATTTTCTTTTATCTACCATGGACCTTGTATATCGGCGATCTGGTAGGGGTCGTTAGTGGACCTTCGCGTACGTACCACTGGCAAGTGATCACTTGCGCCGTAAATCGCATGCCGAATCTCACATGCGCGGATGCGTGGGAGTGCCTTGTTGGAGACCTGCGTAAGAGTGTCTTCGAGCGTACGTACAATGAACGAATCGATCCGCCAGCCTGCGCCGCGGGCACGGCAATTGCCGCGCCAGCCGTAGTACGTATAGTGCCCCACTGCGTCAGGATGTAGCACGCGCCAGGCGTCGCTCATATCGTTGGTGGCTAGGACGCGGCGGTGAGCATCGCACTCTGCCTGCGTGTACCCTGCCGACTTGTTCCATTTTTTCGAGGCGCCCGCCAGATCACGGTCGTCCCATACGACGTTCAAGTCGCCGCACCAAATAATGTCCTTGTCTTTCGGAAGGGATTGCAAGTAGGCTTCCAATGCGTCGTTCCATTTGTTCTTGTTGGGAAGTGTCTTGAGATTGTCGCCCGCATTCACCGCGTACGTGCCCACAATCACCGTATGCTCAAATTCGGCCATCAGGAGGCGTGCCTTGGAACTTGGATCGTCAAAACCCGGCAGGCCATGCTCGACTTTGAGCGGCTTGTGCTTCGAAAGGAGAGCGATCCCAGCGTACCCCCTCTTCTCGCCGATGCCCCAGTACCGGTATTTGTACATAGCGTCGATCCCCGCATGCGATGGGACCTGATTCACCTTGGTTTCTGACAGCACGGCGATATCCGCATTCTCCGCTTGCAGATACTTCATGAGGCCTTTGTTATCGGAGCTTTTCAGCGACGTAATGTTCCAAATCAGCACGCGTCTACATCCATCGGCAGGTGGCTCAAACGTCAAGGGCCCGCTGGGCACCTGCGCATTGCGCGGCACCCACTCGGGCGCCGTATGATCTTGGCCCGTCGGCGCCGCTGGCGACGTGACGGCGTCGGCTGCCTCGGCTTTCGTAGCACGCGCCCGTTTCACCTGGGCCTCGGCCTCCGTACTCGCTGCAGCTCCACGTTTCGGCATACTCCACCACGTTCGAACAGGGACTCTCGCGCACGCAGCAGCAAGGCGGAAGGCCATCGCCATGCGCCGTGGGTGTCGCGGTACGCTCCACGCGACGCGTGCGAAGAGGCGTTTAGTCAGCCATGGACCAGGCACGGCGTGCGCGTCGCAGCGCGTCCCTTCCTGACGACGCGTCTCCTCAGTGTGGCCCTGGCGTGCGGCTCATGTGGCGTGCTCCCCCGCCGGACGATGATCTAGACGCGCTCCTTGCGATGGAAGAAGAGGTCTTTTCGGCGGCGCCCCGACGCACATCGCCGCTGCCGCCGCCGCCCTCGCCCCCTGCCTTGTTCTTTGGCTTCGAGGCTGAGACCGACACCGCGACTGAGCCTGCCAGGCCGTCGTCGCCTCCGACTGCCCCGATACCCGATACCAACGTAGCTGCCCCGCCTCCTACTGCGTCGACGTCCCTTCTTCCAGAACCGTGTGTCCTTGGTGTCCCAAAATATATACCCGCCGAGCCCTTCTCGGCTGTACGTTGCGACGGCACGCCCATCACGTTCTCACGCCGCCGACGAACTCGGGGATGGCGACCTTCGACGTCCACATCGATGCATCATGCGCCGGCCTTGTCTGCTCCGCTGGATGTGCTCATGTCGAACGCACGTACGTCGCACGAGGCGATGCCTGAGGCGCCGCGCACACGCCGCGCGCGTTCCCGCGACGCACGCATGTGGGTGGACAAGTACCAGCCTCGTGTGTTTACCGAGCTGCTGGGCGAGGACCGTGTGCACCGTGAAGCTCTGCGTTGGCTCAAGGAATGGGATCCGTGCGTGTTTGGCCGTGCGCCTCCTCCAGCTCGGCCCATGCGCGATGGGTATGAAGAACGTGCGCCGGATCCGTATGGCCGACCTCATGAGCGAGCGCTATTGTTAGCCGGTCCGCCTGGTCTTGGCAAAACGACCATGGCGCATATCATTGCGCAGCATGCGGGCTACCGCGTCTTTGAGCTGAATGCGAGCGATGCACGCACGGCCCACGACGTCGAGACCAAGATTCGAGCTGCGTTGGAGTCGGATAGTTTGCGGGGCGAAGGCCGTCCGACATTGGTCGTCATTGATGAAATTGATGGGGCGACAGGCGGTGGTGGTGATGCGCTGGGCACGTCCGGGTTTGTTCGAGCGCTGTGTCGTCTTTTGGAGCGCGGCGCTGGCTCGAAGCCAAGCAAGGGACGCCGTGCGCCACGTCCCTTGCTTCGTCCGATCATCTGCGTGTGCAACGATTTGTATGCGCCTGCACTTCGGCCGCTGCGTGCGATGGCACGGGTCTTGCGTCTTCACCGCCCGCCCACAGCGATGCTCGCGAAGCGACTTCGTGAGATCTGTGCGGCCGAGTCGCTCCCAGCCGACGCGCAGGGCCTCTCGCTGCTGTGTGAACTGACGCAGGGTGATATGCGTTCGTGCTTGCATGCGCTGGAACTGCTTCATCGCAATGGCCATCGCGTCGAAGCGGACACCATCCGTGATGCATCGATGGGCATCAAGGATAGCGTCGTGCCACTCCAGCGCATCTGGGCGCAGCTGTTTCGCTCGGTGGACCGTAGTCGTGCGACCTCGGCGTCCTCGCCTATGTATGCACTGGTTCACGACATGACGTCGTTGGGCGAGTACGATCGATTGATGGCCGGGTGCTTCGAGCATTATTTGCGTGTACGTGTGCCTGATCAGGGCTTTGCGCGCTACCTGCAAGCGCTCGATTGGCTGCACTTTGCCCAGCGGGCCTCGCAGTATGCGTGGGGCAGCGGCACAGGGACTGGCCCTGCGTTCGAGATGCTGTCGTTTGTTCCGTGGGCGCTGGCGTCCTGGCATGGCCTGTTTGCGCATATCGCCAACCCCCTGCCGGAGCAGCCGCCCATGGTCGAGTACGAAATGCGTATGCGTACGCAGTCAATGGCCGAGGTGGTGCAAGCCTTGCAGTCGTGCCTTCCCTCGCATGCCGCGCCGTTCTATAGCGATCGTGTCCTGGCGCTGGAGCTGGGCCCGTTGCTCGTCTCGATTCTCAGTCCCGATATCAAGATCGCTGCGCAGACGGCGACACCTGACACGCAGGCGGCGCTGGGTGCGCTCGTCGATACGATGCTCCAGTACGGCCTGACGTTCCAGCCTGATCGCACAGAGCATGGCGTGTTGGTCCAGCGATTGCATCCAAGTCTCGATGCGTTCGGGACGTGGAACGAGGGACGTACGTGCGATATCGGCCCGACACGGCATGGCGTACGTGCCCTTGTCCAACGCACGCTTGAGCAGGAAGATCGACGACGGCGTGGGACGACGTCCACCGCGCCGACGGCCACGCCCACCGCGGCAGCCGCGGCGCATCCTGCTGCCTCGGCGACCCAGGCCCGCGACTTTTTCGGACGGCCCATGGCGCTCCCTACCGCCTCGGCGATGGCCATCAACACACCTTCCGCGGAAGCGCCGCCTTCGCTTCGTGTGTTTTACCGCTACCATGAGGGCTACTCCAACGCCGTCCGCAAATCCATCAAGTTGGCCGCATTATTATAGTGCTTGGTATCTATAGATCCTATCGCTACACTGCCACGTCGATGCCCGCCTGCGCTAGCGCCACCGCCATATCGCTCTCGAGGTACGACGAGACGGAGATCACGTCGCCCAGGCCTTTGCGTCGTCGCATCTTCAGCACGAAATCACGTGCCAAGCCCAGCGGCGGCGCCGGCTCGAGAGGGCGGAGTGGTACACTGGTGTCCATGGGATCGCCTGGGACCACGGCCCAGTGATCAAATTGCTGCAGAACAAACGCTTGGCCTTGCGTCATCACACGCAAATCCGTCTCGAAGCCGTTGGCGTCCATCACGGGGATCAGCGCTTTCACGGTCACGAGCGGTGTACCTGCTTTCGGCGCATCCTGCACGACGTGGCCACGTCGTCGTGCTAGCAGGGTGTACACACTGCTCACGCACTCGGCCGGCGCCTGGATCTCCGCCGCGTAAATCGGTTCCATAAGCCGCGGCGTCGCGAGGAGGAACGCAGCGTACGTCACACGGCGGGCCGTAGGAATCAGCTGACCACCGCCCCGCTGAATCGGCTCGGTGGCCACGTTGGCATGACACAGCCGGATTTTCACGCCACGCATCGGCTCGTCACACAGCGGACCTTCGCGAGCGGCCCATTGGAATCCTTGCTTGATGTGCTCACGCACCGCATACACCAGCGTCTTATCGACGTCGTCCGGCAGCGTATCGTCGACCAACACATTGGGGCCATGCGCATCGGGGCCAAACGCCCACACGGACCGCGCTGCGAGCGCATCCCAGCCGTAGCGGTCTTGCAGCACACGCGCCAGCTGCTTGGGCGGCAGGTCGATATCCACACGGCCCTGCTCAATATCGTCCGCCAGCTCCTTTTCCAAAGGCTCGGCAATCACCGTCAATCGGTTCTGCTTGTTGGGCGTGTCCGCATAGCACTGCACAGCGCTGGTCTCCAGCACTGTCTCGCAGAACTTGACGACAGGATCACTGATCTTGATTTCCATGTCCGCATACAACTGCCGCAAGTCATGCATCACACAGTCCAAGTACAGCTCGCCTGTACCGATCAGCGTATGCTCGCCACTTTCTTCCACGCGCGTCGAGACAAGAGGGTACGTCTTGTTCACGCTGCGTAGGCCTTCGAGCATTTTCGGGAGCTCCGCTGGGTGGAGAGGCTCAATGGCGACTTTCAGGACACTTTCGGTCATGTGATGCAGCGGCTGCAACAGAGCCGTCTCCTCGGCCGCCCACGTCGCGTCGACCAGGGTCGCGCTCTTGGTAATCGAGGCATCAATGCCGCCCAACAGGACCCAGCTACCCGCAGGCACCCGGTCCGTTCCAACCACATACCGCGCCTCGGAGACCCATACCCCGTCGACCGTCTCCAAGGCCATATCCTCTTCGTCATCAGCCGTGTACGAAGGGCCCAGCACTTTGATACGCTGCCCTTGCTGCACGGTGCCGCTCAGCACACGGCCCCACGCACGGAACGCCGAGGCATCCGACGTAGGGAACAGCTTTGCAATTTGGACCAACAACGGGCCCTGTGCATCACACGCCTTAACAGCCTGTGCCAGGCGGCTTTCGCTAGGTCCTGTCAACGTACGCACTTTCGCTGCGGCGCCGTCCAGCGCACTGGGAATGTGCTCAACCAGCATATCGACCAAGCCCGTGGATCGCCCAACAAACTGCTGCAGCACCAACTTCAGCAAGGGCCGCACATCCATTTTGTACGCCGCCGAGGGCAGCTGCATACGCAGCGTCGCAAGAGTTCGTCGTAGCGTGTCGACGTCAGCACTCAGCACCACACTGTACAGTTTGTACAGAGGCTCCAGCACAAACTGGACAAAGCTCCGTGGCGCATCCGCATGCGGCGCCTTGCGTGAAAACGTTCGTGAAGAGGCATCGTAGAAAATCTGGCCCCACAGCCGCTGCGCAAACGCTTCCACGTCCACCGGCGCACGCTCTGCATAAAGCTTCGCAAAGCTCCGCAGCGTAAAGCAGTAGCCTACTTGCGTACTTGCAAACGCGACATTCCCACGCTCCGGGCCAAAGCGTAGGCTGGGATCGCCTGTGAGTGTCCCGATCAAGTGGTTGACTTCCTCGATCGTATGCCGCAGCTTAAAGTACGCTTCTGCCGGCGGCAGACGCAGCTCAAGAATCAAGCGGTCGATCTTATTGAGCACCATGACCATTGGCAGCTGCTCATGCACACAGTATCGCACAATCGCCTCGGTATTGCACATCATGCCTTCGACGGCATCCACGACCAGCACGACACCGTCCGCGAGACGCAGCGCCGCTGCGACTTCATCCTGGAAATTGGTATGACCCGGTGTATCTGCGACATGCACCACGTAGCTCTTCCCCCGCGACGTCGGGAGGACAAAGGACATAGGCGTTGCACGAATGGATAGGCCGCGTTCCTGCTCCAGGACATGTGTGTCCGTATACCGCATAGGCTTTTCTGCATCGACCTCGACGCGGTGCGTCTCTTCCACTAGCATATCCACCAAGCTTGTCTTGCCATGATGCAGATGGCCCACAATCGCTACATTGCGTACCATATCTGGGAACTGCATCATGTCCAGCAAGAACTGTCGGTCAAAGCGCACCTCCGGCAGGCCTTTTTCCTCGACAGCAAAACTTCGAATGCGCTCCGGCTCGACAATGGGCTGCGTTAGGGGCTGTGCATCTTCTTCTTGGACCAGCGTCTCGACGTCGGCGCCATACACTTCACGGGCGGACGGATAGTAGATTTTGTCTTCATGTAGGACCACGGCATTCGAGGCATCTTCGTCCACATGCATTACCAGCGCCGTATCGTTGGCCGAGGCCGATGCATCCATCTCATGGTCGCCGTAAGCATCGCTCGCCTCTGCTGGTACAGCAGCCTCGGCTGCCGCCGCCGACGCGCCGCCGACGTCCTGCCCAGGCTCCGAGACAAACTCCTCCTCTGAGCCAGAGTCCGAGAGTGGCCCGATATAATTGCCACTATTTGTAAGTCCTCTTTTCATACGTACAACTCGTCGTAGTCGTCCATACGTGCGCCGCACCTGGTCGTTGAGAACGAGCACTTCGCTCCACGCTCACGCACCCAGTCTGTCGTGTCGTCCGTCGACGAGCCTGCGTTTTCATATCACGTGATCACATCGCGCCCCGCACGGACAGGGCGAGGGACGACGGGCCCCTGGCCCTCGTCTGTGCACGGCCATCATGAGCACGACAGTGGCCTCGCTCCGCCACTTTTTTTCGCATGAACGGGCCGCACGATGGCTTCGGTTCGGGACTCTGTCCCTGAGCTTGGCTGGATCGCAGGTCATTTGGAGCTTGGAACTGGCCTATGGCACGCCCTATCTTCTGACGATTGGGCTGTCCAAGGAAGCCACAGGCTACGTATGGATGGCAGGGCCATTGAGCGGCCTTGTCATCCAGCCCATCTTGGGTGCTATCTCCGATGCATCTACATCGCAGTACCGTCGACGAAAGTACATCGTCGGTTCTACTGTGTGTGTGACGTTGGCCACATGTATGGTCGCCTTTTCTGAACCACTCTCGACCCTGATTCTTGATCTGCTGGGCCTTGGTCTGGGCGACTGGGATCCTGTGCGTCATGAGCGCATAAAGTTCCTGACCCAGTTCTTCAGTGTGTTAGGCTTCTGGGTGCTGAACTTTGCCATCAACGGTCTGCAGGTGATTGCGCGTGCTTTGATTCTCGACAGCGCTGCGGCGTCCGAGCAGAACGAGGCCAATGTCTGGCATGGCCTTATGCTCCATGTTGGTAATATTATCGGGTACTGGTGCGGCTACGAGGATCTGGCGTCCTGGTCGATCTTGGCCTGGCTCGGCGGTGGCCAGTTCCGCCGCTTTGCGATGCTGAGTTTGGTGTGCATGATCGTCTGTGTGGCCATTACCTGCATCACGACCAAAGAATCGAGTGTACATACCCCTCCTGGCCAGAATCACAGTGCTTGGCACAACGTCAAGGCATCCGTTCGCCAGATCTGGCAAGTAGGCCGAACCTTGCCACTGTCGATTCGACGTGTGTGCTACGCGCAACTTCTCGCGGCTATGAGCTGGTTCCCCTTTTTGTTTTACGGCACGACGTTTGTGCTCGACATGGCGGAAGGAAAGTCCAAACGTAAGACGGAACGTGCAGAAAAGCACGGTAGCTTGGCGCTCCTTGTGTTTGCCATCATTGCGTTTGTGTGTGGCTTGGTCCTCCCATCTCTATCGATTGCTGGCAAGGTCGACGTCGACCACCATATCGCCGCGCAGGACATGGTAGATGATAGCGTATCGATGCCGCGGCCGCCGCCAGCGCACCCACGGGGTCTCTGCTTGCATACGATTTGGACCATTGGCGCTTTGGTCCAGGCTCTCCTGTTGATGGCCTGCTTCTTCGTGCGTACAGAAAAGCAGGCGATGCTTGTGCTTATGCTGTTGGGCATCCCGTGGAGTGTGTGGATGTGGGTCCCCTATGCCATGATCGGCGAGTTCGTGCGCGAGGCAGAAGGAGGCGGGAAACTGCTGACCGTCGCTGACGATCAACGATCGGCGCAACGCATTATGGACTTGCAGCGCTCGTCTACGCACAGTGAATCAGATCCGCTTCTGCCCAAACGGCATGGATCGAGTAGTGCGACAGCAGGACGGCGCAATGTCTCTGGCTCACAGCCGCCTTCCATTGTCTCGCGAGGCCGTGAGGTGGTCCGGTCGAATGGAGAGATGTCGCAGGAAGACAGTGCCTGTGGCGGCACTGTGCTTGGTATTCACAACATGGCCATTGTCATCCCGCAATTCCTCACATCTCTTCTTATGTCGTTTATTTTCCGATTTACAAAGGAAAGTCAGCACAATGTCAAGTGGGTGTTGGTCCTTAGCGGCGTCATGTCCTTAGGCGCTGCCTTCCTGATTCGGTTTGTGCCTATGACACTATCGGAGCGGATGGTATTGTCGACTGGGCCCACATCGCACTTGGCGCATGAAGATCCTGAAAGCGCTCATTGAGATGGGTTGTAGTATATAGGTCACATCACGTAGGGTTGCCCGGCAGGTAAGTTAATTTCTCTCGTTCAAAGCCCAGGTACGCACGGGGCTCTGCGAAGCCCGATGGAACCCGATCCCATGGCTGCCAACCGTGCCAGGGTATTCTCATCGCGGATCCCTCACCTGTTGGCAGCGCAGACAGCATGACCACGGCTCCACCGACACAGTCGATGGTGCTGAGCCACAATCTCTTAAAGAAGAAGCTCGTGGTCGTAGGTGATGGTGGTTGTGGTAAAACATGCCTGCTTATTGTATACTCGCAGAAGCGGTTCCCTGAAGAATATGTGCCTACCGTGTTTGAAAACTATGTCCCTATCGTGGAATTCCGTGGGCAGCGCATCGAATTCGCGTTGTGGGATACAGCAGGGCAGGAGGAGTACGATCGGTTGCGTCCTTTGAGTTACCCCGAGTCCGATGTGATCCTCATCTGCTTTGCCGTGGATTACCCTGTAAGTTTAGCCAATGTGCAGGACAAATGGCTCCCGGAAATCTTGCATTTTTGCGAAGGCGTTCCATTCCTTCTTGTTGGACTAAAGACGGATCTGCGAGCCGATACGCGGTCCTTATCCCTGCTCTCCGCACAGGGCATCACACCGGTGAGTCGTGAGCAGGGCGAGAAGGCCGCGTTGGAAATCGGTGCGCAGCGGTATGTGGAATGCTCCGCCAAGACCGGGGAGGGAGTGCAGAATGTGTTTGATGCCGCATTAGAAGAGGCTTTGGCGCCTCGCAAATGGAAGCGGGGCTTCCTGCGTGGCCGCAAGAAGTGCGTGTTATTGTAAAATCTAGATATACCAGCCATACGTAATGCATATGAATGTCCATTTTTTAAAGCTTCACGTTGGTATCGTCATAACAATGCCTAAGTCCAAGGCACTATATACAACAGCCATTTGCTGCCTTAGAGATACAAGATATTTTGCTCAAGAAGATCGGCGACCGAGGAGACGTGAGCAGAATCCCACAATTCGTTCCCCTCGCCATCAGGCTTAAGCATGGCCAACGATGTCAATGATGCCATCCGGCGTTGTCGAAGCAGCGAGATACGTGCATTAAGACGCATACGAAGCTCATTACGACGTGCCATATCTTGATGCAGCGCCGCCATGTCCTTGGTCACGTCATCGTGCGCCTTTTGAAGAAGAGCGCGTCTCTCTAGGAGCCAAGCACGTAGATGATCAGAGCTTTGTCGATCTGCTGGCATAGGGTGTGGATCCATAGGGATTAAGGAGGGAACTTGGTATGAAGGAGGCACATCCATCCCCGTGGGCGAAGTTCGTGCTCGTTTAAATGCCATCGTCGGCTCATGAATGAGAATGCCATTGGAAACATCAGAGGAACGTTTCAGTGGTAGGGTATGGTCGAGGCATGAAGAAGAGGTATCTGAAGGGGATTGGGAGTCCGATGTCAGCCAACTGGCTGGCGACGGCACTTCGATCGGATTGGGCATCCGGATCCTTCCTGACGGAGGCAAAGACAAAAGGGCTTCTTTGGTATCCGTGAAACCCAACGTCGGGTCATAATAAGGAAGATGCACCTCATGCATTAATGACTCCCAGCTCTGGTGCATCGGTAGACCTGGGAGCGCCACGTTGCTTCCTTTCGAAGACTCGGATGTAGGCAACGTGGGCACAGGTGTGCCCATCGTGGACTCGTCCGTATGGGATGTACTGGACTGTTCCAGATCCGGTGTGAGACATAACAAAGGCGACTGTGAATCATCTCTGCGTATCATCGCCGCCTCTTTGTTCCGGACCAACATCAGGTCATTCATGCACGACGCATGCCTTTGCCAAGAGGTGTGGCAAAGGGACAGGATGTCTGGGAAATCAATTTTCTAGAGATCTCACGTGATGCAACACGCACCGCGTTGCTTACGCGCCAGGGCCAACTACGAGAACGCCTTGCTACCGTGCATGAACGTGAGAGACTGTGGGCGGCCCGTTTGCTAGTGCATGGTACGTATTCTTTCCACTCACACACAGTCGAGATTTCGGTTTGTTGACCTGGACTCGGCGGCATGGACGCCACCCTGCGTTTCCTCCCCCTTGTCTGCACAGTCCCCTAGGACAGAAAACGCCGCCGTTACGCGCTCAAATGCGCTCCCTCTCAAACGCTCTGCGTCTGCATGTGAATCACAAAAGAAGAATATATGCCATGATACCGTATCTGAGTCAAACAAGGAGAATGTAGGCCCTGCCACATTGTCCAAAGAGAAGCGAATGCGTATCTCAAGCACGGTGGAAACACCTACGTCTCGCGTACCCATCCACAAATCGCCTCGACCTCTCTCTAGCTCTCCTGCAGTGAGCTCACCTGCGTCGAGTGTCATGTCACCACAATGGTCGTCCATGCGTGAAGAGGATTTGTACGAGAGACTGTCGCACTTGAGGGGGGTAAGGTTGAAGTCGATGGAGAAACGAGCCTCTATTGCTTGTGGCGATGGCTTTTACGACGACAGTCCAGAGTACCTCAAGATTGAGGAGCAGCTATGCACCTCACGTATTTTGGCGATTGAGGAAGAGCTTCAGGCTCGGTCCAAGCCTATTCCTCCCAGTCCCTCGCCATCGTCATCCCTTCCCGGTCCTACGCCCTCACCAAGTGTGCCTCGTGCCGCTCCAGAGCCTATATCAACGCGCCATCTAGCGACCGATCCCATACCCATTGATGATGACGACGAAGAAGATATTATCGCGGTAGAGGCGACTGCACCTCCGGTGGCCCACGTTCAAGCGAGTCAGCCAGCGCGACGCGATTCACACCCATGGGATACCCAAGTACAACATTCTCTCACACACATTTTTCATCTCTCCCAGTTCCGTCCTGACCAGAGGGAGGCTATCGACGCAACATTGGCAGGGCGCGATGTATTCTGCCTTATGCCTACCGGTGGTGGCAAGAGTCTATGCTACCAGCTGCCTGCTACCATCACGAAAGGCAAGACCAACGGCTTGACGGTCGTCATTTCTCCTTTGCTGGCCTTGATTCATAATCAAGTGCAGAGTTTGTTAAAGAAGGACATACCTACCATTGCCATCACAGGCGATATGTCGGAAGAAAACCGTCGGTATGCGACGGCTGAGCTGTACAAGCGAGACTTGCAAGTGCGCTTGCTCTATCTCACACCTGAATTCATCTGCAATTCTCGTGTGGCAGCGAATCTGTTTCAGCACTTGTACCGCCAAAAGCGACTTGCTCGATTTGTCATTGATGAAGCGCACTGTGTCGACCAATGGGGCCATGATTTCCGTCCTGACTATGTGCGCCTCGACATGCTGCGCAAAGAATACCCTGACGTGCCTATTATGGCTCTCACTGCGACAGCGCGTATCGATACCGTGGAAGATATCCAGCGCCATATGGGCATGCGTGATGCGCTTGTTCTCCGCCAGTCGTTCAATCGACCCAATCTCACGTATAGTGTCGAGCCCAAAAAGCGTGGGAGTACCTTGGATCACATCGCGAGTTTCATCCAGCAAAAGCATGCGAATGAATGTGGTATCATTTACTGTCTATCGCGCCGAGACTGCGAGAATGTGGCCTGCGATCTTGAATCGAAGTTTGGTATTCGTGCGCGTCATTTCCACGCCGGTCTTACCAATCAGGACAAGATTCGTATTCAAGAGGGATGGGAAGCTGGCCAGTTCAAAGTGATTGTGGCTACGATTGCGTTTGGCATGGGCATCGATAAGGCGGATGTACGATTCGTCATTCATCATTCTATGCCCAAGAGTCTCGAAGGGTACTACCAGGAGACCGGACGCGCTGGGCGTGACGGTAAGCAGTCTGAGTGCATCCTGTTCTGGTCGATGGAGGATGCTAGGAAGTTGGAGACCATGATTAAGGAGTCGCCTGACGCCTCCCCTGAGCAGAAACGGCTTCAGCTGACCAACATGCATCGTGTCAAAGCGTTTTGCCAGTCGTTGACGGAATGCCGACGGACCAACATTTTGAAGTATTTCGGGGAGACTTTTGATCCAGCCTTGTGCCATGCGAGCTGTGATAACTGCCGACGAACGCCGGCCCACTTTGTCGATATGACGGCGGCCGCGAAGGACTTTGTTCACATGGTCCAGCTGATTGCAAAGACACAGGCTCAGGCGCATTTTACGAAGATGCATTTCATGAGCGTATTCCGAGGAAGTATGCGCAAAGAAGTCAAGGATCGTGGGCACCATTTGAATATATACCATGCGCGCGGATCGCAGTACTCGGACGAGGAGGTGAAGCGTTTGGTCGATTACCTTCTTAGTGAGAATATTCTCTCCGAGTATGCGAAAAAGGCGGCGTACCAGCGTTTCCCGAACCACTATCTTCAAGTTGGCCCTGCCGCCACAGCCTTGGTGCAAGGATCGCGCAAAGTGTGTATCGATATGCCTACACCTGTGGCGACCCACCAAGCCCGCCGTGTTGTTGCGCGTTCGCCCTCGCCTACGGTGGATGAGATGGACTTGACAACGATCTCTCTCAGTCCCCCTAACGGAAAGGCACAAGGCCGGTCCAGCCTTCCGTTGCGTGACCGTACGAATACGGGCCCTACGCCGAGACCGACGACGAAACCTGTGTCGCGATCCATCCACATTGCTGCCATGCCCATGCTAGGCAACACTCGTAAAAAGACGTAGAGGAGCCATATCGAATTTATCTAGTTCAATTCTATACGGAAAATCACCAAGATTAGACTTGGTAGCTCGAGGCCGACACGTTACCACCACGGCCGGTCCAGTTGATGTGGATGTCCTGGCCGGACTTCAGGTGGTCGTTCTCCTTGCCCGGCATCACACGGAAGGTGTGGGCACCGAAGTAGTCACGCTGCGCCTGCAGAAGCGAGGCGGACGAGACCTCCTGACGGATACCGTCGAAGAACGACAGCGCCGACGAGAAGGCCGGCGCCGGGACACCCCACAGCACGGCCTGCGCAATTACGCGACGCCAGCCGTCCTCCGCCTGGGTAATCGCCTTCGCGAAGAAGTCATCAAAGAGCAAGTTCTCCAGCTCAGGGTTCTTACGGAAGGCGTTCGTGATGTCCTTCAGGAAGACCGAGCGGATAATGCAGCCGCCGCGCCACATGAGAGCAATCGACGGGTTGTTCAGCTTCCAGTTGTACTCATTGGCAGCCTCACGCATGAGCATAAAGCCCTGGGCGTACGACACGATCTTCGAGGCATACAGAGCCTGCTCGAGATCATCAATGAACTGCTGCTTGTTGCCCTCGAATGGATGCGGCTTCGTCGAGGGAAGGATCTTCGAGGCACGAGTACGCTCTCCCTTCAGCGAGCTGAGGCAGCGGGCAAACACGGCCTCGCCAATAAGCGTCACGGGCTGACCGAGGTCCAGCGCGTTGACAGCCGTCCACTTGCCGGTACCCTTCTGGCCAGCAGCATCGAGAATCTTCGTCACAAGCGGCTCACCGTCATCGTCGTTGTACGCAAGAATGTCGCGCGTAATCTCAATCAGGAACGAGTCAAGCACACCCGTGTTCCACTTCTTGAAGATCTCCGAGATCTCCTTCTCGCTCAGACCAAGACCCTGCTTGAGGATCCAGTAGGCCTCGCAAATGAGCTGCATGTCACCGTACTCAATGCCGTTGTGGACCATCTTGACATAGTGGCCAGCACCGCCGCCGCCGACCCAGTCACAGCACGCCTCACCATCCGTCTGCGCAGCCGTCTTCTGGAAGATCTCCTTGATCTCCGGCCAGGCAGCATCGCTACCACCCGGCATAAGCGATGGGCCATGACGAGCACCGTCTTCACCACCAGAGATACCGCTACCCACGTAAAGAAGCCCCTTGGCCTCAACCTCCTTCACACGGCGCTCCGTGTCAGGGAAGTGCGAGTTACCGCTATCAATGATGATGTCGCCCTTCTCCAGGTGAGGAATGAGCTGGCCAATAAACTCATCCACAGCAGGACCAGCTTTGACTAGGAGGATGATCTTGCGAGGGCGCTTCAACAGAGCGACAAACTCCTCAATCGAGTGAGCACCCACCACCTTGGTGCCCTTGGCCTCGTTCTCCAGGAAATGATCAACCTTGCTGGTTGTGCGGTTGTATGCAGCCACCGTGAAACCCTTATCTATTGTGTCAGCTTCTAACTCGACAATACACACCGTTCATGTTCAGGACCAGGTTCTGACCCATGACGGCCAGACCAATGAGACCAATATCAGCACTATTGTCCATACGTTCAATTTGAACATGGCGTGTCAGCATCCCCATTCTGTCCAACATAGGTCGTAATACATACACTGCCTTGTTCGCCATGATGTGGTATGCGTTGTGTTGGGAGCAAATTGGGGCTAATGACGCCTTTATGAGTTCCGCCTCTACGTCGGTGTCGCACAGCGCTCGGACCAGTCACGTGTCTTAACTCCGGATAGCACACCATCGGCATTAACAAATGATTGGGCGCAAGGACTGGTCAACAATTTCACTGGCTGTGAGGGAGATGCTGAAACTATAGTGACATATACATGAGTTACTTCGTCTAGTTGTTTGTAACCGTAGGGCTGTCCATAGCACGTAGTTTGGGACCATACACCCACAGGATAAATGGTGCAGGAATACCTAGTGCAATAGAAATGAAGGCTAACGTAGAGCTTCCCCACCCGAGACCCAAATTGTCGAACAGCGATGAAGCCGCAAGTGGAAGGAATGCACCGAAGAGGCAACGCACCAGATTGGTCGCACCAATCGCCGAGGCAGAGAACTTGAACGCATCCAGAGTATACACTTGAATCACAATGAAAGTGGCCATGAAAGCAAAGCCAAAGAAGACCAAACCAATGTCAGGCACGATCCAATGCACATGGTACTGTGCCGGCCAACCAAACAGGAACAAGCCAATCGGTGCACAAAGGGTGCTGGGAACTAACAGAGGCAAACGGTATTCCGGCACACCTTTAGGTTGCGACTCTTTGCCATCAGGGCCGATCTCTCGCTTGCCATACTTTTTGGTGAGCTTCTTGTAAATCCGGTCAGCTAGCGCGCCTGTCGTCAAGAGACCGGCCACCGTACCGATAGCGAAGGCAATGTAGTGAAGACCTGCAATCGAGTTTGACTGATTGTAGGCCGTATTGTAGGTACGGGCCACCGAGGTCATGAGAAGATACAGGTAGCCGTACACAAGGCCAAGCTCCAGAGAGAGGATGGCGCAGATGGGACTTGTAAATAGCATGTGCAATGGACGGAAGAGATATTGGAAAACCAATTGAGACGGGGGGATACGAATCGCATGAGGATAGAATCGCAGGGCAGCAGCACGAAGAATAGGGTTTTTGAACGACTTTCGGCTTTTATGACGCAACTTGATGATGGGTAAGTACGTCTCACGCAGAAAAACCACACAAACAGCTAGCAGGAATCCACCAAGGATTACCATGAGCCAAAGTACCCATCGGAAACCAATGCTGTCCACCATGAAACCGGCGATAATAGGTCCAATCACGGGGCCCAGGTTGACGCCCATAGCAAAAACTGACATGGCACGGCCACGATCTTTAGGTTCGAACATGTCCGCAATGTTGGCAGCGCCGAGACTCAAGAGGCCTGAACCAAACAGGCCAGTAAGTAAACGCATAACAATAAAGCAAGCGCCGTTCGGAGAGACAGCGCACGCCACATTAAAAACAACAAAAAGAATAGTGCTTAAATGCTGTACAAAAAGACGGCCCACAACCTCAGTCAATGGATTGAAGATCAATTGTCCAATGGCATACCCTAGCATGTAAATAGACATGGAGAAGGAGAGTAGAATGGAGCTGGTAATCTTGAACTCTTGACCGATGTCGCCCAAACCAGGGGCAATAATGGTCGAGGCCATAGGCGAAACGAAGCCAAGCAGTGAAGCCAAAATCAAGTTTATCCACTTTCGTCGACTTGGCCAGTTCCTAGGATTTTCGTCCGTCTCTTCAACGGGGACGTCATCCACTTTCACCTTTTTCTCTTGTGTATTTCCTTTCTGTGCCTCAACATCTTGCACGGCGTTCTCGCCCATATTTTCTTGCTGAACCTTTTCACCTTCTACGCGATCCTGATTCATCGTATGAAGTTGATGAAAAGACTTTCACGCATACGTTTGGGCCGCTTTCACTGCTATATAACATGAATTGGTAGTAGCTTTGGCATGCCATGACCGTGCGGAGAAGACCGGACAAATGTGGAGATGTGTCAACTCCGCTCCGATCCAGGGACCCTACACGTCCATCCACGTCTATCTGAATAAACTATGAATGTGGAATGGTTTAACGACGAGGGGCACCGCCCATGCCGCCCATGAACTGTTGAGCCATTCTTGTTAGTTAGTATCGCTGCATAGACCATGTATTGTACGTACTGGCGGAGTTCCGGGTTGTTCATCAGGGACGAGATATCCGGCATCTGGCCACTCGAGCCAAAGTTTTCGGCCATCTGACGCAGCATGGGGTTGTTCATCAGTTGTTCCAAGCCGCCGTTTTGCATCCTGGGCGTTAGTGAATGTTTTACATATACGTACATCTGCTGCGCCATCTGTGCCACCATGGGGTTGCTCATCAAGGAACCGAGGTCGGGCATGCCACCGGCACCAAAGCCTGCACCTGCACCTGCACCCACACCTGTACCTGCAGCAGCAGCCGGCGAGGTCTGTGTCGCGAGGGCATCTTTGCTACCGCTGTCCTTCATCTTCGCCTTCGACGCCTCCAGACCCGACTTCATAAGCTTGTTGCTAGGGTCCACTTCCACACCCTTCTCATACGCTTCCGCAGCCTCAGCAAAGCGTCCCGAAGCAAAAAGCGCATGACCAAGGCGACTGTATGCCTTGCCGAACTTGGGGTCAATCTCGGATGCTTTCTTGGCGTCGGCAATAGCTTCATCATGCTGGCCGATTTGGCTGTAGGCAGCAGCACGGTTCGAATAGAATACAGGCGAGTTCGGGTTGATCTCAATAGCCTTGGTGTACGAGTCCAGGGCTGCGCCGTAGTCTTTGGACGACATGAACTTGTTGCCCTCGTTCTTCAGGTTTTCGGCCTTCGCAGCGTCATCGTCAGAGATAGAGGAAGGTGCCTTGGGTTTGTCCTCAGCTTCATCCTTCGAGGCGCTTGCCGCTGATCCCATACGTTGCTGCGTCTTTAGGAATACATCGAAAATGGCCTGAAGACCGGGCGAGTTCTTTGCGTATGTTTCTTTGTCGCTAGACGAAGAGGTATCGAAGCCGTACACAGAGCTAATGCTAGCGGCCGCATCCTTTAGCGTCGCATCACCCTGGCTCTCGAGCCAGGTAGCAACGGCAAACGCAAGGGGTTTCGAAGAGTCAGGAGCCGGCATGATGTCGTACGCTGATGGCACTGCACCGTTACGGTGGGGGCGGAGGTGGCTTACGCGTATCTCACGTGATGGCCAACGTGGGGAGGGGAACGAGCAAAAGATAGTAGCTGCCCTGACCAAGGGGCCCCCACGCATTGGTTGAGGCTGTCCATGCGAAGAGGACATGCTGACTCGACGCAAGAAGCCGAACGATGATCCTAGACGTGTGTCTATGGAATTGGGTTTGAGCAAGCAGAAAGGTGACACAATGTCTACTGATCTACCTGCTTCGCCTATACCTAGTTGGCTTACAGACCGATGGCGAATGGTTGGCACACAGCTGTCTCTTCTATATACCCGGTGGCGGATCTACCTAGCTAGCAAGTTTGCCAAGCATGGCAAATGGATCTCGCATCACCAGACACGCACCATTCTCCTTTGCAACTTGGTCATCGCCTCCTTATTTTACCCGGCCGTCGTGATGTACTTGCTCACGACATCGGAAGACCCTGCCTCGAGTACGAATGCCCTTGTGTGTGAGATCCGGGATCACATCGTACCGGGTGTGCAAGCAAACTGTGTTACAGGTGCGTGGACGCCGACCAACATTTGGGATATGGCGCATGCCTCGCTGCTGGATCTGACAGGCACGACACGTTCTGACATTTTACGGGATACCTTCCCTGTGCATGACCTCCGTCTGCTATGGGATGAGACGCCGATTTTTCACATGGTCGAAGTCCATGACGATGAACATATACCCCAGGTCCATATGGCGCAAGTGCTTATCTCGACGGACGCCGTGCGTCGAGGCGGTGGCTCGCCGTACGGCGTGCTGGAGCCCCATGTGCTGCATGCAGCGCTGCTCTTGCAGCAAATGTTGGATGCCAAGCTATTGGGCGAGCCAGGCACACCATCCCAGTGTGTGCCACGCAACGATACACATGCTTGCTTGGTCCTTTCACCGTTGGAGTACTGGCATCGCAATGCGACGACGCTCCTGTCGGATGCCCATCCGGCCAAATCGTATACAGGCAATCCTGGGCGCGCTGTGTCGGCGCCGCCTGTGGCGCCGCCGGCGCCGCACAGCCCCATACCACTCCTGTATTCTACGACACTCAGCAGCCGGTGGCCGTTTTTACCGCTGTTTTCGCGTGCAGAGTACGCCGTATTGACGTATTTCCTGTATGAGACGGATGCCCAGGCATGGAAAACGCTGGTTGAGGATGCGGCGGCGGGCGTAGCACCTGCGACAGTGACGCTGCCCGACAATGTCGTTGCCGGCACTACGACGCTTTCATTCACGCCGCAAGCGCAAGTCGCTCGACCACGTCTTCATTACAAGGTGGTTGTTGCGGGCTATGTGCTGTTGCTGGTGTTTATTTTCCGTGAGCTCGTACAAATGCGTCGCCTCCATTCGCGGCTTGGTATGGCGATCACCGGGAGTGTCCAGCTCATCATTGACTTGATTATGAGTTTGAGTTTGTGTGCCTTGCTGGGTATTCGGCTGACGGCGGTGCCATGGTCCATTCTTCCATTCACGGTCGTCGTTGTAGGCAGCGAGACGATGCTGTTTATGATTCGCACAGTGACCAACACGCCTCTGTCCCTCACGGTTCACTCGCGCATTGCGTATGGACTGAGCCAGGTGGCTGCGCCCATCACGATATCCGCGGCGTGCGATGTGCTCTTACTGATCTTGCTGGGCTGGTGGATCCCTGTGGAAGCCGTGTCTCAGTATGTGCTGTTTACGATCTGTGCGCTGGTGGTGGACTATTTCATGCAAATGACGTTCTTCGTTACGGTTCTGAGCATCGATATCCAGCGCTTGGAACTGGCCGAAGTGTTGATGCAAGGAGCGCGTGTGCAACAAACAGAGGCGCAAATGCCACAGTCCGATACGCCGATGGAGCGACGACTGTATCGGCCCAATTCCCTTACGGGCCTTCTTTTGTCGTTGGTGCGTAAGGCATGGCGCGCTCGTGGTCCCCGTGCGTGGAGTATGACGGTCCTTGGCATGGCGCTTGTCTCGATGGTCCTCATGTACTGTCCTACGTGGCTGCGCCAAAGTCACGGCTGGCATCGCTGGTTTGATGCTAGGGAGCGTCCTGCGGCCTCCTTGGCGTCGTACACCGATGCAACACTGGATGCTAGTCCGTATGGCGCAGTATGGCGTGCTCTCAACCCTGCACGGTACCCGTACGTGCGTGTCGTAGTGGAGCCATGGGCACTGGTCTCGTTCCACGGGACAGGCGCGCCATGGTCGCATACGCACCCTGTGGCTGGGCCCTGGCTTGAAGGGCTGTTTTTTGGGCGGCGGAGCACGACGCTGTTTTTGCTGCTGCTCTTTGTCGTGGGCCCTATTGCGCTCTCGATGCTGATCCTTTCGTTGGTCCTCAATTACCTGCAACAAAACTCGGACAAACTTGCCTCGCCCTCGTCGCACCAGGCGGGCGACGATGCGGAACTGCATCGGCTGTTGCAGGCCGACGATCACACGCCATACGATGAGGTGCATTTGCACATGACGGCTATTACCGACGAATTGCACAGCGGCGCGATTCTCTGCCTTTCCGCCGCACAGCATGTTGTTGCCAGTGCCGATACGCAGAGCTCCCTGCGTGTGGAATCCTATGGTGAGGCGCATTTATACGCCTTAGCGGACCTACGTATGGAAAGGAATTTGCCAGCCGATGCCTCGGCGATCATGGCACTGGCTGTTGAGCCCAGCGAGGCGGCGTACATTGCGATTGGGCAGGCGTCAGGGCGTGTTTCATTGTGGGACGTGGCGACCGCGACGTTGTGCGACCGGCCGCTTACTTTGTCGCTAGCGCCTGTACAGCATGTGCTGTGGCATCAACAGCAGCTTTACTCTGTGCATGGCGACGGTGCCATCTATGCATGGCCTGCTCACGTGCCGCCGCAGTGCGTCGCGGCGGCGCTGCCGCACGCCCGCGCATGGACGGTGGCGACCGTGCACGGCCCCTCGACGACCTCGACATGGCTCGGCCTCGCCTCGGCACGTGGCCATTTGGCCGTGTACGAATGGGGCGCAGATGCCCGGCCTGCGCTGCTCGGCGTGGTGGAGCCGCCCACGTCGTCGTCGGCCTCGGTGTCGTCGACGGCGCCCATGCGATGTGCCCTGCTCCTACGGCCCTGCACGACAGAGCTGGATCCCAGCGACCGGCGTGCTTCGCCGCCGCGTCATACGGCGTCGCAGGAGACCAAACGGTACATTATACTCGCCGGGGATCACCAAGGTCACTTGCACATGTTTGCTCTGCCATCGGGGAAGTGTGTATGCACCCTACCGCTTCGCGAGCCCTCGTCGGGTGCGTACGAAGGTGCGATTCGGTCGATTCAGCGTATAGCAAAGCGCCATGCTCTCGTCCAGACGCCGCAGCGTGTATGGCTCGTCGAATGGCAAGGCGTCGATCCTGAAGAGTGGCAGCTGGTACATACACTGAGCCTGCCGAACGCACGTGGGACTGCTGTGGTGTATACGTACCAGCACGAGCTCTGCGTCCTGGGCCTGCGCCGCACGACGCACGGCGACGCACGCTGGGAAGTATGGCGCGTGCCGGCGGTGACCTCGCAGTCACCCGCGACGCTCATGGAGGCGGTCGAGCGGCAAGCCGTCCCGCTGGAATCGCTCCTGCGCACGGCCGTACGCAACTCGGTCGCCCAAGGACGGCACCCCCCCGCCCGCCTTCCACTTCTCACGAGCCGCATCGATACCATGATAGCAGCGCCCACGACCTCGTCGGAGGCGCGCTGGTATATCCCCTTTGGCAGTGCTATGTTTTTGCTAGAAGCACAGTCCTTTGTATAGATGTATGTACTATATCACACGGAAGCCAAACTTGGCGTCGCTTCGACATGGATGTCGCCGTACGGCTGCGGCTGTGAGAGACGTACACAGTCGCGTGTGCCCAGCACGAGCATCTCGAAGAAGAACCCAGCTGCGGCGCGGCGTGTAGCGTGCTGCGACACGGCTTGGAACGAGACGGATGGCTCGTCGTGGCGGTCCAGGACTGTACGCAGCACATGTGCGGCGCGTTTCGTACGCACGTCCCAGCCGTCGGTCGACGTCTCTGGCGCATGCGTATCGAACGCAGCAATGGGGTTGCTGAGAGGCACGTCGACCAAGACATCGTCCGTATCCAAGTCGGGCGTCGCGAGACGCGATAGCGGCGCGAGGCGGCCCGTCTCCGGCATCTCACTGGAAGGGCGGCCATGACGCAGAGATCGGCGGGGGGGTACAGCCTCGTCCAGCGGCGCCTCGTTCAACGGCGCCTCGTCCAACGGCGCCAGGTCGGGCATGTCAACATCCAGGGCGGGCAGCGAGGTCTCTGTCACGTCAAAGCCATCGTTGACTGGTTTCGGGAGATCCAGCGCCATAGAGTCGTCGGCCGCCTCAATCGGCGCAAGCCATGCGGGGGGCTCGGACGCCCGACGTGCCATTTCCATCGAGTAGTCGTCGTCCTTGCACTGGGCTTGAGCCTGCTCGTGAATCTCCCGCAGCCATGTCTGCATATGCGCATCACTTGGCCTCGCATCGAGACACCTACGACGCACCTCCAACGTGGGCGCACACACCTTGTCCATGTCCGATAGCACAGTGCCCCACGTCCGCGTGAGCATGCTCGCCACAAGTCGCTTAGGTGTCGGTGTCGCCCACAACGCAAGCTGGATGCGCGAGGCGGGCAGGCAATGCTTTTCATGCGCCTGCGTACTCATCGTAACGGTCGCGGTAGCAGCGCGTGCTTGCAAGGAACGCGCTCGCGCTGGTGCCCATTCCGTGATATCATCCTGGATCGGCCGCTTGCGTGGCGCTTTAGGCGCCGCGTGGGCCAACGACATGCGCATCTCGGCCGCCGATCGTAGCTTAGCAGCGGTACGTGGCGTGAGCTGCGCATGTGCAACATCGTGCAGCGTGAGCGCCCGCGATGGCGTGGATGCCAGCGCAGGTGGTGGTGGCGATGGCGTCGCACGGCGCGGAGGCGTACCGGCCATAGGCATCGGGTCATCGAGGGGGGGCAGATCCGGCAGAGCGTCCATGGAAACGTCCGCCGACACATCGCCTACGAGCGCTTGAACATGCGCCGAGGCGGAATCGACCAACGGCGCATGACGGGCTACACCGACACTCGCAAACGAATCGTCCATCTCGGGCGCAGGCGAAGGCTCAGGCAGGGTATATCGCGAGGTATCGCGACGTGCTTTCTTGGCCGGCGGCGCACGACGCTGTGGCGTTGTAGAAGCGCCGTGACTCAGGTCGTCAAGGTCCAGGCCCAGATCAAAGCTAGCCGCCTCCGCTTCGTCCAAAAACACATCGGTCCTCTCCGGCGCCATCAGCGGGGGTATATCGCCGTCCGGCAGGGATATGTGCGCATCTGGCAACGTAATGTCCGAGGCGCGGGCCATAGTCCGCGACGCACGAGCGCCACCCTTGCTCCATGTACTAGGCGTCGGATCAGGGAGGAGAAAGTCCATGGGCGTGTACAGATCAGGCATGGTGATGGTGGCGCGAGCCATGTGCAGCTGTTCGTGCGACAAATCCATGGCGGATGTGCCACGGAACGCAATCTTGATACGTAGAAGCGCATCAGAGCAGTCATCCTGCAGATACTTGGCCTTGCGTGCGTAGATCCGAGTAAAGCCCAGCAAAAGCTGGCCACTCAGCCGCAACGCCACAGGCTCCTCGTCCTCGTCGACCATGACCTCGACGCCCGACGGAATACTCGTCTGTAGAAATTGGGCCTTGCTGAGCTTGCGCTCCCAGTGAGCTGCTAGCCATACACGAGCTAGCGGCCCCTGCTTGTGAAGGAACGCATCGTTGGTATGCATGGTAGGCGAACCTCCAACGCAAGGGTGGGAAGCAAACCAGGTGTTGATGCACGCGGCGCGCCACGGTCGGACGTGACGTGACGCGTGTGGCACGCGTCGCGTGCACCGCGTCGGCCTATGGCATCCCCGACCGAAAATCGACCACGTGGCAACCATGAGGACGTGCTAGGAGGAAGAGGTATCGTGTGCTATGAGACAAGCCTAGCTAGCTAACATTGGTGCGTCGCCCCTGATCGGCCGGACCATGCATCGGCCAAGGCGGTGATGACTGATAGGGTTAATAGAGAGGGTGAACGTACCAGATATCGTTAAGACCAACGCCCCGAAAATAGCGCAGGCTATACTAAGCAGCTTGGTCGACTCCCACCACTTGAACGGCTGCTGTGGCTGCCGCATCGATGCATTGGCACCGGGCCGGAGTGGCAGAGAAATGTTTTCGGCTACCACTTGTTCGTGGTTTTCTTCCATGGAAAGCTCGTCCGCTTCCTCGGTCGGCATCGCAAAGTACAAAGCAGATCGATCCACTTGACTCGCATCGTGACTGAGCTTTAGGTAGCATACACTTGGAAAGAAGAACGCTAGCGCTGTAGCACTGAGCCCCCCTGTGAGCTCGAGCACAATGCCGAGATCACACGTCAGAAGGGAGACCATCATGGAGGATACCACGAGGCTTGTCGTGAGAATAATGTGCCGCTTGCGTTCGTACTCGCCTTCGAAAAAGTACGTTTCCAGGACCTCTCGGCACACAAAGCACTCAAGCGGCAAGGTCGTGAACATATTCAGTCCAAAGCAGAACCGCGCAATGTTCACGACCAAGTCGGTCTGCGGGAAGTTGTTGAGGATGTTGGAGAGGGTCTTGTCTTCAAAGGACCAGTACCCCGCAATGGACATGGCCGTCGCTGCCATGGCAGAAATGAACGTCGAGTAGTGCGTGACACGGCGGAATTTGTCCATGGATGGCTCTTTCAGACTGCCATAGATCAACAGAGAATTGTGATGGCACACAAAGGCAAAGCTGAGAACGGCAATGGACCTTGTGACATTCATAGGATGAATAATCGTAAATCGCAGCGCTGGATCGCCCTTCAACTCCGCTGGCATCGCAGGACCACGCACTACGACGGCGAGAATAATAATGACCATAGAAACAAGAGCCACCGCACTGGCCTTGCTTAGGCTCTCAATGTTGCGGTACAAGGAAAGAGGGAAACTGATCGCCATCGTACACAGCACAATGACAAATTGGCGATTGCTCAGAAAGGTATCGCGGAGAAAGGGGAATATGCTGGAAATGACATTCGGGATGGTATCGCCCACTACCACACAAAAGGCGCACATACCGCCGAACGCAAACACAAATTGAAACACGGACACGGCGATGCGCCCATACTGACCGAAGCAGTGGCCCATGATATCAATATACGTGCCTCGGCCACTGAGTTTAGCGTTGAGTACAATTAGGCGGATGGTCCAGTCGGTCAGAAGTGCGATGCCCAGCAACAACACAAGCCCTGCCACGAACCCGGACTCTCGCATCGAGTAGGGCAAGCCGACAATACCGGCCCCCAGGATGCTATTCGCCATATTGACGGTGCCTTCAAATACGCCAGCACCACGGCGTAGCCATTCAGGGAGCTGTTCGGCGTCCCAATGGGGTGGGAGGGCCTGGCTGATGTGCCGCATCCCTTCCCGCATGCCCTGCCCGATCAGGTCGAGCGAGGTCCGCGAGGCCATCCCCGCTTCTCGGTAGGAGTGATGCCCGTCTGCGTCCGCTGCGCTGATCGGTGCCACCATCGATGGATCTGGCATAGCGAGGACATCGTCATTCAGGCCGTCAGAATCGGCCTCGAAGAGAGTCTCTTTATCCGCCTGGGCCGCCTGTGTGGGCGAAGAGATAGGCGACCCATCGGCCTTGTGTGACGGAAGAAAGTGCTCGTCCTCGCCGGATGCACGTCGATCCGACATTCTCTCGTCCGCACAGCGATGAGAAGCACAGCGCGTCGAGAGAAGCGTGGGACCAGCGATCGGTCCAACACGCGCGCGTGGAGGTGCAGGCGGCCGACCGACGCAGAGTAGGTGGGAGATTTGCAAATAAAGCGCTGGCCTGGCACTGCATGCCAGTGTGTGTCAGACTTAGCGGAGACGAGGGGCCTTATTGGGTGCCTGGCGCACTGTTTCGCGTGCGAAGTGGGATGACGCAGCGAAGTGCGTGGGTCGTCGTCTGCCACCGACCACGACGTTTGATGGATCCGCGCGCGGCGCCAATGCCAAGTGGGGAGCGGGGAGACGGTCTTCCTAGGGCACTCCAGCCGGCTCTGGACGTGTCAGAGGGTGTGTCGCCAGTGCCGCGGCGGAAGACCAGTGGTATGCGGGACGGCACGGGCGACGAGCCTCGTGTGTCACGCAAGGACCAACACTGCCGTCAGTGCACACAGCCCATTTCTGGGCAGTTTGTGCGTGCGCTGGGTGGTGTATACCATTTGGACTGTTTCCGTTGTGCGGATTGTGGGCGCAATGTTGCATCCAAGTTTTTCTCAGCGACGGACGATATGGCGTCGGAGAACCAAGGCCAACTTTTCCCCCTGTGTGAGACAGATTACTTTCGACGTCTCGACTTGCTGTGTGCCAAGTGTGGACGCGCACTGCGTGGAAGTTATATCACGGCGCTGGGCGCCAAGTACCATGTGGATCATTTTACGTGCTCAATGTGTTCCACCCAGTTCGGTCCAGACGATAGTTACTACGAGCACGACGGGAAAGTGTACTGTCATTTCCACTACAGCACGATGTTTGCTATCCAGTGCACAGGCTGTCAAACGGCGATTCTCAAGCAGTTTGTGGAGATCAATCGCAACAATGCAGATGAACATTGGCACCCTGAATGCTACATGATTCACCGGTACTGGAAGATCAAGCTGGCGACCGCGCCCTTGTCGTCGACGCAGGCGATATCGCAGCCATCGATCACGACGCCTGTCCAGGAGCTTGAGTTCTCGATGCCCGGCACACTTACGCTGTCCCCGTCATCGTCCGACGACGAGCTCCATGCGAAGACGACATCACAGGCCATCACGCAAGAGACGCCAGAATCGCTCCTGCAGAAGCAGCAAGTGATGGAGCACCGTGTCATCACAATTTGGCGTGTGCTCTCGGCATTTGAAGAGTCGTCTGCAGCGTGCATTTCCGATATGCTGCGTCATGTAAGCAGCGGACGATACGTCGGCGGTGTGCGTTTTGCTGCGCGCTTTGTGCTGCATGTGGAAGTTCTTTTCTCGGCGATTGACGAGTTGGATATGTACTTCCAGCGAGCCGGCGCGCCATCGATTCAGTGCGTGCGGGAAGCCCGCATGTTATGCAAGAAAATTGTCAACTTTTTCTCATTATTATCACATACCCAGGAGGCTGGCGCGGAGCGCATGCACATTACGCAGGAACTGCTGTCGCTTGTCACGGGGTTGGCCCACTACCTGAAGATCCTGATCCGCATTTCGCTCACAGGCGCACTCCGCTTGGATCAGGAATACGACATACCTGCGGCGCTGGAATCGTTCCTGGCGCGCCTCGATGACCTGGTCATACTGCAGAGCAGTCGGAGTGCAGAGAGTGTCGCGAATGGCCTATCGCCCAGCACAAGCCATGCGGATATGATCGATACCGACAAGGTCCATGGGTACACGAGCCTGCCGCGACTGCGTACGTCGCATGAGGCAGAGAATGCCTCGGATTTGTGTATGCACTGTGGCCAAACGGTGGAGGAGCAGTGTGTGCGTGCTGGATTGTCACTGCGGTGGCACTGGGGGTGTGTGCGGTGCCATGGATGCCGGCGAGGCGCGACGATGCCGGATGGCACCATTCCTTCGCGGCGAGGCAGCGAAGCGGATGCGATGGCGGCTGGCAGCGCGACGCAGCCTGTGCCGATGCCTCTGTCGCAGTTTGTATGCTATGGCACGCGGCGCGACAAGGTCGTGGCGTTCTGTGCGCAGTGCGCGCCGATCGATGCGAAGGCGCGTCTCGTGCCTGTGACGCGTTTGGAGCAGTATGCGTTCCTGCTGTGTGTAGCGCTGAACCGACTGGACGCACTCTTGCACCGGCAGGCGCAGCAGCGGCACTTGGCAGTGCCCAGCAGCACGGGGGACGAGGATGCGGGGGAGCTGACCGATGCCGAGTCCAGCACGTACCGCAAGTCGACGGAAGCCAAGCGGCTGGAGACGCAGTACCTGGATCGGCACATGTCGAACAAAGCGCATGTCCCACGGATCTCCACGGTGGTGGGCCAGCCCTCGTCGTACGAGACGCATGTGGGAGGGGCCGAGACGCGGCGGATCACGCAGTCGCCGGACGTGGACAAAGAGCCTGCGCGGCCCACCCGGCCGCCGGCCGATCGGGGGGCGGACGAAGGTGCGAGCGCGGGGGCGGCGCCGTCCATTGCTGTGGCGCCGCCGCCGCTGCCATCATCGGCCAGTGCCAAGCCTGGGCCGGTGGTCCCGATTCGCGCGCCGTTTACGCGCAACAACACCGATGTGTTGGTCCGTATGAACAGTGTGACGTCGAAGGCGCGTGAGTCATGGTCGGAGGGTACGATGTCGTACGAGGAAGGCATTACATTGGCCGACATTCCTATGATTCTGCATGCGGAGCAGGAGCGGGAGCGTGAGCCGGGGATTGTGGACCGGCGTCCGCTGAGCTCGCTGCAGGCGGACGAGTGGCTTGTGGTGCGAGGCGTCGCGTTGGTACGCCTGGAGCGATCGGCGTTGGCGGAGTGGACGCTGTCCGGTGATTTGTACGAGTTTGTCGTGCGGAAAAGCACGTTTTGGGAGCGACTTCGGTTCAAAGGGGCCAAAGACCGGCGTGATGTGCGTAAGAAAGGCACGTTTGGTGTGCCGCTGGACGACTTGGCGGAGCGGCAGGGCGCAGACTCTGTGCTGGGCGCCACGCCTACGCCGATGCGCATTCCTGCCTTTGTCGACGATGTGATTTCTGCGCTGCGGCAGATGGATGTGTCTGTGGAAGGCATATTCCGGAAGAACGGCAATTTGCGGCGGCTCAAGGACCTGGCCGACGAGTGCGATCGCGGGCTGGATACGGTCAACTGGCTCGACGATACACCGGTGCAGCTCGCGGCGCTTCTGAAGAAGTTTTTGCGGGAGCTGCCGGAGCCGCTGCTCACGCAGCGCCTCTACCGCGGGTTCGTGCAAGCAGCCGCGCTGGAAGCGGAGGGCGAAGCACGCTGGTGGTCGCTGGTCCTGTGGCTCGTTCTTCTTCTGCCGCGCGCCCACCGCGACACGATGGAAGTGCTCTTTGTGTTTGTGCGGTGGGTCGCTACGTTCTCGCATGTAGACGAGGAGAGCGGGAGTCGGATGGACATTCCGAATCTCGCGACGGTCCTTGCGCCCAGTGTGCTGTACTCGCGCACCTCGGAGCCGACGCATAGCGAAGCGATGCTCGCGCAGCATGTCGTGCAAGCCATGCTGGAGCGACAGGACGAGCTATGGGTTGTCCCGGACGACATGCAAGCAGCGCTGCAGGATACAGCGCTGATCGCCGCGGCGCCGGATCTCACCGCGCCGGAGCTTCTAAAGCGGTGTGCCGCGTATGCGTAGCGCGTACATACATATATGATTGTAGACTATACGTTCTTTCTTTTTAAATGCCCACAGCGTCATACGCCGTAGCTGCGCACGCGCGAGAACAAGAAGGGCTTGCTGTGTTTTTGGGGGATCGGCAGCACTTCGCCCGTGTGCAAATGCAGCGACGTATACGCCAGCATGTCGAGTCGATGCCATGTCCCGCGCGACGGCCGCAGCGCCAGTGTCATTTGAAACGTATAGCTGCGCAGCGAAGGATCGTATAAATCTTCCACGACGATCGTCGCCCCACGCTTCGTACACCCGGCCCGATCGTCGTCGGCCAGCAGGCGCCAGCGGCCAGTCGTGCACCCTTTTGTCTGGAGACCTGGCCACAGCTGATGCACCGACTCGGAGGGCGGATCGGTGGTCAGCCAACTGAGGCACTGGCCCTGCGGGAAGAAGCGCAGGTACCGGAAGAACTCCACTTGGTGCAGCACACGCACCCAGACATTCTCCTCGGACATGCCTTGCTGGGTGTACTGACACGTAGCAATGTACGCGCCATTCATACGCAGCCGCGGCTCGTAGAGGAACGTATCGCGCCAGCTGCACGGCGGCGCTGTGACCGACGGGTGCGGTGGCACATACACGCACGCCACAATCTCTTTCCAGAGCCGCGCATGCGCAGTGAGCCGCCGCAGGCGCCAGCATACACGCCCGATCCGCTCGAGCGCTATGTAGTCTGGCCCACTATAGGGCCGCCATGGCTCGGACGGCGTCACAAAATGAATGTGCTCACGGAACGCCGGCGTAGGCGAGCTGATGCGCGTCGGCTGGATGACCTCGCGCAGGATGTGCAGCCACACTTCATCAGGGAGGCGGCCGACGTACATCGGCACAGCCGGATCGGCCGCATACATCTCTGCGACACAGGTGCCGATGTGCGTCGAGGCCAGCGCCGTGCACAGCTCATCGACCGCATCAGTCTGTGCGTCGGCCTGCATGCGCTGGACGGACGCGGCATGCGACGCCGCCAAGGTATCGAGCAACGTAAGTAAGGTATCGGGGTGATGCGATGGGGTATCCGTGCGCAGCGTCGTCGTGCGAGCGCCGTCACGCGGAGGCGGTGGGCGGGCCGCTTTGGAGCTAGCACCGCTGGCACTCGTCTTCAGCGCCGGCACCCGTGTACGGCGCGCCGCAACTTCCTGCTGCCATTGCGAGCGGAACGCCTGGAGCTCGTCGTCCATACCCACAACGAGCACGACAACAACGACGAGGCACCGCGCGACGCCTCCACCTGGCGCAGCCCTTCGTGCTTCACATACCTCCACAGGATTGAGGGTCTACACGACGGGGGACCTACGACGACCATCCATCTACCTACCCACTCGGCACGGCGGGCGGATCCAAGTGCATCTCCATGCCCGCTTGGGCACGGCCGACTTTGTGCATGAAACTCGCGACCGAGGACATATCCACATCAGAGCCAATGGACTCTACAGCCGCGAGCAATTCATCCAGCATGCCATCGACCTTGTCAGGCGGCACCTGCGCACACATGGCGACCACCTGGTGGTACTTGCGCTGCCGCGCCTCCGCCGCTTGATGCCGCTCGGCCTGCGCCTGTGTCTGGACGCGCGTCGCGTGCGCAAGGTACTGCATCAGCCACCGCAGACGGACCAACGCCGCGGCCAGCGCGGCATCGGTAGGCTGGGCCAGCGCCGCCTCGGCTTCCTGCCATATCGGCTGAGTCCATGTGGGCGTCGTAGCCTCATCGGCTGCCGGCGTAGGGAGCGTCGACAGCGCCTGCGTCAAATTCTCACACCGCTGGCGCTGCTCCTCACGCTCCGTCACAGCCGCCTGCGCAGCGGCCATATCGCGCCGCCTCGCTGCCAATTCGCGCGTAGCCGCTTGCAAGTGCGTTTGCGTGGTCTCAATCGCCTCCTGCTTGGTCGACACTTCGCGATCAAAGATCGATTGCAGCTCGTCCAACGTCTGGACCAGCTTCTCACGCACATCCTGGCTCTTCTTCACTGGCCCCGGCGGCGGATTCGTCAGCGAGCGCACGACATCCGATGCACGGTACGAGCCCAGCTCCTGCAAAACACCTTGCGTCGCGTGCGACGACGACGACGTGCTAGGCACAGGCGTCGGCGCACTCGCCGGCTCGTCGTGCGCCGACTGACTAATGCCCCAATCCAGCGGCGTGATGCCCAGGTAGTTGGGCAGGTCTTTGCGCGCGCCTGCATCAAGAAGCATCTTGATCATGTTGGTATTGCCCAGCCGCGCAGCAATGCTCAGCGCCGTCTCGCCCTCGTCGTCCTGTGCATCCAGCAGCGAAGAGGCCATCGAGGTGTGCAAAGCGAGGCGTTCCAGCACACATCCAAGATAGTAACGAGCGGGCGCCGCACGCCCTTTCAGGCCAGCGACCAGGGCAATGTGGTGCAGCACGGTGCGTTTGCGGTGATCCCGCGTCTCCAAGCTGCCGGCCAGCAGGTCAAGAAGGTCCGGAAATTGAGAGAGTTCATACGCATTGGTCACCAACACGGAGCGATGCAAGGCCGTCTCGCCCGCATAGTTCCCGACATAGATATTCGCGCCGCCTTGCGCGGGCGGGAGCGCCGTCAGCATACGTACGAGGGGCAGACGGCACAGCGCTGCCGCCCAGTGCAGCGCTGTGTGCCCATGATCGTCAATGACCAAGTTCAGCGGCGAGCGAGCGCGCCGCGGCGCGTCCGGGCCCAGCTCGCGAAGCAGCGCTTGCAAACGATCCAGCGGCGCCAGGGACGCGTTCGGCGCTTGCGGCTCGTGCACAAAGAGACCCGTCAAGAGATCACGCGCACGACGTTCACGCTCATCGCCTAGACGTGGTGGGACGGCCTTATCAGCGAAGCGCGGGCCTGCATGATCCACGACGTCCTCGGCTGCCGACTCGGAGGGGGGTATCGCGCCTTGCAACGTGCCAGAGCTCAGCGCATTCAAGTCAGGCACACGTGCAGCCGTCGTCGTCGTCGTCGTCGTCGTCGCCTCTGTCGCGGCCGCCGTAGGCAGTGGCACACCTTGAGGAACATAGCCATGCGTCGCGTACGCGCCGAGCGCCGAGCGCTGGGCGGGATGCGAGCCGGGAGGCACGCCCTGCGATGTCGACGTGGTCGAAGAGGGCGTGGTACCATCGGGGGCATGACCCGCCTCGTCAGAGGCCAGCGGCAGTGTATGAAGAAGCCCACCCGCACTGGTAGGCAAGGTATCGTGCGCGCGAGGTGGCTTGAGGGACATGAAGCGAGGCTGCTGCGTCGCCGCACGAAGGGGGGCCGTGCTCGTCCCATGTGCCGGCGTATGTTTCGGCGCGGAGGCGCTGGCATCCGCCTTGCGCTTCACGCCCTGCGGGCCAGGCGCTGTGACAGCCTGCGAGGCGCTGGGATCGAAATCCAGCAAAGGCCGGATGAGATGGTACACGCTGTAGTTAATCGCAAGCTCCTGTGCACGCTGCAGCGGGATCCAAGTCCCTTGGAAGGTACCGTAGCCGCCTTGCACTTTATCGTGCTCGCCTGTCAGTATTTCCTTCTCGAGGATACGCGTTCGTCGCGCCTTTTCAATCCCGGCAATCTTCAGGATTTGCGTCGCATTAAGGTAGCCATCAGACCGCCGGCGCATGAGCGCAATCCCACGCACCGTGATTTCGTACACGGGCACCGAGGAGTACGTCGCAAGGTACACTGTAGGCGTAGGCCCATGAGGAGTCGACGCTGTGGACGACGCGTTGGCGTCGTACGAGGGACCCGTCGTCGAGGCATCGTTCGGCATCGGCATCGAAGGCGCAACAGTGCCATTGCGTGCCACGTCCATAGACGGCGCAGACTGAGAGGACGGCGGCGCGCCATACATGGGCGCATTGCTATACCCATACGGCATACCATGCGCCGCCAAGGCATCATGCCGCATAGGCCGGGGCGGCATGCTATTCAAGGAGTAGCGAGGCGGTGGGCCTGCATACATATCACGCGGCGGCATACCCGCCGATCCATTCTGCATCGTCACGACACAGGGCACACACACTCAGCCCGAACTGGACGGCTCGGAGTCGCGTCACTAGAAAGGAACAGAACCGACGAAGCCCTCGGCGGCAGCCGCGACGCGTGCGCGGCCGCCGCCTCTGCCGCCGCCCCATCGCCGCGGTCGCGTTCGTCCGTGGTCCGCCACATGGCTTTGTATCACGTGCTATGCATGGCGAGGGCCGCGCTCGCCGGCCGCGCCTGTGCTTGCGCACGGGTCTCCCTTACGACGCTGCAACGGTGAGAGATTGACAAGAGGCACACACGATGGGATACATCGGTGTGGCGGTAGCCTTGTATGACTACGCAGCACAAGCAGATGACGAGCTAACGATCGCGGAGGGTGATACACTCTACCTAAATGAGCTGATCGACGGCGAATGGTACCAAGCCACTCGGCAGGACACTGCACAGCAGGGATTGGTGCCTGCTAACTACGTGGAACTGCGTGCCCCAGAAAGAGTCGTCGTGGCAGAGTACGATTACGATGCACAGAACGATGACGAACTGAGTATGCGCGAAGGACAGTCGCTGGATGTCTTGGAGACACAAGGCGAATGGCTCCTCGCACGTTTCACAGGCACCACCACGACAGGGTTGGTTCCGGCGAATTATGTGGTAGACGCAGACGCTGCCGCCAGTGCCACGACCGCCGCTCCTGTGGCCGATATCGCTGCCGTTCCTACCCCGCCCGCCCCGCAAGAGACGGCATCGTCCGTGCCTGATGCCACCATGACAGCAGCAGAGACGTCAGAGCCCCAGGCACCACCAGCGCCAGATGTCTCCTCCATTCCGATTCTACCGCCGCCGACACGTAAAGTGCCAGCGTCTGTGACCAATGCCCATGCCACGTCCTCGACTTCCACAGCCAAAGAAGAGAGCACGACGAATCACAGTGCCTTGACTCACGAGGACGAGAACGACGAAGTAGAGCAGGCAGAAGACGACGATGAGGATGCGCGTCCCCTAAGCAAAGGGTCTAGCGTGCCTCTGCCGTCTGCCCTGATGACGCAGGCGACGGGCCATGCCGGTGAAGAGGAAATGGACGATACCGATGGCATGACGTCCAGCACAGCCCCCGCCAATGTCCCTGCGGCATGGACGGCCAATGCGACGCCCCATGATGAAATTCAGATGTGGTCCGTGACGCAAGTGGATCCCAAGAAGAAGAAAAAGATGGCGAAGGGCACACTAGGCATTGGGAATGCCTCGCTTTTCTTTGCGACTGACACGGACGGCGCGTCTGTGCCACGTATTCCTATTATGCAAGTGCAAAACGCTGCGCTGGAAAAGAACAAGTATCTCATCCTCTCCATCAACAAGGCATCCAAAGTGACAGAGCCGACATTGGTATTCCATATCGGGTCGAAAACCGCCTACCAGGCCATCACGGCCCGCCTAAAAGAGAGCAAACGGCTGGCGCAGCAGTCAGCTGCATCCTCGAACTCAACAACGCCGCGCAGGGGCAGTTCGGACCGTGACATGGTATCCGTGCTGTACGACTTTGAGGCGCAGGGCGATGATGAATTGTCCGTGCTTGAGAACGACCAGCTTGTCTTGATTGAGAAAGAAAACGACGAGTGGTGGAAGCTCCAAAATGCAGCAGGCCAAGTGGGTGTCGTCCCAGCCACGTATGTGAAAGTCATTCAGCCGTCGGCCAATCCTCACCTGGCTGCATTGGACCGCAAAGTGCGTACAATGCCAGTCGAATCACCGCCTGTTTCCATGTCACATGGCGAGCGGTCGTCGCAGCGTCCTATCCCCGAGCGCATGCGAGAGTGGGTGGATGCTACAGGCAAGTTCAAGACGGAGGCAGAATTGCTGGGCATTCGTGCTGATACAGTACGTCTGCACAAGTCCAATGGGGCCGTGATTGAAGTGCCGCTCAACAAAATGTCTCGCCAGGACTTGCGTTACCTAGAAACGATTTCGGGGCGCGATCTACTGAGTCAAGTCGATAAAGCCGAGCAGCGGGAACGCCGTGCGCAGGAAGAGCATCGATTGCGTGAGCGCGAGCGCGAGAGAGAGCGTGCCGCAGCGCTGAAGCAGCAAGAAATGGCGCGGCGTGAGCGCGAAGCGCGCGATCGACGGCCGCCGCGCGCCCATATCGACTGGTTCGACTTTTTCCTCGATGCCGGCGTCGATGTGGATTACTGCACACGTTATGCATCAGCGTTCGAGCGCGATCATATGGATGAATCGGTTATTCTTGACTTGGAAGCGAGTATGCTGCGCAACCTGGGTCTGCGCGAAGGAGATATCTTGCGTGTTCGCCGCTACATCCACCAGAAGTATGGCAGTCATACCGGATCGCGCTCCTCTGCCTCATCACGCCCCATGACGCGCGAACAATTGGAGCGGCAAACGCGCGACGACGAGTCACTCGCACGTCGTCTGCAAGCCCAAGAAATTGCGGCACAGCGTCGTACACGTCCACCCCCGGACCGCCCAGTAACGACAAAAGAGCCGCTCCCGCCACGACGCACGCCCTCGTCGGAGCCTAAAGAGACCAAGGCAGAGACGACCGCCTCTTCTTCAAGCTCGCCTGCACTGCAGCCGACGCCCACCGGCGTCGATGCGGAAACCATTGCTGCGGCGGTGGAAATCGTGCGTCAGCGTGAACGTGAAGAGGCTGAAGAAAAGGCGAAGAAAGAGCGGCCGGCCGACCCCAACTCGGCGCTGTTTGACAAGCTGGAGCGTATGAAACCACCAGCGCCGCCGTCGCCAGCCCTGCAAGATCCCTTCGCCCCGCGTGGGCCTTTTGCCCCTGTTCCAATCAACCAGGGCCTGTTGCAACCTTTGATTCCCTTGCAAGGTACTGGCCAATTTGTGCCGACAGGCATGCCACCCAACCCAACCGGTTTCATGCCGACGCATCCCACAGGCTTCATGCCGACAGGGTATGGCATGCAGCCGACAGGTATGCAACCTACGGGCCAAGGCATGTTTGGCGTTCCGCAACCGATGCAACAGCAACAGCAACAGCAACAGCAGCCGCAACCAGCGCTTGGTGCGGCCACCGCCGAGACGACCAGCAGCACCACCGATTCGGACCGATTCAGTGCAGCCAACGTGTTTGAGCAAATGAAAACAGGCGCCGGCGCATTTGGTGGTGCGTCCAACGACTCGTCTGCTCCACAAAGCAGCGGCAAATATGATCCTCTACGTGCGCAGCCCACAGGCTTTGCCACAGGCGGCATTGTTGACACGCCCATGCAAACAGGTATGATGAACGTGATGCCCACCGGGATGGGTATGATGCCGAATGCACCTACAGGTGGCTTTATGCCCAATCCAGGCTATTTCCCATACAATTCATCCATGTAGAGGAAGCACTAGTAATGATGTCATGCAACCACGATACTTGTGACCCTAAAAAAAGGACTGGTACTGTTGAGAAACAGCAATACGAGGCCCAAAAAAGCACGGTTGACCCTGACCAGGCTCGAACTGGCGACTTTGGAGTAACACGATAGTATTAGCTCCACACTCTAACCAACTGAGTTACAGGGTCGAAGACCGGTCGAATGACCCTGACCAGGCTCGAACTGGCGACTTTGGAGTAACACGGTGGTATTAGCTCCACACTCTAACCAACTGAGTTACAGGGTCCGATCGACGGAAGGCAGGACTGATGCTGCCCGCTATCAACAAGGTGTACCCCACATGGGGGCGCCGGCACTAGGGTGGGCCAGTGGCGCCACGCTGGGGTCGGTTTGCCTTGTCGGTCCATGCGCACGTCATGGACGGCGCGTCGCTTACACAGTACGTACGTTGTGATGCTCACCCTCTAGTCTCAAACAACAATGGCGAGCGTCCTTAGATGCTTCCTTAGCGCTGCTCATTGCGCTTCATCATGATGAAAGTGGCTCTAAGCAATGGAAACGCGTCGCGCCGGGTCGTGACGGTATGGCTGAAGATATCCCCGAGAATGTATCACTTGCGATGATGCGACGACGTGTACATGGCTCAGACGTCTACCGTGCGATGTGGGAAGGGACCTACGAGGCGCCGGACCTTTTCGCGTTCTATGCCTTGTTGGGTGCCCAAGAATACTTCCCGCAATGGCTGCCCATGGTCGAAGGCTCAGAAGTACTTGAATCCCTCGATCTACATACGCGCCTGTGCCGCACCCGCTTTAAGTTCGGGTGGCCAGCAAGTCCCCGCGACGCGGTGGTATTGGCCCACCAACGACAAGATGCATCGACATTGCTGCATATCGCTACCTCTGTGCCACGAAGCAATGATGCACCATCATACCTGCGCCCGGCACCGCCCTATGTGCGGGCGCATATCCATATTATGGCGGTATTGATTCATCGTATCACGCCTTCAAGGCTCGCTGTGACAGCATACTGGTCGCTCGACCCACGTGGATCGGTGCTGGGCGTACGACCCACAGCCGTGATCGCAGGACTACCACAAATGCTACCGACGTTGGCTGAGTGCGTCCAGACCCAAGGCACCCGCATTCCATGGATCTCAGCGTACAGTCGTGGCATGGAACTGACCTCCCAACGTGCTGGAAGTACATGGCACTTGGCTTACTCCGTGCTGGACGACGAGCAGCCAGGAGACACAGCGTTCTCATCCGAGTCGTCCCGCGAGAACGTGACGAAGCAGCGAAGTGTATGGATCCGTCTGCATACAGCACACGGCTGGGACGTTCGTATTTCCATTCCCTCGGCTACGCCTTCGTCGAGGGACGACGAGGCAATGCCGTATACCTGCGAGCTTGTCAGGCTGGGCGCCTGGTACGAAGTGGTTATTGAGCATGCACCCTTGCCGGACGAGGATACGATGATGCGTGTGCGTGTCGATATCCAGTGTGTGGATGAACATGAGCATGTGCGTATAAATGGTGTAACAACCACAGCGTCGTCTGGCGTGATGCCTACCCTAGCGCCGCAGACATTGCTGAAACGCCTTGTAGCGTCGGATGCAGCGTCTGTTGCCTCGACTATCTCCGAGGAAGGCCCACGGCGGATTTCATTGGCCTCCTCGGGCTTGGCTTCGTCGTCGCTGGCGCCTCTGGCTGCGACTGTGCGTCGCAACTATATCTATTTCACATCGCTACTTCAAGAGCCAGAGGCCAAGTGGACGCGTGTCACAGATACGCGCGGTGTTACTGTGACGCAACTGGACTCCATTGACCCGACGTTGGTCGTCTATCGAGCTGAAGCGACGTTTGTGGGGTTGACGGTGTGGGATTTGTACAGTATTCTCCATGCCCCTACGTTAGCGCCGCGATGGACGTCATCCGTGGAGAAGGCACATTTACTGCACGATTTTGGCGGGCAGAGCACACTGTGGCATGTTCAGTATCCCTCTGCATGGCCCGTAAGCGCGCGAGATGCCGTGCTGGTGCAGACGTCGTACCAGTCCCCGACATCCGTCCACGTCTTTTCCTTCTCAGCAGATGAGCATGTGGATGAGTATGTTCCACCGCCAGCTCCATCGACCATTCGCACCCAAGTGGACTTGTATGGCTGGAGCATTGAGGCGCTTTCGCCAACGACAGTGCATGTCACGCTCATTGAGCAAAGTGATCCACGTGGCTGGCTTTCCAAGTCACGCGTGCCGACGATGATGGTTGCTGCGATGGCGGGCGCAGGGGAGTACGCGTTGAAACAAGGCGGACCGCCCATGGTCACGCGTCTTCTTAATGCGCGGATTCAAGCACTGCAGTACGACGACAAAGCCGAGGCGTTTGAGTTCGAGTACAAGCCCGCGCCTGACTCCAATGATTCGACGCAGGTCGAGTGTGAGCTGCGCTGCAATTTGGAGGCATGGGCCCCGAATCTCGATATCAAAATTACCCCGCCGCCGTCAACAACGTCGTGTCTACGTCGGCATCGTTTGGCCGAAGGGGGCGGTGGGCTTTGGCTCACAGTGGAGCATCGAACAGAGCAGCTGGCTGGCGCTACGGTGCACATGGTCGTACGCAAGGGTCCTGTGCAATCGGTGGAGCGTGGTGTTGTGCTTTTGAATGGGACGCGACTGGCTGTGGATACAGATACGCTCGATGCAGCGCAAGTCCAGGCGCTAGTCCAACAGAAACGCATCAAGCCGCAACGTGTGCCACTCGATTTGCGCAAGCCCCGTGCCGCGACGAGCGCAGCGTCGACGGCTACGCCGGCCGACGAGGCTACAACAGCGATGCCGACGGCCGGGGCAGCCGAGAAGAAGGCCACCTCGACGGATTTTGGTGGCACAGCCAAGTCGGTGCCCCTGGATGCATCGTCCGCGCGGCCGCCACCGTCGCCGTCGCCGTCGCTCCCGCCGCAGGCCGACGCGTTGCGCGAGGGATCGTGTACCAACCTACCTCACGACGCCATGACATCGACTCAACAGCCCCGCCCCGCCTTGGCTGCTGCGCTGCAAGCGCTCTTCCTCTTACGTCGCATCAACGCGGATCGACCCCCTGACCCGGCAGGGGCTCCATCGGGATGGACTTTGCTCTCCGAGAAACGCGGTCTGTTTATTCGGCGGCGGATGATGGAGAGTTTGTCGGAGACGGTGGCTGTGCATCGCACAGAGAAGATCGTGCAGGGGGTCGCAGCCGACGAACTGCTGCGGTACGTCGCCTACCCCCATGTCCGTGCGCAGTGGGATGAGAGTCTGGCACGATGTGACGTCATCGAAAGTTACGGACAGGGTGCGACGACGTCGGTCTGGACCACACAGGCGTCGTTCCCCTTTCGCGCACGTGCCTTTGTGGTCGGCCACGTAACAGCGTACGGGCAGAGTGAGTCGGCAGATGGCGCGACGTCGCCTACGACGCAGCAGCCAGTGTACTTCCATGCGTCTGCCTCGGTCGATGCAGACGTGCCATGGGCTGCAGAGGCAGCGCAGCGATATGCGCCGGCGTTACCGGTAGGCCGCGTCTTGATTGATGGATGGATTTTCGAGCCGGTGGACCCGTACAGCACGGCACAGTACCCTATTCCCAGTACGCGGTGCACCCACATTGTGGCGATTGATTATGCGGGCGGCTTGCCCAGCGGTGTAAATGCCTGGTGGAACGCCTCTTTGCCACGCGCGCTAACGCTGCTGGAGCAGTGCTACCAGCGCCAGGGCCCCTTGCCGTCCATCCACGCGCCGCCCAACTGGCTACGTGTACGTGGCGACGCACGCGATGATGATCGTACATTGCTCTGGCGTCGTGGGCGTGTGCCACGCTGGGCGACGATCCTGACCTGTGATTATGCGCAAGATACGCGCACATTGCATGTATTGGCCTATGTTGGTCGGTCCACGCCTTCTGTCAAGGAGGCAACACAGACCGTTGAGCCCAGCAGCCCGGGCTCGACGCTGCGTCGCGTGTCCTCGACGTCGTCGCCTACGCCGCTTCCAGTCTCGACTAGCATGTCAAGTCTGCCCGAGACGTCGACAATGACAGCCACGGCGACCATCACGTCGTCCCCCTCACGCTCGTCCTTGCGTACCTCGACGTCGACAGGCGCCTTGTCGGCTAATGCAAATGGATACCCACGCCCAGCGTCTGCCAGCGCCGCTTCCCTATCGAACGGCGTCCCATCGTCGCTTCCGCATCCCCGCCGCCTGTCGTCCCACAGTGCGCCGTGGAAGCGTGTCGTCTCGTCCGGCGATGCAAGCACCAGTCCAGCCTTGTCCACGTCGCCGCAGGCAGCGATCGCGGCGCACACGACGTGCATCGCTGAAGTCCACGTCGAGTTGCAACATTACCCACATGGCTATGCGGTGGACGTGACGTGGGCTAATGCACAGACGCCGCCCACGCCCTGCGACGTAAGTGCAATGCCCACGCAGTTGCCCAACGAGCACCTGCCACTACATGCCCAGATCCTCGATATGCCGCCTAGCGCGTTGCAAGTCGCGACACACTCGTCCACCACGCAGCCACACCGGCATGCAGTACGTGTCATTGTCCCCACCGAAATACTCGAGCGACGGCATCTTTCGTCGACGCCAGCCGCGCTAGTACGCTTGCAGATCACGCCGCTGCGTGGTCCCGCCGATGGCCCCGCCGTGGCAGGCCATGTGCCCGTTACATGCAACGGACGTGTCGGTGAGATTTTATATGGCCACGAAGTCACCAGGACACCTAGCTTTGATATCGAGGCAGACGAGCTGGAGCGCGTTCCTCGCGGCACATCGCTGCCGCGGCGTTTGGGCTGGGCGTGGGAAGACGATCTGCAGATCCTGGCTCAGCCAGCAGCGGTACGTCCCCCGCCGCCTGCCGCGCCATCGACATCCGCCTCAGCTAGCGCCTCACCATCGGCGACAGCCTCCGAGACCTCAGCCACGGCCACGGCCCGGACAAAGAGCACGCCTGGTGCGGGGACGCATACCTCCTCCGCGACGGAGGGGAAGGAGGCGGACACGTCTACTACAACGTCGTCGCCTGCTTCCACATCCGCGCCGTTCTTTGGTCTCTTGGGTCGGCGGCCCTACACGAGTCTCAGTTCACTGGTATCGCGCGCCACGTCCTCGACAACACCGACACATGCTACCTCGACGCCGCATGTAAAGGACACGCCAGCGAGCGCGCCAAGTCGACGAGCTAGCCAGACACAAGCGGGTGCTGCGTTGTCGCAAGAGGCTGAGTCAGATGTATCTGTATCCCAGCCTGTGCCGCCACGGACCTTCCGTTTGACGACGCTCATTCTGATTGTGATTGTCTCGTTCTTGGCCGGCTCCCTCTTCCGATCACTGCTGGAGCCTGTGGACTTTATTCTTGTCCCGCAATCAGCCCTATCGACGGGGGCAGGAGCAGAAGGAGCTACTACATCCACGGCGGACACCGTACAAGTACGCTCAATGGCTGGCCAGGAGCGTGAGAGTGATGTGCGCAGCATGCTTAACGTGGCGGCACGTGAAATTGATAATTTCGTGAGAGCTGCACGTCAACTTCATGCCTTTACGCGCCTGGGCTACCAGGACGAGCCGCCAACCTTGGGTGTCGGGCCCCGTGATATACTGGAGAGCACGCCTATGGTTCGCTGGCGCGAACTTCGCCGTTTCTTTGACTTCCGCGTACCGGGCTTGCCATGGTACTTGGTCCTTGGCTGGGCACGTGCGTAACGTGTGGAGGATGAGCGACGCGTGCGTGGTGGCTGCTACGAGACCGCAAGGCCTGCTGGGTACATAATCAACCGTAGTCTGTGTGTCGGAAAAGCGCCCAATTTCATAGCGCGTCCTAATTTTTTTTTTTTTTTTTTTGGTCCCCCACCTACCTACCATGCAGGCTGACGACGTGATCTGGTCGGTGATCGGACACCAGTTCTGTTCGTACAAGATCAAATCGGCGACACACTCTACATTTTGTCGCAATGAATACAATCTTACCGGTCTTTGCAACCGGCAATCCTGCCCCCTGGCCAACTCGCGCTATGCCACAGTGCGGGAGCGCGAAGGTATTTTGTACTTGTATGTAAAAACTGCAGAGCGCGCACATTCGCCCAAACGGCAGTGGGAGCGCATCAGGCTGTCGAACAGGTATGCTACTGCCCTAGAACAGATCGACAAGGAGCTCGTGTACTGGCCGAATTTTATCGTGCACAAAGCCAAGCAGCGCCTCACTAAGATCACTCAGTACCTCATTAAAATGCGCAAGATCAAGCTAAAGGAAGAAGAACAGTACGTATACTGTCACATACTTACGCATACAGGCCCGAACTCGTAGGCATCAAGAAAAAGACCGAACGTCGTGAGGCCACGCGTGAGGCGAAGGCGCTGCGTGCCGCCAAACTAGAGAAGTCCATTGAGAAGGAACTGCTGGATCGTCTCAAACGCGGTGCCTACGGCGATGCGCCTCTCAATGTTAATGAAGACGTTTGGAACGCTGTACTGGAGAATGCACAGGCACGCATCCCTGATGCCGAAGGCAACGAGCTCGAGCTGGAAGAGGAGCTCAGCGAGGAAGAGGCAGAAGAGGATATCGATGCTATGGACGAAGAACTTCGCGCTCTCGAAGAAGACGACGAATATGGACAGCGTGAATTCGTGTCGGACGATGAAGACAGTGAAGACGACCTGGAAGATTGGGGCTCGGTACGTGCACACCTACTAACACTGAAGGACGATCCGGACGAGGCCTCTGAGGATGGCAGCGATGACAGCGATGATGGCGATGACAGCGACGAAAGCGACGAGGCGCCGCCCAAGAAACGCGGCAAACGCCCTGCGCCGAAGCGCGGCGATGCTCGCGGCAAACGCGGTACGTATTTTGCTACATACACTAACAAGCAGGTCGTCCACGCGTCGAAATCGAATACGAACAGGAAACGGAGCCTCTCACGGCCGAGCAAATTGCCAACTGGTAACCGTCGTTTCACGTACCATGTATACCTACGTAGTAGCCACGTGGCCATACCAACGCCGACGCGTGACCCACTTGCCTTGCCCTGTCCTGCCCCACGCTGGACGCCTGTTGAACGTTACACTGTAGTACGCACGAAGCGACGCATATGGGGATCCGCCGATGCCAAGCTCGAAAGCCGAGCAAGATGCGCATCGCAAGCTACGTCACCGCGACCTGAATCGGGTCACCGCGGAACGCCATCGTGGCTCCAAGCGAACAAGAGCAGGTCAGCTCAAGGACGCGAACAACTCATCGAACATGGGGCACACCACACCAGGAGCCGACTCCGAATGGTATGCTGCATCGTCGTCAGATGAAGAATCCGACTCCAGCCATCCATTACCCACGTTCACGCCGAAACGGCGCACAAAACTTGGCCGGCGCCTAGCCCTACGAGGCTCTCGTATGCGGTTTCCCCAGGAGCCTACACCAACAAAAGCACCCACTAAGGACCTATGGGTCCAGCCTGAACATCCTGCGAGGCACACTGCGCTTGGATCCACTCTTCCTATGAGCCCTCTTATCCAACGCACACTTCCATTCCTCCCCAATGCATCACCGTTTGTACATCATCGACGTCCAACTACTTTTACAGCAAGACCCCCCAACCCTGTATTCTTACGCTCACCAGGCTCTCACCGCCTCAAGCGACTCGATCGAAGTCCTATTGTTACGCGCGCACGCAAACATGTCCTCAGCCCTAAGCGGAAAAAAGTCGTACAGACGGGGCTCGAACGTTACTTTCAGCGCGCCTGCATTACACCTCAGCCTGTTTCAAACGACATGGCATGGGCGGATGAATCTGATTCAGAACTATCTTCTGTACCAAGCAGTCCTTTGTCTAGTGAGGATGAAGCTCATCCTTTGACACTCTCCGCGCGAACACACTCGTCGCCCTCTTCCCTGTCGTCCATTGCGTCGGACAACCAGGAGCTCATGCCACCTATACCCAATGATCAAGGATTTGCAGCAGCGCATGCCGCGGGTCTGGCACCGGATGCACCAGAAAGTAGGCCTGTCATGTCGCACCGAACACTTTTGCGACGGCGACGAGCATCACTAGTGCGTCTATGCAATGAACGAGGTCTTCCTGTCCCTCCCGATGCAACTAAACTTGTATTGACTGACATTCTGGCAGGTGTACCACAGCCTGACAATATCTCTGTTCATGCTGCGGCCCAACCCCCCCAGTCCCTTACGACCGCCCAGGAAAGCAAAGAGTTGCAAGGTCTAGATTTGGAGCGACTTGATCTCCTTGATCATGAAATCTCGCCAGATAAGTTGGAGAAGCTGGAAAAAATCGGAAGTGGTGCGTTCAAGGATGTGTACAAAGGGCGCTATCATGTGTCCCGTACACGAGTCATGGATGTTGCCATATCAGATCTACGCAATGAGTTGTCCGATATGGATATCAAAGAACTGACATTCCTTCGGGACTTGCGGCATGAAAATATCGTTAGTTTTATTGGCGTGAGTGTCCCTAGCCAGCCTATTAACACTCCATGCATGATTGTAAGTGAGCTGTGTGAACATGGTGATCTATTCGATTATATCCGTCAAACACCCCCTCCTCCTGACGTGCACATCTTCCGCATACTGCTTCAAATTGCTCGTGGCTTGGAGTACTTACACACACGCACACCCATGGTCATCCACCGTGACTGTAAATCTACCAATGTTTTGATCACTGCGCAAGGTGTCGCTAAGATCAGTGACTTTGGGTTTGCACGTGTAAAGCGCTCAGCTCGTGCTATGGTACGCTCCCTCGTGGGTACTGTAAATTGGCAGGCCGTGGAATTATGGGTTCCTAAGCCGAATTACAATGAAAAAGTCGACGTATGGAGTGCAGCAATGACATTCTGGGAGGCACTTCAGTGGCATCAACCGGAAAAACGGTATCCTTTTCAAGGTATGAATGAGCACCAAATCTACCAGCATGTAAGGGAGCGCCGACAACGGTATGTGTATCTTTCCACTTTTTACTGACTCTATAGCCCGTTTGTTGGAAGTATTCGCCGTCGTTTCGGGGACGATATTGTGGACTTATTGGATAAAATGTGGGCTCATAACCCTCGGGACCGTCCCTCCATGACTGAGGTTTGCAAGGACTTGGAGAAGCTATGCGTGTCTAAAAGTGATTTTGCACCTCCTCCACTCGGGCGAAAGAGCCCCTAAGTACGCGGGGTCTTCGATGCTTAACGCCAGTGTGCCCTGCGTGGAGGTTTGCGGACATAAGCACATAAGCTCCCCGTGTTTAAGTCCGGTCAAGAAATATAAATAGAGGAAGTTGAAACTTTTGAAGTGATTCCCACGTACATAATCATGGCTTCGTCTGAACTTGCTAAGAGCTTCCTCCAGGTCGTTAAGAACCGCCGCACTATCTACGCTCTGTCGAAGAAGACCATTCTTCCTGACGCCCAGATTGTGCAGCTCATCCAGCAGGCTGTGCGTGAGGCCCCTTCGGCCTTCAACGTGCAGAGCAGCCGCATTGTGGTTCTGTTCGGTAACCAGCACGACAACTACTGGGGCGAGATCGTCCCGGCTGCTCTCCGTGCTGCCGCTGGTGAGAAGGCTGTTGCTGCCTCGAAGGACAAGCTCGCTGGCTTCAAGGCTGGCACTGGTACCATCCTCTTCTTCGAGGACCAGAACCTGATCAAGGGCCAGCAGGAGGCCTTCCCGCAGTACGCTGCTGGTTTCCCGGTGTGGTCGAACCACCACACTGGTATGGCCCAGGTGTACACCTGGAACCTGCTTGAGGCTGAGGGTTACGGTGCTAACCTCCAGCACTACGGCAACCTCACTGCTGACACTCTCAAGAAGGTGTACAACCTTCCTGAGTCGTACCTTCTCCACGCCGAGATGGTGTTCGGTTACCCCGAGCAGCCGGCTGGTGACAAGCCCTACCTGCCTGACGACGAGCGTGTCATCGTGGCCAAGTAAATTCACATTATAGCTTTTTTAATCCTTATACTTTTCGAACGTTTTTTTTTTGTGACAACATATTTATCATGTTCTGCAGTGAATTTGCATACTACGTCCTATATTCTGTCTTCACACGTTAGCTCTCCCGTTATTTCACTGCTATCCTGGTGTTGTGCTCCATGGTATCTATTTTTTCTATAAATACACCTCGATGGGGCGCTCACTCGCTTCGTTGGGTGGTCTACGTGGCATATTGGTCCGGGCGCGGTTCGCAGAATACAAGTTGCGTGATTGATATTAAATTCACCCTATGCCCTTTCTAGGTACTAAATGTAATAGGCGTCCAATCAATTTTGTTTGATTCAATTTCTGATCGATCGCTTGCGAGTTTCTATGCATGTAGGTCTGTTCGCATGCGTTCGGGCGACCACGTCACTGAATTTCTAGTTCCCGCCCGGATTTTACGACGGGAGTTATATCCGAGCCACATTTAGGTTAAAAGGCGCAACGTGCTGTATTTTGACAAACAACAACAATGGCTAGCACTACCGCGTCGAAGCAGTTCCTCCAGGTTATCCAGAACCGTCGCACGGTTTACGCTCTATCGAAGAAGGCTGTACTGCCCGATGCTGAGCTCATCAAGTACGTTCAAAGCCTTGTCAAGGAGGCCCCGTCGGCTTTCAACGTCATGAGCAGCCGTCTGGTTGTTCTCCTTGGCGCTGAGCACGACAAGTACTGGGGTGAGACTGTCCCGGCTGCTCTCCGTGCTGTCGCTGGTGAGGAGGCTGTTGCTGCCTCGAAGGACAAGCTCGCTGGCTTCAAGGCTGGCTACGGTACCATCCTCTTCTTCGAGGACGAGAAGCTGATCAAGGGTCAGCAGGAGGCCTTCCCTCAATACGCCGCTGGCTTCCCCGTGTGGTCGCAGCACGCTTCCGGTATGGGCCAGATTTACGTCTGGTCGGGTCTTGAGGCTGTCGGCTACGGTGTTAACCTGCAGCACTACGGCGGTCTCACCGGCGAGACCCTCAAGAAGCAGTACAACCTGCCGGCTTCTTACCTCATCCAGTCTGAGATGGTGTTCGGTTACCCCGAGCAGCCCGCTGGTGAGAAGGCCTACCACCCTGACCACGAGCGCGTGATTGCTTACGGTCACAGCGCTTAAATAGCACGTATTTATATTAAATCCTAGCCGAATTCCTATGAACAATAATATAATTGGATTCTGAGGGTATTGTAGTAATGTCTTAAGTGAACCTTGAAGCATAGAAGATACATATTGACATAGTAAGCAGAACTTCATTGACTTCTACGTTTATTTATTATGATAATCTCAATGGACAGCGATAAAAATATACAGGGCTGCCTATTGATCCCTTTAGAACTGTGAATCTTTCCCGTGCAGGGGAAGATCTTGAGATGCTTCTTCGATTGTTGATAGTGGTAGAGGTGCACTGGTGGGTTGGCATTTAGTGATTATATTGTCTTGGACACGAGGCGATAGCGGTTTTCGCGGCACATTGACATACAGATGATCGTCTTCGAATCGAGCGCGTATCAACGATAAGTCCGCATCTATGCCAAACGTAATTCGCCTCTCAAACCGTTCTGTTTTATCAGAGTCCCAGCGGTTAGCCAGGACATGAAGAGTACGCCGTCCTGTACCCTTTAATGTCAATGTGATAGCATCACTGTCAAATCCTGGCATATGGATTATCACTTGATGATCTGTTGCCGATGTAGAAACTGTAATCCGTTTATCCGGCGTAGATATAACTCTATCCTGGTCATTAGCGTGATCAGTCCCTTGCGATGCATCAATAGAAAGATCGTCCAAATACTCTCCCAGAGAAGTCACCGCGTTGTCACTCCATGGCTTGTCATGTGACATGCAAGATGGCATACTATCCGCCTTTTTCTGCCGATAGTCTGCACTTATTTGGACATCCGCATGAATGATATCACTCTTAGAACGGGTAGTATTTCTTCCTGGCGCCTGTGGTGAGAGAAACAAGGCACGATGTGGTCGCCTCTCTTCCGTAGAGTCCATCGTGTTTCGTCTTCTGCTGGTAGGCCAATTGGCGCGCTCGTTCTCTTGATCTGTACTCAATGGACTGACAAGCGTCTCTTCCACCTCTCCCGACTGAGCGACTTTGAATGACGAACTCGTTGTGATAGGCGTTAACCTTGCGCGACTTGGTGATTCTGAGAGGTCTTCTTCTGTGGCCAATATTTTCAAAGCACTGGTTGATCTTTCCAAAGCGGAAGAGGATGGTCGTCGTATAATGAAGTCTGCTCGGCTTCCAATTTTAAGAAGGTCTACTTCCTCATCTTCATTTGAAATCGCAGAGTCACCAGCAAATGCCAAAGGAGAGCCTAGAAAGATTTCTTTTGCTCCCCCTTCGTTCAAAGTCGGAGATTGCACAGACAGGAAGCTACGCCAACTTTCAGATTGAGAACCTTGGCGCTTATTTGATATCATATTGTCACCTTCACCATGAAGTTTATTGACCGCCTCTGAGAGGCTCTCTTCATTCCCTGGTATACCCCACTCATTTATATTCTGTTCTTCCAGTAATATAGGTTTGCACTGGAAGTTGAGTGAGACATTTATTGGCTTAGGTACATTGCGTTCCATTGAACCGATGCGGATAGGTCTAGTGACTGCCTTCGTGGACAATGCTGTCGTACTTGGATGTAAAGCCGCCGGAGATTTGCCCAATGGCTCAGTGCTGGTTTTTCTCTCAAAACAATATAGGGGATGGAGGACAGGTGGATGGACTTGAGCGGCCATTGGGCTGATTTTCTCCACACGCCATATAATTTTGCTGCAGCACATGCCTCACTTGGGCGTACTCCGGCATGGAGGATCAACAAGTTGCTAGGTCAAACGAATACACTAATTGGAAGCATAAATTAAATATCTACTATACAGGCTTTACGATACACTATCCCTACAAGTTCCTGGATGTACCGGATACTGCAGGGAACGCCGTTGGAAGTGGTCCTGTGGCCGGTGCTAGTGTGTAGTTTGGATGCATATGGACCAATGAAGTGTAATAATGTTGCATCACAGGTGCAGTGACCTACAGGCCATGTTAGAATGACAACACGTCAGGACATACCATCAAACGCCAATCAATAACATTGAGGAACTCTTTTTCCAGTAGGTTCATTTCTACCAGTGAAATTCCCCCTACTCTTGCGTAATGTGCTGTTGGGTTAGTCCTCCTCTTTATAGACGTCACATACTGTTGGTGCTGAAAGAATCGCACAAAGCCTTAGTTGCACAAACAATGGCTGCACAAACGAACCGGTGTACCGTAAGACTGCAAATAGTGAATCCACTCATACGTTCGCACACGCGGTCGATGTATATTAACACGATCAACATACAAGGCTTGTCCAGCGTCGTGTATTTGACCATGCGGCGCAAATATGCACCAATACTTATTCCTGGTGCTGCCCGAGAGTGAAATCGCGTCAAGTCAGAGGGATGGAGAGGTATGGTATCATTGTGCGCCATAAGTTGTGAGAGCATATCTCCTTATCAAGTCAGCTTTCCAATGCATTACCACATACCAACAAGATTAAACAAATCCTCCGGATCGGCATCGAAGAAATGGCCTGGCAATTGGCGTTGTTGATTTGGTGATGGCTTGGTTGTCATAGACTGGGGTGAGGACATGTGCCCATCACTGCTCGTATAGTCTGAAGTCCGAAAACCACCAGATGATGATCGCTCGCTAGAATTATAAGACCCAGATCCCTCACTTGAGAACTGAAGCATAACGGCAGAGGGAGACCATTTCTGAATCCCCGTACCTTCAGCCCCTGGCTGAGATGGGTTTGTTTGTTTCGGCTGTTGGACGCTTGGGCTTGCTCTCATGATGAGCAAAACACTTTCACGCTTTTAAAAAATTCACTCTCAAAGTTTACCACCAGCCATCCGTATATCGAAAAGATCCACAGCGCCTTTGGATCCCTCCCTCTTGGCTCTAAAAGTCTGGCGGTGTCCACTTCGCGAGGGCTGGCAGCAGAAACGTTGCTTACCGTACACGCGAAAGTCCACGTTCGTTCCTTGCACGGTCCCGACAAGCGAATTGTCACGTGCGTACAGGCAACGTGCACAGGGTCGAGGCACTGTACGCTTTACCATGGACGACGCCATGGAGTCAGCTGACCATGTTGGGTTGTTAGAGAAGAAGCTGTCACGACTTCAGCACGAGAACGACAGGATGCGCGAGGATTTGAGCCGCAATGTCCTTTCTTCATCTGAAGCCAGCCAACACCTAATTCAGTACTGCCAAGAGCATGACGAGCCCTTATTGGGGCCTCCGCATCATACCAAGGTCGAGCAGGCGGAAATCGCGGCTACCAAGTGCTGTGCAGTTATGTAAAACTACATCATGTCAATGAAACCATCCTTTGTTTGTTAGAGGCATCAGCCCATTAATTTGCTCAGGTCATCGGGTGGATACTGTGCGGTTAGTTACATTGTCAGGCTCGTTAACGACGTACATGTGACTGTGCAAAGGTCATAAGGCGCTTTAAGCTTTGGATATATTTGCGACTCACTTCGTCGTTCAAAACTGCTTGTTAATGCCAATCCATGTATACGCACCATGTGCCACTCGAGACGTATACAATTTCTCGTCGGCTGATCTCTCGTGAATGCTGATTCAGGTTAGCTGCTTTCCCTCCTCACGTACCCTGCCATGGTAATGCCGATAGGCCATGGAGCATTTCCAATGGACAATTGAAGATATGAGTCGTTTGCTTTGCGGTATTCCCGCAGTTGCATGTAATGAACAATTTCCGCAATACGTAAAAGCATATCCGGTTCTAACGCCCGTTTCCGCAACGATTTAAATAATGGTTTTAGATATTCAGCTGTTTGAGCTTGCATAGCAGTCACCTGCTGCCCCTGCGCGCTGTTTCGCACATTGTCTGGCCGTTTGGACAAAGCCTCTTCCCAGTCGGCCAACAAACCCTTGAGGGTGTAATAGATAATGGGGTATACACGTGGCGTATCTGTCCATATGAGCTTCAGATCCATCACACTATTCATGCCAATGCCTTCGCGTAAACGTGCTGGTGTTCTTGTTGAAACATTGCTGCTGTCAGACGCCTCCATGGTAGATTTGCCGTCGTGATCCGAAGGCTTTTCGGCTGATTCAGTCCCTGACATAGGTTCAAACGACTTCGCATCCTTCTTTAGTCTTTTCCTCGTCATATCATGCTCTTCAAGCAGCTCAAGCGCTCGAAGACGAAGGCGGCAGTCCTTGTCCGATTCACCAAAAATTCGGATCGGCTCGCCTTTCCGCCGCAATCGTTCCACGACTTCCATACGGCTAGGATGGAGTGTTTCTTTGGAAGAGTCCGATTCATCTTTGCCTTCTTCTTCATTTTTGGTACTATCCGTCTGAGGAGGGGTGGTTGGTGTGGGGTCATGCACCTATGGTCAGTGCACGCCTGCATTAGCGTACCTTTTTCTTCGTATTGACCTGCTGTTCTTTTTCTGAAAGGAGCCGTTCTACATCTCCTCTACGCATATATTTGACCTCTTTTCCTGCACTCTCAGCAGCCTTCCTTTTCTGGGCCGCGATCTGCGCCTTGAGCGCGTCCATACTGCGATGCTATGCAGGCATCGTGCGCGTAGCAGCTTGCCCACGTAGGAAAATCTCTTCGGCCGAAAACGACCGGGGTGGACACGCGGGCAGATCCGGCCGTGGTAGGTGCTGAAGTCTGGCTTGCACCTTTACCCTACTTTCCCTTACCATGACGGACCTTACGCTGAAGACTCCTGGCTTTGACTCGCGATTCCCTAACCAGGTATGTGTATGAAAAATGATATTTTCTAACTCTGCGCAGAACCAGACCCGTCACTGGTATGTTGCGGTTTGCCTGCCGCTTTGTGTCGTCCTGTACTAACACATGGCTTTTTTCAACGATGCTTTCGTTTTCATGTTATTCTATCAGCTGGCAAAGGTGTGTATGACATCTTCTGTGCAACTAATATCTAGCTATGTGGACTACTACCGGTGTGTGAACAGCAAGGGCGAGGACTTCGAGCCCTGCAAGCAGTTCTTCCAGACTTACCACTCTCTTTGCCCTAACGAGTGGGTACGTGTCGATTTACAGTGACTTACGATGTACAGATTGAGAAGTGGGACGAGCAGCGCGAGGGCGGTAACTTCCCGGCTAAGCTCGACGCTTAAGTATCTTTATTGATTTCAATAGCCATTAGCAATGTTGCAATTGCAAGGCACGTGAATCACCTCTCATGGTGTATACAGTAACAACTACGAGCGAGCCCAGACATATAGCGTATCTACCAGGTCTGTCAGTGACAGTCCATCGTCCTGCAGTCCAGGCACATTGGCCTGTGCTGAGGGGGCGCCCCATACGCGGGCAGGTTGGCCAGCAAGGCTTATCGCCTGCGCTTCCAAGCTCCACTTGTTGTGGTGGGCCTCTGATGTCTTGCGACTGAGAATGGCATTTACTACCACTCCCTTGTGTGCTGTCGGCATATTGAGACGTAGGCGCGACGTGCCATGCTCTTCTGCTCCTTCTAGCTTCAGTGTCACAGTGGGGCCCTCAGTGTTGGACTTGGCCGCGCGCCTTAACAGATCATTCCAAACGACTTGCTCACGCAGGATGTTCAACGCATGATACAGCTGCACCAAGCTTTGGAAGGGCAAGGACGAAATTATTCGTGCCTCCTCATCTTGTATCGATGCACAATAGTGACTGGAGGAGCCTAAAATGTGAGTGAGATAACCGGATGTGCTGGGGGAAGGTTTGGAGGACAAAGGCAAGTGGTGCTGGGCCAAGCCACAAGCACAATATACATCCCTAGCAATGCGATGAGGTACCATGATAGGTGGCTCCACTTCTGCAACGTATGCCAATGGCCGTGTGAGACCATTTCGCTGGCCAAACGCTGACAATGGCTGACGGGCATACATAGGTAGCTCAATCTTTGATGTGGGTATCCAGGACGTTTCCGCCGGCGATGCCAGAGGAACAGAACATGGTGCGACTTGGATCATAGCACGGTGGTTAGGGGTAAATGAAAGTGTAAGGAACGGAAGGGCATCGTGATGCCGTGCGACGCCAAGTCCCTCCTGCAGTAGGTATCGTTGTACCTCCGGATGATGAGGGCTAGAAGAAGAAAGGCCATACTTGGAGCACAGTGTCTGTGCTTCCAATGTACATACCTCTTCAGCTGTTTGGCCAAATTGTTCTAGCAACAGGAATGCGTCAATGACATGGCCATCGGACCCTGTCACTTCCAGGCGGTCAATACTGGCTAGGGCCGTCAGGCTCCGTAGAAATGCGCGCCATAGCTGCCCTGCTTGGGCGTACGTCGTCATCGAGGATTCTGAAGCACAGCGTCGTAATACATCATGATCAGCCTCATGTCCAAAGATCAAGTACAGAAGCTGCTGTAAGTATGATGCTATTAGCTCTGCTAGACGTTTGTCCTCTGGTATACGCGCTCCATCCGCAGACGCGTAGGAAACTTGCAACGACACGGTCGGCCTCCATGACATACTCTCATCCTTTTTCAGCCCAAACTCAAAGTCCAGCACAATGATTCTTCCACCGCTAGTAAATGTATACGTTTTTCCCATAGGATCTTGCCTCTCTGCATTTATTCGCTCATGGAAGCATTCTAACCGTAGCTCCGTGCACACCGGTGTCAATGCCTGACAAAGCGCTTCGAGTACTTGGACGGCATCGTCGTAGTTTTCGGGAGGCGTCTGATCTTGCGCTACAGCACCGACCCACAAAGCAGATGGAAGTGAGGTTGGAAGATTGCCTGCACAGATCGTCATGGTATGAACATCTCTCGACGCACGCGCCAGTTCTGTAGCTTGCGCTGATACCTCTTTCATCTGGCTCTCCATGACCTGTGCATCAGGTCGTTCTAGCGACTGACGGAGACTCGATGCTGCCTTGTTGATTGTCTCTAGCGCATCAATATATGTCTCTTGAGAAAACTGGTCCGATGGTGTCACATTTATTTCTGTAGGATACAAGCCCAAATGGGAAGCGCACGGCGCTGACAATGCATGGAGCTCCTCACCCACATGCCCCCGCCTAACCAAATCTTTTAGAGACTGGAGCTGATCTTGAATTTGGACAACGAGCGCAATGGCAGTAGGAGGCATACGCTCTGCCTCCGTAGAGGCCTGCATCAAGGGATCGCGGTGCTGGGAAAGCGCTGCTGCGCTGTTCAGATCTGCTCCACATGTACGTCGCCTGCCTTCCCTTCTGGCTCCACGTGATAGTTCATTGATGGTGGCTATGTAGGCGCTGTCTAATCTTCATCGTCAAATGGATTGTCGATATACTCGTCATCATCTGCTGCTGGTTCTGTGTCCTTGGTTGAAGGTGCCTCTTTCTTAACCTCTTTCTCATTGCTCTCTTTTGAAGGAGTTGACTTGTCCACGTCCGGTTTTTCGTTCGGCGTGGCTTCCGCTTTCTCATCCTTCTTGTTTTTGTCTTTCGTGACCTCTTCTTTGCCATTCTTTTCTTTACTCGGGGAAGAGCCCTTACTCACAGCCTGATCTTTGGTCTCTGCTGTGGTACTAGCCGATTTTCCAGCGTATCTTTGGCCCCACGAAGGTTTCGGTGTCTTGGCGGGAGGTCGAGGGGGAAGAATGGGCACAGGTTCACTGTCCTTTTCGCGCTCCTTCTGCGAAGGAATCCCACTTGGGGTACGTGGATTAACGAGCTTGTCAATATCTTCGTCAATAACGTGTGGGGGGTCATTGTCGTACATCGGACGGTGCATCTCAGTCCCCTGTTCCCAGCCTCCCGAAGAGGTCTGATATGTCATATCAGGACGGAAGAATGCCGTCGCGTTGAAACCACCACGCCCACGGTACTTCGAAATACGGTTCTGGATATCATGGTTCCGAAGCGCTGTCTCTGCCTTTTGACGCAGCGACGAGAATGTAGAGCCCATCTTGGCCAAGCCCACTTCCGTAAATCGATTAAAGTTCTCCTGCCATTGCCGAGCTTCTTCAGGTCCTGGCCAAGGATTAGTCGTATGATACTGGGGCTCTTGCATTTGCACATGGGTACTGGGGCGAGGATGCCGTACGCGCGGGTGGTAATGCAATTGTGTTGGGTCCCAATCGCCGTGCCGCATCTGGTCCTGATTCTGGTTCTGCAATAATGACGAAGGCGAAGTGTAATTGGCATAGTAGGGAGAGCTCTGTATAGTATCATAACGGGTGGCAGGAGTAGGGTTAGATTCAGGGTCCGAGATTTGTAAGAGCAAAGGAATGGCTGACTGTGAGATAGCTTTATACATACCTGCTTCCACATTGCCTTTCTTGGCACGCAAAATATCAGATATTGTTGCTTTGTGCAAGTCAGGGAACATCGAAATTAGCTGCTCCATATGTGGATCTGATTCTGAATCGTTGTCCTTTTCTTGCTCCTTGGGCATAGACGTGTGCGGGGCGACACTGGGTTCCTTCAAGCCTGTCTTCTCACCAGACGATGTATCTGTGCTAGTTTTGCCCTTTTCAGAATGTGTTTCCGATAGGGGATCAGCATCCTCCAACGCGTCTTTCAAGCCGTTAACATCCAGCTTTTCTGCGTCCTTTTCCTGCTCCTTCATTGCTCCTTTCGCTGTCATGATGGACGATGCGATATGGCACTGACCACTCGCCTGGGTCGCAACTTAGCCCTATCTTACATAAGCCCTGTCATTCCGACGTCCTGGTCAGGCTGTGCGACGCACGGGCTTTTGATCCTACGTATGTCGCTCCATGTAATCAGCAACATGGCAGCTGGCCAAAAGCTGGCTGCCGGGCTTCTGAATGACTACATATACCCCAGGTTGAATGAGTGGAACAAAGAGAACCCCTCTTTACTTGAACCTCAGTTTCATGAAACGAATGCTGCCTGTGGTGCTATGGAAATCGGCAGGTCATTGACGCACGACACCTTGCCAATAGTTGCGATTGTACTGGGTGGTGATGGAACTGTACATGAGCTACTTGAAGGTATGGTGCGGGAGAATGGCTTTATACCTGATGAGGTGCAAATTGTTCTGGTACCGACCGGAACGGCAAATGCTTTGTATCACTCTGTCTTTGGTCCTGGAAACGCAGAAGATGATCATGCATGGCGCTTCCGCTCGTTTGATGCCTTTATCAAAGGAGATACGACGAAATGCAAACCATTAACACTTATTCACGTCCAGCCTAATAATCATGTTGCATCTGTGGTTTCTTCTCATTCATTGCATGCCGCTATTCTTCGTGATTCTGAAGCTCTTCGATTGTCTCATCCTGGTATCGAACGGTTCAAAATGGCAGCTGAACTAAACATAACTAGCTGGTGTAATGCGTGTTTAACTTTGATCCCGCCTAAGGATGGCAAAGTGCTGTCCTACAATGCGAAAGAAGGAAAATTTTTGCCTACATCAAACCTTGACGAGGACTATGTCTCGCTCACGAATGGCCAATTTCAGGTATTTGGCAGCTTTGCCTATATGAATGCCATGGTTGTGGACCGCTTAGAGCCCACTTTTGTCCCAGCACCTTTTGCGGGCTTCTTCTGCGATGAATCTTTGCGTCGTCCACGGAATACTATTGATATCGTTGTCGTTCGTCCGCCGCGTAGTCCAAAGGTGTTTACGGAAATCCAAAATGGCAATGAAGAGACTAACATGCGCAAAGAGTATGCACAGGATGTCCTATCTACCCTCATTTTTGAGGGCATGTACTCTCATGGTGCTCATTTGAATTATACATACAAGCCGGATGGGCACGTTGAGTTACATGGTGACGGTCGCTATGTTGTGGAGTACTTCCGTGTGGGTGCATATGAATGGATCGCTGCTTCGGATGACGCACAAGCACGAACTCTATGTGTAGATGGGACTATTGAAGATGTGGACAAGGTCTCGGCTCATGCCAAAGAGAAAGAGAATATCTGTATTTGGAGCTAATCTTGTTTCCGAGCCACGATCAATCCACAACGTACCATTCCACTATCCCCCCCTTGGGCCCATGAATTCACTACGTGACCAAACGCACGTAGTGCCTTCCACTGCCACATACCTCCACCTCGCCAAGCTTTCTCTCCTTCCCCCCCAATATTTTGTAAGAATGAGCCAAAACCTGGGAATACAGAGTGTGATATATCTTGCATCGTAATACATAGAAACTTTTCTTTTCTCAGCAGCTCTTCGTAGTCAGCAAACGATATAAATGCTGTAGGATTTGTGCCTGAGAGGTAGCAAGTCACTCTTTGCTTCAGGGTACTCCACACGCTCGGGGCGTGTGAAGGTGGAGGGAGGCTCGACCGCTGAAAGAGAGCCTTCGTATCGTTGCTTGGGTAGGGCCATGCGCCTACCAAGTCCACTAGAGCTAACGTACCTCCCGGTGCGAGTCTTTTATAGGCATTTCGAAAAAATGTAGAACGATCCGTGAAATGGTATGCACAGTCCAGAGCCAGAATGACATCATACGTAGTCGAGGACGATGCCGAAGATGCTAACCATTCCACTGCATCTGCACACCAAACGGTGGCTCGATTTCCTACACGCTGCTGTGCACGATAAGCATGCAAAGGCATAGATGTAACTCCATGCAGTACACAGGGTTCACGTTCTAATAGCAGGAGGAGTGAGTCGCCACAGCCATGTCCTACGTCCAGAATTTTTGCTTGTGCGGGGATTCGGGCAGCTTCATGAAGTTGAACCGCTAATGCCCGACATGCTTCAGGAAATGTGTGTGCATCCTCCCAATATCCCATGTTTAGCCATTCTGTTGAAGGAGGAACAACATTGAGCGCTAAATGGGAGAGAGCCGAATACGATTCCTGGCTCATCGTGGCTCAATGCCAAGGGTTAGTACAAAAAATAGGAAGGCCCCATTCATATCTACATGCATACAACATATGACCCTTATCCATGCAGTCAAAGACTTTTTATGATTTACAGAATATCTCTAGCTCCATCAATATCCGCATCCATGGGGTACGATATCAGCCGGCGAAGTGCATGGGATATTGATGCTCCTGCCTTGTCGTCCAATGACCGCTGCCCCAAATTGATACCCAAGCTACCAATGTTATCCTTGCCGATAATATCTTCCACTTGCTGTTTGCTAACAGGACATTTCATGCTTACCGTGGGGTTCACATTAATAGGCACGGTGAAAGAAAACAGTTGCACGTCCAGATGAACTTGTAGGGCAATTTTTAGATCTTCATTCGTATTGAAGCAACGGTTTGCCACATTTTTAATGATGCTCAAGTTAGGATCCTTCGACAGGTCGTAATTAATCATGCAGGGGAGTTCCACAGTTGTGTTGTCATTTGCGAGAATCTTCTGGTTCACCTTGCTGCAAGATCCAATGGATGTTGTCCGTACGCTATCATCGTAGGCCAGTGCGGAAATGTTTTTTATGTCGGCAGACACCGAGTTCGGGTTGGACACCACCACTGAGATATTCGCATCGAACTGGAATGTGTTGCCATTAATAGACAAGTTCTCAGGTTGTGGGGAGATGTTATCGAGGCCAATGTTCGGGGGACGGAGAAAAATGAACAAAAGAATAAGAATGCAGATCGTCAAAAGAATGCCAAACACAATGATAAACAAGAAAATACGGACAATCTTCATCAACGTGGATTGGTTTTCAAACGCACGCAGGTCTTCCGGCTGCCAAATACCGCGACGATGAGGCAAACCTAACCGCGTATACATCGATCCACTATTCCGCGTGCTGTCACCTTGATCGAAAATAGCCGACTCGTCTACCACAGGTTCGTCATTATACTTGTCCGTGCCTGCCATCGAGACGCGCTGTTCAGGCGCATTGTGCATATATGCGTAACTAGACGAAGTACCCTGTGCATTTTCCGGAGGATCCAATAGTGGCACTGGCTGCTGGTGATGAGGCACGCTCATATAGGCACCGGACCCTGGTGTTGGGTAAGACTGCATCGTTATGGAGCGTTCAGAAAGTCTAACTAACCAACATGCCGCTGAAAAACACAGCCTCTTTCTAATCAGGGGCATATATGCAATTATCCCTCGCAGACCACCTGCTTATATCTGCGTATCCATCTATGTGCACGGGCTTAGCCCAGCTGTATTTAGCGGGACAAGTGGTAGTCGTCGATGCGCAGGAGCAAAGAGACTGTTTCTGTGGCGAGTTCCAGCGCGCTAGTAGATACAAGCAGGGGCTGAAGCACATTTTCCTCCAAAATATTGGTGATCGTGCCCTACATATGTTAGATGCTTTTCTCATATACACGACGTACCTTGCGAACATTAATACCCGCCGTTTTCTCGCCTAGCGCATGACGGTTGCGCAGCTCTGTAACGATGGAAATAGGGTTGAGACCGGCATTCTCAGCCAGCGTCGTTGGGATGACTTCCAGCGCCTCTGCATACGCCTCGAAACTGTAGGCCTCCAAGCTCGGGAGCGTTTGCGCACTTTGTGCCAGCATACGGGACATATGAACTTCTGGCGCACCACCACCAGCAATCAACGCACGCTTCTTGACCAAGCAGCGCACGACACAGAGTGCATCATGCAAACTACGCTCACTTTCTTCCAGGACCAGCGAGTTTGAGCCGGTGCACAATACACTTACCGTGCGGCCAGGGTTTTTGATCTTGGACACCTTGACCACACGCGCACCGCTGTGCTGTACCTCATCAATCAGTTCTGCACTTGCTAGCTTGTCCTCTGTAAACGCCTCAATGTCGGCAATCGGGCTGGTACCCAAGGCCTTGCAGATAAACTCAATTTCGTCGCGCTCAATGTCCTTGACGACCATGATCTTGAGTTTCGCCAAAAAGTGCAGAGCTAGATCATTCACGGCGTCACGCAGGATACTCTTCTGCATCAAGAGGACGTTGCATCCTGTCTTCTTGATCTTCTTGCACATATTCAGTAGGTATTGACGCTCTTCTTTCAAGATCTTGTCCATCTGGCGGTAGTCATTCACGACAATCTGGTTGTCCATGTCCGGCTTGGGGCTGCTCAGCTGGAACTGACACACTGCAATCTTTGCCTTCTCTACACGAGAAGGGCCACCGCTTGACGTCACAGCGTTCTGTTCGAGGACCAAACCATCGACCAGCTCTGTGTCGTCAATCGTTCCACCCACCTTCTTCACAATGCGGATGTCACGAAGATCCACCGAAGTGTTGTCCTCTTTCGCAGGGTCCACCAGGCGGAGCACACTGTCCACGGCAATCGGCGCCAGCACCGACGAGTACTGCGACACGACCTTGGAGCTCAGCGAGGTGGTCGCTGCGCGCAACAAGCTATCGCGATCCGTCAAGTCTACCGGCGTCGAGATCTCATTCAGAAACTCCACGGCCTTGACGGAGGCACGCTGGAAAGACTCTGCAATCACTGTTGGGTGAATACCCTTGGCCAGTAGCCTTTCTGCTGCGCCCAGGAGACTACCTGCAATCACAACGACCGAGGTTGTACCGTCACCAGCCTCGACATCTTGTGCCTGGGACAGGTCAACAAGCATACGTGCCGCCGGATGGACCACAGCCATATGCTTCAGGATTGTAGCGCCGTCGTTCGTGATGACGACTTCGCCGGAAGATGTCTGAATCATTTTGTCCATACCTTTGGGACCCAGTGAGGTGCGGATCGCATCACTCACCGCCTTTGCAGCGGAAAGATTGGAACGACGCACCTCGTCTGGCTTATCTGCATTCTTGAATGCACGGAAAGTCGAATTAGGCTGCGCAGGTGCAGCAGAGGCCGACATGGTGACTGTCTCTAAACTGCTTCGTCGTCGACGTCAGCAGCGACGCGCCCGCCAGCCACCGTTTTCCTTCCACGCGGTGCATATTTGTAAATATATTTATCTATGTGCCACGCGTCTAGTCCGAATCGATCTCAATCACGTCGGGGGCTGGACGACCCCAGAGTGTTTGTCCAGTGCCTTGGAACGCATGGGAGGAAGCTGTAGGTTCAGATTTTTCCGAATCCTTTTTCTGTGTTTGTGATACAGGTACATCCAGTTTTTGTACATCATAGCCGAAAAATAGCTGCCCAAAAGGCAAATTCAAGGCGGCCGGTACGCGCTTCTCCTCGAGTAGCGTGTCATTGGTGACGATGGCAGGTCGATCCGTTTTTCTAATCTGACTGCTTGGATCCAGCGGCGTGATGGGTTTCTCCTTCTTCCCCTTGGTCTTCTTCCCACTCAAGGTCTGACCAAACCCTTTGAAGGGCGCAGCCGCACCCTGCGTCGTGCTCGAAACGACACCGGCTGCGTTCGCTGACGCACTCGCTGATGTGCTACCCGCCGATCCACGAGCCGGAAGAATGAGATCATGCTTGTTCTGGTCAATATGCAGCTTGGAGGCCATCGTTGCAGGGGCCTGTCGTGGTGCAGGCGTGGGTTCCACATAGCCTACGGGCGGAGCAAAGTCGACTTCCAAATCCGTCTCGATAATGGATATGCCTTCGGCATCTGGCTGAACTTCCATAATGAGGATCTCAAACGTCAAGCAATTGTAGTTGATTTCAATGATGTCACCTCGCGTTAGGGTCGGATAATTACGCAAGGCTTGCTCTAGGCTTGAGGTTAGGCATGGGCTTTCATACGTACACCGCCTTCGGATCGCTGATTTCCAAAAAGTCCACCGTCTGTGGCTGCAGCTTCACAAATTTACCTTTCGGAAGTCGCGTTCCTTGAATGTGAATCGGATCGCCATCCTGTAGTTCCAGGGTACGCATCATCTGCATCATTAGCTAGCGTTCATCGACGTACCCAGCTTGGCAAGTACACTTTGCCTTCGTCCGCAATGAATTCAATCACACCAGCGTGTGTGCGATGCGTGTGCGATCTGCCTGTGCCACGCAGCACAAATGTCCATGGCGACTCCAACTCCAAGTCGGCTGCTGGTAAGCGTTTTTATGTTTCGACGTACTGATCGTAGCCAGAGCAGAGGGCGGCATGATAACTTCGCGTTAGTTTTAGCGAACGTACTTTTTCCACCGTAGCTCACGTCTTTTCGTTCGCGCGACGAAAAGCGGGACATGTGGTACGCTTTAAAGTAGTCTTCGTAGGCGTCGGGTGGCGCGGCAAATCGGCGATCAAAGCCGCCAAAGAGGCCGCCCATGCCACCCCATCTTGCTGGCCGGCTCAGGCCGTCCAAGCCACGGTCAAATTGTCCAAACTGTCGTGATCAGCAAGCGACGCACGTACCATCGACATGGCGGTAAAAGCAGCCACAGCGCACTGCGAGCGACGCACCGCGTCAGCGATGTGTCTATGTGGAGGCTGAGGGGCCTCCGCAGGCCTCTGGAGGGACGGACAGTTGGCACGGGCCTTGTCTTTCTCCCAGTGCCATGAGTGTCTCCAAATCGGTTTTGGCCAAGCTCTCCACGTTTTCGTCATGCGAAGTATGCTTTCTATGTGCTTACAGGATTAGGTAGCCGATGCGCTGATCAAACTCAAGCTGCCGCATGGTGGATTTCTGCCGGGCATTGACATGTACTCGCCTACGCACATGTCAGGTTCGACGTCGATCTGCGGTCCAGCCTTTACGGTGAAGGTATGTGGATGCACAGCTTAGATCTAGATGGTGTTGCAGAGCGATACAGAGGCGCCTAAGCCAGCCAAGCACTTTGTCGATGCGGCGGAGCCTGGCTCTGTGATGCTTGTCTCATCGCCCGCGACGACGCGCTCGGCCGTCTGGGGTGGTCTGATGACGGCGCGAGCCCAGAGCCTGGGTGTGCAGGGTGTTGTACTGGATGGACGATGCCGTGACTTGAGTGAGCACCGCGAGAGCAAGTTCCCTGTGTTTGCGCGAGGCCATTCGATTCTGGGCCAATCACCCTTCACTCGTCCCAGCGAGCTGCAGGTGCCGTTGGAGATTGCGGATCCAACGGTCGGCACAGATGCCGATGGCGAGCCCACGTTCCCGCCTGTGACAGTGTACCCTGGCGACATCCTCCTTGCCGATGTGGATGGCGTGGTGAGTGTGCCCAAGGACCTCGCTGAGCAAGTCGTTGCGTTGGCGACGGAAGGCCGTCGTGTTGATGGACTATGTATGGACGACTTGCGTGCGGGCAAAGGCATCAAGGAGACATTTGCATTGCACCGCGGAAAGTAGTTGTTTCGCATAGATATGTGGCTACATAGGCAGCGACGACGACGCCTTAGGAAATCAAGCGGCTCAGGCGCGCAAGACGTCCGCTATCTGTGTTGCTCGACGATGAGCCCCCTGGCGCGGCGGGAACCGCCGCCGACTTCGCTTGTGCACCGTTGGCCGGCGATGGGACTGACATGCCACCACGCAAACGTTGGGTGAGGGTACGCGTCGGCGTTGCCCGGGAAGACGACGCGGTGGGGCCTTGGCCTAGCGTCTCCAAAACGACACTGGCCCGCATTTGGCATACGTGCGAGAGCGGGTACGCCGCTTTGCCGGACCGGAACCGTCCTGCGTCCTGTGCCACGAGGGGCTTGCGTGAACGGACCAATTCGAGCTCATGCCGCGCCTTCGCTACGTCGCCCTGCGCAGCGTACAGACTTCCCAACTCGTAGTGAGCAAAGTACACAATGTAGCGATCCACGGCATCGAGATGCTCTGCGTGCTCGAACACTTTTTCGAACGAGTGCACAGCATCTTCGGCCACCTCAGCGAGGTTCAGTTTGTGTCCGGTCGGAGGACGAACCACCGAGAACTTTTCAGGGAAGGCGATGTAGCGGAGCGCGACGCCGCGCAGGAAGAATGCGAGGCAATACACGCTGAAAAAGTCGCTAGCGCCACCGGCAAACGAGGCAGGTGAGTCGTACTGCTCGAGCGCATCAATGATATGATCAATGCGGCTCAACTGCTCCGATACGAGCATGAATACGGGCGCCTGCGCCAGGCAGTGCCAGAGGTACGAAAACTCCATCGCAGGGAGGCCGTACATAGACAAGCGCGAGAAGGACGCAGCCTTCAACGTCACGAAGCGCTCGAACGGCAAGTGACGGCCTGCCATCTTTTTCACCAGCTTTGGGACGGTGCTTATGATCGCCTCCGCCTGACCACGCCGCATCGGCGACGACTCGTACAGCATGGCCGCTTTGGCGTACTGGTAAATGGCTTTTGACCAATTGGATTCTCGCGAGAGCACATCGTAGCACTCATACGCCTGGTCATAGTCACACGTAGTCAGATACGTCAGCGACAGTTTCCAGTAGCACAGGTGATGCAGCTGCTTGTACTCCCGCTGTGCCTCAATGGCTGTGCGGTAGCACTCAATGGCCTTTTCCGGGAGCGCCTGGGATGAGTACAGCATGGCCGAGAAGAACAAGTAGAACGTGCCCTGAGGGAACCGATGCAAGTTCCACGAGAGTACGCGATCGGCAAACGCCAAGTCCACATCGGGCACAGGCACATTCGCCGAGATGACCAGGTGGTAGATCAAAATGGCCAAATCGCACAAGGGGCGACGCACACCTTCCTGCGAGGCCGACAACGCCGGCTCACGACGCTGGCGCGACCATCCACCAGCACGCTCAAAGAGCTCCATGGCTTTGCGGCGATCGCCGACGAACCCAACACCTTCCATAAACTTGAGCATTCGTGGCTCCAGAAGCGAGAGGACTAGCATGCAGCTGCCCATGCCAAAGTACACACCCGAACGCAGGTCCTCATCAATGGTCCGCGACGACGGCTGGCCACTTCGATTCGCCTTCTCCGCAGCATGATCCGCGCTCTCGACCATCTTCAGGAGATCACGCAGCACAATGTATGCTGTACGCAGCCCCATAGCCTCACGAACAAGCCCCACTGTGTCACCCGAGTAGAGGATACCGACAATCGCCTTGCACAACACAGACTCAGCATACACGAGCTCGGCATGTTGCTGCAGCAATGTCATGCTGGCCGTGTCGTTCTTTCCCGGCAGCAAATTGGACAGCTTGCGCTTTTTCTTGCGCAGCACACTGGCGATATCACGCGTGTGTTTGCAGCATTTCATGGCAATCTGCATATCCTCTGGATCAAACGTCATCAGACTCTTGACCGTGTTAATCACGCCCATACCTGCGGCACGATACAGGCGCGTCTGGGCACCTTGCATGCACATCTCTTCCGCACGCTGCATGTCCGAGTTGAGGAACAGCTGCATAGCTTCATGCGCCGCTTCAAGATCAGCCCGCAGCTCTGCTTCCGTTTGCTGGCACTCTGCAAGCGAGGCTTTGCCGTTCACATAGCTCGGCGCAATCACCGTATCCGGAATCGAGGCATCATGCTCGTCATCACTCAACATGGATTGCTCATCGTCGTCCAAGTCGAAGTCTTCTGCATAGTCGTGCTCCACGGCATGCCGCTCTTCCTCCACTTCACCCCAGTCCTCGTCATCGTCGTCCAGGAACTCATCGGCTGACTCAAACTGCGTGTCTGCTGATTCCCTTCGCGATGAAAGGCCCAACATGGCGGCACCGCCGGCGACTGCCGAGGACACACCGGCTGCGACACCGGCCGCGATACCCCCCTCGTGCGAAGCATCATGCTCTTCAGCGTCGTGATTGATGTCGTCGTGATTGATGTCGTCGTGGCTGATGTCGTCGTGGCTAATGTCGTCATGCGTAACATCATCATGTGTAAGCTCATCATGAGAAAGGTCCTCATGTGCGAGGTCCTCATGTTCCAACTCGTCGTGCGTGAAGTCATCATGCTCTTCCGGCTCATCATGGTGCTCAGCTGCCCTTGGGATACTCACGCCACCTGCCGCCGCACCGGCTGCGGCGCTCGTTCGTTTCTTGCGGTGTTTACGGTGCCTAGGATGACCACGCCGACGATGCGGTTGCGTGGCATGATCTTCTGTTGGTGCCGAAGCAGACGCTGAGTCACCGTCAATTATCGGAGCCGGTTTTCGAGACCCCTTTCGGGCATTGCTTGCGGCGCCAGCGGCTACAGCCCCTGCTCCTGCCGCACCTGCTACAGCCTTACCTGACATCGAAGCCTTTTTCTTTGACGGCCGCGATGGGGGCGTGGCATTCTTGGCTTCGGCCGGCATACAGGCCGCAGGAGCCAACGCCGCAGGGCTCTTGGTACCACCCACCGACTCCTCCAGTGTATCCTCCCCGTGGTCGCGCAGCCATTGAATCAGCGCCGGTACATTGTGTCGGTCATTGACTGTCTGTTTCTCGACGGAGCCGTCCAATTGCGGGTAGGTCCATTCCACAGTGAAGTCGTTGCGTAGGACCTTTGTGCGTTGGTACACATTCACGGCTCGGACATAGGGCGCGAGCTGGTAATACTTGAGACGCAGTTGCTTGTGCAGCACTTTGCGGCGGTCGGCCGCCTCTTCACTGCCGTTGAGCCATTCCAGGGTTACCTCTTCGTACTGCTCCTGCAGGTCTTTATACTCGTCGAGAATTTGGTGTTTCGTCTCAACGTCCTGTAGCATTACGTTTTCGCCTGCTTGTGGCTCCGGATACGACCAATCCCAATCCAGCGTACCGCCCATACCCTTACGGAAGCGTGACTTGGGCACATATTCTTCCAACTCATGCGCCTTGTTGCTAAACTTAATTTTGGCTTGCACGTTGGGGTCCAGCAACGGTTGCAACGCTGCCCAGATACCCTTGAAGAGCCAGGGCGCGCCATGCACATACACGCGCTGCAAGGATTCAGGATAAAATGCTTCCAAGCACTTGACAATGAAGAGCACACACTGCCAGTCCATGTTTTTCAGTCCGAACCCTTCCATATCGAACACAATCACAACCTTCTCGATCGGTGATGTGCACAGCATACGGGCGTTCTCCATGGCCAGGACGACGAACTGCTGCAGAACTTCAATTTTTTGAGCGTTTGTGAAGTGGCGTGCGACGTGAATAAAGTAAATGGGCAGCTCGTTCTTGTCCGTGTTACCCTCAATGTAGGAAATACCACGACGGAACTGGTTCAAAAACCCAGGCACGTCTTTCAGGCCTTCTTCGCCCTTAAATAGCAGCTCTTCCACATTGACATCCAGCCGGAACTGAATAGCAGCGATGGCCATACCCAGTGCGCGATCCACATCAAAGTTTCGCGCACGCAGGAAACGCAGCAGCAATTGGTCTGGCGAGTCCATCTTGGTTGCATCCCACATGGCCTGGTGAAGGTATTTACCACCATACTTGTTGAGTGCCTCGTCAACAGACTTGAGTTCTTGCGCCTTCTTGGCATCGTCTTTGGGCTTTTTTGCATCTTCTTTGCTTGTGGTATTAGAGGCCAACTCATTGCCTGTTTGTGCTGCTTTGGGACCGCCTTGGCGTTCCAACTCTTCTGATCGTTCTACATTGGTCTCAAATACCGTGAACAGGCGTCTCCACAGCTCCTTCAACGACTTTTCCTGCTCAGGCTTGAGGTTTCCGCTGTATCCCTCTGGTACTTGCTCTCCAAGATCATTGGTGATCGCCGACATGGCCAAAGCACAGACACGTCAGCCTACAGGCGTTAAGAAAGCCGAGTCCCAGGCAGGCGGGGTTGTTTTCTTAGGGCCAATCGCTCGATGCTTTCTCGGATGTGGGGTCAACTTTGCATTCGGCCGACCTTTGCATGTGTGGGGTCCACTAAGCGTGTACACTTTTTTTTTATATCACATGCACAACTCCACGAATGGCCCAACGTATGAACATTTTTGCCGATACACAGCCCAATCCAGGCCACAAACACATGTCAAGAAATAACTTCCCAATTTTCTCGGCTATCTAGAAAGAAAAAGCCCCTACTCGCTGAGCCCCATGCGGGTGCGTCATGAAACAAGCAGCGATCCTTTTGCCGTCTACCATAGGACCACGTCCCTACGCTAAGATAGACACTTTTTCTAGGAATACAACACCCGAATCATCATTCGTCCGCATCCATGTCCATATCGGCCATAACGTCACCCCCAGAGTTAAGGCCATAGGAGTCCTCAGGGACGTGAGAATCCATATCACCTGAATCATCACCATCTTCAGCCAGTTCTTCATGCCGATGACGGCGATACTCGTCTGGTCGCATCATGGGCGACGTTTGCATCGATTCCGCACGGTGTCCACGCACGTTCAATTCACCTCCAGCCGGGGCAGATGTACCGTACTGCATTCGCGCCGGATCGTTGAACATGGCAGCATTGCGAGCCTTGGTAGCCATAAGCGTATCAAAGTTCACATGCTCACAACCGAGTAGACCAGACGAAGGCGGGCTTACAGCTGCCGGCCACAACGCCTTCTCTTCCGGCAGCGAACGGGCATTGGAGTCCATACCGACCAAGATAGCAGCTGCTTCTAACAGTTGTACTTGTTGATGCTTGCTCATAAGGAACTTGGATGCTTCTTTCCAGTACATGGTGTGCTCCCACCGGTGTTTGATCAAGCAGCTTGGGTGGCGATACACTTTTGAGCAGCTTTCACATTTGTGGATTGTCTGACCATGATGGCTTCCAGACATATCCTTAATGTCTGCATCCTCTGTCACAGACGAGGATGTAGGCGATGCCGCCGAAGGAAGAACAAGGGGTGGTGGAGGCGTATCGCCGGATCCTGTTCTTGTATGTTGATGAGGGGTGTAGCTAAAGCCATACTGGCGAGCAGCGTTCTCCATTGCACCTGCAGACTGAGAAGGCATAGTATGGCTCATACGCATGTGAGGGCTCATTTTTTGTTTCACCTCTGTGTCCATAGCATGCTCCTCCTCCATACTCCGTTTAGCGCCGGCCATCATAGCATGTGACGCAGAGAGCGCCTCGCCGGCCGCACCAAAACTAGTCGAGTAGGTACCTGTCATAACAGGTGAACGGGCAGAAGTGTAGTGCACACCACGTCCTTCTCCAGCAGGACGACCGTTATTTAAGACCAGACGGCCAGTATCTGACCCTTTGGGTAAAAATGCAGGGGAGGTCCGAGAGGCCCGCATATTAAGCGGTGAAGCCCCTCTGTAAGGGTATGTACATGTCTGAAACAGGTGTTAGTATTTAATGGGCTTAACCTGCGTCATACATACCGCCGTTGCGCTGCCATTCTCTGCACGCAGGGAGCTAGCTGAATAAGTAGTCATCGGAATCAAGCAGTCGCCTTCAGCGGAACGCTGCCTGGCAAAATAGATGTGTATACGACAGGCAAAGTCTTCTAGCCTTGCAAGTAATAGGGATCCCTCAGACAGTTCCAGGGACTAGGTGACTAGTGCTGAGGACAAAGGATGCGACAGAGCTAAGAAAGGGTATGTCGGCAGAAAAATATTTTATCCGACACAATCAACTAGTGTGGTACACAATTTTTTCTTGCCACAACCTTCTGTATCTCTTTCTTTCCGCCACTGGGGTTCTTCGTGACTGACAGGCCCTGGGCTTGTTTGAAACTGCAATTCTTTGGTAAAAATATTCTTATTCTATAACCGCAGCCAAGCCTCCATTTCCGCCTCCCGCGATCCTACTTTCTTATTGGCCCAAGGTACCTCCGCTATCGGAATTTAACTACTTCTGTGCCCCTATTCGATGAAAAAATCCAAAAACTGCGGCACCCTCGATACAGCTCAACGTGCTCAACTCGTGGGCAAGTCGACGTGTGTTCCTGCACCTGAAGTGGGTGCGTGCAGAAAAGAATCAACTTAAATTTTTTTGTACCAATATCACCAGACCACCCTAGCGTGTTGCTATACATTCCAATCACATGCCTCTACGACTATATTCATCAGCGCCGTGAGAGCCTCACTGTCCTGTGCTGTGAAGCCTTCTGTAGCTTCGCAGTCGATGTCTAGGACGCCTATGATTACCCGATCACCATCGCCGCGACCACTCCAGGCGCGCACCAGCTCATCAGGGCCATGTCCTTGCATGGCAGCTTGGTGCGCTTCGGAGAGAGCACTCCGCGGAACCACAAGAGGGACCACAATTTCAGACTGAGAGAGCGAATCGCAGGCAATATGATTTGCTGTACCAGCGTCAGTTTTGGTTGTTTTAGATACACGTACGATAATCGTCTGTGCGTGGAACGCATAGAGGAGCCGGAGGTAGCACGGCACTTCCATCAGCACATACGCCCGCACCTGGTACAGAGGGAATGGCTTGGCAGGCAGGCATACCGCAGAAAGGGCCCAACTGCAGCATCGGTTTCTCGGCTGGCGTGAGGGTGCCGGGGAAGAGGGGGGCTAGCAAATAAAAGCCAGCCCAGTTCACGCGCTTTTCTTTCCATGCATCGAAGTGATTCATAGCATTGTATAGGATAGCACTCACATTGGCCAGGTTTGTTACCCAATTTTGCTGGCCATCTAGGATGCCCTGGACTTGCAGGCTCACATGTTCGTAAAACGCCGCTTTGGAATCGACCGACATAGGCACACCCGCCGCATCAGCACTGTAGCTGCATTAGTATCTTATTCAGGCAGATATACGCACTGTACCATGGTAGTGGATACAACGTCGACGTGTAGCTACCTCGGCGTGCAGGTCGTGACACTGATGTGTACGCATGGAGGCACGGGCGCCGTCCATGACGCATGGAGGCGTGCACTTACCTGATGACGTTATCCACGCTACAATGACGCGAGCGGCGCAGATCGGTACGTATGTGGAGGCAGAACACGACGTTGCCCTGCGCGGACGGCGTCTGCCTGTCTCCCACACGATGTGGTCTGTTCGAGTGGCGAGTCGTCCCTTGGCGCGTGCTGCACGTACGTTGCCGCGTACACAAGTGTCATGGACGCGCATGATAGCCTCTCGTACGGCCTCCTTGCCACTGGAAGCAATGCCGGTGCCATGTGTCGACCAACACGAGCTACGTGAGCGTCGTGTGAAGGCAGACTTCCAACGTTTGGAGTCGGGCGAGATGGACGAAGAAAAAGAGATTCTGGGCCCGGAGCCCTCGTATACCAAAGTTGTATCTGGCTATGAACTGTTTACATACGAAAACGACTTCCCACTGGACTATGGCAGTACGTTGCCTGGCTTCCAAATTGCGTACGAGACATGGGGCACATTGAATGAAGCACGCGATAATGTCATTTTGCTGCACACAGGTCTCTCCGCGAGCTCGCATGCGGCAAGTACACCGGAAAACACGGCCAAGGGATGGTGGGAAGATTTTATTGGGCCCGGCAAGGCGCTTGATACGAACAGGTTTTTTGTGATCTGCACCAATGTGCTGGGCTCGTGTTATGGCAGTACAGGCCCGTCTACACCGCACCCGTTGGACGAAACGGGGTCACCTTATGCGACGCGGTTCCCTGTTTTAAGCATCTTTGATATGATCCGTGCGCAGTTTCTTCTGCTTGACCATCTGGGCATTGATCAAGTCTATGCAAGCGTAGGCTCCAGTATGGGCGGCATGCAGAGTGTGGCCGCCTCGCATTTGTTCACAGACCGCGTACAGCGCGTGGTGAGTATCAGTGGGTGTGCTCGCAGTGCCCCCTCGGGTATTGCGCTACGCTATGCGCAGCGCAGCGTACTCATGTCAGACGAGAACTGGAATCGTGGCTTCTACTATGGGCCTGACAAGGCACCGCCCCACAAGGGTATGAAGCTCGCACGTCAGATCGCTACCATCACCTACCGATCGGGACCGGAGTGGGAGCAGCGCTTTGGCCGGCAGCGTCGGTCGTTGCTGCGCGATGGCGAGTCTGTTTCGCTTCGTGCGCCTGCCCTATGCCCTGATTTCTTGGTGGAGACGTACTTGGATCACCAAGGCGAGCAGTTCTGCTTGAAATACGATGCGAACTCGCTAATCTATATATCCAAGGCCATGGACCTGTTTGACATGACGGACGAGGCGCTCTCCGAGCTTGGTGAGACGCGGATGTTGGCTCATGGCGACGATGGTCACCTGCCTATTGAGCCGATGAAGCATGTGCGTCCTCGGACGCGGCCGCATATTACGACGATCAAGCATCCTGGTGCGCATGCATACGTCCCCGCCTTGGCGCGAGGTCTGAGTCGTGTGCAGGTGCCTGTCCTGATCATTGGCGTGCAAAGTGATATCCTGTTCCCTGTGGAGCAGCAGCGGGAGATGGCTGAGTGTATCCGCATGAACGGGAATCCCAACGTGATGTACTATGAAATTGACGCGCCGCATGGCCACGACAGTTTCCTAATCGACGTGGCCAACGTCGGCGGTGCTCTGAAGGGATTTTTGAACTAAGGCTGCATGTATATCTACAGAGACAGCTTGTTGCGAATATACGAGGCGAGCTCGGTCAGCGGCACTTCCGTGCCCTTATTGTCGCCCGTCTCCTCTTTGCCGTGCTGTTCCTTGACACGCACCGTACCCTGTGCCCACTCACCTGGCGCAAGGAGCACAGCAATGGGGATCTGTTCCTTGTCCACCACGGCAAACTGCGCCTGAAGCTTGGGCTTCTTCTTGTAGAGGAATTCAGCTTTAATACCAGCATCCCACAGCATCTTGCACACCTTCATCCGCTCCAGCAGCAGACCTTCACCCATGCTCATCACGTAGACTTGCACCTCCTTCTGGCGCACAGACGTCTTCTCACCACGAGCCTGTTCATCGCGGATGCGCTGCATGAGTATCGAGAACACACGCTCAACACCCACTGACACTCCCACACAGGGCACAGCATCAGGACGCTTCGAGCCGCTGAACATGCCGACCAAGTGGTCGTAGCGACCACCCGCCGCAATCGAGCCGACACCCACTGTGCTCTCATCCAGCTCACCGTCCGCCTTCTTCTTCTTCTGCACAGCCTGGCCCTCTGCAAAGCCTGGCGGCGCGCTCGCTGCCGTCACCGCCTCGTAGATCAGACCAGTGTAGTAGTCCAAACCACGCGCAAGGCTCAGATCAAACGAAATACGGTCCAAAATGCCGTACATCTCCAGGTACTCGAACAACAACGCCATGTCGTCCATACCCTCCACAGCGCGCGCATTCTGCGTCAGCGCGGTGTCCGCACGCAGCTTGTCGAGCAGCTCACGACCACCACGCAGCTGAACGTACGAGCCAATCTTGTCCGCCGAAGCCTCGTCCAAGCCCTTCTCTACAACCATTTCATGCTTGACTTCCTCCCACGGGCTCTTGTCGAGCTTGTCCACGGCACTGGAAATCGTGCGGATCTTGTCGTCTGGCACACCGCAGATCGCAAAGATCGCGTCCAGCAACTTGCGGTGGTTCAGCTTGATCGTAAAGTCCTTGATGTCCAACGCGTCCAGCGTCTCAGTGAGCACACACAGCACCTCCGCATCGGGCACCATAGGATCGTAGGTGCCTGCCACGTCGAAATCGCACTGGTAGAACTCACGGAAGCGGCCCTTAGTCATGGCTGGCTGGTCACGACGGTACACCTTGGCAATGTGGTAACGCTTGATGTTGCCGTACTCTGTCGGATTCATCGCGACAAAGCGCGCAAATGGCACCGTCAAGTCGTAACGCAGACTGCATAGCTCACCGCCCTGGTCCTGCAGGTCATAGATCAACTTGCTGTCCTCGCCGTACTTGCCCGCCAAAATCTCTTTCAGCTCAAAGACAGGTGTATCGATGGTCACAGCACCATGTGTTGTAAACACACGCTCGATCGTCGAGAACACATGCTTGCGCAACGCCATCGAGAGCGGATCCCAATCACGCGTGCCTTTTGGCGTCTTGAGCGTGATCTTGCCACCCTTCTTGCCCGTCACACTCAGCTCGCTCAGGCGCGAGCTCAGCGTCTGAAGCTGGGCCATCTCCGGCGCCAGCTGGTCGAGCGGCGCCTGTGCTTCGTTTAAAGCACGCACCTTCTCGAGCTGCGTACCAATCTCACTGCGGCATGCATTCACAGCCTCGCTCTTCTTCGACATGGTTCGTACACTATTCCAAAGGACCCGACTCGAAGTACGTAACACGCTGCGAGACCAGCCCCAAGGCATACAACGATGGGAACGAAAAAACGCCATTTCCACATTGTGTCGCCTCCATCTCTGCACGGCCGCCGCGTGAGCGCTTAGTCAGCGTGCGGCCGCACTTGCCCCTGTGGTGGGAGAGGCCGTTGGCCATCCAAGCGGGTCAGAGGTCTGTGCCCTTTGGCGTCTCCGCGATGAAGGATGCATCAACGATAGCAGCCTTTTACCGTGGGCGTGAAGAACCACTTCATATTGAGAAGGACCATATCGATCAGACCCTAGCGCGGTACTTGGATGCCATGGAGGCGCAAGTCCGCGACGCCCAAGCATCCACCGCCCAAGCACGAGCCCTCTCACGTACAGCTCCTCGGGACCCCACACGGATCCAGGAGCTCTCCGCCGCCGTACGATATGCCAAGCGACTTGCTAGTGCATCGCCTATGTCGTCTTCGGCCCATCTCTCCGAGCGTTTGCAGGCACTCAGTCACGCCGCTGAGAATCTTCAAAGTCTGGTGACCCAGTCGCCGTGCCATGTTTTGCCATCGGACGAGTTTTGGGACGATTACTTGTACGCAGATTTGCAAGAAAAACATGCACCTGTCCTAGATACCCCTGCACCAGCCCCCGAACAGACAGACGACAGTGCACCTGCGGACGACGAGACCAAGGTGTCAGTGCCATCGTCCACGCCAGAACCGGCATCTACATTGCGGCAGCGCCGCCTATCTACGTCAAAGAACGCCACTACCCCACCTGTTTTTACATCAGCCACAGACAAACGTGTCTCGGCGTTGCAATCCGACCGTTCTTTGCAAGATGCGCTCTCATCTGAGCTGCTGCGCATGGCGGGTGTGCTCAAGCAGAACACGGTGGCGTTTACAGAGGCGCTGGAACGTGATAGACAGCTGGTGGAAGAGACATCTGGTCGGCTGGATCAGAACTTGGGGCTCATGACACGCACACGCGGCCAACTCGGTGTATTTTCGAAAAAAGCGCGCAGTATGGGATGGTTCACACTCGGTAGTATCGCGAGTGTCCTTGTATGCTGGGTGGTAATGTTTATAGTGATCAAGTTGACATGAGATAGCTACGAACAACAGAGTACATCATAGCCTGGGCGTCTGTGCTTGTGCATTACCAGCGAGTCACTCGGAGGTCGCAGCAATGCACTCGACTTCCACGAGCACGTCGCGCGGAAGGCGAGCGACCTCGACAGCTGAGCGGGCCGGCTTGTACGGCGCAAACGCCTTTTCGTAGATGGCCTGCGATGTGAGTGCAAGAAAGTATACATACATTGACCTTCGTAAAGTCATTCATGTCCTTCAAGAACACCGTAGTCTTGAGGACCTTGCTGGGCTCAGAGCCGCTGGCTTTGACGACAGCAAACAGGTTGTCAAGCGCACGCTGGGCCTGAGCCTCAATACCGCCCTCAACACACTGCATGGTCTGCGGGTCAAAGGGAATGCAACCCGAGACGTATACAGTGCCGTTGTGGATCACGGCCTGCGAGTAAGGGCCAATAGCACTGGGTGCATTGGGCGTCGAGACTGTCTTGTAGGACCTGGCAATGTTAATACTCGGTTCCGCAAACGTTCGCGCGCTACGAAGCGCAGCGCGAGCAGCTGGCACCCACATCGTGATTCTGTTACAAGCCACCTGGGGACACGCGGGCCGTGCTTCGTGGCGGGCGTGCGCAGGGCGCGCAGGGTGACCCACCTGCGCAGGGCCTACTAGGTCAAGTGACCATCCTCCTCCACACGGGCGGCTCGGCACGTGAGCGGCGCGAACAAATTGCAAATGCACCAGACCCGGACCTACCCTAGCTGTCAAGGAAGATCGGGCTTCGGTCATCTAGCGTAGACAACAGCGTGTCTCAGCGCGACGGGGCTATATAGTAGGTCTGACAGGTAAGGGTACGTGCTCACTGTACGCCACTATCCCGCTCGCGCTAGTACCGCAGTACCTAAGTCTCACTACACACGAGAACGCGTTTCTTTTGTCGTGCTTGTGTAGCCAGATCAACCTCGTGGATTTGGCGCCCTCGCTCGCAACATACCCCTCATGTCTGAAGACGGCCGCTCGTCTTCAGGCTCACGTGTGGGCCATTATCCACTGAACCATACGCTTGTCGACGTGCCGTCAGGGGCACCGCGGCGGAGTGGCTCGAGCTCCGGCCGCTACTCGCGTCCAGGAAGTGCAGGCAGTGGGGGCAGTCAGACGTCCAAGCCTATGCCATTCACGCAGGCACGACCGTCGTCCAGTCGCCAAAGCATGGATGAGCCGCATGAACCCGTGTCCGAATCATCGTCGGGATTGCGGCATGCAATGCGGCAGGCGCGGCATATGTTCCCCTTTCGACGCACTCTGCCCAGTGACGAGTCCGATTCGGGACACAATTACGAGCGTACGTCACAACGCCATGCTTCTTCATCTAGCTCGCATACGGGTACAGTCTCGTATGCGTCAGAAACGCTAGAGTTACCGCCTCTTCAGCGGAACGATAGCAATACATCTCACCATTCACGTACCTCCAGCGGGGCATCAGGTCATACCACACCTTCTCGCACAGGCTCCCTTCAACGCAACATCCGACCGTATCCTGTGCAAGAGATACCTGAACCTGCCAATTCGTCGTCGGTCGAGGCTGTAGCGCCTGGACCGGCATCGACAGCCCCTACCACGATAACACCGTTCTCTATACCACCCCCGCCACCGCCACCGCCACCCTCCGAGGCTGTACCTGACAAGCGCACGCTGTTTTTGCGGGCGCGCACGAAAAGCATCGATCATATGCATCGCTTTCTTAATCTGCGCAACCTGGCAAAAGAAGGGAAAGAGAAAATGAAAGGGAAGAAGAAGAAGCAGGAAACGGCGGCCATGATACCTACCTCTGCGGCTCCCGATGCGAGTACTACTTCGATGGAGATTTCGCCACCTGTGCAGCGAGATCGTGCCGACTCTAATGCATCTTTAACCCTTCCTGCCATGAGCGCGCTGCAGGAAGAACGTGGCGTCGTAAGTCCCTCTGCAGATGAGAGTGTGACGGCCGACTTGGATCCTGTATCGAGCGCTGAGCCGCCACTAAGCAGTCAGATCTTGTCTAGTGGCACAGGCGTGCATGCATCACCAGGGCTGCACCCTACCGCTCCCTCTCCACTCACACTTCGCAATGGCCCAGGTACGAATGGAGGCGCACCGATGACGCCCTTGTCGATTTCGCCGGCAGGCTCGTTGGTTAGCGGTCTATCCACTTTGCCCATGACGTCCACTGATGTGTCTACACCACCTACGTCGTCTTCGGCACCGTTGGTCTTGGATGAAGCGGATACGAGTCTCTCCAAGCAGCTGCCTTCGGTACCTGCCTCCTTGTCTGTGTCGTCATCCTCGTCGTCTTCCCCGTCGCTCACATCCGCACCAGGGTCGCCCTCGACGTCGCCCCCTGTGCCTGCAACGGCGGAGACAGACGCGCCACCCAAAGGCGAGGCAGGTCCCTTCTTATCTCCTTCTACCTCTACGGCAGGCGTTGTCGCTGCGGCCTCACCGGCGCACAGTCCCATGAAGGCCGTGTCGTCTGCTTACTCCATTACCTCGGCGGACACGCAAAACTCTTTGACGTCTCTGGCTACGGCGAATGAAATGGTCTCCGACTCGTTGTCGGCAAGTCCAGAGCGTGTCCGCCGCCGACGTTCCCGCAGCCTGCAAGGCGATGTATCCGCGACCTCTGCTTGGTCATTACCACGTGGACCGAGCGTGGCAGAGGATGTGGCGCAAGAAGCGGATGAGGGTGAGACAGTAGTGCATGCCACGTCTGCCTCCGAGCCTGCAGCAACCGAGACGGATGGTTTCTCTGCCACAGCGGCCGATGGCAGACTAGAGACGCCCATGGATGGCTCGACACCTCTGCGGTCAACGCCCACACACGGTATGGCGTCGCAGATGGAGTCGATGGGCTTGCACTCTGATACCGTGGCTGTACTTATGCAGGACGATATGCTGATCGATCCTAATTGGGAAGCCTGGCATTCCAGTGCGCAGCCTACGCCGACGCTGGAACGAGGCGCGCAGGATCTGCTGGACAATCTAGGTCTAGACGACCTGGAGGTGGGGACACATACGCACAGTCCCGTCTTGCCATCGCCCGTGGAGGAGACGCATGGCGACGATGCAGGGATCGTGCATGGTGTCACGACTGATATGTCCGTGATGATTGTCCCGTCAGCCACCTCGCCCGCCTCCAAACACCTTCGAACGGATTCACCTCATCGTCAGCCCCTGTCGAATGACGGCATCTTCTCCGTAACCAGTGCGCCTCCCATGTCATCTCGTACCCCTCCCCCACCACCCTCGTTGACCGAGCATGGGAATCAGGAGGCTGTTATGCCTCTTTCGACGAGTGCATCCACGAGCCCGACCAAGACACAGGGTAGCGGTGGTCCGCGCACATCGTCCTTGCGTGGCACGCAACGCTCGCCTTCGCCCACGCCCAAGGGTCCGAAAGCCGCATTGTCTATGGTGCCTGGTCGCACACCATCACCCAAGCTGCCTGTGCCGATGGCCCACACCTGCTCGGCCCCAGCCGCTGAAAATTCTGGGCACACGGATGGCATCGAAATCACCTCGTTGGCAGATACTCGCACTCGGCCCATTAACCGAATCTTGGAACCTCTTAACATCCGGGCATTGGCCTCGACGACGACGTCCACGTCCTCGACGTTGACGAGTGATCTGGAGCCAGACAGTGCGCCTGCCACGTTGCCCACGCCATGGTCGATGCGGTTCCGCTCGAAAGGGACGGAGACGCAGGATCTCTCTTCTTCTACAACGTCAGGACCATGGGCGCTGTCGGCTGGGATTTCCCCAACACGCAGCTCGATGGACGACGAGACGCATTGGGCCCAGCCTCGACGTCCTTCGGAAGATGATCCATTACGGGCCCGGCCGCCTTTACGTACCTCCAAGTCCTCCGGCTTGTTGTCTGTGATGGCATCACAAGCGCATCGGATCAAAAAGAATGCACGTGAAGCATGGCCGCCTGGCGGCGTAGACGACCTGGAGGCTCCCGTGGCTACGAGTGTAGATGACGACGATGCATCTTGGCGCGGCCGATCAAAGCTTACGCGGTCCGATGGTACCGATCTCCCTGCTGCTTCTCCATCCAGCGCACATGAATTGTCTTCGACGACAAAAGAGCCGCCGAAGAGTGATACCCCTACGCGGATGTACCGATCTCGTCGGAACAAGAGTCAGCCAACGCTGCGCATTGTAGACGATCGCGAGTTCTTGGAAGCCCTCGAGCAAGTGCGTATGCAGCACAAGGAACGACTGGCCAATCGAGAACGAGCCAAATCGTCGCGCAAGGCCAGTATGCCGAATCTCCGACCCTCGCCTTCGTCTACGCGGCGTCCTCCTATGCCCAGCTCTCGTGGCAACAGCCAGCACAATATTACGACAGCCGACAATACCCCCCTTCGCTCTCGCGCTTCGTCCACAGGCAGTCGCGCTGAGCTGGAGCCATTGCGTTTGGCCAACGTTGCCACCCCTGACATTCATACGTCCACACCGGATGTATCCACGAGTTTCCTGGATCTCGACAGCGTTGGGTCCGAGTCGCCGACGTACGTCAGTGACGATGACAGCAGCGTGCCTATGCCTGGTGCAAGCCAGATGTTTAGCATTCTGTCACCTACCACATCATCCACCTTGCTCCCTGTGGACTCTACACACGGCGAGAACGTGGATCAGGTGGATGGTTCCGAGGGCCACTCGTTGTCGTCGGATCACTCTGAACCGATTGTCAATGAGCTGGGTATTGGACATACAACAGGCAACGCACCCAGTGCGCCTTTTACGAACGACGATGCATGGAAGAAAGAAGTCAAAGCATTGTTCTTGATTCGTGAGTTGGTGCAAACGGAGCGAAGTTATGCGGCCCATTTGGAGAGCCTGTTGATTGTAGTGCTCAAGTGGACGGGTACTACCTCCTCGACCAGGCTTACGACCAATGTTCTGATGCCAACGCATCCTTCCTCGTCGTCCCAATCGTCCGCCTCGTCCTTGTCCACGCCCCTTCGTGCTCAGACCAGCGCACCAGTACCGCCTCATCTTCTTACCCTACGAAAAATGCTCCCGCAACTTATATCTGTGAGCCGGACTTTGGTGTACAGTATTGAAGAAAGTCCGACAAGTGAGGGCGTTGCTCAGGCCTTCTTAAGCTTACGTCCTCGCTTAGAAGATGTGCATATGAGTTGGCATGCTGTGGTAGGCTCTACGCTGCGTGCTTTGCGTATCACTGAATCCTCCAAGAGTAAGTCGAAGGGCCGGTTAGGACGTGTGCCTGTAGCGCCTACCATGGTCGAACCGATGCGCCGACCTCCTCGCTCGGATCTGTCCTCGAGCGAATCTACGTTGGACTCCGAGCGACGCGATAAATCGCGTGCCGAGCCTGCACCCAAGGAACTCAGTGCTGTCGATGTGGCTATTATGCCAACGCAACGAATCCCCCGCTATGTGTTAATGTTACGTGACCTATTGTCACATACCAGCCCTGATACCGCGGCTTTCTCCGCGTTGGAAACGGCACTACAATCTGTGCAAGAACTGGGCCGTATGTGTGATCAGGCTTCTAGTCGTTCTCAGTAGGAAGCGTCCCGCTCCCCCTTGTCCCCTCCATTCCGTTGTAGTCGAACATAGAAGTCAATCACATTAGCTGCAGTGGAGGCTGGCATGCATTGCTCTCCCTCCCCTCCGGCCGACCTAATCACGTGACACACGAGGTAGCGGCCGCGCACCGTCTCTCTCCCGTCGTCCTCTAGCACTGGTGCTTCACGATGGCGGTACGTAGAGTGATCTCTTTGGGAAGAGGCTGACACTATTTCTAAGTCTGGCTACGGTATTAAGGGAGGTTGGTATCATGATAGTCAGGCGCACCACTAACATGCGCAGGCCCATCGCGCTGCTTTTCTTTCTGGCAGGATTTCCGCAAGTGCTACATTTCCTCGGACTCGCCGTCTGAGTGCTCGCTGCAGAAGGATGACTACCTTGAATGCTTGCACCATACGAAGGAGGTACGTATATACGTCTGTCCTGTGGCTTACCGACCAGCTTGAGCGCGCGCATGCGCTGCAGAGCCGCATGATTGAGGTCCAGCAAGAAGAGTCGAAGCAAGCGCGTGAAAAGGCTAAGGTCAATGGCCTGAGTGGTCTGCGTCTCGGCTTGATTAACATTGATGAGATGGAGTCGGACTCGAAGGACGAGCCTGCGAAGTCGGAGGACGGCCAGTCGGAGGACGGCCAATCGGAGGACGGCCAGTCGAAGGACGAGCCTGAAGAGGCTGCACCTGACGCTGAGCAGGAGTCGGAGGAGGCGCCTGCGTCGGAAGACTCGTCGGGCGACGACAAGGACGAGGCCAAGGAGGACGATGCGTAGACATCGCCTCCCATGTCTATCTTGATAGGGTAGTCTAGACATACCAACGATACTTGCACACCTGCCGCGTTGGTCAACCGTGCCGAGGCTGGGTCGCGGCTGGGTCGCCGGGCGTCTTTCTACGGACGCTTGTTGTGGCCTCCACTGCCTGCTGGTTACGTCTGTCTTCGTGATGCAGGGCGCCGAGTGGCCAGGTCTCGGTGCCCTTGCGCTGACAGGCCTCGCCATCGGTACGGCAACTACGTTGGCAGAGGCCTGTTATGCAAGGGATACACGTCCCACCCACGATGCACCGATTTACGATGCATCCTATCTCCATATCCCTATCTCTCGACAGCGGCGTCCCTTGACCTTCCAATGCCTACGCATCTATGTACCTACAACTTTAGCCTGCAGCGAGGCGCAGCCATATTCTCTGTTTGGATGGTCTTTTGATGGCGGCGGTGGTGCATGGACCATCGTCGTAGCAGGTGCGACTCCCTCACAACCACAGCGCATGGACGTGGGCCCTATGCCTGTCACACAACTAGGCTGGGCACTGCCACCACATTCAGTAGAGGACAAGCGTCTTGCTCCCTGCTCGCCTATCACGCTCTCTTTCTATGGCTACAAGCATGGCGTTCCACACTTGACAGTACAAGCACACACGGACCACCCATGGGCCAGGCACTGCCCTGTGTCCTGGGTCTTGTATACCCCGCCGAATGTGCTTGGAGAGCAGTTTTTCACTACGTTCCAGCATGGTCCTACTGCATCCTGGCCGCCTACGAGGCTCGAGCATCTCTTGTCTATGAATCCGGACCGTTGTCACGAATGGGTTTCTTCTGCACCCACCTGTCCTCGACCTGGCACAGGCCTCCGTCAAGCGCTTGTCTGTATGAATATGGCGATGTGGGTCACTACTGCGCCGCCTTCCTGTCCATACTGGCTGGACACGATCGTATCTGTCACGTCTTCCTTTACTGTCTGGCCTGTGCTATCCAAGTATGCTGCATATCTATCCACTTGGTCCATGACATTCCAAGCGTTGAAGATGCAGTGGTATGCCATGACACGGTGGCCAGTATACCTGGCCTCACGACGTGCTGTGTACTGTGCTGTCGCAGCCGGACGTATGCCGCCGATGGACCACGTACAAAGCCTCTCTTTCGAGACATGGCAGGGCCTTCTCTTTTGGATCGTGGATCGGCTCCTTGGCACTCTCGTAGCCTGGATCTTCGCCAGGCATATTTCTACCATTGTGACGTACGTGCAAACTTTCTTTGCGTATGCGCATGCAACCCACTTTCAAGCGCTCTTCTCATGGCTCGTGCATTGGCCCTTGGGCATTAAGCTCAATACGGAGTTGGCCTTGCTAGTGAGTGATGTGCTGGGAGGCATCGTCACTACCCATACGACCTACCTTCTCACGCCCCTATCTCGTATGCTTCCCGCGATACTCCAGCTGTGCATGCGTCTTGCCCCCTGGCTTGGCGTCTCTGTGATAACAGGTCTGTGGTGCGATCTATGGATAGTGATGCACAGCCAAGTGGTGGTCTTGCATGTGGTCCTCCGTGAAGTCTATGCCTTTTTCTGGTATGCTGCCGCCGAGCTTTTTGATATTTTCCGCGGGAAAAAGCGCAATCCGCTCCATGGATGGCGTTTGGATGATGCATATTACGACGTCGATCAGCTCTTCCTAGGCACCATGCTGTTCACAATGCTTGCATTCTTGTTCCCTACGGTTCTGTTGTTTTACGTTGCCTGTACACTGCCCTACGCACTTGTCCGCCTAGTTCATACGTGGGGCATGGTATGCATTCATGCTTTGCATGAACTGCCATCCTACATCGGATGGCTACGTGTGCCACGCGATGTAATTTTCGTCCCTTGCCGACCAGGGTACTACCGCCTGCAATCCACTGTCGTCGCGCCATTTCAAGGGTCCGGTCGTATCCATGCTACCTCTATAGAACTTTTCTCCGATGTGCCTGGCCTATTGTACGCTATTCTGGTCGGCCGTAAAACATATTAACATTGGCATGATGACTTGGTCTCCGATTCCGCTTGGGCGGATACATCGATGACTGTAACATTAGTTTCTCTTTCGCTACACATACTGTGATGAGGTCCTGCACCTTTGCCATCGCCCTGCGCATCGTCTACGCCCGGGAGCGCCTGCGCGATCTTCTTGAACAGAGGCATTACATTGTGGCCAGCTTTCGCAGACGTCTCCATGAACATGACGTTGTTGTATTCTTTGGCACGCTGCTCGCCTTCCTCTGTCGATACCTCCCTGACGAATTAGTACACATAGCACATACCTCTTATCGTTCAAATCCGTCTTGTTGCCAACCAATGCGATAATGACCTCATTGCCTCGCTCTGCGCGAACGTCTTCGACCCACTTGGACGTGGCTTTGAACGATTCTCGACTCGTGACATCGTACACCACGATGGCCACCGAAGAGTCACGAATGTACGATGGGATCAGCGAGCGGAATCGCTCTTGGCCAGCTGTATCCCAGAGCTGCAGGCGCACGGTGCGATCATCTAAGTACATGGTCTTGGACAAAAAGTCAATGCCGATGGTCGCCTGGTAGTTGCCATCGAACGTGTCGTACATGAACCGCGTAATCAGTGAGGTCTTTCCCACGGACTGCTCACCCAAGAAGACAAGCTTGAACTTGCGCATAGTGCTGCTATAGTCTGTAGTGCCGCTCGTCGTCGCCATGTCGACCTACTCGTAAAGCACAGGAAGAAGTGGAGCGGGAGATAGATGGATGCGCGCGTCGCGGTGCACCAGCGCTGTTCGTAACTGATACATATAGAGGCCTACTAGGCCCTGTCAAGACCCTGGCTTCAAGTGGAGCGCACGAGGCTCGAGCGCCTGTCAGGATGGGTCCACCATTGCCCGAACGACCCGAGCGGCCCGCCCTTGAGGCCAAGAAGGATGCAGAGGCGTCAGACGTCTTGCGACGGAGCCGCAGCTCGGAGAAGCTGTCTCGTATCGAGAAGTCCAAGAACGTGATCCAGTCGTCCGTCCATGCGCTGCTGGATATTTTTGTGTATACGCCCTTGTCGTATGTGTACGGCTTAATTCTCGCGCTCTTCTTCTCACGAACATCCCACCGTATATTGATCCGTGGGATGATACTGATGTCTCTCTACCTCATGTCGATTGGCCTGGCGTTAATAGCCTTCGGTGGGTTCTACCATGCATGGATCCCCAATGTATCGCTCACTAAAGATGTATGGCTCCGGTCTACAGGGTATGTTCGTACGCTCGCTGACAGTAGCTCTTCTCATGTAGGACGTGTATTCCTGGACGGTAGCGGGAAAGACTGGCCCGTGTGGCGTCGTGAGCCGCCTGTTGACTTTTTCGCTGTTGACCAGGCGTATGATGTGACACTCGAGCTTCGCATCCCAGTGAATCGACACAATCTGGAACTGGACAACTTTATGGCAGACGTATACCTGGAGACCACGGAGGGTACTGTTTTGTACGAGTCACATCGTCCTTTGTTGCTGATGCCTGAGCCGTCGTCTGTTCGCTGGCTTATGCGGCTACTGCGGACACTGGAGCCGAGTGGACGTCATGAGCCCATTGCCCCATCGCAAGTGGTGCATGTGCCTCTCTTTACGGAAATTGTGCCTCGTGCTTCCATGCCGTACGATGCGCCTATGCCCTTCGCGAAGGATGGGTACACAGCGACCTTTGCGAATGTGACACTCACAGCGAACGCTCATGTCCAAGCAGCGCGTCTACAGTTCCATGCGCGTTTGTCCGGTATCCCGTACGTATGCATTACAACTGACCCCAGATCTCTCATGTACTACCATCCGGTCCTCTCGTTGGGCGTTTTTGTGTGCCTCTTCTCTGCGGTGGAGTTCAGTGTGGCAGGCAGCATGTGGTTGGCCACGTCTATTTATTACTCCACCCGTACGTAAGTTGTAGAAGAGCCTTGGCTCGTCCCTCAATTCATCATGGCTGATGATTCGAGCCCTACGTCGTTCACGTCGGAGCTCGAAGCCGTGTGCCGCGTAGCGTCGCAGAGTCAAAAGCAGACAGAGGCACTTGAACGGTTACGCCGAGTCGCTCATGCAGCCGACGCGCTAGGCATTGTTAGTGACAATGATCGGCTTGATGAAATAAGTACGCCGTCGCTGCGCGTGTTCTTTATTGCGAGTCTTCAAGCACAGCTAGCATCCTCTGCTCCTGTAACTTCCACAGACGACCGCATGCGAGCACGCAAAGCGCAAGTCGAAGCATCGTGTGGCGCAGCGCGTTTGTTTTTCTCGGTGGCACGGCGTCATAAAGCCCTGCCGGCATCTGTCATGGCCCTGTTGCGCACGAGTGTGGAAGGTGAGTCACGTCCCATGGCTCCGGCAGAAAAGCGGCATTACAAAATTCAAACGTACAAACTGGAAAAGCAAGTCCAAACCCAACTCCAGGCAAGTCGCCAAGCACTTCGTGACAAGGCCAAAGTTACGACGACAGGGCCATCTGATGTATTTTACGATATGCTTGTATTGACTATGGACCAGGACGACGAAGAAGACGTGGTACCGGACGACATTGTATCAACGACGTTGGATGTCAAGATGCCATCGACGGTCCGTGCGTACCTCCTCCTATTGCTCGTTCTTCATGCCCTTCGCACCGCCAGCGTCTTGGAATCTGGCACGCAGGAACTCGAACTGCTGCAAGCAGCGCCGTCCATGCCCGATACCCATGATGCAGCAACGCATGGCGCCGCTGAGGAATGGCGTATTGACGCGCCTTCTCGTTGGTTTGCATCAACGGGGCCGCTTCTTAGTGAGCAGGGGAAGCCACTACGACCATTTGTTATCACGCCTGCCAGTGACAAACGTGCGCAACTGCAGTCTGAGGTATTCCGTCCTTCACACCGCCTGCCAACGATGAGTATTGACGAGTATCTCGCAGAAGAAGCGCGGCGTGGCAACATCATCGGCGCGTCGGATAAGAATGAGGCAACGCCGCGTGAAAAGCGGGCGGAGCAGGCTGAAATGGATGGCACGCAAGCCGCTGAGGAGGCGGAAGAAGAAGCGCGGCAGGAGGCGATTCGATGGGACACATTCAAGGAACAGCATCGTCGTGGCGAGGGAAATACTATGAACCGTGGCTAAAGAGTGGCTTCGCTGAGTGTCATGTACCTGTCCTTGTGTGTGTGCACCGTAGGCGATTTCAAGTTGGGTGGCTGCCAATCCTCGTCCTCCAGGCTAAGAAGCAGGACATGCAGAGGAGACACTTCAGCTTGGAACGCCGTGTACGGTACTTGTTCGCCATCCACACTAATGTAGCGACGACCTCTGTCCTTCTCAGGCTGTTGAGGCGTAATACGAAGCGCAGCCACTTTGAAATAGTGCATACCTTGATCGAAAATGTGATCACCTGATTCGCCATGCGTCGTCGCAAGAATTTTGCGCCAGGCTGGCATGCGCTGGTCCTGGATCAAGACATCCAGCAGATGGTCGTCAGGGCGTGCGTAGGGAAAGGCCATAAGAGTGCGTGCGACGTACGGCACCTTGCCGGCGTAAATGGAAGAATGCACGGCTTGTACGCGGCGCCACGTGGAGGAAGGCGTGGCTGGCTGGCTGGGGTCCAACGGGGTATCATCCAGCGGCAATGCATCGACCACAGAGCCGTATTGAAGTGCATGGACATCGGTATGAGGATCCAACACAGGGTAACCCTGCGAGGGATTCGTACTTGCGTGCACGCTACGCTCGTGCATTTCCGCACAGCTCGTGGTTCCATGCGGGCCCAGCACTACATCCATATGCACAGCACAAGGCTTGTTAATGAGCACACCAAGTAGGTACCCAATCGTGAATCGTGCATCGCCAATGAACCGCCATTTCTCTGTCCCGATATCAATATCGGCCATGATGCCAATGGCTTGCGACATGAAGGAATAGTACTGCACATACTCTGTTCCGTCGGCGGAGCGATGTCGGATTGTATAGGGCCAACGTGAGTCTGTGCCGAACGCTGAGGCAGCCTGCGTAATAGTCATCAGTTCATGTGCATGAGGCGATCCTTTGATGGCAGTTAGGCACGCGATCGCCGAGGCAAAGCCATGCTCTACACCATGCAAACTCAAGAAAAGACCGTTTCCGCTGCCAGCAGGCACAGGCACGATGGGCAGTTTCTGCATTACATCGCCAGCGTCACTGCGAGCCGCTAAGCCATTAACAACTTCATGGATAGTTCCATCGCCTCCCACGCACGCTAGCACATCGTACTGCGATACATCCATCGATAGGCTCTCTTTGTACGCATGCGCGCGAGCGGTTGTTTGTAGGACCGTGACATGGCATCCTGCAGCCTTCAACGTCGGCACCACGACCGAGTTAAGCACCTTTCTAGCATGTCCCCTCCCACTGGATGGGTTGCATAGCACAAGAATACGACGATAGGGCTGCATGCGTGGATAGGCAGCGTGCATGACCTCGTCTGCCCAAACGCTTGCATTTTCGCTGGCTTGAAAGGTGAAAGTATGTGCAGTAATAGTAGCAACAAATTTATCACGACGTCGATTTTTCCATTGCTCGCGACTGAATTCTTGCAAGGTACGACCTTTTTGAAGTTGCGACGGCGCTAACACAGAGAGGGTCAAGTGAGGCGCTTCCCAGGCCGCATTCAGTACAAGGTCCGTCGGCAAACGGATCCATACATGACCACGGCACTCAATCTCCAGCATATCATTCGCTAGTGTGAGTGTAGCGTCATGCTCCTGAAGTTTTGCTCGCAACGTGCGAGAGCATCCGTCAGACATGGCGCTGCAAGCGAAAAATCAAGGCCGTGGATGGGCAAGCAATCTCTTGGAGTGGAGGACGGCCCAATATAGAAAAAAGGTACCGACAAGGCTATTTATGTCCGACACGTGGAGATCCCACCCGCCTACTTACAGTTCATCGTGCGAGGAGGCTGTGGCCTTCGCACGCTCTTCTGCCGCTGAACTGGAAGCACGCTCAGCAGCCTTACCGATCTTCTCATTCATAAACGCCGAAAGAACGTTCACTTTGCGCGTGATATCGTCGACCTTCTCCAACGTAAGTGTCGTAAGACCGTCGGCGTTTTTCTTGAGGATCTTGTTCAGACGATCACTCTCACGCTTGACATAGTCGGGGCCGTCACGGTTCACACGGTCCATTACACGCATGTAGTACTCAGCAGCGGCGACCTTGCGAGCGGAGTTCACAGACTTGGTCAGGTCGTCAAAGTATTTCTTCGTCTCGCCGACGATGGCCTTCCGAGCACTCTCGCCAGCCGCGTAAAAGCGCGACGCAAAGCCGTCCAGCGCCGGCATACGGCCTGCGAAGCTCGAGAGCGTGCCATCTACGTTGCGGAAGGTGCCACACTTCTCATTGAGGAATGCGACAAAGTCCTCCAGCGTACGTTCCTTGAGGTACGGACGCGGCCACTTGTCGTCCGAGCCGGCAGGGAAGAACGAAATCGTAGGGTAGCTCTGAATCTGGAAGCGTTTCTTGATGTCTGCATTCTCTGGGTCATCTGCATTGATCTGGACGATCTTGCACGACGAGTCACGCTCAAACACCTTGGCGACCTCCTCGTACAGCGGCGCCAGCTTCTTGCAGTGACCACACCACGACGCATAAAAGTCGACCAACACATCGGCCGTAGGGTCCATGACTACCTTGTCAAAGTCCGCCGCCGTCACCTCGACCACAGCCGGCGGCTTGGGCGGCTCAACACGGCTACGCACATGGCTCTGCTCCGTAACAAACGCCGCGAGGCCTTCAAGCGTACGAGCGCCGCTGAACTCCACACCGTCTTCGGAGTGCGGCGGGTAGTAGAGAATCGTAGGGAAGCCGCGCAAGTTGATACGGTTCGAGAGCTCCCGGTTCGAATCGCCATCAACCTTGGCAATAACTACCTTGTTCTTCTTCGATGAAAACGCATCGGCCAGCTTCTCGTACTCAGGGCCGAGCTTCTTGCAGTGGCCACACCACGGCGCAAAGTACTCGACAAGCACACCAACATCCTTGCCGACGACCTCGTCAAACAACTTTGTATCCGTCAAGTCGACCACATTGGAGGCGTGAACCACAGCCGCTACAAGCAGCGCGACCAAACACCACAGCCACGTCGTACGCATGGTTGTTGACAGCTAGGGGCAGGAGGACCGTGCTCGGCCGATGACGTGGAGCGCGTCTCGACGACACGAGACGATCACCGATCCTTCTCCACGAGCATGCGGCCTTTTGTGCCGCGTAGCGTGGCAGGCACCAAGCGGCGGCACCCTGTCGGTGGATCGCCCGCTGCGCTACCTGTACCACAAACGCAGGCTGTGAGTACGACGACGAACGATACCAGGCCACTAGCCTCGACCTTGCTAAATGTGTGCTCGCCATGGGTCGCTCAGTGGTCCAATGAGGCGCCAGCATGGATGACCGACGGCCAGGCTGTGCATGTCGCGCGTCTGTTGGCATGGTGCAGCATCCAGTCGCTGCCTTGTACATCAGCCGCGGAGCTGTATGCTGCTCTGACACATCTGTTTCCGTTTCAGTGCATTCAGGTACGTACGCCACGACCATTGACACCGACATAGCCAGCGTCGACGCCGTTGCATATCCAATGTCAGCCGATCCCTGAACCCCATGTGGTCTTTATCGAGCATATTTCTGAGCAGCCAGCCAATGCGCTGAGTATTGCTACGTGGATTCAAGCGCTTGTTCGCCTAGCCGAGCCACAACATACCGCGTCTATTGCGGCCGTATACCCAGCCTCGGGGTTGGGCCAGTACGTATACCCCACATCGGGCATGCGTGACGCCTTTGTCGTCGTTGATCCAACGACGTCGGCCCTCTTGCTTAAGCACTGGGCATGGCATGGCGGCGCACGCCCTTGGACCGCTGCAACGTGGGCCACAATCGGCGTATCCGACCAGCTTCGATGCCTATCCCTTGCGCAGTTCGAGGCTCTATGTGACGAGTACACTACCTGGCAAAGGACACTGGTCCAACGCAACATTCTTGCGGCCAAAGCCAAGGCACAGGGGCAAGCTATACCTACTGAGGCTCCGGCCCCGTCCATGGATTACCCTCTAGGCACTATTGTAGCGTTTGTGCCCCAGGACGCTACATCGTCGGAGGCCAAAGCGCGTCTGGCTGCATTTGTGCCCAATGGCATTGATTATGTGGATATGACCCCCACCTCTACCATGGCGTATGCCCGCTGCTCGACTGCCGACGCTGCCACAAAACTTGTACAATATATCGGACCTTCTTCCTACATTCTTCAAACCAATGAACTCGCTACGTACTGGTCCCGCATTCCGCAGCGTGTCCGAAATGCGGCGCTGAAACGAAGCTTAAAAGATACCCGTATGGGTTGACATGGTGACCTTGGACGCTGGCTCAGACGTCATCAGTTCGCCGTCCGCATGCACAATGAACCTGTCGTGTGAGTTGTCATATTCATACGTACGTCTCAGGGTCCACCTGAATGGAAGGCAAAGCATCGTTCAGGGCCATATCCTTCTTGGTAATGTGACGGCAGCCCTGCACTGGCACAATGCGCTTGCCGATACCATACGTGCCCACTGTATTGTTAGCGCTGTTGTTCTTGTAGATCCACATACCCTTCTCAACGCTCGCCTGGCTGACGAACACGTAGCTGTTGTCCTGCGCCGCTTCTGGGGCACAACCAAATATCTTGCGCAGCACCACAGGCTGAATCGTGGGGATACTGCCATTGGGGTCACCGACATTGCCCAAACAAATGTGACCACCCTTGATAATCATATTGGGACGCGCACCAAAATGACGAGGGTGGTACAAAACCAAGTCAGCCAGTTTGCCCACAGCGATGGAGCCAACATGGTTAGCGATACCGTGCGTAATCGCAGGGTTGATGGTGTACTTCGCAATGTAGCGCTTGATACGCGCGTTGTCATTGGTCTCTGTGTCCTGAGGACCGTCCTTCGTGCGAAGAGGACCACGTTGTTTCTTCATTTTGTCGGCCGTCCTCCATGTACGCGAGACTACTTCACCGATACGACCCATAGCAAGAGAGTCGGAGCTCATCATGGAGATGGCGCCCATATCGTGCAGCACATCTTCCGCAGCGATTGTTTCCGCACGGATACGAGAGTCAGCAAAGGCCACATCCTCTGCGATATTTTTGCTAAGATGATGGCACACCATGAGCATGTCTAGGTGCTCATCCAGCGTGTTCTGTGCGTAGGGACGGGTTGGGTTGGTCGACGATGGCAGAATATGCGGCTCACCACACACACGAATAATATCAGGGGCATGACCTCCACCGGCACCTTCGGAATGGTAGGTATGGATCGCACGGCCGTTGATCGCTTCCAACGTACCTTCCACAGAGCACGTCTCATTCAGAGAGTCTGTGTGAATCGTGCATTGCACATCATACTCGTCACATACCGCCAAGCACGTATCGATGACGTCGCGCGTCGCACCCCAGTCCTCGTGGATCTTCAAGCCGGCACACCCCGCCTCGATTTGATCACGCAGAGGCTTAGGCCCTGAATCGTTGCCCTTGCCAGTCAAGAGGATATTAATTGGTATAGTGTCAGTCGAGCGAATCATATTACGAATGTGCCAAGGCCCTGGGGTGCAGGTAGTTGCACGCGATCCTGCCGCAGGGCCGGTGCCTCCACCAATGAGGGTCGTGATGCCAGATGCCAAGCCCTCTTCACACATTTGGAGTGAAATCATGTGCACATGCGAATCCAAAGCACCCGGTGTGATGATCATATGTTCACCAGCAATTACTTCTGTGCACGACCCAATCACCATACCTGGGGTGACCGAGGCCATGGTGTCTGGGTTCCCCGACTTACCGATGCCGGCGATCAGACCATCCTTGATACCGATATCGGCTTTGATGATACCCTGGTAATCAATGATCATGGCATTGGTAATCACAGTATCCAAAACATCTTCGGCAGGACGGCCGACCGATTGGCCCATACCATCACGAACCACCTTACCACCACCAAAGCAGCACTCGTCACCATACGCAGTATAGTCCTTCTCGATGACAGCCCACAATTCAGAGTCGGCTAGACGCACACGATCGCCGACTGTGGGACCATACATGGTATTGTACGCAGCGCGCGACAAACTGAAAGGTTTCGGCATATCGGTCGGAGCGGTCGATTCGCCCGATGCCTCCATACGGGCTTCACCATGCGAGCCCATCTCAACCAGTGTCACTTTCTTGGTGTCGCCCGGCTCGAAGCGAATAGCTGTGCCAGCAGCAACGTCAAGCTTGTATCCCTTTGGGCGCTCCACGGAGAAAACTAGCGACGGGTTGGCTTTGGTCAAGGGGTAATGAGAGCCGACCTGAATCGGACGATCACCCGTGTTGGTGATGTCAACAGAGATACGGTGGTGACCAGGGAAGAGAACGATAGCAGGCGCCTCTGGATCTACAATGGTCTCACCAGGCACCGGCCCTTCAGCCACCTGGATCTTGGGGAAGATATCCTCGGACGGCAATGCCAGGCCTGATGCATACAAGGCATGCTCCAAATTACCGTTGGGTGAACAGATTGGATCAATAACTGGGACCAAAAAGGTACCATCCGGGAACGTAGCCTCGACGTGCACCTCGTGGATCACCTGCGCAACACCTGGCTGCACATGTCGGAAACCAAGGATGGTCTTGCCGAACTGCATGAGCTTGGCAACTGTGTTGTCGCCATCCCTTGCTTTTTCATGCAAAACCGTAGCGATCAGCGCGATAGCTTCTGTTTCATTAAGCCTCTTGCCCCTAGCCAGTCGGCCTTGCGCCGCAAGCCCTACTTGGCGTAGGGCAAGTTTATCAAGTTCACGCGGAAGAAGGTGCATGGTCAAGATGCACATACGCTGCGCATCTAGGCGTATAGATAAGCCCACGTGACTTGCCTCCCCCCACCCACCATGCTCATCAAAGTCAAGACGCTGACAGGAAAAGGTACGCCACAGCATTGGCGCTAACAGCAGAAATTGAATTGGATGTCGAAGCATCTGATAAGGTACGTGAGACAGAATGCCAACCGAAGATTTTGCGTATCAAAGAGCGCGTAGAAGAAAAGGAAGGCATTCCTCCTGCACAGCAACGACTCATTTTTGGTGGCAAGCAGATGTACGTGAAGCAGTTATACACTAATGGCAGGGCCGATGACAAGACAGTGAAGGACTTTGGTATTGAAGGCGGCACGGTTTTGCATGTACGTATGCTAGCGTGACACTTACTTTAGCTTGTGCTGTCCCTTCGTGGCGGTCAATAGCTAATAGTATGCCCTATGACAAAACTACGATATTATGGAACGCGTTCGCCATGTAGAGGAGGCGTACTTGTATGTTCGGCCTGAATAGAAAAAGGATGGTGTGCGTCGTGACCCCGACCTTCGCCCATCGTCTACCTCCGCCTGCCCCGCGGGCGGGGCCTCCACTTTTCCACGATGTCTGAAACAACGTCTGTGCCTGCCCGCCGCCAATCCGCCAGGCTTTCACGCAAGCGTGAGTCAGAACCAGAGGTATCTCAGCCTGTGAAGCAGTCTCGTACAAGCGAGACAAAGAAGCAGGACAAGCCTGCTACCACTCCTACGGCTACGGCTTCGCCCAAAGCCCTGCGTGTCGGCGACGCGCTTCCTGATCTTACGCTGCTGGATCAGGATGAGAAGCCTGTCAAGGTAGCCGAGTTGCGTAAGGCTGTGATCTTCACGTATCCTAAAGTATGTTCATTTCTACTCACATGTAGGCAAATACGCCAGGGTGTACCAAGCAGGCTCAATGCTACCGCGATGCCACGGACGACTGGACCAAGATTGGCTATAAAGTGTTTGGCCTGTCGAACGATGCGCCGAAATCCCAACGCTCATGGGCTACTGTACGTACATACACTCTCTCACACCAGAAACTTGGCCTTTCCTATCAATTGCTTAGCGATCCGAAACGTGAGCTGATCGGTGCATTGACGGGTGGCACTGCGAAGACGGCGCGCAGCCACTTTGTGATCGGTGAGGACGGTACGCTGACGCTTTCCTCTGTGGGTGTCAAGCCAGTGGAGGTATGTATGGAAAAGGAGGACATCTTACTCGGCTATAGAGTTCGAGCGCGGCGCTAGCGTCTGTATCGTCGACGTAGATGACGGTGTCACAGAGGTCGACGGCCATCCAAGGCCTTGCGCAATTTTCAAGGAGAGGGCACGCTTAAAGAATTGTTCACGTGAAAGCATGCGAGTGTGCTGCGTAAGAAGGACAGGGACCTACCTTGATAAACCGATCGAGAGGCAGATGGTCCAAGTACAGGGCCCGCCCTAAGTGGTACATGGTATCTTCAATAGCCTGGTCCTCGGCCATAAGTTGTAGGAGTCTGTACAGTGAGTCGTGCACGTCAACATACTGGTTCTCAACGATGTTGGTTGATGAAAGGGCATGATCAATGTCAGGATCAGCTCGTGAATGGGATTCAGCCGTGTGCAGTTGGGCGGCCTGAAACGTGTCGGCCCACGTTGTCGCGTCAGCATGGCACAGCTCACGAACAGCACGCAACCGCATCATTTCATCTTCCATGGCCGGGTATCCACGCTGCAAGTCGTCTAAGAGCATATGCAGCTGTTTGTTGGACTCTGCAAGCGACGTCTGCAGAGATTCTACCTTGTTGCGAACGACTTGGTAGGCCTTGGCATGAACAAGGGCCAAGGCAGGGTTCATAGGCCGTGATGGTTGTGGCACAGCCTCTGTGGATAGACGTGGCTTGTCCATGGTGCTGGACAGGTGGGATACCGTGGGTTTGGGCGGTCGTTCCGGCAAGGGGGTCGAATCGGCTTTCGGTGGCGGTCGTGGCGCAGCCTCCGTCGCGAGGGAACTTGACAATGAGGCCGGATATGAAGGATCTGGATGTGGCTTGGGGGGTGTGGCATGTGGCTTGGCCATCACGGGTGGCTCGACACTGAAGACGGTTTGGCACTCGCGAAGAAGTTCAATGATGTTGCATCCCTTCGGGGTTAGTATAGTAGCACGTACCTCTGGTTTTTTCTCCCATTGCTTCATATAATCAATCGATACACGCCCATCCTGACTGACGTGGGGCCCGCGACGCACTACCATCGCAGGCGTCGGCACGACAAATATGAAAGGAGCCTCAGCAGGGTAGGCGCGTGGAAACCATATGTTCATCGGGTAATTATAGATGTAGCCACGGAAAGGAACTGGGACCGTTCCATCACAGAGTAACAGAAGAACCGTTCGGCCATCGTCGTAGGCTGGTGTTAGGTAGACACGCAACGTACTAAACACATCTGTGCGTGGCCGAAGTGACGGGTAGTCCTGCAAGATAGATCTTACATCGCGGATAATGCGTTCCTTATGACCATACTAGGCGTGTGAGTCTATAGTGCCACATACAGGTACAAGCACTTGATTTAGCCATCGATGAACCACATCGTTCATGGTGATGTCTTGGCAACCGACGGGTTCGCAATTCCAACCGTCTTGTTCGCCAAGACGCACTGTGGAGATGTGGAGGTTTGGGGCGTACAGGCAAAGCGCTACACAGATCTACGAAGACGAGGTGCGGCGTGGGGCTTTTTTGCGTTTGAGGGCATGGACCAGCAGATCCATTTGACCACGCACAATCCCCTTTTTCTGCCCTCGGTGGTTGATGAGGACTTTGGTCTTGCCAGGGGCACTATTTTTGTCAAAGACCACGACGGTGCCTGAGCGGCCAGCACGAGCTGACCGACCAGCACGATGAAGAAGTTCCAGTGCATTATTGTTCGCTGCGTGTACGGAACGAGCCGTATTGCGCCCTGCATCTGGCAAAAATACATGTCGGACGTAGGGGCCAAAGTCTAGACCACGCGAAAGCAGTGATGTAGTGATCAGAACACGCGGAGTGCTGTCAGTCGGCTGGTGTCGCTGGTGATGCTGTGAAAAGTAGGAAGAAGGGCCGGCAAGAAAGGGCTCAATGTCTTTTGATGTGCGCGTTTTCCGCTGGCCTGACTCGCCCGTCAGTGCGACATGATCAACATTGCGTTCAGATAGGTACTGACTGAGCCGCTCCACCCCCGTCCGCTTATCCCGGAAAATGAGGATTTGGTCGTCTCGCATATCAGGGGATGTAAAGATCCGGAACAGCTCTTTGAGGACGGCCATCTCTTTGTTGCTACCCGGGTCCACAAACTGGACCGAGAGCTTGGCAGGCAGTCGATGTAAGTGCGGCGACGCGAGGGTAACCAAGTCTGGGTATGCAGCGTCCAAGTACTTTCGCATCGACTGCGGGATGGTAGCCGTGACAAAGATAGTTTGAGTCTGTCGCGATGTAGGCATAGCTCGCAAAATGGATTCCGTTGCTTCGCGGAAGCCTTCGTCAAGTAGTGTATCAGCCTCGTCAACGACAATGGCCTGTGTATAATCGAGCTGGAGAAGACGTCCATAAAATTCGTTCAAGAACGAAGGCGTGGTCACAAGGACATCAGGCGATGTGGGCGCACCCTCGCACGGTGCGTCTGACTCTGCCATTTCGCGTAGTTTCTGCAAATCTTGGCGAAGATGCGAAGGATAGGCAGGCTTGGACGAGCATGCAATGCGCAGCTTGTGCGAGGCATCATGGCACAGGACCTTGGCCACATCGGAAATCTGACGGGCAAGCTCATGCGTCGGCGCAAGAATGACAGCCCGAGGGAGGATCCGCGCCTCATGACCTGCACGAACACGCGCCACATCGGCATGCTCGTTCTCAAGCCGCGACATGTGAAGCTGCTGAAGGATGGGCAACAGGTACGCAAGAGTTTTTCCACTGCCTGTTTCCGCTGCAATCAATGTGGATGACGACGTAGGTCGAGAGAAAAAATGCGAGAGAGCCATCGCCTGGGGCGTCGTCGGCTTGGCATGCGGGCCAAGGAGTTCCTGTACTTGATGCAATAAACCTGTTGACAAAGGCGGTGCCTTGAACGAATGAGCATGGACGGAGGAGGGGGTGTCAGGTGTAGCGAATTGCAACGCTGGTAATTCGCCTGGCCGACTGAACGTCTTGGATGGCGACGCTGGCGATGTGCGACGTGGCTTCCCTACATCCGGGCTTAAGCGGTGACGTAGCGGTGTGCGTGGATCGCGTGCTCGAGACCATACGGCAGCGCCTGTATGAAAAGAACGAGGCTGCGTGCGCCGTACCACGGGCGACGCGATGCGCGCCGTCGTCAACGCCTCGAAGAACATAGGTACGACGACGACATGTGGAGACAAGCGCTGCCACAGACCAAGCAAAAAAAAAAATGGAGGGCCGCCATCGCGCACGTGCTGCGTACAGACCTACGCTGTGTATGCTACCGTGGCGGTGGCTGACGCAGTGGGCCTTGGTCGTACTACCCGTGTGTATTTTATCGTACGGAAGTTCGTGGTACATTACCCATACAAAGCAATCGAGAAAGGTAATGTCAGTGGCGCCTACGGAGATCCAGGCGTACATGCCATGGGCCAAGGCCCAAGCGATGGCGCGCCTGTCCCAGCCTGTGAGCGCTACGCCGCCGCAGCCGCATGTCACGTTCATTATGGGCAACGAGGCGGGTGACTTGGACTCGGCAGCGTCGGCGATTGCCTTGAGCTATATATTGAATCACGACCAGTCGTACTTTGTGCATACGTACCGCGTGCCTGGTGGAGTGTATGTCCCGCTGATCCAGACTCCTCGCAACGCGCTGTATCAACGTCGTGAGAACTTGGCCGTGTACGAAGCGGTGGGGATCGCATTAGAAGACTTGTTGTGCATTGATGAGCTAGGCCCGCTATCGACGCGACGCTTGGGCTCTGCTGCGAATGTGTCTCTGGGCCTGGTCGATCATGCAAAGCTCAGTGAGGTATGGGGCGATCAACACGTCGTGGATGTCATCGTGGACCACCATGAGGACGAGGGTGCTCATATGGATGCGCCGCTCCGTATTATTTATGCGCCGACCGTGCATCCCGTCGGCTCCGCCGCCAGCATCGTGGCCATGCTTGCCGCCCAGGCGCAGGCGGAAACGGCGCAAGCGTTGCCCTCGGGGGTTGCTGACTTGTTGTTAAGTGCGATTGTTCTAGACACTCGCAATGTACGTACCATCACGCCACTGACCCACAGCTACGTATGCAGCCCGACGGCAAAGGCACGCCGATGGACGTGCGAGCATATGCTTCGCTTCTTCCTTCGTCGTCGTTTTACCAGGCGAACACCAGTGTGGAAGCAGTGGAAGCCGTGCATCCACCACCGAGCCTGACGCAGTCGACACAGGCCTGGAGCGATCAGCTGCGCCAAATCAAGAAAGATGTATCGCATTTGGATACCCATGGTCTGCTCACGCGGGACTTTAAGACAGCGCAAGTCCAGATCGGCCAGCGCTCCGTGCATGTGGGCCTCGCGTCCGTGCCTATATCGCTCTCTTCGTGGCTCTCTCAGTCGTACCGCTCGCTCTCGACCGAGTTCAGCGTGGACACGGCCAGAGCCGAGCATGAATGGGATGTATGGTGGACGTCTATGGCCTGGTTCATGCAGGAGAAGCATTTGGACATGGCTGTGGTCCTAGCGTCGTACAGTGAGGCGCAAGCGGATACACAGGAGCGCAAGAGTCGGCGTGATTTGGCCATTGCGTATCGAGACTATGATCATACGAGGGACAGTAGCGCTGATATGGCGCGGATTATCGCGGGTTTGGAGCAGTTCGGCACCGCGGTCGTAGCGCCGGATGGCATAGCGCTGGATCTACAAACATGGAAAGGTGAGCGCCGGATCCCGACGACCGGAAAGAAAGAACGTGTGCAGGGCCTTGATGCGGCGCATCGCGTTCGCGCTGTGCCAGGGGTATGGGGCGCTGTTTGGCGGCAGGGCAATACGCAGGCGAATCGCAAGATTGTCCAGCCTGCGCTGCTGCGTGTATTGCAATATGTGTTATAGCCACGTAGGCCGGTGTGCAGCGTCGAGTTGGACGCGCGATAGGTCGAACATCTCGATGAACTCTTCGTCGGCGATCTTGTCGCCGGCAAAGCGCGCATACTCTTCGAGAATGCTAATGTGACTCCATCCTTGCAAACGACGAACGCACCCAACAAGGCATCCCACACGGTACTTTCCCTTGTTGCAGTGTACAAGCACAGGCAGGTTGCGCACGTCCAAAAGATGCGCCAGAGCACTGGCGACTTCTGTTTCGTCCATCTCTGCAAACGGCTCCTTGTTCATCGCGACGCGGTGATGAAAGACCTGGATGCCTTCGCGCCGTGCCCACTGCACCATGTTATCGCGGTAGTCGTCGCTCGCCAAATACATAATGCTCTTCAAGTTCAAGCGTTTGAGGAAACTAAAGTTGCGTTCATTCGGATGACCACTGCGGTACACGCCCGGCGCGACCATATCAAAGTTCAACGGAGGGACAATCACTTCGGACGTCTTGGGCCGCCATAGGGTATGCCGGACCCCCGCCGATTCGGCATTGACAGCACGTACGTCCATCGTTGTTGTGTCGCCACCCTGGCCAAAGTGGTAGGAGCACGGGCCTTAGCGAGCCACGCCGCGTGCAGGCAGGTAGGCCCCCCCACGCCTGGCTCGGTCGGTGCGTGTCGCCTAGACGCCAACATCACGTGCCGCAAAAAAGGGCCAGGGGGCCTATATGGTGCGTACGCGTGGAGAAAGGCTTGGCCGCTTGCGACAACGATCCTGACGGAAGGTGGGGGCCATGTCACAACGCCCCAGTGCGAGTAGTTCGCGCGCCTCCGATGCCGCGTCACAAAGGCGCACGCCGTTGCCGGGTATTAGCTCGACGGCGTCAGCTTTACGTACACGCCGCCAAGGTACAGCAGTGCGATCCTACACGGACGACATGGACGATTTTGAGGTGGAGACGCCGGGCGATGCCGCGTTGAACGAACTGCCCTCGGGCATTATTATGCCGGGCATCAAAGGAACGCGTGTAGCGCACCCTGCGACGCAGGCGGGCGAAGGCGAGGGTACGCAGGGGCGAACCAAGATGCTCAAGGCGCCGCCAGGCCCACTACGACCGCCTCGAGCGGCTGCGCCAAAACTGCCGATCGGGAGTGGAGCACATGTTCGTGGCGTGGGCCCTAGTTCTCGGCCACATGCGCAGCTGAAGGGGACACCTGCGCGCGTGCCGCGATACTCCCTGCCTGTGCGTGCAGAAAAGCCGGTACGAACGTCGAAAGTAAGTGGACGGCATGTGCTGCTGCCCAGCGAGAGTCAGCTAGCGCCCTTACCGACCGATGAGAAAGAGGAGGACGAAGATGATGATGATGACGACGACGACGACGATGACGAGGAGACCGTCGAAGGCGCAGGCCAAGCGGAGGCAGCGCATGCCCAGCCGCAGCGATCTGTGCCGCGTACACTTCGACGCAAAGGACCTGTGTACTATTCGTTTGAGCGTATGCCGCCACAGTCGCGCGTCTCTACGGAGCTCCCGCGTCTTACATCCTATGCCATCTCTGCATCAATTCACCTCCCGACGCTCCTGGCGTTCCTACGACGTGAACATGGAGTGAAACCGCGTTTGTACGAAGGCTGTGCATACTCTCTGTACTTCAAGCCTCTCCTTCCTGGGTTTGGACGCGCAACCGTGCGTAGTTCCAAGGAGCCACAGACAGGCAGCCCAGGTGCAGAGAGCCGGCATGAGCGTGAGATCCAGCGTGATGAGGAGAGCGGGTATGTCGGCGGCTACTTTGCGTCGCAGGAGGACCAGGACATTGATAATAATGGCTACATCCCCAATGAGATTCACGAGAGTGTCATGGAGAAGACGGACTCCATGACGATGGCGAACGATGCGCATGACGCAGATAGCGCTGGAGCGCGCGATATGCTCATGGCAGAGGACAGTGACGAACGACATGTGCGTGAGACACGTCGGCGTGTGATGCGCATCAACGAGGCATCACACACGCACGACGCGCAGGAGAACGAACATGCGCCAGCGTCGATACGCGATGCGCTCATGATGGGCGAGCTGGTCGTGCTGCCGTACGGCGTCGTGGTCCTCTTCAACTTTACGCAGGAAGAGGAAGAGTCGATAATCGAGGATATTATGGCTTCCGGTAGCGTCAAGACGCCGCACAAGACATACGATCGGGAGCTCTTCCATTTCTGCTACGATCCTAATGTGCGTGCCCCACGGATTTCCAACGACTTTTTCACGTTCCGCGAGCCGAACCACCTGCTGAAGCTATCCCTGGCGCATGCCATTGCACAGAGCACCAAGCTCTCGGAGTTTGAAGAGAGTATGCAGCAGACGCTGGAGCTCACGTCCCACATTCCCCGCGATTTGGCACAGACGGGCGAGCTGCGTGTAAGCCGCCGAGGTGCGCTGCGCATGTCTGGCCACCTATTTAAGCTGCGTGTGGATGTGAATCTGACAAGTGATGTACTGGATACACCCGATTTGTTCTGGAACGAGGCCAGTCTGCAAGCACTGTACCATGCCATCCGCGTGTACCTCGAAATCGATGAGCGCGCCGAGTCGCTCAATGAGCGTTTGGGCGTCGCGAATGAGCTACTGGAGATCATTCATGAGCACCTAAGCAACGCGGCTATGAGCAAGATCACATGGATCATCATTGTTTTGATTGTGGTCGCGTGCTTTGTCGCTGTGGGCGAGATCACCGCGCGATTGGTCGTCCATGCGCGACGTCCCTTGTAGACATACCTTTGTTATATAAAGCATACATGTGTACCTATGGCGTGTACACGTCCGACGGCGCACACCGTGCCTGGAACTCATCTAGAGAACCGCCTGCGAGTAGTGTCGCACACTGTGTGTGAGTCGTAAGAGAACATACCACTTCCAAGACGCCCTGCGGCGCTGCACGCAATGTGCGTGGGGACGCACGGTCAACGACATGGACAACTTGCACGCTGTGATCGCCATGCGCCGTCCGATCATCTGCTACCACATACACGCTCTTAGCGTATTCGTCCGAAAGGGAGGCTAGGACATCGGGAATGGTGGTCGCCGCAACCGAGTGAGACGGCGACCGCACCATGTGGTACAAAGGCGACTCGTCCACGGGCGACTCACCGGAGACCAGCTCAGCTAGGTAGTCAGACTGACGGATCTCGGTGAGTAACGCATCCACATCTAGTGATACGGTATGGAAGAGCGCTACAGCGCCGGAAATGCTCGTCATGGCGGCGAAGGGGCAAGCCAGCGCTTCTACGTGCGCAGCCTTCTGCGCGGCGCACGAACCAGCTGACACGCACGTGACCACGACCGCGTGCGTGGATGTCGGTCGGTCGGTGCGCGACGAGCCAGCGCGGCCTGGCCTTGCCGTCGAACCAAGAAGCGACGCGACACGCCGTGGAGTTGGACGTCTCGCGATGTCGGACGCAAAGAAGGACGGGGTCCAGGCAGTGACGCCTCGTGATGCCCACACGGCTACATCGACAACTGCGCCGTCCCAGCCGGCACTTGCGGCGTCAGGCATGCATGGTATGTCTCTGCAGCCACTGACCTGGAAGCTATTTCGACAATGCTGAACCATCCACGCCGCAAAGCGGCACCTATTAACCCCAGTGCGGCCAAGCTTCCACCAGTAGGACCGAGTCATCATGCGCCGCCAGCCCTGCCGAGCGTCGACACACGTATGTTGGACGATTATACGGAAACGCATGCGGCAGTGTGGGCCAAACTGGCGAAGGAACGTGCGTCGGTACGTGCACAGACAGCGCGGGAGAAGCAGGATGCCCAGAGCGGTGCGACAACAGAGCCCGCCTCGTCCAAGCGCCTGCCGCCCCTCAGCACAGTCCCGCAAGTGTTTTTCTCCGCCGACTTTGATTTGGCCCAGCCCTATACATTTGATCTTGTCACAGAACGATACAAGCAGTCCACAGCGCTGGGAGCCGATCGGGCATCGAATGGATCTCAGTATGGTATTGTCCTGAATCAGATGCTGCAAGAGAAACTGAGCTACTATTCAGACGTCATCGAGCAGCACTTGGTCGTCGAGATCGGCGCGAAAAGTGCGTCGTTTTTCGATGCCCTGGAGACGCTGGAGCAGCTTCAAGCGGATGCTACGCAGTGTCTTGCACAGACAGAGCGTGTGACGCAGCATTTGGACAACGTGGAGACGTTTGTGCAGGATCGACAAGCTGTCGCGGCACACCAGCGTGACCGCAAGTGCTTGGAAGTGCAGCGTGATGTGCTGGCGCGTGTACATACACTGCTGGAGCGTCGTGATCTTTTGCAGCTGTCTGTCCAGCATGGTGAATACGATAACGCGATGACATTGCTCGATGATATACGGGCTGCATTGCAAACAGACACGTACCTGGCACGTCTGCAAGCACTGCAGACGATCCCTACTGAGCTGGAGGCGGCGCAGGAGACCATGTCAGAGGCCTTATTGCAGACGTGGCTGCAAACGCTCGAGCTTATGCTGGTCACCTCGAGCCGCGATACCTCGGTATGTATGCCCGCTACAGATGCCTCCCTGGACTCTCTCTTGCCGAAAGAGATGCCGACGAAGGCCACCATTCCGTCGGAGCTGCCGCCTGTGTGGACAGTACTCCGACGATGCCAGGGTATATCGTCGGCGTTGGCGGCCCATGCGCAAAGAGTCCCTGACTTGCTCGAGCGCTTGGTCCAGGAGGCAGCCGAGAAGCAATCAATCGAGGCCTGGGCCCGTCCTTCCGCGACATCTACCTCGATTGCGGAGGTGACATGGCCTACGTTCTTTGCTGGCCTCGCGCCGGCGTTGCACGTCTTGTGGCACGTGGCGCAGCAGATCCAGCATGTCCATGCGATGGCCGCGAGTCTGACGACCGAGTATGCCACAGAGACCAGTGCGTTGGACACAGCGACCCAGGCCATGTGGACCGCGTGTGAGCGCCTGGTCGTGAAACTGATCACACCGCGGCATGCGCAACTATCGAAACTATCGCTCGATGCGTTTGTCGTGTACTTCCAACTTACGTGGTGCATGGCACAGCGTATCGAGACGGCCGCAGGGCGCCCCAGCGTGACGCTACGTAGCTGTTTGCTGGGCGAGGCGAAGTCGTTCTTGTCGTCGTTCCACCGGCAGCGTATCGAGAAGGCCGTCAAGGCGGTGGAAGACGATGTATGGGCACCTGCGCCTGTATCTGGGGCGCTGCAAGCGCTGGTAGAGCAGCTGCAAAAGATGGATGACGGGGACGAGGCGTACCGTATCCCATGGACTTACCCGCCACCGATGGAACCGAGTCAGGACACAGCCAAGGACGACACAGAGAATGCCACGCGGCAGCTGCGGGTGGGAGACACGTCGTTCTTTGTCGTGCGGGCTAGTGGGACAGTGATTACGCTGCTCTGCGACTATGTACGAGTGATGGTCAACGTGCCTCTCTTTACGGCAGAGACGTTGGGATGGATGCTGGAGTTCCTCAAGCAGTTCAATTCACGGACGTGCCAAGTCGTGTTGGGCGCCGGAGCAATGCGCAGTGCGGGATTGAAGAACATCACAGCACGGCACTTGGCGCTCGCCGCCCAATCGCTTTCGCTGATGTTGGCGCTGATTCCAGCTGTGCGAACATGTGTGCAGCGCCACTTGCCTGCGACGCAGGCCGTGCTGTTGCAAGACTTTGATAAGCTGCAACGTGACTTCCGGGAGCATCAGTACGAAATCCACGCGAAGCTGGTGGCGATCATGAGCGATCGCGTACACATGCACAGCAAATCGCTCTTGCAGCTGGATGCTACGTCGCTGGCGTCACCATCGCAGCCGATCGCGGATCTGTGCCGCGAAACAGGTACGCTGCATCGTGTTATGACGCAGTACTTGGATGCATCGGTGGTCGATACGCTCATGCGCCAAGTCGCTGCAGAAATCGATACGCGAATCGCTCATACCCTGGCTATGGCCGACGTACGTACCCAAGACGTCCATCGTCGCTGGGGCTCCGATTTGGACTACTTGGGCGAGAAAGTGCGGGCGATGTGGACGGGCTGGCAAGGGGAGAAAACGCACGAAGCCTGGCTGGCAAAGAAGCCACGTGCGTCCATGGAGGTACGCCGCGAGGCATCGACGCCGCCGCTGGCGTACAAGGCCCGTCGGCCTGTCGGCCAGCGGCCTGCTGCCACACAGTCGCCAAGCTTGGAAGCCATGGAGTCATTCCAGCCGCCTTTTGCTACACCACCTACGCCTAACGGCAAGAAACCCACGGCAGAGATGCCCGTTCTTACGAAGCCAATGCCGCCGACGCCGTCAGGAACACCGCCCCCGGTGCTACCTCCCACTTTGATGCCGGAGAACAAGCAAGCGCCAACACCCACGCCTGAGGATGGCCATGTACAAGCAGCCCGCACGTCAGAGTCCAACGAGGCCTTGGCGACCACCGAGGAGGCAGAGCAGCCACCTAGCTGCACACCTACGAACGAGGACGCCCCTGCCTCGTCGAAGGCGGCCACGGCCACGGCGACACCCCCCGAAATGCCTATGACTAGCGAAGAGGCAATGAAGGAACGCTCAGTATCGCCAGAGGCACCCCCACCTCTGCCTGCCAAGATCAGCATGCCACCGCCAGCGTCTGTGCCGACGCCGACACCGACAAAAGAGGCCACACCAGCGCCTGTACCACCCAAGACCAAGACGCGCATGTCGCTAGAACAGCGATTGGCCGAGGCGGCGAAGCGACGTGGCTTGCAACGTGCTCAGATGCAGCAGCAGCAGCAGCAGCAGGCGGCCTCCTTGGAAACCAACGTGCCTACACAGTCTTCGCCTAAGAGCCCTGAAAGCCCATCCAAAGTCAAACTGTCTTTGGCCGAGCGATTGGCCTCTGCAGCCAAAGTGGAAAAGAGCCCACGCAAATTGTCTCGTGACAATGGACCGGCATTGTCGGTTGACAGTGCAGACGGTGCGGCGAAGGATAAGGACCACCGTGGCCGACCAAGTGTCGAGGAAGCTGGACAAGAGGGAGAGACGCCTTCGGTATCAGCAGAGGTGCCCATGGCAGTGGAGAAAGTTTCAACGGCCTCTCTGCCTATGCGCAGAGACGAGGGCGAAGCCGCAGACGAGGCTGATGGACAGGGCAAGGATACCCAGGCTAGCAAGCAAGACGACACGCCGAACAAGGAAGAGCATGCTGCCGCGAGCCAGACGAAAGACGAGGAGGTTAGTGTACCTGTGAATATGGAGGAGCCGACGGGCGTAGGACAAGGTGACGTGGAGACTACGGCTGAGGAAGAAGCAGAGGTCCAGCCAGAAGCAGAAAGCAAGCCCAACGCTGAGGTGGAGGCAGAAGCAAAAGCCAAAGCGGAGAAGGCGAAGGCGATGGCGGATGAAGAGACTCTAGCGAAAGCAGAAGCAGAAGCGAAAGAGAAGGAGGAGGAGGAAGCGAAGATGAAAGCTGAAGAGGCCAAGGCGGATGAAGGGGCTAAGGCGGAACCTGAAGCCAAGGCTAAAGCAGAAGAAGAGGCCAAAGCAAAGGCTGAAGAAGAGGCAAAGGCGGAAGCTGAAGCAAAAGCTAAAGCTGAAGAGGCCCAGGCTAAGGCGAAGGCGGAAGAAGAGACCAAAGTAAAAGCTGAAGCTGAAGCCAAGGCCAAGGCCGAAGCCGAAGCCGAAGAAGAGGCAAAGGCAAAGGCTGAAGCCAAGGCCAAGGCCAAAGCAAAAGCAAAAGCAAAAGCGGAAGCCAAAGAAGAGGCCAAGGACAAAGCCGAAGACGCCACGGCTAAGGCGGAAGAAGCGGAAGCCAAGGCAAAAGCAGAGGCCATAGCCAAAGTCGAGGCCAAGGAGGAAGACCAAGGCATGTCGGCAGAAGCCAAGCCTCAGCCGGAAGAGCATACCGTGCACGATCCTTCCCAGCAAGGGGAGGCCGCCGCCAACGTCGATGCGACAGCGCCGACCATCGACGCGCCCGTCAAGGACGATGCGGCCTCCGCGTAACCTGTCGCATCGACAGAATCATATACCCGTAGTCCTACACTATTTGTATTGCTTTCCTACGCAGACAGCGCGTGGTCCTACTATAGTACATTACATATCATCAATACGGGCCGAGGTGGGATCCGGTTTCCCACGCCGTCGTCCACGTCGGCCCTGGTGGGACGACGAAGCAGCGCCGCTCCGGCGCGGCGGTGGGTTGGCACGTCGTTGATGCTGGGACGTACGTTGCGATGCCTGCTGCCGACGTGCCTCTTCTTGGACACGCCGACTCTCTTCTTCGAACCAGCGCTCAAAGGCCTCGGCCTCCTCGCGTTCCTGCTGAACCCGCTCCTGGACACGCCGCTCTTCGTCGAGAATCTGTGCAAAGTTGGTAGGCCGCTGCTGCTGCGCTTGTTGTCGCTGAGCGTCCCATTGCTGCTGTGCTTGGATCTGTGCGAAGGAGAGCACAGGCGGTGTCGTGGGCGTCGTCCCTGATCGCGGCGCTGCGTGAGTGCTTGACAAGGCCGGGAAGGCCGTCGCAGGCGATGTGCTGGGCGAAGGACGGGACGTACGGTGCCATACCGGGGTGGCTTCCTGGAGCGCAGTCCTTGGTTGCTGCTGCTGCTGTTGCTGTTGCTGCCGTTTGCGTTCTTTCTGCGAGAGCTTGGGCGCCACGGCCATTTGGGCCATGGCCCGCTGCGTCTCCACCGAGACCGCCGAAGAGGGCGATGTGCTAGTGGGTGTGCGTCGTGAAGGTGGATCCGTCCGTGGACGTGCCTCGTGCATCATCGATGGACTCGGTTCCAACGAGGACCGCGAGGCCATCATGCGGGGACCGCTGTAGCTCGTCGATGGACTCGCAGTGCCAGGCATGGCCATGGGAGGCGGTACAGGCGACGGCGACACGGACGACGGGCGCTGTGGACGTGGCGTCGTTTTCGCGCCGACAGTATGCCATGCGGGCTCGGCCGTGGCGGTGGCGGTAGCAGCGGCCGGGCCGGCCGTACTTACGTCGTCGTCCATCGCAAAGAGCATGGTATCGTCGGTCGCAGCTGCAGACGCAGGATGAGACGGAGCTGAGGCGGTGTGCGACGTCGGCAGAGACCGTGCAGGTTTCTCCCACTTGGCCACCTGCAGACACAGTGTATGGAGAGAGGGCGGCGGAAGGTCCAGCGTATCGACAAAGTCCTGGTGCTTGAGGGTCAGAGCAAACAAGCGATCACGCGCAATGGAGCGATGTGTATGTGCCTCCTGCAGCGTCTGGATGTGCTGCGTGACGTCGCGGCGCATCGACGGCAGAAGCAGATCGAGGCAGTGCCGTTCTAGCAACGTCTCGAGGTTGTGCGCGATGTACGTCAGGCAGACCTCACGTAGCGCCGGGGCATTGAGACGTTGGGCATCGGTGAGCAAGGCGCCGACATTGGTCGGCTTGATGCGTGGAGTAAGGAAGGTCAGCGTAAGCAGCTGCAGCTTGCTAAGCAGGAGCTCGTCCGCCAGCTGGAGAACGTCCAAGACGAGGTCCATAAACTGATCAGGCGTCACCTCGGCGTCTGTCCCGTCAAAGATCGACGTGCCTGCATCCGTGTACAGGAATGCAAGGCCCAAACGCATCACACGCCAGGACCAGTGTGGCATCGCGATCTCAATCGGCCCATGCTCCCCGCAGTCCTGCCGCCATGCACAAAGTGCTTGCAGCATCGGCGAGCGACGTAGGAAGAGCGTGTGGCATGGCACGTCCGCATCAGCCAGGTGCAACAGGGCATCCGCGCCGGGAACGTCGGCGAGTGAAGCGCCAGGACGAATACGCTCAAACACATGTAGACACTGCGTCCGCATTGTACTGGGCGGCGCACGCAGCAAGCCATGCTCAAGCGATGTACGCACAGCCGCGAGATCCAGCAGTGTCGCACAGGCCAGGAGCTCCGGGCGCACACGCTCCATCGAGACACCGACAGAGCGGCACAGAGGTTGGAGGACCACATGCATCTGCGCCGTCCATACCGGCAAGAGGTCATCCGTGTACAGGTAGTGGACCAAGACCAGAGCAGACACCAACGATAAGCCCGGGAGGTGCACAATGGTCGTCTTCGGCGCCGTGGCTAGCACTATGTCCACAGGCGCAGTAGTGGTCGGCCGTGTCTGCCAAAGAAAGGGCGTGAGCGATGGTATACGCAGCGCCAGGAGATCGCGGTGCACAGGGATCATACAGCCGCCGCGGTCGACGCACAACGCAGCGTCGCACCCTGTCGTGGTATACGCGGCCGGCAGAGCCTCACGTAACGGACCAAGACACGCCGTGGGCCACGCCGAGGCACGCAAGAGGATCGTACGGGCATGCGCGAGGTAGCGAGAGAGCATCGTCGAGGCCTCATCGTCCGACTCGCTATCGTCATTCTCCGCGGTCGTCATCGTCGCGATGGATGCGGTCATGTCGTCCACAGGCACAGCAACGCTCGTCTCAGGCACCAGCGCGAGCAAGTCGTCGGCGAGCGACGGGCCACGCACAGGGATCGACGCGGGCCGTGTAGGCGCTTGCACGGCGGCCCAACTCCCGAGATCGTTGGCCATGACACGCACAACGCGCTGCAGGTACGGCACCAATTGAAACTTGGGCGTGCGCGTCTTCGCACGTACGTCGAGTTTGCGTTCACGCACGTACACATGGCCATCGTTGGTACACAGCACAATGGTGCCGTCCAAGCCAATGGCCACATCACGTACGGCCGCAAACTTGCGGCGCACACTCCATACGAGCTGCGGACGTGGTGGCGTGACCTTGGCGCCTGTGGCGCTGGGATGCTCCATGTGGAACGTGTACAAATCGCCAAGCTCCGTGAGCGCCGCAAACGTCGTGCCTGTACACGTAAGCCGTCGGATCATGGGCTTTGCAGGGACGTGACGCGCACGGAAAAGGCCCGCCTCGCTAGGGACACGGGGCATGGGGAACGTGATCTTGAAATACGCATCGCCATGCAAGACAACGACGTCCCACGACGCCAGCAGGCAGGCCGTCGCAAACTCGGTCGCAGCGACTTGACGTACGGGCGCGGTAATCGACGTGACGCGGCGTGGCTGGACTTGGACAGGCGCTGAATGCCGATCGTAGCCAAGCTGGCCATTGTTTGTGCCCCATGTATATACGGCGTCCGAGGTAAACACGACCGTGTGCAATCGGCTGGCGGCAGCGCCCAGCACGACCTCGCGCTTGAGCGGGCCGAGCACGCGACGCGGCGAGACTTGGATATCAAGCTCAGTCCCAAGAGCACTGATCGTCGTGCCCTGCGACGAGACGCCTTGCGATCGGATGGTACCCGAAGAGGACGCGGTCGTGCCGAGCCCTTCTTCGAGAGTGTAGCCGAGCTGCGCCATGCGGTTGGCGCCGAACGTGTACACAGCCCCCTGCATAGTGATGAGCACCGTATGGTCCTGCGCAGCCACGACAGCCCGTACCGGCTCGTCCCACTCCCGCAATGGCTCCAATTGCGGCTGCGCCGGTGGCATACGCCCCAGACGGCCATTCGTGCCTACACCACACACATACACGTTCTGCCGCCGCTCGTTGGTCGCGACGACCGTGTGCCAGCGAGAAAGCGAGACATCACGGACTAGCGGGCGATCGAAGCGACGGCCAGCGATGGCCGTGGTGGCAACAGGACGAGGCAACTTGAGCCGTTCAGGCGTGCTGCTATCGTTGCTGTGGCCCAGGCCCAAGTTGTAGTTGCGGTTGCTGCCCCATACAAACAACACGCCACCGCCTAAGGCAAGGTCGTCCTCAGGGCGTGGGCAGGTCCCATCCACCGTGGTATTGTACAGATCAAACGCGGTCAGGCCTTCCCAATCGCGGATCGTCGTATCGATATCTGTGCGTTCCAAAAGCAGCAGCGCTACATGGACATGGCCGACGTACAGCGCGCGATGCAAGGCCGTCCATCCACTCTCATGGTCCTGCAAATTGTAGTTGACAGAGGGGTGCGTCAAGAGCAACGTAAGGAAATCGAACGCGGCCGGATCGTCGCTTGACGCCAACAAATGAAGCACCGTCCGGCCTAGCGGATCGCGACGGTTCACCTCGGCAGGTGCACAGGGCCCCGCAGAAAGTCCATTCGCGCTGGAGCTGAGGGACGAGGCGGGCGAGCGGCCGCGCGTAGCTTGTCGCTCACCAGGCTGGCCCTTTACTGTTCTGCGTTAGCACGGAAGCACGTCGCCTACGCACACACTCGGCGGAAACGAGGCAGGTCGCGTACATGCCAGCAGTCCAAAAGACTGGGTATGGATAGCAACATGCTTGATCAATGCCGTTTCACTGACGCCTGCATGGCTGTCACGGCCATGAACAAGGTGCGTGCGCGCCGACGCCCACGCCGATACCGCCGCCACGCCGCGCGTGCGTGGCGTGTGCGTGTGCGCACACGCGCGTGGCCGCCGCCTCCCTCCACGTGGAGGGAGGCGGGTGAGCAGGGCGCGACACAGACCTGGCTGCACGCACAGGCCACAGCCTGCCGGATTGGTGCACAAGAGAACAATGCACAGAATGAGGGTGTGATCGTTGGTATACGACATGGATAAATAGAGCACCCTTAGCACGGGAAAAGAGCGTCTTCTCTGTGCTGGCCCCATGCCTCTCCTTTCCCGATTGCTAGATTCGAAGAACGAGGCGTCGACGACGCGTGGCCCCAAGTCAGAGCGCCGTAAGCGTTGGAGCTTTGTCCCAAAACGCCTCAGCTTCTCCCAGAGAGCACCTGACCAGTCTCACCCGCAGCCAAGCGTACGTGCGTCGCTGGAGAGCGTGACCAGCGCAAAGCACGCTACAGCCCGTCGCTCGTTCGAGCCCTCGCCAGGCGTGCGTGCCTGGGACACGACATGGCCACTGGGCACTGGCGCGAATGCCAAGCTTTATGAAGCGCCAGAGATCATCGTTGCACACGATGAAGGTGCGCCTGAACAAGCTACGGACGAGGCGGAGCAGAAGACGGAGAAACCCTTGCCGGAGGTCGTACCATCGGGCGATGCTTCCGATGGCTTGGCAGTCGTAGAGGCTACGACAGCCTCGGACGCCACAATACTCGTCAAGCCGACGCCCATTGAGGCGCCGAGCGTCCCGCCAAATGGAACGCCGAGCACGCCGGAAGAAGTACAGAACGTGTACGACATGATGGTCCAGCGTCTGAAGACGATCACATTCCTCAAAGCGGTGATCAACGGCGAAGAAACATACGTGTACTCGGTGCGATTCAGGTCGGAGGATTTGCAGGCGGCCGTGACTGAGGAGGCGTTGCATATGTGGTACGATAACAGCGTTCGTGTATGTGAGCCGCTGGAGCAGGCCTATACACTGACGTGGCCTCATGAAGTGCTGGAGTGTGCCACGACGCTTATCCAGCAAGTCACACAGCATCAATCGTCAGAGGACGAAAAGGCAGCGGCCACGCAGGATGAAGCAGCGGCCCAGGAACGTCCCCCCCTGGATATTGTGTGCGGCATCACGCGCCTTCTCGATATATTGTATGCGATCTACGCGAAGCTTCTTACGTGGCTGGATCAAGACGCGCTAGCATCGCTTGCGGAGGGCACATGCACGACGCCGGTCATTCCTTCGACAGAGTTGCTGGGCGTGCTGGAGCAGACCGACAACAAGCTGCGGAAGTTTATCAAGTGCATTGCGAAAGATTTGTCCTATGTCGCACGATGCATCTCACAGCATGAGATGCAGGAATGGGACAAGATTCTATGTGACCGACAGCTTGATTGGGATGAGTTGTCGATCCAGCTACAGAAACGGTCAGAGCGCCTGGCGCAGGAAGCCCCGGCGCTCAAAGATATGGTCGGTCTTGGATCACCTGATACGGCGGACATTGCCCTGCTGGATGCCATGATGGTCGAGCAGGATGTCCAGGAGAAAAAGCCGATCTTGTTCCGCCGTTTTCTGAAGCGGAAGGATGTTCGTCGGCATTCGATACCGATGGACTTGGTCGAGCGGATGCGCCACACGTTTACCAAACGTTCTAGCCTATCGAACGATGCATCTGTAGACGCTCATGCAGACGGCGCGGCGACGGAGGTGGCGCCGGCGGTGCCTGCTGAGACAGCACCAGAGACGGTAGGATCAGCTACACCAACAGTAGAGCTCTCGAGTGAGAGTGCACAGTCGTAATTCGTGTACATGCAGACACGTCAAGTTTCCTAGATAATAGTGTTTTAATTTAATCAGCTACGTCATGCTTCTATGGTACGGCACGAACAAGAAGGTAGCCTGGCTTTTGATCGACCAACGCCACGAAGCGTGGGAAAGGTAGCGGTGGTAGCGAAATGTCACGCAGATGGTATGGTGATGACTGCGTGGTATGCGACTTGCCCGCAAAGTGCGGCGTGGTCACCGCGGCAGAAAGTAGCCATAACGGATTGGTGGCAGCACTAAGCCGGTTGATTTTAAAGCCTTGCGTGTAAGCTACGTAGATGATATTGTAGATCAGCATCATCCACGCGCAGGGAAACTCGCCTAGCGAGGAGAAGGAGGCGGAAGAAAGGGGGCGCAGCAAGGCACTTTTCCGTCGTTCTGCGAGGTGGGCGGCAGCGGGAATGAATGTCATGTCACTTGACGCTGGCATTACCATTTCTTTCATAGCCACAGGTTCGATATTGCTGAAACTCCTACGCAGAGTGCGATACACGGACGGCGTCAGGTCCAATGCCTGGGGGGTTTTGGGGCAGCTGTCGGCGTACAACGGAGTGGCTGTGAGCACCACATGACCATGCGTAGCTGTGATAATGAAAGGTAGTGACAGGCCCAAGTACATGGCCATTTGATGCACCAACATCGCTGTGTAGCTCAGGACGCCGTTCACATCGTCGCGATCGACAAGGCACATGTTCATCAAGGTAGGAAAGGTGAGAGGGCCCAGCATCCATGTCCCTGCCGATAAGGCAACCCGGTCCAATGTCGGATCCTCCGCGTGAATATGGTACAATTGCAAGAGATCCTGGCATAGCCGTTGGCGTTCTTTCTGTACACACTGCCCTACGTCTTGTTGAGCCGACCGAATCGCCTCCAATGACGCAGCACTGCAGGGTGCATGTGGAAGGTGGGACTTTGCTTGCAGAAGGGCCTGAGATCGATCCTGGCATCGCTGACGAAGCGCCTCGACGCGTTGTCGCAGGGCCCGTGTATCGCGCGACGCGTGGTCGACATACCGTCGTAGTTCACTACACTGCAACCGACGAAGGACCAATCGTCGTTGTAGAGTCATAACATGCGCTGGGGTGGATATCGTCTCTGGGGGTATATCCAGCGCAGGGTCTGTATCATGCACTGATGCATGCAGAAAGGGACCATGAGCAATGTGGTGCCGAATCGCTTGTTCTTTCGATCGTAAAGCACATAGCTCATGCACTAGAGAAGATACACGCATTTGAGTGTCTGAGTTCAACTGGGATGGCGCAAGATCCTTGTGGCACCGTGAACATGGGGCATGCTGCGATCCTGTCATTCCGATCGATGCATGGACCCTGGCTGTCAGGATAGACTATGTGGCGTGTGCACGTCCCACACATTCACGTTTTGCTTAAGGGCACATGATAGACATGGGATTTAAATCTTGCAGAGCGTGGTCTAGTGGTTAGGACTCCTCATTTACACCCCTGTGGACTGAGGCGATCCCCGGTTCGATCCCGGGCGTTCTGATTTTTTTTTACTCTTTCATTCGAGTACCAAGGAAACTAGGTTGGGTGCCTGCCTCTCTATCGCAAAAAAAAATACAATGGGCAGCAGAGACATTACGCACCAGCCTTCCAGTGCGCAATGTCACCGTCGACCATCTCGTAGGTCTTGCCCTTCTGAGCCAGCTTGCCGTTGGCACGGCAGGCATTCTCGCTACCGGCCTCCTTGAGATCCTCAAAAGCCATGATTTCACCACACACGAACTTGTTTTCAAAGTCCGAGTGAATCACACCGGCAGCCTGCGGGGCCTTGATACCACGACGAATGGACCACGCACGAACCTCATCAGGGCCAGCGGTAAAGTAGCGGATCAGGTCAAGACCGTCGTAGCCACTCTTGGTGATCTTACCGAGCGCGCTCTGGACATTGTCGCCGAGCTTGGCAAGGTATTCCTTCTGCGCCTCTTCTTCCGAGAGCGAGAAGAGCTGCTCCTCGAGCGACGCCGAGAACGGAATCAGCAAGTCACCTGGGTTGTTCTCGTCGATCCACTGCTTAATCTTCGGGAGCCACTTGTTCTTCTTGCGCGCGTAGTCACGTTCGCTCAGGTTCACAATGTAGATCACCGGCTTGGCAGTGAGAAGCATAAGCGAGTTGATCACTTCCACCTGTGTGTGTTAGCACATGTACAACATGAAGAGGCGGCCAAAGTCAGTGGAAATTATCATCTCATGTGGCTTTCCTAGGGCCGTCGACGAGCTGGGTTAAGAAATCGAGTGTCTTGCACTCTTTATCATCACAAGACAGGCCGCCTCGAGCCTATACATACCTCCTTGGCGTTCCAGTCACCTTTACGGACATCCATGTTGTCCTCCTGCAGACACTTGAGGATTTTCTCGACAATAACAACCTCTTCCTTCTTCTTGCGGTCCTCCAACGAGTTGTTACCAGCCGAACGGGCGTTCTTGCGGGCGGTATCAAGTGCCTTCTCGACCCACTCAATGTCCTTCAGACGAAGCTCTGTCGAAATGATCTCCATGTCACGAGTCGGGTCCACGTCACCTTCGACGTGCACAATGTCCGCATCGTCGAAAGCACGGATGACCTGGAAGATACCGTCCACGGAACGCACATTCGACAAGAAAGCGTTACCAAGACCGACACCAGTGCTAGCACCAGCCGTGAGACCGGCAATATCGATGACCGTCAGGAAGGCAGGCACCTCTGACTTGGGCTTGTACAGGTCACACAGCCAAAGGAAGCGCTCGTCTGGCACGGGCACACGAGCTTCTTCCGGCTCGATCGTAGCGTATGGGAAGTTGGCAGCCTTACCAAGATCGCACTTGGCAATGGCGTTGAAGAGAGTCGACTTACCGACGTTAGGAAGACCGACGATACCCATCTTGAGGTTGTTCGACGGACGACCGAGACGTGGCTTCTCCACGGGCTGAGCGTTTTTCTTAGGGGGCATTTTTGTCTTAAGCTTCTTCTCTAGTACTGTAGTCGTATGCAGATAAGTCCGCCAGGTAGGGACAGTACAGTGTTGGGTCAGCAAGCTTCGTGCGCAAAATGCACGTAGCATCCACGTCAAAGGACTGCCTTCTTTCGCTACCGCCGACCCATCTGTGGTGCACGTGACTGTACCGCAGTTGAACGCGCATGTCTTAGTCAGACAAATACCGAGCGGTCCAGGACGCGAGAAAGGAGGCAGGTTCAGTGAAAACCTACTAGAACGGCTTGGCTTACTGCTATGCGTTTTCTGTGTGTACTCTCTGTGTTGTTAGCGGGCGTAGCCGTGGTGTACGCATCACAAGGTACGTGGAGAAGGTAGTTGTTGTGACTAACATGACTAGCTGAGCCGACGCCAGGACTAGACAAGCGTCAGCAGGCTAACCAGAATGGCGCGATCGCTGGTGCCGCGCTGGGCGGTGGTGCGGGTGCGGCTCCGGCCACGACAGCCACGACTCCCGCGTCGATCTCTGGCTATACGCCGCCGCCTAGCTCAGACATCCCAAAACCGACCAACTTCTCGAGCGGGACCATCCTGTCGCCGAACGACATTGATGGCTACTCGGATGCTATCAAGTTTGCCGCCTCGTCGTCGTCGACAGTATCGGTGTCGATGACCTGGGTCACTGCTATCATGGCGCTGGTCATGAGCGGTGCACTTTTCTTGTAAGGCCTATGTTTGTACCTTCTCCTTTTTGTGGTATTGCAGTTCATTGCCTGCCATGCAAGGAATGACTTGTTACGGACCCCCTTCCCCACCTCATCGACCCTCCCTCCCTATCCCGATGTGTTTCCTATACTTAACATCCATTGATGCCTACGCGGACTATCGTTGCTACATTTATAAGAAATCGGTGGCGCTGCACGATGTGAGGGCCATACGATGCCAGGCCTCTGGACGTTGTTCTTGTAATGCTTTGCGATCGTGACGCATGACTTGTTGCATTTCGGAGCCGCCGGATGCCTCAGCAACAGCAGAGGTATCGGTGGCAGCTGTAGCGAAAGTTCGTGCAGTAGGTTTTCGTGTAAAGAATCCCTTCAATGTAGACTGTTTGGCCTCCTTGGCAGCCTCGTCGATCCAGTGGACTTTGTAGGCGCGCGTCGACGTAGGGTATGGCGTGCCGAAGAGCGAGGTGGCAGAAGGATCTTTGTGAGTGTACGGCTCCTCCAAGAGCGATTTGGCTGTCGCCCAGCTGAAACGCACAATGCCAGCCCAGCCAAAGATTGGATCAAGTGTCTCGCGCAGATAGCGAACGGTCTTGGGGTCGCCTGGGTATCCACTGCCCGTCTCCCACAACGTCGAAGCAGCATCCTCGTCCTCCTCCTCGCGCTTGCGCTTGCCTGCCTGCACAGCGCCATCGTAGGGCAATGTCGGCTCAGCGTACAGCCACCGGTCAATGCAGGCGTCGCGTGTGACTTTGGCGGCGATACTTGCGGCGCCGACAATGGGGTATGTAGCATCGGCCTTGCGCGCCACGGTCCACTCAATGTGGCCATGGCGTGGGAATGCACGCTGCAGCTTGGCTGCGTACGTCTTGGGATCGCCGACGGTATCGACAAAGATTTGGGTCACATCCACCCCAGAGTCCAAAACGCCTTGGATTAAGAGCACAGTCGCATCGAAGCTCTGCTCGTTGAGATTGTGTGGTTGTCGACGTAGCATGCCAGCAGATATATCCTGCGGTGCCATTACGCGGACAGCCCAGCCTGGTGTGAGCAGAATAGATACATACCCATGCGATGCTTTTCCTGGAGCAGCGCTTGCAGCAACACATCACGACGTTCAGCTGTGAGAGCCTTGGAGTCTAACGATAAGTAGATAGATTATACATACCAGCAAAGCCCACCTCGCGCAATGCCTCTTGTTCAGACAGCGGACAGTACGCGATGCCATAGACCAAGGGGCCCAAGACCGGTCCACGCCCTGCCTCGTCGACACCAAGCACACAAGGCACACGCTTCGATCCTGTGCCGCTAACACAGGCATCAGGGATGGGCGAGCGCCACGTATAGGAGACAGTGAGGGCATCAGAGCGAACCGACGGCACGTCGAACTCGTCCATCGCTCAAGACACGTCCGTCGTCGTCGTGGTACGCGTCGAGACGCGTAGTATGCAGGCGTTGGCGTGAGAGTTAGTCAGCAACGAGGCGAAAAAAAGGGCGACGTCGCCGTCGCTCGTTCGCTTGCTCGTGCGCGTCGTGGTGAGCCGTGCCTATGCCAGAGATGGAAAATCGGCTCCAAGCAGTGAGCGACGCGCTAGCGCCTGCTACGCGCACGGCAAGTCTGCTGCCAGGCGCGACGGACCTGGATTTCCACAGCTCAATTGATCCTGTGTTTAAAAAATCCTTGCGACGTGTCACGGAGGAGCTCGAGGCGTTGGTCGATCAGATGGCTGCGTGGGTCGACGCGGATGTCACTGGGGAGCGTGCCAAGATGGACGATATGCTTGTGCCTGCGCGGTTTGCGAGTACCGTGGGCGAGACGGTGGACCGTCTGCTGGAGCAGACAGATCTCTATTTGGATGAGTACAGCGGGCGGCGGCCGCTCCCATCGACGTCGAAAGGCGAGGCAAGTGGGGCCTCGTTGGCGGCGGCAGCGGCGGCGGCGGTGACACAAGACACTTTTCCCAAAGGCAAATTGCCGCGGCACATTCTCAATGCCCAAATCCCGCGTCCTCAAGATACATTCACGACGAAGCCGGACAATAGCGAGAGTGCGTCGTGGACACGACCGTTGCGCCTTGGCAAGCCCAATGCGCAAGTCCCGCTCGGCTGGAAAGACGATGCATGGGATGTGGCGCCGGATGCGCGTGTTGAGGGCCAGTATGGCGTAGAAGGCGACGCGCGTCTGAATCCGTACCACTATGAAATTCACAAAACGCCTGTGCCCAGCACGGCGCTGGAGAAGCCGCAGCCAACGGAGCCGAAGCCCTTAGACTTGGACGATCCTAGCTCGTCAGCGCCATGCCCATATGTGTGGGTCGATACAGAGGCGAAACTACGTGACCTGAAAGCGCACTTGGATGAAGAGCGTGTGCACGAGATCGCCATTGATTTGGAGCATCACAGTCTGCGGTCGTACGCAGGCATTGTATGCCTGATGCAGATCAGTACGCGATGGGCCGACTGGATTGTAGATACCCTCGTGGACGAAGTGCGTGAGCATGCGGAAATACTCAACACGGCGTTCACGCATCCTGACAAGGTCCTTATTCTCCATGGCGCTGATCATGATGTGCTGTGGCTGCAACGTGACTTGGGTCTGTACGTGACGAACCTCTTCGATACGTACCAAGCGTCGAAGCAATTGCAGCTCAGCACGCTGAGCTTGGCGTACCTGCTACTGCGGTACGTCGACTTTGAGGCGGACAAGCGATTCCAAACGGCCGATTGGCGTATTCGTCCCTTGCCGCGTGAGATGCTGTTTTATGCGCGGAGCGATACGCATTTTCTGCTGTATGTGTACGACCGTTTGCGATGCGAGCTACAGACGCAAGGCGGCGCGTACTCGATTCGCGAGGTGTTTGAGAAAAGCAAGGCGACTGCCACGAAGGTGTATGCGAAGGCACCATGGGACGCTACCGGCGAGTCACGCAGTGGATGGCGCTCGCTGTGGCACCGACTGGGCGGCGACTTGGCGCAGGCGTCACGGGATGCGCCACCGGGCGCACCGCTCGGTCGCGAAGAGCGGCTGGTGCGTCGCTTGCATCAATGGCGCGACCAAGTGGCACGCGAAGAAGATGAGAGCCCGGCGTATGTCCTGCCGCCACCTTCCTTGCTGAGTGTCGCACTTCGGCCGCCAGAGACCGTGCAAGAAGCCAGCGCGCGAGTGCCCAAGACATTGCAGCATGTGCGTTCGCGGCTGGCCGAGTTGGTCCATGTGATCAAGAACGAGCTCACCCTGCATCGGCATGAGGCGGAAGCGCGTGCGAATGCGGCGGGGGGCAGCATGGAGATCGCCGACGCTGAGGATGTAGGACAGGCCGTCGTGGTGCCAGCGTCGACCTCAACGACGCGGGCCGTGCCGGCGCCGGTGCCAGCAGCGGTACAGCATGGCCGATGGCTTCCGTCGGACCGCCTGCCATTGCAAACGGACGTGTGGCAGAGTGTCCCTTCGTCAGCGACGCCTACGTCGCAACTGCTGCGTGGACTTTCGACACAAGCTGCGCCGCGGAAACGTACGTCGCTCTTTGAGATGCCCAGCACGTCGAAAGCACCCCCGGCAGAGAGCACATTGCAGCGTATTCGCACCGAGTGCCTCCATTGGCTACATGGATGGCTGGGCTCATCGACAAACGAGCATACACCGACTACGGAGCCGACATGGGAGGCTCACAAGGCCCAGTCGTCGCCGGACGGCGCAGCGCCGGCGATAGACGACGCTCGTGCGCCTTCACGGAAGGACGGCGACGACGATGATGACGGCGACGGCGACGACGACGACCAGGAGACTGATCGCATAGTGCAAGTCAAGAAACAGGCGAAAGCGCCACGACCACCCGCCCAAGGGAAGCGGAAGCATCCGACGCCGGACGCCTTTGACTTTGAGAATGCCACATCCGTGCTCGATGCGCCACGGACAAGTGTAGCCAAGTCGCTCCTGCGTGCGTCGTCCTCGTCGCAGAGCAGGGCGCATATGATGGGCCCGTCGACCAAGAAAGCCAAACGCAAGAGCGATGCGCGGAGCGGCAATCGCAGTGGCACATTTGCGTCGTCGTCGTCGTCCCATCGGCATACCAAGTAGAAAGGAAATACATTGTCGAGACTATGGTCATACAGTACGAACAAAAGATAGACACAGTGAGTATGCATGTGGAGGAGCGGCGCCCACAGCACGGAAAAGGCTCCAGCGGTGGAGCAAGAAGCATTAGAGAGTATCGCAGGGTGGGGTGGGGGTGTTACATGCGCCTCACAGCCGACGTGAATATAGGGCAGACGTAGACGCGACCACACGGGATGGGAACACCAAGCCCGCTTCTCTTCCATGCATAGCGCAGAGTAGGAAGGCACGTATCTGATATCGCCATCTGCTTACCATTGCATACCCGGGTTGTCCCCGCACGCCGACGAGAGACTGTTGGTCCAGTTGACGACCGATGTCGAGTTATCGCGTCGTGGGAAGGTACCGATAGGGCTGTTCTGCTTCATCATATCCAGCATCGAGTACTTCTTGCCGATGATCTGCGACGGGCCCACCACAGGGTTCGCCGAGGCGTTCACACGGAAGTTGAAGAACATGGAGCCGGCCGACCAGCCAAACACTTTGACCTCCGTGTTGAGATACTGCGTCGTCCAGTCCGTGGTGTTTACGTTCGACACCGCCGAATACTCACCCATGAGCACAGGCACAGGGAACTGGCTCGTGCTCTGAGCGAACTTGCAGATGTTGTTGGTCATCACCGTCTGGTCCTCAGGCTCAGGCGTTTGGTACCAGGCAGGGTACGGATGATCGTCGAGAATGAACTCTGACGGATCTTGGTTCGAGGCGTACGATTGCCAGTAGTCGTACGGGTTGTTCAAAAACGCATGGTGCGCAATGAGCGGCAATTTGTACTTGCGCAGCGTCTGAAGACTCCAGTCATAGTAGTCCTTCAGCAGACTCATGTATGTGTCGTTCGTATACACCTTCGGCTCGTTCACCGTCGTCACACCGGCAATCACCGACTTCGCAGGGTGCCTGTCGACCCAGTCGAGCATGTTCGTCACGGCCTGGCGAGAAAAGTTCTGGTTCTCGGGCGTGTACCACATCGAGATCTGCTGGCTGTCCAGCTGCGTGTTGTTGTAGCCACTTGACTGATCGTTGTTCTGACTGCCCGGCATACCATGCATATCGATCAGGACGTACATGTTGCGCTTCCACGACCAGTACATCACATCCGAGAGCTTGTCCAGATGGGTGGCGTTGCGGTACGGCTCCTTGGTCAGCTCTGTCGAAAGGAACGGCCAGTAGCCAATCGGAATACGGATCATATTAATACCAGCCGACTGAATCGTATCCATGTCCGCCTCAGTGAACCATGTATCAAGAATGTAGTTCAGCTGATCGACCATCTTGTCACCCAGGTTCAGCGACATGTGGTACTCGTCCCACGCATCGTAGCCGCCCGCCTGGACCATCCAGTCCTCGTAAAGCCAGCGCTCCAGCATGAACAAACCACCGAGATTCGTACCGAACACTTTCTGTGTCTTGGACGTCCAGTCCCAACGCGGCAGCGGCTTCAGATTCTTGGCCTCCGAAGCCGCCTTCGAGTCCTGTGCGGCCATCGACGAAGACTGGGCGCCAGGCGAGTTCGACTTGGCGCCAGGCGATGCCAAGTTGTTTTTGTCACTGCTGCCATTGTTCAGACCCACACCGAGACCCACACCCAGCGCAATGGCCAAAATCACAATGATAGCAATCACCGCCAGAATCCAACGCCACCAGCGCTGCAGGAAGCTAGGCTGACGGGGTGCGGGAGGCGGCACAGAGCTCGGATCGTCTTGCATGTTCATAACATGCGACATGATCGGCACAGGCCCCGACTCCAGATCGTCGGACGCCACAGGCGGCGCCATACCCGGTGCCGTGACGGGCTGTGACCCCGCAGGCGGAATAGACGACTGCGACACGAATACAGGCTCAGCGCTGGGATGAGACGGAGCAGTGGCAGCCCCCGCTGCAGCAGTGGCGCCTGCCGCCCCCCCTGCCGCCGCACTACGAGGGATGGACGACGAAGAGCTCGACGCTGTAGGGCGCGCAGCGCGGATGGTAGTCGTGCCGGCCGGTGGCGGCGGCGCCGTTTGCACGGTTGCAGCAGAGCCTGCGACCGGCGCCGTCGTATGGATGGTCGGCTGCGTGGCGGGGGACTTGACCGTGTGGATCGTCGGCTGTGTCGTGCCGTCTTTAAACACTTCTTCCTGCGTAGTGCCGAGCGACGACATAGGAATTGTCGTCGTGGTAGGCGGTGCGAGATCTGCGTCATGGTACTCACTCCCCTGCGGTGTAGCTGCGTCAAAGAAACGGGCCGAGGCGAAACTCTCCGCATCGCTGTTTTCGACCGTGTGTCCATTCGATGAGGGGTTGGGCGACTCGCTGCGGTACGCATCAAGGTAGGGGCCCTGGCGCTGGCGGCCGGCAATGGAGTGGCCATACGCCCAGCGAGGCGGCGCCACACCAGGACGGCCGGCGACCTCACCTACCTTGTATGACACGGTCGAGGCATGGGCCGTCGAGGCGGTGGCAAACGACGATGGCCGGCTGTCCTCGTGCGCCGACTCGGAGGGAGGGGCAGGGGCAGTCTGCCCTCCCTGCCGGAAGGGATTCGTCGAGGCCATGGTAGGGAGCAGACGATAGTCGGCAAGCGAATCGCGCTAGGACGGACTCCTCGGACTCTAAACACTATGGGCCGCCCGTCTAGGCTTCAGCGACTGAGAATCTTCGCCTGGTGCCTGTAAATAAAATACGCAGACTGGCTATATCAGCCCATGTGCTGCATTTTTAGGTCCGCCAAGGCACAGGTGGGACCGGCAACCAATCCGTGACGGGGTGTAGAAAATGAATCGACCAGTCAAATCAGCCCGCCACGACATGACATTTGATAGGAGGCAAAGTGACTGCGTTTTTCTTTGCTTGGTCAGCATTGGCATAAGCCAAGAACTGGCCCTGGCCCAAAATAGAAGGGTGCGTCCAGGCACAATCGGCTAGAGACTATGTCATCGCGCATAAACCCGAGGACATGGCCGTGCGAAGGTGGCAGAGCGGCCAGGTTGGATCGCCTACAGACTACATGAGGTCATCAATCTTCATCGGCATCTCGTCGATTTGCGTGCTGTAGTATTGCTCAATGTCGCGCAGGACCTTTACGTCATCATTCGTCACAAAGTTGATCGCGACACCCTTACGGCCAAAGCGGCCTGAGCGGCCAATACGATGGATGTAGTTTTCACGGTTCGTCGGCAGATCGTAGTTGATGACCAGCGACACGTTCTGCACGTCAATGCCACGTGCCCATACATCCGTCGTGATGAGCACACGACTACTGCCCTGACGGAACTCGTTCATAATCGCATCACGCTCTTTCTGTTGCATCTCGCCATGCATGCTGCTCACTTGGAAATTGTTCTCGCGCATACGCTCCGTCAGCCAGTCGACCTTCCTGCGTGTATTGCAGAAAATCACCGCCTGCGTGATTGTCAGCGTATCGTACAGGTCGCACAGCGTATCAAACTTCCAGTCCTCCTTCTCCACAGCGACGAAAAACTGCTTGATACCCTCTAACGTCAGCTCATCACGCTTCACAAGAATCCGCACTGGGTCCGTCATAAACTTGGTCGTCATCTCCAGCACATCATGCGGAAGCGTGGCAGAGACAAGCACAACTTGCGTCGCTGGTGGCAGGTAGCGGTAAATATCGTAGATTTGGTCCTTGAAGCCCATGTTCAGCAACTCATCGGCCTCGTCAAGAATCAGCATCTTGATGTTCTTCGTCCGCAAATGACGCCGGCGGATCATATCAAATACACGTCCAGGTGTGCCTGACACAATGTGCTGCCCATACTCGAGCTTGCGAATATCCTCGCCGACCGACGTACCGCCAATGCACGCATGGCATTGCACATTCATATAGTCGCCAAGCGCCAGCACGACACTCTGGATCTGCGTCGCTAACTCACGTGTCGGACTCAGCACTAGTGCCTGTGCCTCTCGCAAGCTTGTATCAATCGTCTGCAGCATCGAGATGGAGAACGTGGCCGTCTTACCAGTACCCGACTGCGCCTGCGCAATCACGTCACGGCCACGGAGAATCGGCAAGATCGCACGCTGCTGGATCGCCGAGGGCTTTTCAAAGTCTGGGTGAGTGATCGTGGGCACGTACTGTATGCATAAATGCCGCGCAGCAGATCTTCCTTAAGTCCCAGCGAGTCCTGTCACACGTAAGTCTCGACGCAGGCACGTACAAAAGTGGGGGCCACTGTAATCTCCTCGCTGCTTTCGAACACGAGGTTCGCACTGGTAGAGTGCACGCCCTGCTGGTTAGCTAGACAGCCATACATACCGCCATAGTAGTTGCACTTCCCTGTCGAGGCGGATGGGCGTGCGTCGCTGCGCCGCGGCAGACGAGAAAATGGGCACGTGGCATTCACGCGTACGAAAGGCGAGGGGCTTTTCCTCCACCCACTTGGTTCGTCCTTGTCGTCTCACGCGTGCCGCAGGATGGCGGATACCTCGGTCTATGAGAGCGCGCGCATGACGCATGAAGAGATCGAGCAGTACGAAGATGCTCTGGTAGACACGCTCAACAATCCGCCGAAGTCTTCCTCGCACCGCTTGCATATGCAGTGGCAACTGGCGACGTCGTCGTTACTTGACCAGATCGTAAGTCGGTACCAATCGTTGAGCGATATGTACCAAGATGTCAACGGTGATCGCGCGCATGAATGGGACGTCTTGGCTCGTAAGGATGATACGGACCCGGAGAACGGCCCTTTTGCCGAGTTTTACGAACGCCTTGAGCATTTGCAGGCGTATTTCCGCAAGTACCCTGAACGTGCGATTTCGCTGGAAACCAGCGCAACGCCCTCGATTTTGGGCACCTACGATGCATCACTCTTTGATATGACGTCGATGGAGCGCGACTTTAGTGGTGAAGAAATGGGCGGTCGTTTCCTGGACTTGTACGTGCAGTACGAGATGTATATCAATTTGAAGGGCGTCACGCGCCTTAGCTACTTGGACTATGTGGGTCAGCTAGACAACATGGTAGGCGAGGCATCAAATGTGCCGGCAGCCACACGACGAACAGAGACGTACCGCAAGTACCTCGCAAGCCTGTGTCAATACTTATCGACGTTCCTTCACAAGACACGTCCGCTGGAGGACATGGATATCGTGGAAAGTCAAGTGCTCGAGCAGTTTGAGGTACAGTGGGATCAAGGCGCTGTTCCCGGCTGGGAATCGAAAGAAGCCGTGCTCTTTGGCACGACAAGCGACGCGGCTGAAGGGCAGGGAATTTGGTGCGACGCATGCCAGCGCTTCTATGCAAAGCAGACAGTGTACGATGCGCATCTGACATCGAACAAACATGTAAAAGCTGCTGATCGCATGCAGAAGGGCGAGACGGTGGCTAAGCCCAAGCCACGAGAGCAAGATACCGAGCTGGAAAAGACGAAACGCGCTATGAAGGCCAAACTGATAGCACGAGATGAGGTGCTAGTACAGGCACTAGCCAAAGAGCTGAGCTCTGTGCGCGACGATACGCGCTCGAACGTAGAGCGCAAGGCAGCCCTAACAGATCGTGAGCGTGAAGAAGAAGCAGAGGCACTGGATGCCGAGATGGAAGAGGCGATGGAGACGGGCGGTCTTGGCTACGAAGAGGAGGGTGAGGATGGCGCAGGTGGTGGTGGTGCAAGCGAAAAGATCTACAACCCACTCAAGCTGCCGATGGGCTGGGACGGTAAGCCTATTCCCTTCTGGATGTACAAACTGCATGGTTTGCGGGTGGAGTACAAGTGTGAGATCTGCTCGGACCACGTGTACAAAGGCCGCAAAGTCTTTGAGAAGCATTTCCAGGAATCACGCCATGCATTTGGTATGCGCGCGCTGGGCCTGCCGAACTCCATTCAGTTCCGAGGTGTGACACGTATTCAGGACGCATTTGCCCTCGCAGAGAAGCTGAAGCAGCAAAAGCGGGTGGAGACCGTGGATGAGGATGATACGATCGAGGTGGAAGACGAGCAAGGCAACGTACGTATCCTCGCATACTCACATGACAGGCATATACCCGAAAGACCTACGACCTGCTCAAACGCCAGGGTCTCTTGTAGTTCGTCGTGCCTTGCCTGCGCGGCGGCGCGCGGCCGTGTTCCATATCGCGTACATAATCATTACATGAGTGCATCGACCTCCACACCAGTGGCCGTCGTGCGTGCGCCACGCTGTGGGTCTTGGCCACCGATCGCGGCATCGCGAGAGGGACCGCGTATCCAGACGTAGCAATATGGGGGGGTATGCGCCTCAGAGTGACGCCAAGCTGTCAGACGCAGAGGGTTCTTTGGGTACGGGTGCACGGCAAAGCAACAAGAAGCGTGGGCAGAGCTTGAATCATGTACGTGACATCGTGCGAGGAAGGGGCTAACACGTTCTCCAGCTTCTGGCCTTTACGTTGCCGCCACGCGCGCCACCTGTAGCGCCACGTCGCTCAAGACGTACAGAGGGGTTCAAACCGTTCAACCGTGAGCGTATGTATAGCACGTACTGACAGCCCAGGCTATGTCAATGCGCAGTACCGATTTGTGCTGAAGCCCACCTTCGACGGACGACGCTCGCTAAGCGATACAGACATGCCGATCCCCTGGCAGGAAATTGTGCAGGTACTTGTTCCTTCGTCGGTCGACGGGATGAAGGGGGAGCATCATGCATGGGAATCGACGCAGGCGACCACATGCCCGATCTGTCTCTCGCCACCCACCGCGCCTCGTATGACGCGATGTGGACACGTATTTTGCTACGCATGCATTTTACACTACCTGATTGTGTCTGAGAATGGATCAGGTGGGCGTGGCGCGATGCGGCACGCGAAGCGGTGCCCGATTTGCTGGGACGACGTCCTGGCAAAGGACCTGAAAGCCGTGCATTGGATTGACGCCAGGCACACGGGCGAGTCGCATATGGCTGCCTTTCTTGCCGCACGGCAGGCAGAGGGCGCTCGTACGATGAACGACTCCGACAAGGCGAGTGTCCTGACCTTACGACTGATGGAGCGACCTCACGACGCTGTGGTCGCATTGCCGCGCTCTGCGCATTGGCCAGCACCGATTGGCCGTGGCTTGCTATGCACGCAGCCCGATGCCTCGACGTATGCCCGCTTTGTGCTAGCTACGCCGTCGTTTGTTGTGGCATCCTTGCAAGCGGATCTTGCTTGTGTACAAGCGGCTATGAGTGCCTCGCACGATACGGATGAACTGAGCCGCGAATTCTTGCGTGTGGCGCAAGAAGAGCTGCTTGCACAATTGGATGTGGCACGGGCCATGCCGATGCCGCCTACATCGCCATCGTCGCAGGCGCCAAGTCCTGGCTCGTACTTGTACTACCAGGCCGCGTCGGGCCAGCCCATGTTTTTGCATCCTATCGACATCAAAGTGCTGCATGCGCACTTTGGTGCGTACACGTCGTTCCCGGATACCCTGCTTGTCGTCGCACAGCATGCGGAAGAAGGCACCGTCGACGAGGCGCTGCGCAAAAAGTGCAAGTACCTTGCCCACTTGCCGATGTCCTCCGACGTCACGTTCGTTGAAGTGGACTGGCCGCGTACGACTTCGTTGTTGTCCGGCATTCAGGACGAAGTGACATGGACACCATGGGGCGATATGCTGAAGAAGCGCTGGCAGCAGCGAAAGGACAAGGCGCAGCGGGAGGAAAAGGCCCGAAAACGTGCGGAAAAAGAGGCAAAGGCATCGACATCAGCTTCGACGCAGGCAACGCGTACCACAGAGGACAACGTACTGGATGACACGCATATGTCATTCCGCGAGGCAGCGATGATCGGGGCAGAGATGTACTTCCCGATCCATCCTGGCATCGGCGTCGATGAAGCTGAGGCATTCCCACGCATACCTGCGCCGCCGCCAGCGCCTAGCGGGCCTGCCGCGGCCCAGCCAAAGACGGTATGGGGCACACCTGCCGCGGCTTCTGTGCATGCGTCGACGTCGCAAGACGTACACCACATGGACGAGGCGTGGAATGCCCTTGAGGCACAGACGCAAAGTACAGACGAAGCGGATCGTGCTCAGCAGCGTACATCCTCGCGGGCCAAGCGCAAACCGAAGCTGATCCTCACAGGTGGTGGCCGTGGTGCCTTGTGAGACTTTCTTCTAGATACCCATTCGTAGACACGCATGGAATACAGACAATGCAGTGCTATACAATCGCAGACTATGTAGATATTTTTTTGAGGTAGTCGGCGCTATTATGTGGTACATTCCCATTTCGACCTAGCCAGGAAAACAGTGTATAAATAATGGTGGCTGCCTTACTGCGTCGCGAGGTACTTCTCCTCGACCATCTTCTCGCCGAAGGTGGGGTGCTGGTTGACGTAGGTCTGGTCGCTCGTGTTGGAGTCGACCTTACCGATCTTGCTCATGTCAAAGCCATTCTCTTCAAGGAAGCGACGGAACTCTTCGTCTTCTTGTTTTTGAATGTCGGCCGGGCGCTCTTTGATTAAGAACGCAGTGATGAGAAAAGAGACGCAGCCGAGCGATGCGCCGAGATAGAAGGGAGCAGTGTAGTAAAGGTCACTGGTACTGTTGCCATCGGCATCCGTCCAGTGATTCTGAAGCGCTGTAATGGCATAGCCACCACCAAAGGCGCCTATCTTGCCGATCGCCGCAGCGATACCATAGAACTGACCCTTTACGGATGTGGCGCACGATTTAGATGCAAGCAGGCCAAGGTTATCACCAGGACCGAATTCACCGAAGGTAAGGAAAAGACCATAGACGACACAGAAAGCAGCGATGTGCGCCTTGAGTCGCTCGAATAGACCGGACATGATGTACCCTATAACAATTTGCAGGGACAGTCCAATCATGAGACATTTCTTAGGACCAATAGTGTCGACAAGCATGGCGCCTATAAAGGAGCCTGGGATGTAGAAGCAATTGATTACAACAGCCCATCCGAGAGACACCCATTGTGGTGGGTTTGGGCCGATAATCTCAGTGACAATTAGAGAAGAGTAAATGCCAAACGGATATGCGATGAAGTCGTAGATGAACCAGACAATGGAGATCGTCAGGAGGCGGAACCAATATTTCTTCAAAACAAGACGATAGGGAATCAGGGTCGGTGGGATCATGTTCGTAGTGTATAGCTTCGGCTGCTTGATTAGGAATCGGAATGGAAGTACGAGCAAGCAGGGTACGACGCCAAGACCCAGCGTAAGACGCCAGATAAGACGGTTGTGGTTCTCTGTGCAGATCCATGTCAGTACGAGGGGGACAAAGGCCGCAGCAACGAAGCCGAGATCAATCATGAAATTGGTCGCCAAGATGAAGGGGCCGTGCTGGAAGCGCCGTGGCATCTCTTCTGTCTGCTCCGCTGCTGCAACAGACCCCGTCGGGTACTCGGCGCCGATACCGATACCACTGAAGAACCGCCATGCAATCAGCATCTGCACCATCTGGTAAGCATTGCCGTGGTAGTAAGCTCCGGCAGAGAGAGCCGTAAATACGAGAATAATCAGACAAGAGACGATCATACCAGACTTGCGGCCAACCGCATCCGAGTAGTAACCGAAAACTAGCATGCCAATGACAGTGCCTGCGAACCCGATAGCACTAAGGTTCTCTTTCTGTGTAGAAGTCACAACCGAAGATCCATATATTTTTTTAAGGAGCGTGATCACAGTACCAATCGAGGCATTGTTGTAACCGTCCATGAACAGTGCAGCACCGCATGCAAACACAGTACCGAATTGGCTCAGGACATTACGCTTGCGTTCAACTTGGCCTTCTTCATGCACATGGGGCTCGTTCGTATGGTTCACAGTCCCATTCGCAAATTGCCCATCATGGTACGACGCAAGCTGGCCGTCCTGGTACACAGTTTGGTCGGCCATGGTGTAGGAGGGATGGCGTCTATTTCTTCGTACACGACGTTCATTTTATCTTCTGCGTATCGATGCTCAGTCCACAGGCTGCATTGTGCTACAGGTGGTGCATCGCACGTGTGCGTGACCCAGTATTTAATATCGAAGGCTGTACGCACCTTTTCCATCTCGTGATTTGCTGGAATTGCGCCTGTGCGCATGCATCTGCGCATCACCGCTTGGGGATGTGCATCTGAAAAAGATTCGCTCCCGGTTGAAAAATAGGTAAAAAGAGGTAAAAATTTGGTTGGCTACCTTAGATTGCGGCCAAGCGACTGATGGACGCACATATTATAGACTTGTGCGAAAAGAGGGCTTCTACTTTTTATAAAGGCCCTTGGCGTGCTGTTGTAAACCACGTTCACGTGCCCGCGTGCGATGTGGCGGGGCCTGGCCGTGCTTATCGCCCCAATCTGAGAGAGACGAGTCTCCTAGAATAGATCGTGGTGACTACTTTGCGCCTTATAGGGAGGTGTAGTGATGAGCCAGTTAGCTATGAAAAGCGCGTGAGTAGAGTGAGCATGAAAGAGGTCACTGAGCCGGTGCATAGTTCTGCCAGGCGGGCTGAATTCACTTCCCGGCTCTTCCGCACCTTGGAAGAAGCCACCCTTTTTGCTAGTCACTGCAAGCAAAAAAAGGCCAAATTCAGATGTGGAGAAAATCGGGTGCCTGACTGCTGGCACCCCCCATGTAAAGTCATCCTCGTAGAAGCACCATTGTCAGCATTCTGCCGCGGAAAGAAGCAAGGAAATACACTGACAAATACACAGACACCATACCAACACGCACTCTCTTCGAATCAAGATGCTTTGGCACGACACTAGCAGAATGTGAGATGGTCCAATGCCACGTGGAGCGAGCACTCCCCCACGTGGCAGCATTCACGTCTCTTCTCAGCGTATACCGCGCGACTGCCGTGCGTTCCAACAAAATGGCAAGAACAACAAAAAATAACGTCTATACCGTAACACTATGAACAAAGAACTTGGACTAACTAATGATGTAGAATAACTACTCAATGAAAATACGGTTGATACTAACATCCGCCGCAATTGTTGGATAATCTTGGTGTGAAAGGCCCTCCAAGTAGTCAGCGTGGTGTGACGAAGGGAAAGATCCACCATTCACAGACTCCAAATGTTCAATATAGTACGCGGACCGCTCCAAACGGTTATGCCCCTGGGCCATAGAGTCACATGCATACGACGATACACCGTTGTCATCCAGTCCAAGTGCGTACGTCACACTGCGTGCCAAATATGCACTGCGAATCTGATCCGCACTCTTGCCACCTGCATAGGCTGGTAGCGTATCAGTCTTGTCAATGCCATTGGGGAAGTCGTCATAAGAAGCACAGTCGTCCGTAGACAGAGGACGCTTGCTGTTCAGATAAACGTAGGTACCAGGGTTTCCGATCCAGAACTTGAGCTTGTCGTCATGGCTGCTGCCCTTGATAGCAGCATAGCGCATCACGGCCTGCGCACCAAGCGAATGGCCAGCCACTACTACTGTCTCAATACCGGGATACTCTCCAAGAATCTTGCTGATGAACATATCCATCAACTTGAAAGAGCTAATGGACAGATCACCCGGACCATGCGTCATTCCAGCAACGCTCCAGCCTCCATCCTTGTAATACAGCCAGTCATCCTTCACCGCACCCGTCTCCTTATCCTTTTGATTCAACACCATCAGTGACGCAATCAGCACAGTACCATCCTCAACACCATGCTTGTCCTTCGCAATGTTGTACGCATTGCCAAACATGTTGATATAGTTCCAAGAGTCGCGGTAATAACCGGGGACGACAAGCACAGCTCGCTTGACCTTACCCGCGTTGAGACCTTTGTTGATGTAATATGGCTGTGTTCCGTTACGACCATGCTTGTCTTTCACTTCCCATTCTTTGCGCTCAAACATATAGAAGTCCTTGGGAACGTTGCTGAAGGACTCGCCATCAACCAGGTTTGCACTGGGACTCTGCTGAAATTCAACGCCCTTCGCCCATGGCACTTGCTTGGCGTCAGCATTGCCACTGATGTTCGCGTACTTGTTCCACGTGCCATCGTCAGTCTTATCAATATCTTTAATTTGCAAGACCATCTTCGCTGCAGCAACAGGGTCAGATTTAGCAGTCTCTACGATCTGTGCCTGCTTGGGCTTAGAGGCTTGACGCTTTTCGAACAAAGCCTGGTCACCTGCATCAGCAGCGTTGACAGTGACAATACACAACAGGGCAGCCAAGGTCAATGAGAATAGCAATCGCATGTTGAAATGACGAAGTAAACCAGGTGATTAATTGAAGACATCTTCATCTGTTTACGCTGGTCGCCCATTTCACAAATCGGCGTACATATTCACCGCGATGGGAACCAAGGACCAATAACCATTATGGCCAATAATATTCGCAAACGAGGGAGATATGGACATTTCGTGGCACATCTGCCAAACCCATCTACGAATCAAGAAGGAAAGGCGAGCCAGTGTGAAATCGTACCTGTCAACTGAGATCGATGCATATGGCTGATTGGGGAATGTAGCCTTCATGCATGTAAAGTGAGAAACTTTGAAAAGTCAACAAATAAAAATTGGTTGTGTGACCATAGTGGAGTACAAAGAATCCCCGAAAGGGGGTTCGAAGAAGATAAGGGTCGAAATGTGGAGGTTCTTCGAACTAGGAACATCGTCTGAGACTTAAGAGATCCCAATGTTCATAGATTAAAAAAAAATGTGACTGCCGTGGATGTCTCAGTTAACACAACACAACCATAATTACCAATTATGCTACAAAGAGCAAATGTAAGCTTAATATAACCAAGTACGCATGCACAGCGA